GTGGCATTCTCGCCCGATGGCTCGCTGCTGGCCTCTGCTTCATGCGATCACACCGTCAGGCTGTGGAAGGTGAGCACGGGTCAAGCGGTGCAGACGCTCCAGGGTCACACGAACTTTGTGGAGGCGGTGGCATTCTCGCCCGATGGCTCACTGCTGGCCTCTGCTTCATGCGATCACACCGTCAGGCTGTGGAAGGTGGGCACAGATCAACAGGCGTGGAAATACGAGAAGCTACCAGGAATCACTACTATCAGTTTTTCCCTTGACAATACGGCTTTGCTCACAAATCGAGGAACGATATCTATTGATGATAAAACTCTTTGCTCGACTATCGAATCTTCGAACGAGACAGCCATCACGATAAAAAATGGTTGGCTTCGACAAGGTGACTATAATCTCCTTTGGCTCCCACTGGAGTATCGCCGCGATAGCTCGGCTTTCTACGGCAATACGATTGCCATTGGTTTGAATTCCGGCCAAGTCAAATTTATCCAGCTCGATAATCTAGAAGTATCTCGATAGAAGAGTTGGGTTCATGTAACGCGCAGAGAGCGTGGTAGAGAGGAATCACGTGCACACAAGAACAGGGTGAGGAATGGCAAGGACTGAAGCCTTGCCGTCTTGCTACTGGTGACTACCCAAGTTTATATACATAACGTGATCGTTGGCCCCAATATTCTATACATAGTCCCTGTCGGTGGCTGAGTGTTGCAGTTCAGACGGACTGGATGGTCCCCCTTCGGTGTTAGCCCCGTGCAGGTTACCCAATTCCATTGTGGGCAGCGATATCAGATCCTGCCTGCCTATTGAGTGAGTGTTGCAAAATATTCTGGTCTGTCATGAATGATTGGCTAGCATTTGTTCAATATTGCTGTTCAACAGAAGGCAAGCCTCCAGAGCCCAATGTGCATACACTCCTGCATCCGTTCTATCAACAAGATTGTTCATGGACTTGATTCGATATTATAACCCGTCTAGGTGGTTCCACAGACTGGATTCGATGGCGTTGATCTTTCATCAGATCCGATCCATGCTGCGTGGCCAACAGTCAATTAACTGACATAAAATCCTAGGAGACAAGATTTCCAGCTATCCACTGGATCCGATGAAATACCACAGCCCATCGGATTTAATCAGTGGATTATCTCGACGTCAAGGCTTGTCCGTTCACGCTCGGTTACGAATCATCTCGAATGTGACTAGTAGAGCTTCTCTAGGTGATCCACAGACTGGATCCGATGCGTGGATCATCTCGATATCGAGGATATCGATATCTATCGAGTAGGGTGCTCCTCCGCCACATGGGCCCTGGGGAGCACGTGATCCCGGAAAATGGTTAATCCGTTGGCGGTTGAGTGGTTCATACGATACGATACGATATTCATACACCCTGTACGGGCTAAGCCCATTGGGGACTAGGTAATTGCTACGCGCTACCTCCCGTTCTCCACCGGTTCGTCTTAGGCCCGGCTGTTAGATCCCTCGCCTTTACAAGACTGTTGCCCCATTCTACCCATTCCTGGGTGGGCCATGGATTGGATCCGATAGGGTCAGCCAATTAGAGCACGTGATTGGGTTTCGGATTATAGATTTTCCGGGCTCCGGCGGCATTCCAACCCCTCCTGGATGGGCCAAGGACTGGATCCGATAGAGTTGGCCAATTAGAGCACGTGATTGACTGTCGGATTATAGATTTTCCGAGTCCCGAGGGATCGCAATCACGTGAATCGTCTTACGGCCGCATGTGTGCGCCGCCAAGAGTTGCCAAGGCCAATGTGGCCGGCTCAATCACGTGATCTCTCGAGCGCAGCGAGGCCGGGGGTTTGGGGGCTTGCCCCCAAAAGACAAAAGCTACGCTTTCACCCCCCGCGGAATATCCTGTCCGCGGCCCCTAGTCATCATCTCGAGCCTCGGCTAGTGCTGTTTCGGGCCAGCTGCAAAGAACAACCATCTAAGGTAGCAACCAGGTCTGAAATCTGTACATTTATTGTGCCGATACCAAGCACTGAACACATATTTCAACCCATTAAAAACATGTGCACTCGCTAAGTTGATGGCATCCGGAAATGAGAGCTCGGGGCTTCCACCCAATTTAGCGTGCCTCGCCCACCTCCAGTACATTCGGAGCCATAGTTCAGACGTAGGTGGGATGTTGCTCTGGGTCCATCTCTCCAAAAGAGATTTTGGACGGATGAGGTGCTTAGCCTCCGTATTCACGAGATCATGACCAAAAGCCTTGCTTTCTCCAAGGAAGAGAACTCTGAAGGCACTAACAGCGAAATGCGCTGCTCTATCCTCGCTCAGATAGAATTCTGAAGTCTGAGAAGTCACTTCCTTGCGGGACTTCGGTGGGGTGAAGTCTACGAAAGAGGCGAGGGCTTCTTCCATTGTCTCTTTGGTTAAACGATCCTGCCACCGCTGCGGTAGCGGCTGGAAGTCGATAATTTGCCCAACAATCTTGCCAGTGCTGTGAAGGAGCGTGTTGTTTCCCGAGAAGGACACCTCCGACGTAGTAATTGCCCCATGAGTCTGTTCTGAAAGTTTCACAGGCTCAATATCAAGAAATACTCTCTCAGAGAAGCGTGGATTTCCAAAATCGGGAACCCACGAAGGGAATCGATGTTGGTCCGGGGCGCGATCGTTATGGTATAGCAAGATATTGAGATTTCCCATGGTTTTGATCAGTGTCATTGCAGTGGCAGCAAAGACCTCTTCTGTCGTAGCATTATAGTCAGCCACGAGGCTGTCCGTTCCAGAGTGTTGGCTGAGGCCAAGCAGGCTAAGGATTTTATCTTTCGGATCGAAATATTCAGTAGGCGCGAAGGCTGAGGGCAACTCCAACAGGTTTATGTTGCAATGACTAGCACACGAATTGAATGGTGCTGTATGCCCTGACAAGGATCTGTTCCGGATTAAGCGTTGTATACAGAATCTCTCGCTGATGAGGCGCGTCGCACTCGACAGAAATAATCCTCGTTCTTGCGAGAAAACGAGATGGTGTTTCCCTTGCATGTATCGAACGACAAATTCCAGAAAATAATTGAAATAAATTCGTGCTGCACTTGCCGCAATGTAAAAAGGAATGTGTATTCAAGATGCTCTCTTGTACTGTCCACCGCCTTTTCCAATATGTTCATGTGAACAGTCGCCCAACAGCTGCCCAGTCGTCGCTGTAGGATGCATTTACCCATCTGTTTGTTGCCCATGTGGAAGCATTTTCGATATTGGCTGAGGATTGTTGGGTTAAAGCTTTCCCAAAGCCATCCACAAATTCGAGGGCCCTGTTGCTGTCTCTAGTGGCCGGGTACAACCAGATGTCTACCTGGGAAGCTTTTGAAAAATTTGATTCATTAAACCCACTTGATGGGCTCGTTCAACTGGGCCACTAGTGTTGATGCATAAGGCGTCGTTCCAATACTTGAATTTGTACGTCGGATAGTTGGGTATTCATAAAGAAGCTCTTCAGGTTGGGTTTTGCGGGAACCACTTCACCGTTCAATGTGATTTCCAGCGACTCATTCAGCTCCACTTCTGCATTGCATTCGTAAGAAATGGCGATATACCTGTCCGGGTCATCGAATCTCGTTGTGGGCTACGTCCAGCGGCTGGAACAGATGTTCAGGTGTTACAATGGATTCTGGTTCATCCGAGTCCGCCGGTGGCGGCTTTCCGTGTGGTTGATGGGCCATTTTCTAGACAAGAAGTCTTGACAAGGAGATTCGATTAGCCTTATCGAAAATTCACATCGAAATACTCTAATCGTCCGGATGGATACCCGTGATTGGTGCCATTTAACCGGAGTAGAGTTTTTTGGGCCTGGCTTTCTCTTATCCTCACTGGCCCGGTAGCTACCCAACTAGCATGCTCCCTGCAAGCCTCGGTCCCTGAATTTATAGCTTGGCAGATATTTGTTGCGGTCACCAGTCCGCGTGCGATTTCAACGAACATCACTCCGACCAATTTTCGCAGATAGAGAGGATAACGCACGACATTGGGTTCACCGTTGAAATCAACCTCGACCCAATATCTTTCTCCTTCACGCTGTCTTCTCGCACCCTCTCCCCTCCCGTCTGACTTTTCTGCATCGGATCGCACACATGTCGCCGAAATAGTTAATCACGAGCCTCCCAATGATGGCCACTCCAGCTCTGTACTGGCCGCGTGCCACCTTTCCAGTCAAGCGATTGCTTCGGCCTCAGTCCATACGCATCGACCTTTCGAAAATATGCCGAAGATGTTTTTCTGCGCACTATCAGAGGCGGCAAAGTATGTCCGCTGAGGACCGGCCGTCCAAATCCCTCTTCTTCCTAGAAAGAGATGAGCTGTTCAGTCAAAGACACATTGGTCCTTCGCCAGAGGATGAGGCTCAAATGGTCAAGACCTTGGATCCACCGGTCAAAGATTTGAACGATTTCATCCACCAGTCTCTGCCTCGGGATATTCGGGCGAGTAAAGAATTGCAACTGCAGAATGTATATGGGAAAATAAACGCACAAGGTGCCCGCGAAGTCGCCATTGAACGGGAGCTTTGGGCCCTCCAAAACGAAAACAATGTTCATGCTTCGCTGATTGGCATGGGTTACTACGGGACCAATACTCCCTCAGTCATCCAGCGGAATGTCCTGGAAAGTCCTGCATGGTACACAAGCTACACCCCATATCAGGCAGAGATCAGTCAAGGCCGCTTGGAATCTCTGCTGAATTTTCAGACCCTTGTCACCGATCTCACCGGCCTTGCCATTGCCAATGCTTCCGTTCTTGACGAGGGAACCGCGGCTGCGGAAGCAATGACGTTATCGTTAAATGCACTACCTATGTCGCGGCAAAAGAAAGCAGGGAAAACATTTGTGGTGTCAGATCGTTGTCATCCTCAAACAATTGCTGTTCTTGATTCGAGAGCAACAGGTTTTGGTGTCAAGATCGTGGTGGGAGATATTCTGGGACATGACTGTCAGCTCGTCCGAGATCAAGGAGAGACCTTGATCGGCGTCCTGGCCCAATACCCCGATACTTACGGAGGGGTCTTTGATTTTCAAACCCTTTCAAATATTGTCCACGCGGCCGACGCTACATTTTGTGTAGCAACAGACTTACTCGCTCTCACTCTCCTTAAAGCCCCGGGCGAGTTTGGGGCCGATGTCGCTTTTGGCAATGCCCAACGTTTTGGTGTTCCTTTGGGATATGGCGGACCCCACGCCGCCTTCTTTGCCTGCAATGAAAAGCACAAACGAAAGATCCCTGGTCGTCTTGTCGGCGTGTCCAAGGATCGTCTCGGTAATCGAGCTCTTCGACTAGCCTTGCAGACTCGCGAACAGCATATCAGAAGAGAGAAGGCGACCAGCAATATCTGTACCGCTCAAGCGCTCCTTGCAAACATGAGTGCATTTTATGCCATATATCATGGACCTCATGGTTTGAAGAATATCGCCAAACGCATTTGGGCCATGGCCAAGTTTGCGCAAATCTTGATTGAACGAAATGGCTACAAGACAGCAACCCAGGGCGTTCGTGACGACGGTGCGGTGCTCTTTGATACCGTGACCGTCGAACTAGACAACCCTCAGCAAATGGAACGGATCCTGCAAATCGCCCGCCAAAATCACATAGGCCTCAGATCGGACGTTCCGGGCCGAGTGAGCTTTTCCATGGATGAGACCATTTCCGCTGGAATTTTGGAACAATTGGTTGAATGCTTTGGGGTCACGAAACAAGACTATCTGGATGCGTTGAGTGATCCTGAAATCCGATGCAAGGTGAACAATGCCGATATTCCCCTCGAGGTACGGCGACAATCAGCCTTCTTGACCCATCCCGTTTTCAATCAACATCATTCGGAGACCGAGTTACTCCGATACATCCATCATCTCCAATCCAAAGATCTTTCTCTGGTCCATTCAATGATACCGCTTGGGTCTTGCACGATGAAACTCAATGGCACTACGGAGATGCTACCCGTGTCGTTCGCGGGATTCTCCAAACTGCACCCTTTTACGGAAGTGGAAAATGCCAAAGGATACCGGACATTAGTCCAGCGACTGTCGAATGCTTTGACCTCCATCACCGGAATGGATGGTGTGAGTCTGCAACCCAATTCAGGTGCCCAAGGAGAATTTACGGGACTCAGAGTGATCAAAAAATACCTTGACAGTACGGATGAGGGAAAGGGAAGAAATATTTGCCTCATTCCGGTGTCGGCTCATGGTACGAACCCGGCATCTGCAGCCATGGCTGGAATGACAGTTGTTCCGTTAAAGTGTGATATCAAGACAGGCAATCTTGATATCAACGATCTGAAGGCAAAATGCCAAAAGTACCAGGATAAATTGGCTGCCATCATGGTCACATATCCCAGTACGTTTGGTGTCTTTGAACCCGGGATCAAAGCCGTGTGCAAGATGGTTCATGACCACGGAGGTCAAGTCTATATGGACGGTGCCAATATGAATGCCCAAATAGGATTGTGCAACCCTGGTGAAATCGGTGCCGACGTTTGTCACCTCAACCTCCACAAGACTTTCTGCATTCCTCATGGTGGAGGAGGTCCCGGTGTGGGACCCATTGCCGTCAAACAACATCTTGAGGCATTCCTGCCTGGTCATCCGCACGTCGATCCTCATTCTACGGGTAGTGACCGGTCCCAGACAGCCATATCTCCGGTCAGTTCGGCGCCTTGGGGAAGTGCATCCCTCCTGCCGATCAGTTATGCCTACATTCAACTCATGGGAAGCGCGGGATTAAAGCACGGGACCGAAATGGCTTTGTTGAATGCCAACTATATCATGTCCCGCCTCAAACCGCATTATCCCATCTTGTACACAAATGAACACGGTCGATGCGCCCATGAATTCATTCTCGACGCAAGAGGGTTCAAAGAAACGGCAGGCATTGAAGCCATTGACATGGCTAAACGACTCCAAGATTATGGATTCCATGCTCCTACAATGAGCTGGCCCGTCGCGAATACGCTGATGATTGAACCCACGGAGTCGGAGTCGAAGGAAGAACTCGATCGGTTCTGCGATGCTTTGATTGAAATCAGAAAAGAAATCCAAGATATTGAAGATGGCAAGGTCCCAAGGGAAGGAAATGTGTTGAAGATGTCGCCACATCCACAGGCCGACTTAATGAGAACCGATTGGGACCGTCCATATACCCGAGAACAAGCAGCGTATCCACTCCCTTGGCTTCGAGAGAAGAAGTTCTGGCCCACGGTGGCTCGTGTTGATGATGCTTATGGTGATACCAACCTTTTCTGTACTTGTACCCCGGTAGAAGGTGATGACGAAGGAACCAAAAGTGTTTGAATCAAGGATCGGAATGGGATTGATGTGGCGCGTGCCGGCTCTGTTTCCCTCAATATATGACAGAAAGACGTTATGATCGGAGTTCAACATCCGGGTCTTAGACAAATCATTGGAAGCGTTCACCAGCTCATGGACATTGAATGCAGCCGACGAAATTGGGAGTCCCGTCAATACACATGTTCAGCGCAAGCTCTGTTATTGCCGGAATCCTTCTCATCTTCCTTTTCGGGGTCTTTGTTTGTGTTGATGTTGGATCACGGCCGGTTCCATCGGAAATTCAACCAGCGGAGGACACGCTATATTGGTAGCCGCGGACAGAGTACTTCAACACATATTGGCTGGTGTTGGAATGGAAATTTTTGGAATTGCTCCATCCTAATTTCAACATGCACGGTCGTCCTGACGCCTATCAAGCAAGATACAGATGCAAATACCGATCCGTTGGTCTCACGAGCGAAGTCCCCCGAGAAACTTTCCTGGCCGATCTCAAGTCAGGGAGATTGTAACCCGACGAATCCATGTGAGGATATCGATCGAAATCGTGCAGATGAAAGGGATCCCTCCATTCTTTCCTTCGAGCTCCTGTTGACTTGTCACTTTCAAAGTTTGTCTGCGAAGAAATTCGTTCCCTCGCATCTCCCTATATCATCATCTTTTCCATCATCATTCCTCCTCCCCTTCCCCTATTCTGTTGGCGCCATCCTCTCTCTTTCTCTGCCTTTTTGACTGGACTTCATTACCTATTTGACCTCCACCTAAAGTGTTTCCTTTCTGTTCTTTGTAATATTCTTTTCAGAACCTTTTCGCCCCGTTCTTCCACTGGCCTGCATCCTCGACCCCCTGCGCAACTTTCCTCGTCCCATTTTCCACGCCCGTCGCCGCATCCGACAATCCATCACCCAATGGCCGTCCCGTACTCCCCGTCGCACCTGTGATGGTGTCGCCGATCCCGCGGCCAGCCGCACCCGTGACCCCGCCGATCGTGCGCGTGAGGCCGCCTACGGTATTCTACCACAAAACGTCAGTGGGATAAAGAGAGGTGTTGGGGGGAGGGAGACGGGGAGGGAAGAAGAACAACGTGGAAAAGAAGTGGGAGAAGGGGAGAAGGATGGACGTACGCCAACGGCAGACGTAACGAATTTAGCAGCGCCGGTCACGCCATCGTCAGAGGAGGAAGTGTTGATTGGCATTGTGAACAAGACTTAAATCGATGGAGAGGTATGGATATGATGACGCATAGAGGGAGGATGCAGTGTTATCAGGAATATATTGATGAAGTCCGGCTTGGAAGAGAAATTAGTCCTGAGCGAGAAAGCTAGACATCAGACAAACTAGCCAGTCCGGAGTATATATATACTAGACTGTCTATTCGAGAAGTATACCTTTATAGGATATACCGTTATGATAGCGCACGTTCGAGATGGAAATACGATGTCGAAAACCGGATTTCGGGTCGATATGACATCAATTCTGCAGTTGTCAGCTCGAATCTGGACGGATGAATACTCCCAGAATGCGCCCAATGAGAATCCGAATCCGATCCTTGGCTACATATTGTCAAATATGGTTCTCGCTCACAGAGTATGTATACCAGCCTGTATCTTCAGGATTGGAGGGTTTTGTTTGGGGGACACGGATCACCAACCCAAGCTGATGTTGGTACGGAACAGGAGAGAGGGTAGTGTAGGAAAACAGCAAAGAATTAAATCATATGTTACATACTGCAGGTGTAGATATCTTGTCTGAAAAGGGAAGTCGGCGAGGCTGAACTGGTATAGGCTGCAGCTATGCCGCAAACTCTCACCCAAGGACTCCGTATTCCAGTTACAGTATCTTGTTAGTTTTGTTTGCACCTGCTAGGAAACAAACTCATTTACAGAATAGGTAAATCAGTTATGTACAATCCAGTTGGTGACCCTGAATATTCTCTTGCTCGTGGCCATGCTCTGCCATATCTGTCCCCTACTTGATCTACTAGTATCATTCATGCCAGGAAAGGGTCCACAGCCCCTTGGGGATCGCCCAAAAAGATTAAGAATCCTGTCATTTCATGACAGAAACTTGGACCTCTTAGCTTATATACTTGTCAGAACCCGGTTCGTGACAAATCACCACTCACCAGCACCACCTGACCCTTGATTTCTGACCACAATACCTAGGTATCTAGTCTAGTCGGATCGAGTCGAGTTCGCTTACGTGAGGTGTAAAATTTTTAATGATCCAGCACATTGCCAAACCGCAACAATTCCGCTCTCTGCTCGAAGAGGCCCCTCGACGAACCGATCCATCACACCTTCCTGATAAATAAAGCGCTTGAGGATCTTCTGTGCTTCGCGCCACGTGCGGAGACCCAGCAGTTGTGAAATCCTAGCGAACCTTGTCGAGTGCCAACGCCGGTCGACAAGGAGTTCAGGTCTCTTTCCGGCATCGTCGGAGATTTGTCCCGCGCAGGCGCCGACGAGGAACAGGTACGGTAGTGGTTCATGGTGGGAGAGTGAAGTCCTTGGTTCGTTGGACGATGAAGACGATGTCAGAGTGCCGCGCTTCGACATGTATTGGACCAAAATCTCGACTTGGGATCGGAGATGCTGGATTGGTATGTACAGGAGCCATTTCTGAAGAGGGAGTGTGAAGCTGTATACAAACGACATGCCGTACGAAACAGCTAGGCAGATACAGGCTTGTAGCTGCCGTCGTACAGTGCGAGACATGCGTGTTTGTGGTGTGATCGTCTCCACAATGTCGCAGTAGAGCTGCATCGTCCAAGAACTCAAGGCTAATCGACGACGATGGAGCCAGCTGAAAATCTCGTCGGCCGCATCGTCACGCTTTCCTTGTAGTAATTTCCCCGCGAGGCTGCGAGCGGCCATAAACTCTCGATGCGACCACACATAAGTGGCTAGACGATTAGAAAGGACATCGTCTGGAAGAAGAAATGCTTCGTTCCCATCGCTGAAATGGGAAGTCCAGATCGGGTAATAATGCACCATATTCGGCAAAGCCGGGTTGGGCATGGAAAGATCCCGGATCCCACCGCGCGAAATCAAATCGTGGTCGAGTCAGGACTTAATACCACCCAGTTCGTTCACGAATCTAGACACGGCTTGTTCATGATGCGATATATTCGTCTCAAGGTCGTCCGAGTAGAATGCTTGATTGGCGATGTACCAAATACACATGATCACACTTTCGGAAGGCCGCATATCTTGCAGAATCTGTGCACGAAGCAACATCAGGCTTTTGTTCTGATGTTTCAACGCCATTGGAGCTCGGTGCATTGTCAGCTCACCAGACTTCGCGCATTGGCGTAAACGTAGGACAATAAAAAGCCACGAAGCACTTCCCAGGCTTCCTTTTGAAATGCAGGACAGGCTGCCCAGTCTGGCGCGGAGGAATAATCGATTCGGCCTCGTAGGCTGGATTGTGTCTGCATCGTTAATAGTTGAGATGTTGTGTGGGGGTCTTCCATCTCCTCGTCTGATTTAATCTGTTGATCTGAATGTTCGATAGGTTCGGGTGAATTGGAATCGCTCTGGGGTCTCCTGCTTGCTCCTGAGCCCAGTTGCCAGCAAATGGTTCGATTGGATACTTCGTCGCTATCCAACACTTTGAGAGAGTTGCCTGAAGTATGGCGTCTTCGGGATACATCCGGACTTGAACCCCCATCGTCATCAATTTGCCGAGCATTTCTCGATCTGGCATTCTTGACCCATCGATAATACTTATCGGTGACATGAGAGCGGAAGGGGTCATGTTGGATTGATGACCGCAACGGAAGTCGTATCTGAAGGACTCGTCGTACTTTTTGGTTGTGTATACCACTTGTCCTCCTAGCCTTATATCTTTAGTATTGCAAAACCTCCGCGCCAGAGTCGTCCGGGACCAGTAATTAAAGGTTCAAGGCATTGTCTTGCTTAGATATACTGTTGGAGCCCATGGTATAGCCTCGGGGGGAAAGGGAGGCCCCAAACCTGGTACCGTGACCGAGTATGTTCATTGGTTGGAAGCCGTGCAGAAGATTGCTCTTCCGCGCTGACCAAGTCCTGTCCGTGCAGCATCGGTGAGTGTCTTATTTAGGAGTGGCATTGGAAACGAATGTTACTGTCCTGAAAAGGGCTAAGGCAGGTTCTCTTTTGGTATAAGCGGTCACACCAGCTTCGAGGAAAAGCTTGTTAAAACCCTTTCCATTGGGACGCTACGGGCTACTCAGCCCCCCGTCATATGCTAGACATTTGGGAGATGGCACACCGAGATTGAACTGTGATCTGGCTGATTAGGAACATGTTCTCCTTAGCTTGCAGTTGAGGATTGGCAGTTATTGTTCTCTAAGTCTCCGTGTATGGTGACACAGTGTGTCTGACAAAGGCGATTCGGAAAACATGAAAGGGTAAAATGAGATCTGGACATGATATCCGCTGAGGCGTCAATACGGGCTGATACCAAGCAAATGAACCGTGAACCCTGCCGCACTTCCTCTTTTGTTAATTTTGCTGACCCATCGCTGAGTCATCTAGGGGAGAAAAAAAAAAAAAAAAAAAAAATAAAAGGAGTAACGTCGAAGTGTGTACCAAATGGGTTCGCGGTTCCCTTAACCATCTGGGCTTCAAGAAAGAACCTCACCGATCTTTGGAGCCCGATTCTTAAGCCACTCTCGGGCACGACTAACGTCGCCTCTCTCCTCCTCAAGGGCCTTGGCACACCATTCTAGTTCATATTCGCCTTCGCCAGTCATCATGGTCGCTAGGATTCTTCGCGTCTGACAGGCTTCATCAACGCAAAATCTCAGCTTGGAGGTCCCTCCGTGGGAAAGGTCGTCCATGATGGGTTTGATCATGACCAATCCATCCTTGGCAGAGACGACTCGGTCCTGACCGGTGACATTTTTATGTCCAGTCTTACATAAGTCAGGGTTGCGACACCATAATTTGCCACAGCCGCCCATGAGCTGCTGCAGAAGCCTTCTCTCGATTCTCCTTCTCAACATTCTCCCTTCAGGATCGTAACTGGCAACGTATAGCGGGCCAAAACACTCGTTGCAGAGACCTAATTGTTCTTTCTGCACTCTCATCTCGTCATCAGATCTGATTATTCTGCCACAAATGCCGTTTGCGCACAGCTTCGGCCTCGGTCTGGCAAATCGCTCTCGATCGTGAAGTCGCAAGTGAGTCTTCATGTCCCGCAGTCTGACTATCTTGCTACACAGATGGCACTCTGTTGTCCGTGCACCATCCGTAAGCTCGTGTGGTGTGAGTCCCGACATCAAAACTTCAGGATCCGTAAACGGTGGATCTTCGGGTCCTCGTTGCGGCACCACCAAATGACAGAACTGGCAAAGAATCTCTTTCCCGGGGCATGTCGTTGTCCGATGGTGTGCCAGAATGGGCAGGTCAAAAGCTTGGAAATCGCAATTCGGGCACTGAAAGGGGGTGGCGGGGTGAAAGATTGCATCATGTTTCTGATGGGATACAGGATCATTTCCGTGTTCCTCATCATGAGGGCAATGCCAGTGGTTCTTGTACGACTCGGAATTCTTGAGAAACACGTCGGAACATGTCGGACAGCGGACGTTATTTCGATAGCAAAAGGCTTCATGCAAGGGGAGTGTTCTCTTAGGGACCACCTGATGACAATTCTTGCATATTACCTCGTCTGGAGACGGTTGTGAGGGTACGTCGTTCGTGGTAGTGGACTCCGAGACGGCTGTTGTCACTTGGAGGGTGTATGGAATCGGGCGGTCACCATCATGGACGTCGTTGTTCGGATCTTTCCAAGCATGTACCGTCAGATGCAAGGATTCGGCATCTTCCAGGTCCGAATTGGTGTGAGAAAGCTTGATTCGCTTCGTGGGTCGGCCACTCATATCACCAAAGACAAATTCGTCTTCCCGAGGTGTCGACCGTTGTCGTGAAGAGGATGGACTGATCAGAAGATCAAGGCAGGCGGTGTCCTCGGAGGCTTGTAGGATGACTTCCAGATCGTCTTGGTGATCCCAATCTTTCAATTCGTAGTCCACATAATGACCTGGTACGGCTTTGCCTTGCTGTTCTTGCTCCAGATTCAACGGTCCACCAAGGGAGCTCCCCTCTGGTGACTCTTGTTCGCGTCTGTTCTTTGCCAGTCTCTTCTTCAAAGTTTCACGTGCCTGATCTTCATCCAATGGCTCGATGTCCACCTCGAGATCGGTATCAACAATGCATATGCCATCGCCTTCAGGTTCCAATTTGTCCACCCGGAACCGAAACTGCTCATGATGGGCGCCTGGGACGACCAGTAATTCTCCACTGGTCAAAGTGGTAAAATTGTCTCGCAGATAACGTTCGAGCAGCGACTTCCAATCCTCAGGGTCGTACCCTGCTTCCAGAGGCCTTAATTTGACGTATGTTCCTTTGGGGAGTTGTTTGGCATGAATCATGAGGATCTCAGATGTCGGAGTGTCCGTGCCATTGGTCATGATCACGTCGCCACCAGGCGTGCTTTCTCTCGTCGTAGATGAAGGTGTCGCTCCATTGTGAAGACCTAGAGCCTCTCGGAGGCCGGCGCTCAATCCGGTCGTCCCCTCATCTGCAGAAAATTCCCGGATTCCGGCGTACACAGCTCTTTCATTGCGAGGATTCACAATACGAAAGGTGAGGGGATGCGGTAACTGCTGCTGCCGATCGGTCAAGGCCTCGCGGGCACGGCGCTCCGCGGCGAAGGAATAAGGATTGAAAGGGTCGAAGGAAGAGGTAAGGTTCCTCGAGGCGTTGTTCTGAACAGGAACCACCGGAGCGGCGGCGAGGAGGGCTTCGAGGGCCGATTGTGGCAAGGTGATTTTGTCTCCCACGAGTCTTCGATTTGGGGGTGCGACTCGAAGTTGAGCCGACCATTTCAGGGTATCCGCTGGTGATGCCATGATTGTCGAGGGTTATGAGGGGATGAAGACGTTGTAGAGGAAGGTCGGGCACAAGGAGGAGCCATGATGAATTTCATCTTTAGGCACAAAGAGTGACGCGCAGTTTTCGAGAAGCGTCGACGGGTGTTTACAAATTACTCGTCGGATGTTTAACCTTTGGCCCCAGAGGCCATCTGACGCTGTTTTTAGCCGTCTCTATCGCTAGACCTTTTGGAATATCTGAGCCACGGCTGCATGGAGAGATATATACTACTGACGGCAGAAAGAATGGAGTGTCCCGTCATTCAAAACCGCCACCACCTCCCTTCGCTCTCACAGCAGCGGCCGGAGGCTATAAACTCTTGATGGATCCATTGACCGTTGTAGCCGTCGAGGGGACTTGCGCAGGATTCTCACGGCCTTTGATATCATGACCTTTTTGACATGTTGGATGATAATTGTCCCTGGCGGCAAAAAGAAAATTGATGATTACGTAAGATAGCGGACTGGGTTCGGCCACGTGCAGTGCTTCTGATTGGCTGGTTTCTGATATCCTGCGGCTTCGGACGGATGTTCAACGTCCAACTTCCTCAGTAGGTGGCTTTCGTGACCATTTTCAGGTGTTCGGTTGTCCTCGTCAAATGGACCCATCGCTTTTTCCTTTCTCGTTGCTACAAGTTCCTGGGCTATAAGACCCCACCCCACCACCAATCCCCCAGGGGTTCCTGCGGACCAATACTCAATACTTCACTCGGCTTCCCGAACATGAAGATCTAGAGATCGTTCTGAAAATGGTCGACACCGGCCCCAGAAAGGGATCTCTCAATTTCCTCAACCCTTTCCAGTCGAACCCCAACAGTCGATCTAGTTCAAGGGCACCCTCTCTATCTGATCTTTCCGTTCAAGATGTCAGCCCAGATCCAAAATCTCCCCCTAGAACTCGGCTCAGGAAGATCTCTACTCCGAACAGCTCCACATCGAGTCTGAAGAAGCGCGGCCTAGAGCAGTCTCGATCACGCAACTCCTCGTTTCCAGCAATAGATGTTGCGGACGAATGGGACAGAGACGCGCAGACCGGTGAGCGAAAGGACTATACTGACTTGCTTCACGGTCTAGTTCATCGGGAATCTGCTGAATCACTTGCGGAAAGGGCTCAACGAGTGTGGGATGGAATCCCTCCTAAGCCAGCCTCGGAACTCTTGTCAAGATTTCCACAACACCTTTGGAATCGAATTATAGAAAACCTCGGACCGGCAGATACAGCAAGTCTAGCTCTCTCGTGCAAATCTTTTCGAGATTTGGTGGGAACGGATGTCTGGACCAACCTCAACGCGGATGAAAATCACGATATCAAAACCGACTTTCTTGGGCGACTGGATGGTGACCTTCCAAATCACCTCCTCTGCTTCCCTTGCGCAATCTACCATGTTAGGACTCAAAAGGGGAAAGAAGATTTGCGACCGACCAACATCTCGAATCCCATTTTTAATTGCCCCAACGCCTTTAACGTTGTGAAGAAAGTTTCGCGAACGAGGCTCACAGTCGGTCGGTCACTACCGTTTCCCTTTGTCCAACTTATTCTCAGAGCGCATAAACATACTCCCGAACACGGCATTCCCCTTGATTCCGTGTCCCGTCGATGGAAGGACCGAGACGGAGAATGGTCTCATCAGACTCGCTATGCTGTTGTCAATGGGCATCTTCTGGTCCGGGTAACCAGCTCAGCCTTTGCAGCACCTGCTCTTCCTCCTGCGGGATTGCGCAAGCTTCTTTATTCGCACAACGATAATTTCAATCCCTTCTTCTCGGTTTGCTCACACTGGAGAGATGGTGAGCTCATGCAGTCGGTCAAATGCGCCCTCAGTCATATTCCAAAGCCACCAGAGGGAAGTGGGAGAGCAGGCACTGCCGCAAATGTGAAATACCGGATGAACCGACCTAGCCCTCTCATCACACTTTGTTCAGCATGTCGACCAATGCGACGGTGTCCAGAATGCGCTTCGGAGTATCTCATTGAGTTGAGGGTGCAGGAAGACAAAAATGATCCTTCAATGCTGTTTAAGCATGCGATCGTGATCACCCGATGGAGTGACCTCGGAGATGGCTCCTCTCCCCGAAGTCCCGAATGGGCCGCCTGCAACGGGGAAGCAGAATACGACTCATTCGCTGCTCTAGGGAGACGTGCCATCTCTGGAATTTTTGAATCACAATTCACTATTGACCAGATACCCGGCCAGCGAATCATCTCCATGAATCCTAGCAAGGAAAAGAAAGGCGAAGCAGGACACAATTGGTATTGATTGGGAGACGCCAAACTCGTCCCAACATATTGATCAGGAGAGCCCGAATGGGGGACCGTCGCTAGAACCATAGGAGACAGGATTCTTAGCTCCTCGGTCGCCCAGAATCTACAGTAAGCGGAAAGCTTGTGTGGATGGTATGGGCGGCCAAAACAACCGGGTGCGACTTATCGTATGGGACCTCTTCCTTCATTAAGCCGTCATTATTCAAGGCTAAGGTGCTTTATCATCATGATTCAGGAAAGCTCGTTGGTGGTGGATCCAGATGAACAGTGGTGATCGATGTCGATTGATCGAAAATGCTGGAAACAGCTCCTCCGGCACGCACCCCGGAAGTCCGGAATCATGAGAACATAAATTCAAAAAAACTCGATTGATTTATGCTTTGTGCCAAGCGAGTCCCTACCACACCAGCGTATGGCTTTCCCGAATGAAGAAAAGCCGTCAATCGATTTCCACAAACGGTACCCAGGCACACGACACCCATATACGAAGCCCTCACTTCATTGGCAATAGAAATGGATGCGAAAGAATCCCCACAAGAAAATCGTTCCCATTTCAATCGCTATTTGCTGGATCCACTCAACCACGCACTGTGCGATAACAAGATTGAGCGCCACGCGTAAAGTGGCCCCTGCCTGGCCCCCCTTCTTGCGATAGGCCTACACCCACCCTGGGACCACACCAGACCGGCGATATGATCCTGGTTTTTCTGTCGATGGCATGACGTATTTCTCCGCATTACGGAGCTGGCAAGCTTTCCCAAGATACCGCAATACCGCCTCGCTGGTGGGTTTATTTGTACTCTTGCGAGATATGAAGCGGAGCACAGCCTCCTCCTACGCACCGCAATCTATCTTGGGATCCTTATGGAGAAAGACAGCCCCTTGCGAAATCGCTGGTGCAAAAATTCGTCATTCGAAATCCTACAGCATGATAATATGATCACCATGCTCTGAGAACCGTCTACTCAGACTTTTCCTCCCCCAAAAAGGAAAAAGAAAAGGAAATCTCATCCCCCGTACTGTATAAGCATGAGACAGCTGATTACAGCTTCCACCGCTTAGAATATGTGGAAGACACACGTTTTCGTTCAAGAGCTCGTTCTTGCCTCCCTTCTCCTCTTCATCGCGAGTGTTTGGGCTTCTCCGGCGAAGAGCGGAACACTAACTTCGCGATTGTACAACTGGGGGTTCTTCGGGCCCTATCCACAGCAACACTACAAATCATTTCAGAAGAGTGCACCACTATTAAATTTCGCGCAATGGGATAGGCGATGCGACAATGGCTACACCTTCATAGGACCTCGGGGACACATGGTCTCAAAGCCGGGGCCGGTCATTATGGACTCAAATGGCGAGCTGGTATGGATAGAAGATAAATACGGACAAGCGATGGACTTCAAGGTTCAGCGGTACAAAGGTCGGGATTACTTGACTTTTTGGACTGGGACGGATAGTGGCACCTTTGGGACGGGGACCTATCTAATGGTGCATATGCCATCATTCGGCGCGTTGAGAAGGGCTGACAATTCTTTTAGCTGGATTCATCTTACGAATTATACAAATCAGTCTCTGCGGCGAATGGACTGAGTGGAGATTTACACGAATTCAAAATCACCGACAATGGCACGGCATTGATGACAGTTTATGATCCGGCACCAGCAGATCTTTCGTCCCTCGGGATCACTTCTCCAGGCTGGATCTACGACAGCATCTTCCAGGAAGTCGATATTGAGACCGGAGAACTCCTCTTCGAGTGGCGCGCATCTGACCATTATCAAGTGGAGGAATCCTTCCATTCTATCGCGGCTGAGGAACGGCGACCGAATTCATTAGGCAAGAAACAAACCTCGATCGGTAGGGGCCCAAACTCAGCCTGGGATTTCTTCCACATCAACAGCGTCGACAAGGACATGCATGGAAATTATATCATCTCCTCAAGATACATGCACACAGTCACCTGCATCAGTCCTGTGGGTGAAACCCTCTGGATTTTGGGGGGAAAGAGGAACCAATTCACCGATCTGTCAATGGGGGCAGCGACAAATTTCTCGTTTCAGCACCACGCAACCATGCACGAAAACAATACAATTACGATCTTTGACAATGGCAAATACGATGCGGATTCCCAAAATGCAGAATACAGCCGTGGCCTCGTGATTTCACTGGACCTGGAACATATGACTGCCGAACTGGTTCAGGATTTCGTGCACCCTGACCGCCTCCTCGTTGGCAGCCAAGGGTCTATCCAATTACTCCCTGATTCTGGCCACACTCTCCTCGGCTGGGGTTACATGCCTGCATACACTGAATTCGACTCTGACGGAACAGTCCTCTGCGACGTACACATTGCACCATCGATCGTCTTTGGCCTCGGCTGGGTCAAATCCTACCGGGCATTTCGAACCTCTACGTGGGTTGGAAAACCTTCGTCACCACCCGACGTGTACCTTCGTCCCCGGGACGGGGTGCTGTACGTGAGCTGGAACGGTGCGACCGAAATTGATCGTTGGCTTCTCCAGGGCTGGGACGAGGCCATGCGCACCGAGGGCGATGGAGAAGGACTGTACGTCGACTTGTCTTCACTGAAGAAAGACTACTTTGAATCCTCGTTTGAAATCGCGTCTGATATGCCAACGTACTTGCGTGTCGCGGCATTGGATCGCAACGGCAACGTCCTCGGATACAGCGAATTCCTCGATCGCAGAGTAGGCAACGCGCAGTCTGAAATACCACAGTTCATTGTACTCGTCGCGGTCCTAGGACTTCTTAGCTACCTCCTCTGGTGTATACGAAATGACATTCCTGGCCGAGAAAAACTGAAGCAGATCCTAGAAAATTGGCAACATCGCCGTCGACGTAATTCAAAGGCTAGAGAACTCCTTCTGCCAAAGGAAGAACCGATGCATGTGCGACCGGATTGGGACGAAGACAACGAATTCGACATAGATGTCAACGGAGACCCGGACGCTGAAAGAAACATGCCGTTGGCACGGGTATACCGCGATGCAGACATCGACGTATCAAAGAACGACGAATTGGGGTCGCTATCCCGGTCCACACAGCCAGACAGGTAAACTTCATACGTTGCATGTCGCCGCTGCAGAGCTAGGACTCCGTAGATAGTCCGCACCTTGATCAATTCACGAAATGAAAACGCTTTCTTCTGCTTGTTTGACAAATCTAAATTTTAATCTCGGTTTAGCGAAATTTGCCGCTTCTCTTACCCGATGATGAATCGAGGTCGGAATGTCTGAGGTTGCCTCGTCACATTCGGATACCATTTCCATCCCTCTTACAACTTCAATCTTCCTCCCAGCCAATAATTTTGGGATACTTCTGCCAAAATCCCCCTGGTGGTGGCAAGCTAGCTCTAGCTGCATCGAGTTTTCCACAGCGGGTCCGTCTTTGAGGTGGACGGCGAAGGGTAAGGCAAGGCTAGGCGAGGCTGCGCAAAAATTTATGATAGGCCGCCAATGACGGTATTCACATCCTCAGTGATTTCTGGCGATGAGAAAACAAGATCGAGAAGAAGAAAAAGCAAAGAGATTGTGCCATGTTCTTTTTGTTCTCGTTTGAAGAATTTTCCCACATGGCTTTTCTTCCGCCACTTTTTTTTTTTTTTTTTTTTTTTTTTCTTTTTTGCGGGGGGAACGAATAGTTCTCCGCCTCGTCGGACAGTGGCAAATTAATAGTCAGCATTCATCGTCCATATGCGCAGTATCGTGACCAATTCATGAATGAGAGCGGAGGCAGGGAGTGCATCGTTATCATTGATGATGTACTTGTGGAGGGAGATAGCCGATGAGGCCAGAAACAGGGTGACCACGATGGCCGCAGTGGCAATGTCGAATCGACACACGTCCACTACCAAATGACAACCACTACCGGATGGATGCAACAATGAAAGTTCCCACACTGAATCAATTTACCATTCCAACGCCGAACCACCCAGACTCGTCCTGTCACATCCGAGCATCCTCTCACAGAGACCGAGGCTTGTCGTCTCGCTGCCGTCTCCATTGGCATTCTTCACGTCAATCCATCCAATTCGTTGATTGTGCGGTTTGGCGGCCCCAATCTCCTTTCCTTCTGTCTCCTCCTTGGAGACCTGCTCCTTCAAAACTGTGAGAACCATGTCTTGAAACGCTCGGACTCCTTCCTCGTGAAACGGATGTAACGGGCCGGATTCGAAGACACCCCGTTCGAGGTTTCTTTGAACCTGTTCACAAAGCTCGAAATCCTCATCTACGACCTTTTTGTAGAACCGGATCATGCGCTCATGCGCGTCAGGGGTGGCCTGGGGTGTGTTGAGTTTGTACACGTCGTATTCTTGCCTCGTCGTGGTTGCGGAGGTGGGAATGCTGCGCATCAAGTGCATGAAGCCCGTGCCTGGGTTCGGGGAGAAGTGGCCAACGGGGAAGACGTGGGTGGCGGAACGACCGGCGAAGCGGGTCGTGTCGAAGGCAGATCTGGCCGGGATGGAGATCTTGGGCTCGCTGAAGTGAGAGATGTAGGTGTGTGGCGTGGCGGGCGAGACGTAGTATGTGTCGAGAGCGGTGGTTTTGGCAACGTCAGGATGGGCGGTGAGGCAATGGTAGCACTGGAACCCCATGTTTAGTATCTTCAAGGTTTAGCAAGAAAATGTGTCTTCTCACCTCGTTGTAATTGTCCTGCATGAGTTTCCAATTGAATTTCCCATCCTTGATCCACGTGAAGTCGTATTCGACTGCGTCCCAGTCCACCCCCGAGTTTTCCAGCACCTCTTGACGATCTAGTTGTCCATATTGCTCATCCCACGTGACCTCCGGCTTAGAGCTTGCATCCAAATTGACGTAGACGAATCCGTTCCTGTCGACGTGGACGTGAATTGGAAATAGCCGGATTTTCGACCCGTCGAAGGAAGGGGCTGAATCAGAGGTGAATCGAGGAGCCTTGGTCAATTTTCCATTCAAGTCATACGACCACCCGTGATATTTGCAGGAGAATATTCTGGCGGTACCACTCGTGTCTTGAACGACGGGGAATGCACGATGTCTGCCATAGGCATAGTGTCAAGAATTGAGATAGCCGACTGACACTAGGTCTTTTGATCGTGTTCAGTTGAGAAGAAGGGGTCTTCTTACCTGCATATATTGTGAAACCCAACAATAGCTTCTTCCTTGTTCTTCACGACCACGAAATTGAAACCGGCCATTTCGTACTGCGAAAAGTCACCGACATGACGGTATCGTGCCTTGTGTGAGACGAGGAACCAGCGCTTGGAAAAGATGGCTCGTCGTTCAAGCTGGTAGATTGCTGGGTAGTGATAGAATCCATCGGGTATAGAGGAATGAAGCTCAGTCGAGATATTCTTCTTAGATAGTCCTTCAAGATGTAATCTGTGCACTCCATTCGAAGGGGTCACTCCGTTGGTGAAGGGAGCTGGCATTTTGTAGGTGGTAGGTAGCCTTGTTGCCTTGGTAGAGTTCCGTCTTCCACCATCCTCTACGAGACTTACCGTCAACTCGATCTTTTTTTTTTTTTTTTTTAATTATTATATGCTTATCACCAAGTCTCTGTCACACGTGAATTGTCGTCGTCGATCTCGGTGGCCTCTTTGTTTACCAATCCTGACGCCGCGATTAAATTGCTGAGAAGTTCTCCATCCACCTTCCTAATCAGGCATGGGGATCCGATGGACATCTCGTTACTTGTATCAAGCCACAATCTTTGAATCTCAGGGGACGGAGATCATAAATGAGTTGGCCGCTTGTCGGAGCTGTTTTGACATCATCGCCACCGCACTGATAGAAATACTTCATTGCTTGAAGAATGCCTTCGAAGAAACAATTTTCAACGTCGGATGTAGTTGCAACAAGCACCAAAAGAAACTTCACGGCATGGTCATAAAGAGGGAAACAAGCCGTGGCGGTGGATTCCGCGCCAAGTTGATTCTCATCCTGTGGGGGGCCATTCTGTTCAAAGTCGTCTTTGTTTCTGGCGAGTCGATGAGGATTTCCTGTAAGTCCTCGTCCACATCCGTTGTTTTGTCAGAATTTTTAAGATTATGATGGATATTGTGTGATGTGATCTGTGCCTGTACTGAGAAAGAAAAATGAGTCTTCGCTTATCGTCTCTCGACCCCAACCAGCCCCGGGCTGCAAAAGGTAATAATCTGGAGAAATTGAAGATAGGACACTTGCTGAGATCCCCAAACAGACTGCCGAACCTGCAACCGCCGAAGAATCAAGTGTGATCGGAGCCTTCCCACATGCAAGAAGTGCGCCCTCAAAGAACTAAAATGTCCTGGTTACGGTCTACGCATTCAATGGGGTCAAGGAGTAGCCAGTAGGGGCAAACTCACGGGGAGAGCCTTGCCCGTTCTCGAGCCTGCCCCGTCTCCCATCCCCAATTCTACTGGTCCAAATCAAGAGAGAGCGAGCCCCAGAAGTCTCACTCCTGCAGAGTCGTCGGACTCACGCGAGCAGGGTTTCGATTCCGTGCAGCGAGCAGAACCCGACCGTCCCACGACGGTCCCTCATACGCTCCGGAATGCGTTTCATCCAGTCTATGACGAAAGCGCCTTCCGAAATCCGTTTGCCCTAAACCTTGATCTGTCGGCATATCATCTTCCAGAGTACTTGCACGGAAAATCGGTTCAGAAGCTCATCCACTACTTTGACAATGTGGTTGCACGGATTATGCCTTGGGTTGACGGACCGGAAAATGCCTGGCGAACATTGATGCTGCCCCTCGCCATGGAATCGCCCTCACTCCTCCTCGCCATCTTGGCCCTGTCGGCGGAACATTATTCGTCAAAGATGGGATCGACCTGGTCGACCGACGATGGTCTTTGCTCCAGCCACTACCGGGACAAAAGCTTGTTGTTACTGGCCCAAAATTTGCGGACCGAGATAACGGAGGATGCGTCGGTGGCCCGTCGGGGTGCGGCCAGCGCCATGTTGGCCACGATTCTGATTCTTTGCAATCTGGAAATGATTCGATGCGATTCAATTATTTGGCGTGTCCACTGGAAAGCGGCCAGAACCATTACAAGACGATGGACCTCTCATCATCACTCTTCCCACGTCCTCGACGATACGTGTCGATTTCTCGTCAAGGAAGCATTCGTCTATGACGTTTTTGGGTCGTCGACGACGTTCGACAGCGACGGCGAGATACTCTGCTCGGCCTTAAGTGATAAAGATGCCCATGTCTTCACGGACTGGTTGCAACTGGTTCAGGAAGTGACTCGTGCTGAACGTTCTCGGCATGACAACCTGTCGGCCGACGAGTACTCCCAGAGTCTGGCCGATATGCGAGTCTTGCAAGATCGGTTTGATTATGCTCGAAATCGCTCGTTGCATTTCAGCCGGACCATGGACTTCGGATCCAAGGAGCTGTACAGTGACTTCACGGTTCTAATTGACATTTTTCACTATGCCGGACTGGTATATGGTTACCAGGCCCTTGTCGACCCACAAGAATGTGCCGCGGCAAAGCCAGCCTGCGTCAGTGCCGTCATCAGCAGCATCGGCCAGGTCGAAAACAGTAACGCATTCCAGCACGACTTTGTCTGGCCCTTGTTCATCGTCGGCACCGAGAGCAGACATAACAGGGAGACACAAGCATTTGCAGAGACCAAATTACTGCAAGCCATGAGCTCGACCGGGTTTTCCAACTGTTACCCAGCTCTAGAGTTTCTGCGACGTTTCTGGGCCACCGATCCCACCCATGTAGCCGATTGGATGCAATTTGCTCGTCAAGAATCAAGGCAAGGCTTGAATTTCTTGGTCATATGAAAATCTCGTCAATAATAATGCAACAGCGGATGTGTGAGCAAGAAGAGCAGGCCTGAAGAAGGGTCTCTCCAACTACATGTCAACGGTCTCTTCGTCTTCCACGCCAAACAACACCCGCATCGGATCTTGGTACTCCATAAATCCCAGAGCAGGACGACTGATACCATATCCCAACAGTCGCTGTGCTTGTGGAGGCAATCGTCGAGCTTTTTCCGGGGGTACCATCAGAATTTGATTTTCTGCTGGCCGATAATATGGCTTGCACAAGAAAATTCCCACCGTTTCACGGGCTTGATCTCTGTCTTATGGTCAGCATGACCAAGCCCAAAAGTTCAGAGGAGCCTGTGACCCACGTTGTGATATTAGCACCTCCTGCGTGATAGAGGTTGCCCACAAAAATCAGAGCATCACCAGGCTCCAATTCTGCCGGGACAGCTTCGTGATCATAGGGACATCGGTCGGGTCCCCAGAGATGAGACCCAGGAATGGCGATGGTGGCTCCATTTTCTTTCGTCGTTTTAGTCAAGGCCGTCACACAGCCCAACATCATCGGCATATCACAGTTGCGAGTGTGATAGTCTCTGTCGTTCAGTCAGCACCGGTCTCGAAGGTGATTGATTATCAAGGCCCATCCTCACCCATCATCCCGATGCAGTGCTTGTTGTCTTCCCCCCGGATTGACTCGAAATCCCACCGTCGAGGATATAATGGGTTTGCTGTACACCGTTTCTTGTTTTTGCCCGTTCCAATAGGTGTATGTGGAAGAAACCATCTTGTTGGCCACATTGATGTAAGTGGGATTCATGGCGAGCTCAACACAACCGTCCGAACGGGCTAGGAGACCGGTGGCTCTTTGCGTCGTGTGTGGAAAGAATCCTGAAGGGTCGACTTTGTCCGTGTCGAAATATGGTTTGAGCTCGCCCTTGATTTGGCTAGCCAGATCCTTGGTAATTAAGTTTCCAACAATGACACCACCGTCGCGCTCAAGCACCGACACCAACAGATCAGTCGTGGTTGCCGGGTCGTTGGCATCATATCGTGCTATCGAGGGCTTTGTGTCATTGGTGGTAGGAGGCTGTTGGGGGACCTTGGTTGAGACCACGGGAGTCTCAGCAGTGTGCTCGACAGCAATCGGAGCCATGGAGATGGTTTGGAGTTGCCTGGATGTGAATATTCTTCTCGCAGTCTTGATCTGAAGAGAGAAAGGACGTTTTCTGGATCTGAATGAATCTTTCGATGTTATTCGAAGTGAAGGTTGGATCGCAATGCCAGATACGGATCGCATCGATATTGAAATAGAATCTTTGCTTTAAGGGGGAGGCGTACAGATTGACATTATACACCAAAAAAAATGGTCTGATGAGATTAAGAGTTCTCAAATCTCCTGCCTAGGTCGGAAAGAAGAATGAACGATGGAGAGACAAAGTCCTTATCGAGCCATTCGAATCAGACCCCGTATTGTAAAACGGTCTCTAGGGGTCCCTCGTGTGACTGTGGGTGACCCATCTTGTCTCTATTGTCAGCAGATAGAATAGATCAAAGTCTCCTAAGAGAGCAGGTGAGTGGAGAAGGAGAGCCCACGACTCCACAAGTCCTACCCCAGAAGATCGGGTTCATCCTCGCGTAGAAGGATTCGGGAAGACAATACCTTGTTGGGCTGGTGGATGGAGAGATTCATCAATACTCTCTTGTCACATATTCAATGACTTGGTCAGCTTGCAAGCTTTTTGCTTTACACGAAGAACGGATAACGGCACAACCAGGAACATGACAATCTAATACCATGCTGTGAAATGCTTTGTGTCCCCTTGAACATTTGTACTTCTCCATCCACCAGCCTGATCGGGCCTAGTTCTCTCCCCCGCTTCCCACCAATTATAACCTCCATCGTATTTCCTGCAGTCCTTTTCCCCCTATTTTTTTTTTTGAACACCATCTCAGGCGACATTCCTGTGATAGATAACGGATAGTCTTGCGAGCTAATGGACAGACAACCTTTTCACAACCTTTCGTTCAAGTGAATTGATAGACGAGCTCCGTGCCAATATTGACCGAACGAGTCGATTAGGTCGAGATAGAGAGGAGAAAAAGATAAGCGGGTTCTTGCGTGTAAGATGCATAGCGGCGAAAGGACAGCGAGCCCTTTGGCCACATGGCGTCCGACCTGACGCAGGTTTTATATGATCCCAGCCTTGCGCAGATGGGAGAGATGGCCAGCATCTTTTTCCTTGTGAGAGAGTAGAGAGTACATCGTTTCAGAGTCGGACTTCTCTTTTCCCAAACAACTTGATTCTCTAGACCAACATATCAAAACCGGCAGATATCAGTCCTAGTTAATACCATCCATAATGAAAGACGAAAAGGTCGGCTCCATCACCGAAGACCTCGACACCACCATCGCGGTGGAAGAATGCAAATCTATCAGCAGCGATGATGCCCTTCTCATGTCTATGGGCAAGAAGCCCGAGTTGAAGCGTGTCTACAATTTCTGGACATGTATGTTTTGTTTTCACCATGTGCCACACGGAGCGAATACCTACAATGAAAGCCCCTTCGGCTAACGGCATCTTGTTACAGTATGTGCCTACCAGATCATGATCTCCTGCAGTTGGTCGTGTCTGGTTGTCCTATACTCGACCATCTTTGACGTCGGTGGACCATTTTGTCTGGTCTGGGGCACGTAAGTCAAACCTTTCCATCCCTTCCCTGCCTGACTCTCACCATTTACCCTCTCTCGTACATTACGTTGCCATCGTTAACGACGAACTTATCCTGTAGACTCTTCGTTGCCGTCGGCCAGACCCTCCTTATGATGTCGCTGGCCGAGTACTGCACCATCTGGCCCACGGCGGGAGGGCAGCAGTATTACACACAAGCCGTGTCGACGGGCAAATTCCGACCGATCCTCTCGTACCTGGTCGGATGGGCAGTTATTGTGGGCGAGATCTCGACAGGGTCGAGCTGTGCCTTGAACAGCGCTGATATTATTGCGTCGTTTGTGGAAGTCACACATCCGGATTTCTCGTGGCATGTCAGTACTTAGTATTCTACTTCTTCTAAGCATTACTTGACTGACAGCATGGTACATATAGCGTTGGATGACATGGTTGATCTACAGTGCATTCCTGATCGGGCCTATTGTCATGAACCTGAGGCAGACGTGAGTAATCTGATTGACCCTTTCTCAGTCCACTCTCCTCCATATACGACGGCCATGGTGGTCAAGAACGCATGCATCCTCATCCGTCGAAACACGAAGGATTGCTCCTGTTTACTAATTCTGCTGAGGAAACAGATGGCTTCCAGCAATGAACCTCTTAGGCGCTTTTTGGACCATCGCCGGAGGTCTAGCATGGGCCATCGTCTTCGGAATCATGGCACCCAAACACGACGCGAGGTTCATCTTTACCAACTTCATCAATAACTCGGGCTACGCCAGTAAAGGCTGGGTGTTTATCATGTCCTTCTACAGTCCCATGTACGGCCTGTACGGGACTGATGGGATGATGCATTTGGTATGTTCACCCCTGTTTCTTTTATATTCTTTCTTTCCGCATGACCGGATCGAGGCGGGACTCTGCACCCGGACACGACGGAAGGAAGCAAGCAATGAAGATGATTGATTTGCTAATGCCGATTTATTTGGTACGAAATAGGTCGAAGAAATGCGAAACGCATCCAAAGAAGCTCCTGTAAGTACAACATACGTTTTCTCATTCTATCTATCAGGCATATAAGACAAAACGACCCTCTCACGTGGTATCTCATCGCTGACTTCTGCCTTTTCACCCGCGTCCTAGCGCGTCATGGTCTGGTCTATGATCTTCTGCAGTATCACGAGCTGGCTCGCCGCGATCCTCATGCTCTGGACAGCAGGGAATTGGGAGTCCTACATGCTCGGTACGTACAATATATATCTCTCATGCCCTCACTCGACCCCTTTTCTTTTCCCCTTTGGATGCTCTGGACGATGCGTGGTCACGACGATACGTATGTTCTGACACACATCATGTTCAATGCAGCGTCCCAACCATATATGAACTGGTGGATGGACGTCACGAACTCGGTGTACGGCGGCGGCATCTTCTGCGCCCTCGTGATGATCGGACTGAATTTCTTCATCATCGTCGGTACCAACAACGCTGGCTCCCGGCTTGCTTGGAGTATGGCTCGTGATAAAGCGTTTCCTTATTCCGAGTACTTTGCCCACGTCAGCACACGTTTCCACATCCCGCTGAGGTGCATGATTGCCATTTTGGTCGTGGATTTGGTCATTGGTGAGTCTCAGGTCTCATTTCTCTTTCTAGTCCAATCCCACTTCGAGGCCCAAGTCCATATTCGGGAATTGAATTTGCTCCTTTTCTCTGAGAAAGCTTAAGCATCAGACAAAATGAGATGAACGGCGCTGACAACAATTCCTCTTCCTCAATCTAGGCTTAATTGTCCTCGGCAGCGATCTGGCTTTCGAATCCATCATCTCGGGGGGCGGCGTGACCTTGCAAATCGGCTATGTCACGCCCATCATCGTTGTGCTCATTCGCGGTCGCAAAATCCTCCCGCCCCGTCCCCACTTTGATCTCGGCCGCTGGGGCTACCTCGTCAACATCATCAGCGTATGCTGGTCTCTGATCATCATCGCCATGTACCTGTCCCCACTGTACGTGCCCGTGACGATCGCGACGATCGACTATATGAACTGGTCGTGTTTAATTGTCGGCGCGACGATCTTGTTCCCGGGCTTTTATTGGGTCTGGCGGGCGCGGTTCAGGTATATTCAGGAAGGCAATTCCGTGTTGGCGGACAACGTGGTGTTCATTGACGGGGTGGCGGTGGACGGACGCGAGGCGCTGAGAAGGGCTGCAGTTGGCTGGTCGAACGAAGCAAAGACACCAAAAACATGCGGTGAGTGATTGTGTTAGAAACTTTGGGTTCTTTTTGTCCCGTCGAGGCGATTTGGTTCGCTTGGAATGTAAGGCGCGGGTTGTTTGAGGACGATTGTTTGATGTGACATGTTGAGAAGCGAAGCGAATCAAAGAAAAATGTATACAGAAAGGAAGATTTTGGAATCGGGTAGAGTACAACCACGTTGAAGAATAGAGGACTTGGCCAGCTGTCGTGGATGTCACTATGGTAGATCTTTCATGAAAAAAGTACTGTGAGAAGGAATTATCGGGGTCTGTCCCCATAGCTGATTCGAGATTCGAATTCGGTTCGGCCGGAAACAAAGCCTGGAGGCAAAATCATCGGCGGAAAGAAAAAGACCTGTCAATAACAGACCCAAGAGGCTAGCTCATGCGCCCGGCCCGATTCATTGGGCCCCAGTTCTCTCGCGGATTCATTTGGTACCGAACGAGTTTGCCGCGCTGCTTCTCCCGGCCGAGTTTCTCGTCGAAGACGATCTTGAGCTCTCTAGAAGCCGGGCTGTGTGCCCGTGATCGTGAGTGGTGAGATGGTGGTTCTCCGTCTTCGCCCTGGCCTTCAGATTGGGCTTGGGCTTTGGGGTTTTCACCGTCGCCGTTGGCGGAGACAGCAAAAGCCCCATTCTCCAACCTCCACAGCATTCCCTGCAGGACGGTCTTGAGGTCTTCTTTGGTCTCGCACCGACCAAGCTGCTTCGTCGCACTATCTTTGAAATCCGAAACCAACGCCCTCTCTGACCCTCGAAGTTTGGCCAGGACATTCCATCCCGGCGACGCTTGCTTGATAGCGCCTTCTCTAATCGGTGCTTTCGTGCGCATAAATTCGCGGACGATCTCCCAAAGTACACTCCAGGGAGTATTTGTCTTGATACTGCCGGGCTTGCAATGTGAACGGGTAACCCGGTAGCCGAGGCTGCGGATCGCACCGCGCATCATGTCTTCCGATGGTGTTGCGCAGTGGATTACCTTCGCTAATTGGTTAGGGACGATGAAGAATGGTGCGCTGTCGATCGTTCTCGGTGGTAGTCGTGGAATAATTTGAGGTTCCAGGTTGCTGTCGTTCTCTGCTCCCGCCAAGGTTGAATCCTCACGGGTCGATGGGTGAAGAGTGAGGTCTTCCTCCAAAGCCAACGTGAGCATTCCCTCAAGTCGGTCGGTTGTGCCATAAACGTTCTTATCTAGGGACGGCACTCGCTCCAACATTCGCTGGACGAAATGTGGATTGTGCAAAGGACCCGACCACATCGGACCAGAGAGGTGCATTTTGGAGCCGCAATGCTCGCAATTCGGCGGCGTTGAAGGCGCTTGGGCCAAGGAAAATTTGTACATGGGGTCACCATTCTTGTTGAGTAATTCTTGGTGGCGCAGCAATGATTGTGTAGTCCATGCCCCACAACCATGACCACAGTTGTATACCATCATTGTCGTTCCGGCCAGAAGTTTGACTTCCTGTTGTTGTCGGTGTACGCGAATAAACAGTCGAGCGTAAAAGTCGATGTAAAGTGACAGAAGTGGTTCGACCGCCAGCCCGTACTTAGCTGCCGACATTGCCACAGCGTGGACAATCAACCTTAATCCACCTTCATGGGAGTGTGGCCCTTTCATCGGAGTGCCTCCATATAAAGCGAAGGTCTTTTCGGGATAACCTGTGGAGGCAAAGACTCCGGCGTCTGTGCAAGTCACACATAACATTCCTCCATCCTGGAGTGCTTGAAGACTCGCGTCGAAGAATGGAGCGGCTGTACCGTAAGGATCAAGGTCGATGACATCAAATCGATGCACGTATCCTTCTCCACGTCGTGGTTGCCAATTGCCGACTCTGCTGTACATGAAAGCTCTGGCATCACCCAGATTGGAGTGAACCTTGTCTTCGACGCGGTTATGTTTGATGTTGAGTTCAATGTTCCGGACGGACAGTTCGGAGAGATCGTTGGCGACGATGTCGGTAGCGAATGGGATCTCCTTGGCATAGCGAAGGGCCCGAAGACCAGTTGCAGAGAGGGCATCGAGTATGGAGAAAGGTACGTGTTTCTTGGTAGATGTTTGTGCAGGACACGCTTCTGATCCTGGTTCTTTCTGGTTGGCATCACTTTGAGCTTGTTCACCTTCGCCATTGTGAACAAACTCGGGAGGATCCCCTTTTAGTTCCATCACCGGTAGCTCTTCGTCGGCATCCTCGGGGTCATCAGTTCTTTTGACGATTTTGTTTTCGGCTGGAATCGAGTCTCCATCTTGATCGGCCAACTGATCTGCTTTACGTTTTAGACTACTCGTTTCTTCCGACCCGTTCCCGATTTGCACCTCGGCCGGCGACTGTTGGTTTCGGTTGTGTTTTTTATTCTTTCCATGCCGGGCGTTCTTCTGATTGTACCGTCTCTCCTTTTCCAACACCGCACCTTCGCCATAGACGGTGATGGCGAGTACACTCAAGTCACGGTTGAATTGTTGAATGGGGTTGTAAAAGACTGCTTGGCTTCCCTCATCATTGTTTCTGCCCTGCTTCAATTCCTGCTGTCCATAGGGGGCCAGAACAGAGGCCGAGCCTTCATGAACGTCTCTGTATTTCTTACCATCGATTATGAGGGTCTCAGGGTGTCCGGATGAAGCCATGTTGACTCGAAATGAAGTTGTGGAGAAGTTTGACAGGAAGATGAAAGAATATTTAAGTGGACATGTTGATCGGACTTTTGTTGGCCTCTCGAAGGTGAGACCGACCCGAGGAGCACCGAGACAACGGGAAATCCTCATTACCCGTCCTCTTGCACCTCACGACAAAGGGAAGAAACACGAAAATAATCTTTTAGATTCCCAGAATTGTAGTGAGGGTGAAACCGTAAAGCCAAAGGAAACATTTGATATATCTGTGCCAAGCCCCTAGCTTCTTTTGGGAATCTACGTTTTCCGACTTGTATCAACTTGAAGTGGTAGCACCTTGTTTGAATTCATTCATTGTATGCTAAATAAGCTGAACTGATCCATGGCATTGGAGGTTCGACTATCCTTGGAAACCAAGATCAAATTGGGGCCCCGGCCCCCCTCTCCAGCCTCGTCGTCCTCGGTCCTCTGCGTGTCCTTTTGTACATGGCCCATCTAGACTGTTGACGGGCATATCATGGGATAATCGGCAGCTTCTTCTGTGAAGACGTGTCCAAGGGCCGCTGTGAACCCCCCCCCCCCAAGACCCACCTCTGAGCCGACAGTCAGTCTGCCCTTACAGAAAATCTCGAGGGCGACTCGGTCCCCGGTGGAATGATCGGTGTCGTAATTGGTGTGTCGCAATCACAAGTGTTTTCAGATGTGATCAGAATCCAAGGTTGTCACAAAGACCATAATTGTGTTGTTCAATTCTCATCAAGAAACGGCGGAAACATGGCCTTTGCATCCGGGCATACACCCTGTAGGTCTTCTGGGATCATAGTAGTCCTCATCGTCGGTCACATCGCTGTCGACCTCATCAAGTTCGGGTTTCTCATCCGGGACACCACCGTCATCCTTCTTCTCATCTCCAATTTTGTCATCCTCATCCATGGGCGCAAAGGCGTTTTTAAAGCCGCCTTTCTTGAAGCCACCCCCTCCGGTTGCCACGGTTTTCGTCGGAGCTCCCAGTTTTATCTGCATCAAGGGACCTTTCTCTTCCTTCTTTGGCTGCACTTGTTTCTGCATCTCTTTCATTTCCTTCAGTCTCTTCTTATGTTGATGGTCGTAGGAGGATTCATGAGCCTCGAATTCGTTCATGCGACTGTAGCCTTTTTGGCATAATGAACAAAAGAACGCGCTACGTGCTTGTTTCGCAGATTGGGTATTGGCCGGAGGGAGTGTGAATCCTCGCTAGAAAAATGACGGTACTAGTCAACAATGCCCAATACAGAGCGCACAAAAACACTGATTGCCACGAAGCTGCGGCGATCCATCAGTGCAACTTACCGGAGCCATCTTGAAAACGAATGCTTTAACAGGCCAAGGAGGAAGCTTTGGATGAGAGACTTTGAATATCTGATCAAATCTACTTCACGTCAATCTGAAAGCGTAGAAGGCCACTGAGAATCCTTGAGCCTCAACTGATGGCGGCAGGTACATGTCTGTACTCCACCGTAGCTGCCTCCCGCCTAGCTTCGGCCCCGCGAGAAGTTTCAGCGGCGCTTTGGCTGCTCCCAGGGTATGCGTTGTCAGATTTCTAGAACCCCCTGTCTCGGGGAGAAGGGGGGTTCTCATAAAATTTCCCTATCCCACTGATCGTCTCAGCTGATCCTTGGACAACTTCTATATGATGCGAAAGCTGTCCATGATGAGAAATTTGTCGGCCTTGAAGCAGTCTGCGTTCGCCCTCTTCCGGTGGCGGCCTCTATAGTGGTCCAACCAAAGAAAAAGCTCATGTCTCTGGCAAGTCATCCCTGCCGTCGCCATGCGCCTGATCAACGTCCGAACGATCCAGTTGGAAGAATTCCACAGCGCTCGAGTTCCCAAATATGCCATCCTTTCGCATAGATGGGAGTCCGAAGAAGTCACATTCCAGGATATGAGCGCTCCCAAAATCTTTGGCAAGAAAGGCTACGGGAAAATTCAATCTGCCTGTTGGCTTGCCCGCAACAAGGGCCTATTATATCTCTGGGTCGACACCTGTTGTATTGACAAAACCAGCTCGTCCGAACTGACGGAAGCCATCAATTCGATGTATCGATGGTATGCCGAAGCTGAAGTTTGCTTTGCCTTCCTCACAGACGTGGAAATCCACAAGCATGAAATCTCTTCCAGCGTATGGTTTACCAGAGGCTGGACGCTGCAGGAACTCATCGCACCGAAGCATGTCAGTTTTCACGATCGAAATTGGGTGTTTCTGGGGACCAAGGACGATCTTGCCGGATATCTTGCTCAGGTTACGGGGATTGATTTGGACGTGCTCGTGGGGATCCGCCGTCCGTCAAGTTGCTCAATTGCACAGCGGATGTCATGGGCCTCGAAGCGGAAAACGGAACGTCTCGAGGACCGGGCATACAGTCTTTTGGGAATTTTCAACGTCAGCATGCCCATGTTGTATGGCGAAGGCGAACGATCTTTCACCCGTTTGCAAGAAGAAATCATCAAGCACTCTGACGACCATTCCATATTTGCCTGGGATCGCGGATTGAAGGGATATTTCGCCGGCCACAGTGGTCTTTTGGCGACGTCACCGTCGCAATTCTCCATGTGTCAAAATGTGGTGCGTTCTTCGAAAGGTCTGGTCAGTACCGGGGGGTTCTCCATCACCAATGTGGGATTGTCCATTCAGTTGATCACCATGCCTTGGGGGATGGAAACCTATCTTTCAGTCCTCAATTGCACGCTGAAAGGCTATCCGGAGCACCGACTCGGTATTTTTCTCGAGCGACTGTCTTCTTCGCAGGACGAAGAACAATTTGCGCGGGTACAATATGATGGAGCCACTGTTCAGCCCATACCGGTGGAGATGGTGCTGAAAGATTCCCAACGTCGAACCCGACGCGTCCACGTTCGACAGACCATCATTGATGCTCCTCTTCGTCGGTGGCACGGATTTCGACTCCATGACCTCGACTTACCGGGATACACCGCAGAGGAACTCCTGCAGATGAGCCTTCATTTCAGAGACTCCTTACGTCCCATGACTCGATACAGCCCGGAGGAAATCCATTGGGCCAAAAATCTTTCTCCTCATGGATTCGCCGGCCTCCCTCGAAGGCCTGTTTTCTTTGGGATGCCACGGGGTCGAGGCACCGTGGCAATCATCTATATCCCCCCACAGCGGCAGGACAAAAACGGGGAACGGATCTGTTGGATCAAATTCGGCTTCGATCAAGAATTCTCGCCTATGTGCATATTTGGCCGGAGACGGTCGCTGTGGGGCGGAAACGCCGCCCATCTGGCCGTGGACGCCGAGTCTTTTGCGGCAGCTGAGAGGTCTCCCGGCGAACACGCGCTGCTATTCAGGAACGATTGGATTGTGAAAAACTCGAGTTGTGTCAACACCAAGGACATTGCAGCGCTTTGGCGAAGTCGAGATTTTTGCATCCTTCGGGGACACAGGGACCGAGGACTCGATGCGAAAATCCCATTTTTGAAGGTTCGTATCTCGATAAAATTGGAAGGGATCCCAGCAGATTATGCCCCCGATATCAGACCGCCGGACTCGTTGGTGGCAGGCATGAACGTTTGGACGATTAATGTCAGTTCTTGGAAAGATCCGAAGGGAAACGAGGGAGTGAAAACCGCGTTGGGAGCGTCGGAGTTCGTCTTACGGTCTTTGGATATGTTTGCTTGAGCGACGATTGGTGTACAGAACGGTATATTACATTGTTGATGTCGTTACGAATATAGCTTTGGCATGCGGACAAGCACCGATTCCCCTTTTTGGATCCTGCCCGACTTATTACATAATCGCCCACGCGGTCTCGTGGTAATCACGTTGACACGTATTGGTCAATTCAGTACTCGTCAATTTCCCCAGACTCGCGGCTTACGTCGTGTATGAACAATTTCGGTGTTGTGGTTCAGATTTCATCAACATGCTTGCTCCAAACCCTTCAACCATGCTACTATAGCGACAGCCTGCTCGCAAACCCCTTGATGTTTCCCACTCCTTCAATACCTCTACCATCCATAGAGACATTTCCTCCGCCATGTCCGCTCCCAAAACCGACCTTCCCCCTCTCACCACCGGCGACACCATGCACGAAGTCGAACCCGGCCCCGTCGATGAGAACGACAACATGGACTTCGATCCGGAAAAACCAAGAGGCCCATCGTCTTCCTCGACCAATTTCCTCGGCCTCACGCCCTCGACGACCCAATACATTCTATCCTCCCTGCAAAGGTACTCCACGCTCCCGCCTACACTGTACTTCGCCATGCACTACACGAACACCGCCCTCATCCCGCTCGCAACCCGCAACGTCGCCGAAGCCGACAAATACCTCCTCCTCACCCGACCATACTATCAGACCTTCCCACTCGAGGGGCTCGTGATCTTTGCACCGATTCTCACGCACGTCGTTAGCGGCATCGCTCTCCGCATATACAGGCGACGGCTAGCCGCGCGGCGTCACGGTGCCGAAACGCACGCGCAGCGGAAGGAGATGCCCTGGCCGAAAGTCTCGGCGATCTCTGCACTGGGCTTCGCCCTGTATCCGATGTTCGTGGCGCATGTGCTGACGATGCGAATCATTCCGAAAAAGGTCGAGGGGAACTCTGCGGGCGTGGGACTGCGTTATTTTGCGCACGGCATCGCGCATACTCCCGTCATCGCGAATGCCGGTTATGCGGTATTCGTGTCGATCGCGAGCTGGCATTTCGTGACGGGCGCGGCCAAGTTTCTGAGGGTCTCGCGCGAGTATATTACGGAGCCAGGACAGACGGGGGCCGTGAAGAGGAAATGGAGAGCCAGAATGATCAATGCGTTGGCTGCGACGGTGGCTGCTGTGTGGGTTGCGGGGGGATTGGGTGTTGTGGGCCGCGCTGGTAAGGGCGTCGGTTGGGAGGCTAGTAGTTGGGACAAGATCTATAAAACTGTGCCTCTGCTCGGCAAAATGTTCTGATGGCATTGAGGTTGTAATGTCACTTTATCGCGAATTTGCCAGGCTGCTGTGCTTGGACGGGACTGAGCGAAAGAGCCGTGGTTTTGATAGATTCCAGATCGACATAGGCGACAGGCCCACTCATCTTCTTGTATGCAAGAAAAAGATGGAAATCTTCTAAATGTCTTTGGCATTCGATTCGATTGGAATCCTATGAATTAAATAAGAATACAGGTTGTCTCCCTCATGCTCCAGACGACGACATTCCTGCCCCCCCCCCCTCCCCTCCCCCAATTCCCATGCAATGTCACACCAATCAATACGTGAAAGGCTTCGGATAGATAAAAGTTGGTGATTTCAATTAAGGGCCAAGGAAAGCTGACGGACAAGTGACGTTGCAGTCCGCTGTGAACAACACGAGGCAGAGCCGACATTGGGCTAATCCGATGCAGGATCCCATGGCATTCAGGAGGCCGTCTCTGTCGACGTGGAGCGGCCGATACCCTATTGCGGTTGGATGCGAGGCTGTGAAGTTGGCCAACATCATTAATTTGGATTTCTCGCTACCGACAATTAGACATTGCGTGGAATCCGAAAAGTTAGTGTCTTCATCGGACAAGCACATGTCTTTGGACAAAAAATGAAATCTTCCTCAGAAAGAGCGATAGGTATTCGTTTCAAAGTGTCACTAATCCAACTGATGTTCCAGGGTGATTTAATATCACGAGATCGGAATGCGAAAAGTCCGTCCAAGCGTCATGTACTGAGTGTGAGCAAAACGTTCAGAAGTATACTTGGCCGGCCCGGTTTTGAATAGGCGGATGAAAGGACGACATCTTTTCCTTGGCGCTCTCTTCCGCAGCTTGGTGAGCCTAGTTGATGACGGCAATTTGATGTGCTTTAGGCGGTATCTGTCAAAGCTAGGCGATGGGCCATAGTTGATGCCTCTGTACTTGAGGCCGCTGCCAACTCTGGCCTCCGAACAGAAGCCGGAACAAATTCTGTGAAGGTTAATTCCATATTAGGCCACGTCAGAGTCAGTTCCTGGATATTCGGCGTGGCCGTGAAGAAAGCAGACAAAAATGCGGTGAGAGCTGCGTGAGGCGTTTCGCCAGACGGAGTCTTCAGCACCCGGAGGCTGTCATTTGGGCAAATTCCAAAGAAGAAAGGTACAGATCAGATATGGGACAAGTCGGGGAAAAGCCGAAGCAATTGTTGAATTGTGGGTGTTTGAGACAGGTGCAAGGTGTGACTCTCGCTGGTCCAGAAGCAACAGTGAGAAGTAATTCCAAGTCGATCGGATGTAAACCTCAACCTGGAGGGGCCAACATTCTAATGGGCGGTCCAAAAAGGGAAATCTCAGATCATAAGAGGAGTCAAAGAAGCGGCCACAGAGTTTTCAGGGTGCCCGGAGAGTGACGAAAGAGACCTCATGGGAACATTGGAAATTCTGCCGCGACAGCCGCGAAATCTAGAGGAAACTGTCCAAAATCGTCGTCAGTGGCAGATGCGAGCAGCAACACAACCGAGAAAGTTGCATGAAAAAAGGGATAGGCGACCCATCGCGTAGGATTGCAAGATACAGCGTCCAAGGAGGCACTTTGGTCGGCTGTCAACATCAACCTGACTTATGTCATGGTGAAAGCCTCTCGGATCAGTTAGGTGGAATATTTCCAAACGATGCAGCCCGTATCGACCAACCCGCCCCAAACCAGGATCCTGGTCTGGTATGGAGAATGATATTGAGTGGAAAGAATGAGTAGCTTCGGCATAGGAAATACCGGCCCTCGCGGATTCCTTGATCCAGTCGGTTTGTTCCGTGTTGGAGAGAGTTTTCTCTTGAATTAGCACACGTGTAGATTTTCAAACTCCTCCGTAACGTAGACATCTTGAGAGGTGACTATCCGACGGCTAGACAATAGGGATCCGAGGTGAGGAGGATGTGCCATTAAAGACATCCCTGACTAGACAGAGTTCTCGCATAGGGGCGGTTCAAGCAGTAGATCTGTCATATGGTAGATCTGGGATGGCAGTTGGGATGTAGGCAATGTCAAACACACGGAGGCGGTACGGTCGACAGGGGACCTGATACAAGGGCAACACGAGGTGAGACAGGCCGCCATTTTCCAGTGAGTTAACAGAATGTTCGATCATCGATGATATTTTCGGAAGGTTCTCGAGATTGAGTAAGTCCGGCTGAGATAGAGACGGTGCGACCGCAGGAGGTCCTGAATGCATTTGCTATCAAGGTGTCGTCAGAGGTGCTTTGTAAAGAGATCGGAATTGCAGAGATCGATAAACAGATCAATGCAAAGCCAGAGCATGCTAAGGGCGGAGAGACTAGAGATGATGGGAGGAGTCGCTGGCGATGGAAGAGGATAGTGAGATGTGAAAATGTGAGTTGAAGGAGCCACCACTCCACTCGATGTAGCGATTGTCCAGAAGGGTCTGAGATGCTGAGACAAATCGAGCGACAAGCGTATCACCACACTACCGCCACTTCTTCCTCAAACATGAGCCTGTGTACCACCACGATAGCGTCCTTCTCAAATAATATTCACGGTTGTATAGTGCAACAAATGTCAGTGGTGTCTCTAAGGTCTATTGTCGTCCTTGCTTCTCCCGTCAAAGGGGAACCTCCTATCCCATACGAGCCTGTCATCCGCTGCCCAAGCGACATCGCCCCCTATTAGAGAATTTCAGGAAAACACAGACCGGAACTGCACTTCAAGGAATACCATCTCGCATTACGCAATGTACATGGGGGTTCCTTTGAAGCCCGAAACTAAGGAATCGACGACGTTTGTGGCCACATAATTAGCAGTCACCCTGGGTAATGACACAATCCACCGGATCCGGCCCCAAACTCGGGAAAAAACTGCGCCAATACACAGGTCCAGAATGTTTTTACTCCAAAGTCTCTTTGTCCATTTACACCCTCAAGAGCTTCGCTGCGTAGTTGGTGATGGTGTCAACCTGAGGGAAGCTCATCTCTTCCAGCTTCTGTGCGTACGGCGTAGGTACTTCCGCACCCGTGACACGTACAGGAGGTGCGTGGAAGTAGTCAAAACCGTATTCCACCCCCAATGCGAGAATCTCCGAGGCCACGCCAAAAGCTGGGAAACCTGACTCTACAGCCATGAGGTGACCTGTCTTCTTTACTGATGTGATAATGGCCTCCACATCCATGGGCTTGATTGACCGCAAGTTGATGACCTCAGCTTCAACGCCATAGTTCTTCTTCAGCAGTTCCGCCGCTTCAAGCGATTGACCCACACAGCGTGAGAGCGTCACGATAGTCAAATCTTGGCCAGGCCGCTCAATCTTGGCCTTACCAAAGGGCAGGACGAAATCGCTCTTTTGCGCGTCGGCACTCATTGGGAAAGCTTGGCCGTAAAGGAGTCTGTCGGATGTCAGCTGGATTCTTCATGACCAATAGAGCGCATACTCATTCTCCAATACCACCACGGGGTTGGGATCGCGGATTGCGGCCTTCAACAGACCTTTAGCATCTTCGGCACTCCAGGGAGCGACCACTTTCAAGCCGGGGATGCTCCCATACCAGGCCGAGTAGTCTTGTGAATGTTGTGCGGCAACACCAGCGGCAAAACCATTGGGACCTCGGAAGACAATAGGGCAGGGCTGAATACCGCCGGACATGTAATGCGTCTTGGCAGCAGAGTTGACGATTTGATCGATGGCCTGCATGGAGAAGTTGAACGTCATGAATCTAAGCCATTGGTGAGCAATGTGTCCCGCAACCAAGATGAAGTGCTGTCCAGGAGAGAACACAAGCACGCGGAGAGCCATACTCGCAAACAGGGTGTAAGCCGGCGAGAGCAGCACCCACCGCCAATCCGCAGAAGCCAGATTCGGTGATAGGAGTATCAATGACCCTTTTGGGTCCGAATCGGTCCAGGAGCCCTTTTGTGACTTTATATGCGCCTATGATCCCGGAATCAGATTATGATTCCAGCTGGCAGAATGCTTGAACGACCAACCATTGTATTGAGCAACTTCTTCTCCTAAGATGAAAACCTTTTCATCCTGCTCCAATTCTTCCGCAAGAGCTTCATTGAGCGCGTCTCGGACAGTGAAGGTTTGGTTTGATTCCGAAGCATATCCACGAACGGCTGGCAGCGTCACCGGTGCGAATCTGTGAAGTGATGGACGTACACATGAAGGGATCGTGGTCCGTTGTGAAAGGAGCCTCGATGCCGGCCTGAAGAGTCTTGACGCCGACATGATCACTCCGGGGAGAGCAGACCGGGGGAGAGATGGCAGAAAAACCTGGTCAAAAACTCGTCTCCGCACCTCCTCCGAAGGAATGGCTTGGAGTTGAACAGAAGGTAGACAATGAAAAAAGTTGTCCAGGACAAAGTGAGAGACCGCGGGTGGAGTTTGCGTATGAAATCTAAAGCTCATCGGGGTTGGGAAGCTCACCCGGCGTTGCCAGATTGGCGCTGCCATCTTCGGTCGCCGCTTGGAAGCCCCCGAACAAAGCGGTTCGGGAACCAAAACACCCTGGGAGCTTCGCCTTCTTGGCATGTTTGTCTCTGGCTCATGAACTTGTTACAATACAGTATTCAGACTGACCTCACCTGCGCATTCAGGACATTTGGAGCATGCTGGAAGAGTGAGTGGACTCTCTTCATCACCCTTTCGGGCACCCAAAACCTATTTATCCATCAAGATGCTGTCAAACGTATGGCTGGCTTCTGCTCTGTTGGCATCCTCCGTGTTCGCGACGCAGCCAACCGCTCCTGAACCTCAAGCAGCACCTCTACGCGACCTCCAATTCGGCCAGCTCAATTTCCTCCACACGACCGACACTCATGGCTGGCATGCCGGACATTTGCTTGAACCTTCCTTCAGTGCCGATTGGGGTGACTACGTGGATTTTGCGGATCGGTTGAGGGAGAAGCTCGAGGCAGAAGGACGAGATCTCTTGATCGTTGACACTGGGGATCGTATTGAGGGCAATGGGCTGTATGATGCCTCGGTGCCCAAGGGGTTATTCACATTCGATATCTTCCGAGAACAGCACATGGACATCATCTGTTCGGGGAACCATGAACTCTACCAACAAAACTCCTCCGAGAATGAATATTTCATTACTGCTCCTGCATATAGCGAAAGTTATCTAGCCTCCAATCTCGACATGCACGATCCAAATACCGGAGAGTGGGTGCCCCTCGCACCAAGATACAAGAAATTTACCACCAGGATGCAAGGGATTCGGATCATGGCATTTGGATTTATATACAATTTCGAGCAAAATTATAACAACACTATCGTTCGGAAAGTGGAGAAAACAATCCAAGAACCATGGTTCCAAGAGGCGATCCGTGATCGAGACATTGACTTGTTTGTGGTCATCGGACATTCAGCTGTTCAGTCTGAAGAATTCGATATGATTTTCAAAGCGATTCGATCGGTTCAGTGGGATACGCCTATTCAATTTTTCGGTGGCCATTACCATATCCGAGACTACCGCAGATTTGATGGCAAATCCTATGGATTGGCCAGTGGCCGCTTCATGGAGACCATCGGGTTTCAATCTATCAGTGGTCTCCCATCAAACACGAGCCGGTCCTCTTCCCCGACATTTTTCAGAAGATATATTGACAACAACCTGTATTCGCTTTATCATCATTCTGGCCACAACTCCTCGACTTTCCATTCCGACCGGGGTCGAAATATTAGCAAAGCCATTCAAGAAGCTCGGAGAGCGCTGGATTTGGATCAAATCTTCGGTTGTTCGAAGAGAGACCTCTGGATGAGTCGTGCCAAATACCCGAGCAACAGTAGCATCTTCAGCTGGCTGGAAGATGAGGTTTTCCCGGGTATCGTCAGTGATACCAGACGCGCAGACAAGCCACGATTGGTGATCTCCAATACCGGAGCAATTCGCTTCGACATCTTTCAAGGCGCCTTCACCAAAGATTCCACCTTCATTGTGTGTCCCTTCACGAGTGGATTCCACCATCTCAAAGACGTGCCCTATGACAGAGCCAAGAATCTCATTTCCTTGTTGAACAGAGGCGGCGAAATTTTCGAAAATTTTGATCCATCACTGGCATTGTGGAAACTTGCTCCAGTACAGCAAATGGGCATCCTCGAAGATATCGTTGTCACAGAGCAACCAATACCCATCCACGGCCAAAATCAGATCTCAATAACCAACGAAAGACCTCTGGCACCAGGCTATACTACCGTCGACGACGCAGGTGATGATGGCGACGACACCGTGCATTCGCCGATATCGTTTTACCGTGTTCCGAACTGCATCCAATCGACCATCAACCCGGCGAATATTGACCTCGAGGATGCCGTCGTTGACGTGGTCTTCAACGAGTACATTCAACCGTGGGTCATCCTAGGCCTAAAATTCTTAGGCCTGGAGTACTCAGACGACGATGTGGATAAGTATATCCCTGATGAGAATATGACAACATTGATTGCCAAATGGGTCAGCCAGAATTGGCCTAATGAATGTTAGATGTTTGACCTGGATGACATTATCTTCATACAGTCACGACCAGGCTAATACCGCTTTCCGCGTTGTGCACTTTTTTTTTTTTTTTTTTCCGGGGGACCAACGCCTGCTACATGTGGTCTAGAATCATCCTCTGGTTACACGCCGTGCGGGATGTATTGCTGCACAGTCTCGGTTCCTCATGCCATGTGAGCACAACTGTCGTCCGTAGAGTTCGGGGTCCAGGGAAGAGGGAGAGACATTGCAACCAGTATTTCCTGACGAGCCATTCATCATCCATATATATATGGCCGACAATGGTCTCGTCTCGATCAAATACACGTATCGATATAAATGTCATGACATGTCTTTCCGCCTGTCTTTCTCCCCATCAATTCAAATGCTCATCCCAAATCATGGCCCAAGTTGGTACGCCCTCGCCTCCCTCCTGCGGCCAGCCCTTAGCGTTCACCCTACCTTTCCCAATCACAACTTCCTCACAGACCTTGAATCCCATATCTTCATATTCTTTCTTGGCCGATTCGCTCGCCGTCTCTAAATATACAGGCACCTCCTCGTCCTTGGCTTTCTTCAAAAACACGTCCACGCACGCCTTCATGGCCGCAAAACTCTGTTTTGGGTCGACGTCCGGATCTCGTGCGATGATGGCAAGATGGTAGAACGGACGGGTCTCGAAATCAATGTCCTTGTTGAAGTCGGTTGGGTAGGGGTCCTCAGAAGGGGCACCAGAGGATTGGCTGGGCGCCGCGGGCTGGTCGTAGCTATGCGGACCTTGGTCCGGGAGGGACAGATATTGGGCCTTGAGCTTGCGAGCGGTGCTCCGCCATTCTTGCAGGATTGGTCCAGGGTTTCGACGTGCTTGCGAGGGGGGGATACCGCAGAAGTCAGGGGGTTCCCACAGAGCCGCAGCGGTGAAATCGCCGGACTCTACGAGCACAATGTTACTTTTGGCAGCAGCCGTGATGCCCAGAGTGAAGTGTTGGGTCAGCCGTTCAGTGGTCATTACATCGGACGGGTTGGAGGTGGGGGGAGTCTTGTCGATCTCGGTGATGAAGGCCGTGGTGAGAGGGGTCGTCAGATAGGAGCGGGAGAGGAGCGAGATGAAGGCGTCGAGGAAGGCTTTGTCCGGAGACGTCGTGGTGGTGGTTGCTGTGGACATGGTGGGCGAACGTAGCAGTTGACCGTGCTCAATGAGCTTCTCGACGAGGGCAGGGAAGACCGAAACTATCTAGTGAATGAGTGAGCAGACTCTGGCTGGGATGGTGAACGCCTGATCTTATATCGACGTAAGCCAATTGGATTGCATTTGCTACCCGGTCATGTGCCAGGCTCTGAGCTGGGAGAAGGAAGAGAACCGAAAAGTGTTAGCAGTTGGCAGAGAGGGGTTAAGGGCTGTTCCAAGGCTGCGTTTGAACACAGGCTTCTCCTAGAACGAGTGGGCTGTCCCTGTAGATCTCTCATCGTGCTATTGCACTCTATCTTTGGCATATGCGGAGGAACCAAAGGGGCCCAAGAAAGCAGCCTCACCGGCGTTAAAACGCGGGGCAGCGGGGGGATGAAGAGCTGAGAACTGAGCAGCTGGACGGAGTCGCATTGCCTGGGCCCTTTCTAGCTTCGGACCTTTTTTCAACTGCTCCATCAGACGTCAGCCCAATCATTTCTCTTTGGTTGTAACAAGTCTCAGAGCTCCCTCGTTGGTCCAGAAAGGAGATTCATTCGTCAAAACCTGAGTTCCTCCGAGTTGCGGTTATTGTCCGGTTCTCGCCCTACCGAGGTTCCGATTATCGATAAGGATTAGGGGGCATTTCTAGCTCTTCAGTATAAAATGAGGTCCCTTCGCCGACTCAGACACCGTCATTGTACACTAAATTCCTCCTTTCTTCGTCCAGTCTGCCCTTGAATCCCCGGTCGACTCCAAAATGTCGGCCAAGGACGAGCGGAAAACAGCTCTCATTACCGGATGTGCATCTGGAGGCATAGGCCACGCTCTCGCCCTCGCTCTTCATGCGCGTGGGCTGCGTGTATTTGCAACGGCTCGCTCGACGGAGCAGTTAACCACCTTGTCAGAGAAGGGTATCGAGACTCTGCCATTAGTGGTGGATAATGACGAATCCATCCTCGCCTGCCGCGCTTCGATCGAGAAATTGACTGCCGGTCGTGGTCTTGACTATCTGAGTAAGTACCTGCTTCGGAGATGCAATGGTTCTCCGCTGACGACAAGGGCGTATTAGTAAACAACGCCGGTGTGTCGTATATCATGCCAGCTCTCGATATCAATATTGAAGATGCCAAAAAGATCTTCGACGTCAATCTATTCGCCATCATGCGCCTTTGTCAAGTCTTCTTCTCACCTCTCCTCGTCCAAGCCAAGGGCACAATCGTCATGATAGGCAGTGTGGCTGGTGTAGTTCCATATGTCTTTGGTGCGGGATACAACGCTTCCAAGGCAGCCTTGCGCGCATATGCCGATACTTTGCGAGTCGAAGTTGCTCCTTTCGGCGTCAAAGTCATCACCGTTGTCACTGGCGGCGTCAAGTCCAGGATCGCGGATCATAAAGCCCGAGTTTTACCGGAAAACAGCTGGTACGCTCCTGCGGAGGAAGGCTATATCCGACGCCAAACGCATTCACAAGAAGGCGCCATGCCAAATGAAGCATACGCCGAGAGTGTCGTCAGACAGATCCTTCCAGGAGCTGGACCGTGGCCTTGGAGATGGCTATTGAGTGATGCCAGGAAAAGGTGGATTTGGGAGGGCCACAAGAGCTGGGTTGTCTATTACTTATTTGGTGGGTATACGTGGAACGGTATTTTCGATTGGTATTTTACCCGGCTGTTCCAGCTATGGAAACTCAAGGGGAAGGGGAAGTCAACTTGAATTACGACGACTGGAAAATCTCTTCAAGCGGAATGATACGGGCAATCAACTCCAAGCCGAAGGAGCATTCCTTTGTCACATCGTTCACTTCATCAACTCTCGCAGAAGCACGTCCATCTCGCCAAGATCAAGACTCCAAAAAACTAGAGTCCCGTTAGAGCAATGTTACTTGAAAATCAGAATTCCTGTCCACAATCCTCTCCAACTCCGGACAAACTGGCACTAGGCCAGCATGCATAACGGTTGACGACTGCCTTACCTAGCAACCGACGACCGTTCCATAGACACCAATTTTCGATTGACCGACGGCGAACCTCCGATCCAATTCCGGAGAAAAGCTTTGAGCCTTCACTTACAACCTTACAGGACCACCTGGCATCTTCTGATAAAAGGCGTTTGCTCTTATTGTACGGCGTTTTTCCACAAAACTGTTTGCTATTGAGAAACATAGCCAGGACAGCAGAGTCAGCGACAGCCTTGTCTTGGCATGGATACGTACAAGGCTTCTGCAGTCTACATAGCCCATCAAGTCTCGGCCATTTCAGCACAAAAACCGATATTTACCCTCAAAATAGACTCCCCTCGACACTGTGTTGACTCGATTCTATATCATCAATCAACCCCTGGCCAGTGAAACATCCGCCAGCCCTGAGAGGCCGGGAGTAGGCCACCTGGAGATTTCTTGTTCCAAGGATTGGACCACAGCCATCCGGCTTCCCCAGCGTTTGGATCGGGCTCGGGGCATGTTTACGAAATAGCTAAAGGCGTTTGGCAAGGGTCCATGCTATCGCACATGATGCACCAATCTAGACGGACGAATACGTTTTTGATACATGTCCCGGCCGAGAGCGACGGTCTATTGGATCTGGAAGCCTGATTTTTACACAAAGACGGCTATAGTGCAATATCCCAATCAGTGAAATCAATGCTGGGGCCGCAATTGGGTCGTGGTTGACTGAACAGAGATTCTTCTCAAAACGCTATGGTTGTGAGCCTATCGTTTTTTTGCTCTTCGAAACGACACATCCGTTTCGGGCGACAACTGCATTCATCGCCCTTGCACAAGGCGACGATCGCCGAGACCATTTGAAGGCATACATATGAATGCCATTTCTCAAATGAACGTCGAAGACTCAAAAGCATTTTCACTCAAATCGCCATGTCTTCTCAAGGCACACCATCCTCGTGACTAGTGCCACAGGCACCCAAGGCACAAGTATCATCAAGGGATTCCTTTCGACCTCAAAGTCCGGCAGTTTATCAGTCTCATTAACTATTCATACCTCTGTCAGGGACAACCACTCAGAAAAATCTTAATCCCTCCTCGCTCTTGACCCGAGCAGAGTCATACTCTTCCAAAGAGACTTCGACGATCCTCCATCTCTCTCTCTGTCTTCCTGAACGTCAGCCCACACTCCAATGACCCAAAAGCAGAATGCCGCCACGCCCGCAACATCCTCTCTGTCTCTCTCCGTACCGGCGTCAAGCATGTAATCCTCGTTTCTGTCACCGCGGGAGATCAGTATTCCAACGTCAAGAACTCCCCCCCGGGTCGGATGGCGAAATACTACACAGATAAATCCGCCACTGCGAACATGGTCAAAGAGCCATTCCCAACTCCGGAAGGATATACGTACACCATTCTTCGACCAGCGACATGCTTGTCAAACTTCCTCCCACCAGGCCAAACAGCCATGTACCCAACCCTCGCGGCGCAGGAACCCTTAATCCCAACAGCTCACAAACCATCATTGCAACTATCATATCTCGACCCCGCCGATATAGACTGCCTCGTTGCACGCAGTATCTCCAACCCAACTGACTTCGCCAATAAAACTGTCCCCTTCGCAAGCATCAACATGACAATGTTCGACATCGCGGCCGCATATGGCTCCGCAAGGATCACTGCATCGCGGTGAGGAAGTTTGATGTAACATTATCCATCAATGCATAAAATTTATATAACTTATTGACCTCTTGTTTGAAGAACGAAATTAAGGGAGTGGTCGTTTCAACTTTCTCAGCCTTGTCGATCAATTCGGAGTACCAATCTGCTCTCGTTCGGATAAAAAGGCAAAGAACCAGTTTCATTCTCATTCGTAGTCAGGGTTTCTTTTCCTGGCCCAACACTACGTTTCTACTTTTATCTCAATGTTTGGATTCTCCTTTTCAATTTCTGTTGAACACTCGATTCACACTCCTTCATCCACCAAATAAAAAGGCCATCCCCACGGTCACGTTGATAAGCCCAGTGCAGTCTCGAGCCGTTGTAGGTCACATTGAAAGAATGTATCAACAGCGCCCAGCTCAATTTGTAGGCCTCGGCTGTGTCCAAATCGTCGACGAGAGGGTGATCCTCGTTCTGGAAAAGCTGACTGCGACCAAAGGGATTAGCGTCCTTCTCAGCATCTGCCTCCAGGCGGACAAGTAGTTTGACGGTTACGACTTTGCGATTGTCCGCAGCACGGGTCAATCTGATGGTCTCACACCCAAAATATGTATTGATGTACAGGGCGGAATTCTACTTCCACGCTTTCCAGACCCGAAATGCCGACTTTTATAGAAGTTGCTGCCAGTTTTGATATACACAATAGGCATCGTTGTCTATCGCCATTCAAGATATAATACATCATGGAAATTGGTCCCTGACTCATGCCAACACTCGAATCAGGCCGCCAGTCATTCGGCAACGGCAAAAGGGACCAAACTGTGCTTCTTGAAGATGCCCAGCTATCATGCGTTCATAGAAGATAGTGATTTGTATCTCGACCCGTCGGTGTCGTCCTGTTCGACAATGGAACATCCACTATGGGTTGGCTCAGCTTTCCCCATCTCCTTAGGTTCCGGAGCAGATTGCAAAGAATTCAGAGGCCCATCGTCAATTTTGTACAAAGCATTTTCGTTCTCTTTGGCTTTGGCAAAATGGGCGATGTTCTTAGCACGTTGCTTTTCTCGAAAATCTTTCCAAAAAGCTTCGTCCTCATCGAGCATCCTCACCACTGCATCGACCATGACTCTTCTGAGCTTACTGTCGAATAGTTTGGGGAATGAAGGCTGTTTTGAAGGAGTAGGCAGATGCTCGGATTGCTCTCGCTTTGCTTGATCCAATGCTTCCAGATCGTTCCATGCAAGGCTGATGAATCGGTCTATCGTCTTCCTCAGTTCCAGCATAATTCGTGCACTTTGACCCGATATCAACCCGGGTAGCGAATCGTCTTGTATGGAAAACGCTAGGGAGAGCCATTCATTGAGTATGAGTCTGGGATGGGGCCCCAGCGAGACGCCCGAACAGAACAAGACAGCCATCAGAGGTGTCACCATGGATGTGTGCTCAAGCCAAACGAACTCGGTGAGATCCGATGATCCTGATGCTGCGTGTTTCCATAGATATGCCATTAAGCGGCCAGGAGAGCGGTATTGTCGTTTTAATTTGCGCGCTGACGGAGTCAACTCCTCGTTCACGCTGCTTGGTGAGAGGAGGCCTCGGAGATTTCGATTATCCAAGGACCAAGCGGTCGTTCTTTTTGATTTGGGCTCCCCACGCCAGGCGGCCAATTCTGGCGTCACAGTATTCACGGCAATCGCTTTCACAAGCGTCATGTTGTTACAGTTCCAATTCAATGATTCGGGCAAAAGCTCGAATACACTTTTCCCAAGCTGGACACTGGGCAGCAATCCGGCCTCTGCCAAAACCGTGTGAACAGCCTGGCTCGTTATCATCATATCGAGAAAAGAACGATGTTGAATGAGCTTTTTCTCACGCAAAAACTGCATATGAGAGATGTCACCCGCTTGATACGCGTTATGATACTCCCGAAAAGCCTCAACCACCGTGACATCCAAGAATCAGCATGGGCTCAAGGCAGCCGAAAAGAGCGCCGAGCAAGATACCTTTGCCCAAGGCTGGATGCAGCCCAAATCGGGAGAGAAACTGCCCCAAACCCGTGAGTTCTTCATTTTTGGTTAATACGCCCAGGGTTTGCAATGACTTGAGAGCGCGTTTCACATTCTGTGGGCTCGGTGGTTCGATCGTGTCGTTCAAGAATCTAGTTAGATCAATTTTCTGCGGTTGCGTCTTGAGTTGCAAAGCGAATTCCACCAGGTCGTTCATTTTGATCTTGGGACTACCCATGGTTCGAAATGACTCGTACCGTTCTTTCGAAAAGAGGGCATAATAATGACCGTTTCGAACACGTCCCGCTCGGCCTCGTCGCTGGATGGAATTTGTTTTGGAGATCCAACGATATGGCAAACTTCTTTTGAGTGTAACAGGATCCCACAATGAGCTTCGCGCTTTACCGGTGTCCACGACATACTTTACATCAGGCAATGTCACAGAAGTTTCGGCAATGTTTGTGGCCAGTATGATCCTTCTACAGCTCGGTGGTATAGGATCATAAACGCCATAGTTTGAAGCGCGAAGTTGAGAATGAAGTTTGAAAAGCCTGAATTGCTGATTGTTGTTAAAATTGATGCCAAGCGGATCCACCTGTGTCAGAAGATCCCAGACTGTGTCGATGTCCGCTTTTCCAGGGAGAAAAACTAACAAGTCACCTTGAGGCTTGCTCTTTACGATGTGAGCTATCACTGCGGCAACGAGTCCAGTGTATTGCCCGGCGGTCTCGTCGGAAGAAGACGAGTCTGTATCTTGGACAGATAACATGCCTGGTAGGGAGGTTTCGTCTGTTCTTATGAAATCGGACGCTGAATTTGCCTGATGGGTAGAAAATTGCATCTCGCGTTCAATATAAGAAGCGCTGGATATCCTCGGGTTCTTGCCTTGCAGCAAAGTCTGCGCAGTGGGATGCAAACTGCCGGCCTGTGAAATTTCGGACAAGATATCGGGCAAGTAGTAAGTCTCAACGTGGGCGCTGGATCCTTCTGCCTCAAAACACGCAACCCGAAGGGCGGTGCCTTCGCTCGTGGGCTCCTTGAAATAGTCAATAAACATTCCTGCGTCAATTGTGGCACTCATGAGGATGATTTTAGGGAAATTCTGACCAGTCGCCTTTGCCTCCCGAGCGGCGTTCCGGAGAAGCGTCAACACCAAATCAATTTGGATGTCCCTTTCGTGGACTTCGTCCACTATGATGTGAGAGTGGTATTTTAAGGTCCCCTGCGGATCACTGATCAACCGGTTGAGAAGGATTCCCGTGGTACAGTACACAATGCTGCCTAGGCGATTGGGGGACCAATTTTGATCGCGAATGTGAAAGCCGACACTGTTTCTCAGCCTTTCGCGACGTTCATAGGCCACCCTGTGGGCCACGGACGTAGCTGCAAAACGCCGAGGCTGTGTACAGACAATATTGGTGGATGGTCCATTACCAGACATTATTTGGTCATCGAGAATGATCTGAGGCACTTGGGTAGTCTTTCCAGAACCTGTCTTGGCCAGAATGATGACCACATCATTGCAACTGAGAATACGGAGAAGTTTCTGTCGAGTCAACTTGGCCATCAGTGGCAGCTTTCCCCTCTGCTGGAGGATTGCCTTCATTTCACTCTGCTGTCGTGACTCCTGAAGGTCGATTCTCATCTTGGCTGCAAGTATGTCCTCATTGCGCCGGAGGGTGCGCATTACTTCCTGTCTTTCCAGCCCGCGCGATGCAGGTTGGAGAACGACTTCCTCACTCGTCAGGCCATGCTCACGTGCGAGCCTCATTGTTTCAATGGCGCCAGAAACATTCACGGCCGGGATTTTGACGACAAAATTTTCTCGTGGTTGACGTTTTCTAGCAGAGGTCACCACCCGCTGAGCATCTTTCGATGCCGCAGAGCCCCCGAGACCCTGAGAATCATCATCCCCGCTGAATTCTGCCTGTTCCACGATATCACCCTCAAACTCTCCGCCGTAGTCTTCGGTATCTGCGCCGATATCCGCTGATGTTTCACTCTGCTCGGGTCCCGGTTTCAGGATCAAATCCGGAGAAGGTTCGTCTGGGGGTGGATGGGATTGAGAATGTAAACAATGAGCGAGAGGAAGAAAAAATAGGGGCCTTGAATTTAGGTATTCAAACAAGTTCGTCGTGCTACGCTCAAATAGACCCCGGTGTGGCTCTTTCGCGAGGCGTCCGCGGATGAGATCCAGGACGCTGGCATGATGAGAAATAAGTCGATATGGGGTAGGTCGACACTTGTGTCGGACAGCATGGGCCAAGCAGGATTGTTGTAATTGCTGGTTTCGAACGGTGTTAGAGAATGTAAGTGCATACCGACGAAAGGGAAGTTGAAGGCATACTTGTCTGGAAGGCCGAGTCCACATACTGCGATTTGGAATCGCTCATTGCGACGAGTTGTGTGTAGGTTGGCTCGAAATCACGGTTGGGGGACGAAGTGCGAAAACATCATCCTGACGAGGATAGGCTTCAAAAGAAGTCAACACGTCGGGAAAAGATTGTAATTTAGAACGAGTGTAAAGCGCATGAACGCAAAAAGGATATTTCGTGGAAATATTTGAGCCAATAAGAATCGACAAGGCTCCATATCACGTGATGTCGGCCTCCCCAGATTCACGTGATATCAAATTACATAAACCTCGCTGGTTGTGTGAGGATCGACTCCTCCGCTCCATCTTTCATAATCATAGCAATCGACTGTCTGAGATATGGAGGCTCATCGAAGTCGTCTGACATGGAAGCATACAGTTTGCGACTACTAGCCCAGAACATCGAAGAAGGACAGTCTTGACAAGATCATCAGTGTCGGCCACGACTCGGTCAGTTGAACCGCCTTCTATTCCTCAGGCCCAACACTATCGACTCTCCCCCAGTTGACATCTGTTCCCGCCAGGATGCCCGTGCTTCTCCAACTTTCACCCGAAAGTCGGCGGCTGAGTCTAGCAAATGCTCCGCCCATGCCCAAGCCCTTCGAGTTCTCGAACAAATTGTTCAACTATGACGTGTACTGGTACTGGAAACTCTTCACCGCTCCCACGGGAACATCAGTGCTGGACGCCCACCCAGAATCAATGTGGACGGTCGTACACGGACAAGGCCTTTGCCGCGACCTCGCCCGAGAATTATCTCGTCAAGGCACCACTTTTCTTCTTTGGCGGCAAGCGGGACTCCGTCTGTCGACATGAGAACATGCAGAAGAGTATTGACGCAGGCTTGTTGCCGAACGGCGCCAGTCTCGTTGTTTTGTCTTTGGACAGCAAGATAGCGAACCAACAAAGTTATTATTGGCTTTTCCCGGTCTTTCATGAATCTCTTCCATTTCGGATAATAGTGATGACTGTCACGTCAATATCCTCTGCAGTCATATCCTGCAGCTCACCACGCCCACATCAATTTATGAGCGAGGACTCTGTCTCCCAACCTCTCGTATAGAGCTGCGTTGACCCAGCTATCATTCGTCCGACTCATACGCCCGAACACCGCTCCTCCTTTCCAGACCACCACCTGAGGATCTAATTCTCTTGGTGGACGGCCAATCAGAATGTCCTTACTGTAGCCCGGAAGTGTACCTTTCAATGACTCCTCGAGATGTGACGCCAGGCCCGGAATGATGCTCGTGCCACCAGTCAACATGATACCACCGAGGAGGTCGCTGGTCTTCTGTGCAGACCCTCGTGCTGCATGCGTGATAGATGTGACGATCGCGTTGGGGAGAGGGTAGATGGGAAGGACGTCGTCCCGGCGTTCGATGCTGACAGGCTCTTCCTCCTCCTCTTCGACTTTCGGCTTCTCGTCACGCGGGGCAGCACCATCATTGTCGTCTGGCGCCGGCGTCCCGTCTAGGTTCCGGGCCGGAGAACTTGCGGCCGAGGGCTGGGGCGTAGCGTCCATTTCCTTGATGTTACTGAATGAAGGTCGGCGGGAATCGTTGAAGGGCTCGTCTTTCGTTCCGTTGGTGACACCGTTGGTGGTACCGTTGGTGGTGCCATTGGTTTTGGCATGGGATTTGGTGGTTGAAGTCAGAACTTCCTCGGGAGCAATCGCAGTCAGAATCTCAGCCTGCGCGGATGAGCTAGGGTCATTTGGTTTGCCGTCGTAGATGTCATAGGATTTGTCGACAAGCTTACGGCGACCATTGAGTTTACCGTTGTCGTCGAAGATTTGGGGTTTGAACAAGCCCATTGGAGCAAGGATAACCTCGTCGTAGATCTTGAATGAGTATTTTCTAGTGTCCTGGCCCGGAGCTCGAAGATGGAAATCATACAGTTGTACCGACACATCAGCTTCGGTCATGGTGCAGTATTTTTGCTTGAGCTCCTCGGCAAGTTGGAAGTCGTATCGACGATTTAGGTTGATGTCTGAGTACGGGAAATGGTTGTAAATGGTCATCTTGACGAAGGCTTCCGTGATGTCCTTCCCGCCGTATTTCAGGTTGACACGGGAGTTGTCTATGATCATTCCATCTTCGACACATGAGATCGAGGTCTTTTGAGCACCAATATCAACGATACAACATGTGGTAAAGCCGGCGCCAAATGAAGCCGCCAAACTCTCCTGGATGAAACATACTCTTCCGAAGCCGAATTCGGATATCGCCATGTCGAGGAGACTCGTAACGTAAGTTCTCTCATAATAGTCCGGAATGACAATCACACAGCTATACTGGGCCCAGTCGGCGCGTGTGCGAATCTTGAGCTCCAGTTGAGATTTGATGGCGTCTTCGACAATAATTCGAATGTCTTCGTACAAGAAGCGCTTGGAGTTGTACTCTGCTTCGTTGATCCACCCGTTACGAATAGGCCAGAACAACTTGTATCGCGGAGTCGACAGGTCGGGAATACGCAGAGCAGCTTTGCCGGTAATGTATTCCGGCGCGCCCTTTCCCTTACCTGTCGTGTCGGTCCATTCGATGCGCATCGTGTCATTGTGTTCTGTGATGGTTTCGGGGGTATGTCTCCGGTTGTAGCTTGTGACCATATCCCTGGATTGTGGCAGCACCTTCCTCTTGTTCATCCTCATTCGCACTTTGAGATCTTGGGACATGCCAGCGAATTTCTTCGCAAAATCTTCACCAAAACGCTTTTCCGGTTCAGGAGGATACTCTCCGTTATCCAGCTTCGCTCTCTTTGGCGCCGGTTCTCCGTCCCCTTCTTCACTTTCCGACATTGGTGCTCGACGTGCAATAACCATCGGGACTGTCTTGGGGAGAGCATCGTTGGCCAGGCCCACTCTCAAATTCTGGGAGCCGATGTGGATGACGATGGTTCTAGCACCGCTGGAAGCTTCATCTTCCGCTTCTTCCTCGCCCTCTTCCATCTCGATATCTCCGTCTGGGCCGATGCTTCGCCCTTGCGCCAGTGCTCTATCACGGTCTTTGGCTTGTTTGATCATCCTATTTCGAGCCTCCTCCTGTTGTGACCGAACGGCCAAAATCTGCTCGTCCCGTTTGAGATAATCTGTAAAGCATATTAGTCCCCAGTAGAACCTTCCGATCACGGAGTCGCACCTGTGTAGTAATTCTTCTGGTTGATAGCCATGATCTGAGGCCAGGATGTCAATTCCATATTGTTGTCTGTTCTTTCCAGGCCTTCCTCCCGCAGGAGGGCCTTTCCACTCTTTTTGCCAACCATTTTGTCGGTCGCTTTTGGTGGCAGAGGACGTCGTCACACCCAGAGGGCGATGCGGATCTCAATTGCGCAGGGACGGTAGAGACTGTTAGGGGATCTAGTCGGTTATATCATGTCTGGCTATATAGGCGTGAAGAGGTTTTCTCGACGTAAAGTCCTACTGCGGGAGAGTGGAGACCACTTTCTCCACGACATTCTGGCAAGCATGCGCTTGGGCGAAACTGTGGCGGCGATTCTGTGGCTGGTCTCCGCCAAGTGGCTTCAGCCTCAAGGCTTTCGTCAAAACGACGTCTTACCTTTGCCTCTTGACCGTCTTTAATTCATCCGACTTTGTCTATCTACCCATAAACAACGTGGTACACCGACGATACTGTCTCGGCCTCAACCTGGTGCGCAAAAGTCTTTGTACAAACGTGACTCCAGAAACAACCGGGATGGTATTGTGACCGCTTCTTCTCTTTCATTTCCTGTCCTGCTCACTGCCGAACGACTCGACGAATAATTATGGGGGGCACAATATCAAAATTATTGACTGGCCTGATCTGGGGCAAGAAAGACATTCGGATATTGATCCTTGGTCTTGTATGTGGCCGAGAGCATCTCCAAGGACGATCGATCATTTGCTGACCAACTTGGGCAAGGACAATGCTGGCAAGACTACTCTCCTATACAGGCTGAAAGTGGGTCATCATCGTCGGTGCTAGAAGGGCCAGTCTAATCGTCATAGATCGGCGAAGTAGTGACGACGATACCAACCATTGGATTCAACGTCGAGTCCGTCTCTTCTCCAGCGCATGGATCTCGACTTGACTAACTGGCCCGCAGATCCGTCCAGTATGGCAACCTAAATTTCGATGTGTGGGATCTTGGTGGCCAGACCTCCATACGGCCATACTGGAGATCATACTACGCCAACACAGCGGCCGTGATATTCGTCGTTGACTCGACAGATATTGAGCGCTTGGAAATTGCCGCCGACGAGTTGCGATCAATGTTGAACGAAGACGAACTGAAAGACGCCGCACTCCTAGTGTTTGCAAACAAGCAAGATCAAGTATGAGCATCAGCAAATCGGCCGCTAACTGAACTGACCGTGAACAGCCGGGCGCACAAGGGGCGGGAGAAATTTCCGAAGCTCTCAAACTGGGTGAGTTGAGAGATCGGAATTGGAGCATCGTCGCATGCTCGGTAATCGACGGCAAAGGCATTAATGAGGGCATGGACTGGCTTTCGTACGTCTTTGACAACGAAGTCCTTTGTGGTGCGCTGATGAGTGTTGTAGTCAAACGGTACAATCAGACTCGTGATGAATTTTTGGGTGATATACCCATGCATCGTTGGCGCGCCCTTTCACTAGTCTTTCATATATGAAAAATGTTGCCTCGCCGCGAAGCACATGGCATTCTTCTTTCCTCTCCCCTTCCATCGGCATTCTTCTGCTCAGGCAACCCTCGCCAGCCAACTTGACAACTCCACAGCCAATCGGACCGGCTGATCAAAATGAATCAGATGCCCCGCGCCTGCCACGATGACAACCTCATCTGTTCCGATCATTTTTCCAAGCTTGGCCGCTCTGTCGACGGGAATCCAAGCGTCTTCCTTGCCCCAGATAATCTTCACAGGAATCCTCTCGCCCACTTCATGGTACCTCGGCTCCACGTCTTCTACATGTCGATTATCGGCCTGCTTCATCTGCCGGATGAATCCCGCCTTCCGCTGAAGCCCAGTGGCTAACCATGGCCCTGCGAGCATATCCTCGACTTCCTGACCCAGACGCTTGAACGCCGCCCCTTGTATATATGCTCGAATCAGACCTTCCATCAGGCCATCCGGGATCATGTTGAATACATCCGAATTGCCGGCCACGAGCCGGAAGAAAGGCGACCCAAATGGGGTGACCGCCACTGCATCGACCAGGCACAAGCTTGCGTACTCCACACCATGACACAGATTTGCCCGAAGCGAAATCAAGCCACCAATATCATGGGCTATGACATGGGGTGGCCCAGGAAGTTTCCACGCTTCGACGAGCTTCGCAAATGCTTCGGCCTGGCCTGCCAACGACACATCAAGCTCCTTCCCAGAAGATGATATCGGCGTTCCGCCCGGCGACTCGCCGTACCCCGGGTTATCGAAGAGATAGACATGGAAACTCTCAGCAAATGCCCGTGCCAACGGCACCCATACCTTTGACGACCATGGCGTGCCGTGGATGAATATCAGAGGCTTGCTGCCGGCGTTTCCGAAGCTGGTGAAACGGATATGGTACGAGTGGGTGTCGGTTTTCAGATTGATTACGTCTGTCAGGTTGCCGTCTTCCATTCTTTCTCGTCACAGAAAGGATCATAGGTGGTTGTGTTCACGACTATGAAGGACCTGAGTGATATCATGAACAATGCTGTAGATTAGGTTCTCCCTGATCCAGGGCTCGGTGGGATTCTCGTCGAATGAAACATCTCGTATTCGGATTCTTAACCGCCGATAGCGCAGATTTGGGCGGGAAAACTCAGATAGCCAAAGCCCGCTTAGAGCCTTGCGGCCAGGCTAGCCAATAAGCGTGCTATGAGCGTATTGTCAATGGCGGGATCTACATATGGACATTATTCAACCACTTCCATTTGGATTGGCCCAATTCGAATTCTGCCTTCGACAAGAACGCCATCATCTCATTACCTGACACCACTGACTGATCAAGCGAGCTGTCGCGTGAGATGGACATATCAGATATTGCATCACCAAAGTTTGGAAGCCAGCTCAAAGGCCAGACACTCAGATTCGTAACAAGCAAGCCCAAACCCGGTCACGCGACGAGAAAGAGATTTTCGTCCATACTCGATCATCGAGATTAACGCTAGTTCCAGATGCTGGAAATCAGATGTCTGAAAGACCGGTGACCCAGCTGGTCACATCCCTCGGCCAGTGGGCATGCTGCCACAATTCAGAAATGTTTCGACAGCTGATCTACTAGTAGATAAAACCAATGGAATACAACATGCAGAACCCCAGGCACGTGCTGCTGTGGCAAGGCTGGCCGGTCTCAGGGGCTTGAAGCAGCATTAAAATAACGCCTCCCGTCTCCTTCTCAGAGATGTTCTATCCATGCCGAAGTTTGTCGAGATATTCCACCATTGCCACGCTTTTAGGTTGACCAGGATACTTTTCGCGGGGCTGATCGAGCATTCGATCCGAGATTTGGGCGTGTGATGGATGCAGCAGCATATTACATTATATAGTCATCTTCCCGATCTGACATTGAGTAATCGCATATTCAAACCTCAGCAGACGTCACGACATCCTCCTATCAAAGAGACTCCCGCTAGAATTACCTGGCCCTACCTATGATCATGAGGCAGGCCTGGTTTGAAATGCTTCAAGTCCGCATGATGTACACCGTATCCCGGGAACTTGCTGGATTGACCGTCATCTCTGATCGAGTCATGCGAGAATGGTACCAATAGACTAAAAAGTTGGACAGCGAAGACGAGAAAGGAGGTCTTCTGCCTAAGCCGGTTTTGGACGAACCGCGAAATGCGGGAGACGCAACTCCAGCTTCAAAACAAAAACTCCAGGTTCTCAAACGCATTGCTGCGCCTCACTTCAATCCTGGTCTGATCGCATATTGGCCGAAGTCCTTGCTGACTGAGTCTCGTCTCGTGTCGCATCTTGGAAACCTCGTTATATTCTACCATCTGTTTGCTCTTCTTTCCTTTCCTACCACATCTGTTGGCTAGATAACCATCATCTAGTACTTACCGCCTGATTGCACCAGTATTCTGCTTCATGTCCTGATATAAGCCTCCTCATCAGTCATCCTGGCTCGACCAAAGAACCTCCTTGTCCTCCTCTCCTTCGCTGCCCTCTTTCCCATCGTGTGCCTCGTCATCCTGGCTCCCTTTCGCGCTCCTTTCCGGCTGGATTCGCTTTTGAACCAGTTCGCGCCCCTCAGATCAGCCTCTACCGGCTCTGCCAGACCTGTTGCCACTTCCGCCATGACGTCTGCAAAGTTTCGCAGGCCTCCGCAGGCGCCTCCCAGTTTCACAGCCACGCCGGAGTCGGTGTTGGAAGAAACCAAGAAGATGTTGGCAAAGTCCGCGAAAATCACCGATAATATTGTGGCGACCATCTCAGAGAAGGATGCCACCTTTCAGAATGTCCTCCTTCCTATGGCCCACGATGAAAATCAATCGACACTAAAGGCACATATTCTCAGTTTCTACCAATCGGTTTCTACCAACCGGGCACTGCGAGACGCCTCGACGGAAGCTGAAAAGATGATGGATGAATTTAGCATTGAGGCGGCTATGCGAGAAGATGTATTCAAGCTCGTGGATGCTGTGCTTAAGCGAGGAGACAAACTTGACCCTGAATCTCAAAGGCTGCTCGAAAAGGAATACAGAAGCTTTGTACGAAACGGCCTGAATATCCCCGCGGGACCGAAGCGAGATCGTTTCAAGGAAATCAAGAAGCGACTCAGCCAACTGGGTATTGCCTTCTCCAAGAACCTGAATGAAGAGAAGGGCGGCTTGTGGTTTACCGCCGACGAGCTCAATGGAGTCCCCGCCGATGTGGTGTCCCTGCTCAAGAAGGAAGGCGACAAATACTGGCTTACTTTCAAATATCCGGACCTCTTCCCAACTCTCAAATACGCCACCAATAGCGCGACCCGACAGAAAGTCTTTATTACCAACGAAAACAAGTGCAACCAGAATGTGCCACTATTTCGCGAAGCCGTCCTTCTTCGAGATGAAGCCGCCCGCCTGCTAGGGTATCCCAATCATGCTGCTTTCAGGATTGAGGACAAGATGGCCAAGACCACGAAGACCGTGGACGATTTCCTGGGCGACTTACGACGTAGATTGAGCCAAGGCGGCTTGGATGAGATTGAAACACTGAAGGCATTGAAAAAGGAAGACTTGGAATCTCGAGGGGAGACGTTTGATGGCCGATATTATCTCTGGGATCACCGCTTTTACGACCGGATGATGGAGGAAAAGGATTACCAACTCGACCAACAGTTGATCTCGGAATGGTTCCCTTTGCAAACCACCATCAAAAGTATGTTCGAGATCTTTGAGCAGCTATTTGGGTTGTCTTTCGTTGAGATCGTGGGCGCCGACCGTGCCGCGGTTTCTTCTTCCGGTAAAGGTGGGGACATTGTCTGGCATGAAGAGGTGCAGGTCTTTAGTGTCTGGGACGATGAAGGCGAAGGCGGCGGCTTCGTGGGTTATTTGTATCTCGATTTGTTTCCCCGTACCGGCAAATACGGCCACGCTGCCAACTTCAACCTTCAACCCGGCTTCATCCAAGAAAACGGCACGAGGAGATATCCGGCGACGGCCCTCGTCTGCAACTTTTCCAAACCAACGGCAAAGAAGCCTAGTCTACTAAAACATGACGAAGTCACAACGCTCTTCCATGAACTCGGTCACGGAATCCACGACCTGGTCTCCCGAACAACTTATTCACGCTTCCATGGCACTAGCACTGTGAGAGACTTTGTAGAGGCACCGAGTCAAATGTTGGAGAACTGGTGTTGGACACCATCTCAGCTGAAGTCGCTGAGTAGACACTACTCGACATTGTCATCCGATTATTACGATTCGTGGAGAGAAACAGCGGGATCTTCCGCGGCAACGCCAGAGGAACGTATCCCCGACAAACTCATCCAGAAATTGATCAAGACCAAGCACCTGAACGGCGCACTCTACAATCTCCGACAACTACACTTTGGAATCTTTGACATGACGATCCACGAGCCCGAGGATCACGAAACCCTGGAAAAGATGAACATCTCCGAAATATATAACTCCCTAAGAAAAGACATCAGCAAGATCGATGGGCCAGAAGTGTTTGGGGAAGGCAATGCCTGGGGTAACGGTCAAGCCACCTTTGGTCATTTAATGGGTGGTTATGATGCCGGTAAGTCTTCGTGTCTCCTGCCATAATTCGTTGATTCTAACCCCCCCCCTACACTGGCTCGAAGCTGACCATTTCAATTTGTTGGCAGGCTACTACGGCTACCTGAGTTCCCAGGTCTACTCGACAGATATGTTCTACACGGTATTCAAGAAGAACCCCATGGATCCTAAGGAAGGACGGCGGTACCGGCACACGGTCCTCGAACGAGGCGGCAGCCAGGATGAAATGCAGACGCTGATCGAATTCTTGGGCAGAGAACCCAAGAGCGACGCATTTTACGAGGAATTGGGCCTGACCAAAAATACACAATCGGGTGCCGCGACTACTTGATCTGGGCTCGCAAGGCTTGCTGAACCTGGAACTCGACAGTTGAGCATTGCATTTGGGAGTTCACGCTGGCTTTCTTGTTCATGTATATCTTAACCAGAACAGGGATTCTGATGGTAGAATGATGCCCTCCGGGATTCAGGGGTCCGGACCCTTGGTGGTTGCCAAGTGTGAGCACCAAAAAGTAGACAATCCATCTATTCTTTATACCGGGCCGAAGTCAAATATCTCTCCCTAAGCGTTGATGATATGCATCCCGGCCGGCGCTTGTAGCACATTCAAGAAGAAAGGGGGAACAGCCCTCTAATGCGCGAATCGGAATGTCAACATCTTATTTCCCTTATCCTTCGTCGAAGCCAGGTACTCTCGTCGCTCTGCTTCGGTCATCGAATTCCACTTTCGCTCTCGAACACTAATTAATATGAATCAGCAAGTCTACCCCATTCTTGCCCCAAATAGAAATAGATCAACCCAAGCGCGATGAATGAGAAGCGTGTACAAGGAAAAAGGCGAAGGCTACGAAGAAAAGGAGCAAGACTCACTTGTTTCTCCACACGTAGAACCATTTGGCAAAGAGGAAAAGGACCATGTTATAAGCGCAGATGGCGATGAGTACCCTGTACCCGCGTCGGTAGAGAGGTTTATCGTCGTTTCTGAAGATCTGTATAAGGGGTCACATTAGCAACAGCAACGGGATGTGATACAAAAAGAGGGCATTGTTTCTTTGGTGTCTCACATTGGAGCCGATAATATTACTCGCTTGGACAAACATGTTGTACAGCGCCGACGCAACGGTGCGAGTGCGAACAGAACCGGCATTTCGACTTGTGATAGCGACATGGATAGCATGCACATATGGTGTGCCCACGAGCAAAGTCGCTAGAGCGTACTTGACCCATCGCGATGCGTCGCCGGGCAGGAACTCCGAGGCAATAAGGAGAGGCATAGCCCAGATCTGGCTGACGAGGCCGGTGAGGAAGCGCTGGTTGGTTTTCTCGGACACCCAGGTCCAGAAAAGCAGGTTGATGATGAAAAGCACATAGGATGGGATCGTGAGCATGTTGACTTCGAAACGGCCAAAGGACTGCTTGAGGATCAGAGACAAGTATTGTGTCACGGGGTAATTGGGGATCAGGAAGGAGAGGCCGATCATGTAGATGGGCCACATCTCCCAGTCCAACAGGGCGTAGTAAAGGAGCTTGGGTGTCACGGCTTGTCGGTTGTGCATATCGCCTTTGGACGGGTCGTCGCGGAGGATGCGATTGACCATGATCTTCTCTTCGCGTTCGCCGAACCAGCCGTCCTTGCCACGGAATCGAGAGGCCGTCTGGCACGGCGAAGGGGGCATGTAGAAGTACGTGGCGATCCCGATGAGGCCGGTCAGGGTGCCTTCAATGGCGAACAGCCAGCGCCATCCAGCCATCCCATTCACACCACGCATGGTGAGGATAGCGGCCGCCAGAAACGCACCGACGATGCTAGTTGCTTGGTATGATGTCCAGAACCACGCGAGTCGAGCCGGGAGTTCTCTGCCTTTGTACCAATAGGATAGGTAGAGGATCGTGTCGGGAATGAACTGGCGCGGACGTCAATCAGCCATCGGATATCCAGATGGTCTATCAGATGATATATGGGAAAACTTACGCCGCCCTCAATCAAGCCCAGCAATGCTCGACAGGCATAGAAGGAAGATCTCCCACTGAGAAAGGCCTGGAAGCTTGCCACGAGACTCCAGCAGATCATTTGGATGGGAATCCATCGATCAGGTCCCAGCTTTTTCGATATCAACTGCGAAGGCAGTTCCGCAGAGAGAAAACACAAATAGAAGATGGTTTGTCCGTAGTTGTAGTCATTTGTGTTAAGGCGGAGGTCGTCGAGCATGTTGTCCGTCAAGGCTTGCACGATGTTTGCCCGGTCCAACTGCAAGGCGAAAAAGGCGAGGCAGACCCAGGTACAAATTCTCATATCGATTTTTCGCACAATCTTTTTCTCCTCGGCCGGATCCCACTCGAATTGGGGATCCCAGCGATGTCGCCCTTCATACTTGTCGATGGGAATATATGATTCCTCTCCAGCGACCCGAATAAAGGTCTTGTCTTCGGCAAGAGAACTGCTGCCAGAACTGAAACCGTCTTCGACAACAGTAGTGATTGGAGGTTCCTGCTCCTTTTTGAGTTCTAGTTCTAACTCTCGTGAGGACATTATCGAGTGAAATGGCGCAATGGCTGTTCTGGGCAGGATATCAAACCAACAACACACCCAGCCACAATGCTTGCTCGTATCGAAGCATTTTCTTGGTGTACCAGTGCGTTCCGTCTTATACTGCCTGCACAGACTTTTGGCTTTTTCTTGGAAGTCCCATCTTGCTCGGATTTTCACCAAGATGACGTACTTTTTCCCTCTGGCACTGATATACCGAGTTACATTGCGTGAAAACGGACAAGCATACGCTGAACGTCCGGTGGACCGTTACCCATCTCACAAACCCAGTCGGAGAGGAATTATCCAATGATGGTATGGCATTAGATAGGAGTCCTTGCGGATCTTGGTCGTCGGGAGGCGTTTCACAGGGAACCGACCGGCTCAAACAAATCCTAATGCTGGCGAGGTACCACCTTGTCGTCGTTCTCCAAAGCATATCGGATGGCAAATTCGGCTGTCATTGGTAGGAATGCTTATCACATGCATGTAGAGCAATTAGGAAGGGATCCAGAGTGAGATGTCGGCGTGGAAACTTTTGCTGTGTACGTTGTGTACCTGCCATCTTCAGCGCAATCACGCAATATCGAGCGAGAAGGCGTGCGATGCCTCCACCGCCCAATGACCACCAGCACGACCAACGACTCGGATAATCCATTTCCTCATCAAGGTACTGCTTTCCGCGAGTCATGATCCTGCGGGTTGATGTGGTTGATAGAACTTGATGCGGTGGGTTCGCCGTGGATATTCGGCACAGTATTTCAAGTGATGAATCCACGTGGCGTCGGATATAAAAGATGGACTGGTCTTCCCTGAAAAGACTGACCTTCGCTAAAAGAAACTTTGCAAGCATCAGTTCACGATGGCAGCAGCTTCATCGAATGCGTTTTCGTCCGTCCAAGAGCCGCCAAAGGCCTCGGTGGGATCGTACAAGGATGTGGCCACGGTCAGCCTTTCGAGGGAGAAAGAGTTGAATGGAACCGACAGGTTCGCAGCAGCATCATTTCCTCAGTACGCGTAGGGCAAATTCCACTGCGGATCTCTGTTAATTCGTTGATAGTTACCTGCCGGTGTGGGATAACGAGAAGGGAGTCAAGTGAGTCCCACCAGCAACAAATTGGCCTTGACGTATAAAAACATTGGCCCGGCTTGGTCCGCGTCGCTAACAGACGTCTGGCGTACAGATACCCTCCTCTTGAACCATTTGAGCATTATGAGCACGGCAAAGATGCCGACCCTTTCTTTCCGAATCTTTTGAAGCCCGGCAGCCGAGTCGAGAATATTACAGCGTCCATTGGTGCCGAAGTCACCGGTGTTCAGCTCTCTCAGTTGGACGATAAGGGGAAGGATGAATTGGCTCTGTTGGTAGCACAGAAAAAGGTGGTTGCATTTAGAGACCAGGATTTTGCTTCCCTTCCAATTCGGAAAGCCTTGGACTTTGGTCGATACTTTGGCCGACTGCACATCCACCCTACCAGGCAAGTCGTGGCAAGAGTTCTACCGCTGCATGGTATTAATGTATTTCAGCGGAGCACCCGAAGGATTTCCGGAAGTCCACCTGGTTCACCGCGGCGCCGAAGATGAATCTTTCCGGGAGTTTTTGAACAACCGCACCAATTCGATTGCCTGGCACAGCGATGTGACTTATGAGAATCAACCTCCCGGGACCACTTTCCTGTACGCCCTCGATGTACCTGACGCCGGTGGTGATACTCTCTTCGTCAACCAGGCAAAGGCCTACGAAAGACTGTCCCCAGCTTTCCGCGAGCGTCTGACAGGGCTCCGAGCGGTTCATTCGGGATACGAACAAGCCACCAGCGCTGCTAATAAGGGCAGCACGATCAGGCGAAACCCGGTCTCGTAAGTCCAGGCATTCGTTGGCGGTAGTGGTTTGGCAGAGCGACTAATTGCAAGTAGGTCCATCCACCCAGTGGTGAGAACTCATCCGGCCACGGGCGAGAAGGCGTTGTACGTGAACCCGCAATTTACAAGATATATTGTCGGTTTCAAGCAGGAGGAAAGCGATTACCTTCTCAAGTTTTTGTACGATCATATTGCCTTGAGCCAGGATCTCCAGTGCCGAGTAAAATGGAAGCCGGGTACTGTTGTCGTCTGGGATAACCGTGTCACGGGTAGGCACACCGGAAAACCTTTAATGTCGTATCTCGCTAATATAGCACAGCACATTCTGCACTCATTGACTGGTCCGATGGCCAGCGCCGACACATTGCGCGCATCACCCCTCAAGCTGAGCGTCCGACTGAGTAGAGTCGATTCCTGGTCCGGAATGCTACCGTTTTGGTGAAAACATAAATCAATTCATATCTCATGGTTGGCTGCCACCTTCACCGTGATCCTCCTTCTCATCAGCAAAGCATAGAGCCATCATTTGCAGAAAAAGAACAAGATTTAGAAATGATGTACAAAAAAAAAAAAAAAAAAAAATCCATTTTGATCTGCGAGCCTTGACAACAGCCCGGTGAAGAGTAATTCCTTTACCACGCCTGACTCCGGACTATGCTCGTAACGTGATGACTAAGCTACGATGCCGTCTGAGCCGGCAATCTAGTCGCCTTCGAGTCTTGCAACCACGGTGCTCATTTCTTCGTCGCTGTAGATTCGGAATCCGTTCTCGCGCGTGACGCTGGCTAACTGTACATTCTTTGCATCCAATTTCTCCTCCATGACTTGCTTGAGTGTTTTTAGCACCAGGGTCTCGGCCTCTTCCAACGTTAATGATCTGTGGTATTCGGATTGTAGTTCCGCTTGTGCTCCTTCGCTGCCAGAGCCAATAGCTTTCGCATCGTAGCGGTAGAATGTACCAGAGGGCTCAGCATGGTACCTGTCTTCATTAGTGGTCTGAATTCTCCCCCTTGATGGAGACTTACAGTTGTGGACCATTATCTTCGTCCCAGCCGGCTAACAATAAGGCGACACCAAAGGGCCGACTCATTACTGACTCTTCTCCCTGGACACCCTCACCAAATCTGAGTGCCAGATCGCAAATGGCCTGTGTACAGCTCTCCACCCCAAGTTTCTCGTTGTAATGGAAGGCATGGTTTTGGGACTCGATTCGAGCGTGGTCGATCATACTCCGTGCATCTGCTTGCAGACCGGACATGGCACAACCAATGTGTCTGTCAATCTCGACAATCTTTTCAATGCTCGAGGAAACCAGTAAAGGAGATGTGACGCGTTTTTCGACACCGAGGAGAACGCCATGAGACGTGGCAACCTGAGAAGATGAGCTGCTTTCTAACACGACGCGGGAAAATTCATCCTACACCAATCGCCGTTGAACCAAGCTTGATGGCTTCCAAGGAGTATTCGACTTGAAAAAGACGACCTTCCGGGGAGAAAGTACTGTCGCCAATAAGCCCGCAATCCCCAATTTGAAACACGGCCACTCACTTGATCCCCCGATCTGTTTATCTTTGGAATCAGTACTGCAGGAGCACGGAGGCACAAGTCAAACTCACCATATTCCGACCGGGCAATGAACATTGTGAAGGATTATGGAGCAGCGTTGTAACAGATTTATCTTTTAGGATTTGACGCAAGGAGGGAAAACCAATTCAAAGAAGTGCTGGTCCTGTAACTCGCGAAAAGCTGGCAGTTTGGTTTGCGAGCAGGCAAAGCTCACTTGCGCAGTCCGCCGCAATTAGGAGCGCGCAAAACTGCCAAGGGAATCGGAATAAAACTTGCCAAGACCTTTCTACCTTTCCCATCCGCAGTGTACAGAAATATCAAGTTCCTCGCAATGCCTATGTCGACGACGTCAGTCAAGATTAGAGAGCAGGAAGAAAGGACATGAGGCACTCCAGTACCTCCCAAAAAGAAGGACAAAAAAGCTCGTCATCAGACTAGCACGTGATATACGGTGGATCATGCGCTGTCTAATGCAATGCCATTTCACGGCCGCGGTAGACGCGCGTATGACTTAGTAGATCGATGCGTCCGTCGGAGTCTACTCTAGGCTCAAGGATGATGCAAGCCTGGAGGTATGACGTCCCTCCATTACAGAAGTGCTTCGGCGACAGACCGTCGTAGTGCACGCCTCTCGGATGCTCCTTCTCGCGTCGACTCCACCAGAGCCCGGGAATATGAACGACCCTCAGCGCGTGACAGCGGCTCGCCAATACTACCCGATGGCTATAGCGACGCGGCCGATGGAGTGCATAAGCCGTCCAAAAACGAGAATCGGTTCAGCGGACTTGATCGTCGGAGGGAAAAAACTACGGTCACGACGACCGAAACTGTTCTCAGCAGGAGGAGTCCCAAAAAAGACAAGCCGAGTGCTGAGAGCCGGATGGGCGATAACAGTCACCGGCGAAGCACCGTTAGTCCTGTGACGAAGCATCTTCCCAAGGGAGACGTTGGTGCGTTCTGAACCGCTCAGACTGGTGCTTTGTTGCTCATGTTCTCTTTAGGTCCATGGGCTCCCTCGGTGACTCTGATTCCCCATTCTTCTGCACCCCTGGCCACAAGAGTGACTGCTCCGCCTTTATCACGCCATGCTCCATCCGATCTTGACCCTCTGTCTCTGGAGTCTATGACCATGCAAGAACAGGAACGCGCCATCCTGGACGATTTGTTATATGTCTTCATGGGATTTGAAGGGCAATATATCCGATTCCATGACAATTACGATCCTGCTGAAGAAAAGGAACGGCTGATGGGGCCATCTTTCGAACCGCGACCAGGTCTTGATCCCAGCTTGAAAGATATGACCAGTTCGATGCTCACCATGGCTACCCATCACTGTGCCATCGAGACTTTCATTGAGGTCCAGAGCAGGGAGGGATTTGGTTCCGTCAATCATGCTCTCTGTGCAGCCATTCGCAAACTCCTCAAAGATTATCTGATTCTGACCGCTCAATTGGAGATGAAAGTCCTGCACGACCCAAATTTCACTTTACATCAAATGCACATTGCCGTCATCCCAACCGCACAATGTCTCGCACAGATATACTCCCTGGCTCAAGAGCTGTTGAAGAAGAACTCGCTTCTGGAAGAAGATATTGACGACTCCATTGACGACTTGGATGCCGACAATATTATTGAGCGCCTGAAGGAAGGCGGTGATCTGCTGCCGGGCAGTCTCCGCAAGAAGAGATGCATCGGCGGCAACGTCCTTGGCTTGTTGACGAATCGACTGTCGACATTCTCTGGGGACCCTGCCGCCAGGGGGATCCTCGAAATGCTGCTGCGGGAGTCGAGCCGGCCATATATGGTCATGCTCAATGAGTGGCTTCATCGTGGCGGCATTGACGATCCACATTCGGAGTTCTTGATCGGCGAGAGGGCCAGTATTAAGCGCGAGCGTCTCGACGAAGACTACACCGATGAATACTGGGAAAAGCGCTATTATATTCGAGAAAAGGAAGTGCCGCCGCAACTCGAATCGGTGCGAGACAAAGTCCTGCTGGCTGGGAAGTACCTCAATGTCGTCCGTGAGTGCGGTGGAGTCAACATCGGCAGCAAAATTGTCGACACCCCGGCCACTTTCGACGACCCACGGTTCCTCGACAATGTCAACAACGCCTATTCTTTTGCAAACAAGGAGCTCCTTCATCTCCTGTTGACGAAAAATTCCCTCCGAAGTCGGCTCCGATCAATGAAACACTACTTCTTCCTGGATCGAGCCGAGTTTTTCCTCTACTTTCTCGAGCTGAGTGATTCGGAGCTTCGAAAAAAGTACAGGGATGTGAATGTCGGCAAGCTTCAATCTTTGCTCGATCTCGTGCTACATCAACCCGGCAGCATTGCTGTTGCCGATCCATTCAAAGAAGATGTGAAAGTGAAGATGAATTCGGTGGGATTGACTCAATGGTTGATCAAGGTGGTCAATGTGCAAGGTGTCGACCAGGATAATCCAGAATCCATGATTGATCAGCACAAGACACCGGCCACGGTGCAGGCGCCCGCGCCGGAGAAAAATAAGAGAGAAAAGAAGGACGAAGAGGAGAAAGAGATCATTGGATTTGAAGCTTTGGAGCTCGACTACACAGTTCCGTTCCCGTTGTCTCTCATCATCAGTCGAAAGACCGTCATGAGATATCAACTCATTTTTCGATATACCCTAGCCCTCCGCCACCTGGAAACTCAGCTCGTGGGATGTTGGTCGATACACACCAAAGAGAAGGCATGGATTCACAAATCTTCTGACAAGAGATTTGAACTGTGGAAACGTCGAGTGTGGACCTTGCGTTCCCGGATGCTCGTCTTTGTGCAACAGATGCTGTTCTTCGCCACGGCGGAAGTCATTGAGCCAAACTGGCAAAAACTAATGGTCAAGGTTGATGATGCAGAACGCGATGATGAGACGGACGAGACCAAACTAGGCTTGAACCCTAAAACGAAGCCAACAGTGGATGAATTAATGCAAGATCATGTGGACATGTTGGACTCGTGCATGAAGGACCTGGGACTGACCCAGGCGAAACTACTCCGCTTGCATGCCAAGCTCATGACGGGCTGTGGCATGTTCGCCTCTTATGTTGAGCATACGACAAAGACCATCTATGAGGCAGACACGAGTATCCCAAACCCATCGGAGAGGACCGCAGGAAAAGTATCTCCACCTGGACCGACAGATCCGGCACGGATGAAGAGGATAGAGGAGTCGATCAGGAAGTATGAAGAGCACTTCAATCGGCACCTAAAGATCTTGATTGATGCTCTCAACTGGTTTGCCACTACCGAGACCGTCTCATTACTCAGTCTTTGTGGACGGTTGACCAATGCTGAGGTGCAGAAACGGGATGATCTGTTCATTTGAGAGACATACTGCTGTACGACTCACTGCCGGCATGGAGCCGAAATCGAGCCTGGCCTTTTGCCCCGATCATACGGTAATATTGTGCTTGACTCGACGGCTCGCAAAGGAACAAACCCAGAGATCTGGATCTCCGGTTTTAGGAAAACACAGCAGTGTGCGGTACGGAACTTTGGGTGTTCTGTACAGGAACATGACTGAACATGTGAAGTCTTCCAAGAAATGCCTTAGCACTGGTCCAGCATACTCAATGTCATGCCCGGAAAGGAACAAATGTTGTGAAATTGGAGCTGTGGTGTTTGGGATAAGAGAACCAGAAGGATTGGAAAGCAAGGCAAGACCAGGTAATCGGATCAGACCGAGACTCAGGAAACGGGATTGTATGGACCGTGATACCTTGTTTCCGCTGGAGGTCTCATCGGGATATGGGAACAATTGTCTGCTCAGCATGTGAGCGTACCAAAATGCACGAGATGAAGAGGAGTGAGCCGAGGTAAACAGGAAAAGAAACCGGGTCATCATGTCAGAGACCTACCGTTGGCACTACCTGCCATGGTTTGGACCGGGGATGAACGCTTGAGCAATTCATTATCATTGTTCATGTCATGTCAAATCTTTTCATGGGGTCAACGGGTCTTGTATACACAAGGTTTCAAGACCTTTGCCTCCTCTTCAGGCGAGGGCTCGTCATGCTCGCCACCTCGACTCCCCTTGCCATTGGATATCCCATTGACGAATCGCATCTTCCCACCGTGGATTTTCTGATACTCATATCCATTCCACTTCAATCCCTGATGTTTTCCTGCCGTTGGCACGCCGGATTTTACGAACACCATACTCACGAACATCTTGTTGCTCTGGTCAACCGACTTTTCGCGCAGCACCAGGCCACGGCGCGAGAGAACGTTGACAAAAGCCGAGATGTCTGTCTCGTCTGCTCCGGACACGGTCTCGTTGTCCTCGACGAAATGTTCCCCTTCAGCGAGTTGGTCATCAAGAGTCGGGCCTCGGGTTGGTTTCTTCTTTCGTCTCTTGCCCACGCTGTTTTCCACCACGTGTTCTGGTCCCCTTTTCACGCGACCAAAGCGAGATTTGACCTCGGCGACCCAGACTTCGCCTTTTCCATCGCCACGGAGGATCCGCCATGCCTCCTCGACGAAAGACACCCAGTTCGTGCCCATAAGACTCAGGCAAAAGACGGCGATGTCGGCTTCGCCATCGCGGAGGGGTAGGTTGGAGATGTCTGCTTTGGTGACGTGGCTATTTACCGCGTGGAGGTCGAAATTGTGGAATTTCAATTTCAGGTTCTTGATCTGCGACTGGCAGCCTCGTGCGAGGGGTGCATCGCCGCAGCCCAGATCGGCAATTGTACAGCTTCCTGTCTTCCGGCGCGGGAGGGGTTCAAATCGCGCATCGTCGGTGTTCCCAGGCCTTTTGGCATGACTGCGAATCTGGTGTCCTCGGGTTTTGATGGTCGAGATGTACTGGTCGACGGGGTTCTGTGGCCAGGCGTCTTTGATTTGTTGCGAGAAACCGGCATGATATTCGGCGAAGAGGTCCGGAGAGGCAGTGAAGAGCTCCATCGCAGCAGAAGATGAGGTCGTGTACAGCGTCTCGTTGAGATGGCGAAATCGTGCAGAGCTAAGTTTCCTGCGCATTTTCTCTTGCAGTGGTGTCAACTTCGTGGCTGGCGGCGTTGCTGGGAGGTTTTCCAGGATATTCTTCGACGAGGCGGCCAGAGAGGAGCTTTTGCCATGGCAAACTTGCTCCCATTTGCGCTCACTCTGGGTGGAGATTGGCTGGCCCTTTTTGTCCTTGCTCGTCTTCCCTCTCCTGTGTCCCCCTCTTTCGGTAGATCCTTCTTCAACCGTGTTCAGTATGCTGGCCTTGCTCTTCTGAAACCTTGACCGGCCATTGTCCTGCTCCTGCTTGTACTCGATGGAATGCGTCGGCCGGTTGGTTTTGGACTCGTTGCGCAGGTTCCACAATCTCTCGAGCTCATTACCAGAAACCTTGGAGGCCTGATCGCCATGGGTGCGCGTATTCTTTCTCTTTTTCGACGGATGTGTGGAATTCCTCGGAGAGGATGGGGTTTGTGTGCGCTGGGTGGGCTTTTCCAGCGCCACCGAGGCTGATGAGACGGCCCAACCGGGAACAGCAAACATATCGTGCCACGAGAGGCAACGGCGATTACATCAGCTACGACAAAGGCATAAGTTTTTCCTGGTGGTCATGCAGGTTTCAGATAGTTCGAAAATCGAGGTGCAGAAACTGGGTGTGTACAAGCCTGGCCCGAGAGTACAGGGCATCCCAGGACAATACGGTTTAGTTTGCTTTTTTTTTTTTTTTTTCTCGAGGGGTCGGGGCGGAGAAAAATGGAAACCCAGTGGGCGGTTCCCGGGCAGGTTTGGCGTCCACTAGCGGCTGTTCTTTGCTTGTCACCGGCATAGTGGTCCCCGAAGCTCAGAATACATGGTGGATAGGAGAATGCAGTAAGGCTAGAAATACCCTGTACTACTGCACAGCGAGGGACGGTACAAATAAATGTACTATTGAGGTATTAGTGGTATATGTATGCCGTTTTGTTGTGGTACGCTGCGGGCAGGGCGCAGACGTGCCTGGGGGTTTGTTGCATTTAGCACCAAGGCCTGGACGTTAGCTTCCCCCTACCTCCTTCTTGCTTCCCCGGGCTGGTCTTGTCGTCGACTCTTCCGCAGGACCTCCTCGACATGCTCGGCCGTCGTCCGGCTCTTGGAACACCAGACATGGTTCGCCTCAAGCTTTTACACAATATGACCGCATGCCGCCATGCCAACCAGGATGCGTTGACTGGTAGCCATACGGATCGTGCAGCGAAAGACTAACCTCATCGAGACAATACATGGCGCCCGACGAGGGGTGAAAACTGGAATCCCTGGATCAATTATTGTTCCGACCGAAACATGATCCCAATCACCAGTCAGCTACCCCCTTCCCCTTCCGATGTCCCCCATTCTGGTCTAGAGTTGGTCACACCGTCGACTTGCATCGGAAAGTATATGTTTCCAAGGGTTAAGTCCGAACCAGGACCTCAAAATGCAATGGTTCAACACCTACCCAATAATTCGGGGACTAGATTTTAACTACAAGCGCCTAATGCATGACCACGTTTATGACGGGGCTTGGATTGCCCCGACTCGTATACCCAATATTGTGTCTAGCCCCCCTCGATGATGGCCACCCCACAGATTGACGACTTTCACCGATTGACATGGACGATTCCGGATTGCTCTTTGGAACCCGGGATCCGAGATATTGTAACCTTTGACGTGGGGCGGGCCGTCATGTCTTGGACCGGCCTTTTTTTTCTGGTACATGCATGACAGAAAATCCCCCTTTTCATATAGCACACTTTTTAGGTGGCAAGCTTCCATTCAGCCTAGCTACGAAAAGCTGGAGATGATCCGACTTGCCCGCCTTCGAAAATTAGTCACACGTTGGTTTTTTCAACCAACCTCACACCAGAATGGGCAAGCGCGTAACACCCACGACGATCTTGGATATTCCGCCACGGGCAAAGTTTCATAGCTTCAGGAGTGAAATGTCAGCCTCCTGCCTTTTTTGTTTATCCTCGAACCGTCCCGCACAATAGGATTTCCTTTTGGCAGCCTCCACTTCACCCCCCTGCCTGTTCTTTGCTCTGAGGTCCCGAACATTGCTCTGCATGCTTTAACCCCATTGAACTCCGCCATCGCGTTGGAATCATAATCCGATGCTGCCATTACTGCAGGGCTCCTATTATCTATTGTGTGACCTGGCGGGCCTGGCCGTCTTCCATAACGAACCAGCCAATCATCAACTCCTCCCCATCACTCTGCATGTGCGGCTGCAAAGAGTGTCACAATCTCTTATCCATCGGCTCTCGGCAGACTCTAAAGTTCGGGAATGACCTTCCAGCCCGGCTTGCCTCACTCCCCTCTCATTCGGTCGCGATTGGATTCAGTTTAAGCAAATGGGGGGTTGTCCCATGCACTGTTCAGGCATTGTGCACAACGGCACCCATATCTACAGCAGGCGCGCCAATCGTTTCGACAAGGAAATACTTCTCCACGGGCGAATGTCACTGTTATCTCGGAATTGTCACCCCCAGATCAAACTTATTTCTTCTCGGTACCCGTTGAGGTTCGGCTCCCGTCCAAGTTCATGATATGTGACGGGCAAATCTGACAACCCTCAGCCCAATGACCCCCTGGACACTCGACAATCGATGAAAGTCTCGATGCTTTGGAGCTAGTGGTCAATGTCTCCCACCTCTGAAGATGAAGACCCAGTCGACGGGAAAGGATCTAGCAGTAAGCCCGAAGAGGCGGCGACAACCGACGCCGCACAGAAACAGGCCACTAAAAGACGTACCAAGACTGGCTGTTTAAGTGAGTTCTCGTTCTGGACTTTTCGTTCCGAAGATATATTGTGGTCGGGTGGCATTTGATCCTGACTTTTACCCCAGCATGTCGGAAAAGACGAATCAAGTGTGGAGAAGAAAAGCCAGTAAGTATTCTTTTTTCGGCACCGCTCAACTATGCTGACCTCCAAGGTGTGCAAAAATTGTATCAAATCAAAGCGGGAATGCGCCGGCTATGTTCAGCCTCTGGTGTACAAGCAACAGACCCACGGACCTCCTCCCACAATTCATGACTCGAGAGAACGCATTCTATCGATTCAAGATGAAGGGGGAGGATCTGGCGGCTTCTTCAATTTACGTCTACAACAGGAGCAGCAATACTTGGAAACGTACCCGGGTTTCGATCCCGCAATCCCATCGCCTTACCAACAATTACCTTTTGGTGCCAGTTACCATGCTTTTCCTTTCGCTCTTCCGAACGACCCATCTTATACAACTGTTCCACATGCGGGAGGCACATATGGGTGGCAGAATACTCAGTATCCTCGGGGTCAGCCGTATCCGGGCATGGTTGATCCCACAGGAACAGGTGTACCAGGATTTCCTATGACGCATGATCCGACCGGAGCTTCTTCAAATTCTTCTTTACCTCTTGATCCACAATTGCTGCGCCAACCGGGACATACCGGTGCAAGTGCCATTCCAACACCAAGTCAACCACCACTCCCGGCATTTCCAGGTGAACACAGATTTTCACAAGAGCTAAATTTTGTACAATCTTACCCTCAGGCATCGATTTCGCAACCTTATGGTATTTTAAATGAAGCCATAGACGGTATGTAGTCGAATATAATGGTTGTCCAATCCGTTCATTCTTGGTGCTAAGTTCCCGATAGAAGAAAATGTGTCCATCGCCGCGGGCCCCATTCCTGACCCGCTGACCGTCGACGATGACTACGAAGACTCAGACGATCCCTTCGACGTGGAAATGGATGAACAAGAACAGGATCTCTCATTTCAAGATGCGGCAAACAACCTCACAGAAATCCTCGATCGATCGGGTCAGCGGGGTTGGCGAACTGCAAGACCTCATGCTTCACGCCGGTCCCAGTACCAGACCGTCACCACCTTTCGACCGGCGATGACATTGTCGCCTTTACGAGATGAGAGAAATGAGCATATATTCTGTCACTTTGTCGAAATCACGAGTCATTGTATATCCATCTTCGAGAGACATCATTTTAGCCCTATATCGGCGCCGGCTCGGACTCTGTGGAATTTTACCATTCCGGCATTGGCTCTGTCGCACCCGGCCCTCGCTCACGCGATATTGGCCTTGGGAGCATTGCACCTGGCAAAACTACACAATACCTCGGAAGACCCGGCTGTGAAGCATTTTACTTACGCCGTTCGTCGAGTGGGAAAACTTCTCGGTCTCCCAAAACGGCGGCATGAGATCGCGACGTTAGCAACGGTTCTGGTTCTTGGCTTCTACGAAGTGGTGAATGGCGATCATTCGCGATGGAATCTGCATTTGTCCGGCGCCACCAAGTTGGTGCTGGAACACGATTTTGCAGCAACGACTCGGACCGCCAGACGTATGCGACAGGGCGCAAAGGCGAGAGTCAATCAATGGACCGCTCAATTTGCATTGACCGAAGAAAATTACGCTCGCGTGGCCGGAATTCCTCTTCCTTTGCTGGATGATATCGATTGGGAGGTTGATGCGACCCTTGTCTCTCGGCTCACCGGATACCCGGTGGACGACGACCACCAGGTTCAGCATAATTTCCCTCTGGTGGCTGATCTGACGGAAAAGGATATTGAGGAGTTCAAGGCTAAAATGGACTTGAGATGGTGGTATTGCAAACAAGACATTTTCCAGAGTATGGTCAGCGGTGATCCGCTTCTGATGCCGTTCGAACATTGGATATACTGTCCTCCAAGAGGGCAAATTGGCAGGTCTGATAATCCTTACGCCACTTTGGACCATTTGCTACTGATCATGGCGCGACTGGCGGAATTCGGGGGCCAAGATCGCATTCGGAAACAACGGGTTGTGACATCCCAAGGAGGGCAATGGAAACCACCCAAATGGCTATTTGGGCCTTCTGGACCTCCCGGCCGGCCGAAAGGGGTTGACGCTGGACGATCCAAGCAGCCTTCCAGTCCCAATACGGGCAAAGCTGGGGCTTCAGTGAGGTCTGCTGGCCAAACCGCTCAAAAGGCTTCACCGGCCCCTAGCGCTAATGAGGGCAGAGTTCGACAGAGCAAACCAGGATTGCCAGGTCCGGGCCCAACGGGAGGTCCTCCCATGCTCGGCATGATACCGCCTTCCGGCGACACTCAGATGCATTCTGCCTTCAAGGCGATGAATACTCGTATCAATGATCCCGCCTTCTCCATCAAACAGGAAGAGAGGAAGTCGACGTCTCCAAGGTCTCCTCAAACGCTCGAGGATGACACCACCCAGGCACTTACCGAACACACTGAAATCATCAAAGCCTTTGACCTCTTCGTGAAATCACTCGGTCCCGATTTCGAGCCTCTACCACACTCTGGCCCGCCGGTGACGACACCATTTGGACCGGCCGTGATGTACAAGAACGCGGCAGTGGCTTGTATATGGGCATTTTACTATACTGGACGCATCATGATACATCGTCTACATCCTGAAATGCCTCCGGCGGCGATGGTATCTGCTGGCGTAACCGCCCATCTCACTCGAGATTATGCCCAGTCCATAGGCAGGATATGTGCAGGACTTTACTCGACTCGGCAATATGGTCAGACCGGAGCCTTGGATCCTAGTTTTGCCGGGGCTTGGATGGAGAGCACGTTTCCGTTGCTCTTTGCTGGAATCCAATATACCGACCCCGTTCAGCGAGGCTGGACCATAAGCAAACTCAAAGACGTTCAGCGCAGGTGTGGTTGGCAAACATCCGGTGCTATCGCTGCCGCCTGCGAGATGGCTTGGGAAAGTATGGGTCGGGACGGAAAAGGTCCGCCGTATGAACGTACCTTGGATCTCAAGAGTAAGGATCCCCGTGTGAGCGGTGCCTTCAAGAGATCGGATGGCCCTGCGGGGGATAGCGGACGGGTTCCAAATGCTGAGGCTGAACATGAATCTGAGTTTGTGAATCATGACCGGAGTTTGATTGATCGGTCCGGTTCTACCAGAACTCACTGGGCGCTGGGTTTACTCTCTGTCGAAGAGGACATCAACAAGATGAGCCTAGAATCGAAGAGGTAACGCCGACTTGTCTTGGCCGGAAATTAATTCCATCTCCCCAGTTCATAGCGAGGAGAGAGAAGTCGTCTCGTATTGGACTTGCCGCAGCCTTGTCATAATTCCTTCTGAGAGCAACCATTACTGCTCCACTGACCAGGTCTCGCTTTCAACACTTCTTCCACTCGACTTTCCAGGATCTAAAAGAATCCCGATTCTGTTCATCCTCAAGATAGACTCTCCAACACCCTTATCCGATTTTCATCCCGCGATGACCTGTCCGCTTCTAGACCTCACATCCCCCGGGAAGCTTGTCTCATCCGAATCAAATTCACCTTTCACTCCTAGAATAAGCCCTGTCAGCGCCCACAGACCAGAATCTCGAGTTATTCCAAGAAGAGAAGGATATTCTCGATCCAGGCCTGATTACGACACAATACACAAGAGAATTCACGTGCAAATCACTGAAGAGGGCCTCCCCAAGTCATTCTATTCCGAGCCAGAACGCACAATCGCCTCCACTATATGCAAAGCTTCAGCACACAATGTTGGAAAAGATGTTGGTGGAAGATCAGAGCAGTCTCGACATGTCTCTCCTGGACGATCCGGTTCTTCCCGCTCACCAAACTCTGCAAAATTTTCTCGGCTATCGTGTTGGATTCACCCAATGCAAATCATTGCATACCCTTCCCGCCGGCCAAGGTTGGGCCATGGTCGGGCAAGACCTTGTTTGGTGGCACCCGGCCCGAGATGCAGAGAGCTTCAGCCGACATAGCGCCCACCAATACTCCAGAGGAACGTGCAACGTATAAATTAAACGAAGCGCAAGTGCAGAAATCGAGGCCTTTCTCCAAGTGGACATTAGGATCAGAGGACAGACGAGCCATCTACCCAGCGTGGCACGTCGAGTTCATACACCACCGATCCCCGAGGCTGGTATGGACGAAAGGTGGCGAGGCCTCTTCTTTGATTACAAGGCTCTGAGTCCTGTGAACTTGCATTGAGGAGTGTGAGTGGCAGCCCAGGATGCCTGGAAAGAGAATTACGCCGTAGACCGACGGCAGGTGGAATGAAATCGGAGTGTACCAGGAGCGAACACTGCAAGAATATCTTGACCCGAGATTGGTATGGTGTCAAATTGGCCGGACTCGACCGGGGAGGAGAATCCGATCAAGGGCAAAAGATCAGGGCCAAAGGAAGGGGAGAAAAGAGTCCATTCACCGGAGGCTCTACCACGGAACAATTTGATTTGACGATGCCCGACCACCTCCCCAGCAGTCCATGTGTCCGAGACATCCTAAATACGGGCGAGTGGTCAAAAGCAAAGACGGTCGAGTTCGAGGATGTGGGACGTATGGTGTGGGCGTGCATGAAGAGACTATATGATAGAAGGTGTTGCTATCGCATACGCCGACTGGAACAAATCATATGTACAAAATTCCGGCCCGCGTGTCGTTCACTCCCCATGAGTCACACCATATCATATATGACCGCCAGCCATTCATAAGTCAATGCTACATCATCATCGAATCAACCCACTACTCCCATTTCCTTTTGCTGTGTTTGGAAGCGGTTTTCTCTTCGTTGCGTCATGTGTCCTTTTCACCACTCCCCAAATTGCTCTTCATATTTAGTGATATGCGCGACCTTTTCGGCCGATGCGGACTGCTCATCGAATCGCAATTCCACCCATTCGTCGACCAATTTCTTCGCGAGTTCGAGCCCGATAACTCGTTGTCCGAAACATAGGACTTGCGCGTTGTTTGAGAGGACGCTGCGCTCGACGCTGTAGGGGTCGTGTGCAGTCACGGCGCGGATACCTTCGACTTTGTTCGCAGAGATGGCAACGCCCAGGCCGGTCCCGCAAATGAGAAGGGCTCGGTCGGCCTAAAACGCATCACCAGGAAGCATCTCAGTTTATATCCTTTTCTTCGCGTACAAGAAACGGGGGAGGTTAGGGAAGAAGGGTTTAATCGGTCGGTGTTATTGTCCGGAGCTGTCCTTTCACAGGGGAGGCATGTCAGGGCAAAGGGGAATGGGGATTTACGTATATGTCTTTCTTACCTCTCCAGCTTTGATCTTCTTGCAAGCATCAACAGCTAAATGCGGATAAGCAGTTGGATCGTCTGCGTCGACGACTCCGACGTCCATGACTTGTGTGACGCCGGAGTGTTTCTTGAGGACTTCTTTCAAGGCGGTCTTGTAGGCGTGTCCGGCGTTGTCGCTGCCGACGACGACGCGGAGGGGAGTTTGGGTTGTTGCTCCGTTGGTAGCCATATTTGCAGGTCAATTTTTGATCTTTTGGTTTATTCTCCTTGTTTGGGAACTCGACGTTTGTCGTTGATGATCCTTTTTCGAGATGGGAGGGTCGTTGTTCGTCGGTGCCGTGTCCGTGCCGGCATTGCATCTGGCGTCACTTTTCTATGTCGTAGTGGCGATTCGGTTCTCCAATTCCTGCGCGGGATTGCTCGAATGGGACATCCCGGCCAGATGTTTACCCGGTTCTTGTTGGCTGGTTGAGAAGACCGCACCGGACCATTGCGCTGTGAGTGGATGAGGTCATGTTAGAGGGAGGATATTAGCTATGAATGCCTATTGCTCAGCGAAATGTCTTTTCCATTCATTGATCGTGGAGAAGTCCAGACCGGATCGCAAGCTCACCGGTCATGATGTCGTCAGCAACATACCCACGGCTCCCCTCCAAATTAATTCTGACCTCGACCAAAGCCTACTTCTCCCCCTCCCGCACCGTAAAATACTTGACGTCCATCCTTGATCAGCACAATGGCATATTACCCTTACTCGAGGCGCACCGGTCCGAAATCCAATTCGGCCTTATTCCAGACTTTTTGACCATCTATCCATGCGCGCAGATTTTGGCCGCCAAATACCCAGCTCCTCCCTCCGACCCCAACCCGGCTCTCCAGGGCTCGCGTACGACAAGTCTAAGCAACGACATCAACCCCTCTTCATGGCCCATTTACTTGGGTGCCCAAACCGCATATGCATCCAGCACCTACGGTGCGTTTACCGGGGAAATCGTCCCGCCCGCCCTAAAAGAACTGGGCTGCTCGATCGTGGAATTGAACCATGCTGAGCGGCGAAGACTGCTCGGCGAGACTGACGAGTCGTCCGCGGCTCGAGCAGCTGCTGTGTGTGCATTGGGCATGATCCCGCTCGTGTGCATCGGCGAGCTTGAACGGCCGAATCTCCAAGGTCCAATGAGTCTGGCCGTCGGCGTGGCGGTGGGTCAGTTGAAGACGCAGATCGAGACCTTGCTGAAGGCCGTTCCGAAAGATGCCCCGGTCATTTTCGCCTATGAGCCGGTCTGGGCTATTGGAGCTGCTCAGCCGGCTGGTGTCGACTATGTTGGGCCTGTGGTGGAGGCGATTCGTGAGGTCGCCAGGACCGCCGTGCGGGACCGGTCGGGTGAGGTCAAAGTCGTTTACGGCGGGAGCGCGGGCCCGGGACTCTGGAGTGGGAAAACGAACGGCGCGAATGGTTTGGGGAAGTGGGTGGACGGTTTGTTTTTGGGAAGATTTGCGCACGAGATATCCGGCATCAAGGGCGTGGTGGAAGAGGTGGCCGACAGCCTGGGAAAGAGCTGAAAGAGCCGAGAGAGCCAAATACGGAAGAATCGATATGGACCAAGGTATCGCCAATTCTTGACCCGACGCCGGGTTCGCCTTCGACCGTCGAGATCAACTAAAACGCCATCTCTCACAGCCATATGCTTTCATCATGTCATGGGCTCATTCAAGTCCCATCCAGCCGAACCAAAGACATATATCAAGATTGATATCGGGATAATGCTTCCCTCTGGAGAACCCCCCCCAACCAGGTTTGACGACGAACAAATCATCCCTTCAGTTCTCCCGGTGTCATGACGGAAACCACACTCGTCCCCTCGCTGAACCTGGTCCTGAAGACGCGGTTTGCATTCTGGAACATGCCATCTTTGAGACTGACGACGATGAATTGTGATCCTTTGAATCGGGTCTTGATAATGCGGCCAATGTTCTGGGTATGCGAGAGATCCAGAGCGGCATCCACTTCGTCCAGAATGTACATGGGGGCTGGCTTGAACTGCAATAGCGCCAGAATGAGAGACAGAGCAATCAGAGATCTAGTTCTGAGGTCAGGAACGTGCGTGAAAGGGAGCATGACCGCCAACATACCTTTGGCCACCGGAGAGTTCTGTGAGACTCTGTTTCCAAATCTTTCCCAAACAGACCTTGACCTCCAATCCTTCTTGAATTCGGTCAATGTTGTCATCCAAAGGCACCAGCTTCGCCGTGTTGTTTCCCGGCAAGAGATCGGAGAAAATGTTTCCAAAGTCTTCCGTCACTTTGCGCCACGTCTTCAAAAGAGCCTCCTTTTTATAGTCATCAAGCGTGCTGATGGTCTCTTCGATCTTCTTCTTGTCTCTGATGACCGTCCGCAACATATTCTTCAGGCTGGCCTCTTTCTTCTCGACACTATCGATCATGGGCATAACCTTGGGGTTGATCTTTTTCTTCATGCCTTGGAAAACTTCAGTGACGTTCTTCAATGTCGCTCGACTCTCGGCCAAATTCTTGCCCTGGAAATCGTAAGGGGTGCCCGCCCGTCCAAACTGGTCCTTGTTGTCCTCAATCCAGTCATGTTCCTTTTCCAGTGCTGCGACAAACTGTGCGGCTGCTTGAGCGTCTTTTTGAGCCTTCTCCACGGCGTGTCCGAGTTTCTGAGCTTCGAGTGCTTCCTCGGTTATCTGCTTGGACTTTTTGGATTTGGTTTGTTCCAGTTCGCGTAGTTCATCATCGAATCCTGTCAGCTTTGCCTGTTCATCCGCCAGTTCGGCTTGGCCCATCTCGTGTCTGCTCTTGACGCCGGCTTCTTCCTCTCGAAGCGCTTGAAGCTCATTCTTCTGCGTGTCGATGGCATGGTCCGCCTCCGCAAGCTGCTCCTGGGCCGCACTCAGATCACTCTCCGCCTGCTCGCAGTCGATCCGGGTATCTTGCAGTTCCTTCTGCAGTGACTTGATGGCGGCCGAGGTCGTGCTGAGTGACTTCTTCAACTCGGTGAGTGACTTGTCAAGCTCCTGGAGCTTACTGTCTTTGTTCTTGCTGAAGTCTTCCATGTCCTTCTCGATTCGCTTGACATCTTTGGCCGCTTCTGCTTGTCTGGTCTTTGCATTGGACATGTCTTCCTTGAGTTGAGCAATGGATGCCTTCATCTCTTCGATCGCTCGGATAATGGACGACGATGAATTTCCCGAGATTTGTTCTTCCGCGAGTTTGATTTCGTGTGTTTTGAGGTCCAACTCTTGTTTGACGGTCTTGATGTTGGCTAATTCGCTCTGTTCCTTCTTCATGGTGTCTTGAAGTTGCTGGAGTTCCGCTTGATTTTGCCGAAGCTCCTTCGTTACTTCATTCAGCTTTTGCAGGATGACGAGGACGCCACTGGAATTCGGGGAACTGCCTCCCGAGAGTGTACCAGACGGATCATAGACATCTCCGTCGAGAGTCACACTCTTGAGTCGGACCGCGGGATCGAAGGTGACCCTCTTCGCGGTTTCCGCATCCTGACAGATCAAGGTGGTACCAAAGACATAGTCCATCGCTGCCGAAACTTCATGATCGTATCCGATCAGTGAGAGTGCAAGGTCGACTTTACCTGGTGCTATTCGTTGTGCCGCCCCAACCTTTTCGGCCGATGCTCTGAAAGCGGAGATCTTGTTTAACGGAATAATGGTCACTCTCTTTTTCAACTTTCCGTTCTGCAGCAGTTGTGTACCTATCTCGGCTGTGTCAACCACGACATTGTACAGCCGGCCGCCCGCACAGATTTCGAGAGCGGTGCCGGCAATGGATTTGTCCTTGTCCAGCGTGAAGAGTTGGGCAACGAGGCCTTTGACCTTCGACCGATCAAAGTTGGGAGAAGGATCGCTAAAGTGGAAATCGACGTTGGCCACTTTGCGCTTCAGTTCATCGGCCTCTCGTGTTAGCGCCTGGACGGTCTTCCGCAGTGAAGCTTCCCGCTCCCGCATGTTTTCCTCTCGGCCAGCTTCGAAGCCCGACTGTTGCAATTCGTTCTCCAGTGTCTGAGCTTGACGACGAAGAACCTCAAGGCCCTTCAGGAGGTCGGCATTCTCTTCTCGTGCCTTTTTGGCGCGGGGTTCGTCCTCTTTGATCTTTTTTTCGAGATGCGAGATTTTCAACTTGGCTTGTTCTTGTTCAGTACCAGCTGCGGTCAGTCGGTTGCGCGCTTCCTGTAATTGTCCTTGATAACCGCTTTCCTGGCCCTCTCGCGACGTGACACCAGTTTGCAACGTCGAAAGGAGCTCTTCCTTTTTCTCCACTTCCAGGTTTTGGGCTTCATGGTCCGACTTTGCGCTGTCCCATCGTGACTGAAGCTTTTCCAGGTTGGCCGTTTTGTCACTGACTTGCTTTTCAAGGTTCTTGACATTTTTGGCGATTTCTTTCTTCTTCTGCTCTTCTTCCACCACACTTGACTGCTTCAAGTCGAGCACAGTTGCCAGTCGTACCAGCTCATGACTGAATTCCTTCACTTGAGCTTCTATCGATTGGAAGCGGCCCCCCTTACGCATCTCCTTCTCCCGAACTGCTCTAACCCTCTGCGCGTCTTCCTCGAGGTTCTCCATTTCGCGTTTCAGCTTAACAGCATTCTCCTCTAAATGTTGGACTTTGGCTCGTTTTGCGTCGTGCTCTTCAGACGCGCTCTTCATCTTTTCTCCGGCTCGAACGTAGTCGGCCGCAACGACGACTCGAGTCAGACGTTCCAGTTCGCTCTGTGTTTTTTGATAGTCCAGCCATGCTCGCTTCTCGCCTCGAAGTTTGTCCAACTTGGGTTCGATTTCTTCTCTGAGGAGCCCTTCAATCTCTACCACTTTCATCTCTTTCTTGGCCATCGTCTTGACGGCTTTTTCCTTCCTGTCCTCAAACATGCGGGTTCCCGCCGCTTCTTCGATCATGGCCAGAATTTCAGCTGCTTTCATATTCAACACCTTGGTGATTCGCCCCTGCATGATGATGAAGTTGGGGTTGTTGATATTCAGCCCGACACTTTGAAAGAGATTTTGCACGGTTGTCTGCTGCGCCCGGTGGCCATTGATGAGATATTTGCTCGTCCCACCCATGACAATTTGTCTAGTCACGCTGATTTGCCCATACTCTTCAAAACCGATCGGACTGGTGCTTTTGTCGCTGTTGTCGAATACAATGGTCACACTGGCTTTCGTCACGCCCGCTTGACCGCGTTTGTAGATGAGATCTTGGAGATTTTGCGCTCGAACGGTCGACATGTTCGTAATTCCGAGGACGAAGCAGATGGAATCGAGAATGTTGGACTTTCCAGACCCGTTGAGTCCGGTAACGGCATTGAAACTTTGGTCCCAGCCAGAAATGACCGTTCTCTGGCTATAGGACTTGAAGCTATCGATGTTCCATCAGTGGTGATCCTCTACGAAGCGAATGAGGTCAATCACATACCCATCGATGACGAGTTCGATGATCTTCATGGTACTGGTTCGCGCACCTTTGCCGGATTCTCAACAATATGACACGAGGGCGTGGACGGGGTCGTCAATCAGAAGTCAATCACAGACGCAAAGTTGTGACCTGCTGGTCGCAAATACCCCCAACGGGTTGTTTACGCTTCCCCAATCGGGTTAAGTAACTATTGTCCACACTCGAAACGGAAGGTGCGGCGAGCATCAATCAAAATCGGCAACCAGGACGGATTTGCAGCCCCCAACAGCTTTTTCCATCACCAGCATCCAACTCGTGCCCTGATCATTCCTGCTGTCAAGGAATATCCCATCAGCACTCCATATGGCATCTCTGTCCCGGACCTTCTCTCACCCCTCGACGACCACGGTACCGGTTTTCCTCGCCCCAGCTTTCGCCCGACCTACCACTGTCGCAGCTACGGCCTCATGTTCGAGAACATATGCGAGTAAACCGCATTCTCAGAGACCCATAGGGGATAGAAATAAACAACGTGGCGTATCTGCCATCCGTCGTACAGGTCCGAGAAACATGAGAGGCTTGTGGAAATATACTCTACCGGTCCCCGTGGCCAGGGACCACAGAACAACCGACCCTGAGTATCTGGACACGAAGAACCACGGGCTTTGGGGCTTCTTCAATGAAGCAAGGCAACCAATGATGCCACCGGACGAGGAGTCCAGTCACGGTATGTTTTCTGCACCTTTGTTTCCCAGTGTGCTGTAGCTGATTCGAGTACCAGGCCGGCCGTGGACATACCAGGAATTATGTGCCAAATCCTTTGAAGATTTACACGCGCTTTACTGGGTGTGTATAAAAGAGCAAAACAGAACTCTTACCAGAGAAAAGGAAAGGCAGCGCGTCAGAGCAGGTTATGGAGCGGCAGAAAGTGAAGACCGGGTTGAGACGGTAAGTTTCATCCCACAAAGCTTCTCATGTTTCTCTCCCCTATGATGAACCCCATCCTTTCACTCGCCGAGATGAGTGCTTCAAAGACCGCTTAATCCTTGTAGCCATGAAATCATCTACTGGAACGTGATCTGAGATCGAGGTGGTCTCACGTGTTTCCCATCCTCACTCCCGACGAGAGCGTGTACTAAGAGCTGTGCATTGCAGATTCGGAAAACCATGTATTTGATCCGCGAAGTCCTTGCAGACCGACAAATGTCCTATGAAGAAGCTCATGTCATGATCAAACAACGGCCAATTAGGGATATTCTGCGCTCGGAGGAAAGAGAAGAAGATGATGTGCTTGATTTCGAAGACTTTCCGACTGTGGAAGGAAAACCAACCTCCTCGCAGATGGCCGCCGCGCCCGTATCACCCCCGTAAGAAGAGTTTTATTCTGGCCGAAACGTGTGATCTCTGCCTTTCTAGGCTGGTGGTCTTCCTGGGAGTCGAAAACCTTAGTGCATCGAGCAGGAATATGTGGGGGGTATCATAAGCTGTATAGTTACAATATCGTTGAGGAAGGGGGTTCATCCAACAACACCATGCCAAATCTATAAATTGTCCGGTTCATGGTCAACGGCCTTTTCAACCTCTCTACACAGCTCGAGAATGGTTCCTACTCGTAGTCCTCAAAATTCACAGTGTCCACTCCGCCAATCCTCAAATATGCTCATCGAGGATTCACCTACAATTCCGAATAGTTCAGGGTCAATCACCGTGGAAGTCATAGAGACCAAATCCGCAGCGGTCTGCTCAATCCCCGAGACTGCAACCGCGCTACCCTCTCTGGCAGCCAGCTCGGCGCGTAGTTTGTGCAGGGGTTCCCACAGGTTGTCGTTGCCCTCGAGGGATTCGAACGACGAGCGATTCTAAAAGAGGTGTGTGATCCGTTGACTTGCAGCTCGTGCTTCTGCGGTGTGGCTGAGAGCTTCGTGACGGAGCACCATAGAAAGCATGATCGCTACCGAATGCCATAAAAAGGACCCAGTCGAGGTTGTGTGGTGCGTAAACAGTGGCCAGCCTTTGGGAGGTTTTGCAGTAGTCAATTGCCAACCGGTAGAGTCTGCACACAGTCAAGTCAGAATGCGTCGATGGTTTAAACGAGAGGAAAGAATTACTCACGTCGCTTCTAACCCCGCTCTTTCACGATCATCGCATCCTTTCGCATTCAGAATGGGCTGGAGTTGCATCAACCTGATCCTTCTGAATGCATGTTCGCAAATATCCCGTGTCAGCCGTTGAAGAATGTCATTTTGATCCAAGTTCCTCAGGTAAATTGTTTCGAGACGGTTTCGGGCTCGTCGCAAGATCTCAGACTGGAAATCCAAATGAGATCTCACTGTCATTGTGTTTGTATAAGGGTGATTGAGGACGAAAGTAGTCAGACTTCCGATCTCATATTGGACCAAAGCCAACGTCATGTCTGTGAATCTGGTTTGTACGTCGGGGCGTGATGATGCAAACTCGGACGTGTCCCAGGTGGAGTCATCAGAATTTTTGAGGCACTTGTGTGTCCGCGCCGCTGTCTTGGGCTATTGACTGCAGTCCCTGGTGTTCCACGCACCAAGCGTCGAGAAGCAACATGTGATTCCATAGTCGTCGCCGCAGTTCCGTTTGCCAGGGAGAGAGTGAGAAGTGGATACCGTCTCGATTGAGACCCATTCGTCGTGCCATTGCGAGCGCCATGGCCAACAAGGCACGAGCACGAAGAATGTCGCCGGTCCAGAGGAGGAAAGTCTCACGAGTCCAATTAGAAGCCCTGATTCGGCTGTAGAAGGCAAACCTGCAAACTCACAATGTACAACAAGAATGTTCGGAGAGTGGATATCGACTGAGACGTGGTGAGATTTCATTTGACTCAGGCCTTGTTCCACATAGCTTTGGAATCTACAGAGCAGGGTCTTTTTCGACTCGTGCGGTCGATACTCAACCACCGTGGGACACAAAGACAGCCATCCAAGGGCGTAAATGGCGAAGAGACCGCATTCAAAATGGTCCGCATCTGCGATGATGCCACGCCGGAAATGATTCACTTCCAGGAGAACCGTTGGCTTGTGTAGAATTCGTATAAATGGATCCACCTTGTCGAATCAAGAAATCCCTCTCCAGGATTGGAGGGTGGGCACGGCTTGGTGGTGACCGAAGCGGAAAACTTGGAAGATATAGATCCTCCGGTGGCTTGGGTTCCTCTTGCAGGGTGAACTTTAAGTCTCCAATCTGGAACAGGTAGAGTAATTCCAGTGTGATGAGAATGGCCACATTTCTGACGGGACATACCTACCTCATCATACATGGCGGCCCAAAAACTCTTATGGAGGTACCGAGATCTGTCTCTGTCAAAGACCAGTTTGCCTCCCAAGGAGCCTCCACGCTCTTGAGATTCAAACTTGTGAAGGATATTCTGAATCATCTTTTCCATTGGACGTCCTCCCTCTTGGCTGGGCTGGCGCCGTTCGGGTGGTTTTCCCTGCTCTGCGGATGGTCGCGTATTGTGTACAATTTCTTCGAGCTTAGCTACCCTCCTAGCTAGAGATGAGTCGATTGACTGAGAAGTTCGTCGGCTCACCAGACGGCTTGTCTCTTCACATTTACACTGGAAGCCGGATCGTTGGCAGCCGGAACAGGGCTCCGTTTTTGAACATCGGACTTTCCGTTTCCTGCACACCTCGCATGGGAGATCGTGGACTATGGGACGACTCTGTGAGAGGTCCCATGGCACTTGGGGCTTATCCTGACTCAAGGAACTCATCATCGTTGTCACACTGGACCAAGGCTTTGTTTGGTATGGACATCATGGAGGTTTTGGACACACGAGCCAGGGAGAGCTGTTAGGATCAAATAGCTTTTGTCGAGGGTCCGGGGTGGAAACGCAGAAGGCTGAGACTCGTGTAGCTCATGATTGAATTAATCATTCCTTCGTAAACAGTCGGTGAAATGGTGAGCCCATTGGTGTTAGCAAAGCGTCTTGCCAAACTCGGTTAGTACGGATCTATTTCACCACCGTATAGCCATATTCTGGTGGAAGACTTGGCCTCTTTGGGAAGTGCGAAAACACCCTGTTATTACGTCAGACTGGACCTACACTTGCGGACCCCGGAGCCATTTTGCGTCCGGGCTTCCACGATCAGAACCACTGTAGCGACGTGCCACGACGGCCACGGAGTCTCTCAGTCCTGTTTCTGTCAGTCAACCTCTCATGAATGAGTATGGAACAGACTGTAGCACCAAACGGTGAACTCGAAACGCCTACACTGCCTCCCCGCTCATTTGTGGCTACTTTTCCCCATTCTACTCCCTACCTAGAAAAAAGGTATACGACGCCAGATCTTCTCGAAGCTTCACCAAAATTGGCACACTTTTGGGCCCTGGTGAAGGTATGACGCCCTTGGCGTACAGAATTTTCCCAGAGCCGATCCTAAATCTTTCCAGCTAACTCCTTCACCATGGAGGATATAGGATCGGGAGTATGGGCCGCCTTTGGGCTCCTCTGCCTCTGCGATGCCGATTATCTTCGTGATGAAGGGAACAGCGTCCGTCACATGGACCTGTTCGCGTCAGGTTTCAGCAGCAAGCAACAGAGATTTAACGACATACCGTGCTCGCAACGGCGCTTTCATCACCAACATAGGGAACGAACCCGTGAGAAGTGACATTCGATGTGGGAATATTGTTCACAACACCCAAATTTTTGGACGGGTCCGGTATTTATCCCACAGGTGACGGCCCGGCACACAATGTAAGTAATAAATTTTTTTTGGACGCCTGCTGCAAGCACTCTGTATGCGCGCTGATTAATAGCCATATATCAAGATAAGACCACGGCTGCATAGAGCACATTCAGTTGGACCGTTGAACATATCCGGCCTGATACACATAGTATCCTCTTCGTCGTCATCCTGTCATCAACGTTGGTACACATACCTTCGAAGCAGAGGATGCCAGGGTATGCGACGCATATATTCCAGACTCTGCTGCCAGGATTAACGTGCCCACTTGTCTCTTTATCGATGAAATTCCCAGCGTCACTGAGATGGATAAGGGTACCCTTAGAACGGGCTAGTCCTTCTATCCCCGAGATATTTTTTTTTTTTTTTTTTTCAGCAAATCGCCGTTGAAGGAAGTTGCGGCATTGATAATGATGTCGTGCTCTTTGCTCAAGGTGCACACGAGGTTGGTTTCGGAGAATGTCCCATGGACATTCGTTCGGCACCGATCGTGGACTTCAGTATTCGTCGTCGGATGTGTTCCATACAAAGACTATCAAAGGCCAGTCTGGGTGCGCTCTTTTGAGATCCACAGCTAAGTGAGCTAGAAGAATGAGTTAACTGCCGGATCAGAACTATTCAATGTACAACCAACATCCTATAAGGCCTGTCAGGAAGAGATCCACAGTCCCGTTGGGGATCGCCCAAAAAGACTAAGAATCCTGTCATTTCATGACAGAAACTTGGACCTCTTAGCTTATATACTTGTCAGAACCCGGTTTGTGACAAGGCCCGTCGCGCCTATGAGGAGAACAGAACGCATTTTATTTGCACGTCGTTGCACTGTCCCGAAAGCCGTCAACAGTGTATTTCCACGGTGACTTCTGCGAGACTCAGAGCAAAAATGTTTTCAAAGAGCATTTCTTCAAGCGAAAAACAGTATCCAATGCTGGAGGGCCACCTTCCTGTCGTTCCTACCTTCCGTCACTCATAAACCGGGAGGTTGGACAGTAGTTGAGATTCCGGAATGTAATGGAGTCGTCCTCTAAGAGTCATTGTTTCGAATGCCCTGCTTCTCTGGGAGGCGAACTCAATTGGTGATATCAGTATTGTCATATCATACTGTCCACCAAACTGAAGACTCTTTGACAATTGGTAAGATGGCATCAAGGTCCCTGAAGTCAAGTTTTGGTGGTGCCGGGGCCGTTTGCTTCTCTTCTTCCTTAATGCGAGGACCAAAGCCTCGCTCGCCGAGGATGCATATCGCCGAGCGAGCGAACCAATCGGTCATTACTAGCACAGCCTTCGTACGGAAGCTGCGAGAGTATTTTCCACGGTTCTGTCGGGATGGGTCAAAATGGGTCTCGGTGGATGGTCTATTGCATCACTAGCAGAAGAGTCTAAACTTTTCTTGACGAATTATCGACGCACGAATTTAGAGTTTGAGCAAATTCATTTTGAACTCCCAGTCAGGAAGCAGCTGGCTATGGGGAGATAGAGTCGACCCGGGGTTGTACTTCCTATTATGAGATAGAGCCCTCCCATTTGCGGCAGCTCTGGACCGCAATTGGACTTGATGGGGCCTGCTCTTATCGACTCGGCTGCTCGTCTTACAGCCTTTTGGCACTATCTAACCGGTCGTCTGTAAGATCAGTCATCAGTTCAGATTTGAGAACAATAGGAGCGTCTCCTGATGGACCGTATGATTTCAAAGCGAGAAGATAGAATGGTTCCGGCCTATAAGAAGCGGATTCAAATTTTGTCAGCGGATCATTCGGAGGCTGGACGTGTTCCTGGCCCTGAAGGTGTCTCCGGCAATGTAAAAAAAGACTCGTCAGAATTCTTTCTGAGAATCAATGGTTTCACCAACCCCAAGTTCCCAGGAAACCAGCACCTTCAAAAAGATCTCCGTAAAATTTCACCGTCGCTCTTCAAAGCGTCAGTTAGACGGAAATGGGCCCTCAATTTCTCAAAGGCAAAACGGCTATCGTTACTGGTGCAGGAAAGCCCAATGGCATCGGAGCAGCATCTGCAATGGCACTTGCTGAACAAGGCGCCAATGTAAGTTGAGTGATCCATGTGCATTCTGGAAAGGCCTGATGATTCCTAGGTCCTCATTCACTACAACAGCTCTGCTGCCAAAGCAGAAGAGGTGGTAGCCCAAATTAAGAGCTTGGGTGTCCGGGCTGCCGCGGTCAGCGCCGATGCGTCCTCAGCAGAGTTCGGAAGAGTACTCGTGGATGCGGCTCTCACGTCATTCGCGACCGACACGATTGACATTATAATCAACAATGCCGGATCAGCTGCTCTCAACGCCGAAGGAATCAAGTCTGTCAAATTCGAGGATTGGGACAACATCCTCCACGTCAACGTCCGTGGTCCGTTTATGCTCATACAAGCCGCCCTTCCCTACATGAGAGCAGGTGGGCGTATCATCAACATTGGTAGCGTTATTGCTCGACTGGGATCACTGATGTTGCCAGTATACGGCGCGTCAAAGGGCGCACTCAATGCCATGACGATTGCCATGTCCGAAGAATTGGGTCCTCAGGGCATTACTATTAATGTCGTGGCACCAGGCCCCATCGCGACGGATCTGTCGCTAGAAGGTTCGCCCATCGCAACTAGGTTGAGGAATAATCAGCATATCAAGAGAGAGGGTACCATCTGGGAAGTGGCCGAAACGGTTTTGTTCATGGCAAGTCCAGGAGCCAGCTACATTACCGGACAACTTATTGGTGTTGACGGGGGAATTGGCTTCCCTTGAGAACGGAACCGAGAAGACAAAATCTTTCCTTAGTCTTCTGATAGACGGAGTGAGGGGGAAAAAGGAGAGGTGGAAGGGGATGAACATTGTCCTTACTAGTCGGTGTGATGAATTCCAAATCAGTTGAAACAAACTTTTCGCCGGGGTGTTCATCCACAGATTTCTTCGATCTTGTTCTCTGCCAACAGCCAGCGGCCGTCCGAAAGCGGCGTTGAGACGTCAAGGAGACCGTGGAAGATGTGGCCTTCACCTCTGTGGTCGAGGGACCCCCCCAAAATAAGCGCATGGTTGCCAGCCCGTGAATAAGCGGCATTTGCCTCGGTCGATCTTTACAGTACATTGCGGCTGCATTCGTCTCCTGTTAAAGGGCTACGACCTTTCTCGTTCCATGCTTTGATAAATTGACAGGGCAGATTCACTAACTCATCATGTCCGCGACAACAGTCCCTTTGGGCCAATACCTCTTCAGAAGGATCAAAGGACTCGGGACAGAACACATTCTAGGTGTCCCTGGAGACTTCAATCGTGAGTTTATATCATTTTCAATTGTGATGTGTCTGATTCTTGACTTATGATTCGATCAGTCACCCTTCTCGATGAGATCTATAAAGTTCCAGGCTTGAAATGGGTAGGCTGCTGCAATGAACTCAACGGCGCATATGCCGCGGATGGCTATACCCGAATCAAGGGCTCCCCAGCCGCCCTAGTGACGACTTATGCCGTGGGAGAATTGTCAGCCATGAACGGCGTGGCAGGAGCATATGCGGAGCATGCAGGAATGATTCACATTGTTGGCATGCCAGCAAGGACCTGTAAGAACGTTCACGCACCCCCTCTTTTGGGGGAGTCGAGCTCTTTGGCCGAACCCAGTATAACATGACTTTAGTGCAGGAAAGTAGAGCCATGCTGCATCATACCATGGAGCCCAACATGGACCATGCGAGATATATCCAAATGGCTGCTCCGATCCGAAAAACCTACGCCTATTTGATGGAGGAGAAATCGATGGCAGAGGACATTGATCGAGCCATCACTGCTTGCGCCCAAAGCCGACTACCGACCTATATTTATGTGCCGGCTGATGTGGTGTCTGTCCCCCTGGACGCTAATCGACTAGAGATGCCTCTGGAGACCACGGTCCATAACCCAGACAACCAGAGGGAAGATCGGATTGTGAGCACCGTGCTCTCCTTCATTGAAAAAGCCTCGGAGCCTGTGATCGTGGCCGACGTTCTCGCAATTCGCCACGGTGGACAGACTTTGACTCAAAAACTGGCCGAGGTTACCCACTTTGAGAGTTACTCTACACCTTTGTCGAAAGGCGTTATCGACGAGACCACACCATACTACAACGGGCTCTACAACGGTGCAGGTAAAGCCCTGTCCTGTGTTATTGTGACCGTGGCTAATGAACGTTGAGTGTCTTTCCCGGGCGTGGCGGATAGAATCGAAAGCTCAGACCTGGTCATAAATATTGGACCGCTACTGTCAGATTCGAACACGGGCGGCTTCACGCGAAATATCAAAGACAAAAATCTGGTCCGACTTGGTCATGATTTCTGCCAAATTAAGGGCGAAAAATTCGAGGGCTTCCACTTCCTGCCCGTCCTCAAGCGCCTTGTGGCCGCGCTCGAGGCCGAGCCGCAGAAATATGGTCTTCCCCGGTCATATAACCGGTCGAAACTGGAGGTCCCATTGACGCACAATACCATATCTGGAGAAATTAAACAATCTTTTGTCTGGCAGCGCATCGGCCGGTTTTTGAAGAAGAATGATATTGTCCTGGCCGAATCTGGCACGGCACAGTTTGGTATGCCGGACGCCATTTTCCCGCCTGACATCAAGTATATCACACAGACGTTCTGGTCATCAATCGGGTACACCGTTGGAGCCTGCCTGGGAGCCCTCATTGCCGCAAAGGAGATGAAATATCCCGGTCGTGTGATTCTGATCGTAGGCGAAGGAAGCCTTCAAATGACCGTCCAGGAGATCGGTTCATACATTAGATATGGTTTCAAGCCAATCATTTTCGTCATCAATAACAACGGTTATTCTATCGAAAGAGCAATCCATGGACCCGAGCAGGGCTACAACGACGTGAGCATGTTGTGGGATCACCAGAAGATGCTCGAGTTCTTTGGAGCAAGGGAAGATACCGGAGTCAAGGCAACGAGCCGAGCATCCAAGACAGTTGAAGAGTTGGAAGCGGTGCTGAATGACGAAGATTTTGGAAGTGGTGACAGAATCCAGGTCAGTGGCCGCTTCTTCTCCTCGTTTCTTTTAGGCTCAGTGCGGTAATCTAACATGTGTTTCTTTCCTAGCTGTGCGAAATTTTCATGGACAAGTTTGACTACCCGTGGAGGTTGACCGAGCAGATTACAATCTCGAGGGAGCGGATGAAGAAGACTGCCGCGGCGAAAACTGCATCTTGAGATCGAGATTTCGGGGCTGTCACATTTCTTTCATTGAGCCAGCCACTGAACATTTGAGAAATGCAATTGTTAAAAGACATCATTCTATCTTCTGTGAACGTTCCTTCAGCCAGGATATTGGCCACAAGGCTGACCTCCGTTAGGGAGAAGTATTGTGGTATCAAGTGCAGTCTTGCCAACGTGACTTCCTCCCTGCACGGCATGCCCTCATTCACCGACCTATTGCCCTTTGCTGTCGTCTTCCCACGAGCCGTTTGATAGCAGTCTCAGAACATACAACACTCTTTTTACCTTCCAACATGGATGAGATCGCCCCTGAATATGATGTTATTGTCCTCGGCACAGGTATGAACCCACCAGACTGTCATCCTACCCCACCTTGTTGACTCGGACTTCGATCTGTAGGATTGACGGAATGTGTGCTTTCTGGGTATGATTCCCCGAGCAAATTTTCCGGGGATGTCGTACTGATTGGGATTCAACAGTGTCCTTTCCGTGAAAGGCAAGAAAGTCCTCCACATTGACCGAAATGATCACTACGGCGGGTACGAGACGGCAGCCTTGAAGAGAAAGTGGGAGATGCAATAATGTGCTGACGCAGAAGTACAGAGAGGCGGCGTCCGTGAATATCGAGACCGTATGCGGGGCGGACCACCAAAAGAGCAGGAACGTGTGCTAACACACTGTCACAGTTGTTCAAGAAATATGGCAACTTTCGAGAAGGAGAAGAACCGTGGAAGAAGTACGGGCGAATTAACGACTGGAACGTCGATCTCGTGCCGAAACTCCTCATGGCCAATGGCGAGCTTACCAATATCCTCGTTTCGACCGACGTCACTCGATACCTCGAGTTCAAGCAGATCGCAGGCAGCTTTGTACAACAGGGGTCAGGACCCAGGGCCACGGTGGCCAAGGTTCCGTCCACTGCTGCTGAAGCCCTCAGTTCACCCTTGATGGGCCTATTTGAAAAGAGACGGGCGAAGAAGTTCTTGGAATGGGTGGGTGCTTTTGAAGAGAGCGACCCGTCCACTCACAACGGTGGGTAGTTTCCAGCACGCAAGTCGCAGATGGGATCGGAATTGGGGAGAGACGCTAACACCACATTCGCATGGCAGGAATGAATCTCAATCAATGCACGATGAAAGATGTCTACGACAAATTTGGTCTAGAAGCAACCACCCGAGATTTCATCGGTCATTCAATGGCCCTTTACTCGACCGATGAATATATCAGCACTCCCGGAATGGCAAAGGAAACAATTGAGAGAATCCGTCTTTATGCCAATTCCATGGCTCGCTACGGAAAATCTCCGTATATCTACCCCCTCTACGGTTTGGGTGAACTACCACAAGGCTTTGCCCGTCTTTCCGCCATTTATGGAGGCACGTACATGCTCAACACCTCCGTCGACGAGTTCTTGTATGAAAACGGTAAAGCCAGCGGTATCAAAGCGACAATGAAAGAGCGTGGCGAAGAAGGGGAAGGAATGAAGTTCACCACGAAGACCAAAATGATTTTGGGTGACCCATCGTACTTCCCCGGCAAAGTCCAGATTGTCGGTCACTTGCTCAAGGCGATTTGCATTCTCAACCATCCCCTCGACAAGACTGGAGACACCGACTCCCTCCAACTCATCATCCCACAATCACAGGTCGGACGCAAGCACGACATCTACATCGCCATGGTGTCATCCGCCCACAACGTTTGTCCCAGGGGCTATTACATTGCGATCGTGTCGACCATTGCTGAGACCTCTGCCAACCACCATCTTGAACTCGCTCCTGGATTGGAACGACTAGGCCGAATCGAAGAGAAATTCATGGGCTCCCCAATCCCACTGTATCAGCCTCTCGAGAGCGGAGTGAATGATCAAATCTTCATCTCCAACAGCTTTGACGCGTCAAGTCACTTTGAAACCGTCACCGAGAATGTACGAGACATCTACCGCAGAGCTATGGGCGAGGAATTGAAAGTCGAAGGGTTGAGGGAGGGTCAGACTTTGGCGGAAGAGTAGATGTGAGGCATTTGGCAGCAACCATAAGCCGGGGACTGGGAGTGAAAACCTTGATATTATGAAGATGAATGCTCTGGCAGTGTGTGGATGAAAGACTAGACAAGCCCAAGCGAATGGCGACACAAACATAGGTCATGCATGGCGCCAGGAGTTGAGGTGCACTGCACCCGTTGAGGTGGACTGAGATCTGTGATCCCTTAGGAAGGAACCAGGTAAGGTGTCCGTCTACATAGACGACCAACACACGATTGAATCTAAAGCCAGCGGTTGGTACTGATTCTATGAGCCATTCGACTCGACCCGACTTGGATTCTTCCACTGTGCGAAAGGAGGATAGCGGCTTCGTGGAGGCTTTTCCCTTGTTATATCTATATCCCAAAGCCCCATCCATGTCTTCTTTGAGCTCCGAATAGTTTTTCTACTGCCACCTCGATCCACGCGTGCTCAAGGTCCCGACTTGACCGGCACATGCGGAGGAGAATTTCACTTAATCGTCCTTCGCTTTCAAGTTCTGGCTGCTTTGTTGAATCTGCTTCGCAACGCGGATGAAAGAATCAATTCCCATGAGACATGCTATACAAACAATGGAGTTAGCATTGTATCAACACTTCCAAAGTTCTTCTGGGTTTGGTTGCTCCTGGATCCCATCCCTTTCTGTGTATGTATTTGCTGGCTCCACTTCTCGGATTTGCTTCTGAAGCGAAAAGGAGAGAGAGGGAGGCGACAGAAAGAGCCCGAGAGAAAGACGTGGCGCAGACGTACCAACAGCTAAATACGGGACATAAAGCCCACATAAATCCCCTTTTTGCTCAGCAGTATACCCAGGCCAACTAGCCGTGTCAACCACGCACGTCAACGTAGTAATTGCCGTCTCGAGCGCGAAGAGAAGAAGATGTAACGGAACAAGGACATGATCTATCCCCACCCAAAATTCAACCATGTTAGCGAGAAGAACAATCCAGACCAAACCAAGACAAAAGGCATTTTCGATGATTGATGACGTACCAGGCCAGGCCAGGCTAATTTTTCAACTCCAATCTCAATCCTAGTCCCAACTTGGCCGCACGAACACTGCTTCGGGGGAGAGGGAAGGGGGATTTGGGTTTGGGGGAGGCAAGTAAATGAGTTCTTACGCACCTATCGGAATCGCATAAATCATCCACAGACTCAGTGGGAGATGGTACAGGGCTTCGAGGTACATGTATGCCGTAAACCAGGCGGGTGGGGCTGTGAAGAATCGATCGTTGAAGCGGGTGATGTAGTAGTTGCGGAGGGTATGAGAGAGTTGGGGTTGGAGGGAACGCGGTTCCAGGGGCCCGAGATCGATGACTGAGCCAAGTCCCAAGCAACGTATCAGAATGGTCGATAGGAATTTGGGGCGGAAGAGAAGAGGAAAGCTGCATTTGGTCGGGGGAAGGAGAATGATAGGGGATAGTCACAATGGCTGAATACTCTAATCGAGATTTGATCTTCTCAAGGCAGCGTCGAGTATGAAAGGCTCCTCCCCCTTTTTCTTTGTTGTCGTGTTCTATTTGATGAGGGTAGCCCTCACACCTCTGAGGTGCACTGTTCCATCCTGTTCATCCCAGAATCATGACCGTCCCAAAATGCAATGGGTAGTGGTATTCTGCGATGGAGTATAACCGGGAGATGTCTGAAAGAGAGGCTGAACTCACAGAGCATAACAGGGACATGCATGAGGAAGAAAATTAGATACAAAATATCGAGTTTCCTCGTGGACAGAGGACGCCGGATCTGGGCCATGTTGTTACTTTCCCCTTTCTTCTCCTAGCAAACAGCCGACGATGGAGTGATTCAGATCGAGGAGGAAAAAAGGCAATGGAGTTTGCGAGCGAGGTCCCGAGGAGTTGTTTTCACCTCGTTGTTCGTGAGTTTGAGAATTCAAGAGGGTCCGTCGAACGAGCGAAGTTGTGAGTCGACGAATCGGAAGGTCAAATCGTCAGGCTCAAGCTCTGCTCCATCTACGTATGCCTGCATTTTATTCATATTTCTTGCCGAAGCGCCAACGACATAGAAACGAAATGACGTTCTCATACTGGTTCTCGAGTAAAAGCACCAGTCATTTGTTCTCAGGTATCAATCAACCTGAAACTCCACCTAGGGCATGGAGGCACTCGGCAGGTGGTGTACGATCTAACTGTCCAAAAGATATGTTTCCCCAGTATCATTCAGCACTCTTTGATATCTCTCCGCTCAAATAAGAGACTCAATGCCCGTTCTCGAACGGTCGAAAGGCAGGCAAGGAGAATGGATGTCAGAGCATCTCGCCTGAAGGGTGTCGCTATTCTTTTTGGGAACTCGCCCATTCATTCATCCCAGAAGCTGGCTTATCTTTCCCACCACCGCCCGACAAACCTGGGTGGTCTCATCATCCAGTCCCGCTGCTCGTCCCTGCTGTAATAGTGTTTGCATGATTTCTTGAACCCGGAGTGCCCCAACCTCACTGCCGAAAACCACCGATCCCGCTCTCATGGAGTCGTGGAACCATTTGCCGACGACGTAGACCAACTCTGATACAATGTATTTTCGGTTGGAACCAATGAACGGAGAATCGCCAGAGAAAAACATCATTTCCAAGACCTCAAAAAGCTGCTCGTAAGCAATTTCGAGGTCAAGAAAGATATCCACCACCCAATGTGGAGGCGCGACAGAGCGTTGATGCTCAAAGGAATATTTCTCCAAGATCGGCAACAGCGTCTGAACGGGGAATGTCGCTTCAGATACTCGCAGTTTACTGCCTAAACTTCGAACTTCTTCGGCGATGGCTTCGAAAGGCTGGATTTGTTTCTCTTCTTCAGTTTTGTCGTGCACAGCTTGCAATAATTGTTGCCAGGTTTGCTTGATTTGCGACGAATCTCGATGATCGGCGACTTGATAGATTAGGAGACAAAGGTCGTAATAGCCGGCATTGTCTGCATAGTTGTTGAACAGTGTGTTGATATCTAGGATCGCACCGTTGACTTGACCCAGCACTTCCTGCCGTCGGTCAGGTCCCAGCCGAGGATCATCTCTCAGACGTTGAAGGATCTCGTCTTGAATCATGGCAATATCGAGTAAATCGGAGATTTCTTTGAGTAATTGTTGCTTTGACTTTCGATTGCCTCCGGGAGTGTAGGTCGACGCATTTGCCCTGGCCCGACTCAAGTACTCAATTCTTTTCTCCAGCGAGAGAGGAAAAGAGCTTCGGGCCAGCTGCCATTGAATCTTGGCTGCTTCCGCAAATTGATTGGTCTGTCCATAATATCTCCAAAGCAAATCTGCATAATGGATGTTCTCGGACGATTTGCGTTGTAAGTAGGTGACAATAAATGACGAATCGGTTGCCAGAAGTCTGTCGTCCCATCCTTGCTGAAGATACCAGTCGTACAGATTCGTCAAGAACGCTTCATCTGTGGACCGGCTGATCACATCATACGCTTCATTTCTCCTGGTAGCCGCAACGGTTGGTCGTCCGTCCACAAAGCTGGGGCCTTGCTCGGTGCTTTTATCCACGGCGATGATCACTTCGTGGATGAGATCATAACATCGACTTCTGAGGTCGAATTTCGTCTGTCGTACATCCGATTCGGGTCGACCTTCAGCCATCCAAGAAAGCGCTTCGTTGGCTCTGTCCTTCTCATGGGCCACCCGGAGCACCAACTGAATGGCTCCCGCAAAGAATTGGAGCTGGGTATATTGCTTGACGGCTGATTCTAAGTAGTCACTGGGAAGACTGTGGGCCACTTGTTCAAAAAGCTTCAGGCTTTCGTTCAACAGGTTCCGGGAGAATTCAACGTTGCCTCCCGCTTCGGCGGCCCGTTTCAGTTGTTCTTGTGCCTTAAAAATCACAACGTCATCTGCACTGCAGAAACTTCCACACTTTCTTCTGAGCGCTTCGGCGACGGTCTCGACGTTGGAACCTTTGGCAATATTGCGATTAACAATCGCCTTGACAAGTTCCTTGGCCAGTTCGTAGCCCTTCTTCGTCGTGAAGAGTTCTTCGAATGTCAGTTTCAGCATCTGTGGTCGCGAAGCCTCGGGAAGAAGTGGGAGGATTTCAGCCACCTTTTCCTCGAAAAGTACGAGAATGAATGAGAGGCCTTCGATGGTGTCTGAGGTAAATTTGACCAGCGAATGAAGCGCGCGATGCTCTCCCTTCAGGGCAATTTCATCGTCTTTGGTACTGGTGCTCGACAAATCGTCCGGTCCACTCAGCCCCTTGATAAAGCTCTTATTGGTCTTGAAAAACCGTTGAAGTGCAGACAGGGATTCTTGCACATCCCTCAGCTTCTTCAGGGGAACGGCCGGATGGATCTGATATCCGGCAGCGGATGTCGATTCAACTGCTATTACACTCTTCCAGGTTGACCTGAGCAGCCGAGAAAGATAAAGGGCAATGGCGGCGTGCCGAGGCGACGGACGAACCGCATCAATCAATGGGACAGACTTATCGGTGATCGAATTTTGGTTGATACTAGGTTTGCCACCATATTCGATAAATGTCTTTCGGGCGAGTTCAAGGACGTCAGGGTCGTTGACCCGCACGGAATGTGCATCCTTGGTCACTTCAACTCCTTGACCACAAGCCACGGCAAGGGCCGTTGCCAGGGTTTCAGTCCTTCCATAGGCCCGAATCAAGTTGTTCACCTCATTTTGGAAGCCTTCTGAACCTCCCCCTTGCCTGCTGAGAGCGGCCAAGATATCGACCAAGCGTCGCCTCCGTATAATATGGATGCCAGTATTGGTCAAAATGGCCACTTCTGGAATGGGCTTGTCGAACTGGACGGCCAAATCATTCCCATATCCAATCGCAGTGGACGTGGGCGCAGAATATGGAATCACGAGGCCTATATCTTCGGCTCGACTACCTAAGGACAGCCAGATTGCAGATTCGGCGGTGCGATTTAGTTGACCAGCTTCGGCCGGTCTCGACAGGCGCGCAGCGTCCGGAGCTGAAATAAATAATTGGTCCGTTGTCGCATTGGCATCTCTTGCGGTGAAGCAAAAGAAATATCCCGGTGAATATCTGGCGGCAAGTCTGGTCGTTGTCAGGGTCTTGATAGGTTGATGGATGCTATTTGATGGTTCTGGCACCCCCAGGATGGACGACATTCCGGGACTCGAGGTCATGGGTGGTATTTTGACGTGCTGTGCCTGCATACTGATGGGCGCCCCCGACTTGGAGGTTGGCCAATAGCCCGAACTCGTGGCGCTGAGGTAGATCCGATAACCGGTTGCTGTCGTGGCCATGAGATGATATCGGGACGCTTCTGCCGCGGGAATGGGTGATATGGACACAATCTGGACCCGAACGTTGAGGGATTCGTTCTGTGTGATGATGTGACCAATGTTGGCATATATTTCGTTGGCCGGTTTCGTGATAAGAAGGGGAAGTCCCCCGTCGGGCTTGACGTGAAAGACTCGAATATTGGAAGCAGAAGAAAGAGTGTACAGCAGGTCTCGGCTGTCATCCACCACGATCTGCTCCACATACTCCTTCGGGCCGCCAGCGAAGCTGCCGAATGTCCATGTCAAAGATTTGGCGGCACCGCTCGTGTGACAAATCTTTGAACAGCGACTCGAAAACCATCGATCTTCTTGCTGATAGGTGAGTTCGTAAATTTCATTCTCGGTTCGACCACCAAAAAAGATCCTTCCCGTCTTCGATGAGCATGCTATAACGCTGATATCGAGACCCTTGACCGAAACTGACATGCCGGTCTGGAAGAGCGATAACGTGTCTGACGCGCCCGGACTCGGGTCCGGTCCCAATCCCAACATGAAGATATCCGAAGTCGTGGCCAGAATAATGACGTGCTTAATGTGGGATAGGAAGACGCCTGCACGAGGCACTGCCAATTTCACAGCAAGAATGCTGTGCGGTTGTCCCTCAAACCCAAGCAGCTCGGGTTTGGAAGAAGTGTAATCCCACATGTACAAGGCATTGTCAATGGTGGTCCACGCATGCCTCAATTCCGCAAACAGTCCCATGCTAGTGGACAATTGCGCGTTATTGTACTGTTCGAAGATTTCGTCGGGGATTTTGTAAACACTGGCTTTTTGAAAGGGCGCCCATGTCGTTGAAGATTGTATGTCGTAGTCGGCGGAATAGCCCTGGGACAAATAGCCATCCACCTCGGGGAACCTTGACTCATTCGTCAGGGCCTCATTAACGGCGCGCGCGGCTCTTTCTAACGGTTCCAACGATTCTGGCTGCCGGATCGAGGTTTGCGCCGGAGGTTCTACCGGTCTCGTGGTGGTGAGGCTCGACGACGAAGAGGGATTCGGTAGGAGAGAAGGATGGGAAAAGGCCGTTCCTGGTGACTGAAATGAAGGTGCAGGAATACTCGGTCGCGCAGCTGGCGTCTGAGGCCATACTCCCGGCACCGGTCGTGCCGGTGTCGGGGGGACAAGAGAGGTCATGGTTTAGGATATCGGGCGCGCATGAACGTAGGGTGAAATTATTTGAGAAAATGCATCAACAAAGACGGCGCCGCTGAGCGCGGGACAGAAGAGAAATAGAAGGTCCCGTCCCAAATACGCGCACCCTACGCCGGTCTTCAGCACCCAAAAACAATGTTCAATAGACAGTTACTTCGAATGTGGACCGCAGACGCGCTAAGAAAATGTTTTAGACTGAAGTCCGCCCCCAAATCGAGTTTAGATCCAGGAACAGGCCTGGAACTTTTTTTTGGGGGGGGGGGAGCTTCAAATTCTTCACCATCATTGAAGCCGCCGATGCTGGTCACGCAGTTGCTAGAAATGACGACTACACGCACATCGAGACTATGGCTTCTTGCTGAACCACCGGTCTGTCTCCGATGCATGCACCGAAGTTCCGCCTCGGGTTTACGATGGACGTCTTCCGCATCGACCGTGGCTCCTGCGACTCCTCTTCTGACCAAGATTAAGAATGATTTGAAAGCTGCCATGCGAGCGAAGGACACTGCGAGGTGAGAGGCGTCTGACAAGAGACAATATCTGATGTTTTTTGGGGGCTGAGAAATAGGTAGATTAAGCGTTTTACGCGCCACCATCTCCGAGATCAATCAAGCCGCCAGTGGACCTACCCCGATTAAAACCGATATGCAGGTTCTTGCTCTGCTACGAAAGCGAAAATCTGCTTCCGAAGCGGCGGCAAAGGAGGCCCAAGAAGCAAAAAGGCCCGATCTGGTGGAGAAGCAAGAGAAGGAGATGGCCGTGGTGGACGAGTTGACGTCCTCGGTTCGGATGATGGATCCGCAAGAGATGAGAAAGATGGTGCAATCGACCATAGAGACGCTCAAGGGCTCTACGCAGGGCGAATTGAAGCCTGGAGTCGTCATGAAAGAGTTACTGAAGCCCGGAGGGGAGTTGACTGACAAGCAGCTGGAGAGGAGAGTGTTGGCAGAACTGGTCCGAGAAGAACTCAGTAACCAGACACCGTCATGAGAAGAGTTTCCATCGGATTCGGGCTTCTGTGGATGGCTTCCAATCCTGTGCCATGAGCACTGATCTCTTCCGCTCCAAACCTTTTTCGGACACACTCCCAACCCGGATGTGTTGAATTCCCAACGCCTCGCCACATGAATCCTTTTCACTGTCCAAGTCGTGAAATGCCCGCGATCGAGTCGGTCGGCCATCTCTTCGCTCCTTGCCGGCAAAAGGCAGAACCGTCCCTTCCCTGTCGGTCCACCAGTTTGGGCAGCCCGACAAATTTGTTGATCCAGTTGATTACCACCAGATGCCAAACCAGGCCATTCTCAGGCTGCAACACCCAATGATTTTCGTCGGGGAAGCTCAGAAATCGACTTTCAATCTTCTTCATCTGCAGCACATTAAAGGCGGCCAAACCCTCACTAATGGGCAATCTGTAGTCTAGCTCGCTGTGAACCACCAACATCGGAGTCTTCCAGTATTTCGTGAACCTGCTCGGGTCCCATTTGTCATACATCTCTTGTCGCTCCCAAATGGGGCCGCCCATGTCGTGAAGGGGGAAAAATTGCTCATCCGACGCCAACTGTCCCGTCATGCTGAACACGCCATCATGGCAAACGAGGGCCTTGAACTTGCGGCCGAGATCGTGCCCCTGGATCCAGTTCATCATGTAGCCACCATAGCTGGCTCCGAGGGCGACCGCTCGTGACGCATCCACAAATTCCACATGAGATTCGATAAATTCGAAGCCCTTGACCAGATCGTCGTAGGGAAGGCCTCCCCATTCGTTGCGAATGGCATCGGTGAAGTCCTGTCCATAGCCGGTTGATCCGGTAGGATTGGGGCAGACCACCACGTACCCCTGCTCGGCGAAGACAGCCGGATTCCAGCGGGTTGACCATTGATCGTTCCAAGCCCCTTGAGGACCGCCGTGGACAAGGTAGGCGAGCGGATACTTGTGGTCCGCGCGAAAGAACGAGGGCCTCATCATCCAAGCGTGGACCGGATGATCATTTGCTCCCTTCCACCACCAGGAGGAGACCTGCTCCGGAGAGAGACCGAACATTGCGCCATGGAGGCTGAGTGATGAGAGGACAGCGGGCGGGGAATCTCCAGAAGGATCGACGATCGTGTACAAGCTATTGTCCACGAGGCTGTTGCTGGAGACAAGCAAGAGATTGGAAGCACGGGACAACGGTGCCATGTCGATGATGTATCCACTGTGGGTCAGCTGCCGAGGACGCCAATCCGGGCCCGGAGCCTCCAACTCGAGATCAAGCGCAAAAAGGCATCCACGGCCGATATCTTCGGCTTCAATCAGCAGCGTTTTCCCATCTCCTGACCACTTCAACGAACTGGGAGACCGGTCCCAGCCTCCTTTGTTGTCCGCCGAACGCATCAGCTCCCTCGCCATGGTTTCGGTCTTGTCCAGTCCATGGACTAAGACGATGCGATTCTTGTCGCTTTCGTAACCATCAGAAGCCATTTGAAGGAAGGCCATGGATTCTCCACTTGGGGAGAACACCGGTGAGGAGGACGCTCCATCCAGCCCCGGGACGTGTATTTGGCGAAAGGTCGGGGGACTAATATCCATGAGGTCTTTCTTCGGTATAAAATAGCAGTCACTTTTCGTATGGGTGGCGGGACCCAGGGTCGGATCTTTGGCCACGATTATCAGGCCGGTGGCCCCAATATCAAAGTGGTCGGTTCCACCAAAGGGAGGGATGGGACATTCCAAGTTGGTGCCGAGGAGAGCGTTTTTGAAGCCAAGCAAGTTGTATCGACCTTGACGAGACGTGACCACGGGTTGAGATTTCTGTAGCAAGGCTGTGAAAATGGAATTTCGCTGCTCCGTGAGGTACTTATCCCACCATCGAACAAAGAGGGAGTCGTAGAGGCGAGCGGAACTATGGGATTTCTGAGCGTCTTTAGGATTATGCAAGCTTCCATCCGGATTCGCCTGTCCCGCCACGGCCACGGCGATCTTGCCCGGCTCGACAACGAAGACCTTGAGAGTCGAAACTGGACCGGGGGCCGTACCGGCGTTGTAGCACTTTCCAGGGAGAGTGGCGTCGGTGATGATGAAACTCGTATTTCCATTATCACACTGCTTCAGCCAGACAACCTCGTAGTCGGTGCCCGTCCATTTGGGCTCAATCGCTTTGGGGTCTTTGCTGATGGTCACCGTTTGACCGGTGGTAAGGTCCAGAACACATATTTCACTGGTCCGGGAATGTGTCTCGAAAGAATATGTGGACTGGGTGTAGAGGGCGAGCTTCCCATCCGGGCTGGGAAGGGCTGCCGATCGTCTGGGAGCGCTCAAGAGGACCCTACTGGGGTGAACGGGTGTCGAATGTCACGGACAAATCATGTTTGCTTACTCAGGAGTGTACTTCTTTCGGACAGTCATTGCTTCAGTGAGGACAGGGATCGCACAAGAGCTCGAGTAAAGTGCGAAGGTTCCTTGAGGAAGTCAGGAGGATGAGGAAATGGTGGAAATTCGATCAACCTCCCATCAAGCAATTCTGTTGAGAAACCAAGAACGCGGGGAAAAACCCAGCTGCGACGTGCGGTGAGTTAGGGATCTGTGTTGCGAGTGTCTGAGGCGAGACACGACAGGCGAGGCTAAACCCGTTTCTGCCGCTGTCCGGAGACGCGGAAGCTGAATTTGGATGCCCACGTGTCCATCTTGCAGGTCCAGGCATGAGAGCGACATCACGCTCGGCCATGATTATATTTCTCACAATGATCATGGTGAAGAGAGGAAGAGATGATGTTGGATCGACGAGTCTGCCGCAAGGCTTTGCCCACGAATTATTCACGGAAGCGATTTGGTGATGCTGGAGCGGGTGAAATAGGAACCGCCTACGTCAGAGGTCGCGAATCCGAGTCAGGCTGCGCCGAGCACAGAATGACAGAACATGAAACGAACATCAGCATGTGTTCTAAAGGTATCTTCGTCATGCAAAAGATTCCATCGTGAGATCGATGGCGGTCGACATAATCTCTCTCTATACACATCATATTCAAAGACATCCCGGATTTGTCTTGCCTCAAGAAGCAATAACAGCCTCGCTCCTTTAACGCCCGGCTCGAAAGCACTTTTAGGATGGGGTTTGAAGGCCTCCTCCCGAACCAAAGCCAAATCAAAGCATCGTGATCAAGCCACCTGAACTCCAAATTTCCAAACCTGGTGCACACTCAATTCCCCATCCGGCCCTTCGTCGAGAACGACGAGATCTGCATCCATACCAACGTCGAGTTTCCCTTTGCTCTTCTCTCCCAGCATCTTGGCTGGAGTGCTCGTCACGCACTCCAATGCTTTGGCCGCTCCACATCCGGTAGAGCGTCTGAAGTGGTTGACACAATCGATCAAGTCGACCACGCTGCCCGCAATGCGCCCATTGCTTTCGAGCTTGAGCAGCTTTCCTTGTTTGATGAATCGGTCCTCTCCTCGCCACTCATAGGCACCATCAGGGCATCCCGCCAATTTCTGTGCGTCGGTGACCAGGATGGCGCCTTCGGGGTGAGCCGAATATGCGATTTTCAAGGTCTGGGCAGACAAATGGATTCCGTCGGCAATCAGGCCGAAAAAAGGCTGTACCAGCCGTGCCTCTGCTTCCAGGTCCGACATCGATGTGCTGATGCTCAAGCTGGAGCGTGGCGTGGACCGTCTTGATGAGCTGGGAGAGCCTCGAGGGGAATTGGACGTGCTGGCCGGTCGGCTGTGCTTAGGCGTTGCCACGGGTGTCGAAGGCGCCGATTGTCCCAAAAGCCCGAAGATACCCGGATCTCGGTGCCCAAAAGGCCGCATCGCGTTAAAGAGATGCGTGACCATCGAGGCGCCGGCCGCGACGGCGCTTTGCGCCTGTTCAAAGGTGGCATCAGAGTGTCCCACAGAGAACACGATGCCACGGGAGACAAATTCAGGAATCAAAGACATCATCTCCCCTCGCTCGGGAGCAGCCGTGATATATCGGACATTTGGAAGGTTCGATGCACCATAGCAGTCCTCGATATCGGCCCACGAGTGCGCTTCCAGCAAAACCTCCGGATTGTGAATCCCATTCCGCAGTGGAGAGAGAAAGGGACCCTCAATGTGTGCCCCCAGGCTCTCACAGCCTTTGCTGGCATCTCGGTCCTTGCCCGAGGGGCCCAGATGAGGAAGCACGGCGTGATAAGAATCCGGTCGTGTGCTGATAACCGTGGGAACAAATGAGGTGAGGCCACTCTTGATCATCTGCTTCGTCGTGGAAGCCAACTTTGAGGCGAATTCCGCATCTGGCGTGGAGAAGTCGAAATTGTAAGAGCCATTTATCTGGACGTCGATAAATCCAGGGGCAAGTATTCTTCCCTCGAGATCCACTGTCCTGTCTGCCCTGAGATGAGAGTAGAAGGCAGACTGAGGACTGATGATCCGGCCTGTTTCGGAGGATATCCATAAATCTCCCGACACGAGTTCACCATTCCGGAGCAAATAACCGTTGACGAATTTAGTAATACCGGGAGGTGGGGAGGTCATGTTTGATGACTGGGAGAAGGACAGAAACGAGTAGGATTAGGACAAAGGAAGGGACGATTGCTCGTAGGATAACCCTACAAGAATGGAGGGGAAAAAAAAAAAGGACCAGGCAAAGAGCAGAGGGACGTCATTAATATGGAAGGAAAAAGGGTTGTCACCAGAGTCACGTCATCTCTTTTGCGCTGCTCTACTTGGCCGCCAAAAGCCGGAGGATGGGAAGCCTACGGAAATGAGCGAACCATTTACTAACCAAAACTCGCCGTAGAGATCGAGAGGCCAGACAACCGCGTATCGTGTCGAGTAGAGTTTGATCCTGTCATGTTGCAGTATGGGAGCACGTTCGGCGACACAGTTCGGTGGTAACTGGGGGAGGCACAGATGTGATGTTCGTTAACTTGGACGTCGTCTCAGCCCTATGGCTCCTACATGAGGACGAAAGTCTCGTGGACGGAAGGAGACTTGAGGCAAGTCGAGCGAATGCAACGATGGTTGTAGGGTAGCATTCAACGCCAATGGTGGTGGTAGAGAGTATGTAACCCTATGGCGGAGCGAATGCGACACTCTTATCGAGGTACCAGATCACGTGATCGATCCCCTTGCCTGCGCCCCGCGAACCTCTATCTTGCATGTCTCTCCCCAAACTGTGCCAATAAAGGCCTCGATTCGATCCCCCCTGGACCTTCAAGACACCCCGAAAGCCATGGGATCTCCCGCCTGGCATCAAAACCGTCTGCTTCCTCTCTCCAAGTCCGGAGTGTTCAGGCCGTGCAACGTGAACCATGAAGGCTCGAACCAACTAACTCTCTTACCGCAATCTATTCTATCTCTCATCCATCACGTCCCCCGCCTGATCAAATGCTGCTGTCGCTGCATCGGTATGCTACGATACTACTGCTCTATCTCTCTACCTCCTTTGTCTGCTGATAACTCATGGTAACCATTGAGCTTTTAGCGTGACGTCGCGACTCTAAGTCCACTACCGTCCATCCTCTTCTCATTACAACACAAACTACTTCTATATCCATCTTCCCCGTCCCCCGTGGTCCAAATCCTCCTCCAGCGCACGCGACACTCCACGACCAGCGACAAACACAGACTAGACTCCATTAGGGACTCCACCCCGAGAACCCGCAAGCTATCTCCGCTTGCCACCTAACCTAAACCTTGAGCCCTCACTGCAGCTCCAACGTCTGCTTCCCCGGCGCAGTCGGTGCTAGCCTCTTCTCCTCCCCCGTCACCTTCCCTCTCTTCTTGAAGGGGTCAGCTTGCTCACGGCAATGTCTGACAGTACGAACGAAAAGATGACTGCCACATCGGCTGGTTTGGCCGGCACCGAAACGCCTCCCGACGTGATGCACGAAGCCTCCAAGCCGATGGGAAAGCCGTGGATGTACAAATCATTCAAGCTGGGTCCCGTGACAATTCCGGCGTATGCCACGCCTCAATTCCAAATTGTATTCGTTGCGCTCGTCTGCTTCTTGTGCCCCGGCATGTTCAACGCAGTCAACGGCCTCGGGGCTGCTGGTCTCGTCAGCGCACATGATATCAACAATGCCAATACGGCTCTGTACTCGATGTTCGCCGGTGTCGGATTCTTTGCGGGGAGCATTGCAAACCGAATCGGTCTGCGCTTGACATTGGGCATTGGAGGTTTCGGATACTGCCTCTACATTGCCTCGATCTTGTCCTACAACCACAACCAAAATGCGGGCTTCCTCATTTTTGCGGGTGCTCTCCTCGGTCTTTGTGCCGGTATGCTCTGGACCGCTCAAGGTGCCATCATGATGGCCTACCCTCCTGAGAAGTCCAAGGGTCGATACATTGCCGTTTTCTGGATGATCTTCAATTTGGGGGCGGTTATCGGCGGGTTGGTCCCCCTGGCACAAAACATCCATTCCAAGAGCAACTCGGTCAACGACGGGACATATATTGCGTTTATCGTCCTGATGGTCGTCGGATTTGTCCTGGCTGGATTTCTCTGCAACCCTCTGCTCGTCCAGCGCTCGGATGGCTCCCGCGTCATTTTGATGAAGCACCCAACCTGGAAGTCGGAATTTATTGGTCTGTTCCAAACCTTGATCTCAGACTGGTATCTGCTGTTCCTCTTCCCTATGTTCTTCGCCAGCAACTGGTTCTACACCTACCATTTCCAAGATGTCAACTTGGCCCGGTTCAATATCCGAACTCGTGCCCTCAACAGCGTCTTGTATTATCTCTTCCAGATCGTCGGCGCCTGGGTCTTTGGGTTTGCCCTTGACAACCCCCGCCTTCGTCGCACTACCCGAGCCAAGATGGCGCTAGTGGCCCTTTTCGTGCTCACCATGATCATCTGGGGGGGTGGCTACGAATTCCAGAAGACCTACACGCGTGAAGAGGTTAATGCTGATGATTATGTCAAACTCGACTGGACCGATTCGGGCTACATCGGTCCGATGTTCCTCTATATATTCTACGGATTCTACGATTCCGTCTGGCAAACCACGGCCTACTGGTAAGACTCCTTGATTTTCCCCATCAAACCAATCACCAGCTCACACGCGTCTCAGGTTCATGGGATCTCTCACCAACAACGGCCGTAAATTGGCCAATTTCACCGGCTTCTACAAGGGAATCCAATCCGCCGGTGGTGCTATTTCGCCGGTCCTTGATTCCAACAATGTCGCTTACATGACACAATTTGCCGTCAACTGGGGGATTTTGGGAGGCTCACTCCTCATTGCAGCCCCTGTTATCTGGCTCAAGGTTAAGGACACCACCGATCTTGATGAAGATCTCAAATTCAGTGACGAGACCAAGGCAGATGTTGCCCCTACCAGTGCTATTGTTGGTGCAGAGGGTATGATGAGTGAGAAGATCTAGCGGCACGGATGGACACCCGTAGCGACTATGCAGAAAGAGGAGAGGAAAGGAAGAACAAGATTTGGAATATTATTCTTATTTTTCCTTTTTTGGTTTGTCTGGATCTAGAGCAGAAATGTTCAGATCCGAACTCCCATCAAGCAGAGGTCGATTATCCTGTGGCCAGACCCGTGACGTCCGTGGGGATCCTTGACGATGAGTGGAAGGCGGGAGCAAGAAAATTTTCAATCCCCGTGTATCACCATAGGAGTTTGTGATCTGGCCTGATGGGAACCTTACCACATGAAATCCGACATGCCTTACCGTATTATACCTAATACCTCCTGTGTCTTACTATCGATCTTTCTATCTATACCCTACTACTAGTACGACGAATCTAAATATACAGCTAGTTGAGCTCGATCTTCGCTTCCCTCGCAGCCATTCTGCTCCTAAGAACGCTGGCACTGATATTTCGGTGAAGACCGTGCTGGGCTTCGTATGGATGATGACTGTGGGGTGGATATGAGGTGTCACGTGCACGGCTCTGACAAGGCTGGGACAGCACAAGGACTCCGATAGCAGGATATTATCAAGTTGACATTCTGGAACTTCATCTGAACCATGCCATGCAGGTCCAAAGCTCCGCGCAGTCATGTGAAGGAGGATATAAGAAGCAATGGCGTGAAATGGAAAGTACCAGCTTGGATTGGGCACACTTAATTTTCAAGCTCTGGGTTGTCCGCTTCTTGCTACCCGCGAGCACCATGGGTCCTTCAATGGAACGACGCATTCTTGTGACATTGACCCCGTGAAACAGCGCAAGCACGCTTCCATCGATCACCGGCCCACTTCCTTCCTGTGCTAATCTGTATCGAGTTCGAGATCTCTTTGTAATTATTTAACCCTCGGGAATAGGGATCTTCATGATAGCAGGATTAAGGTCTATGCCAGAGGGCTTGCTTTGATGAGTACTAGTTTTGCCGCTCCAAAGTTCGAATTGATGGTTGCAGTTATGTTCGAGACTGGGAGAACTTTGGTTCGCTCTGGCCTCTTCTCTTCGGCTGCCGGTGTGTCTTGTTTAGTCTGTTTCAGATTGCAGTCAGCGATGCTGGAGATTCATCTTCGTCCTCGAAGATGGTCAATTTGATCTTCCCTAATGGTTCAACGTCTTCAAATTTCTTATCCATTCTGTTCTTATATTTTCTCTTGAGAGCCGAGCTCGTTCCATTTTAGCACGGGCGTGTCATTTGACACTTTTCAGAGCAACATCAGCCAGATACCTACTTGTCATGCCCCGAAGGTCGGCCAAATCTTGTTGGAGAGCCGTAGGAAGTTTGTTCTGCTGCAAAATTTGAAATTTGGCAGCCAATGTCTCTCTGCAACTCTTGACTTTTGAATTCATACCGTCCGCTTCATGAACTTCTTCCATTCGAGACTGCATGGAGTTGTCCAAGATGTCTATCTCTTCCTCGAGTTCTGATCCGGCTTTCGAATCTTGCTTCTTTTTGCCTCTCAATGATTGGTAAGTACTGATCTTCCTTTTCAGGTTGGTGACAGATTCTCTCGCATGACATGTGATGTGATGGCGCTCCATAGCTGATAGAAAGGGTGGGGGTCCAAGGTGGCCACTTCAAATTAGAAAGAAGCTTTTGAGCGAAGAAACGCCTGTGTGAAGCAGCAATATCAACTCATTAAGTCCAACTCAAAAGTGAAAATCTCGCCTACTCCCAGCTGCAGACAAAGTTTCTGATGAATTTGGATGGCAAATGGAGGTTCGAGGAGGAGTGACGGATGCCTGCATCCTGGGCAGGTACATCTTCGTTTCAAGCCTGGATTGCATCCAGACCAAAGCTGCGCCTACTTGTCCCTTCATAGCACACCCCTGCTTCCCACTACCACCGTCACTTGATCATGCATAGCTTTTTTAGTAGACTCACAACCTCCTCGAGCTTCCTGTCGACCATAAAGGCTAATATTCTCTCTATCACTCTTGTTTCACCTCTGTATCTGGTGTATTGGCGTAGCGGAGAAGTTGGAAGGAGACGGCAGCAGGATCGTAGCGTTCGAGGATGAGGGTGGTCTCAGTCATGGCATTGTTCAGCTCCCTGAAAACGGCACGTCACTCGTGAATGCAAATCTTCTCCTTGAAGGGAGCTTCGGCATCACAGGTCGCATTCCAGTGGTCAGAATCGTCTTTTCACTGGTTCTCGTTGATATCTTCCACTTTTTTCAAGCTCCTCGCTGAGATCTTGGGTGCTGCCACCTTCATCTTCGCAGCTTCCTCGGTCTCTGTCGGTTTGACGCTCAATGAACTCGGGGGATCGTGAGTTTGGATCGGGCAGCTCCGATCGTTTCGAAGACTAGTTCGATGGCAGAGAAATGGAGACGAATGCGTACTGACTGATTGCGAGATTGTTAGCACAATTTCGAGTACTTGAAGAGGGTGTGGAGAGCTCACGGCTTCTGTAAGTTCTGAGAAGTGTCGTTATTGGCCTCAGATTTCGCTTTCGAGTCGGCCAGCGACATGACTGTGGTGACTTTTCGCTATAGCTATTGTCGATGACCAAGACTGGATGTAATATGGACAGAAACTTTCGTTGGACCGATGAAAGATGAGATGTGGCTGCGATTTGATTTCCAGGTCCATCTCACATATTCTGCGCGCCAAACAGCACCGCGCTCACGTCTAACTGAAATCACGAGACTCGAAGTGAGTATTTCACATATACAACAGGGATCCCAATGACATGTGAAATCATCGACCGCTTACTTTAGTATCAAATGCATATTTCTGTCAGAATCAAACTTCTTCGCTCAACCAGAGTGCCGATGTTCTCAGCAGCAAAGCGTTGTCTCCTCTTGCTGAATCAGCTACCTTACCATTATTGGCATTCCGACAATTAATTGCGACCGTTGAATTCTAAATACATATTCTAGCCGCATAACATACGAAAGCAAGGTGAATGAAGTAAGGAGGACGAGGACGAATTGTGCCAAACGGACAAACATGCCAAGGAAGCAGCAAAATTGGATTTTCAGGAAAGGGGATTCAGCCTCGCCGTGCAGAACCATTCCTTTAACAGTAGGCGTGGACGCGAAGCACTTCCAAGGACATTTTTCATGACGAATAATTCATGTATATGGAGACGCCCACCCTTTCATTGTCACATAGGTTCCTTACACCCGTTCATTATAAAAATGGTTTTAGCACATAGCTGAGGGAACGCTTCCAAAACACCTGAATGACCTGGACATCAAGCAAGACATTGCCTTAAGGAACAAATTCTCACGACGCAGATCGATCACGCTCCCGTTGCTTCTCTTTCTTGCTCTGCACCAAAACGACCTGCTCCGCAACATGGAGACTTTCTCTCCTTACACCGGCACTGGCATGCACACTTGAACCTAATCTGCCACGTCGTATCTCTCGACTCTGTCTGTCTTCGATGTTTTCGCCTAGGAACAAGCCCAGCCCGCCATCAGTGCTCAACGAGGTGATTGATCCAGGCCCCAACTCTATACCGGGCTCAGCACGGGGGGTGTTCGTCCCAGAGGAATGCGAAAGAGGTTCCAATTCCGCGGGCTCGGCGGAGAGTGGCGTTTCCGGCGAGGTGATCATGTGCTTGTCTGGGCCCGGTGTTGAAGGTCCAGCTTTCTCTTTGGTCGGATTGAGCTTCGTATTCCGCGGACTCGACGATAAGCTATTGGCAATTCTCGCTTCAAGCCCGCCTGCCCCGTCGAAGTTGTCATTCAGCTTATCCAACTCGCCTCGATGTCTTGCTTTCCTCCATTCTTCCAGCAGTACGGAATCGTCGTCTTCTTCATCTTCTCCGTCATCGCTTCCCTCAAAGAAATGATCACTCCATCTGGCACTGTCTTGTCTCGCTAAGCGCGCCAACGCGGCTCTGCCCGAATTCATGCTGCTGTAGCTGGTCGCATTACTGCTTTCACCGGTCACACTCACTCTCGAAACGAGCTCTGATATATCGTCGCGGGATTCGCGGATCTCTGACTCCGTCCGACTGTTGCGCTGGCGCACGCCGTCCTGCACTTTCCATTGAGTGTGCAATCCTTGTAACTCATCATGCACGCCGTCAATTTCTTGTGGACGAACCGCTGTGAGGACGACATCATCTGCGCTTCGCGGCCAGGGCGGCCCATCCGTTTCGCCGTGCTTCCTTTTGCGGATTTCTTCCTCGGCCTCTTCTGCCGGCATGTCGGTCTGGCCTTTAACCTGTTCCCCTCCGGCAGCGACGCCCATATGACTTGACCTCGCCCGGTCGGTGGTCTTCTCATCTTCATCCCGTGTCTGTGCCGCCGCGGTATATGCAAAGTGTGTATCGCACACGTGCTTGACAACAGGCCAGCCATAGGCGTTGGCGAACATTCGGCGTACGATCATGTTATTGTGAGCATCCGGTTCAAGTCGAACTAGAACTTTGCGCCACGACAGGTCCTTATGATAGGCGCGTGCGATTTTCTCTTCAATCTTCATCGTGCCGACTGTCTGGCTCGAAGTGGAGGACTGGCTTGACGGAGGGCGGTGAGGATCGGTCGGAGTTGTCGGCGAGAAGAGAGATGGTTGGGATCCATCGCAAGAGGAGGATCGTCTAACCATGAACGTTCGTTGTCGTTTCGCTGGAGGCGGTGGAATGTCTTGTGGATGGTAGACTCGGTCATGCCATATTGTTCTCGGCCGGGCCCGGGGGTCGATGAGGAAATCCCGTGGAGGCAGAGGAGGGCTGAGGACATCGCCTGCGGATTCGAAGAATGTCGTCCGTGGCGGGGCCTCTACGTCGCCGATTTCAGTGCTGTTGGTATACAACGATGACCCTCGAACTAGACCCTTCTGACCATCGCATCCGTCGTTGTCATTGCATTCTCCAGAACCCTCTTGTGAAGTGTCTTCTGACGGAGCAGGGTGATGGTGCATCGTTTGCCCGCGACGATAGATCTTTTGTGTCTTTCGGGGACTCTTTGGCTCTGGTCTGTGATGACCAGCATGTGGCTTGAAGAAATTGAGTAATTCTGTCCATAGATTCGGGGCCGAGAAGGTTGAGGAAGCACCCCCCGTGCCGTGTTCTGAACTGAGCGAAGTGGCCTTTTCAGCCAAAAATTGACCCTCATCTGGCTCGGCCCTTTCGTCGTAATCAAATCCTTGACTTGCCTCCGCCTGAGGAACACTCGATTGTGGGTCTGGCGATGACTTGCCCGCATTGCTCACATCGTCGCCGCTATCGCTGAAGAGGTCATTCCACGTCAGTGGTTTCCGAGGAGCAGTGGCATTTTGACCGGTCATCTCTGCCCACCCCCATCCCACCATTGTACCTACCAAACCACTTTCCCGTCTGGCTTTCTCGACTCGTCCCAGGCCTCTCCAGTCCAAGAACAAGAGACAAGATGTTCTCAACGGTACTATCCCATCGTTGACCACATTCGAATAGACGGTACGATTTCGAAATTTTTGGAGAGCAACATGGGCGGGGCCCGTCGGCAGGATGCGAAGTAACGGTTTCGCTCCCGGATCAGGCTCTCTCAGTCCCTTTTGTGCTTCGTTTGTTAAGCCACCAATGACGGCACCCCAGCCACTCTTTGCAAGGGTGGGTGGCCGCCAGGTAAGTCCCAGATCCTGCCCGGTGCGGCCTACAAGGCCAAAATCAAGTGCGAACTTGACATAGACTGGATTCTCATTGCTCAGACCGAGGAAAGGGCTAGCCATTGCCACAAAATTGACAGGCTTGATCAGGTCAAAGAAATCCGGCGAATGCTTCTGAATATAGGCAATGGCATACGTTTGTATGAGTCCACCGAGAGAATGACCGACAAAGCTGATACTTGAAATTTTGTAGGGAAGATTGTGGTTTCGATGGTTCTCATCTTTGATGATGCTGCTGTTTTTGTGGGCAGGCTGCGCTCCATCTTCCGGTGTCGGTTTCGACGTGGCCAGTGATTCGGAGAGAGATTTGCCTAGCGAGCTCTTAACTGGTAGGTATGGCTGATCGGGGTAGGTAATTGAAAGAACATATTTGGCGAATCTCTTGCCGAGATATTGAATCCCACGTTCTGTCTTGACCGCGTTGCCATGGAATCCTCGCACATAGACTTCCTCTTCCTCTTCATCTGAAGTTTCATATGCATCCTCCTCGGTGCCTGTGATCGCCACATCGGGTGCAGATTTTGATTTCTGGTCAATAGCATCTCGCCCAAATTGATTAGACGCCGTCACCCGTCGGGCTCTTCTTTCCGATCGTCTCCGTCTAGCATCTTCCCGTGCCTGCTTCGCCGCGGTATCGATACTTTCCTTCATGTACAGCATATCTGCACCCAAGTTACTGTGCAGACCATGAGTGAGCAGGACAAGATGGATTTTCTTTTGTTTGCGCTGCTTCTTGTCAACCTTGGCGCCGATGTCTCGCTTGTCGCCAAGTCGGGGTCCTTCCTCCCCCTTAACTTGACCATCCTCGTCCCACTCGGGAAAAGGGGGTTTGTTCCAAAGGCTCTGGGTGTCGTCAGTAACCAGTTTGACTGCTTTGGAAAAGACGCCCTTGGGGTATGCAGCATTCCTCGACCGGCTTTGCTGGTGGTCCTCTAATCTTCCCGGCGCACCATGTCCCGACCCGATGGCTCCGTGAAATCCCAGGTCGACCGACTTCTCGTCTCGTCCGACAAGGACTTCATAGTGCACGCTGGCCGTCTTCGAGAAGATGACTTGCGAAGCCACTTCTACGATCCACGTAAAACTCTTTTGCTCACCTCTCCCCGCAGCGCCATGCCCGTCGTTACCATGTTGAGCATCACGGCGCACCTCGTCTGGTATGGTCAGTTTAGCACTCCACTGCCCGCCCGCTTTCAATTGTGGTTCGAACTCGGGGGCCCCCTCTTCCTTGACTCTTTCATGTTTTTGGTAAGGATCGAATGTTGAAGGATAGCAAGCTACGTAGAGGGTGTATGGTCCATGTAGATAAGCAGCCCGCAAAGGGATCGCGGCGGTGTTCTTGATCTTGACATAGAGATGAGAAGGAAGCGGGAGTATGCGGTCCTGGCCGGGAGTGTAGGTCACTGTGTATCTGGGAGAAATATGTCAATAGCCATACAATTGCCGGAAGTTATCATGTCTTACCGTACAACTTCACCGACCTTGACGGAGCCTGTCTGGTGAAGGAGTAGCATGGTGGATGATTTTTCAGCACGCGACCGGGTACATCGTCCTTGGATCCCCCTTTGGCATTATCAACGGCACGATTGGGGAGTGTCGGTAGGTCGCGGGATAAGACAAGCCATTTTGCACAGCCTCAAGTCAGCCGGCAACTTGTAGACGGCATAGCAGCAAAAATAAGACGACACGTTCATAATTCGGGAGAACTCGAGTTGTGATTTATGACATAACTTGGAGGACATCAGTCACATGCATGCGGCCTCAATGAATGGTGCCTTATTATGACTAGCCTGATTATTCAGGATCCGACGGTATCTATCAATTCCCCGATATCTTCTATCTACCAGATTTTCATCGTGTCACAGGGATGTGGTCGAGCTTTTGCTCCCCGAACGGGTTTGTACGCCGATGCGGCCATACCCAAGTCTACAGAAACACCCAATGGCCACCCTTAACAAATGAATATACAGCGTTAGCAAAAGAGCTTCGTCACCGTGCTCACTTCCCGCTTTTGCCGTCACGGAATTCTCTGAGAGCAGACTAACAGGACAATGGTGAAAAATGCCGACGTCAAGAAGACATAGGCTGATCCGTGTGGGTATCTTGCATATGCGTTTGAGAGAAGACCGGCAAGATGGACCTGATAAACCTCCGTATGTGTCGTCTAAATGAAGATGAGTCTCCATACATTGGGTTCCCAGGGAAGAAAAACACCACGACCAACATCATCCCTGGAACTGGACGGCAGTACTACCACTAAAAAGACCCACAAAAAGCCTCTTTCACCAGCCAAAATGTTCGAGGGGCGCAGTTGGAGCAGAGATCCCCATTCCTTACCGCATGGAGATTTCGTCGCGTGGGAATCTCATTCGAACGTCCGGATCCGGGTTCCCAATCAACAAGTCATCGATATGGCCTGGTGTTTTCAAGGCCGCGAAAAGATGGTGTTCGGCAAGAAGGAAGCGGGAAGCTTTTCTCTTCCGAGCTGTAGTGTATATGCTGAGACTGCAAAGCCACAGTTCGCTGCTGATCATGCCATCGAAAGAACCTTCGCAGGACATGGAGGTCAAAGTCTTCGTCGCTCATCTTCACCAGTTGTCGCTCTTCATCGGCATAATGAGAGGGTATGAGCCTGTGTTAATTGGTGGATGATAGTTATAAATAGTTTCAACCATGAGAAGTAATATTTGTGCGCTAATAAGAGAAGTCACGCCCGAGCTTCCCCAAGTCCACTGTTGGAATGAATTGATCCAGAAGACCATGAACATTGCGTTACATCTATTTCGCCCTTCCTGGCAACCACGGGTACGCTCTCCACACGGGAAGCCACAACTGCTCATATATACACAAAATTCAGTTGACCAGGCTTGGGGCCATCTCGTAATGAGTTTTGATTGCCTCCTCCGTCCCATCATAGTTTAGATTTCAACATGTCATTCGGAGTGATCAGAGGATCATACGATCGGAGACCAAGCGTGTCCTGAGGTACCGGAGCCGTATGGTATTTCAAACCGGCTGTATCCACCATGTCGGGCGTTAAATCTTCAATTTTAGAGGCCCCGATGAGCCTCATATTCATCACCATTTCATCTTTCAACAACTGCATTGCCCGATCCACGCCCGGTAGACCATAAGCAGACATGGCGAACAGGAAAGGTCGTCCAATACCTACACCTTTGGCTCCTAGACAAAGAGCTTTGATGATGTCCGTCGCTCGCCGAACACCACCGTCGATGAAAATCTCAATCTTATCTTGCAGGCCGCGCTCGCGAAGCATAGGCATCACTTCCGCGAGCACTTCAACACCAGATCGTGCAAAGTCTAATTGTCGACCTCCATGGTTGGAGAGAACAACGCCATGAACTCCCACTTCAATAGCTTTCAGGACATCCTCGACTCTTTGAACGCCCTTGAGGATGATTGGCATCTTGGTAATGCTCAGGAACCAAGGAATATCTTTCCAATTGAGACTGGGATCAATAAAGCTAGAAATAGCTCTGGCGGCACCCTGTGATCGGTCTACATTCTCACCACTAGTGTTTTGAACGTTGGATCCGGTATCTGTAAATTTGCTGCGCATGTCCTTCTCTCGTCTACCGAGCTGAGGAGCGTCGACCGTGATGAAGAGACCTTTGCATCCTCGAGATTCGGCGTGCTGAACAATGTTCTTGGTAATTTCTCGGTCTTTGTTGACATATAGTTGGAGCCACTGGCATTGATCACCCTCCCGCGCATCACAAATTTCGTCGAAACTGCAGGAAGCTAATGTCGGGATCATTTGAATGACATTATGTTTCTTCGCTCCTCGTGTCAAAACCACCTCGCCTTCAGGATTGCCCAGTTTTCCGAGAGCAGTGGCCGTGACGTAGAAAGGGATGTCGCATTTGGTCCCGAGGAGGGTGGTGCTGATATCAACGTTTTCGACGTCCACCAAAATTCTGGGCCGGAACCAGATCTTATGGAAAGCAGAATGGTTCTCCCTCATGGTGATTTCATCATCTGCACCGGAACTGTAGTATGCCCAGGCTGGCTTTTTCATGACGTGCCGTGCGACACTTTCGAAATCCATGAGATTATAGCAAGCTTCGAGAGGTGGCATGTTTTTGATGCGTTCTTGTCTCGCCTTCTCTTCCGGGCTTTCCTCTTTCTCTTCCTTCTGAACTGTCTGCATGTTCACTGCTCCCAGGTGCTTGTCCTTGGGTAGGAATTTGTCCAAAGTGTCCGGCGGATGGATCGGGTCGAATTCTTCGGTAGCATCTTTGCCTGCATACTTGAGAATGATCTTGGGACCACCGGGATGTTCTGAATCCGGTGTGTATCAGTAAATGGGGTTGGGGGCCCACGGAGAGCTCACGAACCGGGCAAGAACTCTGTCACATCATAGGCTTTTCCATGTACGATCACCCAACAAGAATCGCGCGAGTTATGCTTCGCCACTTCCTCTCCAGAGAGAGTGCCGACATCTGGACGTTCTCCTTCGTCTCTGTTCATCTCCGGATATGAGTTCAACCAGAACGCAACGACGAGTCTCTTTCCACCTCTGGCGGGGAGCTGGGGAGGAGAGGGAGGCGATGTAGAATGCAAGCACAACAAGGACGCAGAGGAGAATTAAGTATCGGAGTGCTGGTTGTGTAATGTAGATCCATCTGGCCGGGGATTGGGCAGAAGAGCTGCACCTGCAAGGGGGGTAATCGCGGGACATTCTCGAACGTCATGGGGTCGTAAAGAGGCGGGGACAAGATCGATGTGAACGATGACGGGGTTCGCACCGTCCATCCACTTCAACGGTCGGCCATGGTCTTCCAGCCGCATCTTTCGGTGTGCCTCGCGGGGGTGGGACTAGCATTGTTACGCCCGCGCCCGCTATCAAAAGATTCTGCAAATGCAGTAACGGAAAGTGTCCGTATGGAGGAACCAGCAGTCCTGTTCCACCTCGTGTTTCTGAGACAAGACGTAGCGAGATCAGTCAATAGGTAGTATTTACCCAAGATTCGGGAATTGGCGGACTTGTCACTCTCGTCATGGTCCAACCCCTGACGTGGCAGGCTGTGAGCAGCGAGCGCTCATTAGGCCTGTATAAATGATAAATAGCCCCTCGATTTCTCGATGCCTTACTGCAGTGATCCATTTCCCTCGTCGTCATCAGAGTGTACGCGGCCATTCGGCACAATCGCCAGTGTCCGCGTGATAATGTGTCTATTGTTGTCGATAAATACTGCTCATCAGTGGGCTCGTGCTCCAGTACCTGTTTTGTCACAGGAGAAATCACACAATTTTGGCGGGGTTCAAGAGTCGAATTGGCTTTGGGGGGCCAGCCTCCCGCAACCTTTTGCCCAAACCAAAACCAAAACCAGAACCAGAGCCAGGAACTAAGACAAACTGCGCACCCTCTTTTCTTCAGATCGCTGTTTTCCTTTGTCTTTTCGGTTTCGTTCTTGGAGCTGACAGTCACTGTCCAGGAGACTACAATCCGTACCAGCTGACCTTTCTGACCACCCAACGTGACTGACGGAGCTACAGCATCACAATCATAGGCCCCCCTCCCCTACGACAGCACTGCCTCTTTCCTTCACAAACATGAGATAGAAAAATCAACTGTGAACCTCCTTTCCCGCCGTTCCCTGTCCTGTTCCCATTTTCTCGCCAAAATGAATCCCTCTCCTCCTGTCATCACTACTACCGCTCCTCAGCCCATTCCTGCCTCCTCAATCGAGGCGAAACTCGTCGTCCTTGGAGCACAAGGCGTTGGGAAGACTTCACTTGTTTCCCGCTTTATAAACCCGACTGCACCGTTGTCCAAAAGTGTGCAATCTACCATTGGTGCCTCGTTTGTCACCAAACGCATCACCGACCCAGACACCTCGACCACCGTCCGCCTGCAGATATGGGACACTGCAGGCCAGGAACGGTTTCGCAGCATATCTCGACTCTATTATCGCGGCGCGAACGCCGGTCTTCTCTGTTACGACATCACCAATGAAAGGAGCTGGGAAGAAATGAAAACATGGCTGGAAGAAATGAAGGAAAATTGTCAAGATGGAGACGGCATGCCTATCATCCATGTGGTCGGGACAAAGAGCGACATTGTTGCAGACGATCCTTCACGCCGCGAAGTTACATTTGAGAGGACCATTGCCTATGTGGCCGAACATTTGGGAGGTGTCCATGCTCAAAGTACAGCCTCGACCCCTCCTTCGACCACGAAACCAGGCAATGTGGCCCACCAGAGCCCCGACTCGAAGCGAAGCTCGGGATTCTGGAACCAGGACATTGGTTGGGATAGCTGCCACGAAGTCAATGCGAGGGATGGGGAAGGAATTGAAGAGGTATTCCGAGTGATCGCCAGGAAATTAATCGAGCAGAAGCATCAAAAAGACACTGCCGAGTTTGCACGACGGCAACAGACTCCCGGATACCGGAGCGAAAACGGAGAAGATTATTTTGGAGGGCCACACGGTCATTCTGGCAGCTTTAGAGTCGGCTACGGAGATAAACGACGAAGCTGGCTCGGGCTGCCCGGCGTGGGACTTGGAATTGGTGATTCCGAAAGTGGAGGACCCGGATTCGGCACTCGTGACCCCGAAGAGGCACGACGGAGAGGACGGTGTTGTTAATCTGCTTGTGAAGGATTTTTCTTCATTTCGGGCGTTAATTGAAATTATGGCCTCCGGCTCCCGACCAGGTGGACGGGTGAGGAATGCGATACATCAGTACGGCGTTCGATCTGGAAAATTTGCAAGGATGAATGGAGACGAATGGGCGGGCTCGAATGATTGCTTTGACCTGGCTTCTTTTATTAAGGGTGGAGCATTCGTTTTCCCTTTGTCCAGATCAGCAGGATGACGATTATGCGATGACTACACCACTCAGTCGGACCGCTTTGAAGCATGGAATATCACGTTTGCATTGTACCGGAGGGTAAGCTCAGGCTTAGACTACTCAGATCTCAGGAATAAAACGACTTGTTACGGCCGTGGTTCGTATTCTGAAGACCTGACAGTGGACGAGGCTGAGCCAGAGGAGCCGTCCCTCTATACCGATGAATGTACCAATAACAGGACAGAGTCGGGTCGCCACAGTAGTCATAACATGAGCACATCCCATTGGTCTTCTTCTCTGGCAACGGCCTTGGCTCGCCGAGAGAAACAATGGTCTGCTTCGGGAGCTTCTTGAAGCTTGAACGAATGGAAAATTGGGTCGAACGGTGGCAAAGAACAAATGACAAGGGGAGGGGGAGGCTTGTCGCTGCTCATGTACAAGTTCGTCGCCGAGGATCTCGACGTTGCACTGGCACCGCAGATCGCCTTTGACTTTTGAAGCGGACGATACTACGACCCTCCAGCTAATGGCGGTCCCTACTGTGATGATTGGCTTCCTAGTTATTTCCATCAGTCAAGTTATTCAAATTTCCCCAGATGCTCGTCGCTTCACTGCGGCCGAACTGGAGATGCCGCAAAAATCACCACACCTCAGGTCATGATCCTCGTCGGTTGGTGGACGCCGTGCTCTCCTGAACACTTCACAACCCTGCTGGGGCGAGGAACAGCACATACACTAACCGTCACCAGGTTGCTCTCCTCCTTCGAGGGGGAGAATCCTTCTGATTGTCTTAAGAAAACTTGCGCCGCGATGCTGCTCTAAAACTTCCACCTCTCGGCTTTCTCCCGTCGTGTCTTTCTATTGTCCTGCTTTATCCCCTTCCAGCCAAAATGTCTGACCGAACGAACGAGAAAGAAATCGTTAGTGACGATGGGTCTCCTCGCAATGCCTCCCCCAACGATCTCGATCCTGAAAAACTCAACGATCCAAAAATGCGGAAATTGGCAGGGGAGATCACATACGCAGATGAGACCGACCCGGTGAACACACAGCATAATCCTCTGGCTCAAAAGCTACGATCACGACATATGCAGATGATTGCAATTGGTATGCACCACTAGATGTTCTCACCTCGTTCTCCGTTTCGAAGGCCATACTAATAGCTACCAGGTGGATCCATCGGCGCGGGTCTTTTTGTCGGTTCAGGTAGCGCATTGCGAACTGGCGGGCCAGGTAGTGTCCTGCTGGGCTTCATCATCACGGGCTTCATGCTGTTGTGCACGATGCAAGCCCTGGGAGAGCTGACCGTCCTCTATCCAGTCAATGGCGCTTTCTACACCTACATTGTCCGCTTTGTCGATCCGTCCTTGGGTTTTGCTGTCACCTGGGACTATGCAATCGGTTGGCTAACCGTCCTGCCCTTCGAGCTTACCGCGGCGTCCATTACCATTGAGTACTGGAGGGATGATATTCACGTTAGTGTCTGGATCACCGTCTTCTTGGTCTTCCTTTGCCTGGTCCAAATTTTTGGAGTGCTCGGCTATGGTGAGGTGGAATTTGTCCTGTCTATGATGAAGATCCTCGCATGTGTCGGCTTTATTATATTTGGTATCGTCGTTGACTGTGGCGGCGTCTCTTCGGATGATCGTGGATATATCGGTGCTCGGTACTGGCACGATCCTGGCGCCTTTCGAAACGGATTTAAAGGCTTTTGCACGTATGTCATTGCTACCAGCTCCTCCGGAATCCATACTAACCAGTAACCAGCGTTTTTGTCACGGCCGCTTTTGCCTTTGGCGGCACGGAGCTCGTTAGTCTTGCCGCCGCTGAAGCGGCCGATCCACATCGTTCTCTACCCAAAGCAACTCGACAAGTCTTCTGGCGTATCGCCACGTTTTACGTCCTTTCATTATTTATTGTCGGCCTGATTGTGCCGTCCGACAGTCCTGATTTGTTGGGGGCTAGTGGCGCCAACACGAAGGCCTCTCCCTTTGTGCTTGCGATCAAGTACGCTGGGGTCAAAGGGCTTCCGTCCGTCATGAATGCTGTCATTACGATTTCGGTGATTAGTGTAGCGAACAGCTGCACGTATGGATCTTCGAGAACGATGCAAGCACTTGCAGCAAGAGGGATGGGCCCGAGATTCCTCATGTACGTCGACAAGCAGGGAAGACCGCTCTGGTGCATCGTGATTCAACTTCTGTTTGGCTGTCTGGCATATATTGGGGAGGCAAATGCCTCAGACACCATTTTCACTTGGCTGTTGTCTCTGTCTGCGCTGAGCTTCCTCTTCTTGTGGGGCAGTATCAATCTTGCTCATATCCGTGAGTATACTGCTATGACCTTGCCGCCTGCTTTGGGAAACTCTGCTAACGAGGAACCAGGCTTTCGGCACGGATGGTAATATACGATTTCCTTTTGCGGCCAATATCAATGCTAATATCTTGTCAGGTACGCACACGGCTTTACCAAACATCAACTTCCATATCAAGCAGCTTTCGGCATTTGGGGCTCCTACATTGGCGTCGCTCTCAATCTTCTTGCGATCATCGCTACATTCTACACCTCTCTCTTCCCGGTCGGCTCTAGTCCAGATGCAGAAACCTTCTTTGAGCAATACCTCGCTGCGCCCATCGTTATTGCACTGTACCTGGGCTGGAAGGCCTACACGAGAGACTGGAAGCTATTTATCCGATCCAGTGAGATGGACGTGACTATGGGCATCAGACGAGGAAGCCTTGAGATTGCAGCGGAGAAAGGAAGAAGCAGTTGGACTAAAGCGCTGAGAATTTTCATCTAGGCCCGTATTCGTTAGGCTCATGCCTAGGCCAACCATGGGAAGACAGGTCCAATGTATCAGGACCTCTGAACAGTGATGTTCCGGATAATCTGCTAGAATAACACGATGTTTTCAAATTCGACCGATCTCAAGTCTAATAAAAGGTTTGCTCTGAAGGATCACGTCACTTCAATCCCTTCGATGCAGATCATGCACAGGGCGTACCAACACCGGCCGACAATGCGCCGAGCGCTTTCTCCATAATTGTGGTATATCCCCACCACTCGGTGAGCCACGTACAATCCTGGGTCAAGCATACGTCACATACGCCATACTCTGGCCTTGTTAGTCTTCCGATAGCCCGTTATCTATGGCTCTCCGTTAGAGACTTATTGTACCGAAGGGACCACTTATACCGAAAATGGGTGGAGCATGATCAGATGAGTGGTTTCACACCACAGGATCTCGCTGTAGATGCCAGCGAGAGCGTACCCTGACGACAGATGATAGACGGTTCATTGCTCATCACGGACAATTCAAACCCCCAGCCATGGAGGGAGCCCCCAGATGCCCCGGAGTTGCCTACAGGTGGAGGGACCCATACATAGCTGATCTTCTCCAGGAGAAACCCCGAGGGCAAAACGAAAAATATATACCATTTACGCCTCAGATTCAACATGGACCCACTTTCGAGAATCTGTTCTCTTCCATCAGGTGGTAGGAGATTGTCGAGTCCCGGACGAACCATGCAATTGTGGAAGCACAGTTTCACAGGCAAGACCTTGGTCTTCGCCGTCACAGCCGCGTCATGTCAGGCCTTTCTTCTGCTGGGCTATGATCAAGGTATGGCTGTTCCAGCCAGAAAGTCAAGAATAGAGGACTTACAGATGATTCTAGGTGTGATGGGAGGAATCATTGGAGCCAACAACAAGTTTGGAGTCGATTTCAATCACCCCGATGCTGATATGCAAGGCAACATCACTGCCTTGTACGATAGTAAGTTTTGTCCATTGAATGCACGAAGATTTGCCCTGCCCATCTTCACCTTTTTCAACTGGCCGATGAAAGATGGTGAACACAGATAGCTGACGGAATGCTTCTTTCCTTCTCTAGTTGGCTGCGTTGTTGGCTCCATCATCACCTATTTCATCGGGGAGAGAATGGGGCGACGCACCTTACTCATCCTAGGCGGCTCCATCATGATAATCGGCACAGCTATCCTGGCATCATCGTATACCATCGCTCAATTGATCGTGGGCCGCATCGTCACCGGTATTGGAAACGGCATGAACAGTTCGACAGCACCTGTTTATCTATCCGAATGTTCACCTGCCTCTCACCGTGGTTTACTCAACACATTTCAGGGCACAGTCACCATCCTTGGAGTCGTTATCTCGTATTGGCTGGACTATGGCCTCAACTTCTCCGATTCCAGCATCCAGTGGCGTTTCCCGTTGGCCTTCCAAGCCGTCTTTGCGATCTTTCTCGTCCTTCAAGTCATTGGGTTACCCGAGACCCCTCGGTGGCTAGTCCAACACGATCGGTTCGAAGACGCTCGCACGACCGTGGCGGCTCTATTGGGCACAAGTCAAGAAGATGAAAGAGTGACTCGCATTCTGCTTGATATCAGAAGCGTGGTCGAGGAAGAATACAAAGGCGGGCCATTCAGATTCGTCGAGCTATTTTCCATTGACAAGACACAGAACTTGAGAAGACTCCTTCTGACAATCTCTATTCAAGCCGGCCAGCAATTTTCTGGTTCGAATATGATCAATTACTATGCACCTGTCATTTACCAAAATGAAATGAATTTGTCGCGAAATCTGTCGCTTATCTTGGGGGGATGCACCGAGGTCACATACCTCGTTGGCTCAGCTCTACCACTATTCGTCATGGATCGGTTCGGCCGACGGATCTTGCTCATGATCTCATCTGCGGGCCTATGCTTCTGTTTGGTCATGGTATCGATTCTGCTCTCTATCCGATCCAAGGGCACCGCTTATGCCGCGACTGCTCATATATTCCTCTATCAGCTATGCTATGGGGTAGGCTGGCTCCCCGTGCCTTGGTTTTATCCGTCTGAAATCAACACGACGAGATTCCGGGCGCGCGTCCAGGCAATCTCCAGCGCATTCAACTGGATGTTTGTGTTCGTCGTTGTCAAAATAACACCTATCAGTTTTGAGAATATTGGGTGGAAGACATTTGTCATCTTCGCCGTACTCAATTTCTTCTTCATTCCTATGGTTTATTGTTTTTACCCGGAGACCAAAGGGCTGGAATTGGAGGACATTCCATTGCTTTTCGACAAAGGTGGAATTACAGGTGGCGTGTTCACTTCAAGGGGCAGGACGGTTGTACCGCATCAGCACGCGACAGAAGCCAATATTTCTGGCAAGATGGATGCCGGTGTGGAGGAGATTGAAGATAAGGCATAGCCTACAAAACGCGATCAAAAAGGCTTCTAGGTTGACGGAGCGTTATATCCCACGGACGGAGCTGGAACACATCTCACCACAAGGCTCTACGAGATGTTAGCTGTGCGAGTGACAAAAAGTCTCCCGTACCACAACACCAGCCCCTTCCACTCAGCTCATTTCCTTCTTTCAAAATTGATCGGTGATCTAAACTTATGAACCACGTCTATGGTTTCTGCGAATCAGGCGCCAGAATCGGCCTGTTTCCTGGTCGTCTCATGAAGATCGAATCGAATTCTGCCGCTCGAATCCCGACAATCACACTGTTTACATTTGTTCCCGATCCGTCATCGAGATACCTTGGAGGCTCGAATAAGAAAAAGCGTCCCCGACATGCTTCATGCGGAACTTTGTTAGCGAGGACGCCATCCGTACACAAAATATGTGAGTACACACGATCCTGGGAACCTCAACATAGTCTTAGGAAATTACTTTTCTCACCTCCCCGTCGTATCGTGCCTGGTTCCTGTCATACCATGTTTTCGTTGCGGAAGATAATTCACCATCGAATGCCGGTCTAACGTCTGATGCTGGTATTTTGTACGCGCTGCCTTGGTAAGTCCTACAATCTCCACACTAAATCCTTGAGAAAAGGTTCTTCCTTTCTTTCCCGGAGATCAGTGAGCAAGATCGTTGTTTTCAGACCTTGAATGAGCGAACCAATTCGCTCACAGAAGGTTCATACAAGATGCAAGCAGAGATCCACGTTCACAGAGTCAGTTAAAGCGTCCGCGGTACGAACAAGTCAGTTCAGTCGGAAGGGATCTGGTCGAGTCAAATACGACAAGCCAAGCAACACTATCCAGAGGAATGTTTGATACGACGGCGAAGAGCCGAACGATCGCAATGTATATATCAACTCATCTTCTCTACCTTTCGGCCGTTACATACAGAACAGAGTTTCCATGCTGAACAAGACACCATCGTCAACTGACGAGTATGAGCCATCATGAATCTACAAGGCGTATCCTCGGCCAGCTCCGCGCCACTGACTTGCGCGAGCGCTGTATTCTGCCATCTCTCCAGCATGCTGCCAAAACACATCTCACGTCTTTCAGACGGCAAACCCTCATCGCGCAGTAGATTCGTGTACTTCGAACACGAGCTGTTCCTGCTATATCCGGAATTCCTCAACGACTGAATCAAGGCAAGCACCAAGAAACTTGCCGATAGCCGGCAACAGCCAGTACGAGGAGTTGCTGACGAGCATGGGGCGGTGTTGTATCCAGGCCTGGTGAGGGAAAGGATGAAGAGGGCACGAAGAGACACGTGGAGATGGTGGAAAAGGTGCTGGGAGAGAAATAGGGGGCGATGGTATCGTATGGAGTATTACGACTGAATGTGGAATGGGAAGGACACCTACGGATGAAGTCGATGGATTCTGGAGGTTGTGCGCCGTTTTGCGAGCCTTGTGAGATGAAGGAACAGAAAATGGCCGTCGGACGTATGAAAAGGCGAGGGAGACGTAAGAGGCTCGAGAGACAATAACCAGCAACAGGGAAAGAGGATCCAAAGACAATGTCCAAAACGATTATACATTATCAAAGAAGCGAAAAAGAATCTTAATCCACAGTATAAAAACACGCCCAACCCACTCACGCAATACGCAATCATCTCAGATGTTTTCTGATCCCATCCCACATCCCGTGCAGGCAGGATCCCAAGCCTTAGGTTTGAATTGAAACAGAAAGAATCTCATCGCGGATGAGAAGGCTAGCCCAAGCCAACGAACCCCCCAAAATTCCTCAGTGCCGATGTGGGTCCCAAGACTTGGCTGTCAGCGATGCTGCAGTGCCCGTGCTCGTCTCCTAGAAAGCATCTTCAAGTGGACAATCGACGGAATCGTGACCGTCGCGCTCACACAGAGCGCACCATTTCTCCGGGTCGATAGCCCCGCTGGTCCGGCCGGCGAGCATGCCTGCCTGTGCCCCTGTGCCTTCGATGGGACCGGAGACGGAATGTACCGGGGCTGGCGCGGGATCAGATTTTGATAGCGAGGGGGTTGGCTCGTCGTGGATAGGCGGTGATGGCAGAGTCATTGTCGGCGGCGGATTTGATGCGCCGAGCACGATATTGTTGCTGAACTTCCGACTCATGAGCGGCGCGGGCCTGTCTGAACCCATCCCCATATCCATTGCAGACCCTGATTGATCCATGCCTAAGTCTGAGGTTACGTTGTGGTCGCCGCTTCGGCGGAGGCCCTCGCGAACCGCTTCCTTACCGCTTCGCTTTCCTAAGCTTCCTTGTCCTTGTCCTTTAGCTTTGCCGGGACCAAACATATTCGAGCAAGTCAGAATGTCGTGACCACCTTCTTCGCAGATTTCGCACCACAACGCGGCACTAGAGCTCGAGACGTCCGTCACGCCGTCGTCAGATTGTTCTCGTTCTCGATCCGGACCAACGTTCATGTCGGGCATGTATTCGTGGTGTTTGACCGGCGATGCATCGCCGGAGCGGGCGTCGTGCCATTCTTGGATTTGTTGACTTTGGTTCCTCCCATGTCCACTTCCTTTCGACCCGAGAACGACAGTCCTTTGACTCCCGGTCGTGCCTGTACTCAAATGTTTCCGATCCAGTTCGTCACTATTCCCACGTGAGTGACTGCCATTGCCGGATCTCATGGCCGTGTGGATTCCAAACGCTGCCCCTGACATTGGAAATTTAGAGAGAGTAACGCTATTCCGTAGCTGCTTAACTTCATTGACCAATTCTTCTTCATGTGCACTTTTCTGCTGGAGCAGGGCTTCTAAGTCGCGGATCTGTTGCTGCATGCTAAAGCGGTTATCATCATCATCATGAGGGATCGTTGCACTGTCGCTTCGGTTGTGTCCATTTGAGCCGGTGTTCCCATTCGTCTTGGAGACCTTGTTATGTGAATCGTTCAGGTTCTGGATAATTGCTTTCAGACCCCGGATTTCATCGTCTTTGTTGTTTAGCTGTGTTTCGAGATCCTGGATATTGCCGGGTGAATATCCATTCAATTGTTCCTCCGTTTTCAGTCTTTCACGTTCCCTCCGGAGTTCGGATCTCGATCTTTCCACCTCCCCTCTCAGGAACTCGACCTCCGCGCGTGCTTCGGCTTCGCCTCGTCGAGCATCTTCTAGGCCTTCCTCCAGTTCTTGGACCAATTCTTCTAACTGCTTAAGTTGTTGCGCCACAGACTCGACGTCCTCGCTTCGATCTTGTAGGTTCCTGACTTCTTCTAATAGTTCGTCCACTCTTTTCTCGTAGACTCGTTCTGTTTCGGTACTCGCCATTTCCAATGTATCGATGGTCGACCGAAAATCTGCTCGGTTTGCGTCAAATTCGGCGGTCAGGATTTTAATCTTCTCGTTCTTCTCCCTCAGCGCGTCACGAAGCGACACGACATCTCGTGGAAGATCTCCATCATCATCAGCACCGCCGCGTTTTCTGGTTTGACTTTCTTCCAAACCAGGTAATAGCTTTTGTAATTCATTGAAATTCCGTTCCATCTCGGTAAAGTTAGTCCCTTGTTCGCGTAATTGTCGTTTCGCGTTGTTGAGTTCTTCATTCAATCCCCGTATCTTGACCTCATACTTTTCCACGTCTACGTTCCTATCCCCGTGGGGCGTCGGCGTTGGTGTGGCATCTGCGTCTTGTTCTGTGAGTTCATCAAAGCCGGATTCGGGTCCCAGCGATGGACTTGCACTTGACTGGCTCGGTGTTGAGGCGTTTTGTCTTAAACTCTGGCTGAAATTGATGGCTGGTCGCTGACCGGGCCTGTATTGTCCTGGTCCCCCATTTGTACTCTTTGCCAATCCCATACCACTCGGTCGTGTTTTGGGAGTCGCCAGAACCTTGGGCGTAGGTGTATTGGCCTTCCGCAGAGGACTCGACGGCCGCGGAAGAGATTCTCGTCTCGCAGGCGGTTTAAGCGCAGGACTCGCGGCGCCCGCCCTCATACCCGGGCCCACGGATTGACTGAAACTGGGTTTTGCGATACCTGGTGTTCGTCCTCCCTGATTGAAATTATTCAATCTTGTGGGTGTTCCTGGTCCTGGGCTTGCTCTGACGCCTAGGCCGACACCAGGACCAGGTTTCTTGACAGCCTTCTCCAATGGCAGAAAAATCCCAGATCCGGGTATGGTAGTCTTGAAATAAAATTTTCCGTCAACTTCACCGGAATTTTTGCCTCTGGGAGCATATTCTGTCGCGAGTTGTACACCCGCAAAGGTTCCCTTTTTCCCTGCTACTGGGCCAATGAATTTGACGACCCCGTGCATATCCCCAGGGACCATGACCGTGTCCCCGACGCTGACAGATGCCATGGCAGAGAACCACAATCAGTTCAATGTATTTCTGCGAACGGCCGCTCGATTCGTTACGGATTAAATCGTGAAGGAATGCGTTGCGCAATCGCGCGAGAGCGAGGAAGGTCGGGAAAAGAGTTGTAAGTTTGAGGGGATTGATCGTAACCCCGTTATTTTTATGTCGGGCGCAGGCTGCGCAGAGGACCAGCCGTGAAGAGCGATGGATGGTTGCCCAACTCCTTTATTGGAGCGAAGATCACATCGACGAAGGACGTGGTAGAATTTTACGGTCGTCGGGCAGGTCGGTTCGTGGCCGGTTTTCACGGACGGGGCCAGGTAAACAAAACACCACCACGTAACGTGAACATAGTTTTGGGTCGTACCGAAGACAAAGAAAAGTTGCAAGATGGTTCGTTGGCTGTGGATGGTCGACAACTCGGGGGGACGTCCAGGGCTCTGCATGGGCTTACGAACCGACCAGGTATCCAGTGACCGGGTGATGGTGGTTTGATTTGCTTAGCGAACGCCCGCCAAGGCAGTCAATACCCAAACAACGGCACCCTCTCCCAGCCAAACTCGTCTGTAACGCGAGCCTAAACTCAAGTTTTAGTCGGAGCGAGCAATTCTCAATCACACTCCTCCTGCGTGCCTTCGTACTCTATGCGACGGAAGCAGTCCACCTAATCCTCTTTACCCTGGCACGTTCTAAGGGCCTACCGTTCTCTCAGCCTTGTCATGGCCGACGCAGATTTTCAACAGGTGAACCATACTCATATTGGATACTCCGTGCCTGACCATATTACCGACACAATGACTGCTTTTATCATTACATCCTATCCATGTGCGTTCCCCCATTGGCATGCTTCCGCTTATTCCAACTCTTACCACCTGGTCCCGGGCCCATCCTACAATTGCAATCTGTATGTGGCCACTTCGAATGGCCGCAACTCGATGTCAATGCTAATTTTATTCTTCCCCGACATCTTCACTGTCTCCAGGTCGTCTTCCAGCACATTGGTCTTATACACCTTCTTGACGGGAAGGGTGGTCTCAATCGTTCCTCGGCTCTTTCCTCCCAAACCCTCGTAGATTCTTAGAATCACACTCTGTCCCGACCGTTGAGTCAGTTCTCCCCGAGACACATCCTCATCGTCTTCACCACGCTTGATGCAATCTAGAACAAGCGATGTGGCCCCTGAGAGGGTCACGGCCGTGAACAATTCTTTCGGTGGTTTATCGTCGACCAATGACACCAATTTCATCGGATGGTTGAAGTTGTACGCTGCTCGAACGGTATCGCTGCTTAGAGCACCTTGGTGCGGCATGATCGCCCATTTTATGTGGTGTCGACCCATATCAGCGTGTGCATCAGGCGCCTTGGGAGCACGCAACAGTGACAACCTCATGAGGTTGCCACATGTTGCAAATCCATATTTGGAGTCGTTCAAGATCGAAACGCCATAGTTGGATTCGGAGAGATCCGCGAATTTGTGGCAGCACACTTCGAATTTCGCCATATCCCAGCTGCGAACGTTAGACATAGGTGTTTCCCCGGTTGGGTAATCGCCACTCTTACCTGGTATTGTAGTGGGTGGGGCGACGAATAATTCCGTACTGTGTCTCATAGCTTGCTTCGGTGTTGACCACGTCCACGGGGAACTCGACCTTCAAGAATTTCATCTTCTCACGCCACTCAACTTCTGCCTCGACTGAGACATATCCGATCTGGTCCTGACCGTCGCGGGCGTCAAGACTGATGGTCGTCTTCACCCAGCTGTCTTGGCTGACCTGAGTCTTGGTCGCCACACTTACTCTGTAGGGTCCATTTTCCACAATCTCGGAAGCCTCTGACTTGAGCTCTTTTCGAGACTCGAGATGGAAAACCTCCACATCCCAAGCCTGCCAGTATAACGGTTTGTCGTCAAAGATGACGAGCTGGTTCCCTTTGCCGCCCTTCGCAATCACTTCTCGGTTTGCCTTCAAATCCAGGAGCGATGTGATGCAGCCAGCCTCAACTTCGACCTCAAGTCGATTGTTCTTCATCACGAAGACGCCTTTCCTGATCTCGTTGACCGACACGGTGGACCGGATGGCCGACGCAATATGGGTGGCCACCACGCCTGGTCCTCCCGACACGTACGTGTATCGTTGCTCCTGCGACTTGGCTTGGGCGTGTGGAATGGGCACCAGTTCCGTGCGCTTCCAAGGAGCAGTATTGACCGCTGCGAGTTCGGAATTTGCTTTGAGGTGTCGAGAGAGTCCAAGCACGGTTAGGGCCTCCTCTTTGACCTTCTCTCCCAGTTTCGCATTGTGGGCGTAAAGAGCATCAGAGTCGTCGTAGCACATCTCAATCGAGCTGCCAGGCAGACAGTCATGGAACTGGCAGAGCAGAACATTTTCCCACATCTCGTCAATCTCTTTCTTTGGATACTTGTAGCTCTTGCTCTTCAAACTCGCCAAAGTTGCCAGATATTCAATATCGTGAAGCATCACTTCTTGTTTTCGATTGTTGAGTTTGTTGTTTGCTTGGGTTGTATAAGTGCCCCGGTGGAGTTCAAAGTACAGTTCTCCATACCAGGTGACAAATTTCGTGCCCTCCTCAACCTTCTTCTCCAAGCTCGCGAAGAAATCATCCACAGATTTGCCCATTTGCACACGCGGAAGGAGTCCGATCGTGTCGCTCAGACCGCGACATCTTCTCAACTTCTCAAGCATCTCTCGCGTGGGACCACCCCCGCCATCCCCTTTGCCAAAAACCAGAAGGGACGTGTTGTCTTGGTCCATGCTCTTGTGTTGAGTCACGCTCCTTTTCACGTCTCCGAAATGTGCATCTGCGGTGTAGGTCTCGCTCGGTGCCATGTGACAGATTACTTGGCTTCCATCCAAACTAACCCAGTTGAACGTGGTATGCGGGAAGTTGTTGATGTTGTTCCAACTCAACTTTTGCGTGAAGAATCGGGACATACCAGCAAGTCGACATAACTGAGGCAATTGACTCGAATAACCAAAAGTATCTGGAAGCCAGAACGTCTGACAGCGTTCACCGAAATTGCTTTCGAAGAAACGTTGGCCGTAAAGGAACTGCCGGACCAGAGATTCGCCGCTCGGCATATTGGTGTCGTGTTCAACCCAGCTGCCACCAATGGGGTGGAACCGACCCTCCTTGACCTTTGATTTGACTCGGTCAAAAACATAGGGATAGTACATCTTGAGCCACTTGTACTGTTGTGCTTGACTGCACGCGAATCGATGCTCTGGGTACCGGTCCATCAGGTCGCACTGATTCGACCAACTCCGTGCGACTTTGCGTTTAGTTTCAGCCCACGGCCATAGCCAACATGTATCAATGTGGCAGTGGCCGATGGCATAGACAATGCTGTTCTCGTCTGAATCGTATACCTTGGCCGAGTTAACATGTTGGCCAATGTACTTCTGCGCAATCTCACGGCCCTTTTCAATGGAGGCGGTGGAGCCATCACCCGCAATGAACGCATCCATGATCTGATTGCCAACTTGTAACGCTTGATGTCTTTCCCAGCTGTCACCGGGGAATTCCCGAGCGGCGTCACCAATGATCCAGAAGTCCACGTACAGCTGACGGGCAGCAAGATTGACATCCACAATCTGCGCCTTCCACAGCATATACCATTTGTTCGGGTCCGGGGGCTGAATGCTGTCACCACCAGGAGCATTGCCAAACATTCCATTGCAGGCCATTTCAATGTAGAAGACGTGTTCTTTTCCGTCTCGCCAGCTGTCGGGAAGTATCCATTCTGTACGATCTCCACCGCCGGTCAGACCTTGGAGAGGATTTCCATCTTGGGTCCATATCATTCCTTCATTGTTTGCATCCCAATGGAACTCGAGATGCTCTCCACCCAGCATATGCTTGGGAACAGTGAGCTGAATCTTGAACCAGTGCGTAGACCAAGAAGGGCCAAAGGATTCACCTCGATGCGTAGGTCTGAAGCTATGGGAAGTTGCCTCTTTGAAGGTCGGACGGGATAGGTCAGGTGGGGAGTAAACAGAGAGCTTGACATGGTCTTGGTCGTCACAGATATCGTGATAGAGCTTGCTAGATATTCCGGTCAGTTGAGGCTCATGTTCCGTCCCATGAGCGCAGTTTGACTCACGAAAGGAGATTTTCTTTTTCGTATTGGCCACCAGAGGTGAATTGACGCAGGCGGTCAGTGTAAATGCTCTGAATCTTTTGTCCAACTGGGCCCGCCGATAGTTGGGGATAGGAGGATGTCGTTCGAGAGGACGTCTCGCCTCCCATGGTTGTCGCTGAAAAATGAGAGTGATGAATCGGTAGGATAGCGAGAGAAACGGTAGAGTAAGAAGAGGAAAATACACAATATGGATTGGAGAACAAACAGACTGAATGTTTCACGAGTGAGACTCAGATGATGTTTCATTGCATAATGGCTACTTGGGTGCGGGGTGCCCTAACAGCTTGTACCTGAGGACACGTGGGGTGCCTGATAGTCCCTGTGTCTGTATAATGAGCAACAATTCTAACGCGACGAGGCCAATACAATCGATCAGACTCTTCTTCAAAGCGTCGAGGATGACGATGTCGTTTGATACAACGGCAAATTCAGTAAAATTTCGCATTGTCAATACAGTATTCTCAAGGTCGGCATAACGAGGTGCTGTTTACAACGGCGTTCAGCGCACTCATTTGATTCATTTGACCACATCAGGTATTGTCTGCCGATGCTAGTTCCTCAGATCCTGTCTGCAAGTTCATGTTCCCCAGATTACAGATGTATCTCGAGCTCGTAGCCTTCTGTTCCTTTGCGAAGAGCCATACACACATCTCTGGTCCAAATTTCCACAGCGATTGCAAGGCATGCCACCTGAGCATTTTACACGCAGCTTTCTAGGAGGCATGACATTGGTTTCGTAGTAGATTGGGTGTCAAAGCCATCACCGATTTCTGATACTACAAAGAGAGCAACGAGAACAACGATAGATATTATCTGGAGTGTATGTGCTGGACATGGAGCAGATAGGCGGCAATAGCAGACACTGCTCCCGAATTAATACCATTATTCCCCCCGACCGGCCTATCAACTGCAGCTTTCCGCTTCTGAGGCTCTGCTCGAAGTCCTAGATTCAGCCTTGCTCGATTACCAAGATAGGGGCCAAACAAGGGGCCTTGTCGAGCACCTAGTACACAGTATTCGCCGAAACAATAATCTCACGTACTTTCAATCATCACCTCTTTAGCAATGTCTACTTTTCGTCCGGGCACTAGATGTCCATCTCTATCCAAGAACTCGTTCATCATCGCCATCATCAAATCCACGAATCCTCATCGTCCGCAGGGAATCGCTTCATTGCATCCATCGCGCTCGTAGTCTCACTCAGCCCAACCACAATGATACTTTGCTTCAGCTTCCTCCGCCGCTTCTGCGATATCTTTCGGGTTAGTTTCCGTTTAACTCCCTCAATCACCCCGACAAGTTGACTTTGACCGCTCTGGTACGCCATGAAGAAGTCGAGAGACTTCCTTCCCTGGGGAGGAACCCGTTGTCCTTCTTGTTGTGTCTTGTTGTGTTTCTCGGAAAAGATCTCGGCATCGTGTACTTGATATGACGTTGCGGGAATGCTCGGTTGTTTCTCGCGCGAGGGTGCGGACTGTTGATTCCGACCTGTTCGATTAGAGATGGACAAGGTTCTGAGAAAATTCGTTACCCCTTGTTGGAGGCTAGATCGGGCACGACTGTTCTGCGACGTCTTGAGGGCTGATGCTTCGTCGTTAGCCTGTGTGGGTTGGGTGTCTGCATAGGACGTGACATGCTCTTGCTCCTTCTCGGACAAACTTGTGCTGGGTTGGGAGTTTCTTCCTTCAAGTTTGGCGGCTTCCGAAACAGGGCTGTGGCGGACGAAACTGTCTTCCAGCCAATGGTCAGACCAGGCTTGACCAGATGCATATTGTTGAATATGTCCTTGGGGATGTTGGTGATGATTTGAATAGTGAAACTTGGAAGGCTCGTTCCACTCGTCAAACACTGGACTTGGTGGACTTGAACGAGAGAAGCCCAACGGAGATGGTAATAAATCGAAACCCTCGACATCCGATATCGTGCCCGACAGTGCGTCCGGAAGAGGGGGAGTTGGTGAGAGAGATATAGACAATTCGATAGATGATACCTGTGGTGATGGGGGAGCTAGTTGATCGTAGGCTGCCTGTCGATGATGGTTGGTAGACGACGTAGAAAGCGGCGACACGGGTTCATGTGTTTGATCACAACGAGCGCGCGAAAATTCAACGAAAGAAGATGTGATCTTGTTTTCCATTGGCATCGGGCTTGTCTGAAAAGCGGCTGATCGAGAGTGACTCAGACTCAGACATTTGATGAGCAACGGCGCAACAGTGTCTCGATAAGCTTGCGGCTGATGTAGTATCGCCACAGGTGGTAGTTCGTCTAGTTCACGATGGCCTCCATACATGCGAATTATATTGGATATCGTGGTGTCGGAACTGTATACACTGGACGACCGTCTTTTTCTCTCCGAGGGCTCAAGTGGCAAGGGTTTATCCCTGTCAGAAGGTGTCGATCTCGTTGATACATGACCCGCAGTGACCTGAAGATTGTTCGGTGGCCCTGATACTGCCAATTCTAAGCCTTGTTTTTGGAGATCCAGAAGGGCTTGGGAAGGAGGGGGAGATCTCATCTGCATTCGGTGAGGAGATTTGACGGGAGTTTGGTAGCGGCGGACAGAACGTCATCTCCAGGATATCGAGCCTCGTTCGGCCTCAGAACTCTCTGTAGTCTGGATGGGCAGACATCTGTCCACAGTTGGCGGCGTGGCTGAGCGAACCTCTTGAGTGACCGGCATTGACGCTTCAGGTGACATTTTGACAAAGGCGGTCGCTTTCAGTCGTCATGCACATGTTGCCCCATGTGCCACGGAATGGAGTCATTGTTCCAAGGAAGTACTGCTAGCAGTCAATGAAATCTTCACCGTAGCCGGCGACGGTGTCGACGTTGTTCCTTGAAGGTGAAACAATTGACGGTATTTATTTTGGGGCTGAGATTGTAGCGGATGTCGCAGCATTCCACAGAAGTTCCCACGTCCTCAGGGGGTCACCTCGACAATGTAAGATCACAGATTCGCAGCTTTGACCAGATCCTCCTTCGTAAGTTCATCTGTTGGTTTTCTTCTGTCTCCGAGCCGCCCAACTTTGCGAAGTCGATTTATCATGTCCTCGTCCCCAAAGTGGCTGTTGTGCTCGAAGGTCGGCTCTTGCTCATATGCGTAGCGAGCAGCATCGACAAGAATTCTGGCAGTCATGCCAAATACTCTGTATCTTGAATATTGGTCCAGATTACTGGCCGCAACTCTTTGTCCTTCGCTTTTCTTCGGCTTCGAAACAATCTGATTTGTGACTGGAACAAAGAAATTATGCATCCGCCATCGACTCTGGTGCCAATCGGTCCATGAGCCTTTGTACCAGTCACTTGGCTTGCCAGGCAAATTGGGCTGGCCAGGAAGATCTTCCGTGTACAGGAAGTTCTTAAACGGCGCTGAGAACACAGCGGCCACCTCTCTCGCATCCAGTCGGGGAAGTAGTCTCTCCGCAACACTGGCATCCAGTCCCGTCTCCGGATCATAAGAATGTAGAAAGGCCACGCACGGGCGGACCACAAGTTCGGTTTTCGCTAAATTCGTCGGCATCTCACACAAGTGCTCGACTCTGAATGGTGGTGGCAGGGCCGATGCACGTCTTGGAAGGCCGATTTCTTCTGACGCCTCACGTCTGGCAACTTCGAAAGCGGTCTCGCCATCTTCAGCTTTGCCTCCTGGTAAGGCTGCGTGACCGGAATACGAACTTAGAGTGCTGGCACGCATGGTGATCACTACTCGTAATTCACCTTTTTCATCAGCAAACAGTAGGATCAGAACGGCAGCTCTTCGCGAGAGAGGCATAGAGGGCCATGCTGTATCCGGCGGAGTGTACAATCGCAACCGTTCAATGGCTTTCTGAGGAATTGTTATAATCCGGGGGCAAATGTAAGAATGGTGCTGATACGTACCGCTGAAGCCGGTGAAAGCGGCGACATTCTGTTGTGGCGGCTTTGTGACACAATGCTCCTCCTCGATGAAACTAAGAACCGTGCTGATCCACGAGTCGTAGCTCCAAGACCCCTGAGCATTTGTCTTTGCGAGAGGTGGACGAAAAATAAGGGACGGGAAGGGATCATGATGATCAAAGTACAGAAACTGCCGACTCCCGAGGCATCAAATTCCCAAAGTGGTCAGTGGCACTCGACATTGGTCCGCCGAAGAGCCTCTCTCCACCACTCAGCGCGATGATCGTCTACACGCCGCTGGACGCATCAATCATCTCATCAGGTGGTACATGCTTTATTTGCTTCATTCATTCCATTCTACCATACTTGAGCCAGTTTAGTTACCATGTTAAAGAAGCAGGGATGCACACCCTTCTTCTGCCTTTTGTGGTTCCCTTCGGCGTTCACCATGCCACCCATCGTCAAAACCCACGTAGCCAGTTTAGCATGGCATCTCAGATCGTACCGTACATCTGATCCCGAATTTACATGGTGGATACTGGCAGGGAGATACGTCTGTGACTCGGAGCCTAGTGGCAAAGAGAAACATGCTCGCAAAACGGTAGACTTCGAGGCAGAACGATTGCTGGTCCTTTGTGAACAGTGGCTTCCTCGGATGAGAAGTACAACATCAATCCCCAAGACATGCTCAAAGCAGCATAAGCGTGGAGCGCCGCGTGTCATATAACAGTCGTATAACATAGACCGAATTCTCTGCGTCCGTGATCCGACATCATCATCTTCCGATGGGCGAAAACGCAGTGGCGTTTGAGTGGATCATGCCGAGGCCCATTAGTATATTCAAAAGGGCATTCTTGGGCTGATTTTTCATGCCAAGGTCTGATTGACTTGCTTCAGGCTGTGAGAGATACAAAGCGTTTTGGCCGCATTCGATAAACCAAAGGACGTTTATCATGTGAATTATAATCACATGGGGTTGTGGTGCCGCGGATGGGAATCTCAGTCAATCGTCCTGAATTTTCCTCGAACTGCCAAACGATATCTTTTGTCGCTTGTTCGACTTCCCATCCGTATCGTCATCATTTGTAGCCAAGCTCTTCTTCTTTTTCTTACCCCCCCCTTTCTCCGCTGTGAAACTTCCTGTCGGCGTTGCCGAGTGGTTTGGTGTGCTGGTGGCACTGCTGGGGGAATCCGAATCTCTCATGTATAACACCGAACTTCGAGAGAACGCACGATCTCCGTCGTTCACAACGGCCTTGCGTCGTCCAGCTCCTAATCCGCCGCCAACAGCACTTCCAGATATTGTTCCTGCTGAACTGGCAGCGGCTGAAACCGCCGATGCCTTGATGTAGTTGTCGAATCCTTTGACGATGTTTCCGGCCACGGACGTTTCTTCTAGGTATGCGGTTTCTTGTCGGTAGATTTGATCTTCTATGGCGGCCTGGTGCGATCAGTCATGATATTCGGTTCACTTCGGTCTCCACTTACAAGGTTGCGGTCGAGTATTCGCTTCTTCTGCAAAGTGTCGCGTAAGTCCCTCCTCAGCTTTTCGTAGTATGGGAGACCAGGTCGATCTGCACTTGCCGCAGGCTTAGTCGCAGAGCCCGGTGGGACATTCTCAGCCATTATGAACAACTTGCTCTTCAAAAGTGATGTCTTCGGTTCGGCGCCAGGTGGCTGTGGTTTATGGTGAATTTGTTGCGGCTGCGGGTTTGAAAGTCGCCGATTTGGTTTGTGTTGTTTGTGTTGTTTGCACTTTGCGTGGAGAGCCGCAGCCCCCGAACTTCAGCTTCCAACTCACAGAGAACTCAATCAGAATGGATCATTCGCATATGGATCACGGCGATATGGACCATGGCGGGATGGATATGGGGGAGGGACATTGTTCCATGAATGCACGTGTTCCTAACAACTTATCACCGGATCCATGGCTGACTGCAATAGATGCTATTCACCTGGTCTTCGAAAGATCTTTGCATTGTCTTTAGACAATGGAGAGTCACCAGCACCTTCTCTCTGATCCTATCCTTGTTTGCCGTCGTTCTTCTTGCGGCGGGCTACGAATGCATACGCGAGATCAGCCGAAGATACGAACAGAGCTACCATGCGCGTATGAGCGCGTACAGTACTAGTGCTTCGAGTATGTTTGCCTTACCCGATGTTATCGCCGTCATCACTGAGACCATTAAGGCGAACCACCACAATTGAACGAATCAAGCTCATTGCTAGGCATAGGAAGAGACTCCAAGGCAGCGGAAGAACGAAAAGGGACAATCATCAAGGCAGGATTATATGCCGTACAGGTCTTTTACAGCTTCTTCATCATGTATGGCAACCTGTCCTCGACTTGGATTGAGACTAATCTTCTCAAGGCTTCTATTCATGACATATAATGGTTGGGTCATGTTAGCTGTTGCAGTCGGTGCCTTCGTTGGATACATCCTCTTTGGCCGCAACCTTGCATCCACCAAATCGGTCGCGTGCCACTGAAGAGATTGGAAGCCTGAAAGAGCAAGCGCCATCATGCCCCGTCATTGTCAATATCAGTCTCGAATCCAAAGCTAAATCTTTGCCGCTCCCCGTCGGTGTCATCTTCACACACCACCTGCTCCCATTTTCTTTTCTTGGTACCGGTGTCATCGAGGGAAGCTGCCAGGTCGGGATGCGTTTCCCGTAAGCGTTCCATGAAAAGAGCGCAGGGATCGGTGATCGTCTCCTTGAACCCGGACACCTGATTCGCTTTATGTTTTAAAAATCCGACAGTTGCACCAACATGTGATCTGGGGACGAAGTTCTGTGTGATTGCGATCGCCGGGTCCAGGTTCACCACCAGGTGCCACCAACCTGATGGGACGTGCAAAACTTCACCTTCTCGACACACCCCTTCCAGACAACCGGGAGTGTTCCTGGCTTCAGCATGAAAAGATAACAACCACTCGGCAATGCTCAAGGGAGAGGTGACCTCGCTCTGATCTTCACTCATGTAGACTCCTGGCGGTAGGATGGAGCTAGGAAACATGATCCAATATTTCGAACCTCGAATAACGGCGTTCCAGGCGCTGGTTGCGTTTGGATCCTTGTGGAATGTACTTCCACTCCGTTCTGGGCCGATGATGAGCCATCGATGGTCCGGTCTTTGATCTCTCAAAAGTGTAAACAAATCTTCTTGGAACACATTTGGAGGCTCGTATGCCCCGTGAGTGCCCACTTCTAGGTCCATTTTTTCCACAAAGCCTCGGTCAAAGAGATAAAGAGGACTTTCATCGCGCGTGTCATTCATGTATTCAACGTAGGTCTTCAGCGGCCAATCCACAGCTTCGGCGCGAAACGAGGTGTCGCCATATCTGCTCAGAAGATCCTGTTGATTCCATTTGTTAAAGACCTGCCACTTTTTCACCGGAGCGGTGAGGATGAAAGGTCTATCAGCCCATGACTCATTGAATCCAGAAGGTGATAGGTCTCCCATCCGTGGAATTTCATTCTTCGGCGGTATGCTTGAAACATATGGATCCAAAGACAACTGGGAGCAAAGGAAAGGTCGGTGCAGAGCATCCGAGTAGAGATGTGTACAGTCCACCTTTGCGGGTCGGGAAGAAGGAAGACGCCTAAGAGAAGCGCGCCAGCTCCCCCGCCATGAGAAATCATCACTCATGTCGTTGACTGCAATGTCTCTCCATAACTGGTCAAAGGAGCAATAAGCGTACAGTCCTCGACATGTGCAGCCCAAATTTACCAGACTTGACTGGTCGAGGAACTCCAAGACTATCAAGAATAAGGCATCTGGCAGTCGTCCAAAACTACCCATATAATCCTGGGCATTTTCGTGGGATGTAAGGGCGTTCCCAGCTGGCCGAACTCCCAGCGGATGCTTGTCCGATTCGTGTTGGGACAGATTCTGGCCGTCATTGTTCTCCTGGAAGGCTTCTGGCCAATCTTGATCCTGGATCTCCGGATGCCTTCCCGGTTGTAAAATCATTCGTCAAAATATCAAGAAAGAGACAGTCTTGGAAGGCCACCGAATATGCAGCACGTGATACCGTAGTCCAGGTTTCGAACCACAAAGACCCTACGAGAGGTATCGAGGGCGGATTACGAGAGTCTGGTGAACAACGCTGGACCAGGGCCAAATTGGGACGGAACTTTTGATGCCTGAAGGGTCATTTTACAATGAATTTGAGTGGAGACCTTTTGCAGTGGCCAAAAACCTCTCTAGCGTGTGCCAAGCCTGGGGCGAGAGTAAAGAAGCCGCTTAAAGAGTTCCAAAAATTTTGTTCTCATTCATACCGCATCCAAACAACCAGAACACAACAACAGCTTTGCTAGATCACTTGGATTCTCACAGTAGAGAATTCTTTGGCTAGCATTTTCATAGTAAACACAAACAAAGAGCAGACTTAGACGCCAAACGGAGCGCCTAAGTCATTTTTGCACGCCACTTTCATCCCCGCGCAACCAGATCACCGGCGAAGTCGCCTGTGATCCAGCAACTTTCTCGCAATCATGGCGGACAAAGGACTTGAGGAGGTCCCAGAAGGTACGTCGCGACCCCTCAACAGTACTCCCTCGATCGAAACCACCCTCCAAGCAAGTCGAGGACACAACCAGATGATTTCTCAACAAATTTACTGATTTTTTTTTCTTGTGTGCACAAATAGGCCAAATCGAGTCAAACTACGATGAAGTCACCGACTCCTTCGATGCGATGAACTTGAAGCCGGAACTTCTCCGAGGTACGTCAAGAAAAGCTTCAAATCAAAAAGAGCGAGGTTTCTGACGGTCTTGAAGGTGTTTATGCCTACGGTTTTGAACGACCATCTGCTATCCAGCAGCGCGCTATCATGCCCGTCATTAAAGGTACGCTGGAAAAATAAAGCCCCCTGAATTATTCACGACAAATGACTGACAATTTCAAAGGATCTGATGTGATCGCGCAGGCACAGTCTGGTACCGGGAAAACCGCCACATTCTCGATTTCTTGCCTCCAAAAGATCGACCCGAACCTCAAGGCCTGCCAGGCTCTCATCCTCGCGCCGACCCGGGAATTGGCTCAGCAAATTCAGAAAGTCGTTGTTGCCATCGGCGACTTCATGAATGTCGAATGCCATGCCTGTATTGGTGGTACCAATGTCCGTGAAGATATGAAGGCTCTCCAAGACGGCCCCCAAGTCGTCGTTGGAACGCCGGGACGAGTCCAAGATATGATCCAGCGCCGAGTCCTCAAGACCGACAACATGAAGATGTTCATCTTGGACGAGGCTGATGAGATGCTTTCTGTAAGTGAAATTGTATCCTCAAACTGACCGAATAAGAATACTGACTTTTCTGTCCCAGCGCGGTTTCACCGAGCAAATCTACGACATCTTCCAGCTCCTCCCACAATCAACCCAAGTTGTCCTCCTTTCCGCCACCATGCCACAAGATGTCCTCGAGGTCACTACCAAGTTCATGCGTGACCCCGTCCGCATCCTCGTCAAGAAGGCCGAATTGACTCTTGAAGGTATCAAGCAATTCTACATTGCTGTGGAGAAGGAGGAATGGAAACTCGACACCCTTTCTGATCTCTATGAGACCGTCACCATCACCCAAGCTGTCATCTTCTGCAATACCCGAAGAAAGGTCGACTGGCTCACCGACAAGCTTACGGCTCGTGATTTCACGGTCTCGGCCATGCACGGCGATATGGAGCAGGCCCAGCGAGATGTCATCATGAAGGAATTCCGATCCGGATCTTCTCGTGTGCTCATTGCCACCGATCTCTTGGCTCGTGGTATCGATGTTCAGCAAGTCTCACTAGTCATCAATTACGATCTCCCGGCAAACCGTGAGAACTACATTCACCGTATTGGTCGTGGCGGTCGTTTCGGTCGAAAGGGGGTTGCCATTAACTTCGTCACTGCCGATGACGTCCGCATGATGAGAGAGATCGAACAGTTCTACAGCACCCAAATCGAGGAGATGCCAATGAACGTTGCTGGTAAGCCTCATCTTCTATTCCCTTTAAACCCCCATGCTAACCAAATTCCAGACCTCATCTAAACAAAATCTCACTTGCAACATCCTCGATCATGTTCCATTTCGGTATTTGAACGGCGTTTGTTGCTACATTCAAACTTGTACGCGGCTGCCTGAGAAAAGTGGGATGAAGCGTGTCTCCGACTGCTTGGCTCAACGCTGTCGCCGCACAAAAAGTCGTGTATTTTCATCCCTGCTATGTTCACTTGCACTTCTCCATGAGCATACGAGCGCGGTCATACAACTTCAGCGGCCTAGTGTCGTCTGGAATGTGGCAGATTTCGCGGGCGTTTATGCTTCTTAATGCTAGCTAGCTAGCCATTGTTGGGTATCGTTCAGATTGCCAAAAACCAAAAAAAAAAAGGGGGGAGATTCCAATAGCATTTTCATGTGTCATGAAAGGGTGATGACAATCTGTTTCTTGCAATAGACAAGTAGAGAATTGATTCAAATTGAAATGTGTTGTAGAAAATGACCTATATCAAGTTGTGGTGCATACTTGTACCTTCGCTCCTTCCTCGCCGCGTAGCTTCAGTGCCAGCGTTCCAGTGGCTTTCACAAATTGTTATTCTTTCAGTTCGCCCGACGTACCGGTCTCTGTTTAGCAATCACCTAATTAGGCGAGGGTTGGTCTCTGGGCCTCCTGATCCTTTCTCAGCAAGTCCCTCCTTAGTCTGCCATGCCCTCGGCTCTCCCCTCAAGCAAGAAAGCCACGGTCAGCTATGCCATTGACTTGCTCAGAGCTCATCAGATCCGCCGAGAAAACGCGTTCCTTCATGAAGAGCTGCAGACCTGGCGAAAAGAGATTGTGGCCATGCGTGATGAGATCAAAGATCTGAGCGCTGCCGTCCACGTGAGTCGGACCATATTTGAAAAGGACCCATCAACGTTCGAACAAAAACACGATACCGGTTTGAGGAAAAGGTCCCATGGACTCGAGTCTCTTCGGAAAGCATGGGACAATATGAGAGATGAGATTTCAACCATTCGCATTGGCTGCGACCGAACCCGTCACAATGAGGAGTTGATGAGGGCCAAGCTTGACGACAAACTTGAGGCAGTGAGAATTCACTTCCAAAATGCGGCAGACGCCCTGCTGAACCAGCAGGGAGACATCATCGCTGACGTGAAAGGCCTTCAACACACGATCGACAGTAAGGCGGAGGCTTCGCTCGTCGAATCACTCCTGAACAGGGTCAATGAAGTCTATGGCCCATCACCGGACTCTGTTAGCCGCATCCAAGATACCTTCGAACATCGGGGGTCCTCCTGTGCAGCAGGTAACGATTGAGAATAGCTCATGGTCAGCGCAGAAGCATCTAATCCTTTCTGCAGGAAATCCCACGGTCCAAGTGCAAGATTCTCAACGAATAGAACATCGGGGGAATCATTGTCTGTCCCGTGAGACAGACTACCATGTCGAGCATCCGCGTAAGCCAACAGAGGAGACTCTGCCGGAAGACCTGGACCTTGATGCGAATGCCAATACAGTCAATTCCGCAGGCTACTGGCGCCCTCGAGCAGAGGAGAACGGTGCTCTGCAACTGTTGCCGCCTCCAGAAGCAGATACCTCGCCGCTCTCCAGTATAAAGGCACTTAAGCAAGGAAGCTTTGAAGGCTGGGAGTCCTACTACTCACGGGGTATGGCGCTTGTTGAGTCTGCGCCTCACTGTTTTGAGGAGACCATTGTACGAGAATTCGTCGAGGGTATGCTTGGGAGTGCCCAGAAAAGGCAATGCCATCAGTGGCTGGACTCGAAGGGGTGGAACTGGGAAAACATCAGTTTGTTTCGGAATCGGTGCTCAGAGCTCGACATCACTAGCACGTTCGATTATTCGAGAAAAATCGAAGATAATCGAACAAGACTCGGGCAATCGATAACAAGGCCGAAGTTGACAGTCGCGCAGAGGAATCGACATGGTGGTCAACCACAGACAAGTGCCGGGCCACTGCGTCGAAGCCGGCGTTTACATGAAAGGAATAGTCGGGCGCAGGGACAACCTACGGAATATCGTCCCAAATTCCAATCATCCCAACTTCCGGAAACCAAAGTCCCAGACAACAATGATTCGATTGCTTTTCCGGACGTCCATTCGACGCCGAGGGCCAAATCTAGGAATATCCGGACGCCGACCAAACGAGGACCGCAATTGAATAACACGTCCAACGAGACCTCGGATGAACAATCTCTTGCAAAGCTTGGAGAACCAAAGGAAAGGACAAACATAAGCACAAGGAAGAAGGCTGGTTCACCTGAACGTCTTCCAACATTAACAGCAAGAAACGCTCCAGAAAAGAGACCCAAGGGAGCGGAGTTCATTTTGCAGGAAAGCGAGAGTACAGGACACCGAAACCGAACACCACAACTAGTACCACTCAAAAGACCAGCGGCGGAGTCGAATGAGGACAGTAGTGATGATGCCGTATTTCCGTACACACCAGAAATTTCAGCCCGTCTCCGGTTGCCGACCGCTGCAACCAGACAAAACAGAAGCAAAGGAAGAAGACTCCCACTGCCACCGCCACCAGAGATTCCCATACTGTCAACGTCAAGTGATGAAGAGCCGTGGACCTCTCGGAAGACAGGCGCGGTGCAAGCAAGGTTCCGTTGAACAAATGGTCAACGGAGGGTTGTTGTAGATCGGAGCTCTTCTTATTTCGCACATGCGATGCGATTCGTGTCTGAATGGTCTCGATGATAATTGTCCCGTTCCGATGATGGTGTTGCTTTTAGAGGCAGATGCAATCTCTGTTCTTCAACTCAAGTCTCCTTGAATTCATACCCGTATTCGGATTCATCGTCCACCACCTCCACTTCAATTCTTGCTTCAACCACTTCTCGTCCATCCGCTTCTAATCCACACTTAACGAGATCTCCGCCTTTGAGTGGCCCAACACCTTTCGGGGTGCCCGTCAGTACTATGTCACCCTCCTCAAGAGTCATGACCTTGCTGATGTCACTTAGCATTCTAGGGATGTTGAACAACATGAGATTGGTGTTGTCTTTTTGCCTCATTTCGCCATTGACACTCAGCCACAGGAGAACATTGTGGGGGTCAGGTATACGGTCGACAGGGATCTCATGACTGATTGGCAGGAAGGTATCGAAGCCTTTTGCGATGGTCCACGGGAGACCTTTTTTCTTTGCCTCGTCTTGGACATTCCTCGCTGTCAGGTCAATGCCGAGGAAGTAGCATCTAAGTGAGTCGATGATTTTGGAATCGGAGGCTCGCAAGTTTTTCAGCGGGGTAGATGTCTCGCCGATAACCAAACCCAGTTCGACTTCATGGTGTACATTGACTCCGCGAGGGCGCACTATAGGACCCTTTTGGGGTAAGAGGATAGACGAGGCGGGTTTGAGGAAGAAGAAAGGCTGCGAAGGACGAGCTGATGACAATTCAGCGATGTGGTCACTGCAAGATGGTGGTTAGTCACTATGCGGGCCTGTCTCGGGGAAAGGTTGGGTGAGGCACACGCATAATTTCTGCCAATGCAGACGGCCTTACGACAATTGGCCTTGATCGAGGCCATGACAGGAGAGAGCAAAAGGACCTAGATGCCAAAGGCGTGCACTTCCTGTCATTCGTCGAGTTGAGTCATCAAAGCAAAGTAGATCAAGACATTCTGGACGCAAGAAAAGACGAGGTATTTTCCCTGCAGAGACCAGGGTGGGTCAACAGACTTCAACAACTTCACCAGGGTCTAAGGGTCACTCGGAGAAGAGAGGAAAAAGAGGAGCATGGGATTCGGAAGAGAATGTCAAAACAGACGACGCCAACGAAGGAGTAAAAACCCTCACCCGACGCCTTATGACATCAACAGCCGTATCCAGTTTAGATAATCTCTAGGCCAATGAAGTCCCTTTGACTTTCTTTCTCTCCTTCCTTTCTGTCATCACTGCGGTTTCTTCCTGTGGCTTCTAGGAATTTGAAAGCAACTACTATCCACCTTACCGCGCTCTCCCGAACATAATTTCCAAGCGGCAATGGCTTCGGACACTTCATTTCAGATGCCATGCTCCGACCTGCTCCATGTATGAGAAAGGAAGAAAGGGGGGATGCGGGGGTTTGCTCGTCCAGCACCGTGAATGATCTCATCGATTCGAGACGAGATTCTTCAAGACTTCTGTGATCTGGGCTCAGGTTTGTGGACTTCTAGTGTGTCATTTCCTATAGAAAGCCCGGATCCCAAAGCCTAGTCTTCCCCATTGCCAATCCTTCGAGAATTCCTATCGTCAACGGGCTTTGAGAGAAGAATCTCGAATCCAACAGCGTCTTCATGATCTGGGTCAAGAGAGAATTCGACAAACTCACTTGGAAGAAAGCTCGGTGCGGTTCTTTTGGCAGCTTCAGGCCGTCCTTCGACAGAACTAACCCAACGACTCTCAACACCACCCTCCGGGTCCCATCTAGATCGCGATCGAACTCTCCTCGATCTTGTCGAAAGGAATTCAAATGTTAAGAGAAAGGGGGGAAATCATCCCTCAGAGTTCTGACAAATACATCCTGCCGCAGATTCTATGGATCGAGATGGCTTTTGGCAAGACGTTCTAGCTCTCACGGCGTCATTTTACGTCCGAATTTCACGAATTCAGCACTGTCAACAGGAATTTTTGGGTTACACCTCATGCACGACGGTGAGTATCAAGCTCGCAGGGGCGGGTGACATGACGTCCTGCGGAAAATTGACCCCGAACTCTACGCGTTAGACGCAGCGCCACCTGTTCTTCTTCAGAAGCATTTGGCGTTTGCCAATTTTGATGGCAAGCGAGAGGCGTCTTGTCATTTCGAAATGAAACGATGAGCACTATAGCATTCATGGCATCGCTACAGGTAGTAGAGGTGGCAAATACTGCATGCCTTGTGCTCTGAATGCACTCTGATACTCGGAACCTTGCAAGGGCCGCCCAGTGACATCTAGTTCCGTGGAAAAGCTCATTACTCGGCTGGCGGGGGTAAGCCTGACCAATCTACATCGGGTTTCCACATTTTTCTAGCATAAGTTGCCATGCATCGCACCCGAATTACTAGCGCCAGCATGTTCCGAATCTGAGAAACCAGGTGAGACTTCAGATCGCCTGTCAGGGTCCTGCTGCATCAACATTGGCCTTACATTTTGCCGTACGATGAACTCTGACGCAACCGGGGCGCTGCATCTTCTAGGGAGAACGATCTCTAAAGCGGCGACATGCACTTGACTCTGAGGATTACTCCAATGATATTTTTCATCCAGTAATGCCGTCAGCGCCATTCGCGACGAATTTGTGAAAACAGCATTCCCGAACTTCCTGCGGTTATTGCCATTGTTAATCGATATGTTGAGTGGTATCGGGGCACCATGAAACGGCAAAAAAAATACTCTCATGTATCGAATTTATCTCGCGGCCACCATGAGGCCATTCAAGTTCTTGGCTATTGACGACCTGGGTATACAACTTAAATCATCGGCCTTCATTCGGTGGCGGAGCACTATAACACAAGGTAGATATAGACCTCGACTCCTTGTTACTCCTCCAGGGCTTCAACATGGATTTTCGATTATGCGACTTCTGCTATGGCATCACGGCGTGGACGAGGAAGGGCAAACAGTAGAAGTAACAGCAGCAACGACAACGACCATCAAAACAGTCCTGACTTCCTTTGGATCAATCGTGGCCCTGAATCTGAAAGGTTATCTGCTACCAGACAAGAACGAGATGAACTTCGAACCATCACCAGTCATGCCAGACAATGGAGGGCGGCTTTGAGGCGTCAACAGAGGCTCGACACCGCTCAAAATCAGGCCACTCGAGCGCAAAGTATTGTGGGCTGGAGTAGACAGGGCAATCTGTCTGAGGCCAGCTCTGCCGAGACTTCGTCTGCTCCTTCTCCAACGCCTTTGACTCACATCACACGCAACGGTACCGACCCTTTTTTGTATTTGGAAACCCCAGATGACGCTTGGTGGTCCCATCATGCTTTTCAATATGCGGTGGGGAGCTGGCTGCCTTCCATCTTCCAGGATTTGGATGTTCTGGATGAAAACATGGCTTCTCCTGCCTCTTCAGTCGCGACGATAGATCGCATCGTTCAAGGTTGTCTGGCTAATAGGATGCATATGTTTTCATTGCTTGCGGCCAGTTCTGGTTTTCTCAAATATGTCCTGAGGCTTCCGCTCGAACGGCATGACTCTCCAGAATATTGCATGGGCAGGGCTCTGGAATATTTACGACATCAACTGGTCAGTGATCCACGTGCCAACGAACTTCTCATATTCGATCTTCAAGCACTTTCCACTTTTGAAAGATATGTGGACAACTTTGAAGGCGCCAGAACACATCTTCGAATGGTCGTGCATCTCGTCAGAGCAATGGGAGGACTGAACATTCTCGAGCTTCCCATGCAACTGCTTTGTTGGCTGTGGGATTTGTTGGTGGCAGGTGGCGCGGGAGAAGCGCCTCTCATGGCACTGACTTGGGATCCCGGATTACTGCCCAGTGACACAATGCGAGGAGAGATTCTACCACACTTGGCTCAAAATGGAATTGTTCCTAGTGACTCGACCATGCTTGAATATTCTGCCGCAGTGCAACACGAACTTTCGCTGATCATTGCTGACGCGGTGGAATGGTTTCGAGTGGAGCAATCTGTTTGTCTCCTCAACTTCACGCCATCTCCAATAGAGGCGTGGGCTAGGAGACGATCGTATGCACTTGTTCATCGTTTACTTTCATTCTACACCCACTCTCCCTCAGGGACGTCTTCGCCAGAACTTCTACAACCTGCACTTTCGGAGAGTGTGAAGCAGGCCATTCTGTGTCTCATTTCAGACATGGAATCTGTGCGACGTTCTCAACTAGATTCCTCATCCAATAGAGATTCCTCATCCATTACATGGGCCAACCCCAGTCGCCTACGCCAGGCTTTGAGCACAATGATGCAATCCAGTGAAGACTGGGCGGTACATCACGAAGAGATAGTCTTCTGGATGGCATGCGTGGGAGCGCAAAATTCCTCAGAGCACCACCCAGATGACCGCCACTGGTTTCTGGGTCTCGCCACACAAATCGCTCGCAGGCGAGATATTTCGAGCCCGGACGGCTTGGTTCAACTCATGGCCAGATATCTACATCGATGTGAGCCTTCTGGTATGCCAGACGTTTCTGGGCTGGAAAGTATTTTGGGATAAGGGAAAGGAAAGGAAATTGTTTGAGGGAAAGGCTCAAGGTTGGGAGGTTCGAGGCTGGTTGGATCATTCTTTACGACTACGAAGTTACGATGCCCTGTCGTCTTTTGCTTCTCCGATTATTCTGATGATCTTTCAGAGACGGTTTCCTCCCATGATAGAAGAAATGCTTGGCTTTGCCTTTGCTGACTGCATTGTCCTGTATCAACAACCACAAAAGTTCAGTCTACCGTACTGGGCCGGGGAAGGCTCACGGAGTTTCTGGTCAGGGTCTGGGCTCATGTCTGGGAAAATAGATTGCCCCCTTGTCAGCTACGATTGTGTTTTTGGATCAGGAGAGACTTGTGTACAAGAGACGTTGAAGAGGCCGTGGCTTTTGAGTTTTCGGTTTTTGATTGCTCATGTAAAATACGGATCCGCCCGGCCTTCGAGGCTTCAGTCCTTTCCCTGTCAGAGTCCTTTGCTCCACTCCTAATCCTCTTCTCTGTTCCACTGGGGACGATGGTCCTGATAGATGTGTGTGCGTATAGAAGAAAAATCTTATAGAATCCAATCCTAAGACATAATTTGACTGGGTGGGTACCTTCCCAATCTCATGGTCGATGTAGATGTATAACATAAAAGAGAAGACGCAGCCACGGGCATAATTGAGTACTAGAATATGTACGGATTGGGACTACTACCATGATCGGGGAATGGTGCAAGGTCTATCTTGCCTTTCGACGCACGGCCCGGTGTGAGTAGAGGGAGGGGTGCATGATGACCGAAAGTATCGACAGATGAGAGCAACCGTCACGAACGAAGGGATATCATATTGTCTTCATGTCTTGCCCATGACGTATCCAAATCATATTGTCTGATCTAGTCTATGTTCGTCGCATTTCAGCGTCATTTGCTCTAATCGATCTCTATTTCACCTCCTATTCCCTAGGCTAGGGTCCTTCAATGGATCCAAGTCGAGGTCCCAAATGACATGCTGTAAGAAAAGACGACCGACGATACTGACGACAAGGGCTTGAATGAATTCAACGAGTTATTTTGGTTATTTTCATCAGCTGGCCTTTCACGTCCACGATCGAAGCGCAGTCGCTGCCACTATCCGACAAAATCCCCTGGATGCACAAGTGCTCGGCTCACGCCAAAGACGATGACCCGCATTCCATCATAGATCTCGTCGACTAAGGAAGAGCTTAAATGAAGTCGCATGGTAGACTATGATGTCAATCGAAAGCTCCAGTCTCCGGACCAAATCCTCTCAAGTAGATATTAGATGTGGTCAAATATCAACTAACCTTCGTGGCGAGCTGCCTCGTTCTCGAGGGACGAGTCAAATTCAGAAAGACCTCGTGCCTCCCCACGCCCGATCTCCCTTGCATAAGCTTATGCAAGGCCATAGAGACTAGCCAGGTTATATGGTCCGGTCCGCGTCTGGTGACTCGGGCGAGAGGCCGATTTGCTTGAGATCTAGGACGGGTTGGAGCCGACTTCAGGTCATTTGTACCATGTGCTGGCTTTGATGGAGGGTGAGGGCTCGGTATTATCTTGGTCGTTCCATCATTATGGTGCTCGTCATCTTCTCCATCAACCGATGTTCAAGATACATCAGACAAAGCCACAGCAACAGCGGCGCCGAATACAGCCGCCTCATCGGTTGATTCCAGGACAATCTTCTCCGATGTCAAGAGTCCTCCAACGGATGGCCCTGCCCGGATCATCTGGTGGATGAAGCCTTGGCATCTTTCCTTGAACCCAGGATATTTGAGTATGACACTTCCATTACAGGCGATAGATGTTTTCGGGGTTTCCGTCGGAGCTGTAGAATTGATATTGGTGTCCTTCTGCAATGCCCATAATGCATGAACAGCTACGGCCATGTAGGCAGAGGCTCGGTAAGAGATGGATTCGGCTGCAACTCGGAGGAAGGATATCTCTTCGACGGATGGGGTTGTTCGAAGACCGAATGTTTTTTGGATCATCGAGATCGAATCCTTCAAATTTCGGGACCGATCTTGCTCCAGTTTGGCTAGGATCTCGGTGTCGAGGGAGTAAGGCTCGCTTAACGCTTCAGGCACGACACCGTCGAAAAGCTCTCCAGTCTCCACGGCCTCGATGATGATCAATCGTAGCAGTTCACCGAGATAACGACCGGTGGTCATGTACTCAAGTGGTTGAAAGTCGGGTCTCTGATGTTGTTTGTTCAATATCTCATCCCATCGAGTCTCCGGGAGGATTGATTTGCCAAACATGGATACTTCGGTGTTCGTAATGACTTTCTCGGCCCTCGCAAACCATGATGGATCTCGCACTCCAAACTTGGACTTGCCCATACAGGAAATCGGTAGAAAAACAGCAGCATTGGTTCCCGTCCCGAGGATCAATCCCATCGATGTGGCCGGGTCGAGGTAGGCTTGAGAAAGGAGGGTGGCCGAGGAATCATTGACGATGGCATCCACGCGGACATTCACATTTCGCCGGGCGCAAGCAGATTCAATCAAGGCGCCCAAGTCCATGCCGATGGTGTCTTCATGGCACGAGAATCCCTTGCCCATTCCTTGCATTTTACCACCACGATGACTGGTCTGTTCGATAGGAAAACTCCAGGCCAGGCCGAGCGGCAAGATCTGACCGGGAGGCCAGGTCTCCTTCTCTTCTTCCAACATGCCTTGTATCCTGCTTGCCATCCAGTCAAAAAACAGCGCCGAGGGCAATTTCCGGATTCGTTCATCAATCTTGAAGGCGGCCATATGTTTGATGGCCATCGGAGGATGTCGTCCATTTCGTCCACGAAGTTCCACCAAGGCCACCCTGAATGTCGACCCCCCCACGTCCAGAGATATGTACGAGCCCCTCTCTTGTCCGGTCGGCAAGGTATGACAATATGACGGTAACATGCAGGCCGCACTGTCTTGTAGTTTGGTCTTATATTGGATGCGAAGGGCGGAGGACATGGAAAGCATTCGGCGCATGGTACATGGGGATCGGTACAAACGCATGATCTCATCTTTCAGAGACTCGAGGGATGGCAAACTGTCCGTCGTCTCGACCACCGTCACTTCTGTATTGGAGGATTTGGATGACGCATTCATGGTCTTGAGGGTGGAGGGAAAGAGGATCATGGCGGCCAAATGGCGCAGGATGCGGCGGAAGAATTCGAGGAGAGTCATGACGGCGGTTGAGGACGAAGTGAAGGACCGTGTCTTGTTTGTTCAGGGCCACTAGTCGAAGAGAGCACAGATGGTGAGGCTCATGGCGGGCTAGAACAGATATTTTGTTTGCGGTGTATGAGAGAAACCCGGGGTGGAGGATGTGACATGTCACGAGTCACGAAAATGACGAGAAGTTGGCGGTGACATGACAGTCAATATCGAAGATTGCGAGAGTGACTGAGATAGAAGCAGTAATGGTTGCGGTAGTAGTGACTGGGAGGAGTTATGATGGAGAGGTAGCATAACATTTAGGAAATTGTCGTCAAAGACAGAAGCACTGCTAGGGACAGTTGAAGTGCAGAGGGATATGGATATGGATTGGGTGTAACTATGGTAGTAGGAGGAGCCACGCAATACTATCTCGGATTCTGGTCCGTCCGTAATTGTGAGAGACTACGGTGACAGCCGATTGAAAGTGTGAGAAGCCATCAAGAATAACGAGCGCAGGGCGGAAGGCAGGGATGTGGGGAATGCTTGCCAGTTGACCTTTGCGGCGAGAAGTCGAGTGTCACTGTAACCATGACCATAAATATCAGCATACTGCTACGCTGCTCTCTGGGGTTCCCAAGGTTGCTTTCGCTCTTTATTGCTGCGCCGGTGGTGGCCGCGTACAAAGAGGCCGCTGGCATAGAGTTACATCCACTCCATCACTTCCGCGACCTAGCAATTGACCGGCAAACATAAAAGATCGAATGTAACTTGATCCGGTGCCATGGCAGTGCCCAACCTCCAAACTCCCCTGCCTCTGCCTGTCATCTATGCATCATCAGATACATGTAGTGGCACCTCGATAAGGACAGTACTACACGGTTATGCCCTCTCGGTCGCTTTGCTCTCTTCCGACCAAACGATTGCCCCCTCCCTTCTGACCTGTTGCCTACCTGTACATGCGACATGCATCGATGGCCCTGCAACACACACTCTCCTAAGATACCTATGGCCATTGGGGTTTCCATGCAACCACTTGTCTGAGTCATAATGGGGTTACGTTGGGAGCCTGATGCCCGGAACATACATACCTACGTACCAGGTATATTCCCTACCGAGTAAGGAGGCCGCTGTATTGCTTGATGGAAGTAAATCTGAGCCACCTGCTCCTTCGCCGGTGACATTCGCGGTGTCAAGCACGAAGAATATCTATTCCATGCACACTGGGCTGAAGTCACAGAATCTGACTGACCACTCATCGCAATTTTGGCAGGTTCGGAACATTGCCGTCATGGCCATGGTCCCGGTTTTGTTCATCGAGGAAAGCAATCAAACAGGAACGGATTCTCCTTGTCGGCTCTATTCTGACCTGCACAATGCTTTGTATAGATGGAAATGCACACGCCCGCATGGTTGATTGACGATCAGGCTGAAGGATTCCCGATGAAATACGGAGAGGCGTGGTCAAAAATAAGACTCGACAATGATTGGGCTTTGGGGAAGAGCAACACACTCAGGTGTGACCGACTCTGGCTTTTGTGGTTCACATGTGCCGGACAAAGACGTGAAATTTGTCTCAGTCTGGATACAGAAAGGCGGTGCAAGCCAGATATGCATGTTCTAGTCAGGGGGAGCAAATTATCACAAAGATCGCGCCGAACAGTGGCTGGTGGTACAGGGGATGCTGTCATCTGCTTTTGACTGAGAACATTCTAGCCAGTCTTCCCCTTTTCCATCCGTATTCTCTGTCATCGGGGAAGCCCAGGGATCAGCCAGACTATTGACAAGTGGCAGGCTCGGTATATCCTCGTCAGGGAATAGGCACTTGGTAGATCCGCTTGTATTTTCCCAAATAGATCTCGCCAATCGATCGGTGGTCCGACAGGGGAAGGTCACTTGAAGGACAAAGGACGGGAAGAGCCAGATTCGCAATCGGCTGCTTGTGAATTTGACTCAGCTGTGGTCCAACATTGATATGTAGGCGATCGAGATTCATGCCGATGGTTGAACGTTGAGTCTTGGAAGACTGGCAGCTGGATGACTATTTTCGAATTTCCGAATTTCTGGGAATTAGGGCTGGGCGGGAACCAGGAACCGGGGGGAGAATGTGTCTGGTATTTTTCTTTTATTGAATTTGTCCTCGTGGACTAAAAATTAGGGGAGGGGGTGGGGAGGGAGGGCATGTCAAGTCGTTCTGCCCTCCTCGCTTGAAGCCCCCGGTCGATCTTCGCTCTTCGGCAGTCAATCACCCCTATAAGGTCCGGGATGTTTAGCTAAAACTCAAGAACTATTGATGCGCTCACCGGGCTCCCCTTGCCGAATTGTTCCTCCGCCTCCAAAGAATTTTTCGTCCACCATCCGCCTCGCCTGTATTCGCCTAAATTAAAAATTCCTTCCCCCGAGGCGGTTGATTGGGGAGATCCCGTGCGCAATCGAAGATCGATCCACCAACGCGTCAGTGGCCCTGCAGCCGGGGCTGACCCTATGGAGTACGGAGTCAGCTAGTTGGCGAAGGCACCAAAGAGGCCAGGACGACAAACTGCAGTTCATCTTGAAAAAGTGTCAAAAGTGCTCGAATCCCTGTCCGCAGTCAGTCTCTGAAACCATATACACAGTATAACAGATCGTTTTGCAAGACTCGCGGCACCATCCGACACCAGAGAGAACACACGCGTTCAAAGTTTGTGTTTATTGTTTTGTGGTGTCCAGGGTGCAACGATTTTCCTTCTCCGTGTGGCCCCCTGCGCTGCTTCATCCGGGTATTGGGTAATTAATGACGCCCTCCGATTGCGCCTGGGAATCCAGGACCGTCAGGACCCTCGTAGAGTCGGCCTTGCAACCAACCACCGTCGTTCGACTAGCCTCTGCCTCGTGTTATAATGTCCGCGATCCCCCTGTCTTCCCCAAGGCTCTTCAAGCCTCTTCCCTGTCCCGTGTTTGACGTCCAAAACGCCTCTGTGCTTCCTCAACTTCCCAGCATTGTCCACGGCCCCCCAGTCCCTCACGAGAAATTTGCTACCCTTCCCTTGTAGCACCCTTCTTTTCTCTATAAGCCATGCGTCTGCGCGCTTTTCTTGCAGCTCTCTCACACATCTCTCCAGTTCCCAACCCGACCAGAACATTGTGTTTCCAACACGCGACACCACCTGCGCCAGCTTTCCTGTCCCATCTGATCTGATCTGATGTTATCCCCGCCATCACCGACCGCTGCATTCTACTTAAGCACGTCAACTCCCTCTGACGTGCTCGCTTGACACACAAGAGTGTACCCGTGCCCGCGCCCACCCCATTCTTCCCGAGTCAATGCGCAACAAACCATCTGTAGCGTCTCCAGAATCATGGAATCTCGACTTCGCAAACTTCTTTCCCCAAGAAGGCTGAGGGCCCAGCAGAACAATGTCGGCCCTGAATTGGATTGGCACAATGGGGCCTATACGACGGCTCTACCCCTCGGGAAGTCTTCAAGTACAAAGCGCAAAGATGACCCCAACCCCGATCTTCTCTCGTTTCCTTACGATTCCACTCTACCGGGAAAGTGCCCTCATATGGGCGACCGACCTCAGAGAGGAAATGGCCCGGTCACACTCCAGACAAGCCGGCGTTTGAGTTCGGGCGAGCTCTTGGTCACTCAGCAAGACTATGATCGCACCTTGGAGGATATTCGTCATGGCGAATTCATTGTCGGCGGGAAAGAGAGAAGGGCCCTTCAGGCTCCATCCCGATCAAAGTCGCCGACCAACCCTCCAGACTTGAAATTCCTCTCTAGTGCCCCCAATTCTCCGGGAATTCCTTCGACATTGGCCAGTCCGCTTGGGTCGCCTCGATCGGTCATGAGTGATACACCTGTCCCCGGTTTATTCGCTTTTCCCGCTTCAATTTCGGACAGTGTCATGCCTCTACCGCGCGTATCCTCCTCTGCTGCCTCTGGGCATGCTGACGATGGGCCCAATTCCCACATCAACGAGCTTGGAATTTCCAGCCCTCCGCCATTCTCCATGCGCCAAGTGGCCTCCACAACTTCTCTCCTCGAACCTCACGAAGAACGCAATCCCACCATTCAAGCCTTGTGGAAAGCCGAATATAGTCGCCTTGTCTCTATATACGGACAAGCCGGCGTGGACCGCAACATCCTAGAGATCAATCGAGATCAATTGAACACGTCCACATCTGGTGTCGCCCATCTCGCAGAAAAACGAGATACAGCCCGTTCCTCTTCCGCTCTCCCATGGCAACAGACACTTCATCCTCCAGCCGAACCTTTTCGGCGCGGATGGGGACTGAAGAATAATATGTCGACCTCCAATCTCGAGCTCGGGTACCGTGACGATCACTCCGAAGAATCTTCCAACCGGAGATTATCCCTTCTTTCATCGAGTGGCGCATCCTCATCCTTCACGACGCGGACCAGTGTTGCTGAAGAGTCGGTGACCAGCAGAGATGATCTGCGCAAAATCGTGGACGATATGCGAATGACATATCTGCATGCCATCGAAGCTCACACTCCTCCTCTTCAACCGATTTCTGACGCTCCGTCGAAGAAATCGACGTCCAAAACGCAGACCCGATCTCTTGTTACATCGGCATCGGTGGAAAGCAGCTTGCGATCGGCCAGTCGTCAGTCAGGGTCCAACACGAAGTCATGGGCATCTTCCACGACTCATGTGACGACGCCGAGAACCTCGACCTCTTCCCCTTCTTTCAAGTCACTTAGCAAACGCACGAGCTCATCGACTAGTCGACGGACTTCCGGCCAGCCGGTAGCAGGAATTGCGACCCTGCCGGCAATACGGGCCAGTCCAACCAGATCGAACCGCCGTGGACCAAAGAAGGACGATGATGATGTTGGTTTGAAACGAGCAGACTCGACGACTCTGGGTTCCATGGCCAGAAAGCTGACGATTCTCGATAATCGAAATCTGAACTCGCCCTCACAACCACCCACGTCGTCTCCAGCAGACGAGCGTAGCTCACCGAAGTCGAACCCTGAATCTGAATCTGGTCAACGCTCTCTGTCCTCAACCAGCAATCCGTCACCGTCTCGACTGCCCTCGGTCCAGCAAACTCCAGAAAATCACAAGCCCGTGTCCGATGATGAGTCGCCAATTGAAGGCCCTTCGTGGCATTCGGAGGCTGATCGTCTCTTTTCTGATGCAGAACTCGATCTCGCTCTCGACATCAACGACTTCGAAACCTTGTGCGATGACCTGTTCAACGCTCCTGCCGTGGGGAAAGGAGAATTCGGAGCATTTCAAACATGAGGTGGAGTGACACCAAAGGAGAGCGAGTGGCATGATCATGCAATCACTACCGAAAGCCCATCCAAATCGAAGAAAAATTTGGAAATAAGCCAGACAGTGCTACTTCTCACCGACATTCCTTCAAGCCATTGAGAGGAAGGAATATCGAATATGCAAGCTTCCGTGTCCAGCCTATGAACACTGCGGCGTTGCTCGAACAATCATTGTGACGTTGTTATGTTGACGCCTTTTATGCCTTTCTTTTTGTCTCGCTATGTCGATGGTTATGAATGGGAAAAGGACAATACCGAAAAGTAATTGGGGGAAATTGGAGGAAAAAAATCCGGAATTGGGGCCTGGTTTGGGAATTTCGTGCTTTCCTTGTTCGTTAGACTGCCGAATAGCTTGGTCGACCTCACGATGCTATGTGTTCTATTCTTGATATGAACTTTGAGTGGGAAACATTTCATGAAACTGGTATCCTTTTCTGATATCTGGATGATTGGCCTTTGGTGGTCTCTTGGTTGGTCACGAAGCAGGCGCAAATCTACTTGGGGAACAAAACAAAACCAACTGAGACGATATATTGGAGCTGGGTAGGATGGGAGGATTGCGTGACTAGATACTACGACGCTACGGACGCTGGGAAGGAAATACTCATTTGGCGGAGTGATGCTTCACATGGGATTCGGGGTATATATATAAATCAAAGCCTTCACAGGTACGGAATATTTTATCGGTCACGATAGCGATTCTGATTGTGTCTGGTCCTTATTGAAGTTTCCTTCAACGTACTATGCCTTACCGTCGTCGCCGTGGAAGGTATCGCCCTAGCCAACCGTTGGGGATCGTGCTCAGACTAAGCACAGTGATCCAAAAGCAACATCTTCAAGTATTCCAATTAGATTTGCTTGAATGAGCTTGCAACAAGTCATCTTCCGGCCTCTGAACTGACAAGAGAAGGTCCCCGCTGGTGACAATTGACTCCTTGAACGAGTCCAAAGCATCACGTGACTTTGATGGGTTGAAGATCTTCAGCAAGGCTGAATAGTTGCGACAATGCCAAGCCAAATGCCCCCACGTGATAATGCCAAGCAAACTGTTTCACGTGATTGGCTAACAATTCGCCCTGCATCATCCCAATATGAGAGAAACAAAATCCACTGTCGAGATCTGTCCAATCGGCAAGTTCTCTGACCATGAGTAACCGTGTGTTACCCATTTTCTGGTATTCTGACCAGCCGGATGTCAGAAAATAGAGGCGCAATATCAGAAACTTTAAGCCCACGAACTGCCTTATTTGCCGGATTTTCTTCGTCTGTCCCACCAATCACGAATATGAGCCTCCATTGGATCTGGACTGGTCTTGAAGCCACCATCGAACTCAGCCCGTTACATAACGGGAACATACTGGGAGTAAGACCCCAACTCAAAGCGAATCCATCTATTCTTCACATACCCGGACCATAGTCTGGGGTACTGGAGGGAATCCGGGGGTAAATTTGCCCCGGGGGGGCGCCAGTTCCAGCCAGGGTTAGAACCGGCACATTCACGAGGTTGGTCTAGACATCATATAAGAAGACCGGGGAATCTTTTCCCTGGATCTTCTTCTGCTCCTCAGGATATCGAACTCCACCTAATCTGGTCTCTTCCTATCTGATTGTGGAAGAACAGGTCTATCTTTGTGCACAAAATGGCAAACCTGACCAAGTATAATGTTGCCATCTGTCTTGTAGTGGCTTGGGGAGGCTACAGCTATGGCTTCGGCTTTGCCATTTTCGTCACCAGCATCGGCCAACCCGGCTTTTATCAGTATTTCAATCTCGATCGTGAGTGTGACCCTCGCCCCATCCAGTCCACGATGACTGACTTCGATCAGCGTCTAGCACCTATACAGCAAAGCAAGTACCTCATCAGGACTTTCGAGAAAACATATCTGACTGGGCAGCCAGTATTCTCGGAGCCATCAATGCTCTTTTCAATTTCGGACTCGCAGTTGGTGCCCTTGCCCAGGGCCCCCTTGCTGATATCCTAGGACGAAAGAGAGCATTTACACTGGCCGCAGTGTGCTCTTTGATCGGGGCAGCCTTGATCACGGGTTCTGTTGCAATTGGCATGCTCATCACAGTGCGACTCCTACATGGTTTTGGTCTGGGTATGCTTATTTGCCTGGTACCTCTCTATCTTACAGAGGTTGCTCCTCCTCATCGGCGTGGGTTGCTCTCGGGTTTGACCACGATGAGCTTTGGCATGGGATATGTTGTGCATGTGATTGTGCTCTTGATACGACGACAAACGATTCTAACAATTTGCATAGCTGTGCCTGGATTTCCATCGGAACCTACTACGCCACCAATCTAACGGTGCAATGGAGGGTGCCTTTGGCCCTTGCCTGCATTGGACCTCTCGCGCTTCTGATCGGCTTGCCCTTTATCCCGGGTTCGTCGATTCTCCCATTTCAACGATACAAGACTAATCCTGTATAGAATCACCGCGCTATTTGACTCTCAAAGGCAGAACTCACGAGGCGTGGGATGTCCTTCAAAGGATTCATCACGATCCAAACGATCCAGAAGACTCTGCGGCCCATGCCGAGTATACCCAGATCGTAAGGCAGGTTGAATTCGACAAAGAGCAGGAAGCTGGGTATCTCCAAATGTTTAAGAAACCATCATGGAGACGAAGAAGTTTACTCGCTCTCTTTATTCAGTAAGTTGACATCTCCTAGGAAACATACTCTCCGTCACGTTGGTGCTGACTGTTGCTTCATCAGATTTGCAGCTCAATCCACTGGGGCAAGTCTATCCGTCGAATTCAAAATACAGGTGACATGGTTGTTGACACATTTGAAAAACAGATTCTCGGAATTGCCAATTTTCTCGTCCTGATCTTTACAAGCTTAGGAATGACTGGTGTCATGCCGTTGCTCTTATACGGTAGACCACCCATCTGGTCCATCTGAGCTCCGGAATGCAATTTAACAATGCTTCAGCTGTTTACTCCACCATCGGTACCATTTGCGTCTTCATCGCCATCTTCACAGTGGACAAAATTGGCCGCAGGACCATGTTCCGTAAGTAATGCACTCTCACTCCTCACTCCCTCACCATCATTCTGCAGAGAACGACGCCGACGGAATTCTTTGTATCAGTCATCGGTTTTCCAGGCCTCGCAGTCTGTCTTCTCCTCGAAGGCATACTACAGTGGAAATACCTGGGTACAGACAACAAAGGTGGCCTCGCGGCCTGCTTGGTCTTCATCTACATCTATATCGTGATCTTCCAGTGCGTCGACGGACCGTCGTTCATTTGGATGGCGGAGATCTTCCCAACCACTATCCGCGCCAGAGGAATCAGTCTCGGCTTCTTCTCCTACTTCGTTGGTGCAATCACGTATACTACCCCCTCAGCTCTTGCGTTTAAGAATATGTGAGTAACCTGCTTTTCCCCCAACCAATGAAACCCAAAGACCGAAGCAGCTTGGCCAACGCCATACTATTTAGCAAATATCGGATGTACTTCCTCTACATGGGCCTGTGCATCATTTCCACTATCATCGTGTATTTCTACGTCCCAGAGACAAAACAGATCCCCGTTGAGGAGATTGGTGCATTGTTCGGCGATGAGGTCGTTGTGCATCTTACAGCCGATGGACATGGGATCGTCGAGGAGCAAAAAATGGTCAAGGTAGAGGGTGCATCGACTGTGGTTCATACCGAGAAAGTTTAAGCGGTGGTGGACGGACGCTGACTTGCGAGAATTCCCCTTGAGCTGGCGACGAGTTGAATGTGAAGGTCATCATGTTGCATTGACGCTGAAGGCCGATGTGCATATATATTTAGTATCTTGCGACTGAAGATGCATCAGACTTCATCCCAAGCTTCTCGAATCTCGACGACTTGCCTTTCTCTCGATTCGGAGAGGATGGGTGGGCTCGTTCATTTATTCCAAGAAATACATTGGTTCCTTGTTCAGGAGCGTGTATATTGCCCTGTAAGTAAATGAATCTCCTAGCTCGAAGAGAATGTGACAGGGGTTAGGTACATGCCATTTGTACCCGAGTGTAGCGGTCGACCATGTTGGGCATGGAGAATCGAGCGGCAACGGCCCAGTTCATTTGTGCTGTCAGCTAGATCCTTGTGCCTTCCGGCTTCGGGAATGAGTATTTTCCAGCAACTAGCCGTGCATTTGAGAATCTCAAAAGCCCTCTTCGGTTGATTGGTTCCGATCGTGAGGTCGAGCTTCAGTCGTGATTTTCCAATGGGATGTTCGAAGAACATTGACGAGCTTGATCAGTCCAGCAAAATCGTATCCTGTGCCACCTAGGATGCTTGAATTGCTCCAAAATTTCCAGACTGGTAAGATGAAATGCGTTCAGATGCGTCGAGAAGCTCTCTCAGTCCTTGCTTCCATACTTGTCGCGGTAGACCTTCATTTGCTCTAATTGTTCCGGTCCCGCACCCTCGATTTGCCCTGCTTCAATTGCCTCGATCAGGTCCTCGAACTTCAAAACCGCCCTGACCGGAACCCCCAGTTCGTCCTCTGCGACTTTCATTGCACTTCTTGGTTCCGTATCACTCACTCGCTCCTGTCTCGTCAGGAGCAAGACAACACCCGCCACGATCCCACCTTGTGCCTTGATGATAGAGACTGCTTCTCGCAGGGCAGTTCCCGCAGTCATGACATCGTCAATGACTACCACTCGTCGGTCCTTGAGCGGTGCTCCAACTATAATACCTCCTTCTCCATGATCTTTCGACTCTTTTCTGTTGAACGAATATGACACGCCCTCAAACTGTTTCCCACTGAACGCCAGTTCTCTGACCACAATTGCGCTTAACGGAATTCCCTTGTATGCCGGCCCGAAGAGAATATCGAAGTGCGGTGAAAATGATCCGTCTGCTTGCCCTCCAGCTTCCCCTGTCCCAAGCGGCAGGGAGAACGGAGGGGACGTTAATACCGAGGCGTAGGCGCGGGCTAAAGCACCCAGTAAAGACGACGTATGTAGAAGAGAGGATGTGAAGAAATAGGGTGATATGCGACCCGATTTGAGCGTGTAGGTGCCGAAAGAGAGTACTGAAGCCTTCAAGAGCAAGGGAAGAAGGGTTGTTTTGTACGAGGTATCAGTTGCCATTCTTCCCAATGTCGCTGGAACCGTATCAACTGAAGCTGAACTCTGTCTGGGGCTTGGGAGAATACAATCGTTCATATTCGACGAGATCTCGGGTCCAATCGAGGAAAAAGCGACCGCGAAGGTGTGGCTTCACTGACTGGTCGTTGGGGGGGAAAAAGCCCAACCCTGTACCTGCCAAGACAATTTGTGACGCTGTAGGAGAAGAAAGTTCTGCCGCTCGGAGAGAATAGAATTTGTCTCCGTCAGCGATGGGAATGTCGTTGACTGTTGACCGACTCAGCTTCTACCTCCACGCTCTACTTCCACGTCAGACCGGCCTGAAACTTGAGAAAAGATTTTGACCGACTCTTCATTCCTCATCCACAATCCCATAATATTCTGTACATGAACCTCATCCTACCTCGACAGCGCCCAATGCCGCGAGAGCTGGCAGACAGGTGGGCTCGCAACCGTTACTTTGGTTGATTAGGAGGGGGAAAAACGCATACAATATACAAAGAGGGACAAGAGGAGGCATCACTGCCAATAGTCCACCCAAGAGCGTGACTCCGTCAAACGACCTCTGTTCTTCGACTTTCGTTTAATTTGTCGATCGCTACTGCCCACTACCACGAATTTTTCATTTGCTCTCCGTCAGGAATCCTCAAGATGCATATCTCCAAAAAGCTCGCTCTGGCTCATGAGAACAAGAAGCCAACGTTCTCGTTCGAGTTCTTTCCACCCAAGACGGCCCAGGGTGTCCAAAACTTGTACGACCGAATGGACCGTATGCATGAATTGGGACCGGCTTTCATTGACATTACCTGGGGCGCAGGAGGGAGGCATTCACAGTTGACTTGTGAAATGGTGAATGCGGCGCAGACTCACTACGGACTGGAGACGTGCATGCATTTGACTTGTACCGATATGGAACGCTCCCAGGTGGATGAAGCACTTCGCTATGCCTACAAGGCCGGCTGTACCAATATTCTGGCCCTTCGAGGAGATCCACCAAGAGACCAGGAGAAATGGGAGGCCAAAGATGAGGGCTTCCGCTTTGCAAAGGATCTCATTAAATACATCAAGTCCCAATACGGAGATCACTTTGACATTGGCGTCGCCGGCTATCCTGAAGGCTGTGACGATAACCGCGACGTGGATCTTTTGATTGAACACCTGAAGGAAAAAGTCGATGCTGGAGCGTCGTTCGTTATCACTCAAATGTTTTATGACGTCGACATCTTTCTGAACTGGGTACAAAAGTGTCGTGACCGGGGTATCAACGTACCGATCATCCCCGGCATCATGCCCATTTCGACCCACGCTGCCTTTCTTAGGCGGGCAAACTGGACCAAGTGCCATATTCCTCCTGAATGGCATGAGGCCTTGGAGCCTGTCAAGAATGACGATGCCGCGGTCAGAGATATCGGAAAAGACCTTGTGGCCCAAATGTGCCGCAAGATCGTCGACGCCGGCATATTGCACCTTCATTTTTATACCATGAACTTGGCCCAGGCTACAAAGATGGTTCTCGAAGAGCTATCCATGACTCCCGCAACCTCCGGAATGCCGCTGGAGAAACCATTGCCCTGGAGACAGTCCCTGGGATTCAATCGGAGAGACGAAACGGTGCGACCAATTTTTTGGCGAAACCGGAACACTTCCTACATTACGAGAACGGCTGACTGGGATGAATTTCCCAATGGTCGTTGGGGTGACAGTAGGAGTCCTGCGTTCGGTGAACTTGACGCCTATGGCATCGGCTTGAAAGGAACCAACGAAGCCAACATCAAGCTGTGGGGCAAGCCAAAGACGCTGCGTGAGGTCACCGCACTCTTCGTCCGCTTCCTGGAAGGGAATCTGGACAGACTACCGTGGAGCGAAGGTGCTATCTCAACAGAAGCAGACAGTATTAAAGCTGATTTGCTCAAACTGAATCGAAATGGTCTCTTGACAATCAACTCACAGCCAGCAATCGACGGCGCCCCTTCAACTCATCCCGTTTATGGATGGGGTCCAGCGGGGGGGTGGGTCTATCAGAAGGCATACCTGGAATTACTCGTCTTTCCTTCAATATTCAGCACGGTCATGGAGCGACTTGACGCCAACAAAAATCTCACATATTATGCAGTCAACCAGAAAGGTGAACTTTACACCAACACCAAAGATGAGGGCCCAAATGCGGTGACTTGGGGTATTTTCCCAAATCGAGAGATCGTTCAGCCCACCATCGTGGAAACAGTTTCTTTCCTCGCGTGGAAAGATGAAGCTTTCCGTCTCGGGCAGGACTGGTCGAAATGCTATCCGGCCGGATCCGGGAGCAGAAAGTTGATCGAGACCATCATGGATGAGTGTTACCTTGTCAACATCGTGAACAATGATTTCCATCAGACACATGAAATTTTCAAGGTGTTTGAAGGTCTCCAAGCGCAGGATCTTGACAAAGTTTTTGAGGACACTGATATCGATGACCATCGAAATGCGACGAGAGATGTTGTCAAAGGTGATACACGGGCCACCGAGGTGGAGAAGAAGATTGCGAGTGGGAATCAGCAAGCTGTCCCTTTCCAGGCGAACGGCGTTGTTCTATCAAACTGAGCATCACAATACAATAGATCTCAGAAGTGCCAAAAGTTGAAACTGCTGACGGTTGGTTCGGCCTTGACAGCATTTTCAACTACGCTGAATGAAGCATGAGACGGCTAATATATGGGATCACTGTGGAGTTTGGGAGTTTATTTCAACAAGCCAGGATTCGTTCTTTGAGTGGTGGCCAGACAGGTGGGTTAAAACCTGGGGGGTGAACTACGGGAGAAAAGCATCTCATTTCAACATGATACCCCAGCATAAAAGCAAGAGTTTACGAAGCGATGATGTTTATGAAAATTTAGTAAAACCATACCAAAGCACCGAATTCATCTTGGGATGATGAGCGTGGCACCCAAAGAGAATAAGTGGTAAAAACTTGATGATGGACCGGGGCCTTTCAACATGGTCAAAGTCGGTCTTACATATCAATCAATGAGTATTGGCTGAATCATCAATTCATGGTTCATATTTTTTCTTGTTTTGTTCACCCAGCACAAGACGTCGGCAGTGTCACGTCGATCGGATGGTCAAGGGTGAGTGCCAATTGTATTGTAACGGCCGGCTTCCGCTTGAGATACTGAATCTTTTCCGACCAAGTCAAAAGCTAGGCCGATATATCTTGAACGACCGACGAGTCCAAAGTCTCGTATCATTCCAATCGCGGTGTGGTATAATGCGTGGCTCCAGCAATTGGGCTCTCCTCTCACAAACCAGAGCTCAGCCTCGTCACGTGTCAACCCTACCCCTTTAAACCACGTCTGCGGAAACACCCGCAAGGACCTGGCAAGTTGAACACTGATCGAAAATAAAAGAGATATAGAGAGATGAGAGTGGGAAAAGGGTCAGTCTGGAAACAGTCCGGTCGCTTCTACAGAACGAAGATGCCGACCAAGAGAAAGAAGATATCCTTGCCTATATAATAAGGCTGCTGTTTGAATCCAGGCCATGTTGACCCTAAACTGACGATCTGTAACCGTGTGCACTTCATTATCCTTCACAGAATCCTCTCGGATCCGTCCGTGATGGTATCTTGCTCCTTGTTGATGTGTTGAGCAATGGGCAGTACCCCTTTACTTGGGAAAGAGTTTATCACCCCTATGCAGGATGTGGGGAGAAATACGAGAAGAAAAGGGGTCAACCAAACATGTGGATATACTGGCAATCTGGCGAGTCCAGTTGCCAAAAAGACAGAGCATTCAATACATCTCAATTTGCACCCTCGGTTTGACATGATGTTGTCTCCTTCGTCACCCATGTTAGCACACGACTATCACTACCCCAAGTCTTGCCTCATCCGATCAAAACAAGATACCACCCACCTTGATCGGCCACCTAACCGAGCTCCTTTGACGAATACTTGACCCCAACCAAGTCATTACTCCTCAGCCGCCGACATATCGTACCCCGCCCCAGCATCAGCACAGCCTTGTGACTCCACCGCACTGTTTTCCAGCTACCGCCTCATTGATGACGTCCCAAAAGACAGTCGTCTTTGAAAACATCAAGCTCCGCACCCTGTCGCTTCATATTCTTCGTCACATGAACTTTTGTACCCTAAGTCCAGGTTTGCGAAAAGTTCAACGCTTCGAACTTTCCCCCAAGATTCTCAAGAGCCTGCCATGGGACTTGATCGCAGAGTTCTTCTCCGCGCTTCACCTCAGGCAGATGAACTGGTCAATGGTTTTCTCGCCTCCCAATAAGCACGGCTACTCTTGAGGCAACCCAGCACCTTTCGACATACTCCATTCCCACCAAATCATAGAGAATTATCGACGGAGTTCCCAGATCCCATTAAGAATTCTTCAGTCGATCTTCTGCCTTGACCCTTGATTCCTGGAAAAAGGCAATGAAGTCCGAAAGCGTATGAACACGATGAATGATTTCTATCCTAATACGGCCATACCTCTGAGGAAACTATGCTATGTGAGATAACTGATCGAGAACGCCATAACGAGGACTCCCACTCCCCCCTCCCCTTTTTCCAAATAGTTCATAGCAAACCTGACCGAGACACAAATTCATAAATGGGACCTTTGGAAAATTGATTTTCTGGAGGAATACATACCACCCACCTTTGAGTTAGACGAAGAGATAGAGAATGCAACGGATTTTGACTCTGAGAATTCCAACACTGAGATGGAACAAGAATGAGGACACTAGTTCCCCGGGGGATTGGATTTTTCTTACCTCGGACTCCGCGAATTTACCGGCTTGGACTTGGATTTAATGCAAATGCCCACTTCTTTTAGTGTCCTCGGACCTGTGCTGGCCTGACAGTCGGCCGACAGGTAACTCGATGCAGATAGAGGAGAGAGGGCAATTCCTACGCAGATCAGGAGCGATATTGAATTGCGTCACCCGGCTCCTTAATATTTGATCATTCATGCCGAATTGCCGAATGGCCGCATGGAAAAAATACAACGAAAAGGGAAAGTGTAGACATAAAAGAAATACTCCAACTATACTCATATCCCTTTAGGAAGCGGGGAACCCAGATTTCGGCGCTGTGAAGTATCCCTGGCACCCGTTGATCCTCTGTCTGTACTACATAGTTGAAATATACTCCAACCATAACGAATTCCATTAAAGCGCGGGGAAACATGACGGTAGATTATAAAAGGTTTGATCTCTTTTTTTACGCAAATATCGAGGTCCACCAAAGTCAACAACGGCCGTGTCATTGGAAAGCTACACCATACTATACGAACGAGGCAGCTTAGAAATGGGGCTCACCGCCAGATTTCTCGGAACGGTATCTGCGGCATATATCGCGTTCTCGCTTTCGCTCTCGCTCAACGGTGTCCTAGGGAAAACCGATCTTGACTGGTATGGAGCAGAAGTTGGCTTTCTTGCCAGCTTAAAGAGCCGTGTAACAGCCACCCCAAGCCACAAGACACTCATCGACCATATCGAAAGCGAGCTCAATCTCCTCGGTCTGGCCGTCTACAGCGATGTCTTGAATTTCACCTATATGGACCAACCGTTGAGTCCGCCCAAACTCACGGTTGGAGGTCAAGAGGTCGCGATATCCTCATATGCGCCATATTCCGGAAATACCAGCTTCGCTGGAATTGGTGGAAAGCTTGTCGATTTGACGGGGCCAGATGATCCTCCGGATTGGGAGAAAGCCAGGGGGAATATCGCGGTAGTCAATGTCACGAATAGTCCTCTGGACCTGCGCCAGACGCTGGCAATATGGCCGGGGCAGCCACAGTGGTACATCCAGACAGGAATTCCTACGGTCACAGCAGACGCGAAAATTGCCAATTTGACCGAGGCTGCCGAAGCGGGCGTCAAGGGTGTGGTATATGTCTGGGAACATATCACTTCAGGGAACGCTTATGGCCAATACGTGCCATTCAAAAGGCTTTACCAAGGCGTCCCTACGATCCATGTCGCCGGGGATGCGGGTACAGCTGTATTGCAAGCGAGCAAGAACGGATCGGAAGCACATTTGACTCTCAGTGGCGAGCTGATCCCGAACACTAAAACGAGAACCATCTGGACCGTGGTAGAAGGGACGAGGTACAAGAATGAGTCCATCATCCTTAACACGCACACGGACGGTACCAATGCCGTGGAAGAGAATGGTCACATCGCCTTATTGGCCAAGGCGAAAGATCTGGCAACGAACCCTCCAGAGAGAACGACAATTTTGGTTTTTGTCACAGGCCACATGCATCAACCTGCATTTAGTACGACAGGTCGAGCCACATCGCGCTGGCTCGATGACAATCCGCAGTACTGGAGAGGAGAGGCGGGAGAAATGACGGGAGTCGCAAGCGCATGCGTTGAGCATCTCGGAGCCATTGACTGGGCCGAAAATCTCAGCACCAACACCTACTCCTCCGCCGGCAACCTCAGCGACGAATGGATCTACGCCAATACGCCCGAGATGGTCAATTTGCTCGAACAGAACTGGAACGGCGCATACCCCGGTTTCGTGCGCGTCAACAACCCCATCCCCAAAGGCGTACAGTCTGGTGAAGGCGAACCACTTACCGAGGTGAAGATCCCCAATATCGCATTGATTACTGTTCCGCTGTATCTGACCGCCGAGTTCCCGGAGAATTTCGACGAGAGGCAGCTAATTGATCTGCATGCTTTGAAGAGGCAAGTTGATAGCTTCATGCGCATCTGGGCCGCGATGGATGTGATGCCGCTGGGATCTTTTGGTGTAGTGCCGCCGTTGAATAAGACTACTTCCTGAAGGAGAGAAGGCAAAATTTGGAAGGTGGAAATGTAGCTTTCTGCCATTTGAGGCCAGGTTTTCCCATATGCAACAGCATGGGATGTAGCAAATATGACCTGGGATAAAAAATCCACCCCCTTTGACCTTCTCTCATTGGACTTGCTTCTCCTGCTCACACATTCCAACTTCAGCAGAACAGTCTCATTATCATTCTGTGTTCCTTCCGATTTTCGCATTGAAGAATGCTAAGTTGAACAACTGTTGATTGTCTTCGGATGCTATCACGTTGCGGGAGATCCAAACGAGTCGCTGCTTCAGACTTGCTCATCCAAGGCACATGAATCGCGCCATGCAAGTTGGTAACTTGTTCTGCAATCGGATCCTGAAGCCACTTGATGACTCTAGAATATAGCTCTTCATGGCTCGTTCCGTTAGAGCGTATTTGATAGACTTCCGCTATCTTCGCAAAACCCTCATGAATACGATCTATCATGCCGGCATGGACCCAGAAAATGGCGTGGAGCGGATAACTCTCCCGATAAATATGTGCGAATTCGACGGCCATCTGTGTCTTTCCCGCTCCGCCGAGGCCGTATAGATCTGGTATAGCTTGGCGGCATGAGGAACAAGAGCGGATCCTGGCTACATTATTTATATTTTCATGTCTTGTTCGCGCATACGAATCTATGCCATTAGCAGGTAAAACTTACCGATAGAGCAAACCTACACTTTGCACAACCGGCCGTCAGGAATACTCTCATCACAGAGCAGTTCGTGCTCTGAACTTCGGCGCTTGCCGTGCTCCCCGACAACTTCCTCTAAGCTCGTTCTGGATTGGGAGTGCTGAACCGTCCTTTTAGCTTCCCTCTCAACGACAGCGGACCCTTTTCTTTGACGAAAATTTGGCTGCAAAGTCTCTGGTACGCTGAGATGCTTTCAACAATATCCATATGCAAGCGTCCAAGCATGATCGCGATAAGACTTCTGTCGAGTCAGATTTCACGTGTGACGCGGAGTTGGATCTGTTCACCCACCAGTACTTGTACCTCTAATCAAATCAAGTAATTGCCATGGGGGGACTTCCTCTTTGTCCATCTGATGCCGTTTTGCGTTGACCTTTCTCATCAACTCTTTAAGAAGATAGAGGGACGAGAGGCCTCGAACGCCGCCGCCATCTAAAAGCAGTAGGTGAGCGCGTATCTGGGTGACTGCCTCACTGAAACCCAAGTTCAGCGCACGAGGTTGACGGACCGAGCGATAACAAGCACAAGCATTCTTTTGGGTTAGCTGAGTCGACTTCGGGTTGTACCAGTGTATCCGACTGCTGCGGTATGATGTCTCTCGTCCTCATCGGCAGACTTGGTTCGATTAGAAGCAGGAGGCTCGAGAGTTTGTGTAAAGTGGGTTATAAAGCTGGTCATCAGCCGGGCTGGTGGCAGCTGTCAGAGCGGGAGTAGTCAATCGTGGCCGTGGAGAACTCTTTCACGAGCAAACCCTATCGATTTGGAAGACGAGATCTGGGCATAGCAGCACAACGAGTGTCTATACGGTTGAAAATGCAAAGAGGAGTAGTGGGAGCGCACGTCGAAGCTGGGAGTCGGAAATCTGGCCAATGGTAATGGTCGCGCAAATAGGGCTGCTTCTAACAGGGCATCTTGGCGGGTCGAGAATTTCACGAGAGCGCGTCCTGACAATTGCATGTGTTTGCTGCTCGAAGATGGAGGAGGTTTTCTCAGCCGGTTCGTTGAGCGGATGTTTGGAAGCAAGAACTAGTATATAACATGGTCGAGCGACCCATGATTTTTATCCCAGGGCGGTATCGTCAGGATCGGACCACAACAATTCTACTAAATGGAATATAAGATGATTTCGCGCACTTCCTTTCGCAATCGACCATAGGGTACAGAGACCAGGGCTTCCCGTTCGCTCAGCCGTACTTAAGCTGTACGCCGGTCAGTTAGTACCAAAGTGGGTGACCATTTGGGAATCCTGACTGTTGATTGTTTTTGTATTTTTCTTCTTGTGAGATGATCTTTTTGTATTTTGGGGCCGTTTTCGGCTACGGCTGTAACTTACCTGGTTAGTACGTCCGACTCTTGAAGTATGGTGAGGATTCCGTGGTGGTTGCCTGCGACCAGATGGCCACACGCCCCAAAAGCGATTTCAGTGCCCCCCAAAGGTTGCCTAAATGATAGGATCAACGCGGGGCAGAGAACAGAGATCAAAGGAATTTGAAGATTTCATCGCATTTTGATGTTTCCCTTGGCCGGGTTGTTGGATCCTGGACGACAAGGCTGGGTATTAGGGTTGGTCACCCAATCGCCACGGAAGAAATGCATGTCATCGATTGGGGAAGAAGACGCATTGAGGCATCCAATAACCGACACCACAACCTCGACAACCCCTTTGTGCCAGATAATAGTTCACGATTTTCTCTTTCCCGGACATTTCAGAGTAAAGACTAGGAGAGTTGTGGTGTGATAGTTGATAACTAAATTCGCATGAGTGCAAAAAACATTGCTATCGTTTTACCCCGCTCTCAGCTGATGCCTGCAAGCCGCCTGTGATTGCGACGGACCCAATCATTCTCCTTTCAAGACCAGCATTTACTAACTCGGCATGGCGCAACAACTCTTTTTGTTCGAATTGGAGGATTGTAAGGCTTGCAAAGAAACACGGATCCATGGGCTTGAATGGTATTGGCATTGGCATTGCCCGTCTTCACTTATCTGGACATGCACCTCGTTCGGTGGTAGAGTTGCCTGGCAAGCGCTCCTACCACAGGTCTTCGGCAAAATCTTCCATTACTTGGATCATGTGTTGTCTAAAGGCCTTTGGAACGATGATTGGAAGCGCAGCAAGGATGTTTGAAGGGTTGGCAACGGGTAAAAGTCATGAAGAGCGTGGGCAGTTAGTTTCGACGCAGAATCAAAGCAATACTGATTCGTACGGAGCTGGACTGGTCACAACAATCACCAATTGGATGCCAGAACTCAGACGCTTTCAAGGCCGAATGGAACGATCGCTGAAACTCTCACATGAAGATGCCGCGGCGTCTTATATCGAGCAGTTGTCCGAGATAAGAGACGGCTGCCGTTGCGGCATCTGTAGCTCCAAGGAGGAAGTTGAGAAGGATAAGGAAGGAGTACCGCCGCCTCATAGGTACTGTCTAGCCGTGTCAGTTGAGGCCATCATTGCGCTCGGACTAGCACAGTCGAGAATGGTGGTTTCGGCAAGGCTGTACCCCACGCGGGCCGGCCTCTAGAGTTTCTATGAATATGGCAATGAATGGAACGCCCCCGATGCTCGTCGTCTTCAAAATTCGGTGCAAATTTTTGCTGGGTCAAGACCGCTCAAGGACTTACCTGAAAACCTGGTCGCGTTGTCGCGTGAAGGGGCTTGCGCCTATTTTGGGATTTTGGAAAAACTCGACACATCCGAAAAGGACCAACAGGTCAAGTTAATTCGGGTCGTCAGTGGTGGCATCAACATGGGCGAGAAGGTGTTTGACAGGGCGTGTTTGGGACCGGTTCAAGATGCTGACCCAGATGATCCATGGGAAGAGATTAGATATGAACACTTGCCACAGCCATTGTTCCGTAAAGGAAAGTGAACGAATGCATGGTTTCGGCCAGCTTTTCGGAGAGGGAAAGAAAGAAATAGAAAAATTATCCGACGTCCTTCACGGGCGAGGGGAGGCGCCATGTATGAATCGAGCAAATTCCGGGCTAGTGAAGATGAAACGAGATACCCAATGCCCCTATGGGGGAATATCGGAGATGGCTCGGGGGTATCGTCAAACACCAGGCTGAGAGCGTGGAGTCCATGAAAATAAGGGGATCTTCTTAGCGAACTTTTATCGAGCTGTGGTATATCCGGACCTCTCCGGCGAGGGGGCTGATTGGGGCCACGGGCCACTGACAACAGGCCAGAGCTTCGTCAAACTCACCTTGTTTTTTAGAAAAGGCGAATTGAGTCCATCGTGATTGTGAGAAAGCTTCACGTCTTTCTCGGAGTGATCTTTGGGCCATTTCGTCTACTTCTGCTTTTCTTTCTCTCTCCACGATGGCTGCATCGGCACTGCTCAAATCCCGGTGTCGACGGCCCAGTTACCTTAATAAGCTCGCCAAGGCTGAAGACCTCATCGACCTCTTCCCTCACAACTCGTATATCGGATGGTCAGGATTTACCGGCGTGGGATATCCAAAGTACGAGAGAATCGAGCAGGGCTAGCGACGGAGAACACCAAGTCACTGACCAGAACTACACAGAAAAGTCCCCACGGCCCTGGCGGACCATGTCGAGAAAAATGGTCTCCAAGGAAAACTCAAGTATAATCTGTTCGTGGGGGCTTCGTCGGGGGCAGAAACTGAAAATCGATGGGCTCGTCTGAACATGATTGAACGGCGGGCCCCGCACCAGGTCGGCAAGGAGATTGCAAAGGGTATCAATAACGGGAATATCAAGTTCTTCGATAAACACCTTAGCATGTTCCCCGTGGATTTGATGTATGGCTTCTACACCAAGCACAAAGCCAACAATAAACTGGATGTGGCCATCATTGAAGCCTCGGCCATCACCGAGGATGGCGGGATCATTCCTGGAGCCAGCGTGGGAGCTTCTCCAGAAATCATTCAGATGGCGGACAAGGTTTTGGCACCTCGCTCAATCTGGGAGGACACTGGTTGACCATCTCCTTTAGGTGATCATTGAGGTCAATACTGCTGCTCCCAGCTTCGAAGGTCTCCATGACATCACCATGACAGACTTACCTCCGAGACGAAAGGTAAATCGACATCCCTCCCTCTTTTCGATGTCAATTTCGCTAACCAAAACCGTAAGCCGTACCTGATCATGGCACCGGAAGACCGTATAGGCACACCACATATCCCTGTCGACCCCGAACGTGTGGTGGCCATTGTCGAGTCCGACTATCCTGATCAGACAACCGAGAATGCCCCCGAAGACGACACGTCTCGAGCGATTGCCGAAAATCTCATCGAGTTCCTCCAACACGAAGTCGCCCACGGTAGACTACCCAAGAACCTCCTGCCCATCCAATCCGGTATTGGAAACATTGCCAATGCCGTCATTGGTGGTTTGGCCGTGAGTATTTGCCTCCAACGGGGACGGTTGCAATGTGACTGATATCCCTCCAGAAGGGAGGAGGCAATTTCACAAACTTGAAGGTGTGGACGGAGGTGCTGCAGGATTCGTTCCTCGATCTCTTCGATAGTGGGCACTTGGACTTCGCCACCGCCACTTCGATTCGCTTCTCTCCTGGAGGATTTCAGCGATTTTATGACGGGGTGGGTGAACGCCGCAAAATGAGCACCAAGGATATTCTGCTGACCTGTCTGGCTCACAGTGGGAGAATTACCATTCCAAGCTCCTTCTCCGATCTCAACAAGTCTCCAACTCCCCGGAGATCATCCGACGCTTGGGTGTGATTGGCATGAACACTCCGGTGGAGGTCGATATATATGCGCACGCCAATAGCACTTGCGTGATGGGATCCCGTATGCTCAACGGTCTTGGCGGATCCGCCGACTTCCTCCGTTCCGCCAAATATTCAATCATGCACACGCCTAGTACTCGGCACTCAAAGACAGATCCTACCGGTATTAGTTGTATAGTGCCCATGTGCACACACGTTGATCAGACTGAGCATGACTTGGACGTCGTCGTGACTGAGATCGTAAGTCGCAAGACAGGCTTGAGGCATGGTCGGCACTGACATGAGAACCAGGGTTTGGCAGACGTTCGAGGCATGTCGCCCAAGGAAAGAGCCCGTGAAATCATCAAACAGTGTGCACATCCCGAGTACAGACCGATTCTCCAGGAATACTTTGACAAGGCCGAGTATGAGTGCTTGAAGAAGGGCATGGGCCACGAGCCTCATCTTCTCTTCCAAGCATTCGATATGCATAAGAACTTGGCTGAGAATGGAACTATGAAGATCAGCGGTTGGAAATAAATGGTCCGGAGGTGGCCGGAAGAACAGATCCCCAACCGCATGGTGCACATATTTTGTGAAACAAACTCAAGTAAATTCTGGACTAGGCGATGACGAGGTTGGCCGCATGACGACGGAGACTAGATTCTAACTAAATGACATTTCTCTTTTTTTTCTCCCCCCCCACAGAAGTATACCAACTCTTCCTCTTGACCTGGATTCGTTGAATTGGGCAGTTGTGTCTAGATGGGGTCGAAAGCTGCCGCGGAAAGGAAGATATTTTTACCATTTCCACGATATTTGCACTCAGCCAAGGCATGTCGGACATCCGTGGCAATGAGTGCAATTCGATGCGGGTAGGAACTCGAGCTACAGGCTGATTGAGGAGGGTCTGATCTTGCTGAATGTCTATATCTGATGGGACTGGAACGATGTCGAGAGCGCACCTTCCGCCAAATCCTGGACACAATCACATGTTACTACCTCCACCTCATCGCTTCGGAGGATCGCCTATAAGAATCAATGTCTACGAGAACAACATGTATGGATCCACCTTTTTCATCGGCCGTGCTGGTGAGGTTGCCCATCCCATGGAATGGAGAAGGTAGTTCCGCACCTTTCTTTAACAACTGACCATTTTATCGAGAATTTCATGTCGACAGATTCCAAGTTCATGGTAATATGACCCCATCGAGAAGCTCCAGAAGGGAGAAGTCACCGAGCTGCCCTCGGACCCACAAGTCTATCCCTTCTTCCCCCAGGAGATGTTTCGGAGTCACCTGCCTCCCTCTGGTCCGGACGTAGTCGAGGGAAGAATGGACACCAAAGAAAAGTTCCCGACAATTCCGACCATGAAAGTGAAAGACCTGATAAACATATGGAAGGGTAAAGAGATAGGAGGTTTTGAACTTCGACAAAGGGGTTAGATATGCTCTATCCTTAGTGTACTGCGTCGGACATTGATCACATAAATAGCGTGGGCGAGTTCAACATATCAATGCAAGCACTCAAATCCCACTCCGCGGGAGACGATCTTGCCTCTCCCAGGTCCGTTCCATAATGCAAAATGCGTCTCCTATTGCCCGGAGTACCTTATTAGCTGACGCAATATCTCGGAATCCCTGCTCTTGGTTTTGCTTCAGCTAGGCAGCCGGCTGCGCAAAACGACCACGCGAGGCTACGCAACGCCGCAGGTGACGAGACCATTTTAGCTGGCGCAGGACAACAGCAACATTTTCACGAACCGGGCAGCTCTGTGGTTCCCACCCTAACACCAGTGACTGTCAAGTAGATCTCCGCGGCACGTGCCCAAATAGGTGTGATGGTGGTAAATTCACCACGGTATTACGTGTTTTGAACATCCAGGAGGGTGGCTGTCCCGAGTCCTGATTCCTCCGTGTCGAGTCTAGCAAGTCCCGACACAGACTCTGGCAATGGGCTCACCTAGACCCGCCAGTTCGGTTGGCTCCAGGGTGCCCGCTGTCGTGGACTCTCTCTTCCACTACCTAGCATCACCATGTCAGGAGAGCGAGCAGAACCTATCCCTGGCAGCCAACAAAATATTTCATTTTCAGTTCACACTCCGGATCGTCCAAAGCGTCCTCGGTAGAAATCAAATTTGCGTGATAGTCTCGCAAACATAGCCGTCATTAATGAGAAGCCGGAAATGACGTCGGCATAGAGCAGACCTGCTACAAAGAACCGGAACGGAGCTTGGTCAGTGTTCCAGACACGGCGTTCAGAGACATCAGTCGTCCACAACGGCCTGCCCATGGCGAGTATCGCCATGTGGATATCTGGGCGACCCTCTGTCATGCCGTATTATTCGAAGATCTCCCAGAACAACGTACTTGCTGCCTTTAAGTGGACAACACAATCAGATGTTGTCGTCATCGCAGTCTCAAAGACCATGAGCTCGATGATGCTTTCCATGGTGTGTGTTCTACACAATAGGGTATCGTGAGGCCGCTGCTCTGTCAAAGCTTCCACCTCCTCTTGTATGCTCTTGATTGCGGTCTCCCTGTGTCGAACTAGTGTAACGTACAGGCCTCGTACCAACCGGTTTCAACATTCGCCAAGATGAGTGTCATCAAATATGCGTCGAGACTCCTGGCAGTGTGAAACAAGGCCTTGTAGTCCCTCAAGAGAACAAGAAGCCATGTCTGCCGGCCGTCAATGCTTGACGGCCGATAGATTGGGAACTGGAAAGGAAAGATATGGTTGAGATATGTCATTGTAAAGCCGGCCTCGATATCGCTGAAATCTGTATCTGTAGATGGTGAACTCCGCACATTGTCTAGACTGTGCATCCGACGCATCTAGCTATTCTGTAACGCGGCTCTCGCTGGCCTCCATCGACAATGGCGGGACTAAATCTGATTCAGAAGGGGTCGCGCGAGGCGGTTTGATCACCACTTATGCTGATGACCCGGACATCATATTGTCTGCCCTGACGAGCTTCGGCGCTCTGCTCGACTTCGGCATTGATTTGCCGCGCCATTCTTTTCTGCTTCTCCCCGATCCATCCATTCCGGACGGGAGTCACCACTGTGACAGGCGATCTCAAGCTTCGCGTAATTCTTGCGGGTTGTCCGGTTTCTGTCGCACTTCTTCTGTCAGGAACAGCAGGTCCAGCTGCTCGACTGCATTGAATGTTCGTGGGTGTGATGAATATGATTGAAAAGGAGCAGATTTGGAGGGAACCCATGGCTTAGAGGAGACATTCCTGCCATGTCCGCAAGGTACCACATCCGCCATCTCGACCATACGGCTAAATCGATTGATTTGGTCCCAAGAGCGCGCTCTCTCCGATGGACCCCGACCTGATCTCGCCCAGCTTCCTCTGCAGTGCACTTGAAACCTCTTAAGCAGTGACAAGGAAGAGTTTCTTTCCTCCACCTCCTCATGGTCCAGGGAGTTCCTTGCTCGCAATTGTATTTTTAACTCCTTATCTACCATTTCGCGCTCTCGCTTCTCGACGGGAGCACCACTACACACACTTTTTGTTGGCCAAGGTACTAATTTAAGTGCTACCTTTCAAAACAGCAGCCCAACCGCTGACAATGTTAGTTCCCCACAGCTTCAAAAACGACAAAAGATCTGGATGAGCGGACAGGTGAGCTCGTGAGGTCGGAAGATTGGAGCAGGGTTTGGCATTGCCATTGCTTGAACTGCCACTCCGCCTAATTCATGTGCTTCTTACTGGTGACCTTTTTGGAATGTCTTGTAGATATGGCCGCCGACATCATCGACATGGCTGACCAGTAAGTCGAGAACATGTCCTGTAAGCGGGACGAGGGATTTTTGATCAGCGCCATCCAAGACAATGAGTTTCATAGTCTCGATTTAGTAATCGAACAAGATACACGGGCGGCATGTCATATCGAGGTTTCCAGCTCCTCCGTGGGGAATGAACTCCACGTCTCCACAACAATCAATTAACAGACATTTTTACTTCTGCTATTTTGCCTAGCTGATGGGCCGACTGTACTTTGACTCTTTCAGGGAAAAATCACAGACAACTTGTCGGTCTTGGAATCCCCGGAATGAACCCCGAGTCCAGCCAATACTACCAAAGGACGCCGAGCTCATGTTTACTTCCCTATCTTCTCAACGTCTCCGCATCGAAATCTCTCCTATCCAGCTACAGTATTCCGTATGAAGATCCTTCTCCAGGCTTCTCCAACTGATCCACAACAGTGCCACCAAAACTCCCTTTTTCTTGCTACACTTGATGGACGTGACTAGAGACGGCATTTCGGCCCAACATTCTGCTTACGGCGTACGGTTTTAGGACGTCGCATACGGCTGAAATGGTCGTATGCTCCTGACTTCTGGCGGCGTGACTTTGTGTAAATCCCTTGGTCTTGCCCTGGACACCAAGAGCTGTTCAATATCTGTGGCAAGGCTTTGCATTAGAGGCGGGAAAAAGGTCACCCAAAAAGAATTTCCGGAATGTCTCGATGATGGTGGCGTGACCAGATTCCATTATCCAACAGGGCCTTCCCCTGAATATCGAAGACCTTGGTGGAAGGCAAGTATGTGCGATGTCGTCGGCGGATCCGTGCCAGAATACATATCCACATCGCAACCTGACCGGGAAGGAAAATACCCCAACGTGGAGAATTCCACCACCAGATGTGGGTTCGAGCCTGGAGACGGTCCAATCATGCCTGTCCCTTCTCTATCACTTTGTCGATTCTGAAAAACCCAAAGTGCCTTGAAATGGTATGATTCTCGACCATCTGCACTGTGTTTATAGCCTATTGCCCCTACCTTGATCCAGTGGAACACGCTTTTCGCCGGCTTCTGCACCGATTTTGACGTATGTTCGTCATTTTCGGTGAATCAACCGACGGGGCCGCGAGAAGATGTGATGACCAGCAGATTTGTGGGCGAGGGTGATATAAAATGCCCCAGTGCAATTGTCGATCGACATTATCCTTTCCCGCACAGTGGGAGACGCTTATTCTGGAAGTCCTCTTTCCTCGTCACTGTCTTCCTAAACACCCGTCTCGCATTTGGGTCCGAGAGATTCAAACGAGAGGAACAGCAGCAGAGTATTTTCAAACATGGCACCAAAATACCTGGGAGGTTCGGGTAGCGCCTTAACCGTCTGGATCTCAATAGCCGCTTCCACTGTCCTTGTCTTCTATGGCTATGATCAGGTAAATGTTTACGATGTTTCTCCCCTCACAAGGGGCCCCGATGGTGGGCTAACATATGATCCGTCCGATACAGGGCGTCTTTGGCAATGTCCTCGTGGGCCAAAACTTCCTGGACCAGATGGGCAATCCATCGCCAAAGGACCAAGGCACCATGACCTCTGTCTACAACCTGGGTTGTTTCGGTGGCGCGCTCTCAACCCTCTACACTGGAGACAAACTGGGTCGTCCACGTACTCTTCTCGTTGGTAGCACAATCATTGCCCTCGGCGCGGTGATTCAGACCGTTTGTTGGTCCATGGGTCAGATGATGGCCGGCCGAGTCGTTGCTGGCCTTGGAACAGGCATGAATACTGCCACTGCAGGTGTCTGGCAGTCCGAAACGAGCAAGATGCGAAGTCGTGGAAAGTTGGTCATCATCCAGATGGCCAATTGCATCACTGGATTCTGTATTTCAAATTGGTTGACCTTGGGATTCTCATTCGCCCCTGGCAGTGTCACCTGGCGATTCCCGCTAGCTTTCCAGGCTTGTACGTCCACCCATCTGTCGGAAGATATGTGCCCTTGTTTGCCCACATACGTCTTTGGCACTTCTAACTGAATAACCAGTCTTCACTCTCCTGATCTGGTGCATGTGCCCCTTCCTCCCGGATTCTCCACGTCTCTTGATCCGCAAGGGGAGATACGACGAGGCACGGGAAGTTCTCGCTGCTCTCGAAGGAAATGGCGCTACTCCGGAGTCGGCCGCCGTACGGACCCAATTCAACATCATCAAAGAAGTTCTCGATAAAGAACATGCTGGCACGTACACCTGGTGGCAGCTCTTCACCGGTCGGGGTCCATCAGGGGTCGTTCGACGTATGATCTTGGGTGCTTGGATGCAAGCCATGAACCAGATTTCAGGCATCAACGTCACTTCATATTTCCAAACGTTTGCCTCCGGTTTCCAAAACATGAGGTGCCTTGCTAACATCAACAAGATATATTTTCATCCACGCCATCAATCTCAGCGAGCTTTTGGCACGGATCCTCGCCGCCGCTGGCTCCGTGGACTACCTCATCTTCAGTTTCCTAGCATACTTCGTCATTGAACGATATGGGCGACGTCGTGTCATGATGTGGTCGGCTGCTGCATGTTCGACATGCTGGATCATCATCAGCATTGCTTTGGGTCTCTCGGAGACCGGTCAAGGCGACGCTTATAAGCTGGGCGCTCTTGCGACAACGTTCTTCTTCGTGTTCTTTGCGTCTTTTGGAATGGGAGTACTTGGTGTTCCAGTATGAGCTCTTTTCATTCATATGCATTTTGCTTTCCTGCAGCCACCGCGCGTGGTAAAATACAGTGTACGATGGCTGACTCCTTGACTTCATAGTGGCTCTACCCAACCGAAATCAACCACATCGCATACCGAGCCAAAGGCGCCTCTCTTGCCATGTCCACGAACTGGATCATGAACTACATGGTCGCCCAAGTGACGCCCCCCGGCATCGCGAACCTAGGCTACAGATTCTGGATCATCTGGGCCGTGATCTGTGCATCGTTCGTGCCCATCACTTATCTCTTCTACCCGGAGACAGCCAACCGTACACTCGAGGATATCGACCGCTACTTCGCCGAGCATCGCAACATCTTCATCTTCCGCGACAAGGTCGCCACACAGCTCAAGCGGCCTGAGATCTGGGAGCGGATGGATGCTGAGATCGAAGCCCGCGGTGAGGAGATTGAGATCCTCGACGAGGAGAAGGGTACCAAGGAAGTTGTCTACGTTGAGAAGTAAGTGCAGAACTAACTGCGTAGCTGATGAAGGTTTGAAATGCCAGGCTGTTTTGTCCAACGCAGGTGCTCCACTACTGCTAGGATACATAGACTTCTATAGAAGACAGGACTGAGTGGAGTGAACGGGAATGAAAGACAAATTGATAACTGATAATGCCTCTGAATCATGAATCTTTTGCCATCCTAATCGTAAACCTCTCGCCTAACCATTCTATAGTTCTAGATAATGTGTAGTCCTATTACCATTCGAAGTGTGTTTTTCTTCTCGGCTATACCGCCATCGACATTTAGTGCTAAAGCTCCAAGGATCGTATTGAGATCGTCCTCTATCATTCTGTCAATGGTAACCATTGGCCGAGGGAAGTCATTAATAGGCTAGTTATGAAGCAGGGTTAGGTTATCGGTGCGATAGACCACTTCGGCATTCCGAAGTCGTGCAATAGCGTGGATCAATAAGTACTCAGAATTCATTCGCGTGTTCATGTTGTCCATGCGTCGTCCATGCCGTTCATGCGTTGACCGAGATATTCCACACGTTGAGTAACTACTATACGTTGGATTAAACATTAATCGAGAAAAATGCTACTTACCTTGGAGGTTTTGATTGACTTGGACAATGCTGTTGATAATCGCTCCGCTGTCGGAGGAAAATTTGGAAGATTCTGGTGGTTATCCTGATCCATGCTGCACTGCAATGGTAAGGGGAACAGGTAGTTGAAAAGATGTCAGGAATTTCTGTGATGGTTGAGGAGGGTTCACGGTTTTTATTGTTGGAAATCGGTTCGCGGTGATGACTGCCTGCCATAGAGCGGGGGAGTCGTCGCCGTTTACTGGCAACAGCCACTTTACGAACAAACAAGACCCCGCGTTGCTCCTGGCGGACGCGTTGCTGAGTCTAATACAGCATTCAACAAATATTTTCGCTTTGGGCCTTTTATGATTTGGGGAGATCGTACTTCAGAAAAGAAAATCAGCGCTGGAAGTGGTGGAAAACGTGTACATATCAAAGCTGATGGTTCGACAGCTCGACGCTACAGAAAACTTACAAACTGACCAAAGGAGAGCCATGAGAAAGATCAAAATTATGGATTGGAAGAGGTTGATGGCGCAGATACTGTTTGGTTTGTCGCAGATACTTTCGATTGATATCATACTCTATAATGAATCCGTGCGACTCGGCTTGTACGTTCTAGACTCGAGAATGTTTGAATACTCCGATTCCAACAAAGTGTCTGAAGATACTTGAGGGGGAATCGAATATCCAAATGAAAAGCCACTCTGGACTCAACGCTACTCATCCTGAGGAGAAACGTCAGCACTTTCGGTGATCAAAACCGTCCATCGTACCTCTACTTATCGTGGCGGCGGAATGGGCGGGAACTTCGTGCTGGTCATTGCAGCTAGTAGGGACACCAATACTAGGCAATAACTTCCACTTCCCATAATGGTAGCGACACGTATCTTGACATTCATTTGATCACTCGGTAGCAGAATCGCTAATCCTGAATCCTATTCCGAGACTCAATCTTCAGAGTTCGAAACGTCGGGTGTGACTGTGCCGCGAAGGAAAGCTGCGACGAGCAGCCAAGCACAAGAATTGCGGGACACTCTGCTCTCATCATCTGACGACGCTCAGGTATCAGACCAGAACGTTTTGTTGTTGTCCATATGAGCCCTTTCATGTCATCTCATCCGATCTCACGGCAAAGAAATTGATGGGACAAAACACATTCTTATTTGGTCAAGCAGATTCAAAGGTGTGGAGAAGGTCCGATGGTGTTGAGGTTTAACGAGTCAGACATGCCTTGAGAGGCGATTCCATCGATGACATCCGGTGAAGACCGGTGAGGACACGAACTTACATCTGCCGCGATAACGAGGTGTGAACTGAGGTATACGACCAGAGGAGGGAGGACGAGGCGGGTTGGGGAAGTAGAGACGAGGCGCGGGCTGACGCCAGTCATGAAAATGAGCAGTTGGAGCAATGAAGCTTGAAGATATGACAACGTTCGCGACCGGTGGATGAGGAACGTGTAGGACTACAAAGCGTCAGCATAAGAAACAGAAAGCGAAGTTGACAGTAAGTGAACGCCCGGCTGCATGGAGGGAAAATCTGGAAGCAAATGAAACGAGAGATATGAAGAGGGAATTTGCAAGTCGAGTAGGAGACTCGCGGAAGAGATATCCTTGCAGACTATTTATCATATCGAAGGAGAGGAAGCAAGACGCAGGTGACAGAAAGATTTTGAGTGAGTGGACTAGCCAAAGAGCGAATGCCGCATCACCCTCAGTTCTGATGAGAGGAGTGAACCCCGCTCGGCGAGACAGCACCTTAATTTTATCCTGCTCGTGAATTTTAGGCTGATGGCGCAGTCTGTGAGAGGAATCGTGGCGTCGTGGGCGAGGAATTTGGAACTCCTTTGTCAATTACCGTTCTCAGAGGTTGTTGCTGTGTATTCTGAGGGAAATCCAAGAAGGGTGAGAACGAGGACATAGGAGGAGGGGGAGAAAGAGGAAGGATGGTGGATGTGAAAAGGTTGAGAAAGGTGAGAAGAGAGGAGAAATGGGAATGGGAGAGACAACCAAGGTGGCCTTGTGCGCCAGGCAGAAAGTGACTGAGAATGCGGTCGAATAACAGGGCAGGGAGAGCTTCATGGGCGGGCCTCGAAAGCAACTAACCGCCAGTAGAAGAGGCGACCGGGGGGAAGGGAGTGGAGAGCAAAAAAGGTTGAACGGTGGATACGGTGATGAATGAATGGGTTTGAAGGAGTCAAAATGATGCAGCGAAACGAGCAATCCCGGCTCCTTGCACCTGGATCATCATCCTCTGATCAGTGGGTGTGTGGTCGAAGGGGGGTGAATTTTTGCTTGGTGGCCATCCCGCGTCGAGTTTTCCGGCTACCCACTGGCTGGTTGTAGGCAATCAGCAAAACTGCAAGTAGGGGCCCGCGGGCCCGCAGCTCCAGGATCTTAACTGCGATCTTTGTTCAAATCACCTCCCTGAAGCCTGTCCAGGGCATCCGTGTTATGCCGCTAAATGCCATGTTCTCATTGCAATGTGCCATGAATGGCGAATCATCTCTCCCACACTTTGCTTGTCAGAGCCTAGCATTCCACGCCTCTGCCCTGCTCTCCCCTGTGACTCGTTACGTCGATGGTCCTCTCGGCCTCTTACTGTGAGCAGGCTGCCAGTCCCCTCGCAAATGCACGCAGCAAGACGCCGCAGAGCCAAAAAAAGCCAAAACGCGCATTTTTCAAGCCCAGTCCACCAACGCTAGGCCCTCGACATTTGGCCACTAGCCCCGTCGGTCCTGGTTCGGTGGATTGTGGCCTACTCTTTGCTCTGCTTCAACATCTAGCCAGTGGCAGAGTGGCAGTCTGGGGGACTCGAGTCCGCTTGCACCTTTGTGCTTGTACAGTCGCAGTGCAGCTGCGGCTTTTGCTGCGTGCTCATGGCCAGCCTGCCAGTGGCAGGACTCCGTACGCCGGCCAAGTACGTTGTGAGTCCTCTAACCATTCTGATCCACGCTACGCTCTCTATGCTCTCTCCCGTCGGTTTCTTTGCCCATCTGCGTCCCTCCCATCTTTCCTCTTGCCGTTCACTCATCCTTCCTTCTCTTCATTTTCAACAATCACACACTCTCTATTTCAAAACCATATCCCTTCCACCTGGCGAACCTTATCTAAGTCTTTGTTCTTCCCTCTCCCTCTGTCGCCTTTGTCCTGTGTCACCCTCGATTGATCTCCTTGTCGACGCTTTTGCACCCTCTGATACTCTCAACGACATCTTCAACTCGAGAACCGCGCCGTTGGATGTCGTGTAAATCCCTCGAATTTGCTCCAAACGCTCTCCGACCTCATTTGGAACCTATCTGGAGCCCTCCTCACTGTTTGCGACACCCCTTTCCGCCCTGCGCCTACGTGACCACTTTGTCGACCTGATCGCCCGCCTCCTTGAGCCGGCACTTCTTTTGCCCCCTCCCCAAAACACCACTTCAATTTCACTTCCAAAGAGCAATTAAAGACATATACATCAATTTCATACCTTGGCGAAACCGGTATACTTGTTTTGAGCATCCCAACACCGTGTGGGAACCGATCTGCTCTAGCGATGCGCGACACGCGACTGAGGAATTTATGACTGAACCAGACAGAATAACTCTTCGATTCGATCAATGAGGAGGTGCTCTGTCAGATTATGACCGAGTCCTCCCTCCTCACCACGCATTCGACACCCAACCACTATCCGGTCACCGCCGCTCCTTCTCTAGCCTCTCCCATACCTAACGGCTCTCTGTCCGACACCAACCCTCAAGACGAGGAGGAATACACCATCAAATGCATATGTATCTATGCCGATGATGATGGTAACACCGTCTACTGTCCTAAATGCGATACGTGGCAGCACATTGAGTGCTATTACCATGGCAAAAAGGTACCAGAAGAGCATTTTTGTGCAGAGTGCTTCCCTCGAGATCTTGACGCAAAGAAAGCTACCGAACGACAGAGACGGCATCGAGAAGCCCTTGACGGCGGTGACCGGAAGGTCAAGCGACCCAGTTCCAAGGGTCAGAAGAAGAAGAAAGAGACCGGTGGACCCTCCGACCAGGTGAATGGGTGGCATTTACACGACCGCCATGAATCCGTGGCCAGTTCAAGAGACGGGCCGCCCGCGAAGAAACCCAAGACAAATCACCGGACCTCTGGCTCGGTTGTTTCGGTGAATGGAGATTCGAGGAAACGGGCGACCTCCACCGCCCAGTCATACCCGAGCCCTTCCAAATCGCCTCAAGATCTTTTCCGCTTCCCTGCCATCCCTACGTACACCACGGAATTCCTCGAACTTTACGAACGCGACGAAGGAAATACCAATGCTAGGGACAATGAGCAGACCATCCAAGCGACCAACAAGCTCTCTGCGTGGCGGACTGATCCGTCTCTCGTGGTGAGCGGCCCGGGACAACAGCCGAATGCGAAGTCACCTTTCGTACGCTCCATTCGGCCACTGGACCAAAGCACTTGGCCGGAGGTTTCGGTGGAGACTCTTCGGAAAACGGACATCGAGTACGATGGAAGATGTCCCACCTGGCGATTCCTGCGCGTCCAAGCACCGGTCAAGAAAGACGACATTGTAGGTGAGGTGCGCGGGCAAGTCGGAACGTTGGAGGAGTACTGCCAACAAAAGTCGTCTTCCAACCGATGGCAAGAGTTGAGGCATCCGGACCCTTTCGTTTTCTTCCACCCGCACATGGACATCTACATTGACAGCAGAAAATCGGGCACTCGATTCCGATATCTGCGAAGATCCTGTCGACCAAATGTGACGCTGAAGACGTTCGTTTCTGACACTGACGAGACTCATCACTGCTTTGTTGCCAGCAAAGACATCCCGGCCGGTTCCGAACTCACCACGACCTGGTTCCTCGACTCGGGAATGTTCTCTGTCGATGCAATCCGCGACGATTCCGAACAAGCCCAAAGCCGGCGCCTCGACTGGGTGAGCCGCGTCCTTGCCAACTTTGGAGATTGTGCCTGCGACGCTGGTCCCGCTTGTCCACTCGCCAAGTTTGACCAGCGGTTTCCCGGCCGATCTTTGGAGGGTGTTCCCAAGGAGAAGGGAGGGAGAAAGAAGAAAAGTAAGAATAAACATACCATTTCGCCCTACAGTACAGGACGTGCCACCAACAGTCGTGCAGGAAGCGAACCCAAATTGCTCGATGACGACGATCCGTTCGACCGCCGATCTAGCTCCGAATCCACTCACAGTGGTGCTCAGAGCCGGGACATCACTCCGGTCACGGTGGCGGCCCTCGATGCCGACCCCGTTCTGGGGAGCGGGCTGACCGCTCGAGAGCTACGCAAGATCCAAATGGCCGAAAAAGCATTTGCGCAACGGGAACAAGAAAAGAAGGATCATAACGGACACGGTCCACAGCGGAAGAAGAAGCGTACGAGCGGAGGGACAACCTCGAACACTCCAAATGCGAATACATCGAAGCCATTGGGTCACCATTCGAATTCGCATCCACCGACACCCAGCGGACAGCAATCCAAGTCCACCGAGCCTTCACCCTCTCCCAGAGGCGGTGTAGGTCGTGGCAAATCGACGGATGCACCGAATAGATCCGAAACCAGGAATCCACAACCTGTGTATATTAGTGTTTCAGTTCAAACGGACCCCGAAGAATCCGACCTGCCTATGCCACCGCCCAAGAGGAGAAAATTCTGCACGCCTACCCAACGGTTACTGAAAAAGCTTTTAGAAGATCGTGCCAAACATAGTGGTCAAGAGTGTCCGACGCAAACTTCCCTTGCTCCCCAAGCAACAGAGCCAAAGATGGCTGCAGACTCGGAGACGCAGGATGTCGAAATGAAAGATGGCTGCTTGGAGAGTAGTGATGGTCAACCTATCTCGACGGAGGAGCCGTCTGCACTTGATTCGGAGAACAGCGGCAGTGGCCCAGTCCGTGTCCACTCCGCAACATATCCACTACCATCACAAGCGGCGCATACCATAAGGGCGATTAAACCTCCGGCCGGGCCTCGGTTACAGTTGTCTACCTTGCCTCCGGTACCAGCGTTTCCCCTGCCCGCCTCTTCAGGTTCAGCATCAACTGCCACTGCATCAACTCCCGGCCTGACCACGACGCAGTCGCCTCTTACCATGACTTCAGCATCCAGCTCGAACCCGATCATATCAAGTTCGGCGGTGACTCCTAGTCCAGCAAGGAAGAAGCTGAGCTTGGGAGAGTACAGAAGTCGACGGCTCGCGTCAACACCGTCTGCCGAAAAAAGCCAAGCTCAAGCTGGCTTTGGTAGTGTCGAAGGTGGACCAAAAGATGCCGAGCAAGAACGGCCTTCGCCCAGGACTTCTGAGTCGGCAACAGGTCATCCTCGACCGAGCGAGGAACTGGCGCAAGACGCCGCAGCCCAAGGAGAAGTATCAGGGAGTGCAGTGGATGACACGCCCATGAAAGATGAGGGTGACGACGTTGACCATCGTCCTTTAGGTGCGCCACCGACCGAAGCAGGATCTACTCAAACGTCTGTGCCTCCCAAAGAGGAGGCGGCAGTCCAGTCGATGGCCGAGCATCGTAAGATGCCCTCGGAAGTGTCACATGTTCTCGCTCAGCTTGCGCAGTTATCAGAGAAGTGATCAGAAAATGAGATCGGGTTGATGGGCCGGGGAGTTGTATGATAATCGACCGGAATGGCGTTGTTTGAGCTTTCTTTTCTCACGAACAAATAGAGATTTTGGGACCTTTCGCGAGGCTGGAACACGCAGTGATGACGAAGCTATACCCAAAGGATGGGAATCAGGGCATAAGGCACAGGGCACAAAATTCGGGGCAGAAGGCTGAAACTGAGGGCGTTTTCGGAGGGGATTTCTGCGTCAGGCGAACCAATGGCTTTTGTGTTTGGCGAGAGACATTCCGGGTTTCAGGCAGTCCTGAGACCATTTGCTGTATATATTTTTACTCTGTTGGAGCGGCAAACCGGACACCGTTGCCGGGATATTGTTGTGGCGGGTGTGTGCGATGTATTAGCCGAGAAACCAAAGGCTAACCCGCTTGGGTGATCGAGGACGAGATGTTAACTAGCTGAATGAGCCGAGTTTGGCAATGACAAAGAAATCAATCTCTATTTCCCTGAGAGTATCCGGCGAGGGAGGCGTTGATTTTTGCTGTCAAAATACAAAATACCATGGTAGGCAACCAGAGACGACGGAGAATGAGAGCGCAGCCTTCGGACAGCGCAGTTGGCGCAGTTTGGAAATACCCCTCACCTGGACTGTTGAGCCCCCCTCTTTCTAGATGCAGATTTCGAATGTCTTCGCGGAAGACAAGTTCCATATCTCCCATCCACCATGGATACCTCCCACCCAATGGGCTCAACGGGGCCCCATAAATCTGTGAGTTGAATTCCTTGACCCCTGTATCGTCAACACTTTTTTTTGGACGGCCGGTGATGTACAGATGACAGCCCTGTATCCTGCTCTGATTGCTGAAAAAGGGAATCTCGTCACCAATACCCAGTCCGAATTGTTTCTGCTATTATTTTGATTTCTTCCCTTGCACATCTCTTGACCTTGTTACTTTCATCACTTTCCTACTGTCTACCTTTCCACTTCCCCGTCGATCATCAAATTTCTCAAGACGGCCTCCGGATTGCCCTCTTCAATGGCCTTTCGAACCCCTCTTGGAAGTGGAGTCAGAACTCCTCCCAGCCGACAGAACTCAGTGGACACTCGAAATGAAGTCCACGTCCAAATGAACCATTACATTGGCATCGACGTCGGTACCGGTAGTGCACGGGCATGTATCATCAACGAAGCAGGTGATATCGTGGGCCTATCATCAGAGAACATTGGCCTTTGGCAGCCTCAAACGGGATACTACGTAAGTCCAGAAGCATCCCACAAACTGGAGCAAGCCACTCTAACCACCTATGCGTCCCTTTCAGGAACAATCCACCAACGACATCTGGCGCTGCATCTGTATCTCGGTTCACCGCGCCATCACCCAGAACAACATCGACCCTCACTCGATTCGAGGCATCGGATTCGACGCTACCTGCTCCCTGGCGGTCTTCACGCACGACACAGACGAACCCGTGTCCGTCACAGGACCGGACTTTGACCAATCCGGCAACGACCACAACATTGTCCTCTGGCTCGACCATCGCCCCGTCGAGGAAACCCAAAAAATCAACGCCACCAAGCACAATCTCCTCCGCTATGTCGGTGGCACCATGAGCATTGAGATGGAAATCCCCAAGGTTCTGTGGCTCAAGAACAACATGCCCAAGGAGCTCTTTGCCCGATGCAAGTTCTATGACCTAACAGATGCCTTGGAACACATTGCGACTGGAAATGAGAAGAGGAGTTTTTGCTCTGTGGTGTGCAAGCAGGGCTACGTCCCTGTGGGGGTGGATGGGAGCGTTAAAGGCTGGCAAGAAGATTTTCTGAAAGAAATTGGACTGGAAGATCTCGCCGAGGATAATTTCAAGCGGATGGGGGGCGTCAACGGGGTGGTGAGCCTATTTCCTATCGCCTCTCGGCCCCGGCTTCGTCACGTTCTTTGCCCCATTGCCACCCGCTAACATATATCCTTTTCGTGCAGAACGGCGAGTACCTCTCTGCCGGAGAGCTAGCTGGGTACCTTTGCGAACGAGCTGCCGCCGACCTGGGACTTCCTGCAGGCATTGCGGTGGGCAGCGGCGTCATCGATGCCTACGCTGGCTGGATCGGAACGGTGGGGGCCAAAGTGAACCTCTCCGCCGATAAACTCGACGATTCTGCACCTGCAAACGACCAGTCCCAAGCATTCACCCGTCTCGCCGCTGTGGCCGGTACATCCACGTGCCATCTCGTCATGTCGAAGGACCCCGTCTTCGTGAACGGAGTCTGGGGACCCTACCGAGACAGCATCATCCCAGACTACTGGATGGCCGAAGGCGGCCAATCCGCGACCGGTGAACTGCTCAAACACGTCCTCGAAACGCACCCGGCGTACAACCAGGCCGTTTCCATGTCTCAGTCCAGTCACCGGAACATCTACGACTTCCTGAACCAGCACCTGCTAGACATGCAGGAGAAAATCCAAGCGCCGAGCATCAGCTACTTGGGCCGACATTTCTTCTTCTACGGCGACTTGTTTGGAAACCGGTCGCCGATCGCCGATCCGACCATGTCCGGCTCCGTCGTGGGATTGTCGAGCGACAAGTCCTTGGATGGCATGGCGCTCTACTACTACGGCACCATGGAGTTTATCGCCTTGCAGACACTGCAGATCATTTCGACGATGAACAAAGCCGGACACAAGATCTCTTCCATCTTCATGTCCGGATCACAGTGCCAGAACGACATCTTGATGTCCCTGATCGCCACGGCGTGCGATATGCCGGTCCTGATCCCTCGCTACGTGCACGCGGCCGTTTGCCATGGTGCTGCCATGTTGGGCGCCAAAGCCGCCAGTGCCGATCCCAACGGCAAGACCGAGGATCTCTGGAGCATCATGGACCGCATGAGCAAGCCGGGAAAGGTCGTTATGCCCACGGAAAACAAGAGTGTGAGACCTCTGCTTGATGTCAAGTACAAGGTGTTCTTGGAACAATGTGAGCGACAGAGAGTGTTCAGGAAGATGGTGGACGAAGTGGTGAATGCATCTTGAATTGAGATATATTGACCCGGGAGGAGACTCCGGATTAGATCATGTCGGAGCTTGGTCCATACCATGGCTGATGATTCAAATGCCCCCGGTTCAGGACACTTCTAGCTCAACTGTGCCAGCAATGCTAGGCACATAGTCAGATCCCCTAGATAGAAAATTTGAAGTTCACAGGTAAGGATCTTCGGAATGGCGATATGGGGGCTTGTCTTTTGGTACAGCCAAATGCCCACGTCTGGTCCGAGGAGCACACCCGGTCGTACTCTGATCTCTCTCCCTGGTTCCCGAATACCTCTGGCGTCCTTCACAATCCGGGTAGCTTTCATGACCAATGTTCTAGGGAGAGCATTGCGAGGCCAAGGCGCAGCCTTTCCGTACTGAGCATGTACGAGCAGATCCAAGTTCGTGAATACTGGAACGGAAGTGTAGGCTTGCAGAGCGCGAGCTCGTAGCCGTCATGGTGGTATGAGAATTGATTACACCTTCAGCGGATGTTCAGAAAAATATCACATTGTCGGGCTAGTTCAGCCATGACTTGCCCCGGCCTCGGAATCCTCGCTTTCGTTCTGGCTTCTGTTGGCGGATCCCCCATCCGGGACTCTGAGAGGTTGCCGGTTGGCCAGCACGCCGACACGCCCTCCTTCAGACACTGGTAACTGAGGCCGCGCCTCTTCCGGGATGGACTCCAGTCGGGGGGAATGGCGCCGCTGTTGCTGGCGCTCTTCTTCAGGTACCACTACGGCGTCGAGGTCAGGATGGTGCTCGACTTCGTGGATCTTCAACGGCCCCTGTTGCAGTCCAAGGATATCGAATTTGCACAGCGGACAGTCATGATGGCCCCGTTCAACCCACAGATTCAAGCATTTGGCGTGAAACACGTGGCCGCAATGTAGCTCCCGGATTTGGTCTTTCTCCTCGATGAGCTCGAGGCAGATGGCAGTGCTGTGAATGTTAGTCTCACAGAATGAATCCCGACCGGGAAGAAGGGTGACTTATCAGATCAGTTTGGTGGTGATGGTCGCAAATGTTTGGACGTGTGTGGTCAGTTTCTCGGCACGCCATTCCCCGAGCGATTGGGCGGGCGCAACTTGTTCGAGTTTCTTTAGCCTTTTGCGATGTCTGGCTGCGATGGTGGCGGCAGCGGATTCTGGGTCTTCGATGCGCCAGGCGCCAGAGTCTGAGATGGACGAGCTGGAGTCGGAGTCGTCGTCGTCTCCGCAATTGAACTTTTTGTACATGGCAATGCTGCATGGAAATGTTCTGGTCAGCGTGACGGAATGGGAAAATTGGGGAGGCTCACTCACCCCAAAATAAGCGCTAAGAAGAATAAGCACGTCACTGTCACGGCGACGAATGCTGCCGAGCCGGGCATTTCGTTTGTGCTGGAGGAGGTCTCGTTCGTTTTCGACCTGGGTCCTCGTTGGTACAGGGTCGATTCGAAAGGTTGTTGAGCGACGTCTGTGAATTGAAACGAAGGCGGCCCTTCGAATAGCAGAGAGTCCTGTCGTTGTCTAGGGATATACATGGCTTGGGTACGGTCCCGGAATCGATGTTGCAAATATCATAATCTGGTCTCTTGGAGGAATTGATTGCGGAACAAGGTCAAACGATTCAGACAAGGGTGTGTCACGCGGCGAACAATATATATTTCAACGTGTCGGCCCCAGTTCGGTAATTCGGGATGCCAATCAAGGGAAGAGAAATGGAAAGGCTCGCACCCGACAGGTGGAACACGGATAGAAATAAAAGCATGGATGACCAAACTTTGCGAAAGTTCATCAGGTCCACGTCTCGAGGTGCAACAATCGTGAATCTTCTGGACGGGCACGCGGGGAGGCCATGTGACATGACGACAATGGACATGAGCATGATATTGCGCCAAATGTCAAGGCGAGGATAGGTTGGTGGATGGAGATCCGCGGTGGAAGCGAAAAGGAAGAGGTCTGGGCGTGCCATTCTATGCATTTCTGAGTGGTGTGATGAGCGCAGAGGACCTGGGCGTAAGGATGTCAGATGGACTGACGCGAAAATTTGAGTGGAAAAGGGAAGAAAAGGGACAATAGGAGCGCGCCGGAAGCAAAATCCTGTTCCCGGAGAAATGTTTACCCGTCCCGAACCCCGAGCTCACCTTCCTTACTCAGGGACCCTCAGCCTTGTGCACATGAACTCGAAGTCGCTGGTGGTGATTAATGTTGATGTTTAATTAAGATTTGAGCCAGTATTGTACATGCCTTCCCTTCCTCGAGTACGACTATGTATGAGGTCGCATCAATTCTAGGTAGATAGCCAACCCCTTTGAAATCCGTCCACTCCGGCTCCCTAATTGAACGAGCGAATTCTCATCGCGGCCTCGGCCAATCTTACCGACTCCATCTCCTGTCCCTTCAACACGCTCACTAGGATATTTTCGCCATTCTGTCCCACGGCATGCACCACCACATTCTCACCGTAGCCGCAATCTTTCTCTCCCGCTTCAGCCTCGTCGTACTCGGCGAATGATTCTTTGGTCACGTCGTCCTCAGGAGCCAGCAGGACCTGGCTGGCGTATTGCCTCGCCTGTTCGTACGAAGTAAACGATCCTTCGACATTCGTTTCTCTGGCCTCGCCGCTGTCGTCTTCGCTGTACAGCACATTTGTCTGCACCACATGATAGAGGTCCTGGTGAACTTTGTGATCTTCGGCGGACCCTTCGAATCCCTGCACGTTGGGCGTCGTCGCCACGCTCACGCGGAAAACTGTGCCGTCGGAGGCCTTTGCCAGGACACAGAGGCCGGTCCTTCTCTTTATGCCGTGGGCCACGAATTCTTCGTGCTTGGTGTCGAACTCGGTGAACCACTCCTTTTCATATCCTGCTTCGAAGAGGGTCTTGTGTGCAGCGGCTTTGGCAGCAGGAAGCGTCGTGTAGGTACCACAGATTCGGACTTTCTCAACCTCACTGTTGACGTCTTTTTGGATGTGAGAGACGGAGAAAAGTACATGGTAGAGGCTTTCGGCTTTGCGGTCACCGTTCTGGGTTCCGTTGGAGGCCATGTTGATTCAGATTGGATTGTGGTAAACGTTCTTGTTGGTTTGTTGGTTGGTCTTGGTCGTTATGATTTCGCTCGTGACTAAGGGAGGGCGGACCTTCTTATTGAAAACCGGCAGCCATTGAAGCTCGCCCCCGGAAATAACCAGATTAACTTTTCAACCTTCACCCAATATTTTCCCAACGACTCAATCACGTTCTCCCACTCGCCAAAATCAGAGGGTGTGCTTGTGGTCTGATTAGAAAGTAAACAGCGGAACATCTCACACCAAAGCGAGAATCGAGATCACCCAGCTTCTCGCCAAAAAGGTGGGGGGGAGGACTCGTATGACAAACGTGAAGAAACCATCTCATGCACGTCGGGGTGGAAGTTCTGCAGAAATGGCTCATTGGGTGAGTGTGTTTGCGGTACGTGTTGTGTCTTGCAATTACGAGAAAATCAAATGACTCCCCGTTTGAGGCGTGACCTTTGAGCGGTTTTCCGGTCAGTTGGCCTAGTGGCTGGGCATGGTGTGATCCTTACACAAGAGCTTCTCGCTTACCATTAGCCAAAACTTTACCTTTCCCCGGATTTTTCCTCGTTCCGATGTGTCATTGCTGCATCACTTTAGCTTTTGGTACCTCAGAGGACAGATCTAAACGTGGCGGGACGCAGATGTTAGGGAAAAATTCTCGACGTTCTGCAGCATTCTTGGAAGGATCGTTCGTTCCAGCGACTGAAATGGATCCAAGTAGAGTCACCGAGAGGGTATTCTCAGTGGACTTTAGAAGCGAGATTGTGTGGCCATGGATTGAAAAATATGCTGGGGAAATCGCTTTGAGGCAGAATGCATGGCAATCAGTGAGACATTATGACATTTATATGTCTATGGCAACATCAGTCGAGACTTGCGCTTCGTCTCGTCGCATCCAATTCAAAATCACTGTTGCGGATTGGATATCATTTCCAACCCATGGCGAGACCTGTAACTTTGTCCGCGGCCGTTATATGCTAGAACTCCCCCATCCAAACTCCATGATTAACCCGATGATGATGATGTATTTCATTACAAACAGCTCTTTAACAGTCATTTTTCTCCTTGTTGTGCTGCAGCGGCCGCTTTCTCCATTTCGTTCAAGTGGCTTTCCACTTCATCGAGGTGTTTTCTTTGGGCCATGAGCTTCTCTCTCATCTTCTTGATACTAGATCACGAATTAGTCTCGGATCTAAACATCGGACCGGAGGAGTAAACTTACTTCTCCATCTCGTGCTGCTTAAAGTACATGTTCTCGATGGCTTGCTCGCGGCGGATAAATGAGTCACTAAGATCGAACCTGGTCAGCGATGTCTTCTGACGGCCACTCGGGAAAGGGGGAAACCCGAGCACTTACCCCGCGGCGACACCACCTGACCTAACAGCACCGGTATCTCCTTCGCTGAATCTTGGCCTTGAAGTGACAAACGATTGACAGAACGCTGGAGTCGTGATTCTGGTCGTATAGGCCCTAGGCATCGTTGTTCGAATCATTTTGCTGGTTTGTAGTGGTGGAGGATGTGATGGCTGAGTTTCGGGAACCCTTCAGGAGTCTTTTCTGTCTGTATTTTGCTTTGTACTTGGATCAATGTAACCAATGGACCTGCGACGCAGCGAGATTTATACTGTTGAGGCAGAATGAATATTGTTTCTGTTCGGCCGTGGGGGGGGGCTGAGACAGTGATACCGTGTGGTATGACGCCGTCATGAGGCTGAGTGCTCCTAAAGATGCAGATCGGCGCTGGGAGCATCTTCCAGCATCCAGGGGTTGGAGCCTTGCCGTCCTAGCCTGTAAAGCGCTTTTCCTATTATGGCTAAGTTGTAAGGGAAAACAAAATCACTCCACATCCTAGCTCACTTTTCGCGCCCTCTCAACGCCCAACGGCGCTTGCCGAATGCGCCTAGCCGCAATATGCTTATTCCTGTCGCATGATGTTTCCTCGGCAATGCAACCCGTGACAGGTCTTCAAGAACGATCTCGACGTTTCTGGCGAAAACAACACGATATCTCCACGAGATGTGTTTCCTAGGCGAGGAGAACATCCCTCTTGTTGGGGTCTGCCAATCCAGAGGTGGTGAGGGGGAGATGTGCGTTCATGTGGAAGACAAATATACGGCCCGGCATCCTCAATTCTTGAGAAGCTGAAAACACGGAAGACTACAACAAACGTGAAAGACCAGTACAAGATTACCGAGACCACGTCAAAGAATCCTCACTAGACATATGCCGATGTCATTCTACATGTTTCCCGAAATCGAGCCTTACCCAACGACCTATGTGTCGCACACATACCCGGAGAAGGGACATCATCACCTGCACCACCTGCCACTTCCCTACATGGTGCACAAAGCGCACAGACTGTTCCACGACAAAGACCATGACGTCCACCAACCCAAAGCTGACGTACGAGAGACGCCAAGCAACTTCTACATCGAGGTCGAATTGCCAGGGATCAAAGACAGATCCGAGCTCCATCTCCGCTGGACTTCGATGCGTACACTGCTTGTCTCGAGCAAGATCCTCAGGCCCGAGATCCCTGAATCCGAGCTCGTAGACTCACCAATGCCAGCGGCGGACGCCAAAGAAGCTCAACCCGAGAAAAAAGAAGAGGGGGCCGAGGCTGGGAAGAAGGAAGAGCCCAAGCCAGAAACCGCGCCAGAAACCGCACCAGAAACCGCGCCCGAACCTCACGCAATGCCTGCAGCGAAGAAACTACCTCACCTTACAGTCAACGAGCGGCAGATTGGTGAGATGCTGCGCGCGTTCAATTTCCCCGTCGACGTCGACCGCGACAATACCCATGCCAAACTCGACGCCGGCCTGTTGAGTATCAAGGTCCCCAAGATGGAGCACGAGCAGGTCAAACACGTCAATGTCCCTGTTAGGATTCAGGAGTCCATGGGGACCATCATGGCCGATTGAGGAGCTGAACCAGTGAGAAAGAATGCCTCATCACCACAGAAAAGATTGTCCAGGCACGGTGATGTATTGGAATAGTGGATGTTGGAAATTGGCATACGGATGGCTGAGAAGGTTGAACAGGCGGACAAAAATGAATGGGGTAATATAAGGAAATTGTATCTGCTATTGCTGAGTCAGTAATGTCTACCTCTGAAATATGATATCATCAAATCTGTGTGTATTGGTGTCAGCTGCTACGATAGTATGTTACACCTCTCAAAATCACGCACGACCTCCCGAATCAACAGATCCCTATCCCAGAGATAAGCCCTTTGGTCTGATTTGACTGATGGGACCGGTTCGTACCTCTTATGTTCCTGATCCTGGATCCATGCTAGCTCATGGCGAAAATCGATACCAAGGTATAGGTTTTTGAGGCGCCCTATCCTGTAGTATTTTTCTCTGGCGTTTGGTGTCTACAATATCGAGCTCGTTCAGCATCAGTCGAGCAGAATCTCCCGTATGCGAATCTTTCACAAAGATTTGATTTCACGTCCTGGCAAGTCAAGACTTCCTAATAGCTTCACTGCCCGGCTTCGGCATATATGTTGATACAGAGTGAGAATTTCCAGCCTGCCGATTCCCATGACCCCCTTGCGCCCCGGAACTCCCTCTGGGAATATTATAAAACAACCGAGTTGACTTCGTTTCATTCCTGAAAGCGACCCTCAATGGCCGGCCATTCTCGAAAATAAGTGGCATGGAATCACTCGTAGAAAGCATCGGTCCAGACTTCCTCTTCAATGACATCCTCCTCCTCGTCGGCCGAGGTCCCGTCTCGTTCCACCCACTCGTGCCGTGCCGTCTCTTCGTTCTCGGGCCACCAGCTCATCGGCACATGCGACTCGGAAGAATGCCGTCTGTGTATATGATGTGTCTTGTGTTGTTCATGCTCATGGGTAGTGGGAGTCGATACTTCGATGAAGCTGGGTCGGCGTTCTCGGTTGACGGCCTTGGCCATAGAATTAGCTTGTTGTTGAGGGGTATTTTTCATCGCAGGCTTCGGTGGGTTTTGTTGCTCGGGGGCTTTTTTCTCAACTGTTGCCGCCGGTGGGGGTGTCGTGCCGGTGTTGAATGTCTCGGCTGGTCGTACCTTGGATTGGTGGATGTGAATGGGGTGGGCCTGTTTGTCATCTTGGGGTTCCAGAGGAAGAAACCCGGAGGCAAAGGCGGGAGTGATGTAGAGGTACTCGCTAATGTCGCCGTCGTTGTAGACGGATACAAAGGCGTTGTCTCTGACCCCGGAGGAGATCTCTCCGGGTGATTGGTGGGTCTCATTGACCTAGAGGGGATCATCTGTGAGCATCCGGGCGAATAGGAGATTGGCGGAATAGAAACACATCACTCGATGGAGAACGAAGAGGAAATCCTTACCGGTGCTGTTTGAGACATCATCTTGAAATTATGATGGCTGAGGCTGAGGATTGGTGTCGAGTGGCTGGTCTGTTGCAATACAAAGTTGTTACGGGATGGTGATGTTGAATCCGAGATCTCTCCAAACCTTTTATGTGAATTTGCATGCATGATCAGTAGCAAATGGATTATCATTTTCGTAAGGCCATGATGACAGGCAGACTCATCACTGCTCAGGTTACTCATTCTTGTTGCATCTTCGGGAGATGTCGCACTGGCAGAAGGTGGTCTGATCCTACCATTTGACTTTTGAGTGGAAATACGGAAATACTCGCCTACTCGGAATCGGGTGACGGTCTGACCAGTCGTATTCGGGCCGGATGAGGTATTTGGGCGCCATTTTCTCCGTATTGCTCGTCATGTTGGTATTGTTTGGTATCACGTCATACCACAAGGACATCCAACTCATTTTCCAGACTTCATGCCACACCAATCGATCTTCATCTTTCTTTCACCCTGCGCGATTATCTTTGCGGTGTTCCACTACCGACGGAACTAGCATTACCCCAGATTCTGCACAATTCTGGCTTTCCATTGGGCTTTTATCAAACCTTCCCGCCATCAGCCCGCACCCTCTGAATCTTTACCAATCCTCATCCAGCTCGATATTGCGTGAATTGGGATGGCAAATCCTGTCCGCCCATTATCACAGCCCGGAACTTGCTTCCATATCCTTCCACCTCTCACAGGCCCGCACCACCTTTGACATGGACTGATCGATCCACTTGTGAGGCATTGCTCGTCTTTTTGTCTTCTCAATTTTCGGGATCGGTCTCGTGAAAGAACGCTCTAGGGTTTCTGCTCCCTTTATCCAATCTCTTCTCTGGTGTGTCGAGACGCATATCTCATGTGTGGCGAGGTATAAATAGTACAATGCCCCAATCAAAACCACTAGTGCGTTTCTTTTCCCGAATGCAGAAATGTTGAGACGAATTGCATCAGCACTACTACACCACCGCCATAACCCGTTCGGAGAAACTAAGCGTTGCAACCATGAGTCGACGACCTCAAACAGCGGTTGACATTCCCATCATCGTCAGTACCCCCGGGCTTCACTGCCATGCGGAGACAGGCCCTTCCGAATATCCTTTTGCCTCGACCACAGGAACCCACGCTGAGAACTGTACCCCATTAGACCCAGCACGACCGACAATGATATCCCACGCTACCCAAACAGACCCGGAAGAAGAGACGTCAAGCCGCTTCTCCCCTAAAAAGCAATCGCCAGTCCACTCCAGATCCCCTTCTAACTCGCGCAAGCCTCACGGAAGCTGGGCTGAACAACTTCTCAGTCGCTTATCCAGTCCACACTCACATCACGGTCCCGTCGCGGTCGATGCAGCCGGTCGACCTCTTCTCACCGCTCCCGGAGTCGAAACGCCCAAACGACCGACGACTCCACGAGCCGATCTCTACAAAGGTCAGTCCGATGCCAATTTTGGCATGACCTTTGAAAATTCTGGGGATGTGCATTTCAGAAAGGCAAACAAACCCACGGCTTCCCCGTATAGCTACGAAGATCAAAAACATCGGATGATGATGGATTGGCTAGAGAGGAGAGCTTGAGATCTCTCAAAATACCCAGTCATGGCGGTCTTGGCATTGGGCGATTCGTTGTCTTTCTGAATGGAGTATTGGATATCATGCTGGGAAGGCTTGGGCCCGGACGAGATGTGGACTGGTCGGAGTTTGGATTTATCGTCGAGGAGGACTTCTTACGGCCGATCGATTAGCATATTACCTAGAGGGCAACGAAAGTAAAGCCCCATCACCACAATCCGAGGCCTGAACACCGGGCTCAAGACATATCTGAAGTACCAAGAGACCAAGCAAATCAACCAACGGAGAAAGCATATTTGAACACCAAGGGAGAGAAGAAGGCCTTTTTATCCAGATTGAAACAATCAACTCTGTCCCGAGACTCAACGGGCCCTCGGTTGGTGTTATTCGATCACCTCGAGTGATCAGACCATATAACACATCGACTCATACGCCTGTGAGTTTGTGCACTTATATTTCTTGTTTTATTATCTCAACGACGGCAAACCAATTCAGCAGGCAGCAGCAACATCAGGATCAGCATCAGGACCAAATTGTTAGCATTTCGAGGAGAGTAACGTCAAGGGCATTTGACATCTGAGGCAAACTCGACTATTCACCACTCAAGAATAGCGGAGCGGTTGCCGCTGGTCAGGGAGGATATTACGACCTCTCTTCAAATTGAAGTTCGCAACAGCTGATAGCTTCATGTTCGTAATCACCATTGAATGAGACAATACGGTACGGTTTCAGAAACACAATGATTATTCTTCCCCCTGTACCGCAGGTACGATGATCCTACTCCCTTGCTCCCTGCCATCCATCCACTTGAGGCCTCGTACCCATCTGAGTTCTCTCCCTTTAGAAAATAGCAACCCCATTAACGGGACTTGCCACCCCTCCCGGAACATAACACGGCACGCTCGCGACGAAAAAGCTCCATCTCTTTTGCCTCGCACATTCCTTACTCAACGCTTCCAAATCCAAAAGCTCACCAATATGACACCCCCACCCCGCCAACAGCACCTCATGCATACTCCACTCGTACGTTGTCGGCCACCTTTCAAAGCTCGGATGATCACTCGCCACGGCCGAAAAATGATCCCAGATCCACTTCAGCACTTGATCTGACTGTTCCACACCTCCCAGTCCTGGCGGAGACATATTCGTCAACCGATCCAGTTCCGCTTCATTGTTCGCTGACATCTCATAGTAACTCTTAAAGAACCCCGAGCGCACGATCAGTATATCCCCGAACTTCGGCACGGTGCCCTGCCACTTGAGCGTCTCGAGCAACCACTCAAACTTAATCCCGCTTGTCTCAAAGCTCTTGAACCCGTCCCCAACAATTCCCATTCCCGGGCCCTCATCAATCCATCGGCGAAAGTCGACGAGGATCCCTCTCCCCATAACACCCCCACGGGTCACGGCATTTTGAATCCCCAGGACGTTCGGGTTCTTTTGGCCCCGGTCACTGGTCCCCGCGATGTCTTCGAGGGTGGTATCATTGTAGAAACGTCCTGCCTTTTGATAGCCGAAGTGGCGAAGGCCGTCCCACTGCGTGGAACTCTGCGTGTTGAAGCTCCAGGTGTCGTCATGCACGATACGTGGTTTCTTTTGATATACGTCCTTTTGAAATATTTGGCGGCCAAAAAGGGGCTTGGGGCCTTGGAAATCGAGAGCGGCGTCGAGGGGGACGCGGATCCCTGTGCGGATTTCTGAGGCGGCAGCAGCAGAGACGGTCGAGGGCGTTTGACGGTTGAGGAAGCCGAGTTCGTCGGAGGGACCGTAGGCACCCCAGGCGTTGAGCCGGGCGGAGGAAGGCTCCTTCGAGAGAGGTAGGGAGGAGAAGGGGACGGGAGGACCGGACATTGCGTCGTGTTCAGATCCGAGGACGTGTTCGATTGAAGACAAGTCAAATGGTAAGTTGCGTAGGAGGTCGCTCGACGGGTGCAGCGAGGTTGGAATTGAATAGAATAGTACAGCACGATGGCTTCCAATGGACGACCTACCTTGAAAATCAATCAATTGAACGCGGAAAACGGTTTCCTCTATATTGCACGCAGAGAGTATTTGTAGCTCGGCTCATTCGATGAGGATGAGGGGCAGGGCGGTTGTGGTTTGAGATCCCCCGGAGGGGAATCAAATACCGTCCTTCTCCGTATCATAGCATGGTGCTTATTCCGACGGAGTTCTTTTTGACTCTTCCCATCAGACCCGCACGGCGAAATACCAAAGGGAGAAGATCAGTGAAGTAGTAGAAAGCCATTGATCGGGGATTAACGTAATTACTTGTGTTCAATCAGCCAGTCTTCCTAGCCAGAGCACTCCTGGTCTCTTGAGGTGCCAATCACCTGCATGCTTTTTCATCGAACCAACCAACCCGCTGGGGCAGGGCCGCATTGGCGCTCTCCCATTGCTTATTGATACCCCCATATGCACTGATGCCCTTCCATTCATCTTTCCTTGGCCCCAGCTCAATGCAACCCCCATGCGAAACCCGCGCCGTCTAGCCCAATCAGGAGTTCGTTGTTGTACAATGGTTGTATTTTGAATGTTGTAGCAAAAACGCTGTCGAAGATTCTTGGACGCCGTGAGAAACATGTTGGGGACTTTTCCGGAACGCCGTGCAATCTATTTCCAAATGCTCAAACTAGTTCGCTCCGCCATGCCTTTAAACTGAAAGAAACCGATTTCGATTCACCAACCTCAGGCGTGTCCATTGACTCCATTGACACCATTGACCACAGGAGCTGGAAGTCCAGCCACCATGCTGAATTGTCCACCTGCTCCAGCCCAGACGAGTTTCTTATCTCTAACTGCCGTGTTGTCGATGAGTGTTGCCACTTCAACGTCGTCGTCAGTACCGAGACCGGTCTGGAAAGTCGTGCTGAATCCCCAAGAGTATGCTTTGCCCTTTTTGTCGATCGCAATGCCATGGTCGGAACCAGCCGCCGCATAGACGGCGTCGATGTTGGGAATTTGAGTGGGCACCGTGAGAATTCGAGGATGACCTGCTGAATCACGAACCACCTCATCTTGCGGAAGATCCGACATCTTCAGACCGAGTTGATTCCCATCAAGTCGTCCCCAAACCAGAAGTTCGCCCTTGTCCGTGACGGCAATCGTATGATGGGCTCCACCTTGAATGCAGGTAACCATTCCCTTTCCGTGAAGACTCTGGACGACGATAGGACGATGGACATCAGATCCTTTGCTGGCGCCGGTCTCGTCGAATTCCTTGGGAATACCAGTCTGACCAAAGTTGTTCAAACCCCATGAGTACACATCACCATTGTCTCGAACTGCAAAGGAGTTGTATGCACCAGCACCGATGTTGACGATCTTCTTGGGCAAGCCAATGGGCATTGGCACCAAACTGTTGGATGCTCTTCTCTCCAGAATTCTTCGGCCCAGCTGATTCTGCTGTCCTGATCCCCATCCATAGACCGTTCCGTTACTTTGAAGAGCTAGCACGTGATTGGCTCCGGCTGCGAGCTTGGTGATCTTGCTGAGTCCCTTGATCAACTTTGGTCGGAGTTGAATCAAGGTGGTAGGATCAAAGCCGAAGATGCCTTCGTTGGAGCGGAATGTGCCCCATCCGTACACCTCGCCTTCACTGGTGAGGGCAAAAGTGGCACTGTCAGTGCAGGTTACCTGGGTGAATACGATGCCTTCTGGCAGACCAGAGAGATCGACTTCGCCCGGAGTGGACTCTTTGGGATTGATTGCCGTCTCGGAACCGCTCTCGGAATCACTGTCGTCGGTATCCTCGTCGATGTCGCGCAGTCCTCCTTCCCATGTCGTATCTCGGCCGAGTGCGCCCTGATCGTTGACACCCCAGGTGAAAATCTTGCTGTCGTGTGTGAGGGCTGCCGTATGCATTCCGCCAACGCTGAGCGTAACCACTCCGACCGTATCGGGACTGAGATTGGGGTTGTAACGCGGTCTTTTCACCTCAGTCTGACCCTTAGCACTTCCCAGTCCCAATTCACCCGACGAGCCTTCACCAAAAACGTAGACATTGAGCTTCTCAGTGGGAGCATGGTTGATTTCAGCCTTGGCTCTGGGCTTCTTTTTGGCTGCAGTCTTTTCCGCCGCTACCTTGCGCTTTGGTGGCTCGGGGACGGGCTCGGGTGTAACGGATTGTGACTTGACTCGCTTGACTCCGTTGACATGGGGTTTGTCTTCGACAACATCCTCAGCCTTTCGTTTGGTTGTCTTCTTTGCCGGCGCAGTGGATGACTCCTTCGCGACTTTCGGGGGTGCTTTGGAAGGTTCTGTGGATTTCTTGTTGGTAACGGTGGAATTTGTCTTTGGTTCTTTGACAGGTTTGGATGATTTGGTTGCCTTCTTAGATGCCTCTGCGGCATTCGCCTTTCGAGGGCGAGTCGACGACATTTGGGTGGAGATATGGACGCGACGGAGGACTCGATGGTGTGGACTGTTCAGCGAAGGGGGCGGAGAGTTGGTCAAGAGGAGAAATGGGCGAGCGAGGGGGTTGGAAGAGAAGGTTCAGAATCAAGAGCTGTGTTTGATTGAATAGTCAGAAGGCTATTCACCGTGAACAACACAATGGACAATTGTATGGAGAAAGAGATGAGGCAGAATGAGCAGCGACAGACTCCCTGGGAGGCGACGAGCAAAAAAATATTCCCTGCGCAGTTTTGTTGTGATTGGACTCAACGCGCCGCTACCATCCGATCAGCTGCTCGTGGGTGCGCATCTCGATGGCTGACTAATCTCTTCGACTCCTTTGGAACCCCCTTTTTGCATGTCGTCTTTCCTATTCATCTATCTACCATCATATTCAGCCCTGTTGTGGACAACAACAATACCATCTTGTATCTACCTTCCCCCTCCCCTGCCTTGTTGTATTCTCATGTCAATCGGCCGTCTGGAAACTCCATTTCTCTGGTCTGTGCATTCATTCCCATCGCGTCGCCATCCAGGCACGTCATTGAGTGTTCCGTCCAATGATATACCTTATCTAACCATTCTCAAACCCTCTTGCAAGAGAGCTCCTTAAATGTGATGCTGCTGCTTCGCCATAGAGTTTCACGATATCGGGTTTTTCGGATTTTCCTGTGTCAGCCTTGTTACGGGTCGATTATGGGCGTCCTGGCTCGCTGATTCCAGATCTTTGTGGTCCTGTTCGTTCCTTGTGCACTAAGCATTGAAACCTGCCGAGCTGACATGTTTGCAATGTGCAACCCAACTCCGAAATCCGTGAGCAAAAGGTGGACCCTTTTCGATTTCCTCCTGCGTCATTCTGCAAGGAAGGAATTCACGGAGACCCGTCAACGTGTGTAAACTAGGTAGTCCGCTCCAGATTCCACGACTCCGAGCAGCTTTTCGTCGAAGACTTGTCCAAAAGTCCTCTACAGCACCCTTCTGTCGCCGGTTCAAGGAAGACACCGATGACGGCGGTTTCTCTGCCTCCTGTTCTCCTGCCAGTCGGACAGCCCTATCCGAGGCAGACACATCGCCGTCGAAGAACCCCAGACCTGATCATTGCAGTGCCCATATTGACTGGGGTCAAACATGCTTGAATATCCGATGGACCTTTGTTTCCAGCACCACCAACTGACACAGTGAAAACCTGTGATTCTTATATATGAGTTCAAATTTGAAGATCGAAAGGGCTGTCGCAATCTTCAGGTTTTGACGATCGAAATCCGTACTTCAGATAATGGCCTGGTTTCGGAAAGATGAAGTTTCGGAGGCCCTTGTTTCGATGTTGTCACAGCTCCACATTCTCCACCGTCATGACATTCATCATTTGTCGATGTTCTGGGCAACTTGTTCATCCAGTGCTGGTCTCAGTTCCGATTCAGTGGGCGACTGCATTCCGGGCAAGTGCAATGCGCTCTAGCCGGCTATACCCTGATTCTGTAGCGGATATGCCTGAGGTGGCATGAAGTGCATGTGGATGGTAGGTAATTGCACGGGAGAATTCTGGGGGGCTATTGGGTTCAGGCTTTTGCGTCTGCGACGGTTGATATTCAGATGTTTAAGGCAGTGATCCGAAGCCATGGTAGCGACCGTGAGATTTGAACGAACGATATTGTGCAGACGGTGAGTAGACACTTAGTGGTCAAAGGAGACAACAAATGATAAGACGTGCAAATCGATGAAGATAGTTATCGGTATTCTGCATCAGTTGTTGATGGGAGTTTTTTCCAAGTGATAAATCGCGGCTTGCATGTTTCGTTGAGATCATTTCTCTGCTAAGTCCCGGCCCGTGGTCGCCTCCATAGTAGTGCTCCAAAATTTATGGGAATCGCAATCCTCAATCGAGATATCGGCCCAGTTAGCTCTCTGTGGCATACAAAAATGCGATGCCCATTGAATGTCTCGTCGAATGGATAATGTTCATGTCGTCATTATCCCATATAGCCACGTCTGTCAGTATCTTCCCATCTCTAAACTACTGGCTTCAACTTTCGATTATCCTTTGCTCGGGGATTTGGGGCATTTTCGTTCTCCTGAAGGTAGAATCGGCGCAGCAACATGATAGCTTCCTTTCTGAAGATTCCTCCATAGCTCGGATACCCTTCCTCTAAACCCTTGTCGGAGTGAACTGCCAGAACACTTCCATTGCCTCCAAACCGATGGTTTTTACATCCAAAGTAGACACATCGAATTCCATATTGTCTTAAGGCTGAAGCACACATGATGCAAGGCTCGACTGTGACGTACAGATCGGTTTCCTTGAGCCTGGAGGCCGGAAATTTGGAGAGGAATTCCGAGATGGCGAGGAACTCAGCATGTCGAGTACCGTTCAGAGATCGATTGGTGTCATTCATGCCCCGAGCGACAACTTCACCATTATGAACGAGGACGCAGGCCACGGGAGTTTCGCCTCCTGCTAAGGCTTCTTCGGCGATATTGATGGCTTGATGCATGAAGCCTTGGTGGACCTCGAGGTTCTTGAGGACTTCAGGATGAAGTTTGTCTTTCTGATTTTTGGAGCTTGGCTGACTAGTCGTTGTCACGTCGTCCGAGTCGGAAGAGACGGAGAATTCTCTGAGGTCCGTGTCCGTAATGGTGAAAAAGGAATCATCTCCAGGGAGGTTCTGGAGATAGTCCATCGTGGCTACATCTTGAGTCGCTGCAAAAGGAAAGAAACAAATTAAAGCAGGCGCTGCCGTTGGGCGTTTGTACACTCGTTGTTCGGCCCACTTTCCGACTGTGAAAGGGTGTTTATCGACTTCAACTATGGAGACCATGCGAGGGATAATCACGTGGCAGCGCTAGTTCCAATCGGCCGAGCTGTCTGCATGGGCGTAAGAGATAATCTATCGACTTCATTCAGACAACCTCAGTTCTCGTCTTTATTTCTCGACCATGTTTATGCCTAGTCTTCGTAGCTTTTTGCTGCTGATTCTGCAGTCTTTTATTGCTTTGGCCATCGTTGATGCCTCAAACTTACCAAAGTCAATCACCCTCTCCTACGAATTGATCGGATTCCCTTCTGTCAAACCCCTCGTCACTGTCTTCTACGATCCGAAATCGCTGAAATACTCTTTGTCTTCATGGAATCCTCCAAACTTGGACTCCCTTACATCTACAACACCGGAGTCCACCTCCAAACTCCTTCGAATTCTACTTCCTAACGGAAGCTCGACTATCACGACCCTCGACACATTCAACCAAGATCTCCACCAGAAGATTGATCTGTGGATATCCCCGGACGATGGAACAGTTTTTTCGGCTTCTGTATCCAGTCTCTCACCACCACCTTTGTCTCCAGAAGAAGAACGTTACAGGAAAAAGGTCGAAAGGGCCAAGGCTAAAGGGAAACCAATACCAGCCCGGCCCCCGGTACCGAATACAAAGAAGGCAAGGGAAGAGGCGGCCAAGGCAGCGGCCATGTACGAACCCATCAAAGTGAATCTGTTAATCTCTGGGCCTGGTCCTGCACCGTCGCTGGCCACTCGCAAACCGCCCCAGGTTGATTCGGAGGGACGGGAAATTCCACAAGAAGAACGGCAAGAGAAGAGTTTCTTCCAGAAATATTGGTGGGTATTCTTAATTATAGCAATGCTTACCATGACTGGGGGCGGGCAAGACAAATGAAAGAAGTTATACATAACCAACACGATGGACTACGTATCGATCCGAAAAAGTATATTCTACTAGCCAGCTTGGAGCCCCGTTGCAGCCTCTTCTAATACACCCACCTTGACTAACCGAAGGCATTCTCGTGGAGAAATTGTATCGAATCAAACCATTTGCTCACATCGGGATCTCGGACACAACAAGTCATTTTCTAGTTGGGTGAATTCAATGCCCAAAAAAATCGGTCCGCTCGACAGGGCCTGTCCCGACGATTACAGTATGCCGAGCGCGCTCCATTTTCATCAATACACTGCTATTTCTCGTCCCGCTATTGCAGCACATCATCACCGGCGAGCTCACAGTGAATCTGCCTTCTCTTGCCCCAGACGCTGAGATCCCAGACTTGAACCCCGCGATCTGTCAAAATCGTCAATTCATTCTCGGTGACCCTCTTTCGCCGCTCTCGTTTTGGTGGGGGTGGGGCCTTGGGCACAGACTGTGTCGACACCACCTTTTCAAGGGGAGTAGTCTCTTTCAATGGGTGAGATGGCTCGATCGGTGGCGGAGATGAATGCTCATCCAGATCCATTCCCTGTTCATGTTTTAAATCGTCCTTGCGGTCTGATTCGTCAGCCAACTCGGGCTCTTTGCCTTTGCCCCAATCTGGCTCTTCCAGACCGGGAGACGGGGACGAGGATGGAATGTCCGCGAATGTATCCTTGACGAAATATTCGGGAGGTCGGGCAATATGTTTGATTTGACCAGTCAATTTCGAGTCTGAAAATGGTGCTGGAGGTGTAGTTTCGGGTGCCACAGTTGGTACTGAATCGGTGGAAATGAATTTGGCTCCTGAGAGGATGGCGCTACTCCCATCTGTTGTCGATATGCGTGGCTCATTCGATGTTGTCGGCTCGGAACCACGAGGGTCTTCTGGCGGACCGGAGTTTCCCTCATTTTCCGTTGTCGGCACCGTTTCGACATGTCCGATCCCCGGTTCAATGGGCTTGATGGACGAGAAGGAATGTTGACCTCGATGCACAATAAAATCTATATTTTCCATCTCTTTTGCCTTCCCATTGGTCTCTTCTTCATCCTTCCCGTCTTTCTTCTCCCGCTCGCGCTTCTCTTGATTCTCTTGAATGGTGACTCCCTCTGTATGATCATCGTTGGAATGAAGTCGCTCATTCCCGGGCCCTGACGGCCCATTTCCCCAGATCATTCGCCGCACGATCGCGCCGCCGTCCATTTTCAACACGATCGGCTTTAGCTCGACCACCCAGCCGCCAAGCATGTCGTCATCGACACGATGGTAGAAATTCATAAGCTGCGATGTCGATGCCGATGTCGACGTGGTTGAAAAGGCCGGTTTCGGCGCAGAGGGGTGCGTTGTGGACTGAGGCACGGAGGGAGCCGGGGTCGGGTTCTGCGGCATTGTGGACGGGGCTTGTGGTTCCCCTTGAGCCGCGTGTGTGTCGTCGTCGTCGTCCTCCGTGTGGGTGGTTGCCCCGTACGGGTCGGCAGACCCATCCACCACCTCTTCGACGGGCGGCCCCAGGATCGAGGAATGGGAAACCCAAGCGTCGCTAGCATCCTCACTGCCCGCCTCGCTCTCAATGATACTTCCTCCATCGTTCTCCGAGCGGCTTCCTTCGTCGCCACCCTCTTCGCACAAGGCTGCAGGATCCAAGGCGTATATCAAGACGCGATCCCACTGGGCCACGGCAATCCTCTCGCCCATGGGCGAAACACTGACGGTGTCTAGTCCTGTGAGCGTTGTGGATTGCGGATTCCAGCCCCACAAACGAGCGACAACGCGCACATCGGTACTGTCGAGTTCATCGCGGTCACGGTCGTCAATTCCAGCGTCGTCGTGGTGGCCGGCATTCTCGTCATCATCATCACCATCAGGATTATTGTCAGGGTTGGGATAATCGTCAAAGATTCGCTGAAGCCTCCTCGGTGGAGGAGGAGGCAAGACAGGGAAGTCGTCTCGAGATTCCACGTGATGACATTGGTCATAGGGACGGCGTCGACGGATCTGCACAATGGTCAAGACTTGTGGGCCTGTCATGTTCCGCAGTCCGTCGCTGTCATGGGCAATATGTCTGGGGATCGTTGCCGGTAGGAGTGTTGTATTTCCCAAGCATAAGAAGCTGGTTATGCATTCAGTCTCACAAGCTTCGTTGTCGGTTCCGGGAAGACCTGGGCGGAGAGTAATCTCGTGCCGGGAGAAGAACGGCAAATCCAACGTGAAGCGGTGTGAGTAGATAGATGTAATGTTCGTGCGCCGGACATGTGTGGCCATGGATTCCACGAGCCTCACATGATCCATAGGGTGACTACCCGGAACGCGGTTGGGATCAATTTGGCGGTAGCGGACTATCTCGTTCGTCATCAGCGTGGTGTACGGTGTAACCGCGCCGGGGGCATAGAGCAACAGCCGGCGTCCCCATTTGAAGAAAGAAATGGCCCGAGGCTTCATTCCGGCATGCAGGAGCCTCTGGTCTTGCCCGGGTGCCAGCTCCGGTGAATAGGTGTTGGTGTAGACTTCGTCGGATCCTCCATAATCAGTAAAGTCGCCTGATTCCCTGGTCTCACCGGTGTCCCCCCTAGATACCGTGGCGACGTGGTCAAATGGATATATCACTGTAATCCTGTACATGCTATTTCCTTTCTGGGAGGCTACGTCGGGAGAGTACAACAATATACTGGCGTGGCTGGTGGGTGTCGAGCGGTCCGGCAGATCCCATAATATTGCGCAGAGCATGCTACTATGTACTGCTAGATGGACAGGAGCGAGTACTTTGTGATAGCACGACTTGTGAGTCGGGATGGCGTAGAATATCGGTCGGTCGCTGAAGTATTTGTTGTAGTGAAGGAGATGATAACGTACAGACCCTTTGTTTGGGGTGGGTGCCTTTGCGGTTCCATCTTGAGCCGAAATTTGGCCTGTGATAATCTGATGAGTGGTCTCTTTCACTGTTGGCTTCGAACTTGACGTCGCGCCAGGTGGATCTCTTTCAGCTGGTGTCCAGGCGTACAGGACAGAAATAAGATAAGATTTGTGAACGACTTGGATTACCCTCGCACGTCCGTCGGCATATGGAGACTCAATAACATCATGAACCTTGTCCAAAGATCTGTACAGGCAAACCCGGGAGCTGTTTTTCAAGACAAGAGAGACGTCGTTGTTTCCATCGCAGTCGGAAGAAAGGCATGAAGCGTGCGGGTCCAAGACACCGCCACGGCGAAAGCGATAGTTTCGACAATCGGCGGTCAAGTTGGTTCCGAAAAGATGTGCTGCTGCTCGTTGGCGAAAGAGGAGGAAGAGCTCACTGGTGGGGATGGAGGTATCATCAAGACCGAGTTTCAGGCCAGGAACATGGTGAAGGTGGTGTACGAGGACTTCCCGGCTTTGAGAGGCTAGGGAAAAGAGTCTGTGATTGGACTGAATTAGTTGCAAAAACGAGGGCGTGGTACACAGGTAGAAGATTTGTTGGAGGATCTCTGCGGGAAGCGAGTTCAAGGTCAGAGCTTCAGAGCCAGGCCAGTCCATATTTGAAGACATGAGAGTGAATGTTATTCTTGAGTGACATGGGTATTCACATATATTTGTGCGAGAGCCGTTGAATTTGTGCAAGGAGCTGTCCGTGTTGGTAGTGGGGGGAGCCAACCAGGGTAAACCAAACTCTCAGCCTGCTACTGCACGAAATGAAACCTAAACTGGGGGAAGGGGGTGTCAATATTGCACGGTGGAATTGAATGAACGATAAATGGCCACGGCCAAAGAGCCAGAATCTCCCACCGAGATTGCTTGAGCCGACATATCGAAAGGGAAATTTCAAGAAGGCGAGGCTGGGAGTTGCATTTCAGGCTGAACTTGAAGTAGATTTGAGTTGCGTGCAGCGATTTTAAATTCTAAGTTGGGACGCAGAGGCTCCCGCCGCTGACGGAAATCTTGGCGGGCTTGGCCATAACCGACCCAACAATTCAAGCGCAAAGACATAGTATCGAGGTTCAGAGGTTTGAGGAATCTCTCGATCTCCATTCCCTCTACTTTACGACCCATAACTTTCTCTTTACGGTAAATTCCTTCCTTCCCAGGGCTCATAGAATTTCACACCTTTTCTCGATCCACCCACCGTCTCCCAAATCGGGACCCAAACAATCATACCCACCGCCATGCTCAACAACTAAACAGCATCAAAGTGCTCCTCATCCACAAGAGGCAAAAGAATCAAGATAACCCCGGCCACAAGCCTCATTCCAATCCTTATTGTCTTCGTCATGATCGACTCCCCTTTATCGTCGCTGCGGAACAACATGGCCAAGATCCAAAGACAGAGCAACACAACTCCCCCCCCCCAAGCAACCATCGCTCAGCATGTTCAATCTCCTCATACCCCGCGCTCGTTGCGCACACATGTCCGCCCGCAGCCAACGACGCAGCCAACGGCATATGCAAGTCGAAGAAGACGAAGGTGGTCGTCGCAGACCGACGGATTGAATGTACACTCTCGATGCCGTTGACGTACAACCGATTGAGACAAAATGCAATAATCAGCGTCCACACAGCTTTAAGCAGATCCATATTCAACCCCATCGCCGCCGGATTGCCCACGATCATGCTATAAAGATACCCGCCGAGCACAATGATATAAAACGCCGGCAGTCGATCGATCTCACGTCCAATGTCCGCCGCGGTACTGTACTCAAGATGGAGTCTTTTCTTGATCCCGGGTCCCAACGTCGCAATCCCGCTCACTTCCTGATGCACAATGGCGACGGTGGCGACGGCGATTTTCGCACGCGGACTCATGCTCTCAAAGAAGAGCGGGATCCAGATGAACAGACCCACAGCAATCAACGTGACCATGAGCCGCGTCTGCACCCGGTGCGGCCAGCTGGCAAAGCTGCTGATGGCATAGACAGCGGCGACGGTGATGCGCGCCCCGCCATGAACGCCGCAACAGCAGTTCTCATAGCGCCAATGTCGGCCGTGACTAGCACGGCGTTGTTTCTGTGTAGTACAAGTAGCGCCATGATCCAGAGAATCACCCAGCGCTGCACCGGGTCGTCTGTGTATTAGCTATTCATGATTTCGCGAAGATGAGCAGGTACTTGACCAGCTCGGGGCCTGAGGCGCGCTCCGTGAGATCCACTTAGGCTCTTATCTTGAGCTGATCAAGCCTCCTCGAGTAAATTGTTCGTAAAGAAGCTTGGCCTAGAATGCTGATTTCAGTGGGATCTGGAGCTGGCGAGTTGGCTGTTGTAGCGCCTGCATCAACCCATTATGCTCAAATGCCCTATATTGTACTTGGTTCTCAGGATTGGTATCTGCTCGTTTATCAGTACCCGTGTGGTCGATGGCATACACGACACACAACCTGCACTCGACGACGAGCGTGGAGGAAGCAGGAAGCACAGAACACTGGTCCGCATCAGCGTAACGACACCAGCAAAGAGAGTTGATGTCTCGACTGTGCTCAGGGTTCAAGGCTCAAAACTCAAGGTTGTAGGTCTTATTCTGCTCACCCTCAAACGGATGTAGAGATGACCCTTGTCAAAACAAACACCTTCATTGGGGTCGACTTGTGCGAGAAGTTTGCCTTGCAGCGTGAGAACCCGGTCCTTGTGATTGTATATTTTCCCAAGAGTGGAATTTCGTGTCTTTGAACGCGCCTAGAAAAGGAAACAGAGGTGACTAGTGCCCAACACCCGCCACTAAATACCACAGCTGCCAGGGATGGGCGATAAGTAATGGATAGGGACAGCAGATGGGTTAAAGATATTGTAGAAATGCAGAGTTTGAGATCAACCATGCGTTTGGAGTATCTTCGAGGAACGAAACAGATATATAGGTGCCTTCGCAGTCCCCAAAGCAGCTTGCAGCATGTCTGAGAGACGGAATTGAAAGAGTAGCGCTTGCAAAGCTTTTGGGCTGTACGAGGCCGGAAAAGCTTATACTTGACCTCGTGGTTGGGTGTCTTTCGTTTTCAGCTGCATGTTGCTCCTATATGGGCATGAATATACATTCTGTAGATGCTAAGAGCGGATCAGGCGTCGTGGAGAATCAGGAAGATACGTATCCCTCTTAGATGTCCTGAATATCGAGTGAAGAGATCAAAGCCTGGACGACTGTAGAGACGCAAGAAAGAAGCTGCATATTTTGAATGATATACAACACACACGATCTCTGGACACTGGGAATTTCAGGCTGGCAGTATCTGCTGCGATATTGACATTCTGCGGGCATGATGCCCATGGGACCGCAATTGGCCCTTTCGTTTGGCTGGTGCCGACCGAACCGTCTATTTCCGGAAAATACGTTTTGATCAGCAGTTCAGCAAGGATCTCAATAGGCGGCTGTAGCTAATCCTTTCTTCAGATCTTCGAACTTGCCCTACACTCTGTCACATGTCCATTAGGCTACTAAGCGAGGTCCAAAAATAATTTCTAGACTCTTGTGTTCTCGTGAACGCCACGTAATCTGATTTCAGGGTCCGCATACGATTCAAAATGAATGAACCAAAGCATCCTGAGAATAACATGGGTGTAGGTATGATATTGTATTCATATGGATTGTCTGTTTGTCTATACGGTTGTGTTTCTTCTCACTATACTAGCGATGGGTATATCGTGCAAACCAAATTTCGTAAACGCTAAGCAATAAACATTAATCGGCGGTTTGGTCCAAACGTCCCAAGTACGATTCGTCGCAGCAAGGGGAGTTTCAGGTTCCTTTCCAGTGAAAAGTAATATCGGAGGAGTCCTTTCCCATTCCGTTCCGTTTCGTTCCATTGTCCATGCCACGCCGTGCCATGCCACGCTCCCCGCTTGCTTCAAAGATCAAAATCAAATCAAGCAGCCAAGATCAAAATAGCATTCTGTGTCTTTAACGATCGTCGTTCAAAATCCATCTGGCAAAGTGCTCTTGTTCGTCCAAGGGTTTGGAGGTAGGGTTTTCGTAAGCCTTAGTAATTTTGGCTCTGTCTCGAATGTCGGAACTTCTCTCTGGAATCGCCTGCCGTCCATCTTCGTCCGCGGATCAACTCCCACACGGCGAGAATGGCGACGGCAACTCCGATGATGAATAAGGGGATCAAATTCCATCGCCAGCCTCTCATCAGTCGCAGGTGGTTGCGGATGTCGCGTCGATCACTGTCATGAGCCAATGGAAGAGCTAGGACGGCAACAAACCAGTTTTCTGGCGTCCATTCGTCGTCCGGATACATGAGTGGTTCCGGGTTTGCGGCGGCAACGGTGAGGTTGATTGATTGGTCATCTGTTTGCGCCGTGAGGACGAACGTGTAGATCAGAGCAGCGAGTGTGAGCATGGCGGACAGAATGGTCATGACGACCCAGAAGATGAATAGAGCAGAATGACCGGTTGCATTGGTCTGGAAAGGATTTGTCAGATCAGTGCGACAAACCAAAAAAGGAAGAAAACCAACCTTTCTAGTTCTTCGTTGCTCATACCAAATGGTGAGAAATCCTAAGATACCCACTAACACGACCGCGGTTCCTGCAGCACCATTGCTCGTGTGGCCTTGGTCCACCAACAGTCCTTTGGGCTTGCCGTGAAGATCGAATGCTCCGTCGGGTGCATTAATGGTGAAGAATTTTCCAGCTCGGTCGTGAAGAAATCCAACCATTGACCCCACGAATCCCACTTCAATGAGGCCATCGGCCATTAAGACGGGAAGCGTCACCAAAAGTGGTAGGTATGGCACGTCGCGAAGCATTTTGTCGCTCTGACGCGGGGGGTTGTGTGTGTGTGTTCTTTCTCGCAGGTGGTATCCAACACAAAAGGCCAGTCCGCAGCAGGACTGAGAAAGAAGAGTAAGGATTAAAAAGTAACGTCCAAGATGAGGGATAAGGTGGATAATAGTTAACAGACAGGCAGAAAACTGAGGAGTTATGTAGGATGACTAGAGAAATCGGTGGCAAATGGCTAAGTAATGATGGCGGGGGAGCTTTATAACGAAGGAATCAACCTAAGAAAGATAGTGGTTAGGGCTGAACAGGCAAACCTTTCTTGGACAAGTACTCCGTAGAAGGAGATTAATTCGTGGCGGTAGTGGCTGGACGGCTGTAAGACATGAATACTACGTTGTAATAAACGAAAACAGCTGGTGGCTATCCCGTCCTCTTTTCGGGCTTCCGACGGTGGCCCCGCTTGTGTTGCTATGCACGATCTGGCATCGCCGGCGGCCCCAATAGGCCGAAAATCAAGCAGCAACCGTACCTTTGGTACCTTTTCTTCGAGGGTGGTCATGTTCTAGCTGGGAACAAAGATGATTGACCGAAAAGCCCATCGGGCGGCGGACAGGCGCACCGCACGATGGAGGCGAAGTTTTCTGGGCATCGACTAGGCTTTGAGCTTTGGAAGAGGACCACCACCTAAGCCTCGGCCGGAGAGCCACAGGGGGAGAGACACGAAAAGTCTTTAGTCCTGCACGTCCGTTCGGGGAGTGAAAGACGTTCGGGAGTTCATGTTTTGCTTTGGCTGGAGATTTCCTGGGAACATGCCTGGAAGCACGGTTGATCAGGCCGTGGAATAACTGGAAGGCTCGTTTAGATGCGGGCAGGGATGAGGAAGGCAAAGTTCGAAGTATGGGGGAAGAAAAGTGATTTAGTGCTGACTTGCCCGAGAGAGGGCTCATGATCATTGGCCATCCAGCGGGATCTAGGCACTCTTTGGGTATGGTGGAATGCCAGCAATGGTTTGGTTGTTCCAATTAAAAAGTGATTGACGAGGCTGTGACTCCGGAAAGGCCACTGAAAGGGAACGTTGGGGCCGATTTTGTGATCAGCGAGGTCGACCACGTTCGTGTTTCTTTTTCGGGGTCGGCTGCTTACGAGATAGGGATGGCAAAAATGACAGACTCTTATCTCTGGACAAGAGAGGAAGGTCGACGTGTCCCTGCCAGACGTGAAATCAAATAAGACGGTGGTTAGGTGATGAAGATGAGATATCTCCTCCAACAGTCCTCTCCTTTTTGATTATTACCTAATCATAAAACTCATGCATCAATAACATGCACACGAAGTGTAATGCAATTCATACACGCTATGTAATGCTCGCTCCGCAATGCAGGAGTGCAGCCCTATCACACCAATGCCATGCAACAAAATATCCTGTATAAGTGGACTCTGTTTGTCGTCCACGACCCCATCGGTCATAACCCCTGTTCATCTTTATATTCCCGTTCCCTATGATGCAATGCCTTTTGAACCGTACCTTAGCCTTGAGAACTCCTTCTGGGATCTTGCATTCGCGGTCGTTTCAGATGCTCTGAATCCTGTACCACCAGCCACTGCAAAATGCTTTCGTAACACAAAACGAATTGTCGTAAATTCTGTACCATGCTCAATCGTTGACGTCGGAAGTCATCCACGGTCTTGGCCACCAAGTCAACATCATCTCGATTCACCCAGTCATCACCGTCAACGTTCATTGCATTCTGACTTCTCTCGTGCGAAAATCTTTGTCGTTTCAACATGTCAATCACCGAGTCAATGGTGCAGAAAGTTCCCGTTCGCCCACAACCGGCACTGCAATGCACCAGAATTGGTCTTAGACCCTCGGGAGTCGCCTCCTCGGGCCCGACCACTCTCGGTGGACTGGCAGAACCTCGCACATATTTATCGACTTGCTCCACTAACCCCAGGAGTTCCATCGGGCTCGCTGGAGCTCCAAAGTCGGGCCAATCCGAGTATTGCAGCTGGGTGATTTCCCGCATCGGCTGGAAAGGAAAGGCCGAATGGCTCAAAGTGAAATGCCGAACCGTGGCGGAGGGTGCCTTGGACGTCGAAGACTGGACCTCTTCATCTCTTCTTCGTTCTCCCGGAATGTTCGCCGTGGTTGACCTTCTCGGCGCCATGGAAGGTCTACGTGTGAGGGCCGCTTTACTTGAGTGCTTTTTCGGTTCCAGGCTCACCTGGCGCTCAGACAGCTGCTTCAGCTTGAGAGGACCATACTCTCCAGGCTCCCAATACACGTGACTCTTGACTTGTCCACCTTCAGCTTCGGCCGTCAACATGACAATAACGCGAACGTCTTGTTCCCACACGACCCGCCAGAAGTCGTTGAAAGTTGCTGGAATAGGGGCCTGTGTGGCGATGTAACGACGGTTGGAGAACTCGGCCTTGAGGTGACTGGCATTGATATAATCGCAGCTCCCACCGGGGACGTTTTGCAATCGGACTCGTGCGTGGTCGTATGGAAAGATATTGTTGTATCGGTTCTTGGAGCCCTTCTCAATCCCCGCCACCTGGATTTTCCGGGGAGGTTCACTTCTTGGCGTCCCGTACGAAACTTGGGCACTGAGTGCTTCTTGCATCCGCTTCTGTTCGGATTTTTCAATGGTCAAGAATCGGTCCGAAACCAACTTGCCTTCATCCGAGAGGGACGAGGCCCTTTGCAACCATTTGGGCATGGCGCGTTCCGTCTCTGACGACATATCCCCGGGTTTCTTAATGGGCATTTGCCCAACGCCATCGAGTAAATCCATGTTTTGGCGAATGTTTCCAAAGAAGGCATTTGCAGCCGATTTTTCGGAAGGCATCGCACAACCTCCGGCAACAGGAACCGTGTCCTTTCCCGGAGCCGAGATAGATAGCGGCTGCGATGATACACCTCGTTCCGTGTGAATGGGTCCAGAGTCCACAGATTCGGGGACCATCTTTTGAAATGCAAGGAACCCGCCTTTAACGACCAGCCCTGTGCCTGTCCACCCTTCCGAGGTAAATTTCTTTAAGACGTTGAGCGGAGTAACGGCCTCCTTGGTCAGGGCGGAGTTGGCATCATAAACAATTATATAGGAGCAGTCCGGCCACCGCGCAAACGTTTCCTGGTCGCGAGGGGAGGAAAAGGTGTCGGACAGTCTTTGAACATTATATGCAGGCCGCTTCAACAAGGTCGTGGGAATGCAAAGGTTCAGCGCTCCGTGGATTCTTGCGGTGGCATATTGTTGGTAGACTCGGAGATCAAGAATAAGAATATCTTCCGGCTGATTCTTCAGGAGGTCGGCAATGTACGCCGGTGAGACAAGGGGGGGAATATCCTTCTCGCCCGAGGATGGTAGCGTATCTGAACGCTGATTTAGCCGGGATGTGTTGAGAGGTGGTGCTCGCAATCCATTCGTCGGCAATGAGAGTCGTGCATGCTGATGGTCGGCCACACTATACTGCGAATTGATCGGATCGGGGGATTGTCGTCGTGGCATGTCAAAGAATGAGACATCCTCCATTCGACTTCCTTGTGATGTAGTCCTTTCATTTGATCTGGATTTTTGTTCTGTGACCGGCCTTTTGGTAGACGGCGAGGCCGGAGGGGAACCAGGGGGAGGGGTGGTCGAGGAGTTGTGTCTGCTTTGGGAGGGTCGACTAAAGGCTGTATTCAAAGTAAAACGGTGATTATGTTCCGACTGCCTTCGAAAGGCCTCGAAATCGGGATTGGCCTCGACCGGCACATGGCGGGGAGTCGGCACCGCAGTCAGGACGCTGGAATTTGGGAATGCCCAATTTTGGCGGGCATGAGCACCGGGATTGGAGTCTGGAGGTATGGAATCATCGCCGCCTACCACAAATCCAAAATAGCTCGGACTCGGACTCTTGGGATCCTTTGGCTGTTGGGGAGATCGAGAAGTCGGGGAGAGAAGAGGAGGTAGGGACTGGCCGACCGATGCAGCGGTTGGTTGAGTGCGTGGTGTCGTGGACGGCCGAGAGGATCGAGAGTGCGAGTGCGAATGGGAATGGGAATGGGAGTGAGAGGGTGATTTGAAAGCAGCTGTGGCGCTGGCCGACATGGCGGCGCTGGCCGATTGACCTTTGGACGGGGGCGAGGTCGTCGTGGAGCTGGTCGAGGAAACGTGGTGGATGGTCATGAAGGAGAAATTGGATTGATGGAAGGTGGTGATAAGTGGTTTGTTATAGTATCTCTGGTGGCAGTGGTAGTCGTGGTGATGGGAAATGATCGGGGGGTGGAGATAGGTACCGACCACAGGTTGCAGGGGAGCAACGCAGGTGAACGCCAGGTGGAAGCAGGTAAGCGAGAAGGCAAAATGGCAAAGGGTTGCAGGACATAGGACGCAGGATTTACGTCATTGTGGTCTGGACTGCGCACGCGACATGGCGAGGGGGATGGGTAGAATGTACCTTAAGGCAACAAAAGGGAAACATCAGCTGAATGGCCTGGGGGGATTCTGGTTTTCAAGAAATCAAATCACAGCCGGATGAGGGATAAAGAGTAGAAAATGGATATAGAGGCTGTGGTGGTGAGCAAAGTTTTTTACTAAGTCGTAAGGGGTCGAAGTGGTGGCACTGGATGGTCTTCGGGAGGATGACGTCGATGGATGGGGGGAGGAGAGTTGGGAGAGTTCAGGACCCCGGCGCAGGGCTCGGGGCTAGCGAGAGTCAAAAGGGTGAGGGAGAGCCCGAACGAGAATGGTTTGGAGGCGAAATGAGCATAAGAGTACTAGCTAGTAATGGACGACCGGAGGGGGTTCCCTACTTATTCGCTCGCACGAGTTAGATAAGCGCCGGTGTTATCTAGTATCTTAGCGAAGAGATTAGCAGTGACAGTGACAGGAGACCCTACGTGAAGAAGAATGAAACCCCATCAAGTCACCTGCACATATGTCTCAAGTATCCTGTACAAACAAATTGTAGGGAGCATACATATGAGACAGAGGTACTCAGTACTACCTACACCGGCCATATCTCGATTCATAATTCATCATACATTTCCAGAACCCGGGTTTAATCGTAAGCTCTCCTCGCTCCTCCTCATCATCTCCACCCGGAAGTCTAAGTCTCGTGGCGTCTTCCCACGCGAGAAATGCCAGGACCGCCAGAAACTAATTGGCCCAGAGTCCCTGTAGTCAGGATCATGCCACTTTTTGCATTACCCACCCAACCTACCCTGGCATGGTCAATAGCGATCCCATCAGTGCACTTCAGAGAAGCAACTACATAACATGGGAACCGGATGAAATGATAGGTGGCTCTCCTGCAACCGTTTATGAATCGAATCCCTGGGTATGCACCATATTATTCAAGTTCTCGTGACTATGATTAGTTATCATTGGTATCACCACCATCATCTTCACGAACTTTCAGGGTCCAATAGCAGTAGCTACCGAGTCATTGCAACGAAGAGATAGTACAGTATGTCCAGTATGTCTCCTCATTTCACCAACCCGGGCCAAATGAGTATTGACGTAGATGCATTTAGAACGTGGGTGCATGCACTGACCTTTTTGGGCCGGGTAGGTCCCGTTGAACGCCTGGCAGCAGCACTCCCATAGCCTCTGCTAGCCCATCTTCGTTCAACGGTCTGTCTGACTCTAGACTGGAGAAGGCCTTCCAACAAGTGCAGTCGTATTTTCCAATCATCAATGCCGTCATTGACCTTCTGCTCTCGGCACCAAAAGGGGGGGGGGAACCTTTCGGCTTGGCTAGACTCAAATAGACCCTCATCGCCTGCATATTGGCCCACGCCTGGCATTGGTTCGCTTCAATCTCTGGCAACCACTGTCTTTGCACGAAACCGATACAGGCTGCTTTCTTGCCAAGGTTCCTTCGCAACACGTTCTGCTACAGAAATCCCACCATCATCCTGCTGCTCCCCGCATACGTGTAGCAGCATTCCTCATACATTTGCCGGCGGCATTTGCAAGACAACGTCATACCAAATGGTCTCCACCGGCATTGACTCTCGCATCATAGGCGTTTCAGATATGCGGACGTTCGTCTCTGGAACCTCTTTCATGCCTTGTATTATCGCAAACCTTTCTTCGAGAGAGAGGTCCAAGCGAAGGTTTCCGTCTGGCTTTGCTTCCATAATGTCGGGTGATGCTCCGGGTCGGTTATCCTCCCCTCTGGCCGGGGAGGTAACACTGTCCTCGTCATCATTCTCTTCAAAATTTGTGAATCGAGATAAAGTACCGCTCAGATTTTCACAATCAAGATCACGCCTTTCTCGAGGATGCAAGCAACAACTTTTCCGCTTCATATTTGCTCACAGTCTCCCGTCAGGCTCGCCCTTCCATCGTTCTACTCGTTTTTGCTCCCAATTGTCTAGATCTTTGGCCATCAATCTGTAGTACTCGTCTCGTTCATTCAATTCTCCTTTCAACACCTTTCTCCGCCGAGGGTTGTATGTCACAGTTCCGTCGCCCTGCGGCCCACCTTTTAATCCCAGTTCTAACGTTTCTTGGTCGGTCAACTTTTTGTGTTTGCGATCGTGCTGCTCGTATCTCAATGCAGTAGCCGGTGTAAGGAGGAATGAGGATGCGACCATGATTGTCATGAAAGGCAATCCGAAGAATAGGAAGGGGTTTTGTGCCAATTTACGACGATAGGCAGCGGCAATCCGCTCGGACAGGTTGTTTGCTGCGGCAGAGCCCCGGAATCGCTTCGATGGGAAAGTGGGCATATTGGAACAATCTCGAGTCTTAGTTCTGGAATGTAGAGGGTGATGTGTGCTGCTGAGGCTTTATCACAGCTCATATAACATAGCTCTGGAGGATACCTTGAGCTTTGCCGCGCTGGTCTGACTGGAGATACAGTTGAGCAGCAGCTTCGGTGAGAGAACTTGGAGGCAATAAGCAGTGCCAAGAACAGTAGCCATGTTCGAAAGTGGGGCTAGCAATCGATGGGTCATAGCCTAGAATCGGAGGCATGGTCTCGGAGATTGTAAGCTGGAGTGGTTGTGGCCACGTGAAAGCAGGGCATATGATACGAGGAACCCACGAATCTGACATCTTGGAATGGAGTTTACAGAGCAGAGTGTTTGGTGAGGCTCGAAGATCAGGGGGAAGCATGAAGCCGAAGTCGCGTGAAGGGGTTTACCAGGGCTTGGCAAATGGCAGACAGGCTACACGAACGTGGTAGGCAGTCTCTCAACTTCAGTATGTTGAGGCGACAAGGGTATCATACGCTCAGGAAGCATGCGTGAGATGGAAGCCATCAGGAGAGGCTCAGGAAACACGTCCAGTGTCGCGGGAAAACCCATTCGAAGTCAAATTGATCGAAATTGCATTGCATCCAAGGTGAATCGAATTCGAAGTGAATTGCATACTAGAATTCGTGTCTACCATACCAGTAGGTTTCTCATTAAATTCCGGGGGAACACCACATTCACTGTCTACATTCAGCTGCATCGTGGCGGGACATGCTGTCACCATCGGGCTCTGTGTGGCCTTATCGCAGCTTGTCTCGGATCAATGGTTTACAAGCACTTTGCTGCCAGCGGATTGTAGGTAGCCGGCTTTACGATGGGCGAATCCAGGGTCAGCAAAAGCCATGTCGCACACAGACAAAGACAGAGAGGGAGAGAGGGAAAGAGGGAGAAGCATGTCTCAATGATATCTATTGCAGCTAGAGAATTCGTTGTCCAAACCTGCTAGTACCGCAACTCAGACACCTCAGCCTTGAACACATCTGCATCCTCCAGGACCACTCTGTCCGCAAGCCGCACGAAATCGGTGACCTGAACATCCTATTCAGATAGCCTGCCCAAAACTCTCGGCACTTAACATCCACACAGGCGCAATCAAGGGAGTAGACTGAAGAAACTTTGAGGACTGTGCGCATATGCCATGGGCCACAAATTCTGGGAAGGCGTAGCGCGATTTGGGGTGTGGTTGCAAGTTGGCTCGGAGCATGTCGGTCAGCTCTTGTTGCAAGAGGTTTGGATTATTGTGGCCTTTGTGAGCACGCTGGCCAAAAGCTCCACCGGTCTGTTCAAGATCGCCTCCGGAACGGGAGTAAGTCATGCTTCGGTACCGAGATGATCAGCAAATCGAACCCGTAGTGATCATCACGCTTTAGAGGCGTTTGAATAATGAATTGCAATACTAAGGACTATCAAATAGGGTGCGCCTTGATGGTGTCGAGCTGTTTCATTTTAGCGTACAATCTCAGGAGAAGCGTCTAGCGCCTACATCGAGCATACCTAGTTGACTTTAGACGGCAAATAAAGCATCCCGAGCAACTACCTGCGGGAGCATCAAAAGATGAACGCCGTTGAGAACAAGATCGAAAGAATGCCTAGATGACAAAGCTCGCGCTTGGCGTTGAAAGCAACCTATTCGCGAATGAAAAATTTAGTACATTAATTTAGAAGATCAAAATCTTCCACCAAATCAGCCGGGAGCTGTGGCGCAATGGTATCAAACCAGCTAGGACCCCTGGCGCAACGGTAGCGCGTTCGACTCCAGCGATGGTTATCGAAAGGTTATCTGTGTTCGTATCCCTGTCCAAGCATTCTTCATTCCGCTAATTCATTTCATTTCAGTCAAATCAGGTGGGGTTCAATTTTTTTTAGGCTGCTCTCCATTGATGTAGTACGCCGAATTATATATTCTTTTCGAAGCGCAGCCCCTTTAATGTACCACTTACTCGAGGAAAAAGCGACGAGTACCCTAACTCTACAGCGTAACAGCTCCGGGGACTGCTCACTCAGGGGTCTAGCGAGTAGGCTTTAATCAACAGAGGCGGGATGCACTATCGACGGTCCTTCCGTCAGCGTCGCACTATTAATGCCGTGTCCTGCTACCTAGATAGGATCTCGCCCTCATGGCTAGTGAGTTCAAGGGTGCCTGCTCACTAGGTCAGGCGAGGATGAGTACAGGGCGGCATCACCTTATTCCGAATTCGGGGTGAGCCGCGAGTAGATTCCCCATACCTTGGCTGGAGGTGCTATTTAGTGGGAATCCCCAGATCAAGGAACGGTATTTTGAACTTGTTCATAAAACGGTCCAACCAGGCCCGAATCGAAGAAGTCATTGTCATGCAAATGACACATAGAACTGATATGTCCGTTCCAAGATCCACCATCTGATACATTTCGGCCCGTCTCCATGGTTGGAGGAGCTTGGTTCTTGCGTCCGCACCATGCGAAAATGGAAATGTCCCTATGGCAAGAAACGCCTCTGCTCCGCAATTGAAACTTCCATATCAAGCCGACGTGTCCTTGAGCATAAGATGAGCACATTTGAAGATGAGAAGGAAATGTACCAATGCCTCCTGGGTCCTGCCTCGTCACGTGGATTTGTCTCTAGCAAGAAATACGAGGAGACTCTGCTGATAGCAGCCAAAGTTCTCGCCATGCAACACCGAATTGAACTCCAGTGATGATACGATGTTGTTCTCTTGATGTGAGCCGACTATTCTCCTGGGGTTGGGTTTCCTGTTAGAGCGACTGAATGAAAGCCTGAAGTATTGCGAGTTATTCGGCACTAGCCTTCGGACCCCAATCCATCAAGCAGCGCCGGTATACAGCGGCGGGAAAGCGTCAACCCAGGCCTCTCAGATGGTAAAACGCGACGACAGGACAGAAGCAAAACGGAGAGGAATTGACAATTGTGTAACATTCTACAGAACATATAGAAGGGAAGGACAGACTTTTCGCTCTCCCTCAGGTATGTTATTTCTCTCAGGTCGACCATGGATTTCTTTGGTGACCGACACAGGGACTCGAGAAGCATCGATCCCCCTGACATTTACATGCCGACAGGTTCCTTCCGACAACGGGGAGATATATTCATAAGAGTGGCCTTGACATCACGAGAAACTTGTATTTTGTTGAGGATGGCTGAACTGTTACTAGCATTTTCGAAGAGCTGTGTTTCTGCAAATGGTTTTGTTACCATCCGTCTCCTTTTGCTTGTAAGTACGGTCATTAATATGTTTGACAAGGAGTGGTTCATATCACCTTGGACCGCGCAACGCCGTGTGCAAACCAACATGGGAGATCTTAATTATCCAAGCCCACGGATCGCTTCCGTGCGACCAACCAGCCTCCCATGGTTACCATGGAAGCTTCTGATGCTCCATTTGCCATCCGGCGGAGGCATTTTCATCACTGGTTCGCCAGATGGAAATGTTTCAGGCTTGTCACTTTGCTTCATTTTACTAGGATCCCATTTTGTGCTGACCCAAGTGGTTCGACCGTCCACGTCCTTTCCTAAAACTTATTGAGCATAAGATGCCATTCTCTCTGACTGCTTTGGCCTTCACGAATTGCACCCCTGTGGTCACAATAGTTTTGTCGGTTTGATTTGGTAATTCTAAATTGAGCGGGTCGAATTGGTCGAACCATCTTCCATAGGTATACACTCTTGTCCGTTTCCCGGTTTTGGAGGGAGAGTGCAGCGTGAGACTCTCAGACCTGTTAAGCAGGTGTTACCGCCAAATTCTCCCCATGCGAGCTCCAATTTGGTGATCCGGTGCGAGGACAGGTCTTTCAGCCATTCGAGATCGTTGAAGTAGTAGGATTTCATGCGAGAGATTTTCATGTGCAACAAAAGTCGCCGATCCGCCAATGCTCTCCAAGATGCACTAACTTGGAAAAGGGCGACCTTTTGGATTGTTTGGAAGATAGCCAAGCCCCATGTTAGGAGTAGAGAACTGTGTTTGACTGTATGCGGACTGTTGTGGCCCAGACAATACCGAGCACTTGTTCACCGTTTGTCTGTCGTGTTGAAGCTTGAATAGAACCCAAGGAGAGTCCAAGTCCTCTTTTCTGCCTGTGGAGCTTTTTAATTCTCTTCCTGCGGCGCTGTTATCTAGGTGACTTCCTTCGGCAAGTTGCCCAGCTTGGGACATACCACGGCTTCAAGATGCATATTTGACCAACTCAGTGCCAGGTGAGCGACGGTACCCTTCTCATTTCGAGCAAGTTGCAGGTCAAGAACTGACTTGTTGTCTCGTGTTTGACTCTCGCGCCATCTCTGATGGTCCTCGTCAAACTGTCTTCGTCACAAAAGACTCGAACACTGCTGACGGCCAACACAGTATGGAGTTTTTCCAGGTCATTGGTAATGACGAAGCCATTTTTCTTGCTCCTCAATGGTGGGAACGATACCTGCATACCTGGACATGCGGAAGTGGTTTGCCTTGTCCGTGTACCTGGCCGCTGATTTGCTGCAGCAGGAAATTTCGAGGGATCAGCGGTATTGACCTGGTAAAAGTCAGTATTTGACCCGCTCAAGGAATCTGTCCAATCTGTCCATTCATCATCAACGACTTTGTTGGCCAAAGCAACCAAGTGTTGTAAGCTTCTGCTACAAGATAATTTGAGAACCGGAGGGGGTTTAGAGATAGGATTGTCCAAAAAAATACTTGGTGCCAGAAGATCTGGAGCATCCGGTTTCATGGCAATTACTTGGATTCTTGCGGATGGCATCCAGCAGGAGAAAATGGAAAACTTTAGTTATTGACGATCTTCTTTGACAGATCAAACGAATCGTGGACGTCCACGTGATATCGGGAAACTAGACGCCAAGAGACAAACACGCGCCTCTGGCTCCAAAAATTGTAGAGACGCGACCAGCAACCGCATTGCGTTTGAACGATGAAAGCAACCTGATTCACCTTCCCAGATTCTCATTAGGCAACATGTCGCTCTTTGGACAGCCATCCTCTGGTCAGGGAAGTTCAAGTAATCCTTTCTCCGGCCTAAATCTGAACACAAACACCGATCCACAGGGCAAGCGAAAGTCCGTCTTCGATGCCTCTCCGCCAACGTCTCAGCCTGCCTCTACCGGAGGAGCTTCAGGTTCCCTGTTCAGTCTCGGCGGTCCTCCAAAGACTTCTGCTCCTACCTTTTCATTTGGGACCACCACGACCACCACGTCAGCACCTTCGACAGGCTTGTTTGGAACCAGCTCAGCGGCACAGCAACCTGCTGCAACTACATCACTCCTCGGTACCACGACGACACAGCCTGCTGCAACTGGCGCTTTTAACTTTGGTAATACCCTCTCCACAAGCACAGGTGCACCAGCTGGAGCTCAACAGTCAGAACCGCTTCCATCGCAGGCTAGAGATGCAGCGTATTTCAGCAGTTTGTTGGAGAGACAAAAGAAGAAGCCAAGATGGAAGTCTGAAAACAATGAGCATTTGGGTAAACTGTCCGGCCTCAATATGGATTTGGGGGATTTGGCTCGGCGAGCGCAGGAGATCAGACGGCGTGGATTGAAGACAGAACCTACCTGGGACAGTCGTGCGCATTATTTATTGGCGGGCTCTGGCGTTGCTCCCGGTCAAGCGTACAAGGATTTCCAGGCATTGGGACCTGATGGTCACCTGCCAGCATTGAGGACAACAGCACAGAACTTTGCAGACGAATCCACTGCCTATCTGAGAGATCTACGAGTGAAAGGCCGGGATGCGATGATGAGAGAAAATATGGATCGCGTCTACCGAGAGGTGGATAACTTCGTCGAGGAAAGCTTGGGCGTTGACTTTGAAGAACAAAAGTTGAGGATCATGGAGCACTTTGGCCTGGTTCCCGCAGGTGGCGACGATTCTGGACGGTCCACTGCGGGCGGCTTTGGAAAATTAACGAGACGAGGCAAGGAGGGTTTATCCGACGCGTCTCGCACTACGAGAAGTGTTTTTGGTCGCTCGGCAATCGATAAATCTATCATTGGAACCCCAGGCTCCGGTGCTGGCGAAGCAGCACCTCTAGGTTCGGCCGGACTTTCAAGAGGACAAAGCTTACGCAATCTTAGAGACAAGGAAAGATCATTCATCCGAAAACTGGAAGAGTTGAATAGGGCCAGGTTACAAGACGCTGCATTTCCCTTGCTCCAAAACTTTGCCGAAGCTGAAGAAGAGAGCGTTGGTGATAGCCCTCGACAACTTGTGGATGCGTACAACGCCTTGCGCGAGATCACCAGAGAGGGCATGTCCCCGGTCAGGGAGCGGCAATATGCGGAAGCGTATCTGGATGAGTCGGGCACCGACGTTGACACCTTCAAATTGAAGAAACAAATCTTGGAGGGTTCCCGCGTTCACTTGGAAAAGACATTTTGGCGTGAATTACGGACTTTGATCGAGAAGAATGCACGAGAAGCCTCCCTAGGTGGACGGCCGAGTGTTATCAACATTGTCCGCGCTTACATTCGATTACGTGCTGCACGACGGGATCTGGCCCCGGACGGAGCAGAGTTACAACAGCTCGGTGAAAATGGCGACTACTGTTGGGTGCTCATCTTTTACCTGCTGAGATGTGGTTTTGTCAAAGAGGCAGCAGAGTATGTCAACAATGATGCAGCTTTCCAATCTACCGACCGAAGAATGGTGTCGTACGTGACTGCCTATGCAAACAGTCCAGACAGACGTTTGGGTCGCAAACTACAAGACATGATCGAGAACGAATATCAGAATCGAACGAAGGTGGGACCCAAAAATACGGTGGATCCTTACAGAATTGCATGCTACAAGGTGTTAGGCAGATGTGACCTGAGTTCGAGGAATCTGGACGCTGTAGGTCAGGGTGTTGAGGATTGGCTGTGGCTTCAATTCACACTTGCCCGAGAAACTGACAGGTTGGAAGAAATATCGGGAGAGATTTTTGGCCTGGAACAAATCTGTGAGACAATAACCGAGATTGGACAAAAGCATTTCCAAAAGAGTCAAATCGAAGGCTCCAGTGCCTACGGAACATTCTTGTTGATGCAAGTCCTTGCGGGAATGTTCGAACAAGCCGTCGACTATCTGCACAATTTCAATCCTGTTAGCGCAGTTCATCTTGCCATTGCTCTAGCATACTATGGCTTGTTGAGGGTGTCGGATTTTACGGTTGCTGGGAATGAACTTTGTAAGCTACCCGCTTCTCTGAACTCGATACTCTCAATGATGCTGACCGGGGGTGTTCTTTTCCCCCTTTGCAGTGACCTACTCAACCACGCAGCAGCCGCAGATCAATTTCGTTCCACTGGTTGCCCATTACACCGCCACTTTCCGAACAGCCCTTCCGGTGGCCGCGGTGGACTATCTCTCTGTGATCTGCCTCAACTCCGACCTCCAGCCTGCCAATCTCGGGTTGGTGCACACCAACGCATGTCATGAGTGTCTGCGAGAGCTATGTCTCGAGACACGCGAGTTCGCCAAACTGCTCGGTGACATTCGCAGTGATGGCACTCGACTTCCTGGAGCTATCGAGATTCGGGCAAAGCTGATCAATCTCGATACACGAGAGGAGTTCTTGAAGTCAATCACCAGTCAGTCTGCCGCGATCGCTGATCAACGCGGGCAAGTGGCGGATGCAGTGCTTCTTTATCACTTGAGTGAGGACTATGACCACGTCGTAAGTGTGCTCAACAGAGCTCTTGCGGACGCTGTCACCCTGGATTTAGGAGAATCGCCCATACAGCTTCAACCTCTCAAGCCTCGACGACCGGATGGACAGAGTGATTCCTCCCCTAGCAGCCAAGGTCCCGGGCCTCAGTCATCCTTGTCATTAACGCAATCGACATCATCACCGGTTGAATTGGCCCGGAATATGATCTCATTGTACAACGACAATGCTGCATATTACAACGTGATATCCGCCACGAACCGAGAAATTTGTGGCGCTCTTCTTCGGCTTCTCTCCGTGCGAGCACATCTTGAAGCCACCCCTCCTCGATTCATGACGGCACTGGAAGAACTCAACGATTTGAACATCCTGCCACTTCGGGCCAATGGCTCCATCCCCACGATTCGAGCTGCCGCCACCGCTTTTGGAACGCTACCTCAGCTCCTGGCTCGATGTGCTGGAGTTAGTGTTGTGTGGGCAGTACGTGCAATAGGGGGTGAACGAGACAATATCATTAGAAATGGGAGATGGGAAGCGGGATATGGTGGTGATGCAGATGGGATGAAAGATCAACTGGGCGACATGGCCAAGGATTTGATGGTATTTGCAGGCTTGGTCAAGTATAAGCTGCCTGGCCGTGTGTATGATATGCTGACCCGGGCTGGGGGAGATGTAGGTGGATTCTGAGGAACAATATGCGACTGTGATACCAGGCAAAAGAATACAGCACCGATATCGGTGGATTGTCGAGACAGTCTTCCACCATTAAGCAGGTGAATTCTTTCGAAGGGGCTTGACTTTGACAGATTTTTTTTGGCAGTCAGGTGCCTGCTGCCAGTTCGGCAGCCCATTGTCGGAGACAGTAGGGAGCTGGGCCCCGTCGATGGAGTCACCCATGATCAGTCGGTCCGTGTCAAGGATGGCGGGTGGTGTGGCCTTTGTGTGATAGGATGCCTTGGGGTGGCGATAGCGTGTGATAGGCTCATCAAGGCTGGCCCACCGATCGCCCAAGGGCGCAGTCGGGTAATCTTATCAATCTCATCAGCTAACCAATTCCTCGCCTTTGCTGAGCCTGATCTTTCCACCTAGGCAGTGCAATTGTTTCGCCCTCACATCCTCTCTACTCAGCTAGTCGCTTCTTAGTCTGTCTTGCTTCTGTGACGCTTCCAAGCCGCGTTCATTTGTCCACTCCCAAGTCCATTCCCAACGCCCTTCTCTCCTCTATGGTCAGGTCATGCTTGCTGGGCTGGGTCAGGCTGCATCCCACTCCCAGTCTGCAGACGCTGGCCTTGAGCTCTCCCACCTTCAATCCTCCTCAAACCTCCCCCTCGCAGAGCAAGATGCTGCTGTACCCTCTCTATTCGAGCCCCAGAGTCATACGGGTGGCCCCTTTCCTGGTCACGGACCCTACGAACCCTCTGCCTTGCCTCCGATAGATTCGCCTCGACCAGATCAGAACCTCCGGGGGTTTACCACGCGTATCTGGGATGCCATCATGTCACGCAATCCTCTTCTGTTGATTCGCCCTTCTCCCGCCTTGGGAACTGGTTCCTACGGCGCTGTACCATTGTCCGGCGCTAGATCTGGATCCGAGTCGAGTTCCGACGACGAAGGGGCTCTGCATGGGCGTCCAGACACCAGCAAGAGGAAGGGAAAGAGAGTACATTCTGCCCATGATATATCTGACAACCATGGGCATTCCTCAAACCCTAGACGCCGTCACCGCGGCACCGAGTGGTTACATCGGAGATCTTCCTCAGTTACCAGTGACATTGGAATGGGTCTTGATGCCAAAGCCTCTTTTGCCGTGAACCCTGCCATCGCTGAGGACAAGGCGGAGTCGTCCAACGCCAGTACACGAACACGGAGCGGGTCAGACATTGAACAAGAATACATTCCCACGGCGGAAGATCCTCCAGACAATTCTCCGTACCCCGAAGTTCGAGCGTCAGTTCCAGCAACCGACAACACTTCTCTATCGATCAATACACCTCGAATGTGGACTTTGTCACTATTCTTTGCCATCGCAGGGTCGGCCACGAATCTTTTCTTTTCATTGAGGTACCCCAGTGTCGCCATAACACCTGTCATTGCGCTTGTCCTTGTTCATCCCATGGGTAAGCTTTGGGACCTGTTGCTGAAGAGACAAAACGACCAGGAACAGTTTTTTGTCGAGGGCTCTCTTCAAAAGGACGATCCCCAGCTTGGTCAGTCAAAACTTGAAAAGTTCCGGTTATGGCTAGCTCAAGGCCATTGGAACGAAAAGGAACATGCCTGCGTGTACATCAGCAGCAACGTGTCTTTCGGGTTCGCATTTGCTACCGATGTCATTGTCGAGCAGCACAAGTTCTACAAGCAGGACGTTCCAGTTCTGTACCAGCTCCTGCTTACCATTTCGACCCAAATTCTGGGCTATGCTTTTGCCGGTCTCACGAGACGATTTCTCGTTCGCCCGGCGGCGATGATATGGCCCGGCACTCTAATGTCAACCGCAATGTTTACAACCATGCACAAGGATGAAAATAAACCGGCCAACGGATGGACCATTTCAAGATATAGATTCTTCATTTATGTTTGGGTTGCCGCATTTGTCTGGTATTTCCTGCCTGGGCTTTTGGTTCCGGCATTGAGTTATTTCAATGTCATCACTTGGTTTGCGCCGAAGAACGTGGTGATTTCCAATCTTGTAGGGCCCCCGTTGTTCCTATATGTTTGTGCCGGTCTGACTCGTCTAGTTTGGAGTGGCTTCAGGATTAGGACTTTTTCCTGTCACCTTCGATTGGGCCCAAATTGCCTATATTGGCTCCCCATTACTCACTCCGTGGTGGGCAGCTGCAAATGTGGTTGGCGGTCTCGTGCTGGTCATGTGGATCATCGCCCCCATTCTATGTATGAGTCTCCGGAGGCCGTCGAGTTCAGAGATTGATGCTCAACAGATTACAAAAACGTCCTGTTTTCAGGGTATTTGCCCATCCTCTCTTCAGCAGTCTTCGACAATGAAGGCAAACCATACGACGTCAGCAAAATCCTCACACCAGACTTTCTCTTTGACAAAGAAGCCTACGACAATTATTCCAAAGTCTACCTTCCAATAACCTATGTACTTTCCTATGGAGTTCAGTTTGCGGCCCTGTCGGCGCTACTGACTCACACAACATGCTGGCATGGCCGTGATATATGGCGACAGTCGAAGCAAGCGTTTAACGAAAGACAAGAAAAACTTGTTGCCGAATACCAGGCCATCCCCAGCTCCGACCACGATACACCTCTCAGCAGGATTGACAGTCAAACCATTCACGCCGGAGGCGAAGATGTTCACAACCGCTTGATGCACCGGTATTCAGATGTACCAATGAAATGGTACCTTGCAACCTTCATCACAATGTTGGCTGTTGGAATTTTCGTCGTTGAATACTATCCCGTCCATCTACCGTGGTATGGTCTTTTGATGGCTCTCGGCATCACAACCGTTTTATTCATTCCCGTGGGAATCGTCATGGCAATCACCAATCAGCACAGCAGCCTGTATCTGATCTGTCAACTTATCTGCGGCGTGGTCTTTCCCGGCCGACCCGTGGCAAACATGGTGTTCGTGACATATTGCTACATCAGTTCCGCTCAAGGAATCAAATTCTCCTCGGACCTGAAATTAGGCCACTACATGAAAATACCTCCGAAATTGCTCTTCAAAGTCCAAATGGTCGCCACCTTGGTATCTAGCCTGGTCCAAATCGGCGTTCTCAATTGGATGTTCATCAACATCCCTGGAATCTGCACTTCCCAGGCCATCAACGGTTTCAACTGTCCCATTGCCCGCGTCCACTTCAACGGCAGCATCCTCTGGGGTGTCGTGGGGCCTCAACGCTTCTTTGGACCAGGAGCTTTGTATCGACCACTAGTCTGGGCGTTCCTGATCGGCTTCATCGCTCCTATCCTCCTCTGGCTCATGGGCCGCGGCAAGAAGAAAAGTGTCTGGCGCAAAGTCAACCTCCCCGTCCTCTTCGGCAGTCTCAGCTGGATCCCGCCGGCCACCGGCCTCAACTTTTCCATCTGGGGGGTCGTCTGCTTCGCATTCAACCATGTCATGAAACGCCATGCCTCTGCCTGGTGGGGGAAATACACCATGACCATGTCTGCAGCTTTGGATTCGGGCCTCGCTTTTTCCCTCGTGGTGGTGTTTTTTGGCTTTGTATATCCGGGGGTCATGGACAATTTCCATTGGTGGGGCACAGAGATATATAAAGCGGGATGTGACTGGCAGGCTTGCCCATGGATTAAACTTGGACCTGGGGAGAAGTTTGGTCAGTAACCGAGCCGGGCTCCCCAAAAAGGAATGCATGAATGATGAATGATGGTGAAAATATGCACATTTCGGCTGTGGGCCTAGGGAATAGAGCGACAGAACAAGAGGCGTAGAACATGATTGATTGTTTAATGTTCCTTTTCCCCCTTTCCGTCTTTCTCAAGTAATGTGTTCTTTAAAGTATTCTCTGGGTATTGGTTTCTGAACTCCCACCCAATTGGTTCTTTTTTGACTTCGGTTCTCCTCGCAGTTTTCCCACAACTGGTCTCTTCTCACTACCTTCTCCCAGATCTCTTTTATTTTCCTCTTCTCTGTTTTCACAATTGTCCTTTACTACGTGTTCTTCTTCTACTCTGACCATCATTCTCCTTTCGTCTCTTCCTCCCCTCTCTCTTTCTCTCACTTCCGTTCTTCGTATTCCTCATATCAACGAATCCGAGCTGGATTCACATCGACCTCATTCGTCCTCATGAATCATAACCATGTCCGATCTCATTTCCATCAAAGCTGAGAGGCAACAACTCTGGATTGACGAAGAAGTCGATTAGATTAAATTGGAAATCGATGTGACGAGGTTACGGCAGGCGCATCGTCGCAAGAGGAGAGTCGAGCGGAGCCAAGGTGGACGCCGAATTTGCTTCAGCTTCACGAAAGCCGGCGTTGTCGAGATGTCAAGCCCGCGTCTCAGCTTGTTCAGAACTTAGAACCGGACCGGAGTCACCCTTTATCTTGCTCAACCGAAGAGTGTCAAACTTCCCGGCCCGGTCCAGTCATGCATAACAGCAGCCTGAAGGGGCAGTCAAAAATTGGAGGCCAGATACCTGCGGCAGCATCTCGGTCCAGAGAGTGTGGCGGTCTGCGTAACCGTCAAGATGTAAGCCAGAATAGTGAACTCGACGAGGGACGACCTGGATGGGTTGGATCTGGTTGGCAATCGATGCATTTCGCCTGGAAGAATCGTCCCAACATTGCCTCTTGTCTCAACGTAAGGAAGACCGATTGCATTCGATGCTAGGATTTGAGACGAGATCGATGCTGGACTTGATAGGACGACATCATCAATTCATGCCTGCCTCCAGAGTCGCTAAAGAGTCATCTTCAGTTTTCTCCCTTCTTTTCACGTCGTTTCTCCGCCCACCAAGCCCTCATACCAGCTACATCAAATCCCATTTCCTCCAACCTCTTCTCATCACTGATGAACCACTCCTCGGCAACTTGATCGTCTTCGTGACCAGGTTTCGGGGAAGCATACTTGTTCAAAATGATATCATCCTCCCACCTATGCATTACCACATCACGGAACAGAGCGACGGTCCCAACCCTCGGGAAAAAATTCTTTGCGTCAATGAACACTGCGACTGTAACCCCCGCTTGACGACGGCGTATACTTTGGTCGTGGATCTTAATGTGTCGTTTTGGTGGAAAAGGGGTGTTGGCTTTGTGGATAATGGATGTAGAGACCCAGGTTATGATAGCAAAGACTGTACAGGCGTAATTGCGCGATGGTAGCGGTGTGGGCGGAGAAAGGAGGGAAGAAAGAGCGTGCAATGGTGCACACTTGAGAACGGAAGATGGTTGAGCTTCGAGAGGTGTGGCGCTCAACGACTGTTGCTCTGGCCTTGGTTCCGGCAGGAGAGAAGGGATCTTCTTTCCGTCGCCAGTTCTCATTTCCATCTGTGATATTACCTTCAGAGAGGCTGGTGTTGTAATGGGGCCTCTATCAGACTCGATTCGACCATGGGCGGTAGGTTTAGGCCTGCTTGGGATATTGGTGGCCGCTTTTTTAGCAATCTGATGGAGATTTTCACGGCGTCTGTCGATCTGGAACTGAGAGACCGGCATGACTTCAAAGAAGTCGTCCTCATCGTCGGAATCTTCCCTTTTAATTCTCTGTTGTCGTAGTCGTTTTTCGCCCAGCCCCCTTTTGGTGAAGCTATGCCCGCCGTGATCGGCCGATAAACCCCGTTTTCCATGGCCAAAGGCGGGAGCGTGGAAATTGCTTCGCTTTTGCTCCTTCCACTGTGGATTTTGAGGAGATATGTGGGCTTCTTCGCGAATAAAACCACCTTCGAAGTCGAGCTCTGGGTCTGTAACTTTGCCTCTTCCCGCCCATTCACAGCTTTGTATACCCAAGTAGACCACTCGTCCCTGGCCGTTTATTCGAGGTGCACTCCTGATTTGGAATTTCTTTACCTCAATGAGATCGCCTCTTTGCGATTCCAAAAGTTCTTTGGTATGCAACTCTTTTGCCAATACTGCCTGGATTTGGAGATGCCCGTCTGATACAATGAGACACAGACACCTCAGTGACGGGGTTTTCAGATCGATTTCAGACCCATTTTCCAAACGAAGATCTTGCCCGTGGTTGAGAGGGTGGTCTGGACTCGGTGGCGTATTCCTGCAATTACCAGATAGTACTCTTACAAGTATGTGCTCAACTCGAAGGAGGAGCGTTGGTGGATGGACACAAGTGCGAAGTACTTCGGCAAGACATGGTTTCAGCCTGGTTGGTAGAATGTCGGCAGGGTCAAGCATACTCAAGGTCCATCATTGTAGAGAATTTCTATAGGTGGGAGAAGCACTGAATTCTAAAAGCGCGTGGATGGTTGTCCGATTGATGATGAGCACCGTAGAAACTTCACACCGCGACGCGTCGCATTTTACGCGAACATGTGACTGATCTGCTTACATAATAGAGGTTGAGCACGGCTTGCCTTCCCCCTTTCCAATAGCCTTGCAATTCATTTTGACAAATCAGTTTTATTGCTCCCTTAATGTCCACTGAGTAGTATGAATCGGCTCATGCTTCTAAGCAAATGAGGCTCCGTCTCTCTACTATTTTCTGCGTGTAGACCTAGTTGATACCCCATGGGGAGGGCATTTATGGACCCTCCAAACCAGACAAAAACCTGTCCAGGGCGCTCTTCACGCCATTCATGTCCTGCAGAATCATTTGATGACCACTTTTCACAATTACGACCTCGGATGGGCCTCCGAGCAGACCACTAATATCCTTAGATCGCTGCACTGGACTGATCATATCCCCATCGCCGGCGACAAAAACGCACGGACAAGAAATCTTGTTATAATCAGGATCAAAATGATCATCGCTAGCGACAAGTTCCGCGGTCTGGGCATATGCTTCCGCATTGCATGAAGCAACAGCAATGCGAATTTGCTCTTTCTCGTTGTCTTCCCTTTCCCGGTCGGCTGGAAAGTTCGTCTTCACGGCAACTTCTGCAATAGCATCCATGCCTTTCTCTCGTGCTGTTGCTGCGAGATCTCGCATTCGCTGTTGAGCGGCGGGAATACCCCTGACAGACCTACCGACGCCTAGCAACAAGAGTCCTCCCACTTCTGCCGGATATTTAGAGGCATAATGCAAGCTGATTATGGCGCCAAGGGAATGGCCCATGAATACGGTTTGGAACTTGGCGGCACTGCCATTGGAGGTGTTCGCAAGGGGAGCAGAATGTTTTTGCAAATGTGAGATGAGAAAATGTAAGTCGGAGACATAGCGTAGGAAGGAAAGCGGTTGGGTTTGATTGAGTGAGGTGTTGCCGAATCCTTCGATGTCAACTGCAATGACACGGCGATGTTTTGGGATGCATGGAATGAGATCGCGAAACGTTTCAGTTGAGCCTCCTAAACCGTGCAATAATATGAAAAGAGGTCCCTCAATGTTCCCAGAAGCGATATAGTGGATGTTGGTGCCGTTTGGAGTCAAAAACTGTTGTGATGATGGACAGAGCATCTTGATGGCGGAGCAGTGTATGGATGAATAGACGCTACAGCGTCCTTTATGCACAAATGGTAAGGTGAAAAGGGGTCCATGGTACGATGACTTAACAGGACAGCCCCCGATGCCAAAAGGAGTGGGCTCTCATAGTCGGCCGAACCGGCCGAGGTATCGACGCCAATGTTGCAGACATTTTACTGGAGCCAGATCTTATCGATATTCGAAGAAATCGTAGAAAAAGAAAGAGCTCGCTAGGTGTGCTGCTCTGGGAGCCTTTCCATGATCAAGAGCTTTGGCTGTTGATGGTGCAGCCATGGTCATTGAGTCTCTTACCGAAGTTGTCGCCCCGGAGGGCATCAAAACAAAATTGGTGGCCACCAGATCTGATATCAGTCTTCCACATGCCGAGGAGACGAATGGAAGAGTCGTTCCTTTCAAGCACCCCGCGGACAGCAAAGTCAACTTTGGTGCTGCTGTCTATGGCATCAACCTCAACAACTTTAGTGACGCAGATTTTGAGTTTATATCCGACGCCCTCCACGAGCACAAAGTCCTTGTCTTCAAGGAGCAGCCTGAAATGCTAAGGCCGCAACAGCAATACCGTCTCGCAGCAAATTTCGATCCTGACGAAACGACGGGGGGATTCGCCCATGGGGCGGATCCATTTCTCACATCGTACAACAATTTAAACATCTATGGAATCCCAAGTCGACCCGCCATTCCTGTACAGCCTCAGGTCCACATCCTCGGCAGAGGTGAGGTACCTGAAAACCACTACCAATTTCCACCTGGCTTCAAGATTAAAGGAATTGATCATCATGAGTTTCATCTTCCCCCTCACATCCCAAAAGAAGAGCGGGAGAAGGGCGCCAGTAGATTCTACCAATGGCATTGGGACGGATCGCTCTATGGCATTCCCCCACCAAGAGTTGGCTGTTTGCTGGCCGTCAAAGTCCCCAAAGGTCCGGATGTGACTGTCAGATGGGACGATGGCACGGGGACAGAGATGAAGATTGCTCCGGGCGCAACGGCTTATGTCGCTGGTTCCAGAGCCTTGGAGTTGCTCGACGATGAAACAAGGGCAACAGTTCTAAACAGTCGTATTGAGTACGCTCCACACGCCTTCAAATGGATGTCGACAGCACATAGTACCCGGCTTGGTCATACGCTGGAGACCGAGGGTCTGGAGCTGCCTCGTGAAAAGCTGCCGCCAATCGACGAGGGCAAGATCTGCGTTTATCCAATGGTGTGGACGAATCCCAAGACTGGAGAAAAGTCTCTGCAAGTCCATGGTCAAGGGGCAAGGAAACTGTACCTCAAGAGCAGTCCAGATGGAGAAGAAATTGTTGTGGATGATCTAAAGGAGGTGAGAGCGTTCATGCATCGGTAAGAAGTCCCGTGTGTAAAAGCTTCATATGTGGTCTGATGATTGGATAGCATTATGCGACCTGTCCTCTCTCCCGAAAATATATATGCACATCGACACGACGAGCAGGATGTCATCTTATGGTACAACCGGGCACTCTGGCATAGCATTGTAAGAGGAAAACTGATCTGTGAACCAACTAGGTGTCGTCGCTGACGGATTGGCAACAGACTGAATTTCCAGAATCGTATGGACCAAGAATCATGCATCAGTGCAATATCGCTGCCTCAGATCACCCTGCAGGTTGAGGAAATGTATGGATTCATCGGGCGGCGGAAGCTGGTTGGTTAGCTGTCGAACTTCCAAGAGAATATTCCAAAAATGGCGCCCCCCTTTCCCCTTCCCAAAAAACAATACCTGTTGGAGAGTGTATGAAAGACCAAGGGCATCCGTGCTTATCTCTAAGTTGAAGGTGCTTACAATCCCTCGAATCTCAATTCGACCTCGATGAGTTAATCCGGGATGCCAGGATCCATCCAAGTACCAGTCTTATACCAACACACACCTTGATTAGCAAGAAACATTAAATTTTCAAATGGCTGAGAGCCGTCAGATTCGTCGAATGGAATGTCCCAAATTCGATTGCACTCCAGTGTAGGATTGAGTGGGCGTTCGGAATCGATGGGCAGTGCGTTGTTCTCACTTTCAATTCTGTCTTGCCCAGTAGCCGCAGCTTCATGGTTTGGCAAGACCGTGTCAACGTCTCCAGGAGATCGGGCATCTCCACTATTGCAGAAGGCCCTAACAAATTCAGTAACATCAAACGTGCGGCGTCTTTTCCTGGCCCCGTTCTCAGAGACATCGTCGGCAGACCGTTTCTGACCGTTGCTAGCGTCACGTATCCGCTTTTGCAGGGCTTTCAACAGCTTAACGCCCCGGGATGCAATCATGCTTCTCTTTCCACTGGCTTCTAGAATTTCAATGGTCTGCGTGACAAGTTGCGACTGCGTCTCGACTGGTATTGAGGACTGATGCAACATGTCTAAGCATATGATGATGCAAGCGGCCACCGAGAAAGCCTGATGGGTCCAGAGAGTAGGACTTGAATCGTCGTGGCTGATCGCGATATACTCTCTCAATATCGTCTTCGCAGCTGCAAGACACGTTCGACGGGTGAATGCGAAAACTGGATTAGTGAAACTAAGACTCAGAAATTTCCTACACAGGGATGAGTGGTTGCACACGGATCCAGGGGGAGAGAATTTCGGGGCTTTTACCTGTGGATCATGATGATCTTGTGCGCTGAACTCATTGCGATAGCTCTGCGAGCCCAAGGGATATAACACGGCCAACTCTCTTCGATGGGTGTGTTTGCCAGAAAAGATGGGCGGCCTTCGGTTGCAAGTGAACGCATTTTCCTGTCGTAGAAGAGTACTTGTTCGTGTTTCGTATACAATGTATTGGAGGAGGCCATACCATCTTGTAGGCGAGGCATGATAGACGCTATTGTGGCCAGGAAACGGCAGAAGCTGGTGACGGTGGGTACTGACTCTGGCATTTCCACGAGGTCATCATCACAATTTTTCGGAGGAAGAGATGTACAGTGTAGGTGGTTGATGGTATAGGTCTCGGAGAAGGACGTGCTGAACCAGTCTTGCGTGCAGAGTTGTTCCCACACACGCCGACCAGTTTCGAGTTCGATTGCATCCCCTCGAGCGTCTTCATTCAATCGATGTAGGCCGAGGCTCTGCGCAATTCGAACAGCAGATGCCAGCATTACTGACTGACTGTTGGAATGACCCAGGATGTGCGCCGTGCTGGTCAGTGTCGCGATGGCTTGAACCGAGTATAGGGAGTGATTTGCAGTGTAGCCCGCTGCATTCAACAAGGCAATGACAACTCTATACCATTTTTGGGAGAGCACCCTGATTTCTTTTTCTTCAAACCTCCATTTATTGGCTTCATATGTTGGTGCCGAGGTTATTGTTCCCGCCATAACGGCAAACAACAGGGCTACCCATTGGAGATTCACGCCGGGCGATTCGAGGCGACCGCGGTGGTCATGATAGAAGGATGCGAGCTGTTTTAATAGGGATGGAGCAAAATATGAGCCATGAAACCACAAGAGACACTCGTTGTGGTACTCGACCAGTTGAGTTACCTGGCGTCGAGAAGGAAGGAGTATCTGCACCCACGGAAGGAGACTCTGGTTTGAATCCAAAAGAGCATCGTCCTCATTGTCGGCTGGGCTGTTGGCCACTCGTTCATCCCGTTCAGTTGCTCTCAATACTTCCGGAGAGAGTCTTGTCCTGTCTGGGTCTTTCATTCGACCCCAAGCAAGAAATTCAAGAACGGTGGCGGCATCTTCAATTTCTGAATCGTGGCTTGGGGAGGAGGTCCGGGTAGCTCCAGGGCCAACGCGACCCTCATTGCCAGGCACAGGAGTCAGATCGGTGCCACTCTGAGCGCTTCTCTGTTGTAGTGCAGCCTCGAGCTCGGCGACACGGATTCGCAGCGCACTGACAGTGCTGGATACGTCCACATCATTGTGACCTGTAATCCCATTATTGGGGGCCGATGGCTCGACAGACTGGTCTCTGTTACATTCTTCGGGGGCACCTCTCTTGGAACAGTTGTTGCAGGGAATTTGTTTGTCGCACTTGACCTTGCGTCGGGTGCAAATCCGGCAGGCAAGCTTCTTTCGCGAGGCAAGCATGGTGAAAGCTCAATCCCATCTTCGGTGAAGAAATGCCTCGGCCGGGGATGACCATGATAAATGGCTTCTTGGGCCCGGCACGAGTACAGCACGGCTTTTCATGCTCGGCCGAGGGATCGGGCCACGATGATAAGCTCGAGGCACCCAGAAATGTGAGTTTGATAAGACCCCGGGATTGAAAATTAACGCCCCGTGATTGGCGATGAAAATATCAAAGCCTGGTCAAGCCAAGATGACAAGAAGGTGACAAATTAACTTCAAAGAGGAGAATACTCGATTTGTGAGGTTATGCGAATGCTGCTCAATCCGAAAAGACATGGTAGATACTATGCGTACCAGATCCTTGTATACGACGTAAGGCTTATCACCATAGACAACCAGATACGACTATCTATTTGTCGATTGAATGTAGTTCGGCCGTCCTCGTCATACAAAGGCTCAGCGTCAATGGCCGCTTCTTGTCCAACGGCATCCGCATGGACAGCGACATCCAGCACATGAGGTCGACACACATATACTCGTGCGCCGGTACTCTTATCCCGCATCTTCAGGCTCGATATCATACCTTTTTGTCCTCTCTCCTAGTTTCGAGACTCATGTTCTGTCAAGTCACAAAATGTCAAGTTTTCGCCCACGTTATGAACAAGCGAGATCTAAAGTCCATGATCGTCTAACACAGCCGTCGAGCTGGAAATTACCCAAGCAGAAAAGCAGCATCGCCCCCCAAAATGTGTGGTCCAATGCCGACCAAGATCCTGTCCCTCCTGAGAAGAGAACATGGGACGGCTTTGCTTTTGTCATGTACTGGTTTTCGGACCTTGTCACCGTCAGTGGCTGGTCTGCTCCAGCCTCCATCTTGACGGTGGGACTTACAGCGTAAGTGATTGCTGCTCATTCTCCCGGGTGATTAGGGGCTGAGACTTCGACAGCACCGATGCAATCCTCATTACTCTAGTCGCGGCTATTTGCAATGCCATCCCCACCGTCCTCAATGGCGCCATTGGTGCGAATCTTCACGTGCCTTTTCCCGTTGCCATCCGTGCCAGCTATGGCTACTGGCTCAGTTATTTCTGCGTGGTCTCTCGTGGAATTTTGGCCATGTTCTGGTTTGGAGTCCAGGGTGCTTTTGGAGCCGCATGTGTTACTCCGGTACGTTTATAGGTGATCCTTATCGGACTCGCTAGTCACACTGCATAATACCTTCTAGATCATTTGTGCTATCTGGCCAAGCTATGCGCACATCAAGAATACCCTCCCGCCATCAGCTGGCATCACCACTCAAGGGATGGTCTCGTACCTTCTCTACAACCTCATTCAATTTCCATTCCTTCTCATTCCCACCCACAAATTGAAGTTGATGTTCATGATCAAGACAATTGCCGTCCCGCCAACCGCTTTGGCTATGGTCATCTATGTCAGTGTGAAAGCTGGCAATGGAAGCTCCTTCTTCAATCAACCAAGCTCTGTACATGGCTCCACTCGAGCCTGGCTCTGGTTGAGCAACCTGACCTCCGTGACCGGTGGATTCTCGACACTTGCCGTGAACATCAGTGATTTTTCCCGTTTCGCGAAGACACCTGGTGCACAAGTGTGGCAATTACCTTTTATCCCCTTTTTCAAGGTCATCGTTGGAGTTTTCGGCGTGGTGGCCGCCAGTGCTACTACAACTCTCTATGGACAGACTTTGTGGAGTCCAATAGACATTATCAGTCAGTGGAATGACAGCGCTGGTGGACGAGCGGCGATGTTTTTCTGCGGCCTTGTCTGGCTCCTGGCGCAAATTTGTGTTAACATCTCCGCGAACAGTGTGTCATTTGCAAATGGTATGAATAAACTTTAGTTTCGTCGTTTTGTGCTATGCTGATTGTCTTCCTCACAGACATTACTACTCTCTTTCCAAAATGGTTCAACATTCGTCGTGGAGTGATTTTTGTCTCTCTCATCGGTGGATGGGCGTTGTGTCCGTGGATCATTATCAAATCGGCCACCACATTTTTGTCTTTTATGGGAGGCTACGCCATTTTTATGGCTCCAATCGCCGGAATCCTCTTCTCAGACTATTGGATTATCAAAAAGCGGAAGTACGATGTGCCCGCTCTCTACGATCCACATGGCATCTACCGATACAATAAATTTGGATGCAACTGGCGCGCCTTGATTACCAACCTTGTTGTGGTGGTGCCCTTATTACCCGGGTTGGCCAAAGCAGTCTCCCCGGATACTGTGCATATCAATTCGGGCTTGCAGCATCTCTACTCAATCAACTGGTTATATGGTTTTTGTCTGAGTATCTTCCTCTATGTGGGCTTTAATTTTGTACGGCCAGACTCCAGAACCTTGATTGACAGAATCGTGTATGGGACTCCAGTCTACGATGGCACCGAGGCGGATGCCGAAACCAACGGGAGTGACCATGAGAAGAAAGGGGTGGTGGAATCTGTCACGACGGGGAAACCAGATGCAACAATGTGACCTTTGCGAGAAGCATGGTGTAACTTTGAATATCGAACTTTCCGTATTGTTATATTTCTAACAATTTCGCTTTGCCATAACCCCCATTTGTAGCACAACTTCAAGCACCTCAGTGAAGCCTCGTGGAGCACGAGTACCTTCTGTTGAATGAATAGGATTCGAATTCGGCCGTCTTGTCACACCTAACCCTCAATTTCAATGATCGCTCCTTGTACAGCGATGTCGGAAACTGGTTCTGCGTAAGTCGAATCTCAGCGGTTTCGCCGACCCAGTAATGTATTAATTCAGAATAGCCGATTTCGGGGTTTCTTTTTGCTCGTATACTCCATCATTGGCCCGGAACGGTAGTGTTTAGCCCAAGTGATCTAAATGCCACGTATGGGTCCCACAGATATCCACCTTGCTTATTGGCGAGATCCAAATCAGTCAGTTGTTCTGTTTCCCTCCTATCCGATTATTCCCATACTGCCCGCATACCACGGCTGAAAGAAGTATTCAGCATTATTCAATTCCATGGAAACCGAGAACGTCTCCTAATCTCCGTAAAAGACTTGGTATGAGACTTCCTCGTGTACTTTCTCTGTGTTCCTACGTGTTGTCAATAATAAGTCAAGCAGGATGGGCGGGCGAGGGTTATGAGGGCGACAAACCCGCTCTCGGCTTCTAACCGAGTCGCACCACTGTAAAGGAGCGATTCTCTGACAAGGTGATGGGACAGAGATATACCAGCGGCTCGGTCATGAAAGAAGAGGGTTCCAGTACGAACGAGGCCTGGTTGTGTTTCAAACAGCGAGCCCGAAGCAGTGAAGAATAGGGCGTCTGCATCAATAAGGATGGTACACAGGCGTGGGAGGATGCGAGAGGACTAAAAGGCTTCATTGCCCACCCGTTGCCGACCTGGTCTTCGTGGGCAGCAGGTAAACGATCGACGAGGTCGATAGAAGAGGCGTTCGATTCGAGATTGGAGAGAAGTGCTCGGTGTTCGTATTTGAGGTCACTGTTACCTCCATATGCCATTTCGATTGGTATTCGATCGAGAGCCGTGCACTCAGTGTAGACTGTGTATTAGATGAGCAGAGAGGTAGAAGTTGCCAGATCCCACGCGGATAACAAATCCCACTTCAAAAGAGAAAGCACTCTCGACAGAGGCAGCCCAAGGTGCCGCATGTAAATGCACCAAATAAAGGCTCCTGTTCGAAAGAGAATGAATGGGAGACCAAAGGTCAAAAAATGGAGGTGGGTGGTGGGAAATGAGAGCCCGTCCTGATGGCAAACCGCATCGGCCTGGTTGTGAATCTGTTCTTCGACTTTTGTGTCCTTTCTCTCCTTGCTATCCTGGCTGTGGTCGAAACTCATGTTCAGATGTGGATATCGAAATAAGAGGCTTCTCCTGGCGCGGTTGAAAAGACACGAGATGCATTCCAATTGACAGCGTCAGTATCTTGATGGCTTCATCGGTTCCTACAGAGCAATGGGCAAGGTTACACATGCCGGATAGGAAGCTGGTAAGCCGCATCATCCTGAATCCGAATGAGTTCAACCCCTGGATCAGGAGATCCCGCAACCAGTACCTTCACTCCAGCTAAACCCACAGCAGCCAATGGCCCAGAAGGACACAGAAGGGAGCAAGGAATGATCAGAAAGGGGAGGTGGGAAGGCAAACGCGACATGTGGAGCAGCAAGAGCAACGCTGAAATAGACCAAGGAGTTTGGGGCCTCTGCGAATCAGCGGCTAATGTGGCCCGTGTTTGCGAAAAGGCTAGGAACTAAAGAGTAATCAATCGATCAACCAATTCTTCACAGGAGCCTGGCTCATAGCTGGATTTGCATTGCGGTGTGGCCAGGTATTTGGTGACAACCGAAAATTAAACCAGTCGAGAACTTTGAAAGTTCGTTTCTATTGGCTTGCATCGCAGAAAGCATTGGAAGAAATGATCTGAAGGGCGTCACGGAAGGGGTATCACACTCAGGGTTTTCTAAAGCAAACGAAGATCTTACCTTGGTTCATCGTAGTTCCATCAGTTCCAGGATTGTAAATCTCTGAAACAAGGCCGCTGCAATATTGGGGGGAACTAATTCGATAGTGTTCAACTATTGGACTGATCTTTGATCTTCGGGCGTTGCGCGAGATCTCTGATCTATGAATTTGAATCTTCGGCCGAGCTGTCGTACATGCAAGATAAGACTCTCAATCTGAACGTTGGCTCAAAGGTATCACATCAATAATATATGAACATATTGTGAGATCAAATATCAAGTGCAACAAATCATTCCAGTACAGGAGTATAATATAAGCGGTTTGATTTGAAGCGCAAAATCCACAACGCGCACCCAACGAAGCTAAAGCATTCATGTCTCCAGCTGCGCTTTCCCCGGAACCCTCTTTTCGGGTTGAACCTTTTATTAAAACCAAAGATCAGAAATTTAATTTTGGTGCCACGGTCATTGGTTTGAATCTCGACGAAATTTCAGGTATGAAGATATGACTGAATTCTTTGGATGCCGTTGACAGACTGAAGACCACGACGTCACCAAGTTGAAAGAGACCATCTGGACTCATAAGGTGATTGTGGTCAAGGGGCAAAAGCACTTGGATCCCAAGAAGCATTGGGAACTTGTGACCCGTTTTGACCCTGACGCTCCTCAACTCCACAGCCACGGCAATATCGAGACTTTCAACAAGAAGGGCGGCTTACTTGCAAAATCACGGGAGGTATATGGGATTCCAGGAGCAGAGAATGTGCGCCTGGTTGGCAAAGGGTTTCAAGGCGAAGATCATTACGGTCTGAAGAATCTGACTGTGAAAGGTTTGTCCAACGATTTCCACGCCGACGCATTGGACGATGAGGACTTCAAAAAGGGCAACACGAGATTTCAGAGATGGCACATTGACGCACCACTGTATGACCGTGATCCAGCATGGTTCACAACGCTCCGTGCATGTAAACTGCCTTCTGGGCCACATTTGACAATCAGATGGGATGACGGGTCTGGGTTGAGCATGAAAAGTCCGCCAGGCCTAACGGCATTCTTCAGCACTTCCCAACTATATGAGATGCTTAGTCCAGATGAGCAACGGATGGCTGACCACAGCTGGGTTGAATATGCACCACATCCATATCTATGGATTGAGCATTGCAAAGGAAACACCACGGGCCTGGGACTGAAGAACCAGGGCAAGGAGCATACAATTGAGGAAATCGGTGATTACGATGAAACTGCTGTTAAACGAGTGAGAGATGTCTTTTCGACCAATATATCGACTTTCCAAAATACTGACTGCAACACAGTATCCGTTTGTGTGGATCAATCCTGTTACCGGCGAGAAGGCATTCCAAGTCCACGGCATATGCGCTCGCAAACTCTTTATTCGTTCTTCCGCAGACGAAGAGCCCAAAATCATTGATGACGTGGTTGAGATCCGGTCAATTCTTCACAAGATTCAGTCGCGCATCTTACGTCCAGAGTACATTTGTCTCCCTCAGATTGAGGAGGGCGATGTCGTTATGTGGGATAATTACGGTTGCTTTCATAGTGCTGTGGATTATCCATTGGAGATGTATGGTCCTAGGACAATGCATCAAGCCAATATTGGCGCAAGCAAAGGTCCTGTTGGACCAGTGCCGATTCCATCGATTGGATGAGACATATGTCGACAAGGCGTGCTTTACTCTAGCGTAAATCCTCCATTCCGTATGGATCGAATGGATCTATTTTTTTCTACTTATTCTACCATTATACTTCAAGCGGTCAAAGAGGACAACGATATAGACCAAGCGAACATCTAGAGCCGAGGCTACCCTAGTCCATGTATCTTCGCGAGTGAGCCTTTGAAATAAATAGGAATACCGAACCAGCTCTTGCCGTGATAGAGGCGTATGCCGTTTCTGGCTAGGCCTCGGCCGAAGGATCTCAACAAGGATAACGGAGTTTTCCTATCTTCTAAGTTCCAAATCGCCTCAGCATGAAGATCAAAGTTCATGACAATGTAGCATAGTATATGCTTGGAGGTGGCATCCATCACCGCCAGTAAGCTTGTGTGTATGTGTTGTAGATAGCAGCTGTGCCCCTGTGTGACTTGTTAAGAAGCGAGGGTATCTCCATCAGCTCCCAGCAGCCGGTATCAAAGTCTCGAAGATGATTTGTCTGCATGTCATATCTCTGTTCCTTTCATTGGCGTCCTGCCACAACATAGGATCCTTGCAGAGCGTCATCAGCGACCAGTCACTCTCCATAAATGGCGTCAACTTCAGCACCCGCGCCTATTGGATGAGGAAAGCAAACGCTGCCCTCGGCCAGTTGGTGTCTCCATGTCCATTTGGCGCCTTTGGAACAGTCATTGTGAATCACACGGCGGGAGAAGGCCTAGGAGATCTTGTCTGCATTGGCGCGAATAATATATCTCTCACTGGAAATCCCTCTATGCATGGTGCGTCCATTGCCTGTATTCACATCTACATCTCGAACACTTCGCAGAATGTATGGATGTCTGTATGTGGACGTATGTTAACAGATGTGGTATGTTCTAGGCGAAATAGCGGCAATCAAAAACTGCTCTGACATTCTCATTGATCCTGTCGGTCCATACAATTTGACACCCTCTGAGGCTCAAAGTGCTTTTGCGGATTTATCCCTGTACACGAATGCGGAGAGCTGTCCGATGGTAAGTTGGAAAAGAGGATCACCAGGATGAGAATCGCGTTCTGATGTTGGTGCCAACAGTGTGCCTCCGCCATTCGATGGGCTGGCTTTAAAGAGTACATCTACGGCACGTCGATCGAGACCCTGATTGCTCAGGGGTGGGGACAGATTCGGATTCCCAGCATTGAAATATTTGCTCAGAGCTTCGATATGTCCCCGTCGACTAGGCTGATAGGCGAACTGCTCACGAATGAAACGGATCCGTATTTCCTGTGGCAGTATAATCCGAGCTATCCTTGTCCGGCTGGATGTCATCGTGGGAGCTCTGGATCTTGCACAGCAGACTAGGGAGCTGTATCTGGAACAGAAAAGACCAGGTAATAGTGTTGAATGAGTAACCTGGGCCGAAATTTCCTGGCTAGAAAGTAGGGACGCCGATGTGCGGACTGGAACGAACAATGAAAACTGAAGTCTATTGGAAGACTGCGATGTAGACTGTCTGTTTTCTGACCATTATACAATGCTGCTCATCGCACAACCTTGATAATAGCATAGATTTCACGTCTCGGATTGTGTGAAGAAGAGATATCTCCCACTGAAGAGACTTCCTCGCGAATCATGAAATCATCCATCTTCAAGGTCAGCAAGCAGCTCAAGATCGTTGACCCTGCGAGTCTACAGCCTAAAGTCTGGCTTTTTTCACAACAGCTGGTCCTTACCAATGTCAAATAGCAGTATCTCTGGCAATGCATAAAATGGGAGGAAGCCATGCAATTGGACGCCGATTGGGTCGTCTTCTGGGAGTACTCATGGAGTCACGAGCTGTGTCATGAAATATAATGTAAACTATGCAAAATGGCAACGAAGAAATTTTCAAGCGACAGGAAAAAGTGCCACAGATTCTTCGATCGGAGCCGGATGTCGAGAAGACCCTGGAAGAATGTTGCTTGCAGCAAGGTACAGCGGATCTAGGAGATATCTTGCAGGGCGAGTGTTGCAGAATAAGTTGGCCTATCGTGAACGATAGGTCACCACCTGTTCAACACGATATTACCACCCAACATAGGAAGAAGGAAGTACCCACCCCTCAACATTGGGCAGCTTGGATGCTCCAACTGATTGCTAGCAACGAGGCTAGTATCCAGCGGCTACAATCCTGCCAAGCATCGTCTCTTACGCCCGCTCGCTTCGCTTCTGTCCCCTCCCCATCTGGTATTCAGCCTCCTTCCGCCATGTAAGTTATTGTTCCGTGCTTGAAGTATATAATAATTGCCGGAGACAAGGTTTTTGAACAAACAAATCGATCGTGAATCACTCTTTTACAAAAGCACGATCGCCAAAAGCTTCGTTTGCCAGTATATTATACTCCAGACTTTGTCGTCTTTGTAATCTATTCAACATGGTCCACAAGCTTTTCGATCTATGCACCCTTTTGGCACTGCATCTCCTTACACTCCCCCTAGCCCTCGCATGCGGACGTACACCCATCAACTCTGCCTAGTTCGTCGTCGGCGCGGACTGCCCACAAGATCCAGCAACACTGGGCTACAACATTAACCATTCGCATTCAACATCAAAAACATCACGGCATCCATGTACTTCTACACGACCGTGCCGGGTATGCGTCATGTCTATACGTACCACGCGTCCTCGCACTCCTTCACCTACGTCGGCTACACTTACGGCGGCAAGAACGGGACCGGCTACTAAACTGGCGCTGAGATGCTCCGCGAGAAAAACAATAGCCAAGGCCTCATCGAGCTCCAGTACTTGCGCAACTCTACCGACAACCTGACCGCTTCGACTGTCGTGACCAACACGTTCTCGCATATCGGCTTGGTCGTTCCGGACGTGAATAAGACGCAGACGCGCATGGAGAAGTTTGGCATCGAGATCCTCAAGCGTGTCGACGTGGTCGCTGCTTTTGACTCCCCCACAGCATACGCATTTGGCCTTTCAACTGACGCCGTTGGAGACAACATGACGGAAGCGAATAATATCATGAACGGAGTTAATCGCTCTGGCTTAAATATTTTTTTCATCATTGCTGATCCAGATGGAAACGTGCTTGAGATCCAGCAGCAGAACTGACCATCTCGCCCGAATGGCCGAGTTGAACAGTGTGGTGTTGAATGTGTTCCCTGAAGATGCAGTATGCATGGCCCTGATGTACAGAAATATTCAAATCGACAGCAGCATAACGGCATCAGAGTCATAACAAACTCCATGGTAGGGTGGACGAGAACGGTTGTTGAAAGCGGCACATCTGCACTCCTGCTTGTAAAGTCTCCGTAGGAATAATAATTAAAATGTACATATACAGGGCGGAATCGATCTGGTCTTCCACCACCTGCTTGGTTCCTCATACCAGTGGTCATTATCAAGGAAGATCTGACCTGGATAGGATATCCAACGAGTTCACCAGTGAGACCAGATCGTCATTCCCTTCTCCATTCTCATCACAAAGTGGCTTCCCGCTTGACAACCCGTAACATGGTCGATCCAGGTCCTGCGCCTGATGGTGGGTTGAGGGCTTGATCACAAGTTGCGGCAGTCTTTATGTGCTCTTTGACAACATGGTAAGACGTTCTGAGATTTTTCTTCGCCGGATAGGTGCAAGCATTGCTTCTTTCGGTATTCGTCTTGGTGGATGTCCTGTTGATCACCGCATCGGCCCTGCAGGGGATATTTGAATTTGTTCATGTGTATTTCAAACATATTAGACCGAGATTCTGTGAGAGGCTCCATCGACAATCTCATGGACTGGGTCTATCCGGCTGTGGATCGTGTTGTTCGTCAGCGCATGGTCAAGTAAAGCGCTCGATGCTGGTCTGCTTAGGTGTCGCCTTGCATGTCGTCGGCATCTTCAGGACGAGAGGTTGCAAAGTCCTTTGACTATTTCCCTTGCTCAAGGGCTTTGCGCAGGACTTGATAGTGGCATCTTTTTCACTCCTTGGACGGGATTGTGATGATATACTTCACCAATCATCGAGGCATCGCCATTGCTTTTGCGTCAGCTGGCAATTCCGCCGGCGGAGCAATCTACCGGTTGTTGTTCGACAAACTCCCTTTCTAAAATTCGATTCGTGTTGGGCCGTCCCCGTCCCTGGGCTTTATAAACTTGACCTCCTTGGCGGTCGTTTTCGTAGTTATCTAGCCAAAGTTACCACCAAGGAAGAATGGACCCGTCGTTGAGTGGAGAACCTTCAAGAAAGTCCCGTATCTCTGTATTCTCATCGGCATGTCTTTTTGTCTTTGGTTGTTTGTTCTCCGTGTTCTATTACATCGGCTCTTAGCTCGAACGATCATCGGTATGAGCTATATTGATTCACACACAATCTTGATTGTCTTCAATGCACGCACAATTCCTGTCTGGATCTCGATCGGTTACGCTGCTGGCAAATTTCTCGGGCCTCCCAATGCTATGGTACCACTCCTCTTCATCAATCACCATCTTCGGCTTGGCTTGGATCGCTGTCAATTCAAGAGGCGACATTTTACGGGCTCTCGACGGGCGTCTTCCAGTGCTTGTTTCCAACAAGTCATGAGTCTCAATTCGGATCTGAGTAAGAATGGTGTCAGGCTCAGAATGGCTTTCCCAGTGTTCAACTTTGTTGGTCTTGCTGGCCCTCCGATTGGAGGCGCCATTGTGTCAACCAATGGTGGAGGAAGGGTCGGTTACCCGTCTGCCTAGTTGGTGTGAGACTAGGCTGGGTGCTTGGTGCATTGTTTGTAGGTATGTCCCGTGCTTACAAAGAAGATTGGAGCCTGGAGGTCAAATGCTCATTGTCGGTGATTTTTCAACAAAGACGGAATTGCGGCCTTTTCATTGAGGTCGTTGAGAAACGACCAGCCGTAAATGTCGGCTAAATTTGCGGCCCATTATAAGGCTTGGGAGCACCTCTAGTTTGAACAGGCAAGTCAACAACGCTAAAACAAGGTGGCGCAGACAAGTCCCGTCAATTGGCGAAGACAGGCTGTAGCTGCGTTTCTTCACAACACCAGTGTATGACCAGGGTAAACGCCATGTGATTCAGATCTATCAGGCATTTTTCCAGTAGAGACACGAGGTAGATTGCAAACGGAATGAATATTGAATGTGTTCTCCTAAGCAGGTAAGTTCTAGAACTTCTTTTTGGTGGCTGGTGGACCCTCTGTGAAAGTTCTATGACGATGCTTGCACAATCTGTTGTAGCGATGGCAATTTACCAAACGATCAAGGAGAGTAGGCCGGATTCGGTGGCCGGGCGAGTACCTGTGCCTCATCCCCACTGAAGATGAATCGGGTGCCTAGCACTTTAGCCAGCCGATAATGTAAAGGGCACTTAGGGCATTCAGTGGCAACCATTGTTAGTTAGTATGAAACGTTATCTAGAGTGGCAGCACGGTCATCTATGCATACACGTATACAATTAATTCGGTTTTTCTATCCTATCTTTGAAACATTGATTTTCTGCCGCCTACCAATCCCGTAAGGTGGAATCTGTAGAACTTCAGGCGGCCCGGGGTAGTATAAATGCTGGCGAGATACCCTTTCGCTTGTGGGTAGAAGTGATCCGGCACTCGATAATCACGCCCTCGAAGCGTAGCTGATTGTCACTTCGCTGGTCTTTTTGATTTGATTGTGCAAGGGTAGAATGCTCCTATCGCTCTCACCCTCTCCAACAATTGTTCGATGGCCCCGGCTGGTGGCTCGGCCATGCATGCGTGACGGTGCTCTATGGCCAGGTTTATCTGCACCCGGGCCGAAGTTTTCAAGAACATAAAAGGAGCTCTTCTGGCTAGATGTCACATAAGACATGACCTTTTTGAGAAGTGGCCGGTAAACGGCAATGGAGGAGGCGGCAATCGTGGATCCCGTTTCCGCGCCAGCCCATAAAAGAGTATCTGAGCCCGCATCTGCATTCAGAATTAGACATGACTCCATTGACCGAAGGGTTAATAGGTTCGGAGAAGAGACATACATGTGTAATCGACCTGCTTCGATAGGGCAGGCAGTTTGGTGGTTTTGATTATGGCGGTGGCCCCGGCACTGGTATTCCATATCAGCATTTTTTTATTTTTTTATTTTTTTTTGGAAAAGTTTTGGAACTGGGAGTCACTGACAATACGCCCAGGCTCATGGCCAGCCCTACACCTACTTTCTCCCTTCTCTTCATATTGAGACTTTTCAATATCACCCAGGGATAAAGAGCGAGGGCAAAATCGCAAGCTGCAGAATAGGCTTCATGATTGAATCAGCCACAGATTAAAATTAATGCATGCGGAAGCATGAAGGTCCAGACTTACCACCAGCAAAGATTGTGTAGTTCACAAAAGTTGAGAGAGGCCAGCATTCTGTTTTGATACTTTTATCCCATCCATACGCCGGGTTCTTGCATTGAACAAACTGAAAAATACCACAGAGGAGCATCACGATGTTCAGACTGAGAATGATGTACCAAATCGCTAATTTCTCGAATTTTTTGGTGACAATCCGCAGCAGCGTAAATGCAAAGGCCGTCTTGCTCAAGCTGCAGGCTTCGATGATGACTGTCTGGCCAATGTAGATAAACAAGTAGGCGTTAACCAACCTGTCTTGCTCGAGTGTCCAATAATGTCGGCCGACACCGTAGTCACGCGCTTTGGTAATTATTGACGTATACACCAAGAGTAAAACCTAGTAAAGAGGTGGTCCATATTAGCGAGCAAAAAAAAAAGAAAAAAACTTTGCTTTTGGAGGAGAGGAGTGGCATACCCAAGCGGCGACAATGACGGTGTCATCCCACCCATATGATTTACTAAGTGTAATTCGAGTGTAGAGGCGTAAGGCCACAAAAAGTGCAGGGATCACTGTAAGCACCCAAAGAACAACAACAACTTTTGGTCCTTGGTCATCGCTGGCTAAACCAGTGGCTCCTGGAGGTGGCAGTGTCTGGGACATTATAAAGGTGGTCAAGCCGTTATGTTGACAGACCTCGAGAAGTTCTGAATGAGAAAGGTAGACCGGTGCCAAAATACCACAGGTTCTTTTTAAGGACAAAGAGGAGATCCGAAAGTAGGAAAAACCCGAATCCTCTCCTCTTTCTCGTTACTGCTATAGGAGCAATTCCACGCCTTCGAGAATGAGTGATAGACAGGTTTATGAATCTTTGGAGCAGGCTGTCTAGGGGACTCTATGCAGGAACCGTGCCTAGAACTATTTGGAAAAATCAAATATCCACTAGGCGTAGGGAAAGAACTTGCTTACAAGGAAACCCCTGGCGTGAGGAATATACGGTAGGAACTACTTGTAGTCTGTGACCATTGACCGGGGACATAGAGAGGAAGGGGGGACCCCGTTGTAGCCCACTCCTCCGGTTCTTCCAACAAGGCTCGTGATTTGGAGTCTTGTGGGGATCTGCTATTCATTGAAAGGAATATGGTCAATTCCCCTTCGTTTCATTACCTTAAGTACTACAATCAAGAAGAGGTAGCTTCAGCACAGTGGGTTTTCCTTACAAGGCTCTGGATCGTGCGTATTAGTTTTAGTACAACTTCCTTGCTTCGCATACGCGCAATGGGATGGATAGGACTCAAAAGCACTATTATCACCTATCGGCTCTTTACATTTGACGAGACATTTCTCCAACATTAGTCCAGGTGTAGAAGGCGCATGAGTCGTAACAAAGTTGCCATAGAATATGAACAACACCTTGAAGCAGATTTTGACAGGAGAATCTATGTCCCCCGGTACGGCGAACTCGGTACAATTGCACATGTCAGTTGGCCATCCGCAGAACAATCCACCCCGGACAGCAGAGGGCATTGGTGAGGCTGGTGATGAACGCCAATTGGCATCTAACTTCAGAAGGTCAGGCTCATAACTAAAAGCGCGAAGCTCGTCGCAATAGAATGCAGGGATAAAAGCATGAAACAAAACTTTGGGGTCCCTCACTACGTATCCCAGTGATGCGGAACCGCAGGTGAATTAGCAGACCGCATTTGACGGTTCGAGTGCCTAATGAGCTCCCTGCGTTCCGGGGGGTTGAGAAAAGGTACGTGTTGTGATTGGGACGATGATCGCCAGATCGACAATACGTTAAAGTATCTGGATCATGTGGTCCATAGCGTGGGAACATGTCCGAGCCGGGTACGGGATTAGTCTTTAGTATAATGGTCGGGTGTAACAGAACGTCGGCTGGAACAGGTTCCAGACAAGCTTAGCTCCCTCTATCCTCGTCGTACCATGCTAGCTCCAGTCGACCCTTAATCCCGTCGATCACCACAAAGGCTAGGATCTAGCGAAAAGCATAATCGTACCCCTGCTCTCAAATGATGTTAGACGTACTCGTTTCGGAGTATAGTCACAGGGAGATCGACGCATTTACTTTGGGGTTGATTTGGTTCGATTACTTGAACCCGATACGGAATATGCGAAGACACCACCAAGACGGCATCTTGGGCCATGACCCGTGGCCAGTCTACTAGAGCTTTCAGTGCTGCATCCTTACAGTAGTCCGCGGGCTAATCCGCTGGGCTCAGGCTCGATTGGAGGGTCCGGAGTACACGACCCGGTCCCTAGGCCACAGACTGCTTTGAGCAGCATCTACATGGTGGCAGTCTCTTGGACAGCTCTCTGATGCGGGGCCCGGCTCTAATGATCCTTTCGTTAAAGTTTTTCCCCAGCGCTTTTGTGGGTCAATCGTTTTTCACGTGACGCATACGAGGACTACTTTCTTCGACTCCTGCCACCCCACACAGCCTCTGAAGAACAAATGTACAACAAACAATAACTTTCAGTCAACCTTTTGCCATTGTAGTTTTCCCTTCTTCCTTCTCTTCCACCTCCTGTTCCAGATATGCCTCGTCTAGTTACTATCAGGAGTGTTGTCGCTTTCTATTGTACATTACTCCGTCCTACACATATCGCCAAGCTCTTTCTTTTCCAGACAAGTGTGACAAAGGAACTTGGCCCACTCTTACATTCAAATAGGATATGCTGGGAATCTTTATGTTTGGGTCATAACAAAGTGTCCACAAATGGACTGAACACCTTCTCAATCCAGGGTACAAAGTATTACTGCATTTTGTTACTCTTTTGACCAACTGCCATTCCGAGTACCTGATAGCCATGGCGTTCGCCAACTCCAGATTAAGTGGATCTAGCCGGGGGCCGGTCGACAAGCATGAACCCTGAAGCATACTCCATCCTAGTACGACTAACATGGGACAGGAAGTTCCAAGTTGACGCACCTTCTATCACTCAATTAATGTCCAAAAACCCTTGATTGTATCCCACCCTGTCATCTGACCATTTCAAGCTAGCAGTGTATGGTGGCTTGTTGGAAGAGAAATGATAGGCAGGTCCGTTTACGTCGATCAAGCTGCAACTCAACGACACCCGTTCAATGCCCCAATCAGTCCCCTTGAATATTGCTATTTAGCTCAAGCCATATACTTTAGCGACTACATGGCTTAATGCGAGTCTGATGGCTGCTTCAAGATCTTTGCATGTCACTTCGGACCCGTCCTATCTGATGCATCACCGCCTAAAAGGCCTCACGCCAATGACAAAAACCTTGGGGGAAGGGAAAAAAAGGGGGGGTATTTTTGTCCATTTTCGTTTCTTCCGGACTCGGACCTTCCTCTCTAACATTCTTGTTACAGCAGAATTGAAAGCGATATACACTTCGTCATGGCGTATACAGGAATTGTATCAACATTGGCCGTTTTTGGCTTTGTTGTTTTGTTGCTGAAATTGCTCTCGACCGCTTTTGCCTCTCCTCTGAGGAAATTTGATGGGCCTTTTGCAGCGAAATTCACGGATTTCTGGCGTCTGATAGACACATACCGAGGTCGATGCGACATTACGCAGACGAAACTGCATCGTAAATATGGACCTGCCGTAAGGATTGGACCAAATATCATCAGCCTCAGCGACCCTGGAATGATCAAGACTGTGTTCAACGTCAAGGCGCCGTGGAAAAAGGTATGTCTTTTCCATCCTTTGCTGCAAACACTCACAAACTAATACGACGAATCCCCACAGAGCCATATGTACAATCCAAACGATGTCATGGTCAACGGCGTCCGAGTCTCGAATATTTTTGGAACAACCAACGAGGAATGGCACACAAAGGCAGTCCGCCCCATCAGACAACTATATACAATGACCAATGTTCGTGACTTCGAATCACTTCTCGATCCTGTCATTGCGCGTTTCACCCGAACTTTGGAAGAGAGGTTCATGGACGGAGAAAATGCTGGGAAGCCGTTCGACGCCAGTGAATGGGTCAATTATTTTGCTTGGGATGCCATGAGTGAAATGACCTTTAGCAAACCTTTTGGCTTCATTACCGAAGGTCAAGATGTGGGGGGTTTTCTCTCGATCTCGGAGCGGTCTCTCGACTACTACGCATCTGTTAGTCAAGTGCCGGTACTGGATTTCGTCTTTGACAAGAATCCAGTCCGACGAATCGGACCCCCGACATTTTCTTGGGCGACCGACTTCGCCGTTCAGGCTTTGGGAGAACGTTTGGCCAGACGGGCCGTAACAGCAGAAGAAAAGTCCGAATCGAAGAAGGCTGACGGTAAGAAAGAGGCGAAGGACTTCCTTGATTGCTTCCTAGAAGCAAAGGTCACGCATCCGGACTTCGTCGATGACAATCAAGTTGTCAACTACCTGCTCATCAATCTCCTTGCTGGAAGTGACACGACGGCCATCTCCCTTGGTGCGATCATCTATTATACTCTGAAGAATCCTGGCGTCCATAAGAAACTGGTCGATGAACTTCACAACGCTACCCTGAGCTTTCCTGTCGCCTGGTCCGAGACGCTGTCGTTGCCTTATCTCAAGGCCGTCGTAAGGGAAACCCTCCGCATCCATTCGGGAGTCGGCCTGATGCTCGAACGTATCGTCCCGGCCACCGGATTAACATTACCAGACGGCCGATATATTCCAGGAGGCTCCGTTGTCGGCATGAATCCATGGGTGGTGCACCGCAGCGAAGAGTACTTTGGGCCCAATGTCGATGAATTTGTACCCGAAAGATGGCTTCCAATGGCAGGCGAGACTGAGGAGGAATTTAAAAAGCGTGAGACGAAGATGAAAGAAGCCGATCTCACGTTTGGTCACGGCACAAGAATTTGCATGGGCAAAAATCTCAGCAAACTTGAGGCGGATAAGGTCGTCGCCACGCTTTTCAAATATTATGACGTGAGTGCTTTCGTATTTCTCTTTCCAAACAGAAGAATTGGTCGGTTCCAACGTGTTTTCACTCTCGTCTAACATCCGCTGTCATAGCTCGCGCTGGTCGATCCAAATAAGCCATGGACCGTGAAAAACTCATGGTTCACGTACAACAAGAACATCAATATCACGATCGCCAAAAAAAAGAGTTGACATGCTATATTTTTCAACTAGTCTGCATGGGACTGAATGGAGGAAGGCCTTGTCGAATGGCAACGATTCTGCTTCTGGCGAAAAGGCCATATACAAGACGGAGATTATCTCCAAACCTCAATCTGCAAAATGCACAAATGCAAGCAATGGCGTTCACCCGCTGCGATCCCCTTCTGAGATAGTCACCAGTTTCCGGCTTTGTCAACCTCGCTACCACCAGGAAATTCAACGATTACCCTCGTCCTTGCCCCTGCCCCAAAATGGTGTCTCTTTATGTCCTCACTATTCTGATCCTCGGGATTTTCATACTCGTCCGTCATTTTGAACCCGACTTCCGTCATGCGGTCTTTGTTGGGTAGGGAAAGCATACTATAAAATGCATCGACTTGGGTCAATGGTTTTGTTAGGCGTTGCCCGACCTGGTAGATGATCTGGCCAGTAGATCTATTGCTCTGGGGCCATCTTCGAGGCCAGTATAGTCGCCATGCTTCGCCTCACTGTGAGTAGAAGCAATTTAATTCCCAATTTTACGGTCGTCTATCGACATGCTTGCTTTCTCCTGCAATATGTCTCGGCAATTCTTTTGTGCGGGTATCCTTGTTTCCATTTTCAACCCAGATCCTTGGCGGCTCCATCATGCCTTGATATTCAATTTCGTTGATGTGCTCCGTGCCTCCAACTATAATATTGGTCAGGGCCCGATCCCTAAAGCTAGTGGACTTCCTCATTGGTACGCTCTATCTTCATAAATCAGTCATTTATTAAGAGTGTACATATTTTCAGCGCAAGCAGGAGATGACTCACGTGCTCGTTGCCTGACTTTCTCCCCGGTTTGGCTGCCTATTACGCTTCCATATCGAGCTTTATCCTCACATTGGACGAGTTTGTTAGACAACTAGTCCGCGGCTAACTGAGTTTCAAGGCAAAGATGGATGACGGACGTCGACACTTTGTTATGCCTCCCCAAGGCTTTTTGCTGAGCGTGCTGCATGAGAAGGACGGAATTTTCGACAACTTTTTGTGCCACATTCTAACATTCCCTCCCTGAACCATGATCGCAGGTATGACTTTGCATGTGGGGTGGCGATTTTCCAGCAGGCTTCATGTATGCTCCGATGAAACGCTAAACCGAGCTGTTCGCATCAAGAAATGTCACTCCTAGTTGTCGTACCCACCAATTGCTCTCATGATGTTGCGAGCATGAACGGCACATTTACCCTAATGCAAACACATTATGCTACATTGCCCAGGGGGCTTTCATTCTCGGAGAAACTTCTCGATCAAGCATTGCTCGCACATATCAAAGATGGGCCTTTCCCATGCCATAGTGGAGTCAAATGTTCAAATTTCATTCATCCTAACTAGGGGGATTCGGTAAATGGACATTTATAGGTCTGAAGAAGAAGCACACTAAGGAAAGGAGGTAGTATCAACTGCAGTAGAGTAGAGATCACCAGGCTCAAGGACACCATCTCAGCACAGACAATTCAGAGGGAAGAGATGATTTAAGGTCGAGCATGCTTTTTTTCGGCCTCCAGTCATGTTGAGTCGGTGGCTGGGGGCATACTCGCACATATCCCCACGTTCCCACTCCCTTCGGCCAACTGCCTCTGCCCTTTCACTTCGGTTTTCGAAGAGAGGTGTCTCAAGCATGTCGTCTCTCCCGTGGATCTGACACACCCTGATATGTTTTGGTGGTATAACGGCGGAGGAGGTTCTCGACGGTGTGATAGTCCCGAAATGTGTCACATTCGAGGAGCTTGGAGAGGAACAGGGAAAGGCTGTTAAAGCAAAGAAGGTTTGGATCCTTCCCTCCTGTTAAAACGTGTCGTGGCCTGTTACGGGGTTTAGCGGCAGACTCCGTGCCTTCCAACAGAGATTGCCGTTTACCTTTTACTGATAGGTGTCCAGCGTCGTTTGGAAGGTTCCCAGTTCGAGGCTCCCTTGGCGCTCCCCAAACCAGACCATCGTCCCTCGAAGATATGTCGCTCGTGTAAAGTTGACCAAAAGTCAGGAGGACACTTGACGGGGCCCATTTCGGTATACCCGGGAAGAGCCACGGGATATGGATGGCCAAAGAGTAGAAAACAGGAGCCGACGGAGCTGTTCAGAGAGCCACCTGAGCCCGACCCTGATTTTGCGCCCATAAAGCGGCAAGGCGGTGTCCCGAAAGAGAAGCTCGTGGTCAGTCAAGTTTGGCCCATTTATAGGTAAAGAGCAGTGCCGGAACATGCGTTGTCGCCTACAGTCAACTTCGAGATACGAGGCATCTACTTGAATAAAGGCATTCAATTGGCCGTTGCCGGTCTCTTCGGCGCATCCTAACGGCAGGGGTCTTATTGGCTGATGGTAGTGGAATGGGCCGGGCCCCGGGAATGACATGCAGCTCTGGATCCCCCAGACATACGCTTGGGATTCAAATAGGCTCTGGTTGGCGATAAGCGCCATGGCTGCGAAAGGCCCAGGGGCCTAATTGCATACCTCTGGGCGGGTCGTTTAAGGCCCCCTCAAGTAGTCAACAGTCTTTAGTAACTATATACCGACAGGCGATCACCTCTTCTGTTCCTCATGAGCTAGGGAAAGTGAAGCATGCACTAAGACTATATTTCTTGATGGACTTGCGTTAGGTGACTAACCACGTGAACAGGGTGAGTGCCGCTGAAGAACTACATTGAACATTATAGACCATTGGTCATGGATCTTGAAGCAGGCAGTGGAGAGTCAGATCATGAATCGAAAAGCTACTGATGAAGCATGGCGTAAGCGCGTCTAGTGCATTGGTGCGGCTGCAGGGAGTGTGCCTGTAAAAAAGGCCACGATTGTCCAAGGCGGGGAAAGAGTTCACCTGTCTTCGACTCTTTCAGGCCACGACGTTAGTCCCCGCATCACGAACTGATGGAGCATCTGATATACCATCCATCCCCCCGAACCTTCCGGGCAGAGATCCGTGACGGAGCAAGTAGTCCACTTGAAGTTACGGACTGGACTCTCCGCGATAGGCTGTACGGCAGTTGCGCTGCTGTCAGCCCACGGATCCCATGGCTCGGACACGATCACTGTGGATCATCATATCTCCACAGCGTCGACTATAAGCCTATGCCCATTGACATCGCGTTTCGGGACGAATATGGCAGAGACTGGAATATCGAAGAAATGCTCGACCACCAGGACATCTATTGCGCTCATTCGTCGCTGAAAGAGCTGGATGTGCATGAGGCTGTGTATTCCACGGCCGCATTCATCCAGGCATGGCAATATTTCGGCCTGTTGGAAGCGATTTTCGCAACACCAATATATCATTCCTATCTGACCCGATTTAGTCCAGATGAGGATGGTAAAGAGTGGATTTACAGCCGAAATCTGGGAACACTCCTGGAATTGTGGAAGCGTAGGCTGGATGGAATCGAAGATGACTTTCGAGAAACGACGCTCCGACAAGCCAGAGACTGCGTAACAGTCGCGAGTACAATCTTGCATGACATAGTCACTCAACTTCCAACTTCTGCTGATTCGGAAAAAACAGAAGCCCTTTTTGAGCTTCGAAAGCTGATTGTTGAGATTGAACCTGCCCTGTCCGCGCTCCACGAAGCCATCGCCGGCTTTGTCGAAAGAGAACTGCGCATGGAAATTAAATCATTCAGCGGCTTCAGTGCAGATACAGCTCCATTCCCACGAAAGTATTCAGAACGACTCGTCGCAAAAGGCTGGTGCTCTTTCGTTATCGCCAGCGCCGAAATTGCCATGTCACCATCTCTCCTCCGATATGTGGATGCGGCTGACTTTGCGGCTCCTACCACCGGCCACAAGACATGCACAGCAGCACGATGTCAAAGAAATGACGTCGAGTTATCGACGTATAAACAAGAGCACGAAACTCCAGAATGCAATTGCCATTTCTTGAAGCCGTCCTTGAAAGACGTCTTTGACATCTTTAACGCCCATAAAATTCCCGTTGTCCAGTTCATTCAAGACGGCGGATCTCTTCGACTTGGAGCTGTGGACCCTCACGACTCGAAAGCAGATTATGTCGCATTCTCGCACGTCTGGGCCGATGGGCTGGGCAGCAGTACCGAACTCGGTCTTCCCGCTTGTCAAATCGCAAGACTTCATCAGCTCGCAAGCCAACGACTCACATACGATGCCTACTTCTGGATCGACGGCCTCTGTGTCCCCAGCAAAGAACCTTACCGTGGCAAAGCGATCGAGCTGATGAAAGCGACGTACGCAAATGCCACGGGGGTGATCGTAGTCGACAAAGGCATGCGCTCTCTCTCCGTATCGGCGCCGAGCCTAGAAATCGGCTGGACGGTCTTTGCCTCCGGCTGGTTTGGCCGTCTCTGGACATATCAAGAAGGCTTTCTTCCAGCCTGGGTCGACTTGGAGTTGAAGGATGGACTCTTCGACTTATACGGTCTGATTCAGGGCTTGTATCGACTCTACTATGACTCCAACGTTAGTCCGTTCCCCACCGTCTTTGTCCGTGATTTACTTGCCGTGCTGCAAAAGGCCCGCCCTCTAGATCGCCAGGCAAAACACCGCCCAAAAGTCAGGAAACTAGTGGATATCTTCAATGCGTTTACGCGACGGAGAACAAGCCGGCCGGACGACCAGCTTCTCGTCATGGGACTCTTGCTTGATGTGGATGTGAGGGATCTCATGGAGTTGAATGGTCAAGAGAGATGGATCCATTTCTATCTCAGCCTGAGAGAGATTCCGTGGACGGTGTTGTTCGATAAGCGGCCGAAAATAGAGTGCCGCCCATTCAGATGGGCGCCAGCCAGCTGGATCAGCCCCGGGCAAGATGTTTGGTTGCATTACGATGAGGGGCTTGGTATGATTTCGAAGGATGGACTGAGTGTGACGCTTACTGTGTTGTCGTTGGATGAAGCGCATGATACCAGTATGTCAGCACTTGTTCTAGAAGTCGGCCAGGCCCCGGATCAAACGAAAGCTCGGTATGAGTTGAGTCGTCCCGACCCAGGCAGCCGTGTGAGTTCTTCATCCAGAAGAATGGACACGTTTAATCTGGTTTTCATTCGCCATTTCGCACATGAATCGCCGCAGAAAAATCTCATGGAAAATAGTCGTTTACTCATGAGTGTTGGACTGGGATATTTCGATCACGCCACGGGTTCATCGCTTGTCGATAGCTATGATTTCTCGTCGCCATGGGAGGTTCGGTTCGTGATCGAGGAGGATGCAGATTTTCTCGAGGGTGTCGAGAGAGTAAGAGCAAAGTGGATGGCAAGAGAATTTTGCTTTACTTGAGAGGAGAGTTTTGATGACACTTATTCGAGAAAAGGACTGGCTGGTCTACGAAATACTGGGACATTTTATCTTGGGGGCCGGATACAGAATATTTCGACACGATCGAACTGCTTCTGCTATTTCATGACTATTGTAACACGTTCCTTTGCTTTGAATTGTTGGTATGAACTTGTGTCCTGCGTCATCTACGTCCAATTCGTGTCCGATGTTCTTGTACACATTGGAATCTGTCTCAATGTACAGACAGCACCAAGACAGCGACAATGTGGTTCCTGGCTCCCACGCAGATATCAAGGCCAATAGACAGCATTTCATCAAACCATTTCAATCCATTTGATACGCATTCAATCATACTGCCCCTCGAGCATCTTTCTGTGTATTAGCCATACTCTTCACTCGCCCCGATGACACCAGGTCTCTGATGAACGTGGTGTCATGATGCCCAGGATCTTCCGGACCAGGTCTTTCGCCGTACGCGACCTTATATCTGTCTCGCCACTGAGCCATCTCGTCCACCAAAAGAAGACGGCCGTCATCGCCGATCTTATTGAGATCTGGATGCACCAAGTGCGCTGCTGCCAAGTCGCAAGACCACTTAGCCTATCCATTGCGGCGATGGCCCTGGCGGTGAATTTCGTGACGAGTCATGCTATTCCTTCCGCCGTGTCGTTGCGCAGAGGGTTCGTTCTGTGTGCCGCCATTGAGCATGACGTCCTGGAACTCCGAGCCTACAGCGTCTACGCCGGTCAAGCCTATACTGCCTGCTATATATTTACACCTGGTCATCGAGAAGTTTGGAGGCGTCAGGATTGCCGAAGCTTTCCCGGTCGAAGTTGATGACTTGGTCAATGGTGTTATGGCAGACCCGGGACAACGGGTTGGTACAGCTACTGCATCCGAACCGGCTTCGGTGACGGTGAGATTGCTGGCAGATCGTAAAGCGAGGATCTGTGCACGGCAAGGACCACAAGCGGAAGTAGTATTGTCCATCCATGTCGTGGAGCCAGTAGCTGTATTCGGAATACCTCGAGAAATTCGCTCGCCATCTGCTTCCAGCCAAGTCACGTCATTTAGAGGAGTGGCATTGTCTGTGTTGAAGCCAGCGTAGCCGCCAAAGATCACTTTTCTCTCTTCTCAAGTCACCTGAAAGCCGACTGTCCGGAAAGAGACAATGCTTTGTTTCAAGTTCATCGGTGATAGGTCGACGGAATCATACCCCCAAAGGTCTTCTTCCTTATTGGTGTAGACGCTGTTGCCATCTAGAGCCGAAACGTCGTCAAACGTGGTGATGTATGGCACAAGATTTCGACCCAATTCACCCCATAGATTTGCCGTATCCATTTGATAGTCGCCGGGGTAGCCCTTGCCATTATTCGGTTCTTGTTTGGTGGCGACATGTTGAAGATCTGCAGCACTGATATTTCCTGATGAGCATCAGAAATATCTATTGGCAATTAACGGCACTTGGACATACTGTGCCATTGCTGAGGGACACAGAATCTTCTGAAACACCTATCGAATAGGCGAGGGCGACAAAAGCCGCCAAAAAGCTGAAGGCAATGAAAATGAGAAATCATGCTGCCGCTGCAACCTAAGATTTGCTCGGATACCATGTTTCCGGACGGTCGCCCGGAAACACAGTACTCGGAGTATAGCAGTAGCTCTTGCATCCGAGGGCCAGCTCGAAGTCGTTAAGTGTCCGATACCGGGGAGCAAGGAACCTCCATCGCGTCATATCTGTATATTGTTAGAATTGTGCTGCAAAGGCAAGACCGAGGAAAATAGAGAACCCGGTGATCATTCCGTTGCAGGCGTACTTTTGCGTTTGACCGAGACCTAAATTAAGAGTACAGAAGCCGTATATAGTGCCCGCGTGAATACCATAATGAAAGCAGTTGAGAACCACATGGTTTAGCACTCAAAGAAGATTCGGGGTGTCTGACGTCGACGATCAGAGTATCCGACCGTGTCGAAAGCGGTGGTGCTCCTCGAATGTGTGTCTCATGGAGTTTGTGTTCCCAAGGCGGTGGTGACAGACCGTCAGCTCTATTCAATAATCGGTAGATGGGTGTCCTGGAAACTTTCGGTTCGGTAGGAGCTTGGTTTCGGTTTCTATTGACTGTCAACCTGAGATTCATCGCTAGAATCGACACGAGTCCAAGGTTTATTGGCATCGCTCGTCATGTTTGCCAACGAGACATTGTGGATATTGTTGAAGTTGAAAGAGCCATCATGTAGCTCTCCTGGTTCGTTCCAGAATCAACAGAGAAATGAAAGAGTTCCTGGCGCACCACGGGTTTGAAGAGACTTGGCTACCTAAATGAGGCTTCGAGCACGCAAGATATTCTGTCCATGGATGCAGCTGATATAGTATCATAACAGCGAGCGAGTGCTGAATGCTAAAGGAGCAGCCAAATCAAGACAAACATGATGTGATAACGACGTCACAAGAGTGAGTCGAGTACTCCTTGGGAGGAATAACAGCTGACACGCGTGGATAATTCTGCCAGCTATGAATACGAGCCGCAAATCCGGAAGGATTCTTCGGTCTTCCATTTGGCTCTTCTCAGCGGCTTGGCCGGGTGCTCCAGTGCTTTCAATGTCCAGATGCGTCGACGAGTGCCTGAATTGTAATATGAATGGTGGTGATCGACGACAGAAAATTGCATCAGGGGCAACTGTCCCGGTTGCTGGATCCTTTCTCGTAACGCGAGAATCAACATTGGCGGGAGAAGCGAAACGCCGACTGTTTGAAGCCTAGATTTCCAAGGCGTGTCAAGCTGTCAGCCTTTTTAGCAACTATAGGTAGGAAGCCAGCAAAGTGTATGCATATCACAGTCAGCTGCAAGGGGAATAGAATCGAGTGCCAATGGCCCAGACCATGATCGACTGAGCATCTCGAAATGGGGTTCCAAGTAGTGTAGAATCTTCATTGCAGTCCCGTCTTCCATTATGCCTGAGGCGGCATATGGGGGACGCTGTATGAAGATAGCAAGGCCAATGATTGGCCTTTCTCCCCATCAAAGTCAACAGCTTTTTGTATAGAGAAAGCATACTGGCAGGATTGATTCGCTGGCAGTGGCTGCCATCGGTAGCAGGAGAACCAGTGCTCTTGGTATCATTATGTGTTGTACGAACGGGATGTCGAGGTCACTGGTTCGAATCCAGTAAGGGGCAAACCCCTGCCACTAGACCTCAACCTTTTTTTTTTTGGCTCATTTTACATATATTAGTGAACAGACAGATAGGAATCAGATTTTGAATATTTGTGCTTGAATAAGGTTGTCGAGATCTAAGTGGGTAAGAATTTGTGCGTTTGTGCCACCCCTTTTTCATTTTGGTAGGGCTGGTTTTCTTGGCCTTTCTTGCTCTGAAAGGTCTTCCGAGTGGAAACCTCTTCGTGCAGTGGTTTCGTAGGACACCCACCAAGCAGGCAGGCACGTTGAAGGTCATAGTACGATTGAGTCCTTGAAAATGTATATTTACGAGAGGATCACATATCAGATGAGGTGAGCGCTTTTCCCTCTCACGTAGTCACTTCCTCTTCTATCGCTTGTAGGAGTTATTCTTGTATTTTGAGGGGAGGGCTGGTGTGGTAGCCCATCGCAGATTTGAAAGAGATACCTGCTCCAAAGAGTTTCCGTGCGTGGAAACTATTAATATCCCTGCTGACGTCTTCACCACAGCAAATTTAGGATCGCAGCGCTCGACCACGGTACCTCAACTGTAACTATGCCACTCCGAGCAATCTGCAGTACTTCATTCCTGGTGACATTATTCAACATGACTGGTCGGCCTTTGTCGAGTTCGTAATTGTACGAAACCCCATCAAATGTGATCCCAGTGATGGCATTACTTCCATTCGCCATGAGCCGTTGCACGTTGATTCCCTTTATGGATGCGCCGTTGGCAGTGGGCAATTGGAAGCTGAATATCTCACGGGGCCGCGCTGCATCTGTGCCCATTGTGTAGTTGTATGCCCGCATCTGGATAATTGCAATCCTCTCTAGCCGTCCATTAACGTACGCCGCATAGGCGTTTTGGTAGATGCTCCCCAATTCCAGATCGCTGATGCTGACGTTCCCTTTCGTCACGTCACCCAGGAAAGTCGCAGCCATGATATTTCCGTAGTAAGGTGCTTTGGTACCCAATGTCTCATTGACTGTTTGAACGGGTTGCCACGAGGCGTATCTGTAATTGGTCCCTTGATGCATGTGAACCCGTCGAATGCCGGTCGCAGCACAGTAGAGGGAAAAATCCACTCCCCACAGCGCCGCACCAAAAGAGTTGGAGAGTCCAGGTGCACCTTCGTTGTACAAGCTGTTGGTCTCGCCCAAGATGTAGGGTAGGCCGGCTCCAGAGAGTAGATGTGACTCGTTTAGGTGTTTCGCAACAGACAGAACAGTCGAGGTGTGATTCATCAGCGTTCCTTGGAGAGTAACTCCGGGTTGAGTGGCGCCTCCAATATAGCTACATTTCGTCAACCGACATCCCCCAAAGAATCACATCACTCACTTGTGACTGTCGATAAAGCTGATATCGTGGTCTGCGTTGAGGCCCGCTGCCCACGTGGTGATGAGATCCAGGCTGTTGGCTGTCCCAGCAAAACCTGGTGCATAGAACTTGAACTTCCCTTGCTTCATGACATCCGGGCAGTTGGTCTGAATCAGCTGTTTCATGATGCGAGTCTTGGTGAGCCATTCTTCAACATAGTCCGTTTCGTTCCACCAACTCGGCCGGACTGGTCCTTGGGCGCTAGTTTTGAAGAGGTCGGGCTCATTGCCCAATTGCCAATAGGCCAGTTTGCCATTGCTTAAGGCCTTGCAAGCCAAGGGGACTGTACCGGCCAGTGTGTCATGTCCGACAGTACCATTCTTTCCAAGGTTGAAACCATGCACGTATGTGATATTCGGCCAAGTGGAGTATGAGTCAAAATACGAGGGACCGATCGAGATGGTGGTCGGATAATCTTTGGATCGATTGAAGTCGAAAGTTCCTATCAAGGCAGTCTTCTGGGAAGCATTGAAAGTTGCGTAGTCCCTATACTTTGTTGGCACTCCAATCCGGTCATCTGCTCAATTGGACCTACTGCGTGTTCCCCCCAACTCTGACGATGGGATTCGATCCTTGGATCTTGCCGAGATTGGTCAAGAGGTTATACGAGAAGTGGTTCGGATGGCTCGAGTTTCCTCAAAATAGTTTGTATTCACTCCTTCTAGACAGATATCTCTTGATGCTTACCGGCAAAATCGGGAAACGAGGAGAACTCGATGGAGAAAGAAACGAAGGATTCTAGGATAGGTTTACTCGCATTGGATGGAGGCGACGCAGATAGGGAAATGGCACATGTCGCTACTTTGAGCAAGCACAAACTTGCAGTGACAGAGGCGACGAACATGATGCCAGATGCCAGGGCGTGATACAGCTTCGAACGGAGAATTTTATTCTGGCTGTCATTCTTTTAACCTGTTGAAGTCTATGCACGGAGAGTTTCCCATAGAAACAAATGTTGTTTCCCGCACTCTGCCGGTGATGTTACTTTCGGCATATTGTAAGCCGGTTTTTCCTTCGATAGGCGACATTCGACGTTGCAATTGCGGGGAGAGCTTTTCAAGATCGACAAGGTGAAGTATGATCCAGGAATGGTAGTTGTCTTTTGTTGTTACTATATGATTTTGACTGACCAACTTCGTCGCCTCAACAACCTCTGGTGCTTCCATAGGAACCAAATACCCACACCCTTCCATCGTTCCCGGCTCTTCAAGAACGTCTGACCCCTCCCTCTTTTCCCTCTGCGTGTGTGTCTCTTTTTTCACTTTCTCAACGGTCTCCGCTCTGTCCTCCTCTGCTACCAGCATACGAATCCTAGAACCAGTCATCCTGCTTGTAATCTTCCTCACAGACTTGATATGAATCCGTCTTCGTCTTCCGACTTCCGCCCAACCCCTCTCACTCCGGAACTCATACTAACACAATTCCATACTTGCTTCTTAATAAGCCCATCTTCCGGCGCTTTGTGTGTGGGAACGTCCCGTGCCCATTCTGCACTCTCAAACAAATGGTACACTTTCAATTACTACGCACGTATTCTCGCGGGCAGCTCAAGCAACCCAACCGGCCTTCGCTTTTGCAAAACCGCCAAACTATCCACAACAAGAGCGGAAATCGAGTTTGGTAGAAGGTAGATCCGACATGGGAGCTCGCATAGATCCACTGCCGCAACCTGATATGGAGATGCAAATATTTGACGGACGCGCAGCGCGGAGCTGAAGAAGCACAGAGTCTACCGAATCAAAAGTCGATGCTAAACCCGGCCCAGGACGTAGGAATAGCACGGCAGGCGCACCGGAATCAAGTTCCAACGGTTTGAAATATCGGATACTCAGCAATGGTGGGCCTGGTTGAAGTTTGGCCCTCGCCTGACTGTGTCCGCTGCAAGGGCTGAGATGGGAGAGGGATGTCTTTAATGAAAGTTCATTCATTTCCACTGCTGTTCCCAAACGTGACTGTGTCGGTTAGCTTGAATGCATCCAATCCATATTTGCCAATGGCTTCGTGTGATGACAGCCTTGCGTAAGTTCGTCGATCCTACCTGACAGTGACTTGCATAGCCCTGGACCTAGAGCATCGACCGTCGAGCCCATTTCCCCGTTCTAGCCACATGAAATTGCATTGCTTCATCTACAGGACTTCAAAGTTCACACAAAAATGGGCAAGATGAGTGTACGGCAAATAATCTTGGACGGACGAGGCACAATGTGTTCTAGTTCTTAAATCTCCCAAGGTAGAAGTTGCGCTGGAATAGGCATGGTTCATTCTTTGGTCCACACGAATGCTATTAGGCGTTGGGATTATTCCCTTTGTGTAGAATCCCGAACACCATCGATCCACGTTGATTTTTCAGAAGATGATCTTGTCATACGCACGATGCTCTGCTGTTCTTCTTCCGAAAATAACCCCCCCCCCCCGGGACAGCTTGCTGAAATGCTGAGGAAAGCGCTTACTCCATCCAGCACACAGGTAACGATGGCTCAATAATTTTCCCTTCATAACATTTTGTCCGGCCTCCATTTAAAAAAAAAAAAAAAAAAAAGGAGAATTGAATCAAATGAAAAAAACTTGCCCTCCAGCCCACTCCGTCGCTCTAGTGCAAGTCTATCGCCTAAGCCCAGCGTGTTTCTTTTCCATCGTCAGGTGTCATAGCTCGTCGCAATAGTGAAGATGACAAACAAAGGACTTGCAAGTCACGTTCAAGTTTGATAAATTAAGCACTCGCTTGGATCATCCGCAAAGTGGTCATCTTCCAATCATTAGGCTCTGTGTGTAATTGTTCTTGGTTCGCTGCAGCCGACTCAGAATTTCCCCCCTCCGGGTTCTTTTTTGCTAATGGTGTCCGTTTTCAATGATGAAGAATTCGACGCCTCGGTGTTCAGCTCGGAGCCGGGGCTGAAGGAGCTTGAGCGGATGGTGGTACTGAAGGGGGCGGACCTGTGTTTGTTCCTGTAATATGGCTCGGAGGAATTGATTGGTGGGTTGGCTGCGGCGGTTGTGTTTGTGGTGATTTTTGTCGCTGATCTGCTGGGTCTTGAGCAGTGTGAGAAAACCGTTGAACGCCAGGAAGAATTCCATTCGCAGGACGATCGTAGCCTAAGTGACCGCAGAGTACAACATCAGCGTCGCCCATGGGTTGCCATCGGACATTCCTGAGTCTTGAGGCAATAGGTCTTCCTGTTGGATCAAACGTCGGGTCCGGTGATACCGCCACCCCGGCCTTGCCAAAGAAAGTTGGTGCAATTGTGAGAATGACTGAATCAATCATGTGGGAGTGTCGCCATTTTAGGAGCTCGGAGAGAACGATTCCACCTCCTTCAACCATGATGCTTTGGATTCCCTCTCGGTGGAGAACGTTGAAAATTCCTTCCCAATTTAAACCTCCGGCTTGAGGATGATAGTCATTGATCATGAGATATTCTCCACCGTGAGCCTTCAAAGTACTGACCGCCAAGGGATGCAGCATGGCACCGGGAGCTACCACAACCCATGGAGCCTTTGCACGACCTTCGGCGGCAATCTTGAGCACTTTCATTTCGGGTCGAATGTGAAGTCGTGCGTGGGGGTCAATGATAATGGGTCGTGGTTGATATTCCCGGGACAGTGCGCCATAGCCAGCGGGATTGGCAAGCCTGCAATTCAAAGCTGGATCATCCGCTATCGCGGTTTGTACGCCAACGAGAACGGCATCATGTCGACTTCGTAGATAGTGTGTCATTGCTTTGGTCTCCGGGCCGGAAATGACGGTGGGCATACCTGGTACCAGGCTGATCCTGCTGTCAAGACTGCTTGCCCATGTCAGGGTGACATGGGGACGGTTCCGGACGGGGCCCAGTTTGGGATCGGGAATGTATGGGTCCAGGAATCCTCGAGCATGTTCAGGGTACTGCAGCGTGTCGAGTGGTATGGGATGCTGCTCGGGTCTCGTTCCATCCGGTCTGGAAGGATCTAATCGTCCAAAGATGCCAGGCTGCATGGGAGGCTGGTAGGGCTTTGGTGGAGTCGGTGGTCGTTGTCGGGGCGCACGGGTCTGGTTGAAGCCTGTGTGCGCTTTCAATACCGTTTGTTGATTCTCTTGTCGCCAGGCATATTGAACGTTTCGAACATCGGAGACCTTCATGAATTTTCCCCCTGCGGCATGCATCTTTTCCGGCTCCTCCCACATCTTCCAAAATATTGAAGCCGGCAAGAATCCTTTGGTGGCCTCTCGCCGAGCCGTGTCCATGATACCCGAATTGCGTTTTGTGGAGTCAATGTAGTCCAGATCGTGAGAATGTTTCTGGAAACTATCCACCGCTTTTGATAAGATACAACTTGGGGCCGGCCCAGAGCTGTAGACCACCTTCATGGTCATGCCACATGTCTTATCATCTCTCACTCTCTTTTTCCTGGATTGTTTGCCCTCGGGAGTGGGTCGCGGCACATGGGGTTTCTGGTTTGCGCCTCTTCGTAGTCGGCAGGCGTAATACTCCGTTCTCACACTACCCTCTGGTTGCGTCTCCGCCGATCTCATCTTGCGCCAAATATTGTCGACAAAGGGGAAATAAGTTTCAAAGTCGGCGACAGAGAGCTCAATCGGCTCGGTCATTTCGAAGATTCTCCGGCGCATCTCCCCGAGGTCGGATGGATTCGAGAAGACACTGTAATCTGTGGTTTCGTCGGACACCGCATATGGTTTTCCATTTTGGAGTGTACGTTCCGCACTGCCCTCGGCTTCATGTGGTATTGTGGTATCATTGGCAGTTTCATCTTCAGCGTCACTCTCAAGCTGATCATCTCCTTGTTGCGCCAATCCGTCACGAACGTCGGGCGTATCCGGTTCACTACTCATGGCGATTGGGATGGGCAAGGAATGCAAGATTTAGTGAAGGATGATGGAGGCTAGAGATTCTATAGTATGCGACGGGAGGGATGATCGGACGGGCGAAATTTTCTGGTGAGGACGCGTTGTCATTCGAAGGGCGCTGAATGATGATAAGATTGAGGGAGATATTGAGGTCAAGCTGAGAGACGAAAGTCCATACTGTTGCATGTATCAATCTTTTACATGGGCCGTGGTGGCGGTTCGGAGTTGGCAAGCCCGCATTGGTGTTGAGTAAGAAAGCTGATCTACACGGAAATCGCGACGGAAAGTCTGATCGGCGGCTTCGCGCTCCACACGCCAAGTTTTTCTAATGCAAGGGACAACGAGCACCTAGAAGCATGCTAGCTGAATAGGCCAGGGAATGGCTTTCAATTGTATTTTCATCGAGTATTCACCAAGTCCTCGGCAGGCATTCAGGCCAAAACAAGAAGTCCAAGGATGCCTAAGCTGCATGGTGGACCGTATCGTAACGCAACTATTTGGCGTTTCTTTTCCGATCTAACCCTTTCGCTCTAATTAGACAATAAAGATCTTCACCTCTGGGATCGTGGAAAATCCTCGGACAGGGCCGACCAACAAATATCCATTCCGAGTAGACTTCCAAATCGTACTCTGGCCGATACCGGCCTATCGGAATATAAGCGTCCTTAAGTGCAATTTGCATCTGTTCCAGAAACCTGATATTTGTCACGGAGGGTTGGAGTATTTATTTGGCAGGGAAATTCCGAATAGCTGGCTGGAGCTTGTCTCTCTTATTCATCTCCGGCCACCGTATCTTCCTCTGCTTCTGGATCGGCTTCTCGTCCTGCTTCTGCTGCGACTATAACTGCTCCGAGAACTGTAGCTAGGACTTCGTCTCCTTCTCCGCGGTGGACTTCGACCTGGTGGCCCCCGTCTCCTAGGTGGTGTTCTAGAGGGTGATCTTGAGTAGGAGATGGACCTCCAGCGCCGTCTCGGCGGCGAAGGGGACCTTGAGTATGTCGAGCGCGGAATGTACGTATTATCTTCGCCCCCACCTCGTCTGCCTCCGCCATAACCACCTCTTCTAGGTGGTGGACTTCGGTATCTCCCGGGGGGCGGACCTCTTGGTGGGGGCCCATAGCGAGGAGGTGGTGGTCCCGGTCTCGTAGATCTGGCTGGTGGAGGCGAGCGCGAAAACGCGCGACGAGGTAGAACAATGCTGACTGAAATGACGACGCCGTCTAGCTGCGCCTCGTGCATGTGGGCAATGGCAGATTCAGAGGCGGACGGATGGTCGTAGAGGATGTATGCCGTGCCACGATTTGTCATGACTGTTCAACATGAGACCGGGTTCCCATCATTCAAGGTCATACATACATTGCTTGTTCAAGGGAAGGTCAATAGATTCAATGCGCCCATACGACCCAAAGATCTCTCGCAAATGGGCTTCCGTCACATTTTTCGTAAGCTTTTCGACCACAATCTTGGAGCTCTGTGTCCATCTGCTCTCTCTGCTAAGGCTGCGAGTGTAACTCCGCTCTCGGTATGACCTTCTATCCCCACGACTCGGACTTCTGCTGCGCGTTGTGCTTCGACTGTAACTTCGACCTCGTCCATGACCGTTGCGCACATCCCGATGAGGAGGTGATCTGGAGTATGATCTGGAGCGAGGTCTTGGTGAAGGAGATCGACGGGGAGAACGAGGACGATTAAAGGGCGGCGATGGTGCTCGTTGTATAGAAGTGGGAGTGTTGGAGCGAGTAGTTGACCGGCCTCGTGATGGGGATCGCGAAGGCATTTCGGCAGATTAGTCGTGAAATAGGCTTAAGGGGGATTCTCATGTCATAGTACGAGGTAAGCCTTCAGCGTGGTTTGAGGATTGTGATGGCGCAGCTCAACGAAGGGTTTGTTTGTTGCTTGTTGCAGGATGTACGACTTTTATTCTTCCTCTGAAATTTTGATGCGGAATCGCATCAATGCGACTAGATGATGAGATACGGTGGAGTAGAATCTGCGTATTATCACCACATGCTCCTATCGAGGCACAATACGCCACGTCCATCACGCTTCAAACCACACTTCCAGCCCAGAAACTAAATCTTTTATTTGAATCGAGCATTTTCGGGCTGGTTTAGCTGCGTCTGGACGCACTCTTTCTTCTATAATACTCACAGTCCTTACGCCAGCCGCTTCCATGACCGCCATTTTGGCGTGCGAATCGCTCAGTCCAAAACCTGTTGTCAATACGGGAATCCGGTGGAAGATCAACCTCCACCTTTTCTCCCCTTCGCCTCTCTCCATATGACGCCGATATCCTCTTGGCTCATTTTCTGGTAAGATCTGTGGCACATTCTATTTCAACGATGTGGCGGCAGATTCGCATCTAGAGACCTCGAGAAGACTTCTTCGAGCCTCTCAAGGAGTCTGAACTATCGCTCATAATACCACTTAGTACAACTCGGAATGAACCTGAAATTTATTCATTGGCTGTCAAGGGTATCGTGGAGGATGATATCACGTGGAAAGGTTCTAATCTCTGTTCTTTCCTGCAGTTTTGTCTGAACCAGTAATGCTGCTGTTGCTTACCCGAAGTTTATGCAAGTCTAACTAGACCTTTTCTCTCCCTGAACTTGGATCCGTTCACAGAGGCGGCGCTCTCCGCAACTTGTTCGAAGATGGTGAGAAAGGTCAAATGAGATGTCGAGATTGACTGTACTGTGAGCTTGAATGTTCTCAGCCCCAACTCGGGTGATTCGATCGCAGCAATTACGGAGATATTTACCATCCTGCAATTTGCAAAGACCTCTTCCGATTCCTCCCACAAAGCGGCTCCTCCTAGGCCAGGCTCCGCAAAGACTACAATTTAATTCACATGTCAACGATGGCGGTAAATCTGCTTGGGTTTCCTCATAACATTGTGTACAGCAATCACGCACTGAACAAAAGTGCATTGGTGACTAGTTGCATCGGGTTATCTCGCAAACAGGAATCTCTTTGGATGGAAATCAGTTTTAAGAGGCCTGTGGTCGTGCCTGAACAATTGGCGATGAGAGTTTCAGAATTATCAAGCGATGGGAATCAATCGTTTTTCCCACTCATTTCAGAATATGAACACCAAAGCTTGCGTCGAAGAAGAGAAGCGGCCAGCCCCAGCACGCACCTCTTGCTGACTAAGCTGTATTGTCAATATTCCGACTTTGTAAGCAGCATAGGAACAAGAACCACAAAACACGAAGTCAGCGCACCAAAAATCGCAATGTAGCGCTCGGGTATTATAAACGAACCACGAGGGCATCAATATCATCACAGCAATGCTAGGGGCTGCTGCAAAATCAGCCGGACATCGGCGGGTTGGATGGTCTCTGCAGAGCGTTGTGCCTGAACCCGATCTGGTAATGGCTGAAACGGTCCAATCTATGGGTCGGCAAATCGGCAGCCAGGGGCTGGAGCTCCCAAACTTTTCAACAATTTTTGGTGGTTTTTTTTTTTTTTTTCCCGGGCACATGTGCGTCTCTATCTCATCGCGCGACGTGGGCGAATTGAGTGGGGGGTTCTTCGCACACTGTGGGAAAAGACGACCAAGAAAACCATATTGAGCGACGACTATCGCTGCCTTCCATCCATTTCCTTTGTTTTTCTCCGTTCGACCCGCCAGCACGCGTCTCCCGCCCACACGGCGTCCTGAAAATGTCATTTATTCTTGCCTATCGAAAACCGAAAGCGAAATTAGCACGTGCGCCTAGCAACGCGACAAATAAGGAAGAAAGGAGAAAGTTCAGATCAAAGCAAAAACAGCTCCTATGTTTCGAGGATCTTCCTGAATGGTATCAGGACAATCACTTCACCCGATCGGGATATCGGCCTGTGTCAAATTCATGGATCAGCTGCGCACACTCGCTCGGACATCTTCACAATGAGACCGTGAACATCTACACCCATCTTATACCAGCGATCTGCCTCATATTCGGCCAGGCGGTGATCTATCATGGTACCAACTATATGTACCCTGAGGCTTCACTGTTGGATCACATGGTTTTCAGCTGCAATGTGGGGGCCGCGGTGGTCACGATGGGACTTTCTTCTGCATATCATACCCTCATGAATCACTCCATGGACATCTCAAATCTAATGCTGAGGATAGACTACGTTGGCATTCTCACACTCATTCTTGGGAGTTTCTTTTCTGGAATCTACGTAGGCTTCTACTGCGAGCCTGTACTGCGGTGGCTCTATTGGTCCATGATCATCAGTTTAAGCGTCATTACATCCACACTCGTTTTGCATCCACAATTACAGGGGTTGAAATACCGGAATCATCGCACGTGGACTTTTATCTGCACGGCTCTCTCGGGGTTTGCCCCCATTATTCACGGACTCTGTCTCTATGGCTGGAATGAAATGTGGGTTCGTTCTGGAATGCCTTACTATCTCCTTGAAGGTCTCGTATACGGTGTGGGCGCATTTTTCTTCGTTACCCGCATACCAGAGTCGATATGGCCAGGTCATTTCGACATTTGGTTCTCGTCGCATCAATTATTCCACGTCCTAGTTGTAATGGCGAGTCTCGTTCATCTTTACGGAGTTTGGATGGCCTTCGATTGGAATTACGAGCACCAAAGAGTCTGCCCTACAATTGATTTATAACGGAAAGCAATTATATTGAAAGAATCAAGGCAGATCGAGGCTCAATCCGAGGCCGATCACTTCATCGTTTGCAACTATGTACTAAGGCAGTCGAGAAGTACAACGTCTTCAGTACTCTTCTTTATCCATCCGGGCTCTCTATCCCCAATAGGAGATTCTAATTAAACCGTGAACTTTTTCAAATTATCGGCAGCCGAATCCTTTGCAATTTTTGCCGCTTCTTCTTCTCCGATTTCATCAAAGATGTCATGGCCCCATCTCCCGGGAAAGTTGAATCTCTTGTGCCTCTCTAGGGCATTTAATCTTTTCATGGCGTCTTCTGGGAGGACGGCGTCCTGAAAGTTTCCTACGATTCTCTTCTCTGTTACACTCTTTGGCAGGGCAACGGTTCCTCGCTGGACTGCCCAGCTGACGAGAACTTGACCTGGGTCCATGCCTAAAGACTTTGCAACGGCATGGACTTCTGGATCATCTACTGTTTTGGGTTCCCCAGTCGTGTTGTTTCCCAGAGGACTATATGCTTCGATCAGAATTCCCCGTTCTCTGCAGTAGTCAAATAGTTCGTGCTGTTGGAGGTATGGATGTGCTTCGACTTGATTGACGGCGGGAACGACATCGCAACTGGCAAGCAGCTGCTTCAGTCGACGAATGTTGAAGTTGGATACACCAATCGCCTTGGTCTTCCCAGTTTGGAGCAATGCTTCCATTGCCTTCCATGTCTCGATGAAGTGGACTCCTGCCAGTTTAAACACACCGTTATCGTCCAAAGGAAACCAACGGTCGCCAGATGCAAATGCGACAGGCCAGTGCATGAGATAAAGATCAACATAGTCGACACCAAGATCCTTCAAGGATTTGTCCAATGCAGCCTCGACATCTCTTGGCTCATGTTTGGTGTTCCACAACTTGGTGGTAATGAAGATATCCTTCCGGTCCACGCCGCTCTTTTGAATGCCCAACCCAACTTCTGTTTCGTTTCTGTATATCGCCGCGCAGTCCAAATGTCTGTAGCCTGCCTTAAGAGCGATCTCGACGGCGACCTCAACTTCGTGTGGCGCTGCTTGCCAAGTACCAAACCCAACCGCGGGGATCTTAGCCCCAGTGTTCAATGTGAAGCTTCGGTTCAACGCCATTTCCTCGTCTGTGCATTCAGGCTGAGTAGAGCAGAAGAGGAGATATATATGCAACTGGAAATTGGTTCGCTTATTTATAGCGCGCCGATTTTCCCTGGCACGCCGATGCCTCATGGCGAGCGTTAATCGGTGATATCGGTTATTGACCCGGAGGGGCCTTCCGTGCTCTTCTAGGACGTACGGTAAAAGAGGCGATGTGAAGGGACACCGCTTGCCGTTGTATTTCCGCAGCCGACGGAGAAGCTCCTTTTGCTCCGCGAGCCGAAGAGGGGCCGCTGCCACCATTTTCCCCGCTAGCAGAACCTTTTTCTTCGCTTCCGAACTTCTTCAGTCTTTTTCTATTCACGTTCCTTCGGAGCCTTGTTGATCCTCAGAGGTGACTCAAGCTGCCAAAAAACATGGGCCCATTCTACGCGGTGTCTCCGTCGGATAACGACGTTCTCCCATCAAGTCCACCAAAGAAGCGCAGGCTCAAGCATCCTCGCACCGCTCGAGCTTGCATATTTTGCCGAAGGTACGTTGTGGAGGAAGCTTTCCTGTGCAGGTTTGATCACTGATTTGCGAAGTCTGCTCTTGGCCCATTGGCATTCTCATTGTCTTAGCTAATATGCTCAATGTAGACGCAAGGTGCGATGCACAGGCACCCAGCCTTGCGACTACTGTCATGGCGAGGGCGTTCGGTGTGAGTACGATGATGGTATTCCGAGGCCTCGGCCGGCTAGGGGCTCGGAGAAACCAAAGGCTTCTTCTCCAGTCGCACGAGATGTTCAATCAAACCTCCTGTCTCCGGCACCGGTTCCTCAAAGGGAAAATCGCAATCTTGCAAGCTCAACGAGACAAGCTCTCAGCCGGCCGGATATCACGACAAAAGACTACACGCCTCACGGCTCTCGACGTCCTTCTCTGGAGCCTCCCCAAACATTTGCTGGAGGTCAACATATTGGTCCAACGGCTGGAGTGTCTTTTCTTTACCATGTTTGGAATCAAAACGACATCAACGAAGGGGAATCTTTACCATCCGCACCGCTAACTTGCTACGGGGACATTCCACAGACACCTATGCGTCAAGAGCAACCTTTTCCTACTCGGGAGGGCGCCAATTCACTGTTGGAGCGATACTTCAGATTCGCGACACCTACATATCGGTTTCTGCATCGGCCAACGCTGGAGAAGTGGATGTCTGAATTGCTTGCCGGCTCTCGTTTACCAATGGCCGAGGCAGCCTGTGCTCTGATCGTATGTTCGCAGTCACTCCTCTATACCACAGACGGCGAGAGGTATAGTGATGGTGGAGATGAAGATCTCAGTCGAAGCCGATTCTGTAAGCACCACACAAGGTCCAGAGACGGAGGCAAAGGGCAAGATTGTGCGCGGGCTATTTAAATGCTAACATTATGATTCGCAGACTTTGAGAAGGCCAAATCACTGCTCAACCAAGAGCCAGGTCCGGCTTCGCTTGCCAGTGTGCAGGCTCGGCTGGCCATGTGCCTATATCTTCTGAGCACCTTTCGCATCAACGAATGCCGGTTTTGCTTCAGCTTAGCTTGTACCATTTTGACTTCTATCGGTCTTCACAGAAAGACCCCTATGGCCCACAAGCTTGATCTTGTCACACTCGAATCGCGAAAGCGTACCTTTTGGTGCGCGTATGTTTTGGATGACTATCTGAGTGTCATGCTAGGGCGGCCTCGAATTCTCCGTGATGAAGATATCGACCAGTCTTACCCCCGAAATATTGACGATCACGACCTGTTGTCGTCCGAATCTCTGGAGGATCTACCTCAGCACGGCAACCTTGAAGCGTTCATCGCTCACGCAGACTTGGCCAAATTAATGGGACGCAATAATGATCTACTCTATCCGATTCAGCCTCTGACAGAAGATCAAGTATTCGAGCGAACCAATGAAATGCTCGAGTTGCTATATAAATGGAAAGATGCCCTGCCCGATTTTCTCAAGCCCCGGGATAAGACCCTTGTCGGCCAACGAACATTCGAACGCCAAAACACCGTGCTGAAGCTTGCATATGCCCACATACGTATCCTTGTTACCCGGCGGTGTTTACTGGCGGATTTGAGTCGACTTGGGCGTAACGCGCCGTTGACCAGAGATGATCGAGCTTTAAAGCCAATACGAGAGTGTGCAAGTGCAATCAGCACCATCCTCAATGCAACATATGAATTGATTGAACGCGGTGCCCTATATCAAGCATTTTGGTTCACTCAATACATAGCCCTTGTTGCCATTTCCACACTATACGTCTTCATAATTCAAGACGCCCGTTCGACCATTCCGGCTGATCTCGTTCCGGATCTTGAAATGTTCTTTGATAAGGCCAATCATTGTCAGCAGTGCTTGACAACATTGGCCCCCGAAGGCAGTCAGGCGCGGCGACACTATACCCTCCTCAGTCGCCTTCGGCTACGTGCCGAGAAAGATAGGGCACGGACTAAGAAGCATAAGCAGATCGGATCTGTTGTCGAACACATGCCGCCTTCTACCGCTATCCATGATGTTTCATCCGCGGCCCCCTTAACGATAGAACCGGCCGAAGATGTCGACCCTACAGTTCATACTGTGGCCCGTTCACAGGAACTCACCGGGAATAACACGAACGCGAATGGATCTCCATCAAATGAGATGGACGTGATCATCGGACAATTTACTCTTTCTGAGGATGATTACATATTTCAAAACTTGCTTGGCTGGGGTTGGGAAAGTCTGGACACTGTAGGATTCCCTAGGGATGGCGACCTTTATAATCTCCAAGCATAGGCATGTTCACGCTTTCGTATTGCATTTCAACAGCCAATCTATTTAATTTTACCCCCCCCAAAAAAGGCGATAACCATGACCTCGTACGGCGATACTACGGGGCTGCTGAAAAGATTGCGTCTCTCAGAAGTCTGCGACCCAGCTTGCGGCAATTCCATCAAACTCCCTGCGCGAAGGGAGTATCCTCATGGTTTATTCGAATATACCGATCGGAGATATCCGGAACGTTCTCTCCGAGAACTAGATACTTACCACACCATCAACTGCTGGTTCATCGTCGCAAACATCCATGCAGCTTCCATTTCAGCCACACAGGGTTTTTGACGAAACGACAACGTGAGCCTGAAAACCTTCTGCACGGCCTCCCATTTCGTCGACCGTCTGACTCAGAGGGATCAGACAGAATCTGATTGCAACTACAGTAGATCCACAAAGAAAGGCCACGACAAGTCAGAAATGATCCACCCACGTAACGTTGGAGCTTGCCACACTCTGGAAGTGGATATGAACTGTAGGAGTGGGTCATTCTACCGCTCATAAGGATAACGATGGCCAAGGAGGCAGCTCTCTTTGCCTTAGGGCGCGGGATAGATGGTGATACCCAGGCATAGTTGACATTTGTACAAACTGACTGGCGTTAGCTTATGCTTTGGCTGCAGCGCGATCAATGGTTCCACTCACGCATGGACACCACAAAGTGTCAGGAGGATTATACCTCAAACTGAAGCCCAGCGTCGGCATTGCCATGGTATTGCCGATAAAAGACGAGATAAGAGGAATACCATTGATATGTGCAGAGGAGAATGCCACCACGAGAGCCAAGAAATGCTACAGCGTATGGCGGCGCTGATAGCAACAGGGTGGCGGTGTTTAATTCCCCAAGGTCTTCATACCACTAGGGAGGAAATAAATGATGGATTGTCCCGTAGTGATCTCCAAATGGTTAGCAGGAGGCTCATATTCCGCCAAAAACCTCGAGGGACCTAGAGCATCATTTGAATGAATGTGAAGCGATACTGTAAGTCAACGAATCACGCAGAGCCTAGCTAACATCTATCCCACCAGACGCCCGAAAACCAGGGAGCCGTGCACGGATATTCTGGAAATAATGGAATGGCATACAGGCCTACCATGATGGTTCCTGCACCCGCAATGATGAATAGCCATTGCCAATTTTCGTACCATACGGTGTTTTCCATTCAGCCGATGATACCCGCTGTAATCAAACGTCCGAAGCAAGAGGACACATATTAGACAAAGCCTGACACTTGATGGCGACAGCCACCATACATGAACGAAATGCGCTTACCCAGTTCTCTGCTTTTTGCACCTGCAAGAAAACAAAGATATGAGACCCGGGAGGAACGCCCCTTCGACAATCCCGATAAAGAACCTCACTACTATTACTGATTGGAAGTTGTGCAAGAACCCTTGTGACATCGAGACCAAACTCCAAACACACGTCACCAGCGAAGATATAAAGACGGTCCCACCAGGGGTGGGATTCTCCACCGTGAAGACAGATGGTGATATTGTGGAATACATTTTGCAGAGAGTCGAGTCGATATGTTCGATACTCTCGGAAGACACCAATCCTCGAGGATGTGAGAAGGACGACTTGCCGCTGATTCCCAGACAAAGGCTGGGTGAAACATGCATCTTTACACTTCCAACGCTCCCAGAACTTCGAACATCCAACTACCTAGGCCAAGAACGGTCAAGATGCAGCTTCGGCGACAATGGATAGGGCCCAAAGATACCAAGTCATTTGCGCAATGCCGCATGAAAGTTTCCGGGCCGTGAAGTATATAGATCTCTCCGTCGGCCTGAATTTGACGGGCCCAAAGCCTTCCCATTGCTATCCGTCGGCTCTCGGGATGAGATCTGGCTTTGTTCGCTCCCAAAAAAAATCTCCCTCTCGCCGGAAGGTTTGCCATTTCAAGGACGTTCGGGGAAACCGGAGAAAGCCAACGAGCATTTTGACTTCTGATTCGAGGAAATTGTAAGAGGGATGAGCTGTAGTCCGGGGAACCGATTTCACCGGAGTCGCGACATGCGAGCCGACGGGAAGTTTTCCTGGGTTCTATCAAAGGACGAAGCTGCCCTGCTCAAGAGACCTTGCGTACAGGAAGACTTATATCTCCCTTGAGAACTCCTTCTGTCTTAATAAATGCAGATTGCAAATGTCAATTACTTCTAGTATCGCCGAGTCAATCTATATATTTGGTCTTGGAAGCCTTTGTTGAGTCCTCTACACCACCAGCAAGGACCATACTACCAAACAAGCAACGTACATCATGACGTTCTCAAAAGTGATCTCCCCGACCCCTATCTCCAAGGTCACGTCTATCGCGTCGACTACATTACAACTACGTACGCCACCGCTGTCGCCACCAATACCAAAGCCACGGACCATTTCGGAGCTGATGTCGTTAAGTGCCAGAGAACTTCCTAACGAGCCGATCCTAGGATATCCGTCTCATGAACTTGATTATGTCGAATATACATTTTCAGACCTGGAATTGTTTTCTTCCCGAGCAGCGCGAATATATTCCCAGAAAATTCCTGTTCGGACTGTATCAGAGCAGGATGCACGCGTTGTGGCACTGCTGGGTCCGTCCAACCTTGACTATGTCATTACTACTCTGGCCTTGACGAGGCTGGGATTTACTGTTCTCTTCTTGTCTACCAGAATATCTGAAGCAGCGTATCTGTCATTATTAGACTCCACGAGATGTCGGCATATTGTAGTTCATCCATCGTATCATAAAGCCACTTCATCTTTGCAGTCATCTTTACCGGATTTGACCGTCATCGACATCAGCAACAAGGAAGAGTACATCATTGAGCAGGCGGGACCAGAAGAGCTTGGACTGGAGCAACATCTTGACCTGGACAAGGAGACGACGAAAATATGCTGGATCATTCATTCTTCCGGCTCTACGGGTCCTCCCAAACCAATCTACCAAACTCACCAGGCCGCACTCCGAAACTATGAGCAGAATATGAACATGCGCGGCTTCATCACACTGCCACTCTTCCATGCTCACGGCCTTAGTAGCGTCTTCCGCGCAATCACATCGGTGAAGAAGATCTACATGTACAATGCCAGCTTACCCCTCACGCGCCAGAACTTGCTGGGAATAATGGGACAACACCAGTTCGAGATATTCTACGGGGTGCCATACGCACTCAAGCTCTTGAGCGAGACCCCAGATGGGATCGCTGCTCTGGCGGCCATGAAAGTCGTCATGTTTGGAGGATCAGCTTGTCCAGACGCTTTGGGAGACCTGTTGACTGATGGCGGTGTCAATTTGATTAGCCATTATGGGACAACGGAAACGGGTCAGCTCATGACCTCGTTCCGGCCCTCGGGAGACAAGGCGTGGAATTATGTCCGAGTTCATGAGAAATTGGAATCGTATATTCGGTGGGAAGAGAGAGGTGGCAATCTATTTGAGCTAGTTGTGTTGAATGGGTGGCCATCGAAAGTCGCGACGAATCGAGATGATGGCTCGTACGCCACCAAAGATCTATTCGAGCCACATCCATCTATCAAAGGAGCGTGGAAATATAGTGGTCGGTTGGATGATACAATTGTGCTGATGAACGGAGAAAAGGTCATACCCATCGCCATGGAACAGTCGCTTCGTCAGAACAAGCTTGTTCAAGAAGCGGTCATGTTTGGAACCGGGAAGAGTCAGGTAGGAATGATAATCATCTCTTCTGACCTGGCCGCACATCTGGAGACACATGAATTCATCGAGGCAATTTGGCCAACGATCGCGGCGGAGAACAAGATTCTGCCTGCCTATGCGCAGCTCGCAAGGGACATGATCAGGGTATTGCCGCCTGCCACAGAATATCCATCAACGGACAAAGGTACCATGATCCGACAAGCAGTCTACCGCAGATTCCAGCAGGATATTGACGAAGTGTACCGACAAGCAGAGTCGAAATCAGCCGGTACTCTTGTGCTCTCCGAACAGGAACTGCAAGATTTCCTCCGAAAACAAATTCGGGAACTTGCGCCAAAGGAAGACGCGGCAAACGTCACAGATACCACTGACTTGTTCTCGCTGGGGATAGACTCTCTGCAATCGACGAGACTGCGTGCGAGGATTATGAAGGAGATCCAGTTGAATGGTAACTCTTTGCCACAGAACGTGGTCTTTGAATATCCGACCATCGCGAAGTTAGCGGCGGCCATCCTCGGCATCCGTGACAGTAAGGCCGTGGACACGGGAGATGTGATCCAGGAAATGGAAGACCTGGTTGCCAAATACAGTGTCTTTCCTCGACATATTCCTGTCCCAAGGGCCTCAACGGAGACATGCATCATCGTCACCGGTGCCACAGGGTCCCTCGGCGCGCACCTCGTTGCACAGCTGGTCCAAAGAGATGATATTTCAGAAGTGTGCTGTCTCGTTCGAGCCAGCTCGGAAGCCGCCGCTCGACAACGCGTTATCAAATCAATGCAAGACCGAGCGGTCTACCATACTTTATCCCTTGGATTACGCCGCAAGATATCCTGTTATCCCGCCAATTTTTCGAAGCCAAAACTGGGCCTCGATGACAAGCTCTATGACAGCCTATCAATGAAAATCATTTCTCTCGTGCACTGTGCTTGGTCCGTCAACTTCAACAAGAGCCTTGCCAGCTTCGAGGCAGACTGTATCGCAGGCATGCGGAATCTGATGCTCCTCTGTCTATCTGCCCGGCAACCCACTCCCGCCTCGTTCAATTTCTGTTCCTCAGTGAGCGCTGTCGCCAGCACTCCAGACGATCTTGTCGAAGAAGCATTACCCGAAAGCTTCAAATGCGCTCAAGGTATGGGCTATGCCCGATCAAAGCTTGTGAGCGAGCATTTAGTCACTCGAGCAGCCACTGAGACAGGAATGTCAGCGCGAGTCCTTCGCATCGGGCAGATCATCGCAGATACCAAGCATGGGATCTGGAACGACACAGAAGCCATTCCCCTGATGCTGCAAACCGCCACGACAATTGGAGCGCTCCCTGCTCTCGACGAATTGCACCGTTGGCTACCCGTCGATACTGTCGCAACTGCAGTGATGGACATTTCGCTGTGCTTTACATCACAGCGGGTGTTTAATATTGTCAACCCACGCACTTTCCACTGGACAAACGATCTGCTCCCCGCTTTGCGCGCAGCGGGTCTCTCGTTCGTCGAAGTCAGCCAGAGAGAATGGATTCGTCGGCTCCGTGTCTCCAATCCAGACCCCGAAACTAATCCCACGATCAAACTTGTCGAGTTCTTCGCAAGTAAATATGACAACGACACAACCAAGCGGAGGAGCTTGAACTATGTCACCACGACGGCAGAAGATCTCTCAGCCGCACTTGGCAAGGTTCCCGCCCTGACAACAGAGTTAGTATGCAAATTCGTCAACAAGTTCCTGAAGACAAGTTGGGCGTCGAAAACTCCGGATATATCGCTGCCACAGACCCGCCTCATTGTTCTTTCAGGACCTTGTGGTGTGGGCAAGAGCACACTGGCCAGTTCCCTTGCCGAACCACTTTCCTGCCCGGTGATTGAAGGCGACGATATCTACGACACAATCACTATTGCGAAAATGGGCCAAGGGACCCCGCTTACCTCGTTGGATCGACAGATCTGGCTGGACCGGATTAAAGTGCAGATTCTAGACAGAACTAGAGCGAAGAATCTCATTCAACAGGAACAGCAAAACTCCACGAAACAGGCCCAGAATATCGTCTTAACTTGTTCCGCGTTGGCACGTCCACATCGCAATGCCCTGAGAGACATCCTGGCTGAGGTTTCCTCGAGTTTGGGCTCAGGGGAATCGATCAGAACTGTCTTTGTTGTCCTGCAAGCGACGGAGGAGGAATTAATCGGACGAGTCTCAGCGAGAGAGGGCCATAATATGAAGGTCGATATGGTAAAGAGTCAGCTGGAGGCTATACAGCAGCTGGGCGTTGAGGAGGTGGATGTTTTCCCTGTTGATGCAGAGCAAGAAATGGGAGAGATCATGCAGGAGGTTTTGATTGGTTTGAAGGCGTGAGGCGGTGAGTGATCTGATCGAGGTGGTATGTAGACAATTAGCATGGTGACATAGACTGTTTGATGGTGTAAGTCAAGGCAATCGATTTCGTTTCTGGCACTCAAGTTACTAATGTAACGTGTTTTCGCGCCCGTTTCATTCTTCCATCAACAGGCTGAAAGTGTTGGTGCTTTGTGTTGATTTGACCGCATTACTGGCATTTGATGGCTCTCGTCTCCGTTTCTTCTTTCGCTTTTTCGAAATCCATTCACCGTCTCCATCAATTCCTGCTCCGTCTTGTGCATGCGAAATCGCGTACTCTGATTCGTTCTTCACGGTAAGTTGACAAGGGTCCAGTATGTCTTTCAATTGTGCGAGTGCGTTGTTTCTCGTCTCGAGATCCAATTTCCTCATGTGAAAGCGGAGGTTCGGTATGTCGAGAAAAAGATGCTCGATTTCAGGCATGTCTTTGAGCTTGGTATGTAGTTCTCGCAGTGAGAGAAGAAGGTTGCTATGATCTTCATCTCTTAATTGAGGGTTCGATTGGGATAGGATGTAATGAGTGATTTGCTTGAGCATTCGGAGGGAGTAGAGCGTGGCTTGGGCGTTGGCCAGTAGATGGGTGGCGTCCCATGATACTCTTGGACTTGAACTTGAGAATGTATTCGTCGAAAGACCGCAGAGATTGGTAACTTCTAATAGAGTCGGGGCACGTTTGACCATGATGAGCTTCTTCTGTTGTACAATGGAGAAGGATATTGTGTACCACTGTAAGAGTAAGACGGGGTCGGAGTTTTTTAGGGCAGAAGGTGAGTTCGGAGTTTTGTTGTCGAGAAGCTGAAGCAGTTCTACTAAATGTTCTTCGATATGCGACCGTGGCAAATATGGGACTGCCACTGTCGCGATTCGCTGGCCTTTCTTGACATGTTCGGTGGCGAAGTTGAAATTATGAGGTTTGAAAACGGTAAGCTCGAGCAGGGAATATGCGAGTTGTCGAATTTCAGCACCGTACGTCCATGAGGAATCGCGTGAAGGGTCTTCCAACATAGGCGTGAGGTAGACTTGTGCAGAGCCGGCCATGTCAACAATGAGCTCTGCAGTTCGCGGATCGAGATCATCCAAGCATCCTTGAAATTCTAGCTGAGCAGGTAACGAGGGCGAATACTCTTTTACAAATGCTGCGTACTCGGCTTGATGCCTCTCGAGTCTCGAGTCATCTCTTGCTCGCTCGCGAATGACGGCGGTCGATGCGCTTGAGTCCAGAGATCGCTCAAAAGCGAATCTCATGAACGACGATACTTTCAGTCTTTCTGCTACGGAGCGTGGTTTTAAAGCCAAAGCCATGATAACCGTCACTTGCAATGGACTTGTAATCTTTTTTTCGATCGAGTGGAGGAGGATGACCCGTGCCTTGGGCCCGAGACCATGAATGACCAAGTCTGAGTCATTCGTCAGAATCGATGCGTCGGAGTCTCTAGCAGCAGCAGCGCAGAATGTGTCGGCTTCCTCGGGAATGACATGGACCAGATTTCTCCACCGGGTGCTCCGTAGGGATTCAATGGCGCTGGCGACCATGAATGGTGGAGCAGGCCACGTTAATTTTCCTGTCGACATCGCTCTCGTCTCCCATAGAACACTCTCAAACGGAGGGGTTGGATGAGGATGTGTCATTGAAGGAAATTCCGCGTGGACTTGCCGATATGTTTCGAGTTGTCGGCGTAGCTTCTCCATTCGATCCAGTCGGACATCTCGTTTTAATTTAGGCAATGCTCCGTCGAAGAATATCTTTTGAATTTCGGCACCGTGGTTCTGGAAGTCAGAGAGGAGATGGTGCAAAGTCTGGTTAATTTCGGCGTAGGTCGGGATGGATGGAGAGTGGGTAAATGAGCCTAAAGAATGGTATGCTAGGAGTTTGTTATAGACCAAATATACAAGTGATGGCCCATCGATTATCAAAGATGTAGTGGATATATCAGGTGTCGGGCTGGTCGGGATTGATGTGCCCAGGGTCACTTGTTCCGCGTAGGAATAGAGGTCTTGAGAGAGACGGGGGATTCCCATGTTGCATCATTGCGCTTAGGGGCTCCCTGAATAATTTGACACTCGTATCAGAAGAACGGATTCCGGATGACAACTTGATGTGGAAGAGAAGCACGAGATATAATTTTTTTTCGCGTTGGACGTTCAAAATTTACGGCGGAGCATTTGCATATTTCGGAATCAATGATTTGCCGTAATCCCTTATCCCCGTGATCAAACGCGTTTCCCATATTTTCTTCTCATCCTCCCTCCTCACTAATGGTCTCTGCAAACATCTAGACAGTCAGTGCTTGCCGTGCCCAACCAAGGTGACATTGATGCAATCCAACGGCTGTAAGTCCCTCCGCTCATCCAGCCCCAGAACGTTCAAGTCCAAAGACCATCACAGTTCTGAACGCAAACGCATCGGTTCTATCATTGTTTCAGTCACCTCAAAAATCTTCTGTGCAGTGTCAATAAGTACCATTAACAACCTCGGCTTGGATATGCCTGAAATTCTCATCAAAGACCTCTTCGGCGTGTTTTTCGGCATCAAACGTGTGGATCCAGTCTTCACGTGGGAATTGGACCGACTCAGGGTTTTTCTTGACTTTATCCCAATCCGCTTTGTGCCACATATCTCGAGTTGTCTCTCCAGTCCTCTGGACGGCTTTGACGCGGTCATATCTGCACTATATGTCAGCAAGAGAGTACAAAGACCCAGGTCCGTCTATAATTTCTCACCTTATTCTTTGGTATGTTCTGACAGCATCCGGAACACTACTCTTCCCTGCTCGTCGGAGGCAAATTGCGATTGTAACGCCATCCTCCATTGCTTGAGTGGCACCTTGAGCTGAAGTCGGTAAAAATGGATGTGCGGAATCTCCCAGGAGGGCAATCCGACCTCCCTTGCTGATCCATGTTGGCAAAGGATCTCGATAAACTAGTTTCCAGTCGACCAGGTGGCTCTCGGGTGTCTTGGATACAATGGTCTTGCAAAGAGGGTCCCAGCCTTCGAAGACTTTGTATACATCCTCCAGCTTTCCGGGGAATGACCATGATTCGTCAATATCTGCTTCATCCTGATGCCCTCGGCATTAGCTTTGCGTGGAAGATTTGTCCTCGATTCTCACCCTGTGAGTCAACACCCAACAGCAGTCACTCCCGTTCTTGATAGTCGAGAAAAGGAAGTGGACGTCTTGGCCGATCCACCCATTAAATGTGTCTCCATTATCGCAGAAATGCTTTGTTCTGGGATCCGCAATCATATCAGTGTTGGGAAACCTGGATCAAGTCAATCCCCAGGGCAGGATTTCAAAGTTTTCATGAAGTACCAGGCGCGGAAGACTGCATATCCACTGCTTTTCGGCTTATCCACATAACCCAGCACAAGCTCACGGGCTTTTGATCGGACACCGTCTGATCCAATCACCATGTCGCCATATACCTGGCCATAACAAGTCAAAACCCCCCGGATCTCCAGAAATGGGAAATAAGTCATACTATTTCACCTGTCGAAAGTTCAATACCCGCTTTGTCTTCCTCCTCAAAATACTTCTCAACCCGTTGGTTGAGATGAATGGGAATCTTGAGATCATCTTTGGCATAGTTGAAGATGACTTCGTGCAATTCTCCCCGATGGCCATTAAAGACTGGCGCATCTGGATCTTGTGGAGGTGTTTTCTGGGTGATGATGTGCTCTCCGGTATATTTATGGATTCTGAAGCCGTGGTTAACGAGGTCGATACTCAAGGATCTCATCGTCTTTGCTATGGAGCCATCAACGCCCCATCGACGAAATATCCGACCAGCATTGGATCCAAACGATATTATGTCTCCCAGGGACTTGAGAACTGGGAAAGATTCGTAAATTTCAACTTGGTGGCCCTGCCGATGACATTCTATGGCTGCTGTGAGACCTCCAAACCCTGTTCTCGGTCAGCAAAGCAGATACCTTCATCAACGTGTAAGTCCGCTTGCCTGCTCCAACAATGATCACCTTAATTCCCGTCTTGGACTTCGCAAATGGTTCTTCCGCTGACATAATCATCCTGTTAGATATTCTGATGATTATACCACTGGCGAGATAAATTAGACCATTGCAAACCACCTCCCCAAAAAAAGGAGAGAAGAAGAAGAAAAACCCCAACACGTTTTGAAGCAAAGAAAAAGCTTTCTAGCGAGGCTGTGGAAGTATCAGAATTCCGACACAGAAAAATCGAACATAAGGGGCCTGCAGGTTCCCCTTTCATAAAGGTCCCGACAAGGCGATTACAGCCCCACGGCACTTGTCAAACTAACACACCTTTGAAGTCGATATCAGAGAATTGATCCAGTTGAGCCGGAGATTCTGGAGATTTCTCCAACTGAACTGCCGACTGGGGTGCATTGTACGAAAATGGATAATGGACCTTCAACTTTGACCGATAATTGGGCACTACATGGGGGTGGATATCTTCTCCACACCTGCCCCCATCGTTCCCCTCCTCCATGCAATCCAGCCCCCCAGGTATTGTTGTCATCGATACATGACTTTGCAATAACTGTGGATAAATTGTGGCGCCGATTTTGGTGAACAGCATTGTGGGGGTATGACAATGGCCTGGAACTCTCACATTGAATACATTCCACCTTCGGTGCACAGAGCACTATTTTCGGCGCCGGGTGCCAACGAACTTGCTAGCGGGACAAAGCTGGTGGGCAGTCCTTCAGGGCACATTCACTTATTGAGTCCTGAGTCCGGTGTTGGCTCATGTCGTTCCGTTCACGGTACTTAAGGATAAAAATTTATCTCTGATGCAGTTGATACCGGGGGATCTGATCATCTACTTGGCGGGGTTTCCAAGCATCACCTGCTAATCTGAATATCCTCGAACGGCTTCTGATCTTACTCATTTGACTCGCTCACCCCCATCTAGAGTTGGGCCTTCGGGATTGGTCAAAATTCCAAGTCATCCCGCATCTCAGCCTTGCTGTCCTTAGTCTCCTGACCCGACATGACCTCAAATCCACAATATGACCGCGAGACGACGGCGACCGAGGTGGCAGAGGCCTTCAGCGACGAAATTCGAGGCAAAACAGGTCGGTTCACTACTCGTCATACTCGACATGGCAACCTGTCTCAGCTGACAATAACTGGCAGTGGTTATCGTCGGTGTGTCACCTCAAAGTCTAGGCGAATCTATGTCCCTGGCACTCGCCTCACAGTCGCCGTTGCTGTTGGTGCTTGCGTCGCGGACGTTGTCCAAAATTGAGGATGTCGCCACGAAGATCAGAGGTCCGTATCCCAATGTTTCGCTTCAGCTCGTGGAGATAGACTTGTCTTCTCTCGAGGCTGTCCGCAAAGGTGCCGCGACCATTAATAGGGTCGTGAACCAAATCGACATTCTCATCAATAATGCCGGTGTGGTGATGCAAACCCACGCATTCACCACAGACGGACTTGAACTTCAATTCGGCACGAACCACGTTGGTCCATTCCTCCTCACCAATCTTCTTATGCCCAAGATTCTCAAGGCTGCACAAAGTTCCCAGTTAAAGGGATCAACCAGAATTGTCAATGTGACAAGCCAAGGGCATGTCATCTCCCCGATCCGCTTTAGTGATTATAATCTCCACAGGCGGCCTGAAGATATTCCACCAGAGGAACGACCGATGACAAATGCCAACATGTCGTTTGACCCGCCTCCCGGGGTGACATATGTGCCATTCGTCGCATATGGCCAATCCAAGACGGCCAACATTCTGTTATCACTCTATCTAACTCGGCATCTCTCACAAAACGGGGTCATCTCAATAGCCACCCATCCCGGTTCCATCTGGACGGATCTCTCCCGCAACCTTGACGAGAAGTACACCAAATTAATCAGCAAGACGGGCGGGTTTTGGAAAAGTCTCGACCAAGGAAGTGCCACGACTTTGGTCGCAGCTTTGGACCCCAAGCTGAGCGAGGACGACCGGGTGATTTATCTCAGCGATTGCCAAGTAGCCCAATCAGCTGGACATGCGAGTGATGAAAAAGCAGCAGAGAGGCTCTGGAAATTGAGTGAGGATATTGTCGGGCAGAAGTTTGAGCTAGAGGCTGCAAGCAGGTTATGATAGTTGATCATACATCCACAACGTGGACATCCCTGAAGATAGTGTCGAGTCTCGTGCCATAGAAACCAAGCGGACTGGTGAAGGAGAATGGCCTTGGTAGGACTAGGACCAGTATCCTTTGAGGGAGGGTAAATTCCCAGCTCTCTGGAGAGTGGCAGTGCAAAATATTACGTCATTTCTTAGCTAATCCATAAGATCTTATCCTTGTCAATCTATTCAATCCCATTGAAAGTGTGGGCCAATGCGGTGATTCTACAGCCTGATGCGTACCGCATCTCGAAACTCGGGCCGGAAGTTTGCTTGCCTTCTCCAGCTGGACGCCTTATGAGAATAGCAAGCCTCAGAAAACGGCAGGACACGCAAACTTAGATCCACATTGCTGTGTCGTTTCGTTAATTCCTTCGAGCGCCTAAACCTCTTGGGAGGCCTAATCTTTTCTTGACACCGGCTTCCTAATGCGTTCCCCGGCTCCGTATTCAGATAATACGTGTATCTATATAAATCCTGCGTGGAATGATGTGAAATTCACATTGCACCTTGCTGTGCCTGTGAAAGATTTCAAGGTTGACCGCTTTCAGGGGCCTTATTTTGGGTGAGACGATCAATTACGAGATCAAATATCTCATGTCCCGACCTATCAAGCGCCAGAACTACCAAGCAGGCGCTGTCTGCAACATGGCAACTCCACTTCCGAGCCTCTCTCTTTTGGATAAAGTCAATCGTAGCGAGATTGACACTGTCAAAATTGTGAACAACTGGTGCTCCTTGGTTGAGCAATGCATTACTCGAAAACACCTTGCTGCTGCATCGGAAGTCTTCATCGATGATTGCTGGTGGCGAGATATCCTTGCCTTTTCGTGGGACATCACCACAAAACATGGTCAGGAGTCGATTCGCGAGTTATTTGGTGCTTCGACCACTGAAGTCAAAGACCTGAAGCCGATGAAGACTGGTGCTTTACAACCCACTTTGACAGACATGGGGGGACTCGTATGGATTCAATCGGGATTCACCTTTGAGACCAAATTCGGCTTTGGACGAGGCTTTGTTCGGCTTGCAAATGTGGGAGAGTCGACATGGAAAGCTTGGACTGTTTTCACCCAGGTCGAGGAGTTAAAGGGTCTTGACGAGCCCGTGAATAAGGGAATCCTGAACTCTATACCGGCCCCTAATGGTGTGCATCTGCCCACGATACCAAGCGACCAAAGCCTCCAGGTTTTGATCATTGGTGCGGGTCAGTTTCAGCTTGCTTCCCCCATATATCAAACATTCCAGCTGACACTAAATGGTACTAGGACAATCCGGACTTGCTTTGGCAGCACACTTGAAAGACCTGGGAATCAGAGCACTGATTGTCGACAAGTTACCTCGAGTCGGCGATTCATGGAGAAACAGATACGATTCAATTACATCACACACGCCAATATACACTGATCACTTTCCCTTCATGAAATTTCCCTCCAATTGGCCGAATTATCTCGGTCAAAAGAAAATTTCCAATTGGATGGAACACTACAGCCAAATCATGGAGCTGGATATCATGCTGAATACAATTGTGACGAATATCCAATACGACAAGTCAACCAGACGGTACAAAGTTGAGGCTGAGAACACGGAAGAAGGTGAAAAATTCTTCACACCTCGACACGTCGTGTTGGCTACAGGGACGTTTAGTGATAAGCCGATTCGACCTGAATTTCCTGGCGAGGAGCTCTTCAAGGGAACACTCTACCACACGTCTGAACACAAGTCTGCGCGTCTGATACCATACGTTCACGACATGAAGGTCGCCATGATCGGATGCGGCACGAGCGCTCATGACGTTGCACAAGACTTCGTCAACTGCGGTGCAAAGGAAGTCTCCATCATCCAACGCCATCCTATTTTCTCATTTTCCACAGAATCAGTCGCGCAATTCGTGTATTCACTATGGAACACCCCTGGCCTCCACACCGAAGACGCAGACTTGATTGGCAATTCTATCCCGGTGCCCATTGCGCGTACGATGAACATCGGCGCTACACAGATGATGGCGAACCAGGACAAAGAAACGCTCGAAGCGCTGGAAAAAGCCGGGCTTGCATTAAAAAGAGGAGAGGATGGTGTAGGACTGCTCGACCACCAGCTGATTAAAGGCGGACACTTCTACATTGACCAAGGAGCCAATCCTATGATCGTCGATGGCAGAATTAAGATTCTTAGATGTGAAGACGGAGTCAAAGAGTTCTACGAAAAAGGCTTCATTCTCGGCAACGGCGAAAAAGTTGAGGCTGACGTCGTTGTATTGGCCACAGGCTTTCACCGAAACATCGTGACGGTCAAGCAGATGATGGGCGAAGAAGTTGCGGAGAAGGTGGGAGAAATTGGGTTTCTGGATGATGAGCAGGAAAGAATTGGTGTAAGTTTACGAGCCACTTTTGCTATTCTTCCTTCCGCTGTTCGACAAAGGTCGCGACTAATGTACGTTTTATAGTGGTGGCGACCAACGGGTTTTCCCGGCTTCTGGTATATGACTGGGAGCTTTCTCTGGTGCCGACAGTTCTCTCAATTCCTGGCTTTGCAGATTGCTGCAGTTGAGTGGGGATTAAACGATGAGTATTATAAGGATTCTGACAATTAATCGTCGGTCGGAGACGAACAATACATGAGCATATCTACACCAGACCCATTTTCTCACTTCCTCTCCTCTCCTTTCCTACTGCTCCACTTCGCATGTCTCTTTTCTACAATCCCTCCCAGTAGGACACCCCCTTGACGAATAAAAGCGATTTAACGTACCCCAGTTGTGGTTGACGTTGATCCAACAGATGATGTCCTACCCGGTGATCGCCGGAGTCGTATGCAGCATTTATTTTATTCTCACCAGAATTACAAGACCAGATCCCCGTGATAGAAGTGCCTAGGGCGCAATCATTTCAGGTATGAATAAACAGAACCATGGTCGTCCCCCCACAGCCTCCCAGAAGGCTCAGGGCCAAAAGATGCAATACGCAACAATGCTCCTATATCTTTACTCACTGAGCGATACAAACTAAGAGACCATGCAGAAGGGTGGCATATGTATCGACAAAATGGTTCTTCGAATCATGAAATGTGTTGTCAAATGGAACAAATTGAGTACTCTGAGAACGGCTGTCCCCAGCACCTCGCGGCATGGTTATATCGAGTCTGGCACCTTGCTTTGCCACTGCCTTTCTAGGTTTTCAGGGGGCTGAGATATTGTTTTAGCACCAGTACATTAAATTCCAGTCTGGATGAATCGATAGAGACGCTTGCCGACGCTAGAGGTCCCGTTGTCGTGGAGTTGTCGAGGTGGTAAGTGCAATGCTATCATCGTAAAGGAGGTAGACGCATCAAAGAACTGTAGATATTTTGCAACCAGTCGGAGCAAAGCGGGGGGTATTATTCTGTACACCGACTTTTGTTATTCTGTACATCGGAAAACCTGCTTATTCTGTACACTATGCCTCAACTCTCCCTATTCTGTACACCACCACCTCTCTCTCGCCTTATTCTGTACACTTAACGCTCTCATCCTGTTATTCTGTACACCGCACTAACAGAGCTTATCGCCGTTGACCTGGCGACGGCGAGAAAACACTAGTAAGTGGCGTAGCTGTAAAGGGTTGACGCGTTAAACTCTCCTCGTTATAGGTGGTTACGAAGCAATAAACACATTTAATTCTCTTTCCTTAGTAGATAAATACCGTGCATTTGAGCTTCTCTGTGTATTATTCTCTACTCTGTGAATTATTGACAGCCTTCTTGCTCTCGCGTAACCACAGTTTATCGCACTTATGGAAGCCCCTCAAAATCCTCGCTTTTCAACACCAGAATTCTACCAATTCAGCTCAGATGATGACGATTTCAAGAGTGCTCGAGAGTCTCTATCTTCTATAAGCGATGTATCCGAAAACTGGACTGGTTTCTCTCCAGGAACCGCCGAAAACCCAATTGATGTTGAGAGCGCTCCGCCAGTATCATGCCCATCCTTTAGCGATTCATTCGACGACGAGATTGAAATTCCTGCCCCCAAAACACTCGATCAAAACGGCGAAAAACTTCAGTGGGATTCTCTTGATTTAGCCTTCGAGGCTCTACAAGCTTTCGCAAAAGAAAATGGCTTTGCGGTGAAAAAACATACTCGCAAGTTGCGCGATGGTCGAGTTGTGATGCAATATATAAACTGTGTCCGAGGTGGACAACGCAACACCACTAAGGTGTCAACACCAAATCGAAAAAGACGATCGAAGAGCCTAATTGCAGAGAATCCTTGTCAATTTCGGGCTTGTTTGAAGGAGGTGAACCAGACGAGACAATGGGTTCTCGAATTACTTGAAGGATCGCATAATCACGTCGCCGCCGACGAAAGCAAAGTGTTTGCGGTACATCGACGTAATGCTCGAAAGGCCCAGCCTCGTATCCTTCAACAAATTCACGCGGATGTTGAAGTAGGTATCGAAACCAAGAGATCATGGCACTCCATCAGAAAAATGAATCCTACCACTCCAATCACTCTACAAGACGTGCGCAATCAACGATATAGATACTCTGCGGTTCTTGATGAAGGTCTACCAGCAATTCAGGCGTTAATTCGAGATCTTGACGGCGCGTTTGCTCATCAGGAAGTTCTGGACGAGTATAATCATTTAGTACATATACTCTTCTTTCAATACTCCTCCTTACAGCTGCTTCGACGATGGCCATTTGCTCTAGCAATTGATTGCACTTACAAAACGAATCGTCACGGCCTCTACCTCTGTCAAATCATTGGTATGACGTCTCTTAACACCTCGTTCGTCATTGGTCAAGCATTTCTAAGCAATGAAGACAAGGAAGCATTTGTATTCGTGCTGCGTTGGCTACGAGAGTTCTATATAAAGATGAGTCTTCCTTCGCCGACATCGATAACGACAGATAAGGCAGGAGGCCTTCTAGCGGCCCTTAAAGAGGTCTGGCCACAGATTCCGCACTTAATTTGCGTCTGGCACGTCAACAACGACGTTGAAGCGCATTGTAAAGTGTTGTGGCGAAGGAAATATGACAATCAGCAAGGTCATATGTCCGCCGCGGAGAGAAAGTCTCAAGTCGACAATATGTGGAAGTCTCTACTCGTCGATTGGCGCCAGGTTATTTACGCGACTTCAGAGATCGAGTGCGACAACGCATGGGGAAATCTTTACACCAAATGGATAGAGGACAATAAAGAGGTCGTCGTCTATCTCAGAGACACTTGGATGAGTTGTAAAGAGCGATTTTGCGAGGCGTGGACATCGTTTTTTATGCATTTCGGGAACGCGACAACATCAAGAGTTGAGAGTATGCATAAAGCGGTGAAGAGCGATTTGCCGCATAGACAATCGCACCTCCGGGGTGCGATTAGAACTTTTCAGGCCTACAACGAGCGTCTGAACGAGCAAACTGAGCATCGCCTCGCTGACGAGCGAATTAGAATCGATTTACGACTTCGTCATGACAGCGTCTTCTTCGGCCTTCATACCAGGATTTCCTCATTTGCTCTAAAGAAGGTGTTAGAGCACGTCGAGTATTTCAAGCGACAACCATTTGCTGGTATCGGTTGTTGCACAAATCGCTTTACTCGTCAGTGGGGTCTCCCTTGCGCTCATCTTTATCATCAAAGAAAGGCCCTTCGTGCCTCTCTAGAAATCGATGACTTTCATGCTCAATGGCGTCTTGAAACCCTCAAAAAGCTACCGCCAATTGACCCTCTATATCTACTGAAAGATCCGGTAAAGGTAAGATCACGCCTCGAGGCAAAGTCAAATAAACGTGAATTATCATTGGTTGAGGTGGTGCGTAATGAGGGTCTCTCCGTATCTACTCAAGACTCTCAGATGAACCAAATACTACCTAATCAACGCCGGATTACCATAGAGTCTTCTCAACAAGTATCGACGACGACTTCTAGTCTTTCCTCACGACAAGAAGAGGCATCAGAATCTCGACCTCGTATAACGCACCACCCGGCCTCTATTGAGACGATATTAAAGCCTCTAGACGACTTAACACCTCTTCCGTTATATCACATCTCTATGGGTGACGACATCGAACTAGGAGGCTTTCGTATGGCCTCGGAACTCGTGAACTGGGAGCAATATCACGGACTAGGCGGTGCATCATTCGCTCGTCAGTGGAAGAATGAAACAGCGTGGTGTCCAGACCCTCAGGCTTTTAAACATCGTCCTGAGGAGAATTTCGAGTGGTCAAGCGACGAGGAGGACTACTTTGCAGATTTAAAGGATGACAGGATTGTTAGTAAGTCGGCCAGGAACGATTTACTAGCAATTCGTAAGAGTATCGTGCTGAATCAGTTGTGGCTACAAGACAAAAGGCGGAAATATGGGGCCATCGATCCACGACTTCTTGAAACGTCAGAATCTACAACTGTGAATCCTGATGTTAACCACCACCTTGAGGAGCCTTTCGAGACTGTTGTGGAGCCCCAGCAAAGTCTACGAAGGTCTTATAGGTATCGTAGACGCAAAAGGCACTTCGATGAACTAGATGAGAGCAATTGATGCCGATTCGTGGCTTCCACAGCCGGATTTATATAGAGCATACCATCGTTAACCATCATTTCTACATTCTACGTTCTACGTTCTACGTTCTGTACAGGCTTAGATGTTGCGACATCACGTATCTTCGAATTGCGCAGATAACCGGAAAAACAAAAATCCGGACCAATCAGAGGCGGTGTACAGAATAACAAAATGTGGTGTACAGAATAACATTACCCGAGCAAAGCCGTTTGGAATCACGTGGTCTCTACCACGCGGCACAACCTGGTGCGAAATCCAGGGGCTTTCGGAGCCCTCAGAATTCATATATGAGAATGTATGGTACGATGTCCATCCCGTACATTGGCAGTGTTCTTGCTGTGGGAACTCTGGACTATATCAAGTCCTTGTCAGGAACATGAAATTCCCGAGATCATCCATTTGGAGATGGGGTTCATCAAAAAGAGAGGAACTTCCGCACTGCGTGCTGTGTTTTGGAATAGTACAGTACAATTAACCATTTCCGCGTTTAGTATTGTACAGCCCCAACGCAGGGTTGAACAGCGGCTGCTCAGCTCTGGAAAGTAAGATTGGACTTTGGCGAGACCAAGGTTCGTGAACGAGTATGTTGGAAGCTGGGACACACATACATAGTTCAACTCTCTACCGCTGGAAAGGCTTGCCTAATAGTGTCCCGTTCCCTTCCTGCCCAAGATGCGACTTCGCAATAGCATCCGGCTACCTTGGCAGGTAAATTCAACTCCTCCAAAGCCTTTGAGACGATCAAATCTAATCTGTCGAGGGTTTGGTCAAAGAGCTGTGAACCAAGCGGCGAACAATAGCACTGCTGAAGGAGGTACCATGAATTGAAAAGATAACAGACTTCTGGCGAAGGATAATTGAGCTTGCCGCGAGTTGTTTGTCGAGGTACCCATTCGCTCGGGACACAACATTGCCAGGAGCGCAGGCGTTCAAGGAGTTTCGCCAATCTTTCTAGCAGGTTGCGAGAAGAGAAGTCATTGCTTTCCAGTTGATCTTGAAGAGCGACCATGGTAACCGCACAGGCATCGAGCTCTGTTGCAGGAGTGTAAGAGTCGCATAATTATCGAAGAGTTCCTTGAAGGTTCCATAAATCCCAGTGTCTTGTTTTCCTTGTGCTAGAGATTGCAAGATTAGCGGCATTGTGACGAGCGGCAGCAAACAGGGCGAGGGACGTTTTGTCCCGAAAATTCAGATGCCCCCTCTTTCTGATCAAAGCCTCAGCCCCATCTTGATGAATTGTCCATGTTATTTTCCATCCATACCTTCGATCTCGCAGATGTTCCCCGTATGCAACGAGAATGACTGCTGTCAAGGTCTCGTCCTTGACACTGGTAGTCGGGTCTTTGACAGCAGCCAGGAGGCTCCTAACAACCTGGCTCATTAAATGGCCTTCCAAAGGATATGGCCTGCCTTTATCACAGGTACCCATCATTAACACCGCCAGCCAGGATGTGGCCAGTGCGAGCGGAGAGTCTGCAGCTGCTTTCTGATATAGTGGATGGAGAAAATCCAGGTGGCCATGACTTGTTCGCCAGTCTTTGGTCGGTTTCAAAACTCCAGTGGAGAACAAGAAGACCAAAGCATGAAATTCAAGGTCGTAAGCGATATCTTTGGGAACGTGAGACGTTTGCGGAGTCGTATCGGGAACCTTTGCGGAAGAAGTTGGCGATTTGCGGCTTTGATTTCCATGGCGGCCTACTACAGACGCAGTTTGATCCCCGAGACCACGTCAAGCTCATGGCGATAGCCTGGACAACGAAAGTTCAGCCTGGCGCACTGCCTACATGCTGGCTGCTCGAGACCACACTACTGGATTTGTCAGGAACATAGGAGGTACATGGCCCTTGAGGCAGTAAAGTGGCTTGCCTTGATATGACGATCTTTGTACCTTTGGCAACCTTTTGCCGGACCACGATGAACCATGATCAAGAAGGAAGGGGAAAAGGAAGCCAGACAACTTGCGGTCCTTCGGTCTATCTCCCAGCGTCCGCTTTGAGTAATACTTTCGCTATATTCTCTCGATAGGCCAATTCGTCCGATTCAAATGCGACTACAGCATAATCTGTCGAACGAATGGTTCGAGAATAATGGTCCTTGAATCATGAATAGACAAATGTACAAGCACAGGAGATATCATGTACCAGTGGCGAACTCTATCTCAAAATTTTCCTTATTCGTGCTAGTGTGAATCTCAAAGGAAGATTTGATCTTTGGCAAAAGTTCTAATTGACAAGGATTCCGCAGTGTGACTTGTCACAACGAATGTGGATTAGACTGAGGAATTGAAGTTGGGACCATACGTCGAATTGTGCAGAAGCTTGAGGTTCCTATCGAACAGATCCAGATGGTTGTCGAAATTACTACAATTACATGTTGGACGACTTGGGTCAAGGAACGTATATCGGCAATGCTGTCCAGCCACGTCGATTCTTCACAATAGCGCCTTTTTTTGGGTGGCAGAATCGCCTGGCCTCCACTGCCCTGCCAGTGCCATTTCCCGCGTTATCTCGATGTTAAATCCCGACCTTTGAATTTTGTAGCACGCTGGAAGCGGAATTTGTATTCTCGAGATCGGATACCTGGTGATACATTCGCCGAGTTTACTTGAAGAACCATCAAAGCCTTTTCTGTCCTGGAAGCGTACACATCTACTATCTGCGACGAACGGCAGTCCCACATCTGTATAATATGGGAGGCGCTGGCACCATCTTATGCCAGAAATCCCGGTATTGCTGAAGCCTGACGTATTCCCAGACTTCTGAACATGTATAGGATGAAGAGCGGAAAGGCTGCACCGAACATTGACCTCCAGACAGTATTCGCTACCAGAGCGGAGGTGGCATAAATAGTATAAGAATCGATCAGGTAGTCCGTGACGCTGATGAAGACCAGTTGTAGGTCAAAACAAAATACTACCCCTACGGAAACCAAACACATCCAATGGATTAACGGTGAATTTATCCAGGCAAGCCAGAACATACACGCATGGAACGGAAATAGCGATATAGACATGTAATGCGGAGGCAATAAGTTTCACAATAACAAAATCCAAGGTCGAACAAGAGCTGTCTTCAGAGCTTGAGAAACCGAAGCCTCTCCATTTTCAATCTCCAATTTTGTCTTGTACACATTGGCAGTTTTCTTGGATAGCCCTTTCGCTCTCTTTCTCAGCAGGATGGGTGCATATGCCTTGGGCACGAGGACTGTGCCTATAAGCTAGAGTACACCAGCGAAAGGAGCCATTAGATTCATAACCCAGGGTCGTCCTTCTTTTTTGCCCAGGAAGCCTGTGATAAATAGTCCAGTCACTGGTCCTAGAGCGGGTGCCACGCCGAATGCACTCAAGACCAACCCACGTTGATTTTGCAGGGAACAAATTCGCGACTACTTCCTTAGCCACCCCTCCCCCACAAAACACCCGATTTGTATGTGGTGTTGATCTAAATGCGCCTGCAAATAATTGAAGTACCAAAGCGTTGCAATACTAGTGCTGTCACCAGTACATCCTGCAGGGAAACCGATGAAAACGCTAAAGGTAAAGAAGACAATATATTGTGAACTGAAATGCTCAGACAGTGGCGCCCATAGCAGAGGCCCTTTGAAAATCCCAGTACGGAGAGAGGGGAGTCCAGCCGGAGAAGGCGAATGCTGTGGCATAACATCCGATTGAAATAATCCATAAAATCATCCATTTCGGTTTATTATTCCAGTTCATAGGATTTCCTGGTTCTTGTGGAGTCCAGATAACCATAAATGAGTCTTCCAGTGTTCCAGGGCCTTCATAGTAGTATCTAAGGAGATGTCTTCGTAGATTCATGCGTGTCCCACGATAAGTTTGAATAATGGGATCGAGCCTTGCCTTGTTCTTTTGATGCAGATGTGCTGATGGTATTCATCAATCATTTCTTTGCCACATGGAACAGTTTTCTTCGGGTAGAACAGGACCCAATGATGGATCCTTTGGTGCAACCAATGGGGGGTGAAAGATATGGGGCGTGGTATCAAGGAAATGTAGACAAAGAGTAGGTAGCCCTCCAACTAATCGGACCTTCCACTTGCCTATGCTGACTTGCTCTGTCCGATCAGGATCTACGAAAAGGCGCACAGTGCATATAGCAAAGGTCACTGCAAGTTTGACGCAGCTTTCGATGCTACCAGATGAACAAAACTTATTGACAGTCTCTGGAGGTTCTTGATCGTGGAGCAGAGAATTCGGAAATTCGAGCAGGAGCTGCTTTCCAAAACCGAAAAAGGCGCGAAGGCGCAGAGAATATCGGACCTCCTCTTGCGAATTTGCGCTTCGTGTTTCAGGTGTGGTGGAAATCCTAATCCCACAAAGTCCAGAATATGCAATCCCGTTCAATTGCCTTCAAAAGCTTTTTGAGGTGGGTTCTTGAGGTTTTATCCTCTTCCAAATCCTGCGACTGAGGTCCTAACAAGCTCACTGGCAGTTGGTTGTTTTCAAAAAGGAGAAAGAGTCCACTATTATCGACTTTTTCGCCGGATTGCCCAACTGTATTCCGCTCGCAAACCTGTACAGAGATCTCTTTCCAACCACTGACATGAAAATTGCGGTGGTTAGAATGTACATTGAAATAATTGACCTCATTGAACGGGTTTTCCTCAGCGATGCATTGTTGCAGAGGTCGGAATATAACTTTGAGTCTTGCATCCAAAACATTGAGGCTTCTAAGCGAAGAATTTCCGAGCTTCGAGATGCAGCACACGTGGCGCAACAATCAGACATGAAAGCTACACCAGATATCTCAAGTGCTGGTAGAAATCACCCTCTTGCCAGACTGCTTCATTCACGGACCCAGTTAACAGGCTGGGCAGGCATAAGTCAACTCAGAACTGAAATGAACTTAGTTGTGACTCAAGTCTCCTCCGATTTCAGAAGGTTGCAAAAGAAGGTGGGTCGAATCGACCAAATACTTCATGGCACGATTACCTACACGAGGAGCGTTCGATGTGTTTATTACTGAGAAAATACCATAGCGTGGCAGCACTTCCAAGCAATCTATCATGCAAACATCGTGCTAGATTGGATGACCCGGCAGATGCCATCAAGCTCCGAAGAACTCGCCGCAGCTCGATTAGGGCAATCCAATCTCTCCCCCAGAGATCATTGGGAGAATAATGGAGTCCCAGAGTCACTATCCACCTGGTCGGCTCAGGCGCTCTCGGTTCACACTTCCCTGCTCTGGATAGGTGGTGTTTGCGGCAATCAGTGTTCCTGGATCACCGAGCTCTCTGTCGACGTGGTCGAAACACTAAGCATACAGAATCTCGACATCGTCCTTGGATACGTGTTTTTTGACGTCACCGAAGGATATAAACTGACATCTCAGGACTTCCTCAGGCTATTAATTGCACGTATCATTGAACAGCAACCGCCGCTTGTCCTTGAGATGCCAGAGCTTCTCGACCCACGGCTTTCCCGACGAGAAGCACCCATTGACAAATATTGGCACGTACTTGAGAGGATGATTTCCAGCCTCCATACAACATTTCTCATAGTCGACCGGATTGACGCTGCTTTGGACGACAAAAGGGGACGTCCAGCTTCGAGAGGATTGTTCCCGTGTTCTTGGAGATCATCTCGAGGCACCCAGGCCGACTTAGGGTGATCGTTACAAGCCAGGAGCGACCTCCAATCGATCTGGAGAGCCATCCTAGGTTCAGTTCCATCTGGAGGGATACAGGGAGGGGGCCGGCGAGAAGAGACCGGTAATAACCGCGCTATATTGAGAGTTGATTTCACTGTCGCTTATGACAAGCACCGTTAGACGTTGTGAGCAAGCCTTGCCCTTGCCGAATTTATCATTTCCATTATTCAGCACAGCACGAACGCGCCCATGTCTGATTGTGGCCCAGCGTGAATCGATATGTGAAATTATGAGCACTTATGCCTTTCCTAGGAGGTGTTGGAAAATAGAATATTCTACGCCCTTTTGCGGTTAACGCCCTGGACTCAGATGCCTTCTTCGAAGCCTCTGTTTCTGCACTGCGGCTTCCCCGCTTTATCACTTCCGATGGCCAGCCGTGAAGGATCATCCGTGTCTCACCCGTCGTAGGGGGAGAGACGGGTGATCTCTCACCGGCTCGCCTGAGCCGGGGGAAGGTAGAGGGCGGCATCAGCCTCGTCCCAATCCGGGGTGAGCCGCGAGCAGTTTTGACTCATCTTGGGTAGAACAATGTTGAACTCGGCATGACGATATTCTAGATCCGATCAGCCAATCAAGTGCTAGGACCGACAGCCTTCCCACTCCACCTTTGCCAACTGAAATTCTGAGAGAATGGTGTCAAACCACGAAATAATTCACATCTTGGCCACGAGTCGCCGGGAAAAAAGACATCGAAGGGTACTGAATTCGACTACGGACCACAACAACAATACTCAAAGTGCCGTGGTGGCTGCTGATATTCGTATCTACATTCGCGATCGGTTAGAGACGGACAGAAAGCTGAAGAAATGGCGAACATGGGGATCGCAGCGGTTCTGTTCTGGGGCGACAACACTTTCATCGTTGACGTCGTGCCTCCTAGTACGAGTAGGATGTTCAGCTTATCCTGTCTCTCGTCCACCGATATGTGCGTCATGAGTGGACACCGCTACCTCGGGAATAGGATTGGCCAAGTTGTCTCGGTAATCCACCGCATGGATTATACTCTCCGTTTGAAAATCAGCAGCGTGTGAGAGCTGCTCATCTCTTCCCATGAAGATTTGGACTGCCTTCCCCTTGTCCCTCAACAGGTAGATATTCCTGCGCGATGCCTGGGCCCGAGTCCTTGCGCCGTCTCTGTCCTCTCTTCCTCTCCTTAATTATAGCAATATCCTCGCTACCGTGGTCACGGATCCACTCAGACGTGCTCATGTACTTGGTCTGCATTGCTCTGCTTCCTTGATATTTACAGCGCTCGTTCACCACGGCTCGTCCCACGGATGTCTGATTAAGCAGGGACTTTAACAGATGGAGGGTCGACTTTTGGGTGATACACATGACTAGCGCTGCCACCACAACAACGAGATACACGGCTAGGAAGACGATCGCGACGATCGCGTAAGGGATATGGTATCGGATGACCAGGCCGTAAGTGAGGACCTCAACGGGTGAGCTGCTTGGTATATTCTGTTCCTTACGTTGGATGTAGGTTGACACGCTGTTGAATTTTGAGTTGAGCTGGCTGCGAGAGGAGGTGACGTAGTTCGCCGTTATGTCGGTCCAAATCAAGGCCATCATGGTGGCGATTCCCTCTTTCCTAAACAACCAAAAAAAGTTAGCTTCAGGTAACCAGTGCGGACCTGATGGATTGGCCATACGTCTGCGAGAGCTTTTGCCACTTTTGCCTCAAAGGGAGGGATGTGATGCCACTAAAATCAGGAAACTGTTGGCCGCCCGAGTCCAGTCCGTTGTAGAGGATATCAAGGGTATTGATAGGCCCGCCGCAGCCGAGAGAGTCTGAAGTGCTCAGCATACCAAGTCCCATAGCTGATGAGCCTGCGGGAAGATACATGTATTCACGGCGTATCGTCCAGAGTCTTGGGTCATGCTCGTATTCGTCGCCGACTAGGCCCCAGATAGGTTGAACGTCTGATATATTCATCCCACCTGTGTTTTCCACAGCCCAAAGTGGCGTTGTGGCGTTCGAGGAGTACGTTTGTGGCGTTGTCGATCGAATCTGGAGGTTCTCCAATGAAGATGTCCCGTTCATGAAGAAAGTCACATTCATGATGAATACACGAACAGAGGTGGAACAGGAGAATAGGGGTGCACTGTAGTTAGTACCTGGATCAAAGCGGCCATTGTGGTTGCTCTTGTCAATATTTGAGAAGGCTCCAAGCACCGTACCACCGATATTGGCGATGTGTGAGAAGTTCGCTTGGTCCATACCACCATATCCAGAGGTGACAAGGCCTGTATCACACGGTCACTATGCCAAAAAAAAAAAAAAAAAAAAAAAAAAAAGAAAGAAAGACTAAGAGAAATAACATACCAATGCTCTCAACCAAGGTGATGTTCTGCTCTGGGTCGGTTGAAAGATATGTGTCTGGTATGCCGCTGTCAAAGGTACCAATGCTCACCACACCAGGCGTGTAATAGGAGCTGGGTAGCAAGAATTTCTTGCCATAATAACTCGCGTTGTTTGTCGACACATTCAATTGTTGACGTAGATTGAAGTTCATCAGAACGGCCCCTTTATGAGCTCGTGCGTACAATTCGGGTCGAACTTGAGTTTGGTTCAGGTCGATGTAAGGATAATCCGTCAGTCGCTCGGTGATGCCACCGTAGTCGACCAGATAGGTTTCCTGATATCCTGCGTCCTCTGGAATGCCAAACTCGACAGTAAGGTTGTTGTTAACGCACTCCGTCTCGGGTTCAAGCCACAGGAGAGCCTCAGTCCAATCTGCTCCCGAGTGAACATTTCGAGGGATTGTATGATTCCTGAATCCAAGGCCCCCTTTCTTCATATCTGCGACCACCCCATCTCGGATAACGAAATCGTCCGCCAAAACAATCATATCTCCGTACTGGATTTCTCCTTGGGTGCGCTTAGCATAATGGTCAATCTTGAAGTCCGGCGAGGAGCTGTTCAAGAGGACACTTTCTTGTTCTTCGACATCGCTCACTAGTGTGTATGATCTAAATTCAATATCGAAAGGGGTGGCGACTGTGGCGCGATCGCCTTCATGTCCAGTGGAAAAGAGCGTTGTGAGATTCTCAGGGACGACCGTAGATATATATGCATCGTCAGAATCCCAGTTGAGGTACGCTCCGCTTTCGTTTGTCGTGGTGTAGAAACCGTGATACTGACCAGGACAACTTGTCCACATGAGCCAGCCACAAGTTCGACTAGTGTTGTAGTCATCTCGAGGAAGGGTGGCTTGACCAATTGGGGACACATCTCGAGCATACACAAATTCGCTGGCCTGTACCGAGGTGGCCGTGATCGTGTTGTGCAGACCAAGAGGTGTCAGGACCGCAGCGACTGCTAGTAGGGCAAAACCTAGCGTCGAGAAGGTTGAAATAAAGATCACTCTATTGCTGACTTTAGACATGGCAGCGCCATCAGTTCTCAAAATCGTCGGCCACCACGAGCCATTCAAGAAGCGCCCGGTAACAGACCTACCAACGATGTTAGCAAGAGAAACAAAACTGGCTCTGAACAGGACATTCTTGCCATGTAATCGCATTGCTTCGTTCGGGGACGATACCGGCCAAGATGTATACAAGGAGAAGTGGGAAGGTGAATTGCACTTGGGCATGGTTAGCCGCAACCATTCTGGCTGACGACCCGGCTCGGAACTTACATAGAACGACACCGACGTTGATCACACCAGCGATTTCTCCGATAGTCAGCCCCATGATGATTCAAAACTATTGACAGCAAGGACTGGACGTCAATGGCGATGAGAGTAGCCTTCTGCCACGCTAAGGAGGGGGGGCAATGTCCGGACAATATAAAACTATGTACATCGGCTAGATTGTTGAATGGCAAATGGAATGTTTGAACTACGCCTAGCAGGCTAACCAAATTGGTCCCTTTTTATAACTTGATGGGTAAAAGCCATCAAGGAACCTGGCGAATCAACCATCGTTTCTCCTGAAAACAATTTATGCTTGGGCCAGCAGTCTCCTTTCTCTGGCTGCCATCCCGAATACGTGGTGTAGTGCAGATCTTTTGACCCCTTAATATACATTTGTTGTTTCGCCACCAACATTGTGTGATATTCTCTGAGATTGCATTGGCTGGTGGAGCTCGTGGTCTGCCGTGCCGGGAACTGTGACTTTCCTGCATCGCAATTCATATTAATCTTGGCTGCTCTTCCTGCCCGGTTTGTCGCCGTCGCTGTCGTGAACAATAACGGAATGCTACGTCTGAATTGCCAGACGATGCGGAGGACGCTTGTGCTCTGCTGGCTGTGGCCAGCTCTAGCAGCCGCTCAAAACGACACCATCACCGGACCACCGGCAACAACTTCTGATCTTTTTCCTCCCTCTGGGCTGGATTGTTATGCCTCTCCATCTGGCCTCTGCTTGACAGCGTCATATATTGCCGCTTCCTGCAACGACTATCACGATTTCATTGACGATGTGTGGGGTTGTTACTGCTCGAACGACTATCCTTCAGCCTGGACCGCGTTAGTTTCATGAAGCTTCTCTCTAGTCATTTGCACTGACACGCACTCGCTGCAGATGTTCGATATGCCATGCCTCATACAATTCAACGTATGACATAGGTTCGACCCAACCATACGTCGTCCAGTGTTCCTCGATTTTGTCAGTGCTGAGCAGTGTGGCGATGACGGCAACAAGCTCAGCGCCAGAGACAACGTCGGCGATCGCCACTGAGGCTTCGAGCCCAACAAATTCGATGGCTACGCCTACTTCGTCGTCGAGCTCAACAGCAAGCGCTCTGGGCGATAATGTGGCATCTCGATATCACGGCAATATCTCTCTGATCCTGGCGCTCGCAGGGACCGCGGCATTTTGGGCTATACCAGCCACTCTGTAGGCCATAAAATCCAGCCGAGGCACTTGTGGTGAGAGCGAATCGACCATTCAGCGGACAATTATAGTGGTGAGCTTGCCTTGCACACAGCACCAGACACAGACATACGCTGATACGTGATCGGAAGGCCCACTCGAATACGACCATGAATAATTTTAAGCGAATGTTGTTGAGACACCCATAGTTGAAGGCCCAAAATCGAATGGTTCTCTAAGAGCTGTCGCAATGTGACCACCAATCGTGGTACCATCCCGCACGCGGCGATATTGGTGGTGGACATTGTCTCAACCGAGCCGGGGGGATGCACAAAAGCGGTCAAAAAATGTTTGGGTCTTGGTACATCATCATGCCAATTTACACACGACAGTGCATCCTGGTTGGTGAATGCCGTTCTACAAAATTCGCCGGTATGTTTCCCTTGAAAGGCGTCAACTGGGAGCCTTCTGAACCATGCAATGAGTGTCAGTGGACGATAAGCGCTGGAGTCCTATGCTGTGACTGACAAGGTCAGGCCCGATTGCTCAAGCCAACATCATCATCACTTGAGACTCCCGACGAAAGAGCTGCAGAGTATAGGAGCTGTCTGTTCCCACCGTCCTCACTGTTCTACCATCTCGTTGACCATCTTGCTGACCACCAGCAGTATCCGACGACATGCTACAGCCAAGGGTAACGCGTCATATTATACGATGTCAACTGTGATAAATAGCGACGCCAATGCTTGTAAAGACCCTCGATGGCATTGTGCACTTGCTATACACTTTGAAACTATGTAGTCTGACAGACCCGTGGATCCCTTTGAAACGGAACGAGTCCGTAAAAGCACACCTCGCTGGTCAACATACACTTTAGCTGAGGTAGGATGACTACCCTTCTTCTTTTAAGATCTATTCAAAGGAAAGAAGCTCGTCCTTTTGTCTGAATCGACGGATGCCTGCCGTATCACCCGACAAGTTCAGCACAGGCTTATTCCGTCATCTTTCATCATAAATCTTCTGCGCGTAACACCTCGATGTTCTAGGGCGGAGTCTTGGGATAGGACTTATTTCTGCCCAGCTAAGGCCTTTTGCCCGATCCGAACCAGGTCCTCATTCAGAAGTGTATCCTTCTCGAACCCTTTGACAACCTGGTCTAGCAGTGCCGCTGAAATCACGCTAACGGCAACCTTTGGCAGATTTACGAGAATCCATATAACCATTCTCCCCACCTTCGCTAAAATGGCCGTCTCCTCCGGGTCCTCGATGACCCCGGACCTGGCCACGCATGCCTCCACCGCGCCGTTGAACTGTTGTGCATACGCAAGAATGCGCGATTCGGCATCGCCCTGTACAGAAGCAATGCTCAGCTTAGCAGGTGTCCTCAGAAGCAAAGCGGAACGCTGGTGTGAATGAAGAGGTTGAGCGTGTATGATAGAGCAGGAATTACACGTACCCGCATGAGACGGTAATCTCCCAAGATCAACGGCTTCTTGGACTGATTTCTCTCGGCGTGGGATCCGCTCATGTAGATGAAGCGGAGCGGCTTGGTCTTCCCTTCACGCGGGAGCTGCGAGATGGTCTCGATGCCCTTGATGGCGTAGTCGCGCGAGATTTTGCAGGCTTGCTCCCATGAGATGGTTTTTAGCTTCGATGGCACAATGGCGATGGTCCTGGTGTTCGCCCAAGCCCAACTAGTTAGCTGGTTATCCATAGTCGCGGCACTTGCCCAGAGTAGAAATTGGGGGTGGTGGGGGTGGTGGGAAGCATTTTGATTAAGATGCATTCACCAGATCACGGCGTCTAGCCCTGTTAGCTCCTCCTTCACGTCCTTTGTGTAGTTCTCAAAGTCTTGTAATATGACCGACTTGAGCTTCGATGGGTCAGCGGTTGGGCCCAGGTTCGGAGGTGCGGAGATCTCTCGACGACCGAGAGCAACGACGGTCGTGATGTCGGAGTGTGAGAGAGCTTGGCGAATGATCTCAGTGGCGACAAAGCCAGTCGAGCCAGCGACGACGATTTTCATGGTGATAGCGGCGGCGATAGTTTAAGTGTATTGTAATAGTGACGTCGGACTTGAGAAAGATGGTGGTTTTTACATATCGCGAACAAATTGCCTTAGGCGGCCGGTATGTGCATAAGGGGATTAGTCTCAAAAGCAGGAAGATTTGCATTGAGACCTGTCCTACAAGTCCTTACAAGTCCTTACAAGTAGATACGTATGCAGAGAGATATCCATTGTTGCCCCTGGGTACGAATTGCTCATACACCGCTCATGGGCCGATCCAGATCCCCTGACCTGTGGGGTTATGACTTGTTTTTCGGGGAAAAAAGAAACATTTCATAGAAAAGCTGCCAAGCTCCCCTCCATTCTTAGGGCCGATATGAAGGAGAAGTCTTCGTCAACACTATAACGTGTTTGCAGGATCTCTTGCCTAATCACTTTTGCGTGCTCAATGGTAACCGAAGCGGTTTACCACGATACGGCTGTCAGATATGTAGAAACCGGGGGCTGAAAATCAGTAATTTCCCAAAGATTTCTGTTACATGAGCCAACTGCGCTTGTAGTATGACGTCATACAAACGGTTTGTGATCGATGCATGAAAGCATCTCGACACGGTATTTGGAATCCAAGTAATCATCAGGGCCGTCGTTTCTAGGAGCGAGAATGCCTTGGTCGAAGGTCAGCTCAGAAGGCCGAAATTATTTGAGGAAAAGAAGAAAACAGCATTGAGTTCTGTTGAACAGTAGCCGGTGTCCCGTTATTGGAAAAGGGGTTACCATTCCTATTCAGGATAGAAGTAGGAACAGAGTAGAAAAGGGGTCAACAAAACGTGTATATATACTCGTAATTTGGCAGGATCAATTTCCAGACAGAGCATTCAACTACAATCAATGTACACCCACCGATTGTTTAAGATATGTCCACATTTTGTTTTCCCCGTCCCATGACCGCATTGTGAGGAGTATCGCTTCCAATTGCTCGTCCCATGCTGCGGGATATTTCCTGGTGACCTGTTCACTGACGTTCGTGCCTTTTTATACATCCTCGTATCTGAAAGCAATCATCTAGACTGGTCACTCGTTGACTTTCCGACCAACTTCAAAGTAGATGCGCGTGCCAGACAGACACTGATTGCAAACAAATATACGATTTGGTTCACAGCAAATGCCGAGCTATTTCTCTTGTTCCATTTGCGACAGGATAAGGTCTTTTAGCGAGCTAGTGTCGTATGTGAACTTTTCCGGTTTCATGCCCCAGAAAAAATGGAGCCCTTGTAAAGGCCAGCACCTCGGGTCCGAAGAGCATGGCATGAAGCGCAGTCATGAGGAAGAATGTGACCTGAGTACTGACAGACGTAATTCAGTGACGGACTTGTCAAACGGAGGAAACGTACACACCATGAAATTCTTTTTCTTGACAGGATTCGCCCAAGGCCTTCTCTATTCGTTCAAGCTAGGGTCGACAAAAAGTCCGCTGTGACTGGTAAGAAATCCATAGCCCCAGTCGTCTCAAAGCATCATTTTGTGCACGAGCTGCTCAAGGAGGGTCTTGAAGACAGATAGCAAAGCAGGAATACGGTGATAGTGACACGCCCGCAGCATAGGCAATGGTGGCCAGCTAGTATCTGTATACGTGGTTCCACTGTTGTCCTGGCTCCTGGCTTCCCCTATTATTTCACTGGTCATCTCTCTGTGTCGCAGGATTGTGGAAATGATGTAAGTGACCAGCATGTACAGCATCTAGCTTCCGATGAGTATGGAGGAAATCAAGTGCCAGCTTTTTTGTAGCGTCCCATTCGATATCCTCGTCTGAGTCATTGCCGCCGACATAATTACTCTATAGGCCTAGAGAGTCTGGAAGAAGCTGATTGGATGAGCAATTCAGAAAAGGGAAAGAGTATTATAAACCGATTCAGAGAAACACAGAATAAAATCTCGTCCTGCTACTGAATGCCTAGACATAAGAACAGCATGGCTCTCATTCAAGTTTTGTTTGGCATGACTCCATACTGACGTCGACTGATCTGACTTGAACAAAACTTCATCACAATTGTCGCAAACCTTGAGCAAATCAAGGTCTGTGGAGAAGACAGCTCCATGCGTGGACCCGACTGTATGTGGGTCCTCTCATAGCCTTTGAATCATTTAATTCCAGGTGGATTCCGCGGGAATATGACACTATAAGTATCGCCTGACACATATTAGACCCCGGTGGGGGCTAAGCCCGCTAGAGCACCTGTCGACTACCCTACTCAGCCGTCTGAAGAACAACGAAGGGATAGACAACTATAGGACCGATTACTTCAGTCAACCTTTGTCATTGCGGTATTCCATTCTTCCTTTCTTTCCCTCTCCTGTTCCAGATAAGACAGTGAGAATTTGTTCGTATGGCTGATAGACCAGATTCTTACTTAACGCCAACCCAGAAATGCTATGGTACATAAAGAAACTCATTTTTGACGTAAGATGCCTGATGCTCCACCCGATATCATTCTGGTTTACATTCCAATTCGTTTTCTACAGGCCGAATAACGGAGCGCCAGCAATGCCCAAAACGAGCCCAACAATCAGCTGTCTCATGCTGTTGCCAGCCTCGACGATGCCGGCGCCAGAATCGCCAGCAGCACTAACACTTGCGCTAGCACTAGTACCAGCACCGGAACTGGTACTAGGTATGACTGTAACCCCAGAAGATGCTTCAATGGTCGTGCTTGTTGTCTCAGCAGTGGCTGTAGCTGTACTGGTAACTTCGGACCCAGAGTCGCTGGTCGAAGCCGTCGCCGTGACTGTCTCGAAAGTAGTGCTAGTCGAAGACGTAGAGTCACCTGTTGATTCTGTAGTCGTGGTTGTATCGGCAGTGGTGGTAGATTCAGACGCTGACGTCGACGCCGACGTCGACGCAGTACTCGATGCAGAATCAGAAGCTGTGCTAGTACTTGATGGTGAAGCTTCGCCATTCTCGACTTGGAACCAATTCGCACCAGCCGGTGCACCTAGGTTGGCGGCCTCGGCGAATCCCGCCATGTCGAATGGAAACCTAGCATTCGTGTCTTCCGGAGGGAAGAAAGACGAAAAGGAATCAGGAATAGAAAAATCCTCTGGCTGCGGATAGAGGAGAAATGTGTAACTGTGCGGGCCGTCTCCCGCGGGTGGTGTGGGCGGGAGATAGTCTACGCTCGGCGCTGTAGTGGCATTTTCCGTGGTCGCATCATTGAATAGCACTTCAGATGCACCCGAGAGATTCGGCTGGAAGTAGTGAAGCAGCTGGACTGTTGAGCCGTCGCTAGTGGTCACGTCTTGGTCAACGAGGAACAGCATGAATGTCCGAGTTCGTGTAGAGTCTGCGGGTCCCAGGGCGGTAGGTTCAACGAGCGTATCTAAATGGGATTGGGTCAGTTGAGACAACTCATGGTAGGAAAAAGAAATGAAGCGTGGGCTTACCTTCTCGAGGCAACAGTTCGCCGGGCGGATCGACCTCGGTGGTAGGACTTTCGAAATATACTCGGAAATTATCTTCGACTTGGACTGGGAAGCCAGGAGCAGATTGAGCATTAACAGCAGCAGCCAGCGCTGCTGCGACGGATGTGTAAGTGTAGGTGTACTTCATATTCGCTGACGGCTTAGAAAACAAAAAAAAGAGCGAAGGGTAAAATATATAGGGAAGAGAAAAAGAGAGTGTGTGTACCTCTATGTTGAGTGTTCACTCCATGAGTTTGGATCTGTGGTTATTATGTACCCTTGCGATCGTCAACCAAGAGAAGCCCCGTGAGCCTTGTCAGGCGAGAAAGAATGTATCAGCCTCCCGAGGTCTTAAGCGCGGACCAATAACCGACCTGACATCCCTGGTGGCCAAGAAATAAAGAGGGAATGTCGTTGGCGTTTGAGAAACGCCTCGAGTTTGGCTTGGCATCCAAGTGTCGCAGAGTTGAACATGAGACTTAGTCATGCCAGGGAGGGGGCCGGAAAGAATTTCTCTGGAGTCGATGGACTTCGCCAAGGAGGCTGAAACAGGGGAGCGAGATGATATTCACCGCCACCCTGAAGGTGGTAGTTATATCACTACAGTACAAATCCCCTTGGAGCACTTTCATCATTGGATATCACCCAATTGAGTGGAAAGTTTACCCAGTGCTTAATGCTGCCCTTGCGTACGTACTCCCGTTATAGGTTGCTCCCAAGGTAATGATGGAGAAAACGTCCCACAATCTGATGGTTCTCTTAAACAGGTATATACTTGGCCAAAACAAGGAGGTGGCTGAGTTCCAGTGAGAGGGTTCGGTCAAACCGTGGCTCTCGCTTTTGGAACACCGTTTGCAACAACAGCCGACTGTTTGGTTCTTGTCCTAGAGAGTAATGCAGGCGCCCGGCAACCCTTTTATCCGGAGGCTTGGAGATCCGGATTTTCAGTTGCACTCTAGATAGCAGCTGGCCAGGACGAGGTCCGCAGTCGGAAATAGCCAAACCGAGCGCCAGACTTCACAGCCACACCCCGCAAGATAGAATAGCGGGTTCCTGGTGTCAGCCAAATCTGGACATACGACCTAGACTTCAACCAGACGAACTCTGAGGATTGCATAGAGAGAAAGTCACCCAAAAAAGCCAACGGACTTCTTGGTCAGTACAAACACCGCGGAAACTGCACCAGGAAGGGTCGGGTGTAGTGATCAACCAGCCAGTCGAGTGACGTCCTCTGAATCTGTTCACGTACTCAACGATAGACGCCAGATCCCAACAATATGCCTAACCAGCGATTTCTGCGTTCTAATGCCGGCCGAAGAATCAATGGCATTTGTGCATCTGGTATATGGGCAAACCCCACAGGGGTTGATAGTAGACTCAGCTGCTGTTTCTAGGTACATCACTGGGGCATGGCTGTTTTAAGGCAACGATGCATGGCAACATTCAAGCATAGCCTGGTTTGGTTCATTGGAGTGAAAGCGTTCACCGTCTTACCTGATGGCCCTTGTTCAATATTGCATGAATGACTGATCCGAATTCCTGTACCTGGAGCAGGCATCGCTGTTCTCTGACAACACTAACTTCTGGCTTGTAAGACCTGTGGTTTAGGTCATTGGTGACAGGGAGAAACTTGAGGATATATATTCGAATCCTCCCCAAAAAGGCCCAGTCATAGGGTTTCAGCCAAATAGGCAGGACCAACGAAACTACGTCTCTCAGAATGACACATCAAAAAGCAATCACGGTGATCATACCAGCTCAAAAAATTCAAGCTGATCTAACAACCTATCCCCAAACCAGATCCTGGAGAAGCTCTGGGATCAGAGGAATACACACTGCTTGACGCAGACTTCATCACACCGTTGTCCACCTTGAACCTGTTGACCATGCACGTTGCCCTATTCACACTTCTGGCTTCCATATCTTCTCCCTACTCTCGGAGTCCAGCAAAGAATTCGACTACGGCGAACCTTAGCATCGCGATCATGGATGAGCGATGGTGCTCTGTGCCCGTGCCGTGCCACACGACGCTGCGAGGACCGTGCATGAAAGCAGATTCGGAGTGCAACTGACAAAATGGGGCATGTTGTCACGTATCACATCCAGGGGTTCTTCCATGTGAGGTTTCCTCGCCCTGTAGCGGCGTCCCATATTCGCACCGACTTGTCAAATGAACCGGACGCAATTGTGGTGCCGTCAGGCGAGAATGCGACGCTCCTGACCGAATCTGTGTGGCCGACAAGCTGCCGTAGTTGCCATCCTGTGGCGGCATCCCATATTCGCACCGACTTGTCAAATGAACCGGACGCGATCGTGGTGCCGTCAGGCGAGAATACTACGCTCCCGACCGAATACGTGTGGCCGTCGAGCTGCCGCAGCTGCACTCCTGTGGCGGCGTCCCAGACTCGCACCGACCTGTCATCCGAACTGGACGCGATTGTGGTGCCGTCAGGCGAGAATGCCACGCTTGTGACCGAATCTGTGTGGCCGACGAGCTGCCGCAGCGGTCTTCCTGTGGCAGTGTCCCATATTCGCACCGACCAGTCCCCCGAACTGGACACAATTGTGGTGCCGTCAGGTGAGAATACCACGCTCCTGACTGAATATATGTGGCCGGTGAGCTGCCGCAGCGGCCTTCCCGTGGCGGCATCCCATATTCGTACAGACCTGTCCCACGAACCGGAGGCGATTACGATGCTATCAGGCGAGAATGCCACGCTCATGACCGAATCTGTGTGGCCGACGAGCTTCCGCAACTGCATTCCTGTGGCGGCGTCCCATACTCGTACCGACGTGTCACTCGAACCGGACGCGATTGTGGTGCCGTCAGGCGAGAATGACACGCTCCTGACTACATCTGTGTGGCTGTTGAACTGCTCTAGCTGTATACCTGTGGCAGAGTCCCATACTCGTACCGACTTGTCATCTGAACCGGACGCGAGTGTGGTGCCATCAGGCGAGAATGCCACGCTCCTGACAAGACCTGTGTAGCCATTAACTTGCCCTAGGTGGTAAGTCACCTTTCTTTGCGCTTTGACCTGTCCTCGGACCTGCTGAGGAGTTGAGGGTTTTATGTCAGGGACTTGTGCTTGCTGGTATCCCGATTTTCATTTGGCAACGACGTATTCGTTATAGTGGGTTGTTGCGAACTTGAAATTGAAATCGAGTCCCATGTTCCAAGTGGAGTCACTCACGGATATCGTAGTCATTTCCTGAGACGGTGGGGAAGGCTGAATAGTTGGCGGAAGGTACTGCTTCATCCACTGATGTTTCAGGGCCTGCTCTGCAGTCAACCTTTTCTCCGGCGTAGGTACCATTAGTGACGACATGAAATTTTGCCCTGCGGCACTAACGTTATGGGTGAGTAAATCCACAGATGGAAAAGGTTGGCCTTGAAGAGCGTAAGTCGCGAAATCAGCAGTATTTTTGAACACGGGCTCTTTGGTGATTAGCTGAAACGAAATCTCGCCGAGAGACCACATGTCAGCTGCGAATGGGGTTCCGAGCGGCGTGAATCCATGCAGCTCAGGCGCGATGAAGCCCAAGGTGCCCTTTAAAAGTGTGGATTTGGCGGTTTCGTTTTCAAGGCGTTTGCTAACACCGAAGTCTCCAATTTTAACCCACCATAGCTGGGGTGGGCAGGATTTGATGAGAATGTTCTATATTTGCAGTCAGATCGATGTGTCTGTTCGGCCTATCAGATTGGGGACGAACTCCAGGCTTTAAGTCCCGATGGGCAAACTGATTATCGTGCATATAAGAAAGACCTTCGAGGATCTGGTATGTAACGTCTCCTGCGGCTTCCTCGGAGAGCGGAGATGTCCTGGCCAGGTACTGCTCCAAGTCCCCGTGTGGAGATACTCCATTGCGATGAAGAGATCTTCTCCCATCTCATACCATCCAAATGACTCCACGAAACGATGGACATACTAAAAAGAACTTTAGCAGGAGGATCTCGGACGGTCATTTGATCCTCACCTTGTGATGTGAGAACTTGGCAATCGCTTCCAACTCTCGACTATAGTCGATACGTCTTCCACTACTCAGGGGTTTTGTCGAGACTTGCTTCACAGCTCGCCATTCGATATCTTGACGACCCCGCACACACTTTCCGAGCCAAACAGAGCCGTATGCGCCCCGGCCAATCCGAGATACCCGACGCCAATATTCCTGCCTCTGCACTACTCTTCCCCCCCAGCTGGCGGAAGCCTCTCGATAAGTATGCACTGTAAATTCAGTATTGAACAGCGCGTCAAGCTCCGAATCCCGTATTAGATCTGATCGTCTGTCCATCATGAGTACTCCGCAATAAGGCTGAGCAAATCGTGAAGTTTGATGTTGCGTAGCCTCTCAGTGGGGCTCCGATCATGGCAGTAAAAGGGTAATATAAAGAGACTGTGATGGACTACAGAGTCTAGAAAAGATGAAGGAATGCCTTGTTGATCTATCTTACTGAGAACAGGACTGAATAAGGAGGCGAAGGGTGCAAGTTGCAACTCCCTGAAACTGTCACGGTGTCAGCCTTGCCCATTCCCTTTGCACGTGACCCGGCCTTGTCTTGGCTGCGATATGTCTCTCTACCACAGACCCCTCCCTTGTAGTTGCACTGTTTCGCTCAATAATTCAACTCACATTCATACAATGCCAGTTAATGTCTTGCTTCCATACCAGAAACCACGACTGAATGATGTGTGGCGGAGTCAATCTTTGGCAAACTTCTTAATACTCGGCTGGGGCGGTGCGTGGCAGACTTTGTTGCAAAGAACTCAGCACAGGGAACTAGTCATCTGGATGAACTGGCCGACTTCGCTATTGCCATGGCTGGTCCCGAGTTGGGCCTTGCCATTGTTGCTACGGTAGATCTTTGTTTCAAGGGGGTCATCTCCACCTTTCCCTTTCGTACCTGGCTAATATCTCGTGTACAGACATGGCAAGGCTTTGGTTGAATTATGTGACCGCTTTAGAAAGGCAGAGATCGAGATCGCAGAGCGAATCACTCGTATCCACGCTATCTGGCTACAAACCAAATCGCAACTAGATGTTGTTCGACAGCTCGCACCCATTTTAGAAGAGGAGCATCGGAATATACAAGAGGAGACATTGAAGGTGTTTGCCAACAAATTGGACCTTACGAACTCGAAGCTTCGCTCGTTTCTCAAGAAGGTAGAGGGAGGAATATCTTCAAATGGTGAATGGCAAGTTAAGAATTCGAAATATGCCCTTTTTGGAAAGACTTTGGACAAGGCCATCGATACCCGTCAAATTTGGCAAAGGACATTCGACCCCTCCTGGTATCTTATTATGAAGGCTGCGAGACCCCAAATTGACGTTGAACTGGAAGTTTTGAAGCGTGGCTCAACTTGTGCTCCAATATCATCAGCACAGTCACTGAGAGCTGCGTTGAACGACAATTCACGGGTGACCGCACCCATATTTCTTCCAAGTGATGGTCTGGAGTCAATTCAGATCTCCCAGATTCCATATTGCTCTTCTAAGTTGGGTGAGCGTCACGGTTCCGGTAGGGACGTTATTCTCGAACAAATCCCCCGTCCTGCTCCAGGCTATGACAGAACCCTCAAGAGGAACATACGTAATCTTGCAAGAAAACTCTCTTATACAGATCCCATCACATTTGGGCTTCTCAATTGCAAAGGAGTCGTGGAAGATGAGCGGACTCACGACCCACAGCAGGCTGCATTCACCATGGTCTTCAGAATCCCCCGAGAGTTTTCAGAGCCTCACAGCCTACGCAGCTGCCTTCTCCATGGCAATACAAACCATACACTCTCAGATCGGTTTAAATTGGCATGCGACCTGGCCAAGTCAATTGGATATGTTCATACATTCGGATTCGTCCATAAAACGTACTTCCGGAAACGATATTACCTTTCAGGGCCCCAGGATCTAGCGTCGGATCGGTTTCGCTGGTGGGTTTTGGAAATTTTCGTGACGCAGAAGGAGGGACACTGCGATCTGGCGACAGCCTATGGGAGAAAAACATCTACCGGCATCCACGGCGTCAAGGCCCGAAGCCGCAAGATGATTACATTATGCAACACGATATCTATAGCCTTGGAGTGTGCTTACTTGAACTAGGGTTGTGGGAGTCTTTTGTTACGTATGACGATAGCATGGCTCCTTCACCCTCTGCAGCCGTGTTCTCCGCGAGAGAAAGCCTCCAGCCTCGAGACCCATCTTTCACAAAAGAACGTCTACTAGCCTTGACCCGCGAGTCGCTTCCCAGGCGGATGGGATCGAAATTGTCGAAACGTGCATTACATGCCTTGATGATGAAAACATTGACTTTGGTGATGAGCGAGAATTTATGGATGCGGACGGTATTCTGGTGGGTGTAAGATACATAGAAAAGGTCTTGATCCCCATTCCTTTCAAGGAAATGACAATACTCATCAGTCCTAGATTATAATTGGGCTCAACAGCATCCACATTTAAATCACGTCAATGCAAGACTTGCAACCTTGATATACGATAGCTGGCGAAAACTCCTGATCAAAATTCGATGACGCAGAAGGTTAATGGCTGGCCAGCGTGTAGAGTTCTCCTGCTCTCCACTGATTGGTGGGTGGTCAGTATCCAAGCTTGATCCGCCAGGGTCGATCCAACTGTGGTGGGCATTTTTTGGAAGTGCAACTCAAGGGTGTCGCCAGTTTTGCAGACGGTTACTTCTGAAGAGCAACACGATTTCCGTCGCCTCGTGTCGACATACAAAAGGATGGCTCACAAGATGATCCAAGACGAATGGCAACGAGGATGGACGACCACATCTAAGTAACGGCTTTTGCACATGATTTTCACATTACAACGGCAACGTGGTCGTCCATGTACTTGTCGATATTGCCCAGAAAAAGAGAGCAGAGAATTGCAGCGCCTCCAAAAGCGATCGAAACCAGGAACACCCATTTGTAGCTTTCCGAATACGCGATCTGGCCGGCCGTAACAACAATTTGATATGCTGTTTCGTTTCCAGTTATTCCAGGAATTTCTCGAAGATTCTCGAGCAAAGAGGTAGCTGTCGCATCGATGGCATCCATGACATAGTAGGGATTGGTGAAGCCGAGCTGGCCCACCATAACGCCACCAACCTGTTCAAGAACTTTGGTCTTGAACTTGTTGGCAAAGACGTTGTAGTACGTGGTGTAACCAACGCAACCTCCTATGACGCGAATCGACAAGGTCAGGGCAGTGACCGTTGCGATTATATCATCTGGGCAAATAATCGTTGTAATGATGGAAGCTGGAACAACAATGCCGCCAATTCCAAGGCCAGCAACGACAAGGATCCCGTAGACTTGGTGGAGATTGTGTATATCGGCGACCGACAGAGCACCACAGCCGGCAGTCATCAAGATAGACGATCCGAGGAGCAGCTCACGAACGTGGCCCCGAAGAATTGACAGAAGTACCAAAACAATGACGCAGCCGATGAGGATGGCAAAGGCGACCGGCAGGGTCCTGACACCAACACCTAAATGATTCCATGTTGTGAGCCCATAATTCCAATAGAGGTGACTAATAGATCGGTAGACCTAGAGTAGTAGACCGTGAAAGACTGCCGGAGGTCTTTGAACGGGGAGCTGGACATTACTTACCAACAGGATCATGCCCGTAGACGTTGAAAGCCTGAGTCGGCCAAAACATCAGGATGGAGAAGAAATTTGCACCAGATATCGCAGTAATGATAAGCGTAAGTGACAAGAGTCGTGCTTCTTTCTTCATTCGTGCCGGAAACATTGGAAATTTTGCGTATTTGATCTCCCATATCGGAAAGGCAACAAAGAGTAGAAAGAATCCAATAATCAATGGAACCAATACGTGTGCGGACGTCCAAGCGTACTGATATCCACCCCACTCAAGCCCAGCAAGGAAAACAATCATACCGGAGATACTGAGGATTCCTCCTCCGACATCAATTTCATCGATGATCTCCTTCCTCGTAAGTCCCCGTGAATTGGGTCGTGGGGGAGGGAAGTAGAAAACGAGGACCCCTACCAAGCCGAACAAGGCCCAAACTCCACAGACTAGACAGCAATATCTCCAAGACGAGTAGCCGGCAATGAGTTGGGCATATAACGCGGAAGGGCAAAACGGAATAATCGTTGCGACGAGAAAAGCCACGTACTGACCACGTTTGCGAGTGGGTGCAAGCTCAGCGGTGCCGGCGAGACAAGTCAACTCGCAAATTCCTGCACCGGCGCCGGAAATGGCCATTCCAGCTTCGTCTGGTTAGCAACGATATGTATGATCTAGTGACGAAGAGCTGCCCCCACCGATAAATTGATTCATGCTTTTGGCTGTACCAGAAATGGCCATGGAGATCACGAGAAAGCCTGACCCTAACATGGCGACATATCTCCGGCCGGTCAGGTCCGAAAGGGAACCGACGAACGGACACACAGCGGCGAGAGTGAGCAAGTTGGCTAAAACAAACCATGTCCAGCGGTCGACACCCCCAATATCTCTGTAAATAAGAGGGCCAATGCCGCCTACCAGATAGACTGGGATTTGTGAACCCGTCCAAAGAAAAGCCATGGCAACCAAACTTAAGATCCGTTTGTAAGACCACTGTGTACAGAATTTAGAGGGTTGATCTCCCAAACAGTAATGGGGACCAGGTACTTACCGGAAGTTCGTGGTCGTGATCCTCACCATCTCCGTATGTTCGAAGGCCATCCTTTTCATAGTATCCAGGGTGGCCTTCTACCCTCTCCTCTGTTTTGATTTGTTCAATGTGATTCTCGGACTTTTCTTCTACCTCTTTAAGGATGTCACAGGTACCTGTGTTGCCGTGGAGTTCGTGTAGCTCATCTTCAGCCATTGTAGGAACTTTGTGCTGATCGACTGTGCGTCGTTCGGAACAAGTGTTAAACTATCCACTGACCGAGGAACGAGACCGAGGACGACAAGGAAAGCGGCAAGAGACCAAGGTGCCAATTAATGCTCGCAAATGCTCGCGACAAGTGGCTCTTCTTATATCACCAACCGCGACTCAGATTGCTAGTTGCATCCGCTGAGCCTGGGGCCCCAAGGTCCCGGAGTCACGGGGTCCGGGGTTTGAGGCTAGGGGGAACCTGAATTCTCTCCCCCCCTGAAAACTATCCACTTTGGTGTTCTCTTCAATTTGGCACGGTAGATACAGTCTATCGCCGAGGATCAAGGATACTACAAGACTATTTGATTGGTCCCGTCAAGATCCAAGAGCAAAAAGTGGATCCCAGAACGCTGACATTTTGCCAAAAAGGGAACCAACCCTCCGGAGGGGGCTCCGCTTGGTGGGAGCTTAAGCGAACCGAGGCCCCCTACAACCTCTTTATCGTCCCACATGATAAAAGGACTTCATCAAGTGTCCCAGCAAGTCTCGAGAGAATCCAGCATTGTCCTCGATAATCAGAAGAGTATGAATTCTCCCGTGGAGGGACCATCACCTACAACGCTAGCGTCTTTTTGGAACGGGTTGAGAGCAGAAGAACCCCGGCATCTGGATTGGCCACTCGTGCCGCCCAAAGCCAGCTTCGGCGCGAGGTCACAGCAGATGCGGAAGCGGAGATCTTGTGATCGATGCTACAATTACAAGTATAAATGTGCTTTCAAATCATCCGCCGGCACGTGCACACAATGTGAGCGCTCCAGAGTCGTCTGCACAACATTACGTTCGCGACTTCGGCCAGGTCGCAAGCCAGCCCCTGGACAAGTTGGTCCCAATGGGTCCGTCCATGTATGGGATATCGGTCATCTGTCTGGCGTCGACGACAACAGCCAACGAGCCCAAGACACCCAAAGCCCTGCATTAGATTCTAATACCGAGCTTGGCAATAGGTCAAACGAATTCCCCCGCCACGGTTCCGATAATAATCGACAAATTATCGAACTGAGCACGGCGGCTCAATCACCGCCAAAACTGTCAATAGCTCTAGAGGTGTGCTCGAGTGCCTCCCTAGAGCGCCTGTTCCTCCTTCAGATATCCAATGTCAGTTGCTTTTACGCGGCCAATGACATTTTTATGATCGGACCGACCTTTGCTCCCAGTTTCCATACCGCTCTTCGATATACACGGGACTGTTCGTCGATCTCATTGGAGGGTGCCTACCGAGCAATGTCCACTGCGCTCATATGGGCACGACATCTCGCCGTTTCGTGGGATCGAGTCGACATATCCGGGAGCGTGCTCTCGCTGCGGGAACTCCGCACCGCAAATATCTGCGGCATTCTGGAGGCTTTGGCCGTCACCACTTTGGGCCAGACATTGGCGGCTTTCGACGTAATTACCGCATGTAGCGGGCGGTCAGCAATGATACTGCGCCACAGCTTGACCTTGATCAAGCCCTGGTACCCAGCGCTAGCGTCAACTTCGGAATTCGATTCCATTACCATTACACCCATATTCTGGGACACGGTGCACTGCTTGCTAAGACGTGAATTGCCAGTGGTCAAATACATTGCCAGAAGAGAAGCTCATGTTGTTGATCGAATGGCCGGACTGTGCACCGGTCTATTGCCCATTCTCTACGACTTGTGCGTTACGCACAACGAGTTGTCGCAGACCGCCAACCGCTCCGAAGAGAAAATCGTCACTTTGCAAAGAATTACGGAAAGGTTGTCTTCATGGGTTCCGCCGTTGCCACTGGATCATATCTGCCATTTCTCTTACCTGGAGATGGCTGCCATGAGAGCCCAGGCTCGTATGTACCGTTCGGCCGCATTACTGGTCATTCATCGGATTATTCATCCGATTGGGAGTGAGGATGGTATCGCCAAGTTGTATGCTGACAGTATCTTGCTCACACTGTCGACATATATCGCTCTGGCCGGGCCAGGCCGGAAGCTTCAGCACGTTGTCTTTCCTGTTTTCGTGGCCATGCTCGAAACTCGGAATGCATCACAAGAGATTTGGAAAAGCCTGTCGTTGCTGAGTATCACTCCCATGTGCATGAATAAGCTGTCAGCCTTCGTTGAATTCAACTGGGAGAAACGGCACTCCGGCTTCACTGGATCTATTTTCGATCTGATTGGAAGTGACCCAGGTTTTGTTATTGTCCCATAGACCAGGGCCGCAGTCGGCGGGGTGGCTTGATCTCAGCACTACTATCAGAAAACCTCAGTTCCGTGTCTACCTATATATCTCCGGAAAATGGCTTAGCATCAAAATACTTGAAGTGATGATCTTCTGTATGTTAATACAATACATAATCCACCATATTCCTCCCAACGAAGCGGAAGCTGGATTTCAGGATGAGGCGCATCCCATGAATTTCAATCCCTGGTCTAGACGACCAAACTTCGCCCAGGCCATGTCTTGAAAGTATGTCTTCCGCCCAGTCCAAGGTGCCTGAGTGGCAGCTCTCGGGAGATTCTTCGCTCCCAGGCGCACATAGGTCGAGTTGAGATTCAGGACCGGTGTGTCGACCAGTACTGCAGATGACGGCACGCAAGGAACTGCGGCAGAGAACTGGTGACGGTCAAGATATTTGAGAAGTCTGCAAATGAAATGCGCGGCGGTGTCTGCACCCAGTGTCCAAGAGGCGTCGGTGTAGCCCATGACGAAGGACGCATTAGGAACATCCTGGAGCATGACGCCGTTCCATATGAACTTGTCAGAGATCGCGAGGGACGCTCCGTCGACTTCGATTTTCACGCCACCTCCAAACTGCAGTTTCAACCCAGTGGCTGTTACGATGATATCGGCATCTAGTTTCGTGCCCGAGGCCAACACGATGCCATCCGATACCACTTCTCGAATCACACCGGTCTCGACAAAAGCCTTGCCAGTACTCAATGCCTTGAAGAAGTCACCGTCGGGACAGAAACAAAGCCTTTGATCCCATGGTGAATATCGAGGTTTGAAATGTGGGTCAAATGGGATGGTCGCCGGCAGCTGCTTGATGACACTCTTGGCCATTAGTTTCTTCGCGGCATTGGGATACCGCCGACAGAAAAACACAAAAAGATATGAACGAATGACCCATGCTAAACGCTTCAACTTGGGATACCAGGTTTCAGGAACCAGGTGCCCGATCCGCGACCGAGTCGAGTCTCTGTTGGGCACTGAAAATATATATGTTGGGCTTCGCTGCAACATGGTGACCCGACTTGCTTTCGGTGTCATTGCCGGTAGCAAAGTCACGGCGGTTGCGCCGCTGCCGATGATGACGACCTGGTGATTTGTATAATCCAGGTCTTCAGGCCAGAATTGCGGATGAATGACCTGGCCTCGGAAGTGTTCAATCTCTGGAATGACCGCGTCCAACGGCTTCTGGTAATCGTAATATCCGGTGCCAAAGACCACAAATCGTGCCGAAAAGAGTTTCTTTACGCCATTAGAATGGGTAGTCAAGGTCCAGAGTCGATCCGTAGAGGACCACGATGCTAGCGACAGGTAGTGATTGAAGAGAATATGACCATCTATCCTGTGCAGGGAAGCCGATTCTTCCAGGTATTTTCTGATAGATTCACCATCCGCGATGGGATTTTGCTTCTTCCATGGATTCCAAGGAAAGCCGAAAGTAAAAAGATCCGAGTCGGATCGAATACCCGGATAGCGAAAGAGATCCCATGTTCCTCCAATATTGCGGCGACCTTCTAATATTACGTAGTGATAATTGGGAAGCTGGGTTTGCAGACGATAAGCTGCATTGATACCGGATATGCCTGCTCCAATGATGATAACATCGAAATAACCCCCTTCTGAAGCATCGGAACTTGAGCTCATATTGTTTCTTCCTCCGTCTGAATGGATTCGATGAGATGTTGAACCTGTTCTCTTCGCAGCCCCAAGGGAATCCAGCACTGAGGGAAGTCTATATACTTCTCACAATTTAAAGAAAGGGTTGACAGGGATCGGCGCACAACCAAAAAGGGAATTAAAGCTCCGGGGTTCCAGCGCGTAACCGTCAGTTACATGGGAGTCCGGGGCTGATTTCTCGAATGTATGTCCTCGCCTCTGCAAATGGGACCGTACACGGGGAACGGAGCGAAATCCGCACCACCTTCCCCCTCCCAACAATAATACTGCACGTGTTAAGGCGGGAACGAGACCCCAGTAGGGAGTAATCCTCCGGTAGCACCTCCAATTTTGGATGGTACTGTCTATGTCTTAGGCATTCCGTATTTTCTTGTCTCGCAATCTTAGGCGGTATGCTTCGTATCTCGGCCATACACACACCCGGTAGATGATCCCTGATAGACTGCGCAACGGGTCGGGTTGAGCCGGGTTAGGGGTCTTTTGGAAATAGGCCTACCCTACCCAATTGGGTTTCAGGCAGGGTTGGGTAATGCCAACATATCCAAAATCGAATGTTTACATCAGCAAATTCGGCTGTATGTAAAACCGTTACATTGATTGTTACAATAAGGGAAGTAAACTTGTGAAAATATCTGTATTGGGTTGTTCCATCGATCTGATTAATTGGGCAGGGTATCCTATAGGGTTTTCGCGTAGGGTGGACTAAATTCAAGACCCGATTATTTAGGATAGGGCTTTGAATTTAGGTGCCCAACCCTACCCGAAACACGATGGGCGGGGTTTCAGGGTCGGGACAACCCCACCCGATGCGCAGCCTAAGCCCTGACATAACCAGACACTGCCGAGTTTGCCCACCTCAGGCATGACCCGGACATGTGACGCATGGGCGGATCTGACTTCTTGATATATAGCGCCGCTGACAGCTCTCCTTCTTACTTACCTTGATCTGTCGTTTTCAGGGGAAACACCAAAACAGAATCGACAATGAGTTCTTCTGTGCAAATGATTGCCCGATCATGGTCGCTCCAGCCCTTGGCTCGGTTTTCGGAGTCCGTTTTCTCTCATACACCAGAGGGAGCACACAATTTCTTCCGTTCCAGACTGGTTCAAACAGGTCTGGCAGCTCTGCTGGTTCTACGCTTGTTGAAAAGCATCAGTAATCAACTATCCTGGTATTCTATGAACAACTACACGAGACTGGCTCCTTGGGACCCGGATAGAGAGCTGGTACTCATCACCGGTGGAAGCAGTGGGATTGGGGAACAGATCATGAAGGACCTAGCTAAACAAAAGGTCACGGTGATCATACTCGATATACAAGAACCGAGATCCAGGCTGCGTGAGTACTTGATTCCTTCCTGCGGTCCATGGGAGGTACATTCCTGATGGAGTCTAGCACCGGGAGTCTTTTTCTACAAGGCCGATGTCACATCGAGGGAAAGCGTCAAGGCTGTCGCAGAAGTGATCCGCAAAGACCACCGAGACCCGACCATTCTCATCAACAACGCTGGTGTTGGATATGGAAGAACAATCATTGAGGAGCCCGAGGAGATGATTCGTCTCACATTTGAGGTCAACATCCTGGCTCATTTCTGGACTGTCAAGGAATTCTTGCCCAGCATGGTCAGACATAATCATGGCCACATCATCACTATTGCAAGTCTCGCATCCTTTGCCGCACTTGGAGAAGCAGTCGACTATGCATGTACCAAAGCTGGAGCACTGGCTTTCCATGAAGGACTCACCCAAGAAATTCGACACTGGTATAAGGCCAAGAATATCCGAACAAGGTACGTCGCCAGCCTTTTGATCAAGACCGTGCTTTCCTCAGAATGATGTAATCTAACGCAGATTTCAGCATCATCCATCCACTCTGGGTCCGCACTCAGATGATTGACGACCTTGTTAAAGCTGGCAAGCATTTCAGGCAAAGAATTCTTAGCCCGGATGACGTTTCCAGAGCGGTACTGAAACAGATCATCACACAGAGCAGCGGTCAGATTATCATACCGTCATCACACCAGCCTGCCACGATGCTTCGAGCTTTTCCTCAATGGCTACAAGAATATCTCCGGAATAAGAACTCCCAGGACTTGATTAGAGTCCGAGCTTTGCGGCGCTCATCTAATGGAGACATCTAAATCTGCAACTCCAGCTTCATTCGACTTCGAATTCCACAACGGAAGCTCTTGAGTCTTGGCGGTGATGAGGGACACGGTGGGATTCCTCACAAGGAGTGTATGGATATCCTGCGAGGCACTTGGCGCAGAAGATTGATTTAGAACTAAAGGCTATTAGGGGCCAGAGAAATAACTGTGTTATTTGTATTGTTGGACTTTCTCCCACAAGATTCCATGGAATAGAGTAGTAAATACCTTCTCATGTGCTTGAACTGGTTCTTGGTCATCGCGCCTCAATTCTCAACACGTTCTTGTGATCCATCTTTTCGCCTACGCTTCCCCGATGCTCATGGTTAGCGCACCACTATATCGTGACTCACAATCTCTAGCCGCGACGATGTAGTAGAATTTCATAGGTATTGACTACCTTTATCATTGCAATTTTCGACGTCATGCCCACAAATACGGTCTCTAACTTGCATGAAAAGCACGGAGTGTTCTAACCACAAAGCTCCAGCTCGGCTTTGACGCAATATGCTGGTAGAAAAAGAAGAAATGTCACACGCTGTGAGCAGTGAACGAGTCACATACTAATACATAGCGGCTCCAATTTTCCATAGTCTCCTTGATTTGACAAGTTCTCGTATCGGTAGTCTGTATTTGAGTTTTCAATCTTGTATGGCGCAAGGTGAATTCTGCTTCCACTAATCCAAATATACTTTGCTTCTACATCAGCAATGGCTGTATATCGTATATGGATGTCGGGGCAAATAACTCCGTGTTGCCTTTTCTTGCTGCTATTGAACGCTCAAGCAGTGACCACCCCATACGAGATACGGTACATCAAATACGAGATGGTTGCGACCCAGTCGGCAAATTCAAAGAATGGAGCACTTAATCATCCAATTCATACACCAGTGGATTAACTAGCTTTTGCAAGAAAAGATTCGCTGACTTGGCTCTTGAGCTCGGCATTCGCTTGGGATTGTTATGACAGCCTGATCAGCCCCTCTTTGCCAACGATTTGTCAATTTTCATCCCCACAGGACCTATTCCGCTGCTTTAGGCAGATCCTGGGCCGTTGACCCTTCGTTTATATGCCATCATTTGAATAGACTCGCTCAGCATCGAGACCAACAAGTAGGCCAAACACCGTGCCATGGTCGCTGCTCACTGCCGATGAGCTGAAGATTATACCGCACACTTGCCGCCTTTGCTGCAGCAGCAAGGTAAGGCCCAAGAATGAGAAACTCTTGGGGCGGGATCTTCACCTCGAGTCCATCGGCTGGGCAGGTCAGGTACCAACTCCCATGTTGTTCCCACACCCGCTATGAAGTACTCAGACGAGCTGATCGCATCCCCCCCGTGCATGTCTGCGACTGATTCCTCCCGTGACCATGATTGAGATTGTGGAGATACCCTTCACTTGCGTTGCGGCCCTAATGAATATGCTTCGCGAGCATCAGTGCTGGAGGGTCTCTTGTTTGCCGATACGCCACCGGTTGCAATGACTGGAGATTCATAGCTCCCTCCAGAAAGCTCAAGGAGATCAATCTTGAAGCTGTTCAGTTCTTTGACTACCCAATACAAATCTTCAGCCACCCCTTTGAAAGTCCGCCGTGTTGATCTTGACACCGACACCAAGCTTGTAGAGGACCGTCTCTTGAATTGCTTTGATGACATCGAACAATAGTTAGCTCGATTCTCCAAAGGGTCATCCCGTTGATCAGTTCGCTCATATGCAGGTGGTGACAGAAACTGCGAAATCAATTGCCCGTGAGCAGCACGAACCTCAACCCCATCAGCACCGAGCTGTTCTACCTTACGAGCCGTCCATGCAAAGCGTCAAATCACGTCTCGTATATGTTCTTCCATCATAGTGAATAGGGACCTCGAGCATGTTGTTGAGTGAGCCCAGTTTCTACGGAATGGCTGATGGGCCATATACTGGTAACCCACTACCTTTTTGGATCTGCCGTAGGGGATGATTGATTTGGAGCCCCAACCGAGCTCCATTCCTTTGCACCGAAATTCATCAAAAGAACAGGCTTCTTCTGCAAGGAGGACGTCTCCTGGAGCAGCAAGTGCCTTTGGGCTGATGATGCTTTTCAACCCCAGCCATCTTCTCCTCCATCGCCACTTTGACAATGCGGTTCTTGAGCCTGGTTCCATTGGGTAGGAGTGACCAGTGCAGATTCTAGCAACGCTAAATCAGATTTTCAGTACAATGATGATCCTGGAGAAACTCGTCACCCTTACAGTGAACAATCTCTCAAATACTCTTGCCCCCGGTATCGATGCGTAGGAGAGTGCGAGAAAACTGTCTCTGCGAATCCGCAAGACCACGCCGTTTGCTCCACCGCCTGCTTCCCCGAAAGTAACCACCGGAACCTGAACTTTTCCGCAAAACAATTTGTGACTGTGTGGCCACATTATCCGCTATGTTTACGCTGAAAGCCCGGACTAATTATCGTCCAATCCGATATCCAGCTTTTTGCTTTTGCAGTCGATATGAATTCACACTTAGAACGTACTGAGCAATAATCGTCTCACTGCAAGCCGTGATACATCGGTCATTGGATCAATCACCTCGAGAACAAAAATTAGTGAGTCCGAGCCTAAAGTCCAAGGACTTCGAACATCCATTCGTCGCAAGAACCTTTTTTCCCTGTTCTGTTACTTACTATACTTACGTCACATGTTGTCTTTTCGCAAGTGCCTTGCGAGAAATACTCATGCTCCTGTTTCGATATTCCGTTTTATCACCACGCAATATGATCCCAAGCCTCCTCCGCGGCTTGCGGTTCTCACTCATCTACGATTGGTGCTCCCTCGCAAACTTTTCCGTACAGGGAGCCTCTACTGGCACCTAGCTTTCGGGAACCCGCTTGCGGATCAGAGGCGGCGGGGAAATTGAATTTGAAGCCAATATAGGACCCCCACGAACCGGAGGATTTTTCCTATTTGAGTGAAAACAAAAGCATGGACTCTTGCCACGCTTTTCATGAAAAGAGCCTCGGCTGCGGTGATGATCCCCACTTCGTCGTTCGGGATCGCAGACTTTGAAAATACATCACTTCATCGATATACACCCTAGATATCCAGCAAAGCCTTACGGAGTTTGACGCCGTATTTCGTATCCAACTCATTGGTGAATGATTCACCCCCCTTCTTTCACCCAAAGCCTAGGGCGCCGACTGGGTTTTGTGGCGGAGGCACCATACGCTTGATCCAAAACAATATGCGAAGCACCGATAAATGGCTTCTTCTCTCAGCGATATTTACATGATCTTCCTCAGCACCTTCACCGACGGCTCGTTTTTGACAAGAGGGAGTGATACATCTTGAGATGGCTTTCGACATTTCTAGGCCAGTGCTGCTAGTGTTGTCTGCCGCGGCGCAGGGCATGGTGCTAGTTTGCGTAAACCCTCCATCCCATTTCAGTCTGGATTTCACCACGGCTTTTATCTACATGGCGATATTCAATATATTGGCCTGGATGGTTTATATTCTAGCTGTATACCCCAATTTCGTCAGCCCTCTTCGACACCTTCCGTGCCCCAAGGTACGTAAGGTTGTTTTTTGAAGGACGTGTTCAGGCCAGACTAAAGTCGCCATTAATTTTCATTCAGGGCGCTCACCCAATTCTCGGTCACAGCACTTCTCAATTCAAATCCCCGCGGGGTGAAGACTACCTCAATTTCATCAAGGAGATTCCAAACGACGGCCTCATTCGTCTCAAGGGTCTCTTCAACACTGACCAGGTACTACTGACCAACTCAAAGGGTCTGGCCGAAGTTTTGGTCACTAGGCCCTACGAGTTTCCGAAACCTGAGACGGACAGGGACTTTCTGCGTCGCTCGATTGGTGATGGACTCGTTGTCGCCGAAAGCGTTCACCATAAACAACAAAGGAGACACATCTTGCCAAGTTTTGCCTTCAGACAGATCAAATGCCTCTATCCTCTGTTTTGGGAGAAGTCGGTGAAAATGGTAAAGGCTATCGATAGCGAAGTCTTTGGATCGCAATCTCCGCTCGCAAACCCCGACGAAAGGCCTGTTGGGATGACAGACATCGAATATTGGATACCCAAAGCCACGCTGGATATCATAGGAGTTGCGGGTTTAGGTCGAGATTTCGACACGCTACAGAAATCAGACGACAAAATCGTCAGACTCTACGAAGAACTTACTTCCCCTTCCACAGACATGCGCGCTCTGGCGACGATGCATATACTTGTAGGGCAGCCACTGGCTGATCTGATTTGCGTCTCTGCTTCTAGACGCCTCAAAAGAACGACACAGGAGTTACGAATCCTCTGCGAGCAATTTGTGCGCGAAAAGAGGGAGCGAATCAATGGCTCCGATGACAAGTCAATCGACACACTGGCTACGTTGATAAAGGCAGAAGTCTTTAGCGATCAAGAACTTGTGGACCAACTTTTAACAATTATTGTTGCCGGGTAAGTAAGCATGCTTCTCTTCCCCCCCTTTTCCTTTTCCTTTTTTTAAGAATCTGGTCGCACAATCCACTGGCAGCCATATTAATGGTATTCCTCAGCCATGAAACCACCTCCTCGGCCTTTACATGGCTAGTTTATCTGCTCAGTCTTCACCTTGACGTCCAATCCCGCTTGCGCAAAGAAATTCACGCTGCGTTACCTGCCGGCTTGTCTTCTGCCATCAACTCGGAAGACAATGATCTAGCTGCGACTCTCGAGTCCCTACCACTTCTCAACGGCATTTGCAGCGAGACTCTTCGGGTGTTCCCTACGGTTCCAATATCAGTGCGTGCAAGCAAATACAACACGACTCTGCTCGGACAATACATTACCGCGGGTACCAGAATTTTCTTGGCACCCTGGGCTGTCAACAAGGATCCAGCAATATGGGGTCCCGATGCTCACGAATTCAAGCCGGAAAGATGGATCGACCCTGCCACTGGAAAACCTAACCAGACAGGCGGAGCACCAACCAACTACGCATTTTTGACGTTTCTTCATGGTCCACGTAGCTGCATTGGACAGAACTTTGCCCGGTCTGAGCTGAGAGCGTTGGTAGCTGCTTTTGTGGGGTCCTATGAATGGACATTGGCCGATCCGAACGAGAAAGTAATTCCAGCGGGAGTGGTTACCACAAAGCCTAGAGACGGTCTAAAAGTCAAATTGACCAAGATCAAGGAGTGGTAGAGACTGATATGCAGCATTGAGCTGGATCATTACACTCTTGAAATACATTTCCTCTCGCTATTTATGCAGCAAAATTAGTCACCACAGCTTTAAATCGTCGAAACTGTGTCAGACTATGAGAGGTGGCGGATGGAAGGGTGAAAACTCGTGTGCAGATTGTAGCTATGGAAAGGGGGAAGCCCCTCTAGATAGGCCAGGGAATAGGGGTTCTTGGTACTAGGCACCAGCTGTTCGACAAACTGATTTGAAGAGTCTCATTTCAATTAAGCAGCCTCTCATCTTTGTCGCTGCGCTTGATCCTACGATTTTCCACTTACCACACCTATTCTGCGTCCTCTTCCCACTTCTGTGAATCCAGGTGCTTTCTGGATGACCCTGAAGGTGTGATATTTGATCCCGCCACGAGACAAAGCCGACGCGGTAGCTGTTCGGAACAGGTTTGCAAATAGATAAATCATATCCAGATAAATCCAAATCAAATCAAATCATTGATGCTGTTTTTTTTTTTTTTTTTTTTTTGGATAATTTGGATATTTGGATAAAAATTCTGTCCAATCAGCGCTTGCAAGCATTTACCCAATTAAGCTGAAAAACGCATATATCACAATCATTCTATTTAGCCCCCATTTCGCAGATCCAATGTCTTCAAGATCTGTGAATAGATTGTGGCTCGCGTGATCCTCTATCTATATCGTTATATTGGCGATATAGGACTTAGTGGGGAAGTACCAAAAAGAAAGGCCCCCTCCTATAGTCCATCTCTGACGAACTCATAGATGGGGCGCTACAACCAGCGAAAGTTTTCAGTCAACAAGTTCAACTAAAGGAGAGTTTGAATCAGTGACCTCTCCAGGTATCACTCAGTTCGACATCAACAATCACTGGCTGGAGCATTACGTTTACCCATCTAGGGCACCTGAGCTCAATGGAGCTAGGCCGGACAACCCTCTTGCCTTACTTATGATCGACCACTAGTAAGGTCCCTCAATTCTATCGGTTACGACTGAAACATAGTGTGCACACTCGGTTTCGTCCTTGATAGGTCAACCACGATTTGGCGTCAATTTTGAGGCAGTTTTCTTGTGGAATAAAATATTAAACTTTGATTTTTTAATTTTGGAATCACCAGGTTGTGGCTTGGCGTTGTGTGGAGACGCCAAGACCTGTGTGTTTGGCCAATCACGTTAGCATATGGTTTGGCAATGTCACGTGAGGATGTTGGCTTGTGGATTTCTGCCAAGGATTCTAGCTCACGCTAAACTACATTCGTTTACGGAACATATATAAAGCGGCCACCCCCATCAGATAGTTTTAGTAAGTTCATACAACAGACTTTCCCCTGTGATAATTGGGGCTTCAATTATCAAACGATATAAGTGGCTACAGTGGCTTGGCTCGACGAATTCGAGTCATGCCAGCACCTTTTTGGCACGTGATACTGCATCTGTAGCCCAGGAAATCACACCCCTTTGCCACACCGCCATCGGATCCAACCCGAGGACCATGTGCCCCCGAGGAGAAGAGAGGGGGGGGGCGCTGCTCGATAGAAGTCGATATCGAGGTGGTCCATGGATCGGATCCAGTCTGTGGACCACCCAGACGGGTTATCATAGCGGATCTAGTCCGTGGACCACCTAGACAAGCCCCCTTCTTGCTTTCTTGACTCTCTTGGTGCTACGTCTTGTACCTAGATCTAGATGCTAGCTGGAATACATTGATTGGATTCTCGACCCTAAACACTCACAACTGGTGGGATTAGGTGTTTCTGGCCGGTGGAGACCTAACTTAGGTGGACTGGAAAATGGTCAAGTGAAACAGAATCATGCAGGCAGTGCACTGAATAGCGATTACTCTTTCGATGACTGGACCAAGGGGCGGCTTCACGCGAGCACGGCTAAGTGGAAAAGATGAGAAAGCATTGACCTTGATAGAGGTTGATTGGTCGACCTGATAACAACGTCATGCATGACCAGTAGATGGATCCGTCGAGAGCTATGGAGATCTCTATCCTCGAAAAAGAGACTATGGCATTGGATTGGATAGCCCTTGCCTTCAGAATTTGGCCAGCCAAGAGCACAGGGTCAGTCGTTGCCACTCAGCAATTGGTAGGCATAGATCGAGGGACGAGCTGATGGGTTTCCCAATGATAATGATGAAGGAAGGGGAATGAGCACGCATCAAACCTCCCACTCCCTTTGTCCCAGACAAATGGAGAGACGAATATTGATAGTGGCATCTACCCTCATGGGTATAAGTACCCAGGTGGATAAGTCCCCGCGAAGCCAGATAACTGGAAGGAGATTAATCGGCAGTTGACCTTACCACGTCGCTCTCTTTCGCCTTCTAAGTTCACGCAGGAAGATTAAATACCCGGCGCGAAACTTTCACGAATAATAACCGCCGCATGTTTGGAGCCATCGAGACTGTAGTTGTGGATTACCCGAGGCGACGCAAAGCAAGACAACAGCTGCGGACCAAGGTAGGTGATGCGTTCAATAGCATCGTGACTATACTCGAAGAAAGACCTCGGAACGGGTAAGGTAACGCAAGCAATGGTGGAATCAATCGAGAAGTTCTGAATGCAGTTCTCGAATTTGCGGAAGCATTCCATTCACGGGCTCCGGCAGCTAGGCCGAGGGAGCAGTACAGGGCCTAACGAGCCAAAAAGATTGTGCATGTAAGATGGTCACAGTCAAAACTGAAATATCTCGAATCGGGGAGGGGGGAGGGGGGGTAAATGAAACCACTCCTGTCCATTCCACCATAGTGATGCGTTCACCTTGGGATGTATGTTAAACTAGAGTGCAACTTGAGATGTATTGAATGCTCCGTTTTCTATCTACCTGTTGCGTTCCTGACGTCTCCTTTAGAGACGTGTGAATGTCTCGTTGTTGCGCAGAGCAACTATCAGGAATACCGTTGTCTGTGGAAACTTTTTACCAGTGTTTCAGTGGTGGAGCCTATGTATGATAACTCCCTTGTTCGACAGGGGGAAGTGCAAAAGTTCCAGTCTCGCAATTCAAATGTATTCACTACGCTCAAAGATCCCTGAACATTCGTGGTCTTGCCAATCGAGATTCCGGCGTCTCAGCACTTCCAGCCCTAGCAGGAGGTAGAAGCAAGAGGGTGCGCACTCGCACCACGAGATACAACCAGGCAAAAGAGCAGGGATTCATTCAGGACTCGCAGGAGGCTCACGGGGCCCTGAAAGGGGTCGACAGCGAGATCAAGAGACGGCAGGAGGGTGGCGGAGCAACAGAGGCAACGCCGAGGTCAGAAGGCAAGAGGGTGCTCTACACCGACGATAGAAAGGCTTCATAGACAACAGAGACACCCTGACACGCAACAACGCCCAAATCGAGTGCCAAAAAGCTTGTAAATGCGAGTGCGAAAGGCTCTGTCAAAGGGTTTAACGACGTCGTTCAAAGAGCGCCAAAAGCGCCAACTATGCAAGGGAGGCCAAGTGGATGGAAATGCACCTCAAACCACTAGGAAAATGGGGGGTTTTTCAGGTACCTTTCCATCATGCGGATAACGCTCGCACAACTAGGCTCAATTGGTGTTTAGTAAGGTCGCTGCTGTACGCGAGTCGGTGTGAGTGGTCGGTCTCCCAATACATTCCCGAAGATCAGACCCGGGGTTTCCATGTGCGACTCGGTAATGAAATGTTGAACAGGGGGCTATAAATGTATAGGCTCCACCATTGAAACACTGGTGGGAGGTTTCCATAGACGACGACGTTACTGACGGTTACTCTGCGCGACGACGAGGCATTCGCATGTCTATAAAGAGGCCCTCAGCAGCTCGACAAGTAGATAGAGAACAGAGCACTCTTTCAATTCAAGTTGCACAAGAAGTTTGACATGAAACTCTTCAATCTCCTCAGAAGGCTTATTGTTGTCAAATGGATCATATTGAGTGCTCTGAGGGCCGCCATGTCCATCACCTCATTGTGAGTCTGGACCATTCGATAGAGACTCTTGCCGGCGCCAGAGGCCTCATTGTCATGGAATTATCGAGGTCGCATCAAGGACTGCAGAAATTTTCTAACCAATTAGAGCAAGCCATTTGCGGAGTCACGTGGTCACTGTCGGAAGTTGTCGTAGCGGCGGGAAGAGGATGTGTGAGCTAACTTAGAATTATCTGCTGGTGGTGGCCGCTTTACCGATATATGCTCCGTAAGCGAATGTAGTCTAGCGTAGGCTTAGGGTTCCACGGCAGAGACCCACACCTCGATGTCGTCATGCTACCAAAATAAGGTTTAAAATGGGCTACGTGCAAAACTCAGGAAGGTTATCCGAAAAATGTAGAGGGTTGTTAGCGTCTTGGCGTTGCGCCACCCCACACTCGACTTTGGGAGTGTGTTGGCTAGTCTTGGCATAAGGCGTGGCGCACTCTCACGCGACGCAACTCGTGCCGGCCCCCATTGCTCTTTCAGAGAAATTCAAAATCAATTTTCTGTCTATCAGAATGTTTCTTAGCCGCGATTCGGGGACTATAGGCAATCAACTACATATCTGAGGATGGAAAGATAGCTGCCCCGCGCTGAACTCCACTCCGTGTTTCTGCCCCTTTCCCCCACCCAAAGTCTCCACAGCCAAAGCCAATCTCAACCTCACCTAGACTAGAAATTGAATTCATGTCCCGTCGTGCAGCAGGCGGCAGGCGGACTCGGTTTCCTGGTTCACAAATTTGGAGATTTGACAGAAATTGGGATGTCAGGTCTGTCTAACTGACCATTGGAATTCCTCGAGATGGAAGCAGTTTTAATAGCAGGCTATCCTCTTCCTAAATTCGACTGATCAAGCCTGTCTCTCTCGACCACCTTTCAGGCTGGATCTTTAACCCGTTTCTGGTAAAGTCCTGCCAAATTCCACGCGTGAAATACCGGTCTGGAAACATGCCACTGATAGACAATCCAAGAGAGACACACTCCCAAAGTATCAAGTCGTTGACCTCGTCATATACCAAAATGGACAATTACTCTCCAGGCAACTCCGAGGCACGACTAGCATGTATTGCCCCGTTCTTCCGGGAGTCGCTGTGCAATTCTTCTTGATAGTTGGACGTCATTTCCTGCAGTGGGGGCCATGCGGCAGCATCATACCTGGGCTCCTCTCTGTTCTTCGGCCGAGACAGACTCCAGCGGGTGAGGATGACCGTCACGATTACAAGGAGAATTGCTCCCACGGACGCACCCACTCCAATCCCCGCTTTGGCTCCCTCACTCAAACCCGCAGATGTTCCCTGTTCGAGTGGACTGCTCGACGCCGATGCAGTAGCTGGAGCAGAGGATGTTGTCGACGAAGCCGAGAGTTGTGTCGTCATCGTGGACGCTGAGAAGCTGGTCGATGAGGAGGTTTCGGATGAGGAACTTGATGATGGGGAGCCCTGCGCAACGACAAAGCCGCCGCTGTAGATGCCCCATATTTCGCCAGTCGGGTTGTAGCTCGGAGGCTACCTTTAGCGAATGGCTCGAAGAGAAGCTAACAAATAGATCGAACCATCTGGTCATACATATCTGAGAAATATCCCTCTCTGACCGGACAGATTCGGATCGCAAATTCCATGAAGTTATGATATGTATATTGCTCTCTTTTGGCCATTTGTTAGCTGGTGAGATATATCAGTGTAGCGGAGCTGACCTACTTCGCACTTAGGAACATAGACACTAGGCTGAGACGGGTATCCCCAGGTGGTAAACCAGGAATATCTTAACCAATGGGAGAAGAGGGGGGGGAGGGCCTCTAGACCATGGAACCATTCCAGCCTTTTGCGGCCGAAGAATCCGTCCCACCTAGAAATACGTGGTTCCCGAAGAAGCATTAAGCTGACCCTGGATACGAAATGATGTCGGAAAAGAGGAGCTGTTGCTGCCGATTGACCAGGAGGCTACAGGCCGTTTATCTCAGCTCTTCAGTCAATTCTCAATCCGTCCCACCAATCTTCTTCCTGCAATGGATCCCTTTCTTCATTCTGAGCAGGCCTCCCTGCGAATTCATCGAGATACTTTCTGGATTAACGTTTATTTTCCTTCCCCAAGAAATTGTAGCCGTGGTTGAATAGTTTTCGGGATATCTGCCGCTGAAAGTTTCAAGGACACTCTAACGCTTCCAGCCCAATCCATCTGATAACATCCATGTAGTCCATGTCGATGACAATAACTGGTTGGGTGAGAGACAAAAGAGCATAAATCTTGTTTTGGGCACCTGAGCAGTTCGCTTTTGCGAAATATACTTGACTGAGCTGCTCCGGTGCAGCTGAGAGGTGGTGATATCACCTCACCTGACCTGATTTGGCTAGCGTAAAGCGACACTTTCGCAGTAAGCGGATGTCGAGGACGGTCAGTTTGGTTGGCTAATGGCCGGGGGATTATGATGCTTGGATAATTATAAGGTGTTCTGAGTAGCACTGGCACACAAACAAGCAGAAAAAGAGGGGTGATTTGAGATGTCTGCACTGGTTGGGTTGGGTGGATGTGATGAACAAATTTCACGGCACACCAGAGAACATCAATATGCGCGGTTTTGTTATTTGAACATACATGCCAAGGTCGTACCGAGATATGGACCTGGAGGTGCATCCATAGCTTTGCATTTAATGGGCACATCAGCGGAAACGGCTTCGTGCCTACGTAGGTTCACAGCATATATCCTATGGCCGAATCCGCTGCGGCCTTTTAGTTTTCGAGTCTCGAGTTATTTCACATCGTGGTAAACGTGAGTTAAAGCAAATTTCCCCCCCTTTGCCTGGCACCCGGGGCATACAGGAGCTGTCCTCCCACTCATATCTCAATCATCATTCTCAAGCCTCATCCAACTCGGGGTAATGTCGATAAATGCCCATGCCATACTTCAATCGCCTCTTGCTGCCCAGATACTTCTGGATCCTCTCTAGTCCCTTGACTCTCTCATACAACGCAAACACCTTCTCGTATTTTCCCTCCTCCCGAATCCGCCCCATACATTTCGGAAACGCATGCATCACGCCATCCAGCGTCTGAAACAGTACGAGATCCGCATACGTCAATTTCCCACCGTATAACCACTCGCCACCGCTCGCTTTCCCCCTCAACACTCGTTCAAAATACCCCAGAAATTTAGGCAGGCGGACCGTCCGATAGTCTTCGGCTTTTTTGAGAGCTTCGGCCTTTTGTTCTTCGTAATATTTCCCTGAGGCAATCGGGTGGTGCACGTCGTGCGGCTCATTGGAGAGGCCATCGAGCGCCGTCAACGTGAGGGAATTGACATGGTATATACCCAGGGGATCATCGTCAGTGTTAGGCACTAGACCGAGGCGCGGGCCCAGGTACATCAGGATATTGGGCGTTTGGGCGATGGTAATGTCGGGGCCGTGTTGGAGCAGGGGCGGGGCAAAGGCGGGTGGGTTATGTTCATCGCCGTAGTATTTGTCGCTGATTTGAGCGAGGACGGGATCGACGCCTGCAGACGTGCTGTTGGAGACGTCAACGTAGGGGGTCCCCGTGGCTTCGAAAGCGAGGCGGATGTGTTCACCGCGTCCGGGGAGGCCGGCCCAGTAGAGGAGGCGGTACTCCTTTTCGTGGTCGCCTGCTTTCTGGCGTTTGGAGGAGCGCGTGGATGTAGACATGTTGATTGGGAAAGGGTATGGAAGATGAACAAAGGGTGAGGCTGAGGCTGAGGAGATGGAGCTGATGAGGTTTGTAGTTGACAACGGGGAGCGACAGGCTTTGTAGGAGTAGGAGATCGGCCTCAAAGAGTGAGGTTTCGAGAGTCGTGATATCGGAGGGTCAGGAATGGTAGGACGCCTCATTCAAGAGCGATTTATTTGAGATGAGAGAAGTAATCGGTGACATTCAAGAAAGCTGAATGGTGGAAGGTCGTTGGATTGTTTATCTCCGATGCCAATGGGAGGGAAGTGGACATATGCCGACCCCGAGTGAGTTTTGTAATTTTTGACATCGACGGATACGCACCCCAGAAGAGCTTCCGAGGTTGGATGCAGGTCGACTGGCAGCCATTGGCCCGATATTCAAATGACGGATGTACAAGCAACATACTCGTCATTTCAATCAGCCTCTACTCCGACAAAGTCAAAAGCAAATCTCACGCGAGCATCCTCTCTTCCTCCCTGTTCGTAGACGATTTCCAACCTGGCCTTATTATGACATCCGTGCAAGACTCGCTGATTTTCGGCAACATCTTGTCAACTCGTGAATCCGCCGCCATTTGGTCGGATAAGACACGTACCCAATGCTATCTGGCCTTTGAAGGCGCGCTAGCCAAAGCCCAAACACGGTTGGGCATCATCCCGCAAAAAGCCGCCGACGAAATCATCAAGTTCTGCCTGGACATCCGCAACATCGACTTCGATGACCTGCGACGACAGACCGAACTAATAGGCTACCCGGTCCTCGGGGTCGTCAAGCAGCTCGTTCAGCACGTCAATGCCATCGAGCCGGGCCTCGGCGAGTGGGCGCACTGGGGCGCTACCACACAGGACGTCACGGATACCGCAACGGTGATTCAATTGTGGGATACGCTCAGTCTGTTCGAGAAGACACTCGAGACCATCATTCAATCACTACGCACGCGGGCGGAGAAGCACAAGGCCACACCGATGGCGGCACGGTCGAATTTGCAGCAGGCCGTGCCGATTTCGTTCGGGTTTAAATTGGCCCGACTACTCGCGACGTTCCTCCGGCATCGAGAGAGACTGAAAGACGTCGAGACGCGGCTGACGGTGCTGGAATTCTCGGGCGCGGCGGGCACGTTGGCGACGATGCCTCCGAGCGAAGACCACCCTCTGCTAGGGCTGGAGTGTCAGAGGGAACTGGCCAAGGATTTGAATTTAAAGGTTCCGGAAATAGCCTGGCACACGGAACGCGACCGGATTGCGGAGTTTGGGTCCCTTTGCGCCATGTTGAGCGGGACGTGTGCCAAATTCGCCCTCGACGTAAAACTCATGACGCAGACGGAAGTCGGCGAAGTATCGGAGCCGTACGTCCCTCATCGCGGCTCGAGCAGTACGATGCCGCAGAAACGGAATCCGATTTCCTGCGCGTATATTACGGCCATGAGCAGTACGGTGAGGCAACTAAGTGCGAGTCTCTTTGAGGCGATGGTCGAGGACCATGAAAGAAGCACCGGACCGTGGGAGATTGAGTGGATTGTGCTCCCGCAAATTTCGACGCTGACGCACGCGACGCTGAAACATACGGCTGATTTGATTGCCGGACTCGAAGTCCATGAGGACGCGATGAAGAGGAATCTCGCCATCAGCCAAGGTGCGGTGGTCTCGGAGGCGGTGATGATGGGATTAGGTCCGGCAATTGGAAGACAGTATGCGCACGATGTGGTTTATGATTTGTGTCGAAGGTCGCAGCAAGAGGAGAGGCCGTTACTGGAGCTGCTGTGTGAGAATGAGGAGATCCGGAAGAAGATGAGCCGGGAGCAGTGCGCCAAGTTGTGTGATCCCGCGAATTATTTGGGGTACAGTGAGGCAATGGTTCAGAGGGTCCTGAAATTGGCGGATGAGCCGAGACAAGAGAGGAAAGCAAGTCTTGTTTAATGTTTAATAATTCTGCGAAAGAAGACGATGGAACGTTATGACTGAGGGACCTATATCGATGGTTCGTCCTCCCTCTCGTGTGTCCTGTGTCAGCCCGGAGAGATGCAAAAAGGTGCATAAAATGGGGTCGTTGAAATGATCTATGTACAGAGAAGTATAAAAACAGTCATCATCCTTTCTCTCGTCCCGTCTAGGATATCATCTGAACAGTTTCCCAAGACCTCTCAAGGCCACCCATGGCGATATCGGGGAGATCCTAAAATCCCAGGGCAGTATTGAACGCATCAGCAGCGGCCTGACCAGTGGCGCCTTGTGCGGCTGTGGCGCCGGAGTTGCAGGCATCGATGGTAACTGGTGGCGCCTTGCACTTGTCGTTGAGCTGTTGGCCTAGAATTCCATTATCAGCACTGACGCGGAAAATCAGGATGGAAGACAGATTGATCAGAGGGAAACTTACAGATGAAGTCAGTGATGACCTTGATACCCAGTGCGGAGCCATGCGGGAAATCCGAGAGGCTATGAGGCTCGAAGGCTGGCTCATCTCGACCATCCAGTCCGTCCGCAAAGATAATGGTCGGATCCGAGCATGATCCGAAATCCAAGGTCGAGGAACCGGCGCTGGCAGTCGTCGAGGTCTCGACAGCAGCCGTGGTAGTCGTAGAAGCCTCGACGGCGGCCGTGGTCGGGGCAGAGACAGACGCCAGGGCAGATGACACCGCATCACTGCAGTCCGGGGGGGGAGGAGGGGGAGGAGTGCATTCTGCGGCTGCGCCAGCTGAGCCCGAGGCAGCAACAGCAGCGTTGATTTCATCCTCGGTGGCGTCCTCGATAAGGAGATTCTGGGTGAAAATGCATCCCTCCGGGTCATTTGGATCGTCACAGCTATTGCCCTGGGCGGTGGGGTCACCAATCGATCCTGGAGCAAATGTGCCGGATTGTAGAGCATCCAGCGGATTGCCTCCGATGTTGGAGATCTGTACCGCAAGCTCGAGGACAATAGCTTTGTTCACGGCGGCCGCATTGTCTGAAGCAGGATCCTGATGTTGAGAAATGGCAGCAATCTCATGATTCACGGCTTGAATGGCCGTGCAAGGGACCGATGCCTGGCCCACGGCACCGGTATTTCTCTCTAGAGCCCGGTAGATCAAGGCTCCTGTCATTCCCTCGACGGAGCCAGCAGCTTTAGCGTTGGTGAAGGCTCGATCGGCGGTGGCTTGTTGCAGACAATCCGTGTTGGAGATTTGGCCCTGGCCAGCGGCGGCAGCGGCGTTGCCCAAGAGACCGAAGACTGAACTGACAATACCATCTGGGTTGTCCATCTGGAGGAATTGATCGACGAGAGTAAGGAATTTCTCATGCGAATGTTCTTGCGGCACTTCACGACGGCCAAGTTGAGTATTCCACACAGGTCCGGAACGGATTTGCTTGTGTGATCCGGCGGAAGAAACCATGTCTCGGCCATGGTTTCGACTGATATGAAGGTTTGCTGGTCGAGCGGAGGCGAGGTCCAAGCCGGCCGCAAGGAAGGAGAGGGAAAGGACTAGTTTCATGGTCGATCTGATTCGTGGATAACCGGTGATGCTTCAAGTCTTGTCGGGAGCGTGCTATTCGTTTGACGAAACAAAAAGAAAAGAAAAGGTTGTAGTATACAGAATTGGCCCAGGCCGGTATCAGTTCTCCAGGAACGATTGGGAATTGAAAGGGGAAATGAGAAGAAAAGAGCGTGGTTCAAATGAACGAATGTCCTAGATGGAACTAATTGGAATGGCTCCTGAAGGAGAAGGGGGGAACAGAGTGAATTGAGGCATATATACCGTTTCTTCCCTAGTAGATCGTAACCCTACCTGTGTGTCATTCTTCGGTAAACCCTACCCTAAGATGCTTCGCGCTTGGACGGTGCCTGATACAGTCAGCGGTCAGATGGGAACTCCGATGACGACAGATCGGCCGCGGGATCTAACCAGGGGAAGCCTGTCTCATCGTAATAGTGTTGGTCAGAGACAGGCATGAACCAAAATGGTCGACCGCTGTGTCAAGTCGATGGTGATGACCTGGTAAGCGAGAAAGAAGAACACGGCCTCGGATCCCACGGAGGTCAGGTTTAAAGCTGGTCAGACATGTCATGAATTGCTAGCTACATCCAAAAGAAGACTGGGTCAAGCTTTTTGAAGCATTTGGATAGGTTTGGTTGGTGTGTGAAGGGGTTGAAGGGAAGTTGACAGACTCCGGGTGTTCATTTCAAGTTTCGCCAGCAGGAATCGTGCCGCAGGTTCGCCTCCGAACTCGGCCACTTACTTTTACCGCACCATTACCCAGAAAATGAAATGAAGAAAACGTATCTGGGAGAAAATAACTTAGGGTTTGTGTCCCGGTCTTGAATAAAGGTGCTACCGTCATGTTCCTCGCTCTCTACCGAACTAACCTCTAGCTTCTCTCTTCCTCTCTGTACCTCGCTGTGTGTCAGACTCACACCCCTCCCCTCTCGCCTATCGACATTGGAAACACAAGCGCCTTCACCAGTGCCTTTTCCCTTTCGTCAAAATTTTCGTCCCCAGGGGTCCGTCAGTCCGTCATGCGAGTCATGTCCAATATTATCTCCGATCAACACCTGCAGCCTCGTGGAAATCTCTCGGCCCAATCATCTGCCCCCAGCACCCATGCGTGCAATTCCTTCCATAATCCCGCAACTCCTTCCACTATAACCGGGAGCTTTGGCAGAAGGCGCTTTCAACCCAGACCCAGGGGCTGGAATTCCTGAATATTTGCCGGCGGTCGGTTTCTGTAGCATGCTCATTGGTCGTGGCCGAGCGGAGATTCCTGTGGTCCCTCCACCCTCTTTCCCTCCATTCATGCTATTCCTGAATTTGTTCGGACTCGCGATGGCAGATGCCGAGTTGGGCCTTCCGTTCCCATCTTCACTCCTAGGGGGGCTCACCGGTTGATGTTGGGGCTGGGTTGCCCGTTGTTCGTCTTGTTGGGCGCTCATTGCTAAGAAAAGATCCACCTGGGCCACCAGGTCGCCCTTCTCGACTCGTTCTTGTTCCACTTCTTTTCGCAGGGATTCAGTGTCGGCGGTAAGCGAGTCAACTTGACTTCGAAGTCCGGCTGCCTCTGCTTCAATCATTTTCTTCTCGGCCACCGTCTCTTCGTTCCACCGCCTCAATTCTTCGATCTGTCCTTCCATCTTGGAAAGGGCCTCACTCTGTCCAGGGATGACTCCGCTCATGGTGGCTTCCTTTTCCGTTTGCAGCCGAATCACCTCATCTTGAGATGCCTTGAGTTCGGCTCGAAGCTGTTCCACTTGCTTGATCCATCGCTTTTCATAGCTGACCTTGAGGTCGGACACTTTTCTTTCATGTTTGCTCTTGTACAGGGCGTGCAATTCACGGGCCACCTTCTCCGTCGCATCCTTGACCGCGAAATCAATATCAGCACTCACCCCCGGGGTGGCCGGTCCATTGGTTTTGTCCGGACTCGGAGTCGATCGGACCCGTTCCGATCGCAGCGTATCGAGAGAGGCCTGAAGTTCGAGGATGCGGACTTCCTGTTCCTCCACCTTTCGATCCGCTTCTTCCGTCTGTCGTCGAAGCTTTTCCTTCTCTCGCTCCTCGAGAAAAACATTTTGTTTGATCTCGCGAAGGACCTCCTCCATTTCTCGGCTTCGTCGCTCCAGGTCACTCTTGGCCTGTTCGAGCTCGGCACGAGAAGCCCGTTCCGTTCGGAGTTCTTCGCTGGTCTTGCCCACCCGCACCTCGGCATCGGTGATCGCGCGTTTCAATGCCATGACCTCGGCCTCCTTGCCCGATAAAGTGGCTTCAAGCCCGGAAATGCGTGACTGCAGTTCCGATCTCAAGGTCTCCAATTCTCGGGGTGTGATGGTGGGAATGGATCGTGGAGTGGCCATGGGTTCCAGATCAATGTCGAGCAAATCCACGCCCAGTCCCGTTGATGCCCCCGACAGACTGTGTCGCTGACCAGCAGGAGTCGCAGGGACATTTCGGTCCCCCAAAGCCGCTTGGTGTTGCTTTTGAGGGGACCGTCCACTTGCTCTTTCACGGTCTACCGAAGCTTGGGAGCGGTGCGCCGGGCTCGGATTGACTTTAATGGGAAACCCTCCCCTTCCCGATGGGCTTCGTCGCATGGTTCGAGGGGCTGAGTTCGGCGGAGGAATGAGAATATTTGTTTGTCCCGTAAAATTCAAGAGATCCGTGGGTGAGTCGTTGGAATGGCGTGGTCCTCGAGGAGTGGCTTCATCATCTTCGTTGGATGATGTACTTCGTCTGGACGTAGACAACAGCCGCAGTGGCCGCTGAGCAGTTCCGGGAGTGCTGGTAATGATGGAGCCGCGCAACTGTTTGGAGGGTGACCAGGGTTCTCGGTGTGGTTTGGACGGCGAATGGTGCGAATTGGCAAATCTGGTCATGTCGGTAGGGATGGCCGAGATTGTGCTCAAGTCACCCACTGTCTCATCGTGCGAGGTCTTGTCATCAAGACTAAGGGTCAGAGTCATGTCGTCTAGGTCGTCTTGGGACAGAGAATTGCTTCTCCTCGCGCGATCTGGTGAGGCACTGATCCCATCATGTGGCGTATGGTGGACGACGGATTCGTCCAAACTGTCGGTGTGCACCTCCTTTTGCATGTTATCCATTGCCCTTGTCAGACCTTCCGTAAATCGTACGGTCGGTTCGGCAAGGGACCCTGGAGGCGAGTTGTCAAATCTTGATTCATCGTGTAGGCGGTATTTGATGGGCGAGAATGCCTTTCGGGGGCTAGATGGTGGGCTAGAGGGAACAGGAGGAGAAATAGGGTGATCCATGATCGATCGGTGAATGTTGGTCGTATCAATGGCAGTGGTTTGGACGACAGCAACGGCGGACATCGCAGGAGGTGACTTGAGAGGATCGGTCATCAAGGTCGAGTCTGGTTTCTGGAAGAAGTCGAGCTTGATAGGAGAGGATCTGGAGTTCTGCTTGGCAGGCGACAGGGTAGACAGTGGCTCAGGCATGGTGTCGACGAGCAGCCGTGTCGATTACGATCATGGTAGAAGTATAGAGCGACAAGATGGAGAGAGCCATGGAGAGAAATGTTTGTGGGGAATTTAATGGGGTTATCGTTGTCGGTTGGTGCTGATATTAATGTTGGTGTTGGTGTTGGTGTTGGATGCAGGTTGCACGGCGACAGAAGCCTCCTGATGGTGGATTCAAATCTTAGGGTGGCCCCCCTTCCCCGTCGAAATCAGGTAAACATTGCCCATGTAGACTAATCCATTACTGTATATAGTCCAATATATACTTCGAAACTATGCTGGATTGGGATATAGCGCGAGAGTACCCGAATTGAGTCCCTGCATCTCGCATCAGAAACACCCATCGCACATAATTTATTTTCTCCTGCATCTTGCTTGCGTCTTTCTCCCCCACATAATGGGCTCGGAAAGCGCCGCTGTCATAATGCCATTCAACGCTTATGCATCTCTCTTCCTCTTCGTTGGTTGAATATCACCCTGATTCGGATTCTCTGCGAGAGATTTGCACTGCAAAAGGAGAAATCACACCCCTAAACCCCAAAAACCCATTCGAGCGTCAATCTGGGCAACTTGATTGCATCGCCCACAAAACACTCTCAACGCTTCCTCCCTTGGCCTTACATACCCCCTGATGGGCCACGCCAGACAGACGAACGGACATGCATGTGTGAAATGGCCACTGGAAGGCCCGAAATACTGGTGACCCTGATCTTATGCCGTCTTTCCACAAGAGCCGGCCCACTCCATTTGCAGCAATGCGTGCTCCATCCTCACGGGATCTGGTCCAAACTCCCTCCTTAATGTCGACTCGTCCATACTGTTGCCCCAATGTCCGGCCTGCATCTGCAGAACCACACAACCTCAGGATCCGAGACACCGATACAGGTCCTTTCCATATCACACATTCTTGAAAGATACCCCACTGAAGCTGCAAAAGCTACTGACTGTGGAATCTTTGGGTCTGAAGAAAGATGTCACTCCGGAGTCTAGTGGCCTAAGACGGATGACCGAGATTACCGACTCCAAATCTCTCAGGATGAGTTCGTCTTTGAAAAGGTCGCAAAGCTGTTCGGACATCTTTTTGGAGACAAGATGGGCGCCTTCTCGGGGGTTGCTATGAATCCGCTCCAGTTTGGAGGAGCCAATGAAGCGTTGAGAAATCGATTCAAGACTACAAAAAGCATGAAAAGATCCCGGTTGATGAACGATGGCCTCGGAATGGTAATGTCGTTTGGCCCCTTTATCATCCTATCCATATCTGCTGTGATTATTCTCATCTCTCGCTGAGAGCGACCCAGAGCCACCACTTGCAAAGGTTTTGCCCCAGAAACCCTTTGTGCGACTGGACAAACTCATGGATAATAGCGATGAAATCCGCACTCTGTCCACCACTGTGTGAGCTTTCAATAGCTTGTCATCTGGTTCGAGAATGCTTAGGACGACTCTCAAGCTCTTGCACTTGTTCTCTGGGGAATTATCCGCCCAAAAGGGAGGATAAGTCGGGTTTCGTGAGCTGAGGAGATTCATTGTCATTCGTATTAGCTCGTTCACAACTTTTGGTGCATAATCTTCATATGAGGGAGACCTTTCTACAAGTAACCTCGCCTAATTAAATGACGGGCTCCTGCTTTAGTGGTACAGTCATCAGTTAGATGAGTGCGATGCGAGGACGGCGGCCGAGTGAGAACATCTTTAAAAATTCTTCATTAGCTAACCCGGCCCTTCTTACAATACCAGGTACTTTTGAAATCTTTTCTCCGGCCGCAAAGATGTGGCAGAATGATTTAGTGGGGTTTGCGAGTTTGCTATTGATCACCGTTGTCTCGAATTTGTGGAGGCAATCTCCGCATCCGGCTCAGAACTGTTGGACCGATATGGCCACCTATTCCTCATCAAAGGTATACAAACTGCCTGTTGGGCATTTCCACCTCCGTTTGAGGAGCTGTTACCGGCATCTAAGAGCAGGGATGGCACACGTTAGTGGGGATGCATATAACTGGACGACTGATGTGTTCGCGCGAAGTGCTCAATGCAGGCTCGATACGTTCAGTCATGCAATCTTTGGGGGTCAACGCCCTCCGGGATTTACCACGTTGACCCAGATTTAGATCATACGGGTTGCATGACCACGTTCGCAGACCATGTTCGCAGACCATGGAATAGACGTTGCTGTCACTCTGAACAACAAGATTGAAGGCCCTTGTGGGTGGATGGTGAGGGACTATAACTGGCAAACGGCGAATTTGGATGCTTTAACGCACTTTGATCATCTTCTGGCCGCCATTGTTGCCGGCAATTCCGCCTGCGCCCCTTGTTGGAAAACGGCAATAGCGGACGTCAAGCTGTACAGGGATACCGGAAGATACTGGCAGGCCTCCACAAGAATTGCCGCCCCATATATCGACCCGTTGGCCAATATTGATCTCTCCAGCTGTGTCCGTTCGCCCATCTTGTCTGCCAATGAATTTTGTGAAAAAGGTTACCAGGGCATCACTGATCCATGGTCTCTGGTGACAGGGGAGCCTGCATGTAAGTCGGTCAATTGTAATGACTCTAGTGCTTGTAACTTTTCGCGGAGAATTTTCTCCAGCATGGGATCAAGACCTCGGAAGTCCTGGAGATAGTGGATCAGATAGACGCAGTCGTCCCTCCAGTTGATCATATCTTCATCATTCCCAAATTGCCCGGCGAGGCTCACTACGTCAGCTGCGGTGTTGATCAGTTCAAACAATTTCTGGAATATGCTACGGCCCTGTTGTTCTAATGACTGACGAGATATCTTCTCCAGCACGCGTCGTAGATATGCTGAACGTTGGACCGGAAACAGAAGTAACATGTAGTCCTGTGCGGCAACAGAGCTGAGGAGATGCTTTGACATGGCCATCTGCCAGACGAGGGTACGGATCCATTGACCCGTGACGATGAGATCGGCCCGCTGAATTTCGGAAAGGATGGACTGGGCGACCTGCAGTTTTTCAAGCTGCTGATTCAGCTCTGTCTGCTTGCCCTCAATCCATTCTAATGTCAAAAGAGGGCTTTCGTCTTTCTCGCGCCAATTCCGAAAGAAATCCTCGTCAAGCAGGCTGTAGAGCGCAATGAGACGATCAAAGCCTTCTCGAACATGACGAGGAAGGTCGGAAGCGTTTTCCGGGGATGGCGGAGGGACGGTCAGAAGAGGTTGAACCTCATGAGCAATCACAAAGTTGCGTTCGTGAATGAAAAGAACCCAATGGAGTCGTTCGAGTGTGACCCTGTCCCTGAAGTCCATCTGGCTTCCTTCGCTGGAATGTTGAAGGTGGAGTAATTCGAGCATCGTAATGGCTTCCCGGAGGTAGACGAACTCCATTTCAACCTCCTGCAGGAAGCCGAAACAAATACGGACAAACGCACTGGTCATGATTCGCCGAATACTCAAATCTCGGTGATGGATGATCGGAGATCGCGCTTCAAGAGCTCGCGAAACAAGGTCCGCAATGAGAGGGGAGGCGTCGAGATATTCCTTCGGAGGTGTCAAACAGACGGTGACGGCGGCGTAAGCATAGGCAAAGGCGGCATCATCTCTATTGTTCCTCAGTCGGGAAATGGACTCTCGTACTCCATTCTCATCCACGATCGGGCTGGCCGGGAAAACGAGGGCACAATAGTCCGGAAGGAGGCTCAACAGGAGGCTTTCGTCCACTGAAGGGAAGCGTCCTGCTCTTTCATGATCGGACTCCGGAGCCGGTTTGATTGCGCGAGGTTTCGAGTTGACGCTGGGTGGCGGAGCCCTGAGCGATGAGATAATGAATCCACGCCTCGAAGTACGTGCGCTTTTGCATCCTCTTGGACGCTGAGGGCGATACGTGCAATTTATGCCAAGGTGTGCGCACTGCTGACAGGGTCGTTGGCTATTACCTGCAAAAATAGTAGGCGATGATTTAGCTCTCAGGCGTGTTCTACCTACATTTCACCTTCCGAATGCTGCAGGCTGTACATGACTTGCACACGCGAACACTGATTTCTTCTGTCATGGATAGCAATGATGCCGATGGAGTGGCCGATAATAGATGTGCTTAGCTTATTTCGGAAAGAGACGAGGCTAGGCGTCTAACTAAATCCATGCAAAGGAGCACTTCAGGCAAAGGAAAGAGGAATGGAAAGAGCAAAGAAACGATAAGAGAGACGGAGAAAGGCTGGATAGAATGTGGCCAAAACCCGATGGTTCGTGAGGGGCTAAGCTATGGTAATTGGTGTGAAGTGGGGCTGCCTCCGCTTGCTTCAAGGTGGAAATATAGACTCCGTTCCTTTGTAAGAGTCGCAACCTGCCACTCATCGGGCCGACATTGAACCAATCGGACCCCAAGAGGGAACTCTATCCTAGTCTGGATAGATCCCAAAAAGGAGGAAGAAACCAGACACCACCGAACAGATTAGAATGTGGTTCGAAACAATCAATTCGTACATAAGTCGGCTAGAAGAGCTGGTGCGCCAGCCGCCCTTCTAGCCAACAATTGAGTGAGCTTGCTGCAATTGGGGTAGAACACCCCAAGAGCCATGATCATGGCTGAGTCCGTCCCCTGGTGGAAAGATGCCACTGTGTACCAAATATGGCCGACCAGCTTCAAAGACTCAAATGGGGACGGTATTGGAGACCTCCCCGGGGTTATTTCAGCCCTGGATTATCTTAAAGACCTTGGGATTGACACGATATGGCTATCGCCCATTTATCGAAGCCCTCAAGTGGATATGGGCTACGATATCTCAGATTATGAGGCGGTGTACGAGCCTTTCGGCACGATGGCAGATATGGAAGACCTCATTGCTAGCTGCCATAGTCGAGGAATGCGCCTCATTCTCGATTTGGTGATCAACCACACCTCTCGGGAACATGCCTGGTTCAAAGAGTCCCGGGAATCGAAAGAAAACCCCAAAAGGGATTGGTATATATGGCGCTCTCCCGTATATGATGCTGAAGGACATCCACATCCTCCGAACAACTGGCGAAGTGCATTTGGTGGGAGCGTTTGGGAATGGGACGAATTGTCCCAAGAATATTACTTGCACTACTTCACCCCGGACCAACCAGATCTGAATTGGGAAAATGAGGAGACCCGAAGGGCCATCTTTGACTCGGCGATCACTTTCTGGCTCGAGAAAGGCGTGGATGGTTTTCGTATAGACACCGTCAACAAATTTAGCAAGCCCCCCACGTTCTTCGACGCCCCCGTCTCCGACCCAACATCCCGGTGGCAATACGCCTACAATCTCTTCTGCAACGGTCCGAAGATCCACGACTACCTCAAAGAAATTAACGAGAAGGTTTTGTCAGCCTACGGCGAGATCATGACCGTCGGGGAGCTGCCATGTACTCCTGACCGCCACGACATCGTGCGGTACGTCAGTGCCCACGAGCGCGAGCTCAACATGGTCTTCCATTTCGACATGATCTATTTGGGCATGGGAACGGTGAAAAAATACATGTTTGAGCCGTTCACCTTGACCGACTTCAAACGGGCATTGTCCAAGTGGCAATACTTTATTGACGGCACGGACACGTGGACCACGGTCTTTGGCGAAAATCACGATTCCGCACGATCTGTGTCTCGATTCGCTTCTGACGCGCCCGAACATCGCGCGACCTCGGCGAAACTCCTCGCCCTTTTGTTTATCACTCTGACTGGCACTCTCTTTATCTATCAAGGACAGGAAATAGGTATGATAAACATCCCTCCAACCTGGGGGGTGGACGAGTACAAGGACATCGAATCCCGGAATTTCTACAACTCGATCAAAGAGCAGTCTGGAAACGATCCCATTGAAATGCACAAAGCCAAAATGGGTCTATCTATTCTTGCGAGGGACCATGCACGCACCCCTATGCAGTGGAGCAGCTCATCTCATGCCGGGTTTACATCCGGTCCCACGCCATGGATGCGTGTCCATGACAGCTACACGGAAATCAATGTTGAGCGACAATCCGGTGACGAACGAAGTGTTCTTCGGTTCTGGAAGACCTTGCTGCAGTGGCGGAAGCAGTACCGCCAGCTCTTTGTCCACGGGCTATTCAGGGAGTTTGACCATAACAACCCAGCTGTGTTCACGTATCTTAAAATTTCGCGCGAATCGAATCATGTGGCTGATCATGATTGTCACCTCCAGGCGTTAGTTACTCTCAATTTCAGCGGTGAGCGACAATCTTTCATGAAGCCAGAGGATCTTCGGGACAACGACCTTGAGTTGCTGATAACCAATGTCGATATCGCGGAGCCAGATTCTCTTGCACCGTATGAGGGGAGGGTTTACTGGGTCAAGAAGACGGCAAATTCCACGGCCACTTCTTGTTCGACGAGAACCACTGCCGGTCCCCCTTAACCGAGATGAATATTGGCAAATTTCTTTGGCCAGACATAACAAGTTTTGTGGCCTTTTTATAGAGTAAATGGTATGACTTTCACTGAGATGGCCACGATCCGAAAGAGAATGTGTTGAACAAATGGTGATCTATCGTTCATGACAGACAAACTCATTCTGCCACATTCACTTCCTAGCTTGCAACACCACTGACCGGCAACAGCGCCAGCATACACCGCGTAGATGGGCTCCATCTCACTCATTTGAGGAGCTCAGAGCATTCAATACGTCTCAAGTTGCACCCCGTCTGACAGAATGGACCAACTCATTCCATTATGGAGTCTTGATCCCGTTTTCCAGTAACAAGAGTTGGGTCCATTCCGTCAATAATGAGCAGTCCAAGAACGTCACAGCCCGTAAACGAAAGTCCATTTCTTGTCCGCATACCGCTTGTCGTCCCGGTTCTCTGCCTCTACCTCCTCAGGACTCATAGTAGCTAGTTTTTGGGCCTTCCATCGATTGGCAAACCTCAGCTCATAATGGTAGCAGAAGTACCCAACCCACGCCACCGCGATCAAACCCACCGTGACTCGGAGTGGATAGTGATAATCTGGACCGTATTCGGCGAGAAATAGCTCGCTGCCAATGATTCCGCCCAAATTCCCCCAGCCATTAATACCGAGGATGAAGGTCCTTTTTCCGGGCTCAGGCGTATTACCTGCGAGCCAAGCCACTGTGATCGGAGCCGCGATGAACGTTCCCGCGAGCAGAACTACGAGGCCACCATAACGTCCTCCGATGTTGGAAAGTGGGATGGTAATAGTGCAGATAAGACCAATAATTACGATGGTCAGACCAACCAGGATATGAGCAGTACGCTCCCGGAAATGGTCGGATGAGTATGCAAAACAGAGGAGGAATATCGTGCCGATCACATATGGGGGTACGGTCATGAGGTTCGCAGTCGCCCCGGAATAACCTAGACCCTGACACGGGTATCAGTAATTTTCAGGGGTTGGAGATCAATCCGCAAAGCTCACCTTGACAACGATGGGAAAGAAGATGGTGAATCCTTGAGGAGCAATGCTGGCCAAGATGTTGAAAGGAAGGACGCCCCATAGTTTCCAGTCCTTGATTCCCTCCCAGATGTCTCGTTTCGTAAGCTTCTTGGTCGAATCAAGATTTGACGCGGCATCAATCACCATCCGGCGCTCGGCAAATTGCCTCTCAGTCTCCTTCAGAAACCAGGCCCTCTGTGGACTCGGCGGCAGCCAGAATGGCGTTACACAGGCTACGGCAATCGTGATGCAGCCTTCAATAATGAAGAGATACTGCCAGCCGTGCAAGCTGCCCTGGATATGGAAACACCCGTAGGCAATCAAACCACCGAAAGCACCGGCAATGGTGTAAGAGCCGTAGAACAGACCAATGCGGAATGCCAGATCAAATCGGGGATAAAAGGTGCTTAGATACGAGACGCAAGTCGGGTAGAAGCCAGACTCGAAAACGCCAATCAACAGTCGAATAGCGATTAGCTGTCCTTCTGTCTTGATGAAGGCGTGGCACAATGTTACTATGCCCCAACCTAAGGCAATGGCTCCTAGCCAGTAAGATTGGCCGAGCCTCTTTCCGATCGCGGCTGAGATTGGTTGCAGTGGGACAAATGTGGCAAAGAAGAGAGAGGCCGCCGTGTTGACGGCAGTTTCGGGCATACCCAGGTCGTCCGTAAGCCCTATGATCCCACGTTACTTCTGCTCAGAAACCTTCGCGTCGGGCGTATTCAGTGACACAATCCCGACTCAGACAAAACTCACCATCAGTTTGTGCATTTCCAAGGTTGCTGCGATCCAACCCATTCAAAAGATAGACCAGGACACAGAAGGGCAAGACGAAAATATCGAGCTTCCGGTTCAGGGCCCGAGAGCGACGCCGCTCCTCCGGGTTGTCTGGCTCATAGCCTCCTTGCTTAGACTTTTTCAAGGTCTCTTTCAGGTCCAGTGCGGACTTCTCGTCCACGGTTTGGAGCACTTGGGAGATCTGCTCGACGTTGGTGATACCTTGGATTTCTTCGTTCTTGGTTATGGCCATGGCTGAAGTAAAATTTTTACCACTGTTAATTTGTGTCTAGAAAGACTGAGAAAGACTTGCCGGGAATTTACACATCTTGTAGCATGAGCCTAGTTACGATGAGGAGCATGAGCAACCAAGGAGACCCGAAGAACCTCAGGCACAGGATGCTTAGGCTGAGGAGCATTGAGGGCAGTCGCGGATCACCAAGTTTTGGCCATTCTATCGGTCCGACATTGGGCCAATTAAAAGGAAGAGACCCCAAGGTTTCTCCAGGCGTTGAGCTCTCGGGCTAGTGATCAAAGAGGCTGGGGTTTGTGCGGGGACCTCCACCTGTTAGTTATGTATAGAGTCCTGTTTGACCAGCGCTCTCAACACCTTCGTGCGCTTCTTGAGAGTCTTGTCAACGCTTTTCTCTGTCTCCTGACGTCAGATTCCTGTTGCTGGCGGAGTCCATTATGCGGATAACGCTCGCACCACTAGGCTCAATTCGGTGTCTAGTTAGGTCGCTGTGGTACGGCAGGTCGCCGTAGTTAGCCGCCCTCCAGAGACAAGCCGCTTTGAGATTTCAGCCGAGGTAACTTGGTACAATAGAGTAAATATGGTAGCAGCCCTTTCCTGCATTGAAGCCAAATGCGCAGTTTTTAAATCATTATCAGAGCTCTAGTTAAATCTGTGATACACCCCCCCCGGAGGTTTTCTCTCTGCTACAAGTTTCTGAGCGTCCATGCTCTTATCTGTTAAGTTCTGAATTCTGAGCATCCTATCTCCTTGATAACACTAGGGGGGCAAGAGCCCTGAGCCACATTATTGTGGCTGGTGGCTGAGTGGTGGCTGTCCAGTTGCTGTCATTTATTGCATGACACGGTAGTTGCACGAGGCAAGTATAGTTATGGATTTCAGCTTAAGACTTGTAGTTAATGGAATCTCGATTTTAAGTACGGATAATATGAACGTGATTAGTGAAATATAGAAAGTTTTAAGAGCATTGTAATCTAAGCACAGTTATTTGTACCTTCTGCGTGTATTGACTTTCCTTGGGCTATGTCTTATACTCAGCTTTAACATACCCTTTATATCGTGATCCAGAACCCTCACAGCCCAGTGGCGAAATTTGCCCGACCCACTCTGTGGAATGGGGCACAGAAGACTTTGGGGTGGGCCAGAATCTGCTATTCCTGGACACAAAAAGCTGCCCCTGCTCTGCTTCATTCTTCACGCTTGACATGCATCACGGGCGGAACATACTCTTTCCTCCCCTTGACCACATAGTATATCACCGCAATAATCAAAGTACTGCACAGCATGACACTCGACCAGTTCATCGTCGTCGCTGTGACAGGCGTCACAAGCGGCCAGGTGAGGAAGAAGATCAATGGTATGAGGAACACTAACGCTGCGCAATTGATGGCAAGGCCCCACCTTCCGAGCGACCAGCGACGTGTAGGAAGGGCCGGTCCGTGGAGACGGCGGTAGACGATGCAGCTGATGGTGAGGAAATAGGAGGTTAGAACGGCGATGGCGCCAAGCGAGGTGATGGCGTTGAGAGCGACGGTGGAGCCGATGTTGATGAGGGAGAGAAGTGCGGAGACGGTGAGGGAAACGGTGACGGCAGGGAGGGGGATGTTCCAGCCGGGAGAAACCCTGGAGAGCCAGCTGTGGCCGGGCAGACCGGAGTCGCGAGCAAAAGACCAGATCTGGCGGGAGGCAGCGGCCACTTCGGATACGGCGCATGCAGAGAGCATGATGATGATGATGGCGGTCATAACATTGGTGCCGGCGTATGATTGGGTTGCATTGTAGAAGACTTGGATAAAGGGATAGCCGGTGGGAGATGCGAGAACGCTGGCGGCATCACCGAGCGTGAAACAAACGGTGACAATCACGACGAACACGAGAGTGATGTTGACGACGACGGAGCCCATGATGGCGCGGGGGAGGGTGACGGAGGCATCTTTGATTTCTTCCGCTGGAGAAAAGGTTAACTAGGTGGTTTTGTTGAGGTGGGCAAGGGAGACTTGCACATGTGGACGGAACAGTCGTAGCCGACGAGGACGGCCATGGGAGCAAGTAAGCCGATCATTGCCGATAGACCTGTGCTCGACCAACCGCCGTAGTTCGTAAATTCCAGCAGAACCACGTGTCCATTTCCGCGTGGAGCCATGATCCAGAGTGGGATAATGATAGCGAAGAAGCCCAAAATGTGGAGGATTAGGACCATGCCCTCTGAGAAGGTTTAGCTCAATATCAAGCAGAACGAGAGGCTCTTGAACTTACCTATAATGGGTAGTCGCGACGCAAGGGCTGTGTTGAAAATAATGCAGAAGACAACGATAGAGATGGACAATAAGGTCCCGTGCCACCTTTCGTAGACATAGGTTGGGTCATTCAGTACGATCAGTCCCTGAATGATTGTGCCAACCAAGAAGCACACGCTGGCAAGATACACCTGCCAGCCAATGGCAGTGAGCCAGCCTAGAGTGAGTGAGTGCCGAGCACAATTGGAAATATGTGAATACTTACCGGAAAAGTAGCTGAGTATCTTCTGCATTCGTGGAGGGGCAAACTCTGACACCCAGTGGTATTGGCCACCGGCCGTGGGTGACCTGTTGGATGTTTGATCAGCGGCTCATGCATGTGCCACGTGGTTGTCGTGTGTGCTTACATAGAAGCCATTTCTGCTATACTAGCATACACCAGGGTTTGTCCAGCGGCACATGCAATAAAGCCCCAGAACAGAAGCGGAGTGCCACCGTCAGTCAGAACGAATCCAAGGTATCTGCCATTTGTCAGATCATAGGAAATAACGTGGAAAACACAGGTTGTATCTTACGTAAGTATACCTTCCCAGCTAGCTACACATGTAGATGCGAAGCCGAGCATTGTAATGAAACTGAAGTTTCGCTGGAGACAATCAGCACGTGGAACGCTGCAAGCTTCAAGGAGGGATTTCTTACTCTCAGCACCTGCTTCTTGCCCATAATCGTCATGTCCCGTTTGTCCGCAGACGTTCCTCTGTACTTCTCCGGAACACGACTGACGCCGTCGTCGAAGATTTTTGGTGATGATGATCCTGGAGTGTCTGTGAGCTCGACATCTAATATTTGTTTATTGTCGTTGAGGTGAAGTGAAGCCATGGTGATGAGGGCGGCTCGAAAGAAAGAGACAAGGGATGGAAGAAAACGTGAAGAAGGAAAATGTTCTAGCTTGCGATGTGGTCAGTTTCCTCATCGCCCAACAAGTTTGACACCACTTATCCCTGCAAAAGCACTCAGCGTATTTCTGTGGGAAAGTTGGCCGGGTTGATTCCGTCGTGGGGATTCGGGTATGACAGTACTGCGACTTTTGTCTCCAGTCCGGCGAAAGTCCGCCATTAGCGTTTTTCGTTCTCTGCGTTGCTACTTTCGCGTATAAATTTTTCAATGCTACTGTACATATCTTCGGAGCTCAGATTTGTGTTCAACTAAGACGCCATGTGTAGTGTGGTAATACTAAATTTGGCGAGAATTTATCACGGAGTAAGCAGGCAGTCAACTCAGAGTGCGGAATATATGATTTGAACGATTGTTGCCGGTGCTGTACTAGTAAGTATTACGGGCGAACACAACACCATTCTCCGTGCCTGCGCTAGGCACGATCGAAAGCAGCACTTATTTTTTTTTTTTTTTTTTAAGCCCCTTGTAGCTACCCAGTTCTGATACCCTATGGATTTAACTCGCTTACGAATTTGCAAAGTTGAATTGTACTATTATGCACGGCTCTTTTTTTCCCGTCTTAGCTAGTCTCAGGGAACCGGTGTAGGGGCCCTCCTCAAGGACGAGCTTTGCTGATGCAGTACTTCCCGTTCACAGGCTGCGAAACCAGGAGGCTAGCAAAAGGAGCATCAGAATTGTGGGGACGCTACCCCACTGAAAGCGTCCATAGCCCTCCGATCGTCTTGTGGACAATTCTAAAAGCACGTCGATCGTTGCGTTTGACGAGCCCAGTTAATCTTCTCTAGCAAGCCGCCCGCAAAAAGCCCTCTTTTCCTCACTCTTAGAGAACCGACCTACAAAATCCTCATGCCTGGGCTGTGAGCAGAGTCCTCACCATGAGCTCGCAAGCCAGTCCCTACCGTACCTGAAGGGCAGTCTCCTCCCTTTGCGGTGGTGACACCCGACGACCACGCGGCATGGATATTAGTTGCGACAGCACTCGGCCTTGTTTTTTGTTCTTTGCCGGAATCAGAGTCCTGGTCCGATCCACCATTAGCCATGGTTTTGGGGTTGATGACTATGTACTCTACGCCGCCACTGTGGCAGCCATAATTCAGTCATCCATCATTCTCGGTGCATGCTCGAAGGGACTTGGGAAGGTACTCCATCTGGTACCCGCTAAAGCACAGGACGAGGTTCAAAAAATGTACTACACGAGCAATCTATTCTTCATCACAGCCATTGGTCTATCCAAGATTTCAGTTATGTGCTTCCTTCGCCAAATCTCGCGGATGAAGCAGCACAGACTCGTCTTCAGCATATCGATGGGACTCACTGTTGCTTGGCTCGCTCCTGGCAACTGCGCCTCAATGCAATTTGCAGCATCCGTGGTTGTCTGTCAATGAAAAGTCCCCGGGAATGGTAAGCTCGGCCCCAGACAATGATATTCGGAGGCTTAGATTTACTGACACGAGTTCCAGCTTCGGCGATGGCAAATCATCGGCACCTTTGACATTGTATCAGAGGTCGCAATTGTGTCCCTAGTTGTCTTCATGGTATCCAATTTGCAGACGCCAATGTCAAGCAAAGTAACAGTAGTGTCAATTTTCAGCATCCGTCTCCTGTAAGTGTCCACCATCCTTGACCTTTTGGGCCATTGCTGACAACCCCAATGTCTTACTATCTTCATTGCATTTCGGCTGCACACTTTTGATCAAGCCGGCTATTCTACAAATCCATTCATCCGCGAAGTCCCGTTCATTGCGTGGACGCAGAGTGAGATGACATACTCGCTGATATCGGCCACCATTCCTACGTTGCACAACTTTCTAAAGAGTCTGAGTACCGGATTTGGCGGTATAAACGCTGATAACAGCGCATACGGATACGGCAGTGGTAGTCGCAGCCGCGTCCACGGGGAGAGCTCCGTGGGTTATCAGACGTCGAAGCTGAGGTATAGGAACAAAAGCGCCGCACTGGCAACGACAGACACGGAGCAGGATAGGGATTTAACCCGCGGGCAAACCACCACCGTCGATGACCTAAATAGTGGACCAAGTGCGTTAACAATGATGCATTGGAATGGCAACAGGGGAGTAAATGGGGAGACTACAAGTACTGGTAGTGACGAAAGCCGACGGATGATGATCATGAAGGAAGTTCAATGGAGCATAGAGACGGAACTTAGGGAATAAGACGTGTACAACTATGAAGTTATTGATATAGAAAAGTTTATAGTAGAATCTCGCTTGAAAGACGCCACACATGAAACGTTAGCACTTTTTCTGTCAACCAACACTTAGAAAAAGGCGCGATTTCCTCGTGCACTAAGTGACAAATCCGTGCGAGGCCCAGTTTTGCAGACACCAGTGGAAACAAAGTAGCAAGTAGCTAGTCCCCTATGGGGTTTGCCCGCACAGCGTGTATGAATAAGTCCTGTTGGCCATGTGATATATGGCGACGCTAAGGCTTGTAAAGATCTTCGGAAGCGTTGTACGCTTCGTACACGCTTCGAAAGTATATAGTCTGACGGTCCCCCAGACCCCTTCGAAATAGAACAAGTCCTTCGTAAAATCACAGGGGGGTTGACGGGTACAAGACTAGGAGCGTCGGATACAGAGCGTCGATGTATCTCCTGGTAGGGGTATGCAAAGGACGGGGTTGACTACGAAGAGTTATCTAGGTAACGAGCGTGACTATATAGTTGAGCACGCTTCCTAAAAAGGCATCCATGAGTGCCCGAGTGGTGGTGGTAACAGGTATTTCGCTTAGGTGCCAAGACTATAATTGAAACTAACCTAATTAGGCATATACCCCCCTGTATTTCGCTCAGGATCCGCCGGAGCCATATTCGGACCAATGAGAGCACGCTTTGACCTCGCCTCGACAAACTAATCAAATAAGGACTACTTGTAAACAAAATCATGTCTGTCGGTTTCACCTCTTCTTGCTCACAAACAACGCCTTGATGCCCTCGAGAGCACTCAAATCGACACCATTTGATGGCACTCTACCTGGGTGGGCTGTGGATTGGATCCGATGGGTCAGCCAATCAGAGCAAAGGATTTGGTAGTTTTCGGATTATAGATTTTCCGGACTACAGGGCAATCACGTGACAAGATATGGGGCAAGGACAAATGGAGGCATCTTATTGGTCATATTAAAAGCTTTAGTGGATCCTGGGCGAAATACAGTCAGATATGCCGAATTAGGTAAGGCGTATTTAGCGCCTTGGCACTTGAGCGAAATACCTTGTCCTACAGGACTTGCCATCATGAAAGCTTAGTTAGTCGCTGTTGAAAGTTCCCAGGCGAAAAGCCCAGCAGAAGCCAAGACGGCCACGAGGATAGAGGAAGACATATTGTCTCAATTTCACTTGCGTGGCTGAGTTATGCCGAGTCTGAGAATGAGTAAATGAAAATGGCAAGTTCAGTAGTGTTTCGAAGCCTTGAATGTTTCTCAATATCGACGCTCTCAATATCATCGGTATCTCTTCACGGGACCATTGAGGTGCAATCACACTGTGCTGGCCTTTGGCAGCAAAGGTTTTATAAGAAAATCGCAATTTGCCGTGCACATATTGGTATTGCTATTGTGCTACCGCGTCCTTTCAAGCAGTCCTTAGGCTGTACACTATTGAAATTAGTCCGGATGGTGAACCACGCACACTAGTGGTGATCGGTACGTTTCAAGGAAACGACGACGGCGACGACGATAAAAAGATAGATAGGTGAGCTGGATCAAGGTCGGCCAAGTATATCATTCTAGCTCCTGTTTGGGATGATTGTACTGGGATCTTGTCCAGATGAGAGCACTACCGGATTTCCAGGAGGTTGGAACCATAGAAATATGGAAAGCCGGTCGATCGCTTCTCCTGCAATTGTAGATTACTATTGATAGAATATGCATACCCGTACACTCCCAGTTCTTTCATCGTTCAAATAAACTCCGGCCGATCAAGCGGGGCGCTTGTTCCCTCCTGGATGATGGTTTCACACCTTCTCACGAAAACCGGGGAACTCTCCTGGAACATCCACGTCACTGCGACCGCAGCCTCTTCATGGAAATTGGGAAAAGCGATACCGCGGACTTGTAGTCCAGATATTGAAATCTCCGCCGATGCAAGCTAGATTTCATGGGATATATGATTGATGGACTCCAATCGATAACACCCGTTTACGCTGGCCGACCACTTATCTGACACGACAGAAAGTTGTCACTAGAATCTTATATACCACGACTACGGTTCATCTGCCAAAACTTTTCCAATTTTCTCGAAATATGGCTATGAAGAGTCAGCTTTTGGAACAACGATACCAACGGAGGGTAAGGATATGTTACGAGGGGTGTAGAGAGAGGGATCATAAATCGCCTCAGAATGGAGCGGACGCTGCGGCTATCAATTCTGAAACTACATCTAACATTGGAATGGACCGAGGCCGAGCCCTGGTCTGGTGACATGCTGAGGCGAACTGTGAATGTGCGCGATCAGAAGCTACGTAAAGCTACATTTATGGAGCTGCTGCTTCAACATATCAGGGGTCGATTTCACTGGTGTGATGGACACGTTCGTTTTCCCATTTTAGTGGATGAGTGTGTGATTATTAGATCACGAGGGATCATGAACATGGGAAGACAGGGCCATGCAAACAAAGCCGTGGACGGGTGGTGATTGTTCGATCACAAGTAAGGATATTATGCATCATGACTGCACCCAAGGGAATGAAACGAAAGCACAGGTGGATGGATAGAGGATGGGCATTGGGAGACCAACATGGGATGGTATAGCAAGGTATAGCATAGGACGCGATGTTATGCTATTGACCACAGCAATTGGCGTGAAGAAATGGGATTGGCAGGAAAAAGCATGGGATAGCAGTTCCATTTCACCTCCATGGATCATGATAGCTAAGGTAGTTCAAAGGCTAGTCACGCGTTCTCAGCCTTGTCGTAGGCAAATACATGTGTGCAGAACTATATTTGGGCTTCTTCTCATGAATCGAACTTCCGAGAGCTCTATCCAGACTCGCGTCCACTTTGTAAAACTACAAGATCTCGCACTCGCTAGTACGCTCCCATTTCTTTTCCTAGATACCTGGGTACGTAGGTAGTTTACAATTCATCCTTCTTCCCACCGGCAGCCTGCTCTTCTTTGTTTTTCCCTGCACTCTCACAAACCGCCGCCGTACCCACTTCCATACGATAAACGCATTTCTCACTCTCACTGACTTTCCAAATCTCTTCCTTCTCCGCACATGCCAGAATGACTTTCGTCGACCTCGATGGGCCATTCCAACAATGTTGGCCATTTTCGTATTTCATCACCAATCTATCTCCGGTGCCGAGGCCCTTGCCATCGGTCGTGACACCTTCGTCGACGAATTCCGTATCAAAGCCAACAAAGTTACCCATGGTGGTATGGGCACCGCCTTTCTTCGGCTTCTGTTTTGTCTGCGCCATGAAGCAGAGCTCGTATTCATATTCTCCACTGTCACGGGATATGCAGGTATCTTTCAGGGCGCGGAATATGCCATTCTCCGGTCCGTAGTCTTTGTCGAGGTCTTCGCGGTGTCGTTTCAGATCATTCTCCGTGTTGCGGACGTCTCGTTCGGCGTCACTTCGGGCCTTCTTCGCGTCTTGCACGGCCTTGCTCTCTGAAGCGGAAGATCCTTGGCTAGAGAGATCTGCAAGGATTCCGTTTTCGACGAGCATCTGGCGGACGGAAGCGACTTTCTCGTCCAGCCACAATTTCAGAGACTCGGGGAGATAAGCACTGAGCTGGTAAAGGCCCGCAACATCAGACTCTGGCTCAGGTGGCGCATTTTCAAATTCTTCCCAGTTAATCCCGTTTGTTTCGGAGTCTTCTTGCAACACGGCGGATAAATCCCGATCCTCAGCTTCGGACCAGTGATCCTCTGTTTCTCGGGCAGCATAGTCTTCCCAGCCACGAACGGCCCGCTTGACCCCTTCATCATTGAAATTGGGGTTGTGCTCATCCTTGAGTGCAGACAGAAGCCCCTCCAATTCCTTGACTCGTTCGAGCATCGAGTCTCTTTGGGATCTTGTTTTCTCGAGATAGCCGCGAAGCTCATCCACTCTAGATCTGGCCAAACTCACAAGGACACCAAGTTGACCGCCTCCTTGGCCTGACGCCTCTCCACGAACCACTTTCAACTTCTCCCTCCGTTCGACTTCCTTCACATTGTCGTCTGCCTCCTTGACCTTGGCCTCGAGACCCTGCAATGTGGTCTCTAGGGATTCGACTCTCAATTCGACTTCGCGCCGTAATCGTGCAGCATCGGTTGCCAGAGAGCTTTTCCGCTTCAAAGCGGCCCTCAGGGCCTTTTGTCGAGCCTCCTCATTCTTTCGGTACTCTTTCCCCATTTCCTGGCATTTATCCTCACAACGTATCCCTCCAACATGGTCCCACTCGTCCGACCCGTCACAACATAAATCATAGTCGCACTTTCCGTCGTTGACGCTCTCGAATCGAATATAGGAAGGCAGATGGCCTTTATTCTTACAGTAAAACCCCGGCAGAGCCAACGTGCCGTTTATGACTGTCGACGGAGTGTCTGGCCCGGGGGGATATTGTGGAGGGGAGAGAGGAGAAAGGTAAGCGCAGGCTGCCGTCCCAGGTTCATCTGAACCGTCGGGACAATCGCAGAAATCGTCATTGACGCGGGAGAAGGGGATTGATATCGATGGGTTGGAGATGCATGTAAAAGTGTCTGAGGAAGACCTTTTGTAGAATTTTGCATCTATGAGACCATATTAGCGATCTAGTACATCTAAGAGTATCTGACCTCGAGGCCCGGGTTCTGTCAGCGCCAGAAGCTGCCAGTAAGGCCGATGGAGAGTATTCTTACATTCTGGACTGACGCCTCGAGGTCGAGAAGACTCAGAGGCTCTTGTTTCCGCTGCCCAAGAGGGAATTACTAAAGAGGAGGAGAGGAGCAATAGTCCTAACCTCGGAATCATATTGAGGATATAGAGAAGATCATCCCATCAGCTCCATCCAGAAATGAGCATCGACAACATGAAACTTGTCCGCAACGGCATTCGGGAAACTTTCCTTCGAGACTTTGATGACAGGGGGTGCTCTGGTCATGTGACGATCTTGAGAGGAATGCCCAATTCAGCGAATGACTTAGAGCTGCTCCAAGATCACCTCGAGACGAACAGTTCACGCACGTGAGAAGACATTGCTCAGCCTCAGGGTCCATACCTCAATGCTATTCCATCAGTATCGTGGACCCATTACACTCAACTCGCGAAGGGGGATGGATGGCTCTTCCCAAAGAGCTTGTCAAATAATGGCTGAACCATACTGTCGCTGCCCAAAAAGTTCCGGGGTACGTTCGAGCTACAGGGTAGGTAAGATATTGTATTCAGATCTTTTGATCCACTTTGGAACTTACTATTAACAATGGGCACCGTGACCTCACAATCCCGGTACCACGGTTCAACCTCCATTCAACCATCGGGTTGAGTATTTGGCTTGAAGAGAAGTTTGTGTCGTGTCATCTGTTCCATATGATCTCTCAGAGCACCCCTCATCCATTTGGGCTGACACTCATATACTCATCTGGCTCGCTTCCGTCCTGCTGTTCTCCATCCCATTTGAGCACTCTTTTCTTTTCATCTCATTCACGTCCTTCCATCCACCTCTTGGGCATCCATGGAAGTCAACATGATAGACGTGATCTTTCCTCAAGACTGCGACATGGAGGATATGGAGGTCTTGGATCTCGTCCTCTCCCTTTCCCAGCTACGGCTGGATCTCCACATTTGGATCATGGCGGCCTTGCCAAAATCCACGTCGTGAAACATCCTGGACTCGGCGCCCATCCCATCCAACCAGCGACACCAATACCGAGGAGCTACCTTCGTCATGATGATGGAAGGCGACTGCCCAGAAAGCAATAAAGGGCAAGAAGTCCGTGACATTCAACGACGTCGCACAAACGATGATTTATTAGGGGGACTCTTAACACCAACAGTAGCGATGAACTGGCCCGTTGTTGCAATCCGGCTAAACGGTGAACGCGGAAACGGGCCCTAGGCATTGAGTGCTAGGGAGCATGATGGCGGAGACTTGGTGCAATCAGCGGCGGCACCAACGAAAACATCGCCTTGTGGCTACGTGAACATCAACTCCCCAGCCAGTCAGCTTCCAAGAGAGGGGCCTTGGCGAGAGCACAGCTCCAGCAACGTATCGAACATATCGCACAGGATGCGATGAATTTGAATCAAAACGACGCTTCACCTTCAAGGCTCTGTAGTCACCACCATTCAAAATGGATTGTCCGGCTTAGATACGGAATCTTGACAGTATCTCACCTCGAACGACACGGGATATTCCACGGAGTCGAATATGTATCACATACGGGTGATTAGCGGATATTCTCGAGTGCACCGACCACGGGTTCTGAATGTGCAGATCACGGTGTGATCACCGTCTGATATCATCCCTGAGAGCAACACCGGCGGAAAATGTTTGCCTGGTACCGTGCCTCAAGCTCAGAAACCTAGTTAAAGAACAGGAAAGCTTAACGACAAGGGTAGTGTTTCAGAAGAAGAGAGAAGGTTGGCATACATGCAAGAGTTTGGAGGCGAGGGAGCGAGGTGCTTGGACATGTCAATCAGGGAATAGATTCGAGCTCACCCGAAAGGAGAGCGTGTGCTTAAAAATATGGACGAGATAGGCCTGACTCTCGTAGATAGGGTACTTGAAAATGCAGACTCCTGGTGAATTTAACAAAGTCACCAGAATTCCTCTATGTTTCTCTCATGCAGCAGGATTGTTGCTTGCGGTGAACTTCTGTTATTCATGAAGCAGAGACGTCCTCGCTTTCCCCCCCATCGTATCCATAATCCATAGGGACATGCCAGTTTCGAGCTCGAATCTCCTCAGTGGTGGTTGTGGCTTACGGATGCGCTTGTGCTCGTCGGCTTGAACATTGGCAAGGTCTTCTGTAGGCTCATTGCATGCAATATCCAGCTCGCTCTCCTCCTCAGCACCCCTCCGCTTCAACCTGAACCTGAGCCAGCACTCCCGTGCTAGCTTGCATCTTCATCTCTTCAATCATCCTCTGACTCTGCCAACGCCGCAATGGCTGTCCTCGCCATAACCTTCGCGACGCGTTTGGCGCCAGTCCCCATGGTCTGCTCATCAGGAAGCTGATCTGGTAAACCAGGACCCGCGCCATTGGCTTGTGCGGCTTTTCCCTCAGCATGGTCAGGAGGTGATAGTGGCACGTTTCCCTTACCTGCATCACCAACTGCGGCTCCACTGATTTCACAACGTTTCTTGAATGCCTCTGCGAATTCACTCTCCTCCCTCGACGCTGATGTCCCCAGAAGAGGTATATCCAGTTGTTCATCACCAACATCAGTTGCACGTTCGAACTGAAGCAATCGTAGTCGCCGCTCTAGGCCTGATTCAGTAGGATCAAAGATGAGAATTTGCTGTCGTTCGCGCTCGCCGTCACCTTTCGCCTCCTCATCATTTTCGATCTCTGCCACTCCGGGTCCCGCGCCTGCAAGTGGCTTCCAGGCAAGCATTATCCTGTCGAGTTCTTGCAGCGCTTTGTGCAGGCTCTCCCACGAACGAGTAATGTCGGCCCAGATATTGTCGAGACATTTGATGCCAACCGTAAGCTTCTTGACTCCCTCTTCCGTGTTCATAAGTTGATCACCTCGTTCCTCCTGTTCACCCAGTACACGTTGCGCCACATTATGCAGCTGTGCAAACCTGGCCAGCATATGCTCTGCGAAGGTCACACAGTGATGATTGATTGCCGCCTGAGCCTCCACAGACCGACTTGCCTGATTAACCTCGGTGAGGATTTGTTCCTCGGTAATGAAGGACTCTCCATTTGGTATACGCAAAATGTTACAGATACATTGGAGTTTGGTGTATGTTTCTCTTTGTTTGATGATGTTGGCCTTATACTCGAGTTCCCTGCCAATGGCTCTGACGTGTTGGGTGCCATTTTCTGCGATGGTGAGGAGGAGGCGGGTTCCCTGGCCAGTGATCACGGTAGGGATGATGAAGACTTCACTGGCGGCTACACCTAGGAGATTGTCAGCTCTTCTCGAAATGAAGGATATGGAAAAGTAAAAAAGCGACGTACAGTCATCCCATATGGAGGAGGTGTAGTTGACATCGACGTTGGCCCATCTGTTGGCCGCCGATTTGTTGGATTCTGCCCTCATCTTAGAGTGGGTTTGAAGCGATAGCTAGCTGAAATCTGAAGCAACCACAAGAGAAGAGTATGAGGAGGGATAAGATATGTTGATGTAAGTAAGAGAGGGAAGGAAGGAGGGGAAGGAGCGAGGAAAGGTTTAAGCACGAGAAGACGGTATCAACAAAAGCACAAAGGGCCCGCACAGAATGATACGGTTTGGCATCAAAAAAACAGTTGATTCACTTCTCACCCAATGTCTTAGGAGAGTGGCATTGGATTAGGCACCTAGACAGCGAATGGACAAAGATGAGTTAGTTGGCACGAGGGCAACTTGAACACATCAGCGATATCATCCCGCCTCGGTCAACAAACCATGTACGAAGCCGACATGGAACAATCACGTCAAAGGATTCCGATCATCTAGACTCTCATGAGCATCGTTGACCGCGGAAATGCATCCCACGGAGTCAGGGAGACATGATCAAAGAAAACCGAAACTCAAATTTGGCCGGCACTGATATGCCACTTTCTTTCCCACCATCTTATGTACAATCATGAGAGCAGATGAGTGCGCCATCGGTCCTTTTGGGATTCTTTGATGATTTCAATGCCTCTTGAGACTCAAACGTTTATCGTCCTCGCTGACCACCTTTGGATAATCTCTCGGCTTCCAGCTCTCGTTCAGCCTGTTGGTAATATTTGGCTGTATCAACGCCATGCTGGATATCCAATGTCAGCTTCACAACACTTTCCCACAGGTATTGGACTTGCCTGGTTGTGGTTGGCAAAGTTGGCCCACGGTACAATGTTTAGCATCAGAGCCGAATATCTGCTGTTGCGTGCGGCAACACCTTGCATGTAGGGAGTGAGATCCGATTTTCCGTATAGGGGCTCCCCCTTTTTAACTTTATCCACCATTTCCCTCATGTCCATCTTGACCTCTCGTTCATTTTCCGACCATCCGTAGAATCTCACTGGTGCAATCAACAAGTGTCAGCCCAAAACTTCGCGCTTGAGTATTATTCTTCTAGGGCCGTCGAGACGCACTGCAACTCCTCTGATACACCAATGCCGCTCCCGCTAATAAACCAATAGCACAACTGAGTCTGAATACAGGGCCGAAGGCACCCCTGCCGGAAAATGAAGGGGCGTATCGTTCCGTCGTGAGCATGAATGCTGGTGCTATAGCTGCCATTCCAGCTCCATACACCCAATCTGCGGTCCTCGCATATCCGAATGCTCGTCTCCAATGGCTACAAAGAAGATGTATCGTTAGCGATGGCGTCCCCGGAGCTCGGATTTCAGGTGAGAGGAAGGACATACGGATCTGTGTCGATAACCTATTTCAGACACCTGGTTAGCTTGATTCTATCTTCTAGACAGTCCATACTCACTGGATAGTCTGTATTGACCCGCTTGGGCGGGATGAAGACCTTTTGTTCGTCCGTCATCGTTGCGGCCACGTTTCTGCGAGCACAAACAATCATGGACATTTGAATGCTGAGGTTCATGCGGAGCTTCGATGCCAAGCATAAATTATGGACTAAATTAGAATTGGTCTAGCATGCCAAGATGGAAATGACGTCGCAGCCAGTGGCAGAAATTGAATTACAGATTTGAGAACCCTCTTCCCATCCCAATCCTCTCATCTTCTTTCTCACCTCCGTCGCGTTGATGCACCCGTCGTAGGTCACACGCTGCCGCCTAAATCCTCCCCTGCCACCTCAGCCCTCCCTCGATTCTCCACCGGCTCCTTCAAAATCTGCCTCATCTCTCTCCATGGCCGATCCTCGCAGCCTCGGCACCCTCGACGCAGCCCTTTTCGGCCCCCTTCATGTCTCCAAAACCTCCGGACGCAGAGCCGCAGGGACGAGGCAAATCGCTTATTGTTCACGTCGGTTCGGCGCTTGCTCTTCCAGAGTGGATGTTTGCGCGGTAACGTGTGCAGGTTAATCCACGTGCGGAGCCACTGCCTCTGCCGCCGGATCCTCAGCGCATGCTTTGGCCTGTGCCATCGGTAAGGCCACCGTATGGAACGTTCCCGTGACCACCTGCGCTGCTTTGCGTTAAATAGGTTCCCGCAGCTTCATGACCTGGGCTGAGGGTCGGGCTGTCCACATACACCGGGCGACTGGTGCTTGGTCGCAGGGCTCGCATCCCTCGCTTCGCGGTCCGGGACGTATGCTTATTGAATCGGAGTTGTTGGTCCAGTACTACTCCTACCATGCAGGTAAAATGAATATACATCGTCTTCTTCGGTTCGAACGTCGCTCCGCTGCTGGCTTCCCATGCCTCTGCCTTAGTCACGAATCGCTCTTTGGATCTTGAGCGTGTTGTTGTCCGCCGTCGCACCTGTGGCCCATGCTGAATAATCATCCACAAACGCCATCGATCCTTGGTGCACATTGATGACGTTCTGGACCAGGTTAGCGTTGAAGAGGATGGGTGAACCGGGGGGGACCCCTGGGACAGCCTCGGGTGACGAAGATCGTAGGTGGGCGAATCATGCCCGTTCGCGGTGATTATCACTTCGACGCTCACGGCAGAAGCTATCGATTTATCGCACCAGACTTTCCCGAATGCGTCTCTCTGAGCCGGTGAAGGAGAACGTCCTTATGGACCCCATTGTACGCTCCCTTCACGTAGAAGCTTACCAAACTCAGCGTCTTACGGTCGCGTTAAGCGTCGAAGATCCGTTCAGTGGTCGATCGTCGTTTCCCCGCTCCAAAGTGGTGGTTGAAGGGGGATGTGCCATGTTTCGACGAGATAGGAGATACGCTCGGCGAGGGCGGATTCTAGCATCTTTCCCTAGGCGCTCGGCTGTTCGTAGTCCTCCTTATCCAGCTTCCGCAGTGGTATGATCTTGTCTTTCACGGTCGGCTACAGCTTCTACCATACCACGGCTGGCATACCGTCGAGCCCGAGAGCTTTCCTGGGGATCGATGCAAACATCGCTCGTTTGACCCCATTCGTCGTGAAGGGGATGTCGGGAAGCTGTTCATATACCGCCGTGCTGTTTTCTTGTAGCGTCATCGCCCGGCCTCGGGGAAGAACGTCCTGACTATCTGTGTTCGAGCTTCGAGTTGGTCGTCCCGTTTCTCTCCGTGTCGATGAGCGCGAGCTTGATTTCTCCAGTATGTGTAGTCGCCCCGGAGTCGGGTGTAGGGCGAGGGTCGAGTTCGAGGTGTCCATACACCCGAGGCAACTTGCACCCTCAACCTTTCCACTCGTTCGTCAGTGCTCTGAGACAGACAATCAATCAATCTTCTCTCCCATGTTGTCTAACACGTCTTCCATACCGCTTCTGCTTTCGTTCCCAAAACTCCAACCAATGCTGCGCTTGTTGGTCAATCACGTGACACATTGCTTGGCAACATCACGTGAGGAAATTGGCTTGGCAATATTGCAACTTGCACCCTTCCTCTTCTTCAGTCTTGCTCTCTTGTTAGATAGAACAATAACGCATTCCACAGTCTATTATCTCAATACCGCTTCCGCTTTCGTTCCCAAAGCTCCAACCAATGTCAACGTGGTTGCGGACTTCTGCATTAACTTCTAACAAATACTAATTCTAGGCGCCAAGCTTTCCGCTAAAGGCTGCATCTACGGGTGCGCGATACCGCATTCACTTAGGACGCGCAGGGGGGAAACTCTCACCTTAAGAGCATCATCACGATTATCCGCCCGTACAACCTCGTCCACTTGCTGTCCAGTTCCTCAACGTGGCTTTTTGTCTGCAATCAAAAGGAGGATTTGATACGCTATTCACACTTGTGCGCTATAAGTTCGCTCTCGTACCGTGGCGATGAATTCGCCTGCCAGATCCCCATCGCGTCCTCGCCGGCGGGCGGCAGAGAAAACTCTCAAAGAAGTCCACAACGCCTTTGGCGGCGGCACCAAAAGACTGAGGGCTACATTTACTCGCCGGGCCAAAAAAGTGCTGAAGCGCACGCGTGATCGCACGCCAACTGGAACCCTTTCAAAAGGTGATAACACTCCCACGCAGTATAAACAGACACCGACTCACAAGCGTATGGTCAATCATTCTGGTTTGATCCAAGAAGATGATATCGTTTATGCCGAAGATATAGAAATACGGATTTTGGCGGAAGCCCGTGGAATCACGAGAAAGAACATCCCCCATGACACATTCCGCTCGACCTTTCTAGGCCCCTTCAAACACAAAGACGAACGACCGCAGCTCAACATCCAAGACATTAAGAAAATTGGTATCGATAATTGGGAACAGACGTCGTTCTTTCAGCGATTGCAAAAAGCACTCCCTAAGAAGGTTATATTTTTGTTCGAAGTGTTTTTGGAGGCGTTCTGTTAATCTAGTTAGTAGGTTCTTAATGACCTCAGCTTATCTAGCTCTTTCTCGAAGACGTTACCTGGGGCCAAACGAGGTAAGGAGCCGCTTTCGCAACCAGATTTCTTTCTCCATCTCGAAACGGGTACTAGTTGGGCTCATGTGGAACTTGCTTTCGAGCATACGCAAAGCTCCGTGCAAAAGGCCCCTGAAAAATTCCTGCAGTGGTTGCGAAGTGCCTGGAACATATTCTATCATCAGCCCTTCCGCCGCTACCTTTACGGGATTCTTTTCCTGCAACCGTACGCCTTGATTACTTACGTTGATCATGGCTGTGCCGGGTACTCTGAGCCGCTAGATTTTGTGGAGAATTCTCAACACACTCGATTCCTCGCGGATTTTCTGGCGGATTTCATCGCGGAACCTGAACATCGTGGACGAGACCCCCATGTTACGACTCACCGACAAGACGGCTCGATATTCATTGAGTATGCGGGAATAAAGTGGGCTGAAGCAACCGATAGCTTACTATGCTACCGTCCCTGCGTTTTTGGGAGACATCTCAGGGTCACGCGAGTGCAACCTGCGGACTCCCCGAACGATAAGTGGGTTATGAAGGACGCTTGGGAAGAGAAGCCTGAACACCAATCGCCGCCGCCGGAAGAAGAGGTTCTCCGCATTCTTGTCGAGGCAAACGTACGAGGCCTTCCACAGCTCCATGAATCGTGCCGTTCGACTACAGAAGGCAGTGACAATGTGGAGGCGTCAGGCGACAATACGGAGGTGTTGACCAGCGAGTTCCCTTCGAATTGTGAGAACGCACTCGCGGCAGTAATGGATCGAACCATGAAGGTGGTCAAATCCAGCTTCGTATCTGGGCGCACTTCAAAATTCGATCCCACCGGCGTATCTCCAGGCACGACAGGAAAGGATCTCTATTTCCGAGTCAACGGGCAGAAAAAGAATTTTAATGAATGTACCGACGTGCGCAGACGACGTGCCCGCCTTATCATCTCGTATTGTCAACCCTTGAAAGAGGCGATGCGCAATGCTCAACCGAAAGAACTCATGCGAACAATCCGCGACGCTATGATCGTTTATTACGAGGCCTACAAACGTCCTAAGCATGGTTTTCTCCATGGTGGTAAGTTTACGAATGTGCTGGACGATGAACAGCACTAATGAATTCTTAGATATTTCAATAGAGAATATCATGGTTCCGGTGGAGGAGACTCAACTTACTGGCGGCCTTACCCACGAGACACTGCGCGGTACTCTCATTGACTGGAATCTATGCTTTACCGCCGACGGGAGAGCATCCAGCAGAAGCATTCGAAGTGGGACTCCTGCATTCATGGCGCCGAGTCTTCTTGAGGACAAACCAGTTACTCGAAGAACTTTGGGACATGATATGGAGTCATTCTTTGCCGTTACGCTTTGGGTCGCATCACTCAACTATGACGATGAAATCGCCTTTCAAGATAAGCCTCTGGTAAAAGTTATTATAGAAAAAAAGCCGACCATAGATGTTGCAAACGCTAAAGTGCGTTGGTTCAGGGATGCAGTGGAATTCAAGGAGTCGATAATTAATCACTTTGAACAGCCATATCGCAAAGACAAACACTTTGTCAAATGCACACGGGACCTTCGGCGCGTCTTATACAAACGGAACTACGACGAAGATACATCGAGCTCTAGTGAAGGGGAGCTAACGAATCTCGAGGAGACGAACGATGATGATCCAATGAAAGAGCGCTTGTTCAAAGACTGCATGGCGGTTTTCGATAAGTACCTCGGCGACGAAGGTGAGCAAAGTGGCAGTTACCAGTTGGACAAGATCGATACTAGGGTAGACCTAGAAGAATCGGAAGAGGAGATTTGATACGGATTATGCGGGAGTCTTTTACTGGAGAAAAGATTCTCTCATCGCTCACTCGGGCTTCATAGAATTGTGTCACTTGCATTGCTAGCTGAGCCTTAAAGCCTTGTATCATTATGACGTCTTACATAGAAAAGCATTAATCGACTATCTATTGTATCGAGATCTGTCTCGCTTCTACCAATATTCGAAGGCCTCGTTAGCTACGACCAGCAATGTCAAGAGGCGCATCCCTCCCAACGCCTCCTAACGCCTCTATACCTTCCTAAATAGGCAATTCATGGTATAGACTGCAAGAGTCCTGAGCCGAACCAATACTTGTGTAGCCGAGATCGAGGGCGACGAAGTCGAAGACACTATTGAACGGGCTTGCAAATAAATAAATCAAATCAAATCGAGCCTCGAAAAGGATCGATTTGATTTGATTTGATTTGAATCGATTTGGATAGCCCCACTTTTTTCCCAAGATGATCGGATCTGTCGAACAATAAGCCGGGGGGATAGAAAGGTGAAAACTCGTGTGCAGATTGTAGCTATGGAAAGGGGGAAGCCCCTCTATATAGGCCAGGGAATAGGGGCTCTTGGCACTAGGCATCAGCCGTTTGACAGGATCCAATCCATGGATCATCTCAACATCGATGCTGTCCGTTCACCCTCGGTTACGAAACATCTCGAGTGTGATTGGTAGAGCTTCTCTGGGTTGTCCACAGACTGGATCCGATACGTGGTCCATCTCGACATCGACTTCTATCGAGTAGGGGTGCCCTCCCGGCCACATGGTCCACGGATTGGATCCGATGACGGTGCGATAAGGGGGAGTGCCACGTGATCACGTGACACCGCCAAGCCATTGGCCAACGTGATTGGTTAACACGACGGTCTTGGCGTCGCCACACAACGCCAAGCCCTAACCAGGCGATTCCAAATTTTAAA